AACGCCTAACGCCTAACGCCTAACGCCTAACGCCTAACGCCTAACGCCTACTACCCTCCTATCTTACTATYRCTACCCCCCCTTTCGATAACTCTGTCCTAACGCTATATATAGTATATAGATAATAGGAATCTCTTACCGYAAGCGGTAGTCGGCTTCGCCGGAAGTAAGTAAGTTAGATGTTATAAGATAATACTTAGAACAAAGTACTTAGTATAGTATATATATATAAAGACTTAAATATTTCGAACATATACATTYACGGGGTGCCTTAGTATAGCGGCTAAATTRAGAGCYATAATACTACACAACTACTRTATTATTCTATYCTAATCTACTACCTTATRCTAATAGAATTCTAGATGCCACCTCTTCCGAGATCGGTCTAGAATCGCGTTATCTACTTCGCTACCCGTAATCCGGGTATTAGCGCGGGTAGACGATAGCTCGAGATAGAGGATCGAAATAATTACGAGATAGAGGATCGAAATGATTACGCGGACTATAGCGCGTATAATCTACTACGGGATGTCGTAGACTTTTACTACGAAGGCGGGAGAGATTTATAGGCGATTACGATGGTAGACGCGGATAGTCTTAATCGCGTAGAGTATTATCTACTCTATTAGTTCGCGTATACGACTAATAAAGTCTGGTTACTCGCGGATCTAATACATGTTAGCGGGGGACGGTAGAGGAAGAGGGTAGGGGTCGTGTTTTTTTTCGTATAGTAGGTAAGATATAAGACGGGGGATTCTATATCGTAAAGGCGTATAAGGCAAAAAGAAGGGATTGCCCTAGTATAGCGTAAGGCTAGAAGCGGCAACAGCTTAAACAGTTTTTTTTTGCCTTCTATTAGGTAGCAATATATATATAGCTTTTCTATTAGCCGGTTATTCTAAATTAGTAGAAGACGTAACTCTTACCGTAAGCGGTAGTCGGCTTCGCCGATTAATAGATAGAATATTAGAGGAGAGAGACACGTATTCTAAGTAAAAGGATATAGAGATTCGCGTTTAGGATATRTAGAAGGACGTTAAAATAGGGGAACGTTATAACTAATATCGTATTAAAGCAAAAAGATACCCGAGGAAAGTCGTAATAGGATTCTACGAAGTTTAGTATATATTATGTATACTACGCAAAAAGAAACAAAAAAATTAATTCCCTATATTTATGCCTATGCCAAAGTTTATGCTAAAGTTTGCTCTCTAAGGAAATTGTGTTATAGACGGAGCATTACGACCGAAGCCGGACAACCCTGTCGCTAGATGTTTAAAGTCCAGCCCCTTAATTGAACCCGATTCGAGTAGTTGGATATAAGTCAAACCACTACGCCACGGAGCCGTTAATCCACAGATGTCTAGCTTGAAAATTTTCGTCTTATGTACCTATGGACCCTGAAATTTCCCCCACTTCTCTATATAGGATCCTTAACTTCTAAATGACATTAGGTCGCTTTTTCGGCCGCTCCCGCGGCCAATCAGGCCGCCGCGCTAGCCACAGCGTTTTTTGGCTTCACCCCCGGGACATTAGAGCAGCAAGCTGCAATGAGAATGATTAGGGGGAAGAATGCCATCGACGACTGWCATCAGATCTACGTCTCATTAGCGCATTGAAGCTATCAATCCGTGATAACGAAGAGCACCGCTTCATGGGTGAATTCGGTTGGGTTGGAAGCGATCTAGAATCGCGAGCTGCCTATCGGTGCCCTGACCTAAAGGTCCCGTTATTATAGCACTCGCCTAGGCTCCTGTGCGAGAACAGTGACGAAGGAATAGCACGGATACTCTCGCTTCGCTCTGTATCTGCCCTTTCCACTGCTCTGTTGCACGCGACCATCTACCTTTACCCGCTCCTCAATCTAGCCTAAACCCTCGCACACTTCATTTAACGTCTTCCAGCCTTCTCGATACAAGGCGTACTAGGTAGCCTTAGAGCCGTTACGCATCTTCATTGCTTGCAACTGTTCCGTGCCGTGTCTCCTAATCTGTTCGGTGCCATTTGGGCAAATAGAACCGCGAAGTCCAAAGCCTTCCTCGGTCTCCATTCTTTCTCCAAAGCGTTCGCAACGGCTCTCCCAAACCAGGGTCTTCCATTCATCGCCGAACATACTCTGTACTCTGCTTACCACAATCCCCCGTGTTTGACTCTCCGCAAGGCTGCTGCTTTTGGTGCTTGTAGCTATCGGTTCGTAGGCGTTGTCATCGATTCACCGCAAAAAGAGGCGGCAATCTTCTCAATTTCACTAGCCCTTGGACGYTTGGAGCATCGGAGCCGTATGCGTCCGCATGATGGGCGATTCTTACTACGAGGACCAGCCTCGCTCGTATATGATGTCCCTAGCGATCAGAATTCCGCGGACCTTTCCTTTGACATGTATGAAGAAAAGCACATGACGAGATGGCAGGCAGACGATCTCCCCAAAAGTACAGCAGGTTCCTACGGGCTGCTATCTCTCATCTGTTGTTCTTTCGCCCGGGGGATAGGCCCGACATCGAGGATGCCATCACATTCGCTTAGGAGCAATTCAAGGCATGGCGGGTAAGGGTTAGGTCGAGCAGACCGAAAAGTACGAACCAAGATATGAGAATGACAAAAAAATCCTTGTACACGAACAGAGAACCAGACTGAGAGCGGACACATCTGAAGGAAGGCGACGATGGTTATGATGCTGATCTGGATGCGTTCAAGTCCGTTCGATCTTCACCTTCAGAGCCTTTGAGGCACTGGAGGAAGCGGGGGTTGTGTAAGGGAATTTCGAGCCGTGAATAACTGTGTTGCATTTGAAACCGGTTGACTTGCAAGCAATGTACGAAGAGTGCTGCTGATGTCAACTGATCCAAGTGCCAATGGGCATCTTTCCAAGCACTCGAGCTGTAATATCCTCCAGAAAAGCGGTTCAAGAAGAGATTCCCTTGGCCTGGATGGTGACTTCTCCAAGTGATGCAGCCATGCGCCATCAACAGCGAACCGCTTGCAAGGCTCGCTGTCAAAGATTGCTGCCTGGTGAAATTATTATGGTGGACAATAAGGGAAGGAGGTCAGCATCCTCGGATGATCTCCGAGAGCCGAAAATATTTAGAGTTTGAGCCTAGTGCCACGCGCCGCGCTTCACCTTCACAAAAAAGTTCATCCCGAACATCATCTGGTGATCGACATCCACTCATCATGGCTCCCAACAGAGGTCGCAATCGCGCTGCGGAATTCGAGGAGCTTGTAAAGCCTGTCGGGAAAGGTAAAATGTTTCAATCATCACTCGAGAACGTTCGCCTGTCTAACTTTCCTTCGCAGACTTCGATCCGGAAGAAGAAGATATTGCTGTCGATGACAGCGACGAAGAGCCAAGCGAGGCCGAGGACGATTTCGATGGCAGAGAACATTATGTAGCCGTCACTCAGAGCAAGCTGCGGAAGCCGACGAAAGCAGTCCCACTTGGTCCCAAATACAGAGGTTCACAAGTTGGACGCGATGCACTCGACCAGGACTCGGACTCGGACGATCCTTTCAACAAATCATTCGATGAGGAGGAAGAAAGTGACGCGGATGGCGACTTGGAGATGGCAGACGGGGAAGGAAGCGGCGACGACGACTCAGAGGGCAGCGAAGAGGAGGGCGACGAAGAAGGYACTTCCGACACCGACATGAGCGAGGATAATGGCGACGAACTCATGGCTAAACCAGGAGACGACGATGCTAAGCTGAGAAAAGAGCTGGAAAAAGTCGTTGGAGATGATCTCAAGAATGCAGTCTCGGCATCAATATCACGGGCTAGCAAGGAAGATGCGGAAAAGGGAAGGGCCGTCAAGAAGCAACGCACCGCATTCGACTCTCTCCTCAACACCAGAATGAAGATGCAAAAGTCGCTTATTGCGACAAACACTCTGGCCGGACTTGGAGAGGATCAGATCGCGGCTGAAAAGGACGACGCGGAACAGGCTCTGGAGGCTGCGGAGACAGCGGCTTTCAATCTATGGAATACGCTCAACACATTCCGCGAAGACTTRCTTGCATCTCGAGCTGGTCAGAAGCGGAAGCGCGCTAGTTTCTCCTTGGATACCCCTACTGAGGATCTCTGGGCGCATGAGCAATCGCAAGAGGCAGAGATCAAGCCTACTCGCGACGCTGTGCTGAAGAAATGGTCGGCCAAATCACAGGGACCAACTGTCGTGGCCGATAAGACTCGTCTGAACAAGAAAGAACATCAAGCCACAATCATTGATGTGCTTCAGGAACAGCTTTCGAACAGCGAACGCCTCGTAAAACGTACCCAAGCACCGAGATCGTGCGCTCCGCTCCAAGTCTCGCAAGGCGTTACGGAGAGCGAGAAGATCTATGATGATGCGGACTTCTACGGACTCTTGCTGAAGGAGCTCCTGGAACAGAAGAGTCAAGATTCGGTGGCAGCTTCGAACATCGACATCGGATTTCAGATGCGTAGAGAGGCAAAGGTGAAGAAGAATGTCGACACCAAGGCGAGCAAGGGGCGGAAGCTGAGATATACTGTCCACGAGAAGCTGCAGAATTTCATGGCCCCCGAAGATAGGAGTAAGTGGGGTGAGAGGCAGGCGGATGAACTGTTTGGAAGCTTGTTCGGACAGAGGATGGCTTTGGGCGAGGATGATGAAATGGGAGATGAGGAGGATGGTATTGATCCAGAGGAAGCTGGATTGATGCTCTTCCGGAATTGATGTCACGAACGTGAGTTTCTTTGAGACGTTTGGAAAGTAAGCAGATGCTGAGAGCCGTGTTCAGATCTACACGCTAGTGAAATAAAGCTGCTGCGGGCTTCCCGTGAGCAAACACACCACTTCCTTCAGCATCCTGTCCGCTCCTCCACTACCGGTCTTTCAACGACTGTCGGTAGGTACGCCCCTCGCCGTCAACATGGCAGCCCAAGCGGACGTCTTTGATGGCATGGACGATTTGACTGCACAAATGTGCATCGACCTACAGCTTGAAGATCTTGCGGCCGTCACTGGCGCGTTCGTACCCTCGGCGACTTCTCCATCCGACGCAGAGGTTGCTTTGGAACTGCACCGGACCGAGCTGAAAGCCTACCGCGCTGAACGCGGCCTTCCGGAGCCGCCACCAGCTGCTGTCGTGCGCTTCAAGTGCGAGGCCTGCGGCGACCGCTTCACTGACGAGGAGAGTGTCCAGACCCCATGTCTCCACCACTACTGCAATGAATGTCTCGAGGAACTTTTCTTGCTGTCTATGCGTGATCGAACGCTCTACCCCCCACGCTGTTGCCGTCAGCCGATCCCTTGGGAAGAAGTCCGCGATGTCGTTAGCGAAGAGTTCAAGGTGAGTTTCGAGGAAAAGCGAGAGGAGCTCGATGATCCGAGTCCCATGTACTGCCACGACAAGCGGTGTTCGAAATACGTCAAACCCGATGCAAGAGATACCACGAGTGCCACGTGTTCCAATTGCCACCGCATGACTTGCACACTTTGCAAGCAGGAAATACACTGGAGCGCATGCCCCGAGGACGAGGAGGTGAAAAAGATGAGGGAGTACGCCAAGAAGGAAGGCAATCAGGAGTGTACTCGGTGTCATCAGCTTGTGGAGCTTGCCCTTGGTTGCAACCACATTACGTTCGTACCATCTCCGGAATGCATAATCTGTGACTGCCCACCAGACTGACTGTAGCTGTTCTAGGTGTCTTTGCAAGCACGAGTTCTGCTACGGCTGCGGCATCGAGTGGAAGCACTGCGAGTGCCGAGTATGGGATGAGGATCGCCTACTAGCCAGAGCCGACAACGTCGCGAATCGGCCGGGAATGGGAGGTGCTGCCGCTGCTCCAGCTATCGCTGAGCAACTCCGAAGAGACCATCAGGATTGCGACGATCATGGCCACCAGCGCATGGTCTCTGAGCGAGGATCACATCTTTGTGAAGGCTGTCAGCAGGTGCAGCCCTTGTTCTACTACCGCTGTCGCGCCTGTCACACAGTGCTTTGTCGCCGATGCAGGAGAAACCGCGCCTGAGATAACGGGTCTCACACCACGGAGGAGGGCGCATCTCACGTCCCTTGCATAGTTTGAGGGCTTGAGATCTCACATCCCTAAGACGGGTTGAGGTAGCCATTGGACACGCGGTTTGAGCAAAGGCCAGTGTAGGCTGCTCGAATATGGCCTGCTTTCTGACCAAACACCAGTGCATGCTTTGCGCTAGCGAGTACTCATAAATGTGGGATTTGATAGTAATTACAAGGATACAGTGCTTACTTGCTATGCTCACAAGTTTCTGCCCTCACCGAATGGGATGAAAGTATGACGAAACGCCCTGTACCAGACTCAATGCTGTCCGTCCATCTACGCTGCTACCCACGTCCCTGCTGGAGCGCCTTCTATGCWGCTTCGTAGTCGCTCATCGATAGAGGCAGTATCACAGCATTAAGTCGGAGAGTGACTACGGTTTCTGGTCTCTGTGGTACTGTTGCCTGCAGCTGTTGTGTTGCTGGTACTTGCTGTGCCATTGTTGCTAGTTGGAGGAGGCCTRTAGGATCGATGGTCCCATGAAAGGTCATGAAAGATGCATTGATAGATTGAAAAAAACCTACTTCATGGTGAAGAAAAAACTGTCATCGGAGCCAATGATCGACAAGTGCAAGCAAACAATCTTCGACCACGTCCCAGCAATGGAACAAGTGATGCGTCTGCAACAATGATGTGCCTACCTAGTGCTGCACTTCATTCGCAGTCAATGTCCAGCGCTCTAGAGTAGCTATCCAAGGCCTACTGCTTGGATTTCCACGCCGGCAGAAATGGTCAAGGTRGGCCAGTGAGATAGGCCTGGATTAAGATCAAGATCACGATCGTGGTCTCCAACTCCTGCCCCAGGGCGTGGAAACATTTTCAACCGATTCTCCGTCAGACTAGCTATGAGAATGAGAATGACCAGGCGGTTCTTTGGCCTTGACAGCACCTAGAGCACTCACGCACGGAACTTGTATCGTGCCTCACACATGAACAAAGTCCGTTACATSGAGGTCAAATTGATGACCCCAGAATGTGACCCTTCTGCTATCAGGTACAGGTAGGACTCGGCAGGATGATAACGTGAAGTCCAAACATGGCTCCGATGGCTCGGACGCCACTCGGGAGTTCGATGCAGGAGCTTGGTGACACTGGCATGCGTCAACACGCACCATAAGTGTCCTCGTGCCTTTGGTGAGCAGGGAGMTCTGCACGTGCGTACGGGGGTTGCAGCAACATTTTGGGAATTTTGCGGGGTTGGCAGTCACACGAGCGCTCCATCAACCTTGATAGTCGCAGATCGTGTGCGTCGAGCTGCAGGAGCAGGAAAATTGCGGGATGAACTCGTGACGTACATGCACTATTGTCGGCGATATTTGGGGTCGTGCCAGTCTACGTCGAAGATACGGTGGAACGATTGCTGCGATAAGTGGAGTTGCGATAGAGGAGCGCGAAAGTGAAAGTGAAAGTGAAGGCGAATTAGCCGACACAAGTCAGTGCGCAAGCTGCCAAAGTGGGTCCACCGGCGGATGCAGCAAAAAGAGGGTTCCTACCGACGGGCGATGATGAAGATGCTGGACGTTCGGTTGTATCGATTCCAACGACGCAACAGGCTCCAAGCCTGCATGCGGGCACCATCCAATCTCAACCTTTTCGTCCCGGTACCACCAGTATAGGAGATCAGTGCGCGCTGGGACAATTTGTTGGCGCAGAAGAATAAGTTTCCTCACCGACAAGCTCTTCTCCATCATCATCATCATTGCTCTGCTTGACAGCTCTGCTCTCGAGTCGTGTCGATCTCGGAGCTTAAAAAAGCACGTTGCTAGGCGGGACGGCTTGACGAACAGATTGCCCGTCTCTCCACCTTCATTTGGCAAGCATTGCATTGCATTCATTGCTCCTTGGGTTTCTTGCCTGCTTGCTGCTTGCTATTTCTCGTCGTGTGCGGCGTAGACAGCCATCATGGCCGGCCTGGAGGATGTTTACTGCACGGTGCGTTCCCAGTCAACAATGATGAAACTCGGCTCGACAATTCCCCCCACTAATATCACACGCAGCTGGTCTTGACCGACGCATATCTGCCCGGAGCGGCGGTGTTGGCCCACTCCCTGCGCGACGGCGGTACGAAGAAGAAACTCGCATGTCTGGTCCTGCAGGATTCCCTCCGTCCCAGCACCATCGAGGAGCTGCAGTCGCTCTACAACTATGTCATCCCCATCGAGCGCATCGGCAACCCGCAACCTGCGAACCTTTATCTGATGAACCGCCCCGACCTGCTTTACACCTTCACCAAGCTGCACCTATGGCGCCTGACGCAATTCCGCAAGATTGTATACATCGACGCCGATGTCGTGGCGCTGCGGGCGCCGGAAGAGCTGTTCGAGATCGAGGAATCCTTCGCAGCAGCGCCAGATGTCGGCTGGCCGGACTGCTTCAACTCGGGTGTCATGGTCATTGCACCGCACATGGGCGACTACCATGCCCTTCGCTCCATGGCGAGTGCGGGCGACAGCTTTGATGGCGGCGATCAGGGCTTGCTCAATCAGTACTATGAGCACCGCCCTTGGAAGCGCATCAGCTTTACCTACAATACTACGCCCAGCGCCAACTACCAGTACGAACCCGCATATCGTTACTACAAGCGAGCCATCACCATGGTGCACTTCATAGGACGCGAGAAGCCATGGCAGCGCGGCCGATCCGCAAAGGACACGCCGAGTGCCTTTCAAGAGATGCTGGGTCGGTGGTGGACCGTATACGATCGCCATTATTCCGTGTCGACCGATGCATACGCTGCCGGCCAGCGTAACCATCTCAGGCAGAGGAGTGAGCCGCAGCACATTACAAGTACTCCTTCGGCGGCGGGATACCCGGCCGAGACAACACAGCCTGCACCGCCGCCGCAAGAGCTACCCCAGCTCGAAAGCCAGCCAGGGTACGACACATCACATCATGCAGAGGAACCATCCGGGACTGCAACCCCGCTTATGACTGAGCCCGGCGAACCTGCGGAGAACATTGAACATGGCTACACCCAACCCACGCCGACCGTCGAGCAACGACGCTTCTCCGCTCCTCACATGGAATGGGATGGGACCCGCGCTGCTCCACCAACTACGTCGAGACCAGAGGCCGCTAACTTTCCCTCACAAACTTACGAGTTCACATCAGATCCAGCTCCCTTCCGCGCACCTTCCTCATATCCCGAGCCGCCAAAAGATATGTGGTACGACGTGCCCGCTCCTGCTCCGAAAGAAGAGAAATTGAAGCCGCTCTTTCCGTGGGAGGAGCGTGAAGTTCGCAAACCGAGCCGCAGGTTTGTTGAAGACGAAGCTCCACCACCACCACCACCTCAGCTAGAGCACGAACCCTACGCAGACGAGCTGGAGGTCTCGGATTCGCCCATCACGCCAGCAATACAAGTAAATGWTGATAGCCCCTGGGTCGCTTTCGCGCAGAGCCGGAATGCTTGGGATGATGACATTAAAATTAACGACTACGTGCGTGCTCTCACGGCATTCCAGAAGAATCGGGCCAATGTGCAGGTCGTTTCGAAAGATGTCACTTCCACGACGGCAAACACGCACATTCTCTCACCCTCCAACACCCCGGCTGCGGAAGACCTTATCGAGGCCGTGAAAGAGCGAAGAGAGAGCTTGATCTTGACGGACTTCCCTTCTGCCATGGAGCGGCCTTCCCTACCAGTGACACCTGCACCGAGACGGCGACCGACTTTCTGGGGCGATGAACGAGACACAGATGGTGCTTTGCCTGGCGCTGATGGTGTCCCCGACCAAGCAGATTGGGTACGTTGTCCGAATTGCAGCTTTCAAGCTGAGCCTGCAGCATTCTTTTATTCCTTTTTCAACAGTCAAGCCATTTCGCAGGACTGGACGGAATGACCGTCCGACTTCTCTGCATTTTTTTCCTTTCTGTCCCGTGCTACTGTCTCTTATGTTAACTTCCATTCCCAAGACGGGTGTGTCGGTGCTAACATGCTTTGGGGAATCAGGACCCGAGCATGCAACTTGAATCTCTTCGCCGGAGCTCTCTCCTTGGCCCAAACGATCTTAAATTACCCGACCGAAAACTTTCGAAACGATCAATGCCCACGACTGCCGAGCCCATGATTTCTGATCAGGTTCTCAACCATCCGCATGTTCCACTCGTCGACTACACAGATGGCAGTAGCGACCAAAACAGACCGCGCCGAACCGTGCACATCGATCAAGCACCGGCGAAGGTCATTGCGCCCGGTGGAGGAAGCAGCCCGGATGTTTTGGACATGAACTACTCCTTCAGGCCCGACCCTAGCCGTGCAGAGCGCACCACGATCAACCACGAACACGACAACTCAAAGTCAGGGCCCGTCCAGATCAAGCGCAATATGTGAGAGCCGCAATATTCACTTCGATATAGTTCATGCTGTAGCTAACCATGATTGCGTCATAAAGGAGCGAAACGGAACTCAACACTGCTCTGAATTCAGGTAGTGTAGCTGGTATGCCCGGCGACTTTGAAGGATCAGTGGCTCCGGATCTCAAAGAGCAAACTCCTGGCTTCTTCACCGGATCAAATATCCAAAAGTCGCTAGCCGCCGTGGACGAAGTCGATAAAGTGAAAGAGAACGAAGCTCTCTCACCTACATCGAAGGTAGCTTGAACCGCAACTCGACTGTTACTAGACGAAAACGACGAGGAATGACTTGAAAAGTATGTTTGGGAGGGTGATCTGAAATTCGTTCACGGTGGTCTATGTTTCTTCCCAACACCCGTTCACAAAGATTGTGGCAGAACTTGAGGCGTGGGCTTGACGAAAGCAACCGATTGCGTACTGTTGAGCGTTCGCTGAGGACGTTTGAAGTCTTACATTTTTATCTGGTTCGTGGCGCAGCGGCATAGCGTGCGGCATTGTGTGTATAATAAAACTACTCAAGGGTCCGGGACAAGGAAGGGAGTAATATAGAACCTGGGCATTTACTATCATGCTCTTCGATGTGCTGCGCATCTCATTCTTGCCGTTACTGTGATGTACATCGACAGCTTGTAGCACCGGATATGGCGATGGCTAGATCTCGACGTATGTTTGCTCTGTACGGTAAGTGGTACTGCTGAACGATGTTTCTACATCCAACGCTCAACCATCTAAAAGCTCCTTTGTATGCTATATCCGGAGGACGTTGTTATCGCTTCTCGACCAACAAAAAGTGAATCGCTACATAACCCAAAACCAGGAAGACGCCACAAAAGACTCCCAGGCCGAGCACATCCTCCCACATGGCCAGGACTTTGAACCCAAAACTGGAGAGAATGGCGGACCCAGGGACCTCGATGTCAAGTCCATATTGCTTGTCCACGAGCGAAAGATATCGTACTTCGTTGACAATTAGACCTTCGAAACCGAAGTGGAAGATGGAGAGCTGGGGGGAGACGTTAGCGAAGAAATCAGAGAGGTGGGATTGGGAAGACTTACCTTCTGCAACCACCTCACTGGGGCAGGGATCGTCTCATGATTGAGCAAGAAGCCCGAGAACAGGAGACTGAAAAGCATCACCAGAATTCCTCCCAAGTTCGCCACGCCTTGATTGCGGACGCAAATGCCAATGCATAGACAAATCATCGCCGAAGCGAGGTTGAAGAGGATCAAGAAGAGCATGAACTTGAGAAATTCCGGCCAGGAAGGTATGAGGCCCGTCATAGGATAAACGATGCACCCCATGATAATCGGAGGAATCAGACGGAGGGGGACAATGTCGAAGACCACTTTAGAGAGATAGTACGCGAGAGGCGAGTAATACCCCTTGGCGCGTTCGCGGAGGAAGAGCAAGCGCTCTGGAGCGAAGACAGTGAGTGAAGTAAGCGTGCTGAAGCCGAAGAGCGCCAACATGAAGAAGAAGAAACCGAGACGGTTCTGGAAGCCCGCGAGGTCGTCTGTCAGGCCGTAAAAGAGGAAGCCAAGGAACACAGCCAGGACGATAGCGATCGCGTAGTGGGTGAGCATCAACATCGGGTTGCGGTATAGATTACGCCATGTCCGGCGTGACAAGATGATGAATTGGCTGTGAATCCAGGGCTTTTCGTACCCTCTGATCCGGCTGCTTGAGGATCCACTCGGCGAACGTAGACCATTGCTTTCCGTTGCAGAAGATATAAGGCTATGGATTCCGCTGCGCAGATCAGAGGCTACATCCRAACCGAGATACGCGGATATCAGATGATCGAGGTTGCTTCCATTAATACTGTCGGTTGCTGAATGGTGGTTGAGCGGGTCATCTGTAATTTGTGCTGGAGGCAGGCCCTGCTGCTTGGAGAGCCTTAGCCACTGCTGGTGGCTATTTTCGTTCTCTCTTTCGAATGCGCTATCGCCGGAGCTGCGGAGACTGGAAGGCGCTCCGTTCTCGTGAGTGCTCTTCCGCGTGTATAGCTGGCGCTCCTGCTGTTGCCTTATGCTCGTCTTACGTTTCGACTTCGGTCGCAGCAAGCCATCACTGGGATTGGAAGTCACGGACTCGCCGACGCTAATGTTGCTCACACTCGGGACACTCTTCACAGCTATTGTCGAGCTCGCACGGGTGGTTCGCCCATCGGCATCCGATCCGAATTCCATCAGATCGGATTCATGTGGCGAGCTTGCGTGCATCGTCAAGTCAATCAGGTAGTCAGCGATGTTGAATCCTGGTGGGCACGAATAACCAATCGAGTCGAAGTAGTCCTGGCAGTCCTTGAATGGCCCGCTGTAGACGGTCCGCCCCTGGGCTAGCAAAATTAGCTGATCGAAGAGAGCAACGATGTTGGAACGCGGTTGATGAATCGTAAACACCACTGTCCTGTTGTAGGTCTTGACCAGAGTGACAAGGCACTCGACAACATTGAACGCGTTGAAAGAATCCAATCCGGAGGTCGGCTCATCGAGGAAGAGGATGCTAGGACTGGTTACTAGCTCGCAAGCAATTCCCACTCTGCGTTTCTCTCCACCAGAGATGCCCCGACCATTACCTTCCTCAGAACCAATGACCTGGTTCCTGATGTGGTAGATACCGAGCTGTCGTTCAACGTCTTCGACCTTTTGCTCCTTGGAGGCCCGGCTCATCTGCTTTGGTAGACGCAAAAGGGCGGAATCCAAGATCGTTTCGTGTACTGTCAGGGTCGGAAGCATTGTATCGTCTTGGTCCACGAACCCGATGACGTTCCTGAACTGGTCATCGTCGACCTTTTCTCCGTTGAGCCAAGATTCACCCGTCACAGTACCGCGTTTGTTTTTGCGTGCCAGGATATCCAGAAAGGAAGTTTTGCCTGCGCCTGATGCGCCCATGATGGCCAACAGTTCTCCAGGATGGACAGCGCCTGCAATGTTTGACAGAATCTGCTTGCCTTTCAAATTGTAGGAAACGTTCTCGAATAGTAACGCCGCAGGCTTGTGATCCGCGAGCAGCCTGGCGTTCTCTTCCTCTTCCTCATCACCAAGCGCGATATAACCTGTCTTGGTACTTGCAGTCCTCCGGCTCAAGAAGAATATCAACAGAACTACAGCCACCACGAACAGCGCACAGCCGGCGATAACACCGGCGATGAGCGGCGTGTTGATCTTCTTGACAGGCCTCTCATAACCAGGGACCTCGGTCTTGTACATGCWTTCACCGCTATGGCAAGAAAGCATGATACTGGGGTCTCCAAACACACTGGAGATTAGGCCATTCATGGCCGGCTCGGAAAACGTGCTGCCATCATCTTTGGAGTTCCCATATGTCCGAACGGATGTGAACTCAGCGGGGCCTTTGATCTCTTGGTCCAGGAAGTCTGAGATGTCGATGCTGTTTTGAGCGCCACACAGCATGCGCCCAGGAATACACTTGCACTCAATGTTCTTACACTCGTATTTGGTCGTGTTCTTGTTCTCTGTGACGTGCATGTTCCAGCTGCACGTATCCAGTGCGCAGTAGAAGCTCTCCTTCTGCTCGACCCAGAACTGAAAGTTGCATTCCTCCCTCTCAGCATTGCAGCTGAACGTCGCCTGTGGCTTCTTGTCCTTGAGGGTGTCTAAGATCTTGCGATTTGTGATGTCACACATTTGGAAGTTCTCCTTGACCACGACCCCCTCTCTATAGCAAACACCACCCTTGGTTTTGCCAGGCATCATCGCATCACACGCATCGTTCGTCTTGCATACATTGCAGTTGATACCCTCCCAGCCATCCTTGCACTCGCAAGGCTTATCGCCCGAGCGTGGTGGGCGGTCCTTATCCGCGAGTGAGCCACACAGAGGCTGGCTACAGTCCTCGCCGCCAAATCCCGGTGGACAGGAGCATTTGCCGCTGCTCTGGGTACAGTTGCCGTATTGCATGCACACAAAGTCGTCGAGATTGCAGTTGAAGCATGGCGGGCAGTCTGCCGGTCGGCCTCCAAAGAGTGTGACGGGGTCAGATCGGAGAAGAAGCTCGTCGTTGGAAGTGAAGTATTGATTCGTCTGGTGCGAGGCGGCGTGGGCGAGCTCGGGCAGCAGAAAGGGCAGCACGCTCGCCACGGACGCAGTCCAGAGGGCGGACCGCATGACGGCGGATGATGGAAGGGAAGTGAATTGGTAGGGATAGGCGGACAGCCCGGAGTCAGCTCTTAACGCATCGATGCTCTCCTAGGTATCGTTCCAAACGGATGTAATGACGATTGTTGGTAGATAAGTCGAGAGCAAGTCAGGCAGATGCATCTAAACCCTGGAATCTACAGGAGCAGGGGTGTAGGTTTAGACCGGGATACGCGCCGCACGTGGCGTGAACGGAGTTAAAATCGACGGCCTCGGCTCCTCTCGCCCCAGTCCCAGTCCCAATTCCTCCTTCACAACGTGAAACAAGCATCTGGCATGAATATCATGCTGGACGAATAAATAGTGCAGMATGGGGAAAAGACGGCCATGACCTGATCAGACATTTCATCGCATCACGTATCACTATTCCCACTGAATGCCTTGGACACGAAGGGCGTGAAGCTAAAAGAACAWCCCACCAGACTTCTTCCATTTCTCCACACTTTGCATTGTAACTCGTACATCCTCAACTTCAACTTTCYTACCACTCAAAGACAGCCCTTATCTTGCAGCCATACCCCCTCGTCGTTGGGATCCAAGTCGCGATGCCTGTCGAGCCTTTTGCCGTCGAGCAATGGATGGACAAGTACGAGACAACTGCCAAGTACAACATCGCTGTATGTTCATACAACATCACATCTCATGCCGATCGTTCCTTTGGTTATAATAGAAGTGTGCTAAGAAGCTCTTAGGAAACATGTTGTGCTTCCATCTCCCTCGAAACTCTCGCCGGACTGAGTGACAATAAAGAGGCAAAAGCGTCCGACATTGTCGATCTATCCGCGGTCCAGGGCTACGGGGAAATCAGAGGCAGCACCGCACTCCGGGAGAACCTCAGTCGCCTCTATTCGACCAAAGTTGGGACGCCTTTAACTCCCAAGAAAGTGCTCATCACACCGGGTGCCATTGCTGCGAACCACATTGTCTTGTACGCCCTTGTAGGAAAGGGAGATCATGTTGTGTGTCATTTTCCAACGTACCAGCAGCTCTACTCGATACCGACTTCCCTGGGTGCCGAAGTCGATTTCTGGAAATCGAAGCCGGAAAACAAATGGCTGCCAGACCTAGAAGAACTCAAGTCTCTAGTAAAGGACAACACGAAGTTGATAATCTTGAACAATCCGCAAAATCCAACGTGAGTAGTGTTGACGGCTCGGTTAATGGTAGTCTGCTCTAGGAGTATGCTGATTTTCTTCCACCAGAGGCGCCATCCTCCCAAAGAGCTTGATGCAGGAGATCGTGGCATTCGTCGAGGAGAAGAACATCACTCTCATGTCTGATGAGGTATACCGACCTCTATTCCACGGAATCACGCCAATGTCCTCCGACTTTCCCTCTTCACTCTTGTCCATGGGCTACAAGAAGACCATTGTAAGTCTGTCAAGTAGCCAGTTTTTTTTTTTTGCAAAGCCCTACTTGTCACCTCCAGCAGGAGGGTTTGATAGTAAATCTCATCACACTAACTTTTATTTCTGCAGGTCACCGGGAGTATGTCCAAAGCCTATTCTCTCGCAGGCATTCGTGTCGGATGGATAGCTAGCCGTTCAGAAGATATCATCGAGGAGTGCGCCAAAGCACGAGACTACACGACCATCTCCGTCTCGCAGATCGATCAAGCGATTGCTGCTTTTGCACTGTCGCCGGAAGTCATCCACTCCTTACTCGGTAGGAACATTCAACTAGCCAAAGCCAATCTAGAGCTCCTGGAACGCTTCGTCATCAAGCACGATGAGTTCTGTTCATGGGTGAAGCCTGTGGCTGGAACTACAGCCTTTATCAAGTTTGAGCGGGACGGCAAACCAGTCGATGCGGTGGCACTGTGCAAGGACATTCTGGAGAAGACTGGAGTGATGCTTGTTCCAGGTGACTATGCTTTCGGTCAGGAATGGAAAGGCTACGTGCGAGTTGGGTATGTCAATTCCACGGAGATCTTGAAAAACGGACTGGAAGAGCTGCGCAAGTATATGCGGAGGGAGTATGATGATGTTCCTCTTTGCKAGTAGCATCTATTGTTGCATATATCTATCTATGCAACTCGTCTGGCATGATAGCATGCACAAAATATCCAATTCCGATGCTGTAATGAGAAATGCAGCTCGTCTAGTCAGACCGCAAGAGACTTTGTATCTCCGTGTCTAGTTCCGTCGCCGTGTGTAGCACCAATCGTGTACATGATCTCGTTGTGGGGATCAAATTACCATAACTCCTTCACTTCTTCAAGTGAGCGATGATATCGGCATCTCCATGAGTGCCTGTGTCGCAAGCGTGCCCTCTGGCGCCGCCGTGCCAGTGAGATWCATGTCCGCCTCTCCAAAGGCAATGGCGCTGTCGTATGGATACTCTCCAAGGCTACATCGTGTCTCATTGTCAGCATTCGACTTCACTGCACACACATGAGGGATGGCACTCACCATGGAGACGTGAAAGCTCTCTGAACTTCYAGGGTACGTCCTCCATACTTGAAGACCACTCCACGCTTATCGCATTGGTAGAAGTTCTCGTCKTCGAGTAGCGTGCTGTTTGTGAAGCGAGAGCACTCCACCTTGAGCTCCAAGCCCTTGTTTGAGTCATGGAAATGGAAATCGATGAAGCTCTCGTGGAAGACGGTGGTGTCGTTCGGGTCCATTCCCATACCGCTCATCTCCTTGCCAGTGGTCATGTCGGTGAGGTTGGACGTGAAGACGACGATGTTGGAGATGGTCCATGGCAGGTTCTCGGTGGGGCAGTTGAGTGAGGGATCACTCTGGGCGATTGGTGCCGCGAGGATGAGGCAGCCGWAGKCTGCTAGAATGAGAGGAAGCATGTTGGGTTTTGGAATTTGATGATTGTTGTTGTTGGTGAGAGGAAGGGAAGGTGATGAAGATTTATGACTGTTATAGCTTTCGCATGTGAGTGAATGAATGTGACAGATGAGGACTAGTAAGGTGGGACAAAACAACGCTAAATGAACCTACGTCTCTTTGATGATACACCATGACTGCCACAACCTGCAAGAGCTATCGTCACATGTGACATCGCGTTGCAACACCGTCCCATTCCATTCAAATGAGATATTAAAAATACAATGAACGGAAGTAGGCCGGTGAACGGATAGGGCCACACGCAAGCTCCCCTTCTCGAACACCAACCATTTCGTGACCCCTTTGCTTGTTGCTCAAGCTCAATCGTCCTTCACGATCAGGTTATCACTCTGCTTTACTCTCTGCGCCCACTCAGTCCAGCTGCCGTCATAGATTCGTCGACTTCCCTCCCCATAACCAGCCACAGTCAGAGCGGCATCGATGACCGTCGCGGTGATGCCTGTTCCACAACTTGATACGATTGGCTTCTCGGGGTCAACACCTCTTTGCTGGAAGATCCTTCGTAGCTCGTCTGGCGGGAGGAAAGCTTTCGTCTTTGGATCGAGCAAATCGGGTACAGGAACGGACTTGCTCCCTGGAATGCGGCCAGATGACAGTCCAGGTCTAGGCTCTGGGTCTTTCCCCCTCCATCTGCCCTCTGAGCGAGCATCGAGGATCTGGATGTCTTCACGGCCTTCTTTGTTGGAGTCCTTGGCAATCTCCTTCACTTCACTAAAAGCAATGACTCTAGAGTGGTCCAGCTCTGGAAGTGGGTAGGCCGTTTTCTCCCACTTCTTCTGTTCGCCTTCTTCTACGGGGAGTCCCTGCTCCACCCAGAGCTTGTAATTGTTGAGAAGGTGGACCCCTGGGTGGCCAAACACTTTGAAACTATTACCAAATACGTTAGCAGATCTAACGGCGAGCAGGAGAGTCAGATGTTAATTACGTCCATGCCACTCGAGGGCCGGAGAAAATCCCGAGCTCTGCGGTGTCGTAGACTACAACTGTATCGTCTCTAGAGATGCCCAGCTCGCTCATAGCATTCTTGAAGACCTCCGGGGTTGGTAGCATGTGCGGATACGGGCTCGATGTATCGGCGACTTTATCGATATCGAAGAAGCGAGCATTGGGAATGTGGCCCTGCTTGTAGACTTGTATACCGGTTCGTTTTTGGGGATCGTTCGGTAGGAACCAAGAAGCGCAGACTGGAACCGTTTTTGGTGCAGTGGAGAGACGCGATGGAGCATTGGCCTTGAGAGCTTGGTTCAGCTCATTCGGCGAAACCAGGTAGCTGGAAAATGTACGCGACATTGCGTGTTTATTGATGGGTGATTTGTTGAGTTRTGTACGGCGAAGAGCGAGTCTGAAGGCCATAGTTGCTGCTACTTTAGTTTATCTGCTGGCCGCTTTTCACTGGCATTGCTGCGATAGCGGAGCGGATTCGAAAGGATATAGTGGGTGGTGATAGAGTGGAGAGGTAAGACGCAATCAGCTACCCATGCTCGTTTGCGCGACAGGGGCGTTGCACATTGCCGCTCGCCGGAAGTCTAAAATGTGCCACGTGCAGAAGCGCGTCTTCCCAAGAAGGCACGACGCATGTGCTGCAGAGCAACCATCATGACTTTGTTCGTCTCATAATCAACCTATGTAGACAAGCCTACACACTCCAAGCTCCCCCAAACACCAAGCAAGATGAAGATGAAAATCAATGAATTCCAGGCGGTGGCCGAATGGCAATGGGATCTTGACGAGGCCGCCGATGACACCTGTGGCATCTGCCGTACCAAGTTCGAAGGCTGCTGCGCGCGTTGCAAGTATCCGGGGGACGAATGTCCGATCAGTGAGTATTAAAGCTCCCCAGTACGACTCGCTTCTAATCCTACAACAGTTGCGGGCGCGTGCTCGCACATTTTCCACATGCACTGCATCATGAACTGGATTCGTTCCGAGTCATCTCAGGGTCGCTRTCCTATGTGCCGTCAACAGTTCAAGGAGAAGTCCGCAAATGCTAGAAAGTCTGTTGGTGGCTCCGCCCCTGATCAGGACACGTCGAACGCCTAGCTACTATTGCCATCGACGATCTTAGCCAATGTCCTGGGTTGGGCATATCACCCTCGGAAGATCTGGGCAGAAGGTGGTACGACTACTGCACGCCAGCTGTTCGACTTTGCTGGAAGGCAAGAGAGGTGAGCCGTACGTCGTTCACGAAGGATCTACGTGGAAATTTGGTCTTTTCAAACAGAGCAATGACTGTTGAACTGAGCTGCAACGATTTCACAAGACTGACATGCTGAAGGACACCCTCCATATTAAACGCATCAGCAAAGGAGAAGGACATCAAGGGTGAAGATTTGTCGCACGAGGATCACCACCCTGATTCCCATCACCCCTGGCAAACGAAAAGATGTTTCGGAAGGAGCTCAGCAGCTTAGCAAAAGGAAAACCTGCTGAGCACCATTGCGCCTAGATGCATAGTTTTCAAGACACTTGCGGCCAAGCTCAGGCTGCGTGGCTCATGTCACTTGTCTCGACTTGTCTCGTTCTGCAGCATGTCTATGTCTATACACTTGACACGAGTGGCCTGATTTGTCGGAGAGCGACTTTACTRCTTGCTTCTGAGGAAAATGCGATGCCGAGTCTGATATTATGGACATGATCCTTGAGCGGGACAACAGTAACTTGATTGGAGGATAGGTACACTAGTTATGTACTCTGAGTAACAAGAAGCATCAGGCTGCGGCCAGCTAAACTCATATATTTTCCAATACAAACATGTACAGGTATGGGTATGTCTGCACGTCCGTCCAAAACGTCGCCTTCCAGAAATTCGAAAGCAAAGCTAAACGGCCTCAACCTGAAGGGAGTGAGGCAGTGGGGGTTCTTCTAGCACTTCTTAAAAGCGGCACAACAGCAGCCATGGGTATTTTGGCTGCATTGCAATTTGACATCCGTGCGAACTGTATGTGTGTGAAGGGAGCTGAGAGTAGAAAAGGAAGAAGTCGAGGGCATATGTGCTGCTTGGGTACTGTCCGCCCGCTTAAGCACGGCCTGCTCATTAGTTATATTTCGACATATACTGTACATAGGACTGTCCTGCGACGACAACCTAGAGTTCTGTGCGGCCTCCATACTGGCTCGCCATAGCTGCAGCTTCGCCGACATTCTTCGGTGGCATGAGGTTGCCAGATTTGATCGATTGAAAGGCCAGGTCGAAGCGCGCACCAAAGAACCATGCGAGTCCAATCTGGGAGGGGAAGTCAGCATATATGCGGAGGGCCAATCTGCTCTCGATTCCTTACCATCGCCGCTGTAATCACGCTCAATGTGCCGAAGACGGCAAGCATGAGGTAGATGACATCCTGCTTCGCCTCTGCATCGTCCGCCTTCTGCTTTGCCTCTGCCTCCGAGTCCACCGCCACCGTCTGTGTCGCGCCCGGGGGAAGTGTGCGTGGAGTCTGACTAGGGAAGATGGTCTCGATGAAGCGCTCAATCTTGCCGCAGGCCACGCTGATCTCGAGGAAGTTGGGATCGCTAGGCTTGTTCTTCTTGTGAATTTTCCTTGCAAACGTCCGGAAAACCTCGCAGACCAGCTGGAGATTCTGTGTCGACTGGGTCATCAGCTCGCATGCCGATCCCTTGGTAATCTTGACATTCCTTTGGAAAATGGCTGGGTTCTGGAAGCAGAGCTCGAGGGTAGCCATGGCCATTGATTGTGGGATCGCGACGAAATTGAAGACGGATTGCTCCTTGACACCTGCCATGTAGTACAAGCACTCGTCGGCGCGACGAAGTGCAAGCAGAACCATCTCACTGCTACACTGCAGAGCCTTCTCGAGGTTCTCGGGCTCGAACAGGTCGCTGAAGTTTTCGACGTGCTTCGACCACACTTCCTTTGGCCAGAAGTAACGCTTATCGTCATGATCTTCTCGAATATCCCGAATAATGTTAGTCTGCTGCAGCAGCTGGCCCATGGACTCCATCAGCTCGGGTCGTTGCAGGAGGGCAGGGTTGGCGAGCTTTGCCTCGACGAAAAGACGGGTAAGACCTTCTCCGACCAGCCCTGCTACGTAATGGCAGTATAGCTCGTAGTCCTTGATTGTCTGCACCCCATTTGCGAGGTGRTCGGCGTTCTTTGCGTAGTCTGCCATGCCGTTGCCCATGCGCTTGGTGATGTCGCGAATGATGATGCGGTATGCCTCGGCGCACTTGTTGAACTCCTTTGTGACATTGTCGAACCCCACAAGCAACTCACGATCCTTCTCATTCGGGCCATTGCCGTCGAAGGTCCATGTGTCGTCCTCGATGTGATTGTGAAAATCGCGGAGGAGCGGCTCCTTCGCGGCGATGCTGATGGTCATGTCATCCTCGATTGTGTCCAGTCCTCGTAGGATAAGGTAGAAGAGACACACGGGGACCAACAGCTCCGGGTGCAGCTCCTTGATGACGGCGGAGAAGGAGCGGCTGGTCAGGTCGAGGTAGCGGAAGCATGCTTTGAGTTCCGGTGTCTCTTTGCTCTCATCGCGCTCGTGCACAGGGTTGTGCCATGTCTTCCACTGGATGATGGCTCGCAGCTCCTGGACGTGGGTGAGGTAGTACACGATTGATGAGACTGAAGGCATTTTTGCGTGGTGTGGAGGWTGAGATTTTTAATTCCTTGAGGGTTTACCTAAGAACATTGAAGGGGTACCTTACCTATTTACCGAAATTCGACCTCGTACGATCTCTGCATTCATCTCGTGCTGCTGAGAAATTGTATGGCCCAAGATACAATTCTTCCAGCTGATAAGCGTCTACGTGTCGGCAAACTTATTTCGGTGGGTACACCTGCCTGGGCGTAGCTATAATGCAATGCTGATATATGTCTCATGGTTTATCCTTTGATGAGTTGTTGGCCCAGAGGGAGTTGTCTGTTCTCCCATTGGCTGGATACACGAAGCCCAAGACATCGCTCTTTACACTGCAACTGCCACGGCTTACAGCAGCCTCTCCACGCATAGTACTAGGTAGTGCAATCGACTAAAGGTGGACCAAACCAGGGACTGCTTTGCGAACAAAAGCTCAACCCCGCGAGAGCACTGCGCACCCTTCGTACGGTCAGCATGATGTGCCATATCTTGAGGATTAGGAATCTTTCGGACTCAAGACTCTGAACATGGAATGGATGCGCGTACTCATTTGCCAAACGTCTTCGTCTCGTCGTAAGAAATTATGCACAGTATCTGATCTCGCCAGCACGACCCTCTCTCCTCTCTATCCAAAGGGACATCATGCCAATCCCCTCCCTCTCAATCACGACTTCTCAATCTTCTCCCAAGGTTAACACTCGCACTCAAATTGACATCCATATTCTCCTTCTCTCTCACCGACTCAGCTCCAGCAACAGTCATCCTCGCACTCCGCTTCATAGGCAGTTTACTGACACCATCCTGCTGCTGTGATTTCGACCCCTCATTAGCGCTCAGACTCTTGAAATCAGGGGCTGAAGGCAACTTGCAACCATCGATTCCCGTCTCAGGACTCTGATGGCCAGCGGCGAAAGCTGCGAGTCCTACAGCAGCCACATTAACATTGACGTCAAGTTCACGTAGACTGCTAGTATGGCTACTTGCTGTCTGAGGGCGTGAGGCTGGTGCTGAAGCTGGCGCCATTGTTAACAGCGCGGGCAAAGCTGGGGGTGTGTCGGTAAAAACGTTCCTCTTTGTTGGGCTTGATTTGATCGGACTGCTCCTGCATTTTATAGGAGAGCGCTTGTTAGGCGACTTTGCTGGCGACTTTGCAGGAACACCGCGCATGCGATCGAGAAGCGTTTGATGATTCTCCGTTCGTGGAAGAGCTGTGGGGTAAGTGTACTGCATCCTCGCGGGCGTTTCACCAGTAATGGCATACTCTGCCATTGCAGCTGAGCTCATCTCGTCGCGGAGATCTTGCAATGGCTGTCGGATATCGCCATCTGGATCCATGCTTGGCAGTGTTTGCGTCAAAGCATCCGCTCTGTCTTGCATGTCACTATCCAAAGCCTCTGTGCGATTGTATGAAGTGGTGAAGTGCTCCCCAATATTTCGATAACTTTCATGCACATTGCTCACAAGCTTGCCGAGGCTGTTTGTATGTGCATCATGGTGCTCCTCATTCTGCTCGCGTACTCTGTCGACGATTTCGTCCAGCGCGACAAGCTGGCTGTCCATTTGAGACATTTGACCGTCCACAATTCGGACGGTCTCTCCATGGACTGCAGTGGTAGTATCCGTTATCTTCGTGGTGTGCTCGTTGGCGCTCGTCCAGTCGGCCTGGATTTTGGCCTCGATAGTCTCACGCGCCATAACGGATGCTGCGATCATGTTCTGGCCTCCGGCCGACCAATCGTCCATGCCATTACCATAGGTCTGCTGGGCAATCCGGTACTCGTCCTCAGAGGTCTTAATACGCTTGTTCGCACTTTCGACGTACCCAGCTATGCGAGACTCTTGTGCTGCAGCCGAGTTGTTGACAAGTGAGGTGATCTGGGAGAGCAGCGCTTCCCGCTCTATGGCTGCAGTCTCCTTCTCTTTTTCTACAACCTGAGATAGCTGCTCCTGAGACGCGTGGCCTGCCTCAACGAAAGTCTCGTTCGCATCTATGATTTGCTGGCGAAGCCTTTGTGCTTCGGCTTGTTGCTCGCTCATACGCCGCATAAGATCCTCAAATAGTGTGGTGAATTCGCGTCCGAGGGATACGTACGAGTCTTGCAGCTGACCGTGAAAGGCATTCAGTTCGCTGGCAATGCCGGCGCTAATCCGTTGTGCCGCAACAGAAAGATCACTGAGACCAGCGCCTACTTTCTGCTTTACATCTTCTCGAAGCGTCCCAATCTCCTCAAGAACATCATTCATGTCGTCTCTCGCTTTCCGGGTCTGTGCGTTGACTTCAGACTCGGAACTCTGAAAAGCTGCAGTCTTGTGCTTCAAGAAGTCTTGAGAAGTTTGCAACTCATGCAACTCATCGGTTACGAATGACCGCATGCGCCCGGACAGAGCTGTGACCAAGGCTTGCTGCTGCCTTTGCAAGGCCTCGATTCGTTCGTCGACGCTGAGGGTAGCGCTCGACACTCGGGTCTGCGAGTCTACCCATCGATTCCTGTTGACGTCCTGCAGGTCCGACCGTCTCCTCAGCTTCGAGTGTAGCTTGTCTACATGGGTCGTAGTGGTCTCCAGTGTTGTGAGCAAATCGCCACCGACTTCGGCCAATCGCTCCTCAGTATCTTCATGTGCTTTGCGGAGATGCGTTTCCTCCGCCAGACTCTGCCTAGTATGCTCCAGAATGAGATCTGTCTTTTCGAGCACACTCTTGGTCCCATCAAGCATAAGCTTGGTCTGCTCATTGTCCTTCTTCATGAATTGGAAATTGCTAGTCAGCACGAACAATTCTTGGACTTTGTTACGCAGATTCGATTCCATGGTTTCGATCTTGTCTCGCTGCTCCTCGCTCAGAATTCGTCGGGATTCTGACTCTGTGGTGWGATCTTCGTAGGCTTCGGCTGTGAGATAAACACCATTGCGCTGCCGAGTAGCGATCAGTTCCGACTTCAGCTTTTCAATCTCAGTGGTGAATTCCCGGAAAAGAGTCTTCTTCGAAACCATCTGATTGACCTGTGGTTTGTTGCGAATGTTCTTGGCCCTAAAAGCATAGTCCAGCGTGCTGATAGTTTCCTCCAGATTGCTCTTAGCTGGGGATAATGTGGCAATGATGCAGGTCTTGGTCCGTCCTCCAAGAGAATCTTGTAATAGTCGGGTCAGTTTCGACTCTCTGTATGGAATGTGGCTGCTTTTCTCGACCAGAGCGTTGATAACCCGTCCGAGGGTGAGGAGAGATTTGTTGATCAGTCCAGCTTCCGCAGCGCGCTTGTTCTCCGCTCCAGATCTTTGGATGTTCTCTGAGCCAGCGAGGTCGACAAGATTGAGTTTTCCTGCGGAGACAAAATCCTCGCCTGCGTCCGATGTACGTTTGATGTAGACGGTGATTGTGAAGACCGTGTGCGATCGAGAGGAGAGATCATTGCACTTGGTCGCAGCTACTTGACGTTTGTGGCTTCCATCGCGTAACAGCTTGATGCCTTTTGCAGCATTTGTGATGTGGCTCTCCTCCATTCCTTGAACAAGAGTTGTAGTGCGACCGTTCTTGTTGGCCTCATCGAAGATYTTGAGCTTGGTATGGTCATCAGCCGCGAGGAGATCGCGCAACTCTTCGTTGTAGAGCTCAATGAAGGAGCATTTGACGCTGTGCTCGGTTTTTTCTGCCTCGTCCTCTCCCAGTCGAGCGAAGAGGGTATGAAGCACACGCGGGATGATGCCCGCAGCTTCAGGAATTGGAAGGGTGTCTGTAATATCTCCCGACATGGTGTATGTCTTTCCAGTCCCCGTCTGTCCATAGGCAAAGAGGGTGCAGTTGAAACCATTGAGGACTTCGTCCAGGATTGGCGAAACGACCTCTTCAAATATCATTCCTTGGTCCGCAGCGGGCGAGAAGACCTTGTCGAATTGATAGCATTTATTGCTCAGCGCACTCGGTCCCATGGATAGATCCACCTGTTTCCCCTTGATTCCGTCCGTCGAGACGACGACGCCGCTGTTTTCCTTGACCTCGCGGTCGCTGCGCCCACGGCATCGCACCACGACATTGATATTCGTCTCCTCAGTCCCGTCTGATCCCAATTCTCCAACAACTTTGCGCTTCGGGGTTCGTGCCGGTGTCCGCACCTTGGATAAGGTGACACTATCCGCGGGCGATGCTCTTCCAGTGAGGGTCGGCGTCGCAGTCTGCGCGCGATTGGGCGCCGGTCTTCCACTTGGGGGCCGCATGGTCGCTACTCTGCGCGACGACGAGCTGGTCGTACGCGAGGGAGGGCGGATGGGCATGGTCGGGCGTGCTGGTTCGCGAAAAGGTGCGCGGCACGTCGTGGGATGTTGACTCGTTTAATCAGGATTGCCCGCTGGGCGTGTTTGTTGACGCCGGTAAACATTGGCTTCTATTTCCGTCCAAGCTCCCATCTGAGCTCGTGACGCATGCTCCTCCCCCACCACATCCTCCTTCACTTATACTTCAAGCAAATACTATCTAGAGACGGGTTGGTGTTATTTTGACAGCTAGGACAAGGAGATAGAGGGACATACCAATCATCCTCGATATTATCGCCAACTCCGTATCGCCTGCGTCCCCGCAGATAGACGCCAACCCGTGATGGATTGAGGACTCCACATGACCAGCAGCTGGCATGTGATTGCGAGCCGGATACACACGATGGAAGCAGCGCCTTGACTCGACCTTCATCCTCGATTACTGTAGATCCAGCCAGACTGTTCTGTCTTTCCGTCGGAATCGCCTGCTTCGTCAACATCATGAGCTCTGATCCGCTGGCCATCGTGCCAGGCCACTCTCTCGGCTTCTTGACCCTGGGATCCTCCCTCCAAGAAGTCCTCTGTACCATCAAAGAAGACAAGACACGCTGGCCAACCATCGATATCAGCTTCTCGCAAACTAGGCCGCTCCTAACACCTGTTATTGTTGGACTACCTCAGAATGGATTGCGACTACGCTTCGATGGCAGCGACCAACGGTTACGCTTGATTGAGGTGGTGGATCCAACAAAGACAAAGATGACATTCRAAGGCAGCGAATTGGCAAAGAGGCAGGAGGAGCCCGCGGCTTTCAAGCGGATATACCAGTTGTTCGGGGCGTCCTACCCTGGCGAATACATCCAACCAGCTTCACACAGTCGCACGGGAACGTATATTCTGTCATGGCCCGGTGTCGCATTCAACTTTCCCCTGCAGCACTCCGCTTGGTCTCCTGAGAAGGATCACGTGTCACTGCTGGGCTCCCATGCTGCTCAGCCAGCGACTCACATTGCAATCTTCGAAGGCAATAGCTGGCCAGAGGCTCGAGGGTCGCTATTCGTAAAGGACCCCACTGGACCACGTACGGCTGCAGTTGCAAGTCAGCCCCGAGATCTCTTACCAGCGGAGCTAGAATGGGCGTCTATCAAGGACGCTGGCGAGATCAGTTTTTGTAGACGCCCACCCGCTCTACCATTCAACCTCGTGCTCGGCCAGACTACTCCACAAGACCTCCTCACAGAATTAGGCCCTCCAGATGCAACCCACAAACGAGAGCCGCAGTCACGTCCAGAGCAGCCCATATCAAACCGACGCGGGAGCAACGCCAAATCTCTTCAAAATGGGTTCCACTCTACGCCGCCATCAAGTTATGGCAGTACGGGGACAGACACTTTCGAAACAGACTTCCAAGATTCTGCAGATGCGGAAGACGATCCTTCTGAAAAGGCTAGTAGAGAGGTATTCTGGTGCTACTTTGGCCACGGTCTTGACATCTTAGTCGGCCCTCCGTCTGGTGCTGTCTCGGGACATGGAGGCGTGCCTGTCACACCTGTTTCCGCCAGTCCGCACCTGGTAGTGCTCAGAGTGGTCATACATGGTAACGTGCCCGGTAGCTACGCTTTCAACCGCCATCGTCGTCTGCGATGGGCACTTGATCTGCGTGGCACCAGCTCGACACTGACGTCTGAACACTCATTCGAAGAGATCCAGCCTGATTTGATGCAAGCGTTCCAGGGAACTCGATCCGATCCGGAAATTGGAAGGTGCGTGGGGGGAGTGCAGAAGAGCAGCAGTGCAACATCAAGCTAACATTTCATACAGAGGCAAAGTCGTCAATCGAAGCTGGGGCGGAGGTACGAGTGATAGCAGTTTCAACCTGCTGGACCTTGAAAAAGAAGGCATAATATCTTCCGAAGAGGTCAGCGAGGATTGGATTCGTAATACGTTTCTGCACAATCTCGGCGGTGGTCTGACCTTTGAAGTGGCGAGTAACGGGGCTATAACCGCGCTGACGATTTCTTGATGAGAAGCAATTCCGTGCAGGAGGTCCTCGTTTAGGACGAATGAGGGCTTTCCCTACAATTATGGATCTGCTTCGCTGAACAAAGACTCGTTGTGGATAGCGATGTCAACCATATCTGATGTTGTCTCGCGCCAGCATCGAGTCCGAAAGGATCATCGAGTCACTTTCCCTCTCTCTCTCTCAGATGTATCTCAGCATGCTTTCAGCAACGTTCGAACGCTGCAACAATCATAACAAAGTAAAACTCCCTCGCCCCAAACCGTAAACAATGCAAGTCCATCTCAGTGCCAGCAAAGGGGGTATCACCATTTTTCAAACAACGCCCATCCGCATCGTAATCGGACCAAAACACTCCCCCTGATCAACCCGAATCATCTGCTTCGTCCCCAGTGTAAGAATGTGTAAGAACGCCTGTGCAGCCACGATCTGACTCTGATGCGGTGGCAGCAGAGTCTCGAAATCCACACTGCCGCCCAATTCTTCATGTTCGTCATCAGACATGACGCGATGCCCGTCAGCATTCTCGATCGCGGTGCGAACGAAATCAAGAAAGTTAGCACTCTCCCCAACCAGTGTAGCACGCTGCCACTGGGATTGTTCGGCCGTTTGAGTATCGACTTGTGCGGCAGGGCCGAAGAGTTCGAATTCTTCATGATTGGTAATGTCTCCGCCACCCATGGCATAGTCGGATTCGGGATCTAGTTGAAGATCGTCGATTTCAGCGCCAACGACACCGCGGCCTGTGAGTGGGGATGCGGATACGAGACGAGTTCCGCGACGAAGAGCTTTGTCGAGTTGAGTTGCTGCTACGGAAGCTGAGGTGGCGTGGGCATCTGTGAGTCTACGGGATCCAGCGCTTTGGTTCCAGGGGAAGATGCTAGATGCTTGGCGCTCGTCGAGTGGTGTTGGGGCTTCTCGGCCTTGTTCGATTGTGTCGTCGCCCATGAGGAGAAGATTATCGTCGGACATGCCGCGAGCAATCTCGTCAGGGGATTCTTCTCCACGGGAACGGACCCGGCGACCAGTCTGGGACAAGGCATCGCCATCATCCAGCGCACGCTTCTTGCTGCCGGGTTCTAACTGGATTCCCGTGAAGGCTTCGAATAGGCGGGCTCCTGTGAACATGTCCAAAGGTCCACGCATCCCCTGACCAAGAAAATTGCTGTCCCCTAGAACCCAGTACTCTGCATTCTTCTTTGCGATGACAGCCAATTTGGTCTTTTGCTTGTTCTGACCAGCCACCCGCATGTTGGCCAGGTAGGATTTATCTCTCAAGGACAACTCTCGATTGGACAGCTGGATCGTGGAGTCGATGGGAACAATGGGCACTTTGTGAACTCTCTGTCGGCGTAAAGGTGCAGTTGCTGTCTCGGAGCTGGTCTCGTGTTGAAGCTCAGCTGCTTCTGGCATCGCTTCTGGCATCGCGACTTCAATATCGTMTTGTAGAGGCACGAAGCCGTCGTCGATGGCGTGATCAGACTGTCGAAAGTTAGAGGGTACTTTAAGATATTGAAGCCTTGATACACACCATGTGGACATTGGCATCAGCATCTCCATTGCCCTGATCTCTGCTCTCCGAACGTACGGTACTTTTCACTCCAGCAGGTGACTGGCGAATAGGTAGATCGTCAAAGTTCATCGTGCCATCTTCGCCAACAACGAAGAGGTCATCTTCCAGCATGCGTGCTGGCTTTAAGTTTGTGCCAGATTCGGAATTGCCACGAAGACCAAACAAGTCACTACCATTGACAGGCCCGCCAAGGAATGAGCTGGCAGACGGTGGTAGCATGAGCCCTCCGATGGAGTGCTGCGACGCATTCGTCGCCTGAGAGCTGTGTGGAGAGAGTGTGGACTGCGAGTCTTCGTGCAGGATGGTGCTATCGATGTTCAATTGGTCGAAGTTCAGGTTGCCCAGGTTCATATTCATCAAGTCAAGGCCAGGCATAAAGGCTGGGTCGTCTTGTAGCAGGTCGGGTCTACGAAGCGTCAGAAGGTGCGTCGAGAAAAATATGGTGTTATGACTTACTTGGCCTGCTTCTTACCCTCCGGCTGTAGCATGTTTTCCTGGTGATTTGCCTTCAACATGGCACGCATGATATTGCGGGCTGATTCGACATCTGACAGGACATATCCGCACTGCTGCTCATAGACCTTTGTAATGCCAAATCTACCTATTCGTCAGCTATTGAGCAGTTTGATTGGGAGRCCGGCAGGTTGCGTACAGCAGATTGCTCTGGAGGCGAAGAGCCATAGGAGACTCTGGGGCGAGAACGGTGGAGCATGCCTTTGACACGTCCACGTCGAGGATGGCTTTGCGTCCGACTTTCTTCACTCCCGATTTGATGCCCATTGTGGCAACAAGCCTGCAAGATTCTGTCAGCGTCTGGTGATCATTGCTTGTTCTGATTCACCACATACCAGACGGTCGCTACGCCATACTTGCGGGAGGTGAGAACCTAGGTCTCCTGTTAGTATGTTTGGTCGACGCGTGCAGACGCGTCTGATTGTACCTCGTTCGAGTAGAACATGGTGACGGCGAGAGTCGCGTCCGTGTCCACTCCCTCACAGCTGATGAGAGACGTGGTGAGAGATAGAGGTGGAGAAAGTTGCAGCGTGAGTCTAGGTGCTGATCCTGTTATTGGTGCTGCGAGTTGGGACGCGAGAAGGTGAAGTGAAATAGGGTGAAGCGGAGGCGACATCACCTCAAACTTGGGATTACAGCCCGCCAGAACTTAGCGATAGACGTACTTACAACTTCATCTTGACAGATCTCAGCATCATGGTTCAATTAGGCTGCTATACTAAGCAACGTTGAACACTGAATGTCTGCGCAGATGCTGACCTATCTCTAGGCCTTTTGCTCTTCCTCGGTGAGGACTGGCAGAGGCACGGCACGATACAGCAGAATCAGTGCGCTGTGCGTCTCGCCACCACCAGAGAGAGTCTCAATCTTCTCGCTGTCCACTTCCTGCACCTTGTCATCGTTAAACCACCACCACTTGCCATCTTCTTCCTTGCCAGGCGCTGCGGCCTTCTTGACGTAGGCAGTGTAGTGACCAGAGTCGGCCGACGAGCCCTGGTGAGTCACCAGACCCCTCAGTTCATACAGTCCAGACTGGTTTGCCTCGGGGTCCTTGGCAAGATCGGGGTGAACGAGCGACAGCAACTCCTTCTTCGCGGCGAGAATGGCAGCAGCCCTCTCCGCCTCAATCTCGTCATCCGTCTTGTACTTCTCCTCCGTGCCGCTCATTGCAGTGTCTTCGCTAGCACCCGCAGCTTTCTTGTCCGCCGCAAGCTCAGCCTCCGATTCGGGCCCCTTGGCCTTCAGCTCCCTCTCCCGTTCCTTGTCCTTCTTCTTCTGGAGTGGTTCATCGGCTCGAACATTGCTGTCACCATTCTGCTCCTGCTCCTTTTGCATCCGCTTCTGACGCTTCTTAGCCCGCTCGATATCCTCCGCATCCTTCCGCACTTCACGAATCTTGTCTCGAACCGGGACTAGTTTCTTCCGCAGCTCGTCGGTACAGAACTCGGTGACATCAATCTCGTGTTGGAAGGTCACCTTGCGCAGAATCTTCGCCTTCTTTCCAGTATCCTTGCGCCAGAAGAATCGAATAAARTGAATCGGCATGTATTTTGGAAGTCGAGAGATGCGAGATTGGCGAGAATAGATTGCAGTGCGGCCCAGAGTCGGTGATGTCTTCTCAATCTTCTCGTTCAATGCGATACTGATTCCTTCTCGCATGTGGTTTGTCTCTCCTTGGATGTTGCACTTAAGATCGTTGAAGGCTTCAGTGTTAGTGATAGCCTCCTCCTCCGGAGCATCATCGCAGGTCATTTTGACTTCGAACTTGCCACCCATGTACTTGTCCACCCATGTCTTGAAGCCTTGAGAAGCAGATTCAGGGTCCTTCAGCTGGAGCGACTGACCGAGAGTAGAGATGAGCTGCGACCAGACTTCCTCGGCGTCCTGCTGCGCGAAACCTTGTCCATTCTTCGCCCGCTCGGCAAATTGGGGAAACTTCTGGCGGAGTGTCGTTAGAAACATGAGAGGTGGGAAGCCCTGCTGAGTCTCGGCCATCTGGCGATAGAGATCTCCAAGGGCAGACGTGAGGTCATTGCCACCACCCAGGCCTCCAATGCCGTGTTGTGCGAGCTGATCTGCAGAGAACAACGACGATGATGGGCCCGCAGTCGGCGCGCTTGGCCTGTATGTGCGTAACTCCTCGAGCAGCTCTGGCACTGCACGAAGTGTCTGCAATGTGGCGTTTGCGTAGCAAGTGTTGCCCATATTCTGCAACCCAGCGGGAATGGCACCCGACTGCTGTGCAAGCTCAGCCTCCGTCATGTCCTCGGCGWACTTCATCTTCTCTTTCGGCGCCTCTGATACCACGTTCGCTGACGGTGCGCCGATCAACGTAATCGTGGCGCCCGCTTTCAAGCCCAATGAAGAGAGCGGTGTATCATCCTTCACGATCTTCTTCGCTAGAACTTTCTGGTTCTCGGGCTCGACGTTCGTGAGGGAGTACAGCTGCATCTTGAGCTCCTCGCCTGTACCATTTGGTGAAATGTCCAGGTCATACACTTTGCCCGAGTGCTTGACTTTGATCGGTATGTCCGCCATGTTTGCGGTGGTTGTTCAGGTCGTGGTCGGAAAGATTGTGCTCGAATGCGCAGATGTGCCTTGATGCTTCGTCGTGGGGCAAAGGAAACGGAATGGAAAGCGATGGAAGTCGTTCGTCAAGACGTGGGTAGGTGCAAGCGGCGGCGATCATTATTGACTAACCGCACGTGTCACGCTAGTCTTGCCAGGTGAAGTCAATCACAGAATAATGTGTGCTTGAGATATGCAACATCACATTTTCTGTTGAAAGGTCGTCAGATTGCATAAACTACCATTTCCCGAGACTGGTATGATCGATCAGAGAGACCGATGATTTTGTCTGCTATTCATATTGCTATGTCATCGATAAAGCACAGAAGAATACTTTGAACATGTGTTCCCTCCATAACGCTGGGTGGGGTGGACAACTCGAGCGCATCAAGCTCTACCGAGTCTGCRACTCCTAAAGAGCCGGACGTTCATAACACCAGAGCTCAACCCTCGCACTGGAATGCTTAGCTTCACTCAGGATGTTGGCATATGCCAAATGCATAGTACTGCTCGCTACCCCAACCCTAACCCTAGAACAAGTCGCTGAAGATYGACGGTCGTAAGATAACCGATACAGATGGTATTGACAGGGTGGAGCTTGGTACAGCAACCAGCGGCCCCGACGTTTCTCGATCTGGTAGTCACGAAGTCGCTGTGTCGTCATTACTCTCGATCAGACCTAAAGCAACCATACCCCTTTACTACGCTCATCTCATTCACCGTGGACGGCCTGGCTTTGAAATTCCACCCAGCCAGGTGCTTTGAAATAAAGGTAACAGAGGMTCCTTCTCTCCGCCAGTGAYAGGCGCCAATAGATCCAGCTCACTGACAACAGGGCCCGTGAATATCTCATCTACCAGGTTCAGATGGCCATACTGCTCGATTGGCTCAATGTATCGCATCGAGATGTGCCGCTGCCATTCTTCGTCCGGAAGGGCCGAAAGGAAGCCCAGGATGTCGGCCCTGTAGATGTTGTGACCACCACCTTCGAGATTTGGCTTCAGCAAGTGGTCTTTTTGCGGTTGCTGGAATCAGTGCTCGCTTTCGTGCTGTTTGACCTTCGGGGGAAGGGTCGAGAACGTGCATGGGAACAKAAGTCCTTTGTGTGCGTACAGCTTGTTGTGCTGGAAGAAAGAGTTCCACAGCTCCAGGGCAAGCCAGTGCTGCTTGATTGTAGAATGACCCTTATAGGTAGCGTCCTGACAGTACTCCCTTCGCGCAAAAGGAGGTGTTAGATTGCAGTACATACCCGTGTACGAGGTGTAGCAAACAGTTGGTATACGACACTCACTTCGTGTAATCGAGTGCCATTGCGAAACGGCAGCGATCGATCTGAGGGAATAGTCAGACTAGTGCTTTCCGGCGATGCCTCCCATTCGTATCGGTAGCAAGGAACATTGCTGTCCCACAGCCCGCACTCAATCGGCCGTTCATCTGTAATATTGAAGCTCAACGGTTGTACGATCATGAGCACGCAATGTACGGTGAGCATTGAAGGTGTGTAGTGTCAATGAGCTTACAATATCACCCCAACGATAGACGAAATATTATCGTTCTTCGGTATGTCCATAGAGTAGTCATCGTCTTCTCCAAAGTTGGCAAAATATATTGGATGCATATGGAGGTGCATTTCGGCGGTCCGTTGTGCATGATAAGCTCGAACAACTGAGAATGTGTTCAACCCGACTTGCTCGATGCCGGAGCTTTGCGACATGAAGTCTGATCTGAAGTCGGATCTGAAGACGCCACAGATGATGTCCTGAGCTGAGCAAGCCTTCCTGGTCTCAATCGGAATATCCCACAAGGTACCGCAGAGATGATCATGCTCGAACAACGGGGTGATCACTCTAGAAGGCTACTCGAAGTCGGTCGCTGCACGGAGGAAGAGCACGTTGCAAATCGTTTGAAGAACATCTGCTTCTTCGAAATCTCGTCGACGCAAGATCCTGGGTAAAGGCCAACATTTACAGGTCGCGCATGAACTGCAGACGAGGTCTCAAACCTTACAAGCTTCAACCGCGAGCCGTGGTTGGTTTGCCAGTCCTGGATTTCAGATACCAGTCTCTCAATCACATCTTCTGCAATGTCGATAGTCGCGGCTTGGCCTTCCATGATGGTCAGAATGTGATGAGATGGTACGGAGACGCAGCCTTGTGGGTCTCTGGCAGCGAGTGTGGTTGCACAGAGATGTAATTGGGACGAGATGCTCCAAAGCTAGTGGAAGACGCTGTACGGTTGACGCCTCCTTTGTGCCCCTGTCCGATTGGTATTGAGATTCGTTGCGCTGGAAGATGGTCAATACGGGTACGACTCGAATCATCGAGGACTGGTGATGCAATGTGGCATGCTGGGTAGGATACCGCTGGCAGATATTGTGCGTATGATCATTGCTGTCGGCCGATATTCGCAGGCCGTTATTACCAAAGTTCGAATGTCTTATTTTTATTCCCCACCTGTAGGAGGACCTCGGCTACAGTCGGGTTTGACCGGTGTCGGGCGTTGATMTTGGAAGGAAAGGCAGATAGCTGAAGCTGCAGCAGGAGAGCAATAAAAACATTGGATAGTTTCTCAGCATTTCACTGGGAATTCCATCCTCAATACAGACAGCAATGTCCTCTCTTGCCGCCCGCAGCATCCTTCGATCGTCGCGAGGACTCCGCCGTAGCAACGCTCCCTTGTGCAGCTCGCCGAGACTGCTAGGCCAGCAGCAGCAGAAATTCCAGCTCCAGCAGCAGAACAGCAGTTTGCAATACACCCGCGCCTTTTCCACCACCATGGCCGCACGCTCGGGAGCACCGCCGCCAGCCAAGGCACCTGCCTACGATCAGGAGATTCAGGACATGGCCAGCTACATCCACAACTACAAGATTGACTCGGAGCTTGCCATTGACACGGCACGCTTCGTCTTCCTTGACACGCTCGGCTGCGGCCTCAAGGCGCTCGAGTTCCCCTCGTGCACCAAGCTGCTCGGCCCCGTTGTGCCTGGAACCACCGTTCCCAATGGCACCCGCGTTCCCGGCACGCCGTACGTGCTCGACCCCATCAGCGGAGCCTTCAACATTGGAGCCATGATCCGCTGGTTGGACTTCAACGACTGCTGGCTTGCGGCCGAGTGGGGACACCCCTCGGACAACCTGGGCGCCATTCTCGCTGTTGCCGACTGGATGAACCGCACCAACAAGTCTGGCGCGCAGAAGAWCAACAACGGCAAGACCTTTACCGTCCAGGACGTGCTTGAGGGCATGATCAAGGCACACGAGATCCAGGGCTGCTTGGCGCTGGAGAACAGCTTCAACAAGGTCGGACTCGACCACGTTGTGCTCGTCAAGGTCGCCTCCACCGCCGTCGTCTCGCAGATGCTCGGTCTCAACGAGGAGCAGACCCGTGCTGCCATCTCCCAGGCTTGGGTCGATGGCCAGAGCATGCGAACCTACCGTCACACCCCCAACACCATGTCCCGCAAGTCGTGGGCCGCTGGTGATGCTTGCCAGCGTGCCGTCGACATGTGCTTCAAGGTCCTCAAGGGCGAGGGTGGTCTTGCGACTGTCCTGTCCACCCCAACCTGGGGATTCTACGACGTCAACTTTGGCGGCAAAAAGTTCGAGTTCCAGCGCGAGTACGGCTCTTACGTCATGGAGAACGTGCTCTTCAAGGTCTCCTACCCGGCCGAGTTCCACTCGCAGACTGCCGTTGAGGCTTCGGAGAAGATCTTCCACAAGCTGAAGAAGATGGGCAAGTCGGCCGAGGACATTGAGGAGATCACCAACCGCACACACGAGGCCTGCATTCGCATCATTGACAAGCAGTTCAAGCCCATGGACAACTACGCTGACCGTGACCACTGTGTCCAGTACATGTGCTCTGTCATGCTCGTCTACGGACGCTTGACTGCCGACGACTACACTGACGGTGGTGAGGCTGCCACCAGCCCACTTGTTGAGAGTCTCAGACAACGTATTGCCTGCAAGGAGGACCCCAAGTTCACCGAGGACTACCACAACCCAGAGAAGCGTACCATCTCCAACGCATTGACYGTGAAGCTGAAGGATGGCACTGTTCTTGAGGAGGAGGTTGTTGAGGCCCCACTCGGACACCGACTCCGAAGAGAAGAGGCCAAGCCCATCATCTTGGCGAAGTACGCCCGTCACATCGAGCCACACTTCCCCAAGGACCACGTAAAGAAGTTGGTCGACCTGGGCAACGACCCAGCTGCCCTGTACAAGACACCCGTGGATGAGTACATGGATCTGTACGTCAAGGAGAAGATTTTGTAAATAGAGTAGGCACAGTGTTATCTATCAGGGAAGTACAGGACAGCGTTATTGTAGAGCGTGTAAACCATGCTGCATTTACTGTCCCAAGATCTTCGCAGCGCTTTCTAGCCAACGTCTATAAAGTCAATAAGGAGGAGCAATCATCACAGGTTCCCGCTTCGGTCGTGCACTCGCAGTCTTGAGCGTTGCCAACACACTCTTCATGTCGAGCGGGTCCGCCTGATCAGGTCTGTCGTCGAGCTGTACTCGCAGCGGTACCGTTTTCCTCCCGCTCACAATATCGTCCAAGTCCTTTGCGGTTACCCGCGCTTTGCTGCGTTCGGCAGTCCCATTGCTGGAGTTGCGGCTGGAACTTATTCGTTTATCAGCTGGGTATGGCAGCATGAGTAGTTGAGGATGGCTCTGATGACTGTTGGTGATGGAAGCCGCTGGTTTCGCCTTTTCCACCAGCCGCTGAATGCAGTCCTCGGCTTCGAAATCGAGCAGGTTCTCATCTGTGTCGTCTGACTCGTAACGGGCCCAGRCTTGAAGGGCATTTCGGTATGCATTCCTTACTTCTTCGCTGGGGTCACGCATGAGCCATTGAGTTCCCTCCCAGACTCCGATGGGCACGCGATGTCGAGTGTTGACGGTCGATGTTGTTGTGGATTTGGAGTTTGCAAATTCGATGATGCGAGCGACCATCTCAAGCGCAACTCGTCGTGCTTCGTCGGATGTGAAGTATGAGCTCTTGGTACTTCCTGGTTTCGTACGTGCGGTAGATGGTACTGCTGTGACATCATTTGATTCATTCAGCGCTGCCCTATGCCCGTTCAGGAAGCTCCGTCCGTTGTCCAATGGATATGCCTTGACCCTTATCAATATGGCGGCAATTTGATCGCGCACTTGATCCGCATAGTAGACGTGAGAAGCGAGGAGAGCAATGCAGTCTTTCATACGTTCGATCAATGTTTCATTTTGACCAGTGCTCGACATCGTGGCAAGCCGAATGATATGGTCGAGGAGTCGAAGCATCACATCCATGACCGAGAGACCGATAAAATTGAGATCATCAGCTCGTAGTACGCCATTGATCATCTCAATGAAAGTTCCATGAAGATCAAGTTGGCTGGTTTTGTCCGCATTCTGAGTTTCGGTTTCAAGGACGTCGACCGRAAGCCTGTAGAGGTGCTCAACGGCAATGACAAGTACGATGAATCGATTCTGAACGGTCGTCCATGTGGTAACCAGGCGGAAGAGAAAGGGCATCTCCTTGAATACCGTGGCGGCAGTGTTGGGACGCTGGGCTTCTTCGTCAACGAACTTGAAAAGTGCGATCGCTCCACCTCTGATTTGCGTAGGAATATCGGTGTTGAAAATGGCTTCGATACCTATAGCATGTGGCATAATAGTCAGCACATGCGCATGTTGAGTCGAAACAAAACGCCACAATCTGTGCAGATGTTGCAGGAGTCGAYCTACACTCGAGCGCAAGCAAACCAACTTCATCCTCTTGAAGTCGATCGGCTTCCTGAGCAGTCCCTTCAGCGKCGCGAGGGTCCGGCTGTGGTTCATCGTGTGAGAACGTGCGATTATGTGCCATGCTTTGTCTGAAGTGAACGATTCAAAAAGTCAGCAGCGTCTCGAGAATATGCTAGCAAAGCATTCGAGGATGAACGTATGGCTTAATCAAACATTCTTTCACTGACCTGCGATTCGCTGCCTTGGATCTCTCCTTTTCTTCGTCGGCTTCGTCCCTCAGGACACTGAGATGTTTGACATATGAATCTCGATGCTCGCTACGCAAGTTGGTGAGTACTGCCGCAAAGGACTTGTCGAATCGGTTGTTCCAGCTGCGCTCCACGTTCGCTGGCATAAAAAGGCTTTTGAAGGCTGTGACCCCAACTTTTCGAACACGCATAGCATCATGCTGCGCGACTGCCTGTGTGGACCTGCCGATCTTCTTGGAGTTGTTTTCAGCAAGGTTGCCATACAAGGCCACAACTTCGTCAAATAGCGCCCGATACTCAGAGTCCGCTGCTAACGCAAGGCAGTCTTGATATTGTGTGAAGACATCCCATAGGTTGGTGGTCGCCTCCATCAGAGCAATGTCGTTTGTGTTTAAAATGACCTCGCGAATAATGCGGAGAACCTTGAATAAATTAGCGGATATGACTTGGCGAACTTTCCAATGGCATACCGTAGGAGCTAGCATCGCAAAAGACTGCTGCCGGTGGATTTCTGGATGCTCCAGCATCGCGGTCAAGATTTGCAGCGTTACATGAACGCGCGCACTCTGCCAGTGCGAGACATCGGACACGGTCTTCTTCTCGAGGAAATCACCGACCTTTGGCAGTTTGTGCTGTCGTGTCGAGGCATAATAGAGCAGATATGCCAGYTCGGAGCTATTAGGTGCTGCATCTGCGGTGGAGTTTTTGGGTAATCTGGGATAGCATTTTTCTACGAGCTGCTGATGCTTTGGATGGAATTTCTGCTTGGAAGGGAGCATCTTGGGCCAGCACATCGACTAGTAGGTGTGTATCTTCGCGGCGACAAGTTGCATACTGCGATTTGATGCTGGGTAGGCGAGTATGTTATCTTGTACACGATACTTGCTGATGGAGACGTGAGCGAAAGTGGGATTCCAGAAAGCATGCGAGATGTSCAGGCAGATCACAGTTAGTGTCACACGAAGCAATCATAGGTGTGTGTAAGGTAGTCGATCGAGGTGAAGTCCACGTGCAATCGTCAGCCGAAGGACAGGAGCGATCCTGATGACGTTATTGCTGCCTGAACTCAAATATCCAAAAAATAGGTACTCATTTCAACCCCTCCGAAACAGTTACTGTACCTTACCCCTCCTATCTTCCTTTCTACACACACATCAAACACATCAAGTATTCAAAGTACAAGGACAGCTTCGACGCGCACGTCCTCAATGAATTTGTTATTCCTTCCTCGTGGATAAGATTCACCCGTATACGATAGCACTACCGAAGAAGACGGTCTGGCGTCAACGCTCTTCAATACCAGCCAAGTTTGCATTGTGCATCCCGGTTCCATGCATCGCCGTGAATCTGGCCAGGACCKCACTCATATTATTTACAAGCTTCGACCTTCATTGGATTGGCTCCATTCATGACACGACGAAACTCTACATTGACCTTTTAGCTCAATCTCCAAGTTTCTTAGCGACCGCAGGGAGACTTTTGGGGAATAACAAGATGTCTAGCCTTGTCATCAGTGAGTCCCAAAAATCTGGTGATACTCGTATGGCGAGATCCAAGCAAACTGTAAACCAGTAGGTGCTTGCCCTGGCGGAACATATGCTATGTATGCTGTGCGCATCGGCAGTTCGCAGTCCCTCAACTGCCGGCTCCAGGGCCCGTCAGCAATGAGCATACGAATGAGATCCTCTTGACACGTTCCTACTATTTCCATTCGTACAAAGGCGTGAGCAAAGTAGCATCTGCCGATTTTTTGCATCTGCCGCGCTTTGGTGAGCTGTGGCACAGAAGCATAACAACCCGGCAGTTGAAGATCTGCATACTCCGCACATGGTAGAACTATGTCTGGTCATGCTACAACTATATCGTGTTTTTGATCATTCTCCTTTGGTTGACCTTTACCCAGTCATTCAACATACGCTTCTCTTCGAACATGCATACCGAAGGGGTTATCCTATCCTTGCTATGCGGCTACTGGCCCGTCATCCTCCTTTCAGCCTGCGCTTGCTGGGCAATCAATAACAAGTATCACAACCGCCTGAACAAATATCCATCCGCACATTGGTTGGCCTCATACACAGACTGGTGGCGATTCTTCGATGCTGCAGGCCGCGCAACAGAAAGAACTCATATTGCCGCCCACAGGAAGCATGGGGACATTGTTCGCCTTGGACCCAATGTGTTGTCCTTCGCCGACCCTCGGTGCATCCGCATAATTTATGGACTGAACAAGGGCCTCACCAAATCGGATTTCTATCCTGTCCAACAAGCGGTGGCCAAGGGAGTGCCGCTACAATCGCTCTTCTCCACCAAGGACGAAACGTACCATGCCAGATACCGACGTTGCGTCAACTCCGCCTTTTCCATGTCGTCCTTGGTCGAGTACGAACCGCTGGTGGATAGCTCTTTGAATGCATTTGTAGAGCAGACAAGAAAACGCTATTGCGAGACAGATCGCGTCTGCAAATTCTCGCAGTGGTTGCAGTTCTTCGCTTTCGATGTGATAGGAGAGCTCACCTGGAGCAAGCGACTGGGGTTTGTGGAACGAGATGAGGATGTCGATGGTATTGTCGCATTCGTTCAGAGCTTCCTAAAGTACTCAGGACCCATCGGCCAGCTGCCAATACTCGACTCTCTCCTGCAGAAGAATCCCATAAGGGTTGGTGGGCTGTGAAGAATTTTGATAGATGATCTCTGACTGACACGTCGCAGCTACAACTGCAGAAATGGGGAATCGACAAAAAAGTTTTCGCAGTTACGAAATTTGCTCTTCAACAAGCAGCAGATAGATCGGGCGAGAAGAGTCGAAGCCCAGCGGACGCTCAGCCGGGCGATAGAGTCGATCTCTACAGCAAGTAAGGGTAATGACAGAGGAACGATATGAGAAGGCGCTGACCTGATGTGAATCACAAAGGTTCCTACAGGCTCAACGCGATCATCCTGATACCATGACTGACAAACAGGTGCTCTCGTCCTGCACAAGCATGATTTTCGCAGGTCAGCCTCCTCGTCGCACGCAACGTGCTGTGTGGATGGTTTCTCAGCAAGAACTAACAATCATTAGGCTCAGAAACAACGGCCATCAGCTTGAGCAGCGTATTCACAAACCTACTGCGTTCCCCAAAATCATACAAGAAGCTCATGCAAGAACTCGACCTCGCAGCCAGTAATGGAACAATCGAGAACAGGGAGAACAAGCGAGTAACCTGGTCCGAAAGTATCAAATTACCCTACCTAGACGCCGTCATCCAGKAGTCCTTCCGAATGCATCCCGCGGCAGGTTTGATCCTCGAGCGAGTCGTCCCGCCACRAGGGATGGATATCTTAGGAGAGCAAATCCCCGGCGGGACAATTGTCGGCTGTAATGCATGGGTATTACATCGTAGAGAGGAGATTTTCGGCTCTGATGTCGACATTTTCCGCCCTGAGCGCTGGCTTGAGGCTGGGCCTGAACAGCTGAAAGAGATGGTAGGTTTTTGATAATCAAACCCATGTGTGCACCTCCCCATTTGCGAGACCAAGTAAAGCTGACAATCGATGTACCTGTGTAGAAGTCATCCATGTTCCAATYTGGTGCCGGAGCACGCACATGTATCGGGAAAAAGTGAGTATAAACGAGAAAACCCACTTTCACCTCTGACATGACAATATCAACTGCCAAGCTTGCCATGGGAGAAACGTTGGTTTTTATGAGTTATCCTGCTAACTTCTACATTTCCCACAACCAGTATATCTCTCCTAGAAATCTACAAGCTTGTGCCGACTTTCCTAAGGAATTTTGAGGTGGAAATGATACAAGCTCCCAAGACGATGAATGCTTTTTTCGTCAGTATTGATTGCCACACCAAATTTCGAGCGAGGAAATCGGACATAGCATGAGAGTAACAGCTAAGGTATCGGGTAAGGTACTTTGAATTGCAATTCATACCAGCCTACAAGCGGCACGAACCCGATCTCCAGGACTCTTTCTACCTTTGTGCATTTCAAGTAATCTCCGCCAGTGCTGTTGCTCGTCTTTGATATCTACACTTGGTACTTGCGCATTTGCAGACCTATCACAAGAAATGATTAGTCTCGTGGCTTCCAAATGGAAAAGTACTGTAGGCAATATACCTTATCTGTAGCAAAAAACAAGACAAAGTTAGCATAGCTCTCTCACTAAGCTCAAGAAAACATCAATTAAATGCACAACTCACCGAGATCTCTCCAATAAGTATCCGAGTAATCAACAGTAATCTCCTCACCTAAATTCCAGGAAAAAAGCGCACAATTAGTTGCTGCCATATTCCACAGACGCGCACGTCGGAACCCCTACAACTTACCAGCTTCAATACCTTTAGACACCAACACGATTCCTAAGTAAAGACATATCTGAATCAGCATGACATACATACTTGGACTTTCTCTCTCTCTTCTCTCTCTCGCTTCAGCCATCATCATCATCATGATTTTTTCTTACTTACTTTGTGTGCCACGCCAGATGAATCTTTCGAATTGGCTATTGGGGGAACAGGAGTGGTTTATGAATTTCGTGTGGTTGCCTGTGAGGGTTTTGTTGAGTAAGTAAGTAAGTAAGTAAGTAAGTAAGTGTCTGAATAGAACTACGCAGGAGTATGGATTGGGTGTGGGTGGGGTTTGCACAAAGTAAAGTTTAGGGAGTTGGGGCAATGGGAAGATATATTCTTGGGATTATCATTGCTGATTGAATTTGAATTTTGACTGACATACCTTGCTTGCCTTGCCAGATTTGATAGGCTGCTTTATCGGTTTCTCCTACCATGACGTCTAGGCTGTTTGTTTATCCAAACGTCAGTAAAAGACTTCCCGATCTTGTGCTGGACTTATCACTCCGAGAGCGTCGGCCAAGTCCTACTTACTTGGAAAGACCTAGAAGTACAGTAAAAAGTGTCAGTTGCAAGATCCTAATAAACAAGACTTCCAGTCCAGCTAGCTCACCACTAGTAATTTCCCCCACAAATTCCCCCACAGAAGCCCCCCTTTCAAAAGCACAACAAGCCAACAAACCATTATTCTTGCCATTAGCTGTCTGGAAAACCTGCACAGCCACATTTCCAGGTAATTTTGCCCCGCCGAAGAGATTGGGAAAACACATGCAATGGTTAGTATGTGGTTCATCGGCTTGAATCTCCCCGCATGCAAGACAACATGTCTGAGAAGCCCCCGCCGGGTCGGCATTTAAAGAAGTTGTTACTGTTCGGGGATCGAAAAGACCCCAGACTTCTTCGTTGATTGTGCATTCTTCTAGATGCTGGTAGGTGAAATTTGCATCCCATTTGTGATAGGTGCTTGCTAAGGGTAGGGCTTGGTTTCCTGGGCCGCAGACTACCCCTGGAAGAAGAAATGGTTAGAGGGGGATGATGAAGGAGTTGTGAGGCCCGCTGAGGGGGTTTGTTGAGACTTACAGTCGTGGGGATGACCTTCGTATATTCGTTCGGTTGATTCGCCTGCAATGGCCAATAGTGTTCTCCAAGTGGGATGTAAGGTGTCTGCAGCGACCTGGAAGCAAGGAAAGAATCAGCGGTCGTTCTTGAATGTGAAAGTCGCAAAAGCGTTATCTGCGATGCTGAGTTGAGGAGCACTCTGCTCTGTGCGTCTCTTGTAATTGATAAAACTTACTTCAAATCGATGCTTCAACGCGCGTAGTGTGGAAAAAGTCTCCTCTGTAAAGGCCACTCGATACTTGGCGAAACGATAAAGACCCATACCGGCAAACACCAGTGCAGCCCATCCGCCAGCCCGCTTTATCTCGGCATAACCACGCCAAACGGCCATTCGATTCCTAATCTCCTTGTCGCTCCAGCCAAAGTGCGTGCAAGCCTCGGAGAGAGCCGTCTTTTTGGCCTTTTCTTTGGATGTGGTCATACTCAGCTCCGCGACTCGATCGTCAAAGGCATCCACCCAATGTGCCTGAACGATGACTTCCAGCGATCGACAGACCTTGGAAGTCTGGGTGATCTTGCGAGCGAGAACGGTCATCTTTCCAAACTTCTCCAGCACAAGGGAATCACTATGATTTTGCAGACCCGTTTCGGTATCTGTCAGGAGACGAGGCTGTCCACCAAGCTCGATTGCTTGCCACTGCTCGATGACCTCGCCTGGATCCAGTCGATTGCCGGAGAAGATGGACTCCCATATGCCATTGATGAATTTGGAGAAGGTGCTAGGCTGCAAACTTGGGGTGTCTGGTAATCGTTTTTTTCGCTGGGGAAAGAATCTCACATCACTCTCAAGCCTTCTGACAGCAGTACTTGGCTTAGTGGCGGCAGATGTGGTCAAACTCAAGCCGCCTATGGCACGCCGTTTCGCAGGTCTCGCGTTGTGGTCGGATGTTGGCGCCAGAGCACTTGAGGGCCTGCCTCGTGCAGTATTCGTTGGAGAGACGGACGCTTCATACCCATTGTGAGGATTTGAGCTTGGGTCTGCCTCGTCAATGCCAGCATTATTACCATTACCAGGAGTTTGGCGGAGAATGGTGGCAATGTCGATTGATGCAACTTTACGGCATTGGGTGCCCGGATAGTTGCTAACCAGGTTGCATTCCAGTTGGAAGCCCTCGTGACCAGAGGTGGACGTCTCTAGAAGTTGTCGGACGGATACTGCTATCTCGCGGGCCAGTTTGTCGACATCAATGGAATGGAAAGCCATGATCCCCCGGGGGATACAAGCACAGCTACCTTATAGGGATGGATTGACTGACGCCCGGCAGGTGGAATCAATGCGTGAATAGATTGATGTACAACATGACACGCCGATCAAGAGCCATTGAGAGCAAGGAAAGGCAAAATGCTCTCTCTCCTGCCGCGAGCCTTATCCCCGTCGTCGTCGTCGTCGTCGTCGTGACGAAGGGATTGCCAAGAAGGGCGTGACGCCGTGCCCGAATCTCAGCCGAAGTTGAGCCACAATTTGACATATCCCTCGCCAATCAACACTTCCAAGTTCATCACATCAACCTTTCATCTCCTCATCTCCAACTAGTTACCTTACCTTCTCAAGCATCATCACTCTCGTCTGGGATCACATTCATCAGAAGAATTTTATGAGGCCGACAGAATCGAGCATCAGCCATTCCAGTCCATGATCCATGCGGCTGAATCGCAACAGAATGGAACCAAACTTCCGATTGGACTGGAAAGAGCTATGAGGCAGGTGCACTTCTACTTCTTTGGTATACATGCTCCGGCTTTTCGCGGGCATCAATCGGCTCTACAATTCCAACACATTGAGCCGACGTTTCTGGGATAATTCGGAAGTTTGCAGCATGGTTATTATCGTCACACCGATCAGCGGATCACTGCCTTCTACTAAATTGGGATGCAAATCGTATCCTTATCTGCAATATTTCAGCCTTGGTCGACGCTCCCCTGATAAAACGCATGACGAGACGGGCTGTAGGAATGCATTGCCTCTGCCTAGTTCATGCCGTTTGAACCCTTGAGGATTCCAACATCAGAGATTTTCGCCGACGAATAAGTGCAATCTGAGTGTGAACAGAGGAACGATACCTTTTCAATCCGCAGGTTGAACGGTGTGTTGCCTGCTACGGCAAGACTTGAGCCGCACACCACTATACCAGCTCATGCCGCATTCCAGCACACACATCAATCTCCCTTGCYTGCTCGGAGCACGTTGCACAGCATATGCTCTGGACCTCTATCCTATGCTCTGGACCTCCCTCCGTCTACAGGTGTGTCCTGTATAGCGCGGCTAATCCACGAGTCTAGGCTGGACCGAGCCCCATCTGGAAAGCTGCAGCGGTACAGATGCGGTGAGATCAGGACGTCCGGCTGGTCAGTATGTTGTAGAATGTGATATGTAGTAAACAGCTCTTCTGGCACCGGGCCCTACACATTTCCAATCACCACAGAGCCCCGCCCCTTCCTGTCACAAAATATCAGCCTGCCCATGCGAATAGATGAACTCGACGTATGTGCAAACCGAAGAAGAGCAGCGACAATGGCTGTCGACCCTTGCATACGACCCAAGTTTTGATGCTGGCGCCCCTGTTGATGGCTTTAGTCATACCGAGGTTCGATACTGTCCGAGCGGGTATCCAGATTACTTTTGTCCGCGTCTGGAGTATCCTCGTCCCCACGTGTATGGCGCATACGAAACCTTGGATCAACAGCAGGCCTGTTGGATATGGAACAACTTCAATCTGGAATCCAAGGCATCCCACTTGGAGGGTGATCTCAATGGCAGCTCTTCACCCCCGTGGTCGAATCCTGAGATATCTACGCACTCGAATGTTGCATTTCCAACCCCACTGAATTATCAACAAATCTCGCCACGAGCCTACCTGGACCAAGCTTCACAGGTAGTACAAGCATACAGAGACAACARCATTGCGTCACAGGATAGCAACGAGCAGAACTCGACCATCAGCGTAGCTCCAGGTTCATCATTGAATACTGCCGAGTTTGTTGATTCCCCCGTCGTGCTAGAGCGCAAAATCTTCCAGCCATCGATGGAAGTCGATGCAGATGGCGAGACACCTCGTCCGCAGAGCCCCAAATGGGTGGGAGACGAATACACAGCGTCATGGATTCGTGGAAGCGGCACTGAAAGGGTCGGATGGTGCGGTTTCTGCCCTACGTGGCATAGACTCAAGGATTCTGCCTACTGGTATCATGTATGTGAGCTCCAAAGTTCGTTATATTCTCATACTGATCATCGAGGACTTCTAGATGCACTATTCCCATGGCATCAGTTGTGTGACGGGCAGACCATTCAAAGGTTCGCACTACAAACTACCTCTCACCGGAATAAATCTCTGGGAATGAGAACTGAACTGATCATCCGTGTATAGAACCCAAATGCTGGCGTCAAAAACAAGGAATAACCGCTTTCGAAGCTCTATGCGGCACATGTGAGAAATGGGTATATATTGGAAAACTCGATCGATGGCGGACTCCATATTTTCGTCACGGTGAGTATGATGAACATCTCTTCTTTTTCATATTTCGAGTAGTGCGCTGACCGTGGTGGTGTTCGAAACTTCTAGCCTATAAATGTCAAATGAAGAAACTTCCTAAAAGGACTACGAGCGGGATCCGAAGTAAGAGTAGTTCGCCTACTACGGGTCAAGGCTAAGATGGCTATACGGTCTGATAGCTGTTGAATTCTTGCTTGTCGCATTGGACTACTCTATGGAGCTGAGATGTTTTTGTGGTTTGTTGCAGCGTTTGATCGTACCTTTGTTGATGCACTGTTGAAGCTTTTCAAGTATGCACCACTCTGTTGTTGAAGAAGATGAAATATCACCGATCATAATTACCGAATGTAACATCCATAGTGGTAGATACCTACTAGGTACTGTACTGTTAGACATTTTCGAAAGCGATTGATCGAGAACATGTTCTCGGATCACAATGTTTCGTCGTCCTCACGATGTTTCAGTCGTCAGAGATCATCGGCATGCTGTCTGTCAAACTGCAAGGATGTAACCACCATTCTTGATATTCTCGACATACGTTCGTCCCGAGACCAAGATCTTCTAGTTGCCTTGCCACTGTACCCCACCAGACGGTAAACCACTATACATCCACATTGCAGCCCTGCCTCATACGAATAGCACATGCAAAATGCGCTCAACCAAGAAGATCTCCAAGCTGATCCACATAAGCACTAGGAACAACAGTAGCACCCTCCTTAATAAACTCCTCCTTCTTACTAATGCCCGTCAACACAGCCAAAGTCCCCCCCAAACCCCCCYCAATCCCAAATTGAATATCAGTATTCAGACGATCGCCAACCATACAAGCCTTCTTCCGATCAAATAGGAATTTCCCCTCCACAGCATCCATCATAGCTTGACTGGGTTTTCCCAACGCCAAAGGTTCTCTACCAACGGCTTTGGAAAGTGCCGCACCGCTGGATCCAGCGCCTGGGAAGAGAGATCCGGCTTGGGGAAGTGTCGAGTCGATGTTTGTTGCTAGGAAATGTGCGCCGTTGCGGACGTATGCGAAACCGAGGGAGTATTTGAGGTAGCTGGGGTGGAAATCTAGACCGGTTAATACTACTCCGACGTCTTTGTCGAGAAGGGTTCCGTCGGCTATGCCTTGGAAATCTTCGTCTGTGATGTCTCGACGGAAAGCAGGGTCTGTTCCGCCGATATATGGGATATTCTCGGATTGCAGTTCTTGCTCGATGCCAGTTTCGCCTAGGACGAAAACTTTGTTTTTGGGAGGTTGTAGTTTCATGATGCGGGAAATGTAGATGGCGGCACTGTAGCTCGATCCAAAAACTTCCTCCTGTAAATCCTATCAGTATATATCAATTGGTACTTGATAGATTGTGTAGACTTACTTCATACGCCGTGATTCCAACCTTGTCAAACTTCTTCTTGTAATCACTGCGAGATTTGGTGCTGTTATTGGTGACGAAGATGAGCTTCTTGCCTATCACCTTCCCGTCAGCTCATTTTACCATCACTCAACCCATGGAACTTACCTCTCTCCCGCAACATGTTGATAGTCTCGGGTACTCTAGGGAAAAGATGATTCCCAGACCAAAGAACGCCTATCCTTCAAACACCACCAATCAGTCTTTTGTTTCTTTCTTTCGCACCAGCCAGCCAGCCAGCCAGCAATGATGATATATATATCAGAGCAAAACCATCAATCAATCAATCCCAAACAGACGATCACTTCAGCGCAGTAGAGAAAGAAGAAAACGTACCATCGCAATCAAACAAGAAAGTCTATTCATCGAAAATGTCAGCGTCCTGATGATGCGTTCCACAAAAACGCCCACTGACATCAAATTGATCGATGAATTTGTCGATGCTCGCTTTGTCGCCGGTCAAATACGCTGGTGGTGGCTGTGACATGGCTGTTGTTGTTGTGTGAAGAGTAGTCTTGGAGTCCAAGAGCTTGTCGTTCTTCAAATCTGACCCAGACGTTGAGATTGACTTCAAGGTTCTGCTGCCCGGCAAGCACAAAGCAAGCGAACCGAAGCGAGGCCGGAGACTAGCGCGGTTTTGCGAGAATATTCACATGGACCATCAAAAATGCTTGCAGCAATACAAACAATTGCGAGTGGGAATAATTCGCGAGGAGACTCGCCTAAACTATGAAGCTGTGAAGGTAAGGTAGTCGTTATGAAACCCAGCCAATAGATATCGTCTCAAGTGATGTTGAACGCCGCCGACGCCTACGCTATATGCCCAGTCATCAAAATCAAACGTGCTCTCGTCATGCATAACTGAAGAGCTACAGTAGCAACTCTATCAACAGCGGCTACCAAAGGTTGATCCGCTGGGTGATCTACCTGATCACGCCCCATTCCCCAACGATGCCGCGCTTAGCCTCCTTATTGGGCCGGTTGAAAACGTCCCAAAACCTCAGCGTTTCGTCGCCCGCACCAGTGACAATGATGGCACCATCCGGACTCATGCTAAGATAGAGGACCCGATAGGTATGGCCGGTCAGACTGACAACCTGGTTCATGCTTGGATATTTCCAGATGTTGATGGCATGTTGCGAGTAGCCATGCGTGCTTACAAGCTCTGCAGTACGCTGCGAGAAGAGCAGATTGCAAACTTGACTTCCTGTGTCGTGTGAGCTCAGAAGGTGAGGATTGGTCATCTGTGGCGTGTCGAAGTCATCCGGTAGTGGCGACGTGGAAAGACCAAGACCAAGTGAAGTCTGCTCGGTAGGGAGAGATCTCACGGCGGATGTTTGCGCGGTGGATATTGTATTCCAGAATTTGATGCACCGATCAGCGGTTCCACCTCCTGATGCGAGCACACCGCGCTGGTGGGGATTCCACGCGATGGCTTTGACTGCAGCCTTGTGCCCACCCTCTTGCTCTCCCCATCTATGCTGCCAACGCTCGTCCATTCGATCCCAAATGAAAATTTTGTTGTCGTTGCCTCCAGATGCGAGCTGCTCAGTATCAGAGTTCCACTTTAGGCCACAGACTTCTTGCTTGTGGCCCGTCAACCGTCGAAGATACATGGTTGGCATCCGCACGTCGCGATGCAATATCGTGCGGTCTCTTGATCCGGTGGAAAGAATGTGTGCATTCCATGCGAGACTGCTTATACGGGCCGAATGGCCAGTCATTGTCCGCAATCGCTTTTGAGCAAGGGTGTCCCATATGTGAAGCAAGCCTTTTGATGTTCCAATCGCAAGATGTGTTCCCCGTTGAATCCAGCTCACGCTCGTGACTACGTCGTTGTCAAGGGTGCATAATGTTGTCACCTTGCCACTCTCGCGGTTCCAAAGGTACACGGAGGGACCAAGTCCCACTGCAAGCACATCGTTCGATCCCCAGTCAACGAGATTTAGATAGAAGTCGTCTGCCAAATCCGGCGCATCAAGTACTTTGTATGGAACCTTACTAACCGCTCGCGGCGTTTTCCGAGGAGACAGGAGCATTGACTGTGATGAATGTTTGACTGGCGATAGACTGTAAATCTCCGATCGAGAGTTGAGATTCGGTCCTCGCTCGCTGCGAGAGATGGATCGCGGGGTGAGGGAAACCGGTGGGTTTGCACCGTAGGAGAACAAGTTCTTGTGGGGGGTGGAGGGTGTGAGAGTCGTGCCCGTGTACAACGATGTAGAGCTCGGACCGCTCACTGGCGGCGTCTGTGCTCTTGAACCAGAACGATCGTTCAAGACCTGCGGCACCTCATTGTCGAACATCTCTGACCGCAAAATGGACGAATATGTGCGATTGGCATCGCGCTTCTGAAAGTGGAGATCGCCAGTAGCTTTCCGATTGAGCTTTGATGGCGTCGCGGGCGATCCATCTTCGTGTAGGAGGTTGTAGCTGGCAGAGAGATCCTGGCCAGCTCTGTTTGGTATGAAGCGATCCCCAGCTTGCACTTTTTGTCGCTTCCTGCTTGGACTTGCGGCTGGTGTACTGACTCGACGCTGACCGGACTTCTCAACTTCTCTAAGTGCCTTGTTCAGTGCGGCCGCCGAGACTGCCTCACTTCCAACCAGATTTGCGCCGCTGTTCGCCGCGGCCGTTTGCGCCTCGCTATGCGATCGCTTTCCAGTGATGGTGGGTGGAGTTTTGCTGCGTGGCGGAGACATGAGTGTGGGCGAGGAAACCGTTTCTACCGCCTGAGTTCCGGCAGGCGCGGTATCGGGATGCGACGAGCTCATGTTCGAAGGGTACGGTGAGGTAGTAACCGGCGAGGCACGGTACGGTGGACTCGAACTCCTACAGCGAAGGATAACGCTCTCGCGTAGTGTATGGCTATCCGTAGCTGCACGCACAGCACCGGAAATTGGGGGCCCTTGCGATGAGAGTGTAATGAAGGCGTGAGCTACCGCGAATGGCTCGTTGCTATGCGCCAGGGGCCACCCCTTGGCCGGAGAATCGTTCAGCGCGCGGGCGCGGCGGTCAAAGAAGGTGACGGCAGTAGAGCTGCGAGCATCGCTCTATGAATGAATGCGCCAGCGAGTCGCTCCGTTGGTATCGTTGGTAATGTTGTGATGTGTGTTGAGAGTGAGGTGGTTGGTTTCCAAGCGGGAAGGGAGCACGGACACTTCACATGGAGTTCCTTCCTGCGGAACTCTGGGCTATTCTCCGAGCGTATGACAATACAATAAAAAAACCTCAATTGTTGTCGTCGAGATTCTGGCACGACAATGGAATACCGCAAGTGTCGTAAGCAATATTGTTACCACCGCGTCGACTCCAATGCACGCGCAGCCTAGCTTCGCGTTTGTTGTGTTGGCCCATTTTGACGACCGCACACGTCGCGTCCACGACATCTCACGTGCAATGAAAACAAACAGGGATATCAAACGGCCACCTCTGCACGAGCGCCACGAGCGTGATCCGCACCGAGGAGCCGTTGTTTCGCGACGGTGAAGCAGTGGTACCATGGTGCCGCGCGAACGCGACTTCGAGCGCGTAAGTGGTCCTCGCTCCTCCATCCTCACCCTCCTTGACGAAGCTTGGACCCTTGTGTTTCAGGCTTCGCCGGCTGGAGGTCAGGAACAGATCCAACTTGACGATAAGTGACGGCCCACCAATGCCCGTGCCACGAGCTCAACAATGTCTTGCTCGGGGCGCTTGCACCAAGTCGTTGGAGTATATTCATGGGAGTACTGGTTCGGCCGCATCTGGCTACATTAGGTGAGATGTTGCTCCTCTGCGGTAAAGTCAGCTTGACATGCCGTCCGACAGTGACGGCCGTTGGATCTGGATCTCGTTCCTGCATACCTTGACCTGGAAAATTCTGGTTGGATGCTCCGAAAGTCACTAGTCGAGATACAGCGCCGGAATGCCACTCAACTCATCAAACCTACAGTACCTCGGAACTGTCTTCATCTGCCATTGGTAGCAGAGGTGGTTTGTGCCAAAGAAAGGTCGACGCTGAACAGAAGGACATCGGCTGAGATTCCATCCTGTATGTCTGGCTAGAAATCAAGCTCGTTGCAAACCTGATCTAGTTCCTCAATATCGCAATATCCATCAGCATGATCAGCGATGAGCCCTGCTTGGACTTGCAGAGTTGCAAGAAGGACTCTATCGACCAACAAGATCGTCAGTTGAAGACGACCAGACGACCCATGCGCTGATGAGAACACTTCTCGTTGAACACTTTTCCGGGGAAGAATGCAACGGCCAGTGGAACACTGGCATTTGAAAAGGCGTGTCTCAGGGTCGTCTACCTAGTCCAACCCAAAGGATCAGAGAATGTGAGGGCGGCCGACCAACATGCTGGAATCGCAGAAATTGTCCTTTTCTACAACAACGACAAGATAATCAAAATTGTTCTTATGACCGTGGCTTCTTGYTCGGGAGCGTGCTCGTCTGCATGTGTTTGACGTGGAGGGCTGCCAAGCTTCAATGTCATCGGTCCTCCCTCGCCCATTGCTCACTATTTTCACAATCGGAATCAGCCCTAAGGAAGTTCAAACGCAATCTAGCAAGCTAGCAACCTACAGCATGAGCTACCAGGAGTGCCCCATAATGATCGCGCACGAACTTCCATGTCATGAAGCCTGCACTGCATTGTGTTAGCTCTTCACGCTCGGGGACCCGATGAATGCGGTCATAGTCCAGTCAAAAGCGACCACACCGCTCTCTCCGTGGCAATATCCCAGTCAGTCACACGCATCACTGCCGCTTCCTCATGGCACTACATCATCACCTATGCTTTGCATGAGATAGTTGGCACTTATCCTCGCTTTACTTGCGGCTTGTAGGGGCGAGGGCAAGAAAGGGCCAATCCGGTGTCTTGTTGTCACATTTTGCCGAGCTGACTACTTCCTCGGATGCAGCCAGGCGAGACGCTTGCGGTGTTCGCTAATCGCAAATATCATCATTGACCAGGGTGACAGCGACTGTTAAATGCTGGTGGTAAGCGGAGGATCCGTGGCTTCCACCGGCCAAGACCTTGCTCCTCGAACCCAAAGCCATCGTCGAAAAGATCCCTGACTGTCGAAACTTGAGCGAGATTGTTGCTACCTGACGCTAGAACATGAGGATTATCACAAACTCCCTCGGCGGGGTCGGCGCAGCTTGTGAAAGAGGACGAGGTGGCTCAAGTACGCAAACGTGCTGCCAAGCTGGAGCTCTCGCGACTCACACACCACCAGTTACGATAGCGCTCTAATAGCGCTTGCGTGCAAAGAACATATGCGTAGCGGTGAGCTATCGGCCATCTACCCATGTTTTCGCAAAAGGCTCGTGGCCGCGTGTATTGGCTGAAATACCGCGGGTGCCGCTCGAACACACCATCTAACTTTACCCAGCTGATCGCCCGCATGAAGGAACGGCGCAAGCAACCAGCGGGCTCGGCAGCCCGCCGAATATGCTGGCGCTAGGAGATTCAGAGATCCAATCAGACAAAGGTACATGGGAACATCGTTCGGCGATTACTCGCCAGGGTGCAGCGCATACCAAGTTGGGTTGTGGTGAATAAAAGGAGCAAGCAGTGGGTGCGACAATCAACTCCACGCGAAAGTGGTTGCAGAAGGATGGTATGCCCTGCATGCACTCGCACCCGCGTAGATATTTTGACCAATCTCTCCACAATCTTCAACTTTAACCAGTCAAATACCTAGCATTACTGTCGTTTACGACGGAGCATTCAACACCCAGTCGTCATGACGTCTTGGGAGAGAAGATTGCAACCTCGCCGTACGTTATTTGCCAGTTTATCTTATCGATGCCGATGCGAAGATCATTCAATGCGCCGCAACCCCGGCAGAATCGGAACTCTTAATGTATGAACCGAACCACGCAATGACGGCACATGCTTCACACAAGTTCCGTCCGTCGAAGAACGGCGAGACCGTGGTACTTTAAAATCGCTCTCAATCCAAGGCGTACAGCCCGCATGAATTCCTAGCACAAGCATCCGAAGTCCAACGCTGATAGGGCGGTATTTAACGGCGATGCACGTGCGGGTCGTGGAGAGGTGGGGCATCTCGACGACTACGGCACATACATACATACAACAACAATAAACACACGGGTTGTAAAGCCGAGCCGTACTACAGGATATCCATCCTTCACCGTCCGAGCATTGGACATGTTGCTGCCCTCTTCGACACCTACTTACCGACCTCGAGCTGGACGTCGCACGACATCAAGTCTCAAATTTTAGTCGCCCCACCACCGTGCAGTGTGCATGCAAGCCTCGCATCTGCAATCTGCACTAACGATTTACCCAAGCTACTTATGCGCTTCATTGGCTGTCCCCGCCTGGACCATCGTGAGAAAATCTTAGCTGGTAGGATACATCCCGAGTCCTCTGCCACCTTGTTGTTGCGACGCTGCCACTTTTGAGGCATCTTTGAGGATCTCCGGTGAGAGAGTCAGTCGTTGTGTCAGACGGCCGGTGACAAAAGTGCTGCGTGACGAGTCCCAGGTAAGACATTGCCATCCACTACAATGGGCGGCTTATCAGCTGCGCTTGGTGCCTGCTCTTACTCATGAGTCTCTAGGTCTGCGGRTTCAGCAACGAGGTGCTCCGCAAAGGAACGGCCAGAAGATCGCTGCCATCCTAGTACATGTAATCTCAGCATGTTCTAGCCCGGGTACTTTCTTGACGCCTCATCAGTCGCACCGCAGGACGCCTCCACCACCTGCCCTGTTCGTCTCGTTGTAGCCGCCGCCGACACTGTCGTCTCCCTTCTCCATCGACAGTCGCCGCCGCCAATGTTGGTGGGTACCGAGGCCTTCGCATGACAATGGACTCGGAGGACGGGCAGCAATTCGTCAAGGCATGTTCACCACGCCGCTGGAGCCAGACATTCGCAACACTAACGCATCGGCCCTGAAACAGAATTTAGCATACTTCGTCCGCACCCATGAGCGAGCACTAGCGAACGCGTTGCAGTCACAGCGTCCGAAACCGAAGAGTGACAAGGAACAGACCGTCGCTGGTGCTGCGAGCAATGTCACCGAGTCGACGACCATCTCCCTCTCGCAGGCGCTTTCTCGCCCCTACCCCTACCTCTCCTTCGCATCCCCGACGCTGAAGCCTGCGAAGCTCACCTTGACTCCGCACCACCTCTTCTACCTGCTCRGCAAATTCGAAGATCTCGGGGTCGATGTTGGTCCCACTACGGTCCGGCTGGAAAACCTGCACAGCGATGCAGCGCCGTCCAACTACGTGTCCTTCCTTGGACACGCCCCCAAGTCACGCGGCAGGCCGACCGATGCAGAATCTCTCCGGTCCGTGTCCAGCGTGCGGAGTGTCATGTCGAGCATGTCGTCCGTCTGGTCTACCTTGACGCTATCGAATAGCGTTTCAAAAGCTGAGAAGCAGATGGCACAACATCGTGATGATATCAAGTACTTGTACTCGTGCTTCACCAAAATTCCAGCCCTGCGGCTCTCGCCAGACCACAGAGCGAGGCTCATCTCGGGCTTTGAGGAATTCCCCTTCGACACTGCAGTCCCGCTGTTTGCCTTCAAGAACGTGAGTTCATTGGAGATTTGCGATCTCGACTTTCGGCAGTTTCATGGCTGGGACAGGTTGGCAGAGCAGTTGCGAAGTCTGACTGTCAAGCGAGCGGAAGTGGACGATCCTATAGACCTACTATTGAACATTGTCTTGGACGATGCGGAGGGTAGAAAGCGTAAGCGTTCGTCCAAAACTCAGGTGCCGACTACGCCATCCACCCCCGGGATTCCATGGGCTGCAGGTAGCCCCAAGAGTAGGCAGATTGACTTGGCCCGCTCAGTGTCGTCGCCGAACTCCCCATTGGCCGAGCTTCAACGCAGCTCAGTAGGCAGCCCTCACACATCAGCCAGAGTAGGCTCCTCTGATGGCAAGAAAGTCCTCGAGTCGGCAAGACAGCCGAGCAACTCTCCACCAAGGCCAACCACGTCACGACATGCCTCTGCGCCGAAACCACACCGTACGCCAAAGTTTCGCAGGTCGTCCGGCAGCTCAGGTTCCAGCCAGCAAGAGATGACGCACAGGCATAGTTCGTCTGACTTGCTGGCAATGGGAATACTGCCTCCAAACAAATGGCGCTTCCTCCGACATCTCAGCCTTGCCGAGAACGGCCTAACTTATCTGACTGTGAGCAGTTTGGCGCCGGTAGCCAGCACTCTACAGTCACTCGATCTGTCCGGCAATCTCTTCTCTGAAATACCGGATGCGTTGGCCAGTCTTACGGACCTTCGAGCGCTTAATCTCAGCAACTGTATGATCAACAGCCTCTCATCACTGGCTCGAAACCCATTACCGGCTATCACGACGCTCAATCTCCGTTCGAATCGACTGCTCTCGTTGGCTGGTATCGAGAGACTGTTTTCACTGGAGCGGCTAGATCTACGTGACAACAGGCTGCACGATCCGACAGAATTGGCACGACTGACAGGTATTCCGGACATCAAGGACCTCTATTTGATGAAGAATCCTTTCACCAGGACCCACAGCGGCTATAGAGTTACGATTTTCAATCTCTTTCGAGATACCCCAGGGCACATACACGACATTTCAATAGATTCTCTCGGCCCGATACACACCGAGAAGAAAGGTCTCCATGATCGAACCGCTGAGCCGGCAAACATACCCGTAGTGAGGGCGCCTTCAGAAGACGAGTCGCATGAAGCTGTCCATGATTTTGGCAAGTCGGGGGCGTCATCGACGTTTACGCATCTTCCAGGACACCAACGCCGCTCTACGGTCTCTGATATCGAACCAAAATCCTCCCTTCGACGGAAGAAAGTCTCACGACGAAGAATAGTGGAGCTTTCACAGGCCGAACAACGAGCAGTGCCTCTCCAAGAAAGAGTGTCCGCAGAACCAGCGGTCCCAGAGCTGACTGAGCTCCCTCCTATGCTGCACACTCCCACTACTGAAAGCGACCAGCCTACGACACCAGAGGCGAGTGCGTATCAGAGTGCACCTTCAGCGAAGCTTCCGCAACAGAACCTCGCCGCAAGGCCTAAACTGGACAAGGCCTTCACTCCAACTACCGCTTCCCCCAAGATAAGAAACTCGTCCGACGATGACTCTTATCCTATGCGAGTGCCAGAGGACGCTGGCACCAATTCAGACGTCTATCGGCAGAAGATGGAGGCGATGAAGAACGAGCTAGGGCCCAATTGGCTCGCGATTTTGAATGAGGAACGGTTCGCAGAGGAGACCCGAGCCAGGAATCGCAGCTACAGCCCGGCTTCACGACCAGCCGCGGTGCGGCCTGAAATGGCATCTCGAGGCGTCAGCGTCGGCGTAGGCGGACGCACACTGGGTTGATACACCTCATAATTGTGCAAATTCCCCTCATGCGCTTGCACGCTCTGCAAAACACTATTAATGGTCATGCCCTGTGACCGGAGTGGCGAGAGACGGCGGATTCTTACAAACCGGCCGTTCATTTTCTTTTGGGGGCCACCTGCTCCATCGGTTAGGTTTGCTTTGGGTTGATGTCGAGAATACCCTGTTTAGGATTGGTCTTGCGATTTGGCGAGCAAGTTGTGCTTTATCATTTTCGTCGCAACATGAAGCTGGTGGCATTGGTTGTAGATGATGCCTTTTTTGGCACATAGACGAAAGCAGGGAGCGTGATGCATTTTTGGAATGTTATGATGTGATAGCATAGCGAGGCGTTTTAGGGAGATGCGCATGGTCAGTCAACTCATGAATCAAGGAAGCTTTGTGTTTCCTCTGCATTGAATTGGTATCTCACGCCTCAACGATTCTACGCGTATGAATTCGATGCGATTTGATGGCTGTCGAGGGATCACATTGAGAAGTAAGGTAAGGTAAGGTAAGGTAAGGCAGGAGTCTTCTGGGGCATCTTTGACAATGTCATTTCCAACACGTACGATCGCAGCGCGAAGCGGATAGACCATTCGCTGCAAGATTATTTTACTTGGAGCGTTGTGTGGAATAGAGTTGTGGTGTCTTTTGATTGGATTCGGACGCGGCTGCAGCTGCTGAACAGTTGTGGTGAGGCATGTGGTCGCCCTTGTCACGCGTTTGAAAAGGATGTTCTTGATTAAAGCTTCCATATACTTTTCGGGTGTAAATGTTCGACAGGCAATGCTCGATGAATTCTCACGCGTGCCGATACTTAGTAGTTTGTATCTATGTTTCCGTAATTGAGATGTAGCGGTGGTGGTATCCATAATCCTCAATCCTCTGTCCCGCTCTTGTGGTGGCAGTAAAAGCGGCGCTAGAACTAGTTCTACTCAACTTCTGTTTCTCACTGGGTGCTTCCTCCTTCTGCACCCCAAAACATCGCCATCAGCACCATCACCGCGATTCTCATTTCTGAACCACCAGCACACACCGAGAACTGGCCTCTCGCTGAATATCGAGCTCGCTATCTGTCCATCGCGGAAAGAACAACGCCAATACCGCGCCGTCCACATCTCCGCCGCGCGTACAGACCCCATCGTCGCACTCGCTCGCCCTCCGCAACGTTCAGCACAAGCTAGCAGCTCCTCCTCCAGAAGCCTGCTCCAACTCGGCAACATTCGCGTGGACATATCAGCAGGCAGCGACGCTTACAGGTGCAAGATTATCTCCTTGACATAAGCCACAATTGCCTGGAAGATCTCGCAGACCTGAGAGAAGACATCTCGCGCGTTCGCTGAGCTCTCGCGCTCGTCTCGATACCCTCGGTACGTGTAGTCGCACTCTTTCTTATTCTTCATTTCGCAATCAGCGGTAGGCGCGCGTTGGGAGCAAGCGGCAGGGCGGTGACAACGGGGCAGGGTCTTGAGCGCATTAGAGCAACTGTAGGAAAGGCATTCATATCTCTACGGTCATAGGGCAAGCTGAGCTTGCCGACTGTTGGGCAGCTGCGAGCTACCCTTGAATCGCAGCAAACCGTATACGCAACACTGACGTTAGGCAGTTCTCTAGGCCCCACGCGCCAGTCTGCGGAGCACAACCCAACATCGGTCGCGAGCAGCTCCGCTCGATTTCGAATACTCTTCCCCACTCCACACCAGTCGCCAGCAATGGCGGATCAAAATGATGTGGACTTGGACTCCATCATCGACCGTCTCCTTGAGGTCCGTGGCAGTCGGCCGGGCAAGCAGGTCCAGCTCTYGGAAACCGAAATAAGATACCTGTGCACCAAGGCTCGCGAGATCTTCATCTCTCAACCGATTTTGCTCGAGCTGGAAGCCCCCATAAAGGTTCGTGGGGATCGACACACATCGCTGCTTTCTTACTAATTCGTCGCTTGCAGATCTGTGGTGACATTCACGGCCAGTACTATGATCTCCTGCGCCTGTTCGAGTACGGAGGCTTTCCACCAGAGGCCAACTACCTCTTCCTAGGCGACTACGTGGATCGGGGCAAGCAGTCGMTCGAGACCATTTGCCTGCTGCTTGCGTATAAGATCAAGTACCCGGAGAATTTCTTCATCCTTCGTGGCAACCACGAATGTGCATCCATCAACCGCATCTATGGCTTCTACGACGAATGCAAGAGACGCTACAACATCAAACTGTGGAAGACATTTACCGACTGCTTCAACTGCTTGCCGATTGCGGCCATTATTGACGAGAAGATCTTCACCATGCACGGTGGGCTCAGTCCGGACCTCAACTCAATGGAGCAGATCCGCCGCGTTATGCGCCCAACCGATGTAGGCAACTACGACCCCGATTCTCAATTGACCAGATGCTAACTGTGTAGATCCCCGACTGCGGCCTGCTCTGCGACCTGCTGTGGTCCGATCCTGACAAGGACATCACCGGATGGTCCGAAAATGACCGCGGTGTCTCCTTCACCTTCGGCCCGGATGTGGTCTCGCGTTTCTTGCAGAAGCACGACATGGACCTCATTTGTCGTGCACATCAGGTTGTTGAAGATGGTTACGAATTCTTCTCGAAGCGTCAACTGGTCACTCTCTTCTCCGCGCCCAATTACTGCGGCGAGTTCGACAATGCCGGCGCCATGATGAGCGTCGACGAGTCTCTGTTGTGCTCCTTCCAGATCCTCAAGCCGGCGGAAAAGAAGCAAAAGTAAGAACCGTCCTCCTGCCTTCCTTTAGCTGACACCCGTACTGACTTGTTGATCAGCAGATTTGGCAGGAGATAAGAGAAGACATTTGCGACAGATCATTGCAATCAACACGTATCGAGTCTTTGAAGACTCAGCTGAGCGGCACAGCTGGTGGTTATCCAGCAAAAAGAGCACCTCGTGCCCTGACGGCAGAGATTGGCATCGTGTGAGCCGAGACATTGAACGAGTGTGGGTTGTACGATTTCCATGGTTACAGGGGAGATGGCTAGCAGCGAGTAGTGCGCTGCATCGCGCTTGGGGATCACGCCAGGAAATGGCTATCCCAACGGTGGTGCTGCGCAGTCTATAACTTTTTTATGCGTTGCCCGTGCTCTATGATGACTGTGATGTTTCAATGGCTGTCTGCTTGGAATGCAAGCTCATCGAGTAGGTAAGTTAGGTACCTGGACGGAAGTCCGGAGGACGTGACTTAGTCTGTAGTAGTTTCAAGTTTCGTCATGGCTCAAGGAAAGGTACCTCACCTAGCTTTGCGTGCCTGGCTGACTTCACCTTACATCGCTCCATCGTCAAACACGCGTATTGCGAGCTGCTGCGATCATGAGCTTCTTCAAGAATCTTTTCAAGGAGGCAAGTAACTCTGTGTCATCAACCATGAGATTCTCCAAACCGTTCGAAGCCGAGAAATGCTGACTGCTACGCAGGCGGGAGTGAAGAATGTCATCACCCTCTTTCACGCCCCGAAGAACCCAGTCTCGACCCGAGTATACACTCTGCTGAAGCAAGCCAATGCCACTGCCGTCTCACACGCGACCGAAGAYCAGGCGAGCGATCACGACAAGCAGAGCAAGCTTGAACGAACCGATTTCGAACTTGGTACGCATACACATAAACGCTCAGGAAGATGAACAAGAGAGGGACAATGGCTGGTGGAATGAAGCGCCATCTAACTGACTTGTGTTTGAAGAAATCCAAGAGGGCGCTCCCACACAGGATCAGGTGAACAGCATTTTGGAATACCTTGGGCCATCCCACGCCGGCAGCGTTATCAAGGACGCCACTGGCACCAGTGATGCGCTTCGTAAGTTCAAGACGGACGAGAGCTCCTTTCAACGACCGATTACTGTGGACTGGAACAACGGCAGGGCAGGTACGTATAAATGTGACATTTCAGCAGTCATTGCAGTCTTCTAGGCACGCCAGAGCTGACGATTTTGGTGCAGTTGTTGGGGAGAGCGAGAGTGAGATAATGAAACTGGTMAAGTCGGTGCCCAGTGAGGCTGGMAAGCCGTAAACTGTCAATGTAAATTATAAGGTGAGCATTGTAGCTGCTGGGCGTCGCTACAGCTTTGCGACACTCCACAGGACCACTAGCCTGCAGGGAGTTTCCGCCGGCGTGGGCAGGATAAAGGCATTGTCGACCACGGGAACGCATAGAGTGACCACGACACTTATAGATATGAGAGTGCCTCGCCTTCTCACTTGCTACGGCAGTATGTCGAGCAATCGGCACGCTCAATGTATCGTCCATGGCACGTAAGTCTCACTCTCGTTCTTCTCACCTTCGTGGTGCACATTTCCATATCATYACATGCAAACGATGACCGTTTGTCTCTTCACCGCCGCAACTCCGTTCATTTAGGTTGATCCCCTCATTGGTTGGCGGTGTTTGCCGCACTGCGGAAAGTGCTGCTCGAGAGAAGGCACGGGCTTCTCGTCGTTTCCTCTCGCGGCACCTCCCCACTACTGATCTCACCTCCCCTCACCATCGTCATCATCAAACAGAGCACTCCACTCCTCACTTCCCTACAACTGCGACACGCATTGTTGCGCCCATTGCTACATTGCGAGCGTCCATTTCCCGCCATTTCCGGATCGTCGGGTTTCATCACTCGGCACGCATCTCGCACGACTCATTTCCCAGCGCATGGTCACTGAGGCCCGCGCGATGGCCGGCCCGACAGAGACCGCGTTGCCCATCATCGTTTCTTCCAACCGCAGCCTCGACATCGTGCCTTACTGCCGCTATCTGTTCTCTCATGAATTCGACAGATTCGTGGCCATCTTGCCAAGCGAATTTCCTGCGCAGGCCGATCGAGCGACCGAGGAGGCATTCCTCCGGCGCTTCTTCAGCGACGAAGACATTCAAGTTCAAGGAGGCGCCGAGGGCGAGGGCAATGGCTTCAGATTCCTCAAGGCAGCTTGGCTGTGGGCTGCGGATTGGAATCTCAACCATCGCATTCCGGCATTGACAGAGTGGTGGATCAGTGAGAATCAAAACATCCTGAGTGACCCGGACATGAAGAAGCGCATTTTTGAGCCGAACGTCCAACCCAGCACCTTCTTCGAGTCGAAGGATATCGCCATGTACGGTAAAAAACTGCTGAGGTTGGTCATCACGCGCATCCAACACGAGTTGCGTCATCAGGCTCCCCTTCCCGCTGCTCCTGGTAGCCCTCTTATTGTGGACGGTTCTGGCTCTGCGAACCGTCCTGTACCGGCAACTGAGCCCACAGCCACGACAACATCGCAACGCAATGCTACGAGCGACCCATCACCAAATACAGACGGAGTTGCAGGGACTCAGCAGGAGATCGAATCGAAAGTGCCCTCCAACACCAATCGCCAAGCCACAACGTCGCAAGGCAAGGGCAAGAGACCAATGTATCAACAGCCCGAAACAGGCATTCCTGGTGGAAGCAGCAGTCGTGGTGGACACAGTGCGCGCGGCTCGTATGGACCCGCCTCGCACGACAGCAATGGCAACCACGTCGGTCAAGCAGGCGGCGGTTTCGTCTATGGGCGTCAAGATGTTCGATATCAGGCGCCCTTGGTTTCGTCTCAGACGGATGAATCTCAGGTGGAGATGATGCCAGGTCGTGCCGTCTCTACTGGTACACGTTTGCCTGATCAACTGGAGTATGCACCCCCTGCGAACCCCAACACGCCATTTGTAGGCTACGCTCTGCCTGCACAATCGATGACTGGAATGCCAGGACCATATGGCTACCCAGTTCAGGCCAATTTCCCAAATCAGTTTCAGCAGCACATGTCTCACCCACGCGTCCCACCAGGGTTTACTGCTCATTACGCTCAGCCTTTTGGAGACCGCAGCAATTTTCCCAATGATGGTCGTGCCCTTGGCGACGAATCACGTCTCTTTAATCCAGACGAGAAGCACAAGCAAACCAAGCAAGGACCTAACGGTGGTAATTCACGTGGCCGGAAGGATCGTGGACAGCCATATCACCAACGAGGCGGCAATCGTGGCTACAACGGAGGAACCTACGCGAGAGGTGGCCGCTCCTTTGACCGCCCCTCCGGCAGCGATTTTCACTTTCCAGCGGGCGCCGGCTCGACTGTCAACGATCAGCGTTTTAGCACCCCTTCAAGAGACAAGCATTGGCAGCCTCCCTTTCCGACGGACGGGAATACATTCGCTGCTCAACACTATGGACAGATGCCGTACATGCTCAACGGCACTGTCCCCTCAGCACCTCCTGGCATCGGTCCTGTATGGCCTCACAACAACAGCCATGTCACCTCACCTCATTACATCCAGCATCCCTCGACGAGTGACAGCGGACATCATCAGAGAACCCTGTCAATCAGTAAACCATGCGCTCCAGAAGATTGCAACAAATACACCATCGGCGTCAACTGCAATTTCGCCAAGAAGCTGATGATCTTTCAAGTTCCAATCGACTTGACAGCTGAAGCCTTCCAGGCTCACTTTGAAAAATTCGGTCCTGTGGAAGCCGTTCAATTGCGAGACTCGCGCGATGGCTATCAGCGCGTCTCGTGGGTTGCATTCGCGAATGCTGACAGCGCGCGCCAAGTTCTGACTACGCGAGGCAAACCTTGGCCTGGCGGCCCTGTACTCTTCGCAGAAGTTGCTGGTGAGTACTGGAATCCAGCGCATTACAAATACAGCGCGTATGCAGCAGATCGACCTGCGCGCGGACGTCAGCCAGCGTCCACAGTCGCCACGACGTCTCAAGCTCCAAACACCGCCGTCGACACACCGGGAAAAGATATCACGTCAGGCGACGCCGACAAGGTCGTGGATCCTCATAAGAAGAGGACCAGCGGCAACAACAAGAAGCCTAAGAAGCCGGGCAAGAGGCCTGCACAGGGTGACGGAAACGCTGTTGGTGATTCAAAGGGGAACACCACTCGACAGAATTATCACGAAAAGCATGCACCATCAAGTGATGATGTTTCTAAAATCCCGTCAGGATCTGCCACCTCTACTACATGCAAGCCTGCTCGCGAGGAAATTCCGACAACCACCGTCGATGCAATGACGGCATCGGACACAACATCGCACGAAGCACCTCAGAACGAAGAGCTCAAGGGTGGGGGCGAGGATGACGAGGCAGTCAAGCTTGATGGGGTTGAACAGACCAGCAATCTTGAGAGTGTCTCGTCTGTGGAACCCGTAGCTCCAAGCGCAGTCGTGGATGAGGACCCGTTATTTTCGCGTGCAAATGAGCAAGGAGAAAAGGCCGCTGCCGTTGTGGGTGTAGYAATCCTTGATGCTGGTCCTACTGAGACCAGCATCAACACCTCCGATGAACAGGTTGATGAGAGTTTCCACACCGCGGACGGTCTACAGGGTGAAGAGAAGGTCGGCGATGGTCCGGAGATTGTCGCTGCTACATCAGACGGCGGACTAGCAGCATCGAAATTGGACGTGAGTCCCGAGTTGCCGATCGCAGCGGCTGTGAATATCACTGAAGGTACTGAGACGACCGAGGTGGTGAGGACCGTGGAGCCTTCTTCCATCGATGCAGCATTGCAAGTCAGTCCTTCAGCCACGGTGCCGGATACTCGTGTAGAGTCCGCTTCCACACCGGAGAGCCCGAAGCTGACCGAACCTGCCGCCCCTGAGGAACCTTACATCATCGCGGAGGACATCACTCCGACTAGGCCCGAGCGGTCAGTGACAATCACAGTCCCATCAATTGATACATGCGTGGCTGCAGTGAGCGAGGAGAAACCTCGCGATGATGCTGTATTCACCGGTCAAGTGCGCTCTATCTCAGCCACCTCAGCCCTGGAAGCGCCCGGCACTGCATTCGTCACTGCTCCAAGCACGCCTGCGATCGCAGAGCCAGTCACTCAGATCAAGTCGAAGAAGCCCTTGAAATCCAAGGGTCCCGCGCAGACTGAATCTCTCAGTTTATTCGCCAAACCAAAGTCGAGGAAATATTCATCGAAGAAGACCAAGCACGGCGTGCACGGCGTGGAGTCTCCCGGTCGACCAACAAGCGGAAACGCTGCTCATTCCAACAATCAAGCATCTCCAACTAGCATGCCTTCTATCGCTGAAGCCGTCCCTTCAGTCGTTGCTCAGGACAATGCTGAACCCGTGGCCTCGCTCAACGCCGCAGCGGACCACGACTCTAACGCATCATCCAACAGCTCACATGAGACAACATCCAGCAAGACATGGACTCTGACAGATCTTGTCGATCCGGTTCGTGCATTCCTTTCCATGGGCTCAGCGCAGCAGAACATGAAGTCCGACGATGCTCGGCCGCCAGGCTCACCCATGGAGAGAGACGACGATATTGTTCAATCTGTTGAGCCTGACGGAGAGGACTCAATGTCCAAGGAATCGCAAGATTTGCAGAAGGGCCCGCACGCCGCTCCTTCCGCCGGCCTGGGCATCTCTGATGTTACTCTCACTGAGCGGAGCTTATCACCCGGGGCAGATCAGGGCAAGTCCAAGAAGAAGAAGGCGAAATCCAAGAGCAAGAACAAGAAGTTAAAAGCGACGGCTGATGTTACGATTTCCGGAAACACCATGATTGACGCCAAGCCAAGCGAGCCCATCCACGAGTTCAAAGGCAACGATGTCGCTTCCGACAGCTCTTCACAGACGCTCGGACGGGCATCTCCAGCGAGCAAGGGACCATCGATGAAGCAGGTGAACGAGGCAAAACAGCATAAGCCGCTGCTTGAGCCACGTCCAGCTCGTCAGATCCGCAGCAAGAAACACAAGAGCGTGCACAGCAGAGAGGACAGCAACAACACCGATGGTACTGACAGTGCAGAGGAGATTGTGGTGCCTACGCCACATTCAACCGTGTTCCTGGTACCGTGTGGGGACGGCAGATTTATCCCAGTAGTAAGTTCTGGTTGCCTAATGATGTTTCATTTGTCTAACATCATGGGGCAGCAGGCAGGACTGGAGGGAAATGGGATGACGGGCRGCGGTCAGCTCGCGCTGATGCCAACAGCGACGCCCGAGCCGTCAAAGTCGACGCCGGCGCCCGAGAAGCCGTGGGAGGTCGAGATTACAGATGAGGTTGCAGACCCGGAGACGTCGAGTCCAGATGTCACCAAGTCGAGGGAGAAGATTCTTCAGCTCACGTTGGAAGAGGCACAGAAGAAGAGGTTTGCTTAGTTTGCTTACGGCGTCTGGAGAATATGGAGTCAAGGTGGATTCAAGCAGTCTTTATTCGGCAAGCAGTCTGTATTCGGCAAGTGAGATAGAAGTCAAAAGTAGTAATAAGTTCGAATGCGGTCATTGATTGAGGTTGTTTGTGTACGCGGTTTCGTGGTCAATAGTTGGAAGCATCCAATGTGATGGCGAGAATGAAATGAAAGTTGCATGAGAAGCTTCAGTTCTGCAAGCTACCATAGACTGCAGTGCACGATACAGAAGCCGTTTTTCCATTCCATGCATAGCCGGTCCCATCTTCAAGTCGCCCCAGAATCATGCAATGACGCGCTCTCGAGACATCAGCCCTGAATAACGCCTTGAACTGCGTTCATCGCAAATCCATCATGCCATCGTGTGTGTGCTCAATCCGACGTCTGCTCCCTCACGCACTGAATCCTCCCTCAACACAAGTTTCCTTTCGTGGTTTATGAGGTTGGGTTGGGGTTCATCTTCCGCTTGCCACCGGTCATGGTGACGTTGACGAAGCGGCGGGTGTATGTGATTCTCTTCTTGGCGCGGCCCTTGGGGGTCTTCTTCTTCTCCTGTGGCTCAACCTGCGGTGCCCTTTTATCAGTTTCCTGTCCACGCGCATTGTCCAGAGCTAGAGGGTGGTGTATCGTACCTTTGGTGTCTGCGACTTGACCTTACCGGCACGCGCGAGGGATCCGTGAACCTTTCCCATGATTGCGGTTGTTGTGCGTCTTGGGGTGCTGTGGTGGCGAATCACCGGTTAGTGCTGCTCTCAATTGCAGTACGATGAAGATGCGCGGAAGTCGAGTCGAAATGGTGGGGCGACGCCGGGGATTCGAAAGACTCACAATACGCTGGTGGATGAGATGGGTCCGATGGGGTTGTCGATGTCGTGTCGGCGGAGGACGTTGGATGTGCGTCAAATCTAGCTGCGCCAAGACCAAGGTCGGCCGATGAGCCTGAACTTTGAGAACGGCTGCTTTCACTGTCGCCCCCACATCTCCCTCACATCACTCGTCCAACCGTCATCACAGCCACTGTTCTCTCTCCCAATCATGAAGTTCGCTCTTACGGCTGCTCTGCTGAGTGCAGCTTCAGCAACTTCCATTGTGAAGCCACCTCAGCTTATCCTCGACAATCCACCAGCTCACAATGCAGACTTTCGGATACCTACAGCGCGTGAATCCGCGGCCATGGCCAGAAAGATACTACATCTCACCACCACTGGTGATCTTGTGACATCGTTCCCAAGTGAGGAGAATAAACTTGGGCGAACTCCGTCCGAACTCGCAGGGTCTGCTATCGGATTGTTGGAATACTATGCCGATTGCGATGCCTTGAGTGGCAACCCCATCCTACTCGCACTTGACATAKCCACTCCATATAAAAACTACAACGCAGGATCCAACATCAGTTTGAGCATTCGCTGGTGGCCGGAGCAAAGTACCGTTTATCCTACGTGGAACTTTGACAGTGAAGAGATCCCCACACCGCACACGCCAGCTGCGCTACCGCGGTTCTCTCTCCACGGCCATCTGGAGCCACTYTCATCGAAAGTGTTGGAGGAGAATGGGATCCAGAAATGCTTCTTAAAGTCCCACCCTGACTCAATCTACTGGCAGCCCGGCAACGATATTCACACGTCAAAGTACGTGCAGTTGGTGGTCGAGCAGATCTATTGGTTTGGTGGATTTGGAGACAGGGCGAGGATTGGATGGTTGTCTATCGAAGACTGGCGCAATCTCACAATGGAGGAAGTTATGCAGGCCAAACTTCCTGGCGAGAAGAAGCATGCGAGCTGGTGGAGAGACTGGTTGTGATTGTGCAAGGCCCGATGACAGATTAACGAAACAGAAACATCCATCAAGTCGCAGAAAGGACTGCATCATATAGATGAATATGTATTTACATGTGTGGCGTATACTGAATGTTCGAAATGTCTCTCTTCGGCTCCTTCTCTACAGCGCAGCGCTCCCCACGTGGGTGGGGCAATCCCAAAGATTACAAAAAAACATCTGTGACACCGATGAGCTTCTTCACCACACTCTCACGACGAATACATATAGGATTTCGCAAAATGGCCAACGTCGCGGACCACTACGATGGTAACGGTCGTACACTTCTCCAACACAACCCGCATAGCTGACGGCACTCTCTCCCAGAGCCCGTCTCGATTGCTGTTATTGGCGGCACCSGACTGCAATCATTGCCGCACTTTACACACGTAGCGACCCTCAAGCCCACAACACCCTGGGGAACACCCTCCTCGCCGATCTYGATCTTGCACCACCCCTCGCCATCGACCGGTAAGCCCATCGCCGTTGCCTTCCTCTCCCGTCACGGTCTACACCATGAACTGGCTCCTCACGAGGTGCCCGCCCGCGCCAACATTGCCGCTCTGCGCAAGATCGGTGTCCGTACCATCATCGCCTTCTCCGCTGTCGGCAGTTTGCAAGAGCAGATCAAGCCGCGTGACTTTGTAGTCCCGGATCAGATCATAGAWCGCACCAAGGGCATTCGCCCATTCACCTTCTTCGAGGGCGGCATGGTGGGACACGTTGGCTTTGCGGATCCCTTTGATGCCAAAGTTGGCGCTATTGTGCGTAAATGTGGGCAGAGTTTGGAGGGTGACGGGGTGAGGCTGCACAATGAGGGCACAGTTGTGTGCATGGAAGGTCCTCAGTTCTYTACGCGWGCTGAGAGTAACCTATATCGTACATGGGGAGGCTCTGTCATCAACATGTCTGCTCTTCCAGAGGCCAAGTTGGCCAAGGAGGCTGAGATTGCCTACCAGATGATCTGCATGAGCACGGATTATGATTGCTGGCATACTTCTGAGGGAGATGTCACGGTTGAGATGGTCATGGGCCACATGAAGGCGAATGCTGAGAATGCTCGACGGTTTGTGGGTGCTGTGCTGGATGAGCTGAGCAAGGAAGAGCACAATGATGTTGTACTTGCGAAGCATCTCGAGGGAGAGACCAAATTTGCTGGCTCCATGACTGCTCCTGCGGGTAGAAGCGAGGATGCGAAGAAGAAGCTCACATGGCTGTTCCCAGGATACTATGAGTAGAGAACAACTCTAACCATGTGGATATCAAGACCATTTAACATGATTGATAGACAATACGATACCCTGCCGAGAGGCCTCAACGAGAAGCCATAAAGTGGAATATACCGTTCAGCCAGCCTTCTCCTTCATGTACTCCATGATTGAATCCTGCACGGAATCAGTTAAGCCACATCAATCAGGACAGAAAAGCCTTACCCAGTTCTTGCACTGATGCTCAATATGCCATCCATCAACCACAAATCGCCTCCCATCCGGCTCCGTCCTAGGCCACTCCAACGTCATATCTCCATGGCACATGAGCGACTGTCGAAGATAATCGAAGCAATGAGCCATGTGGTTCTGCATGGGATCAAGTATAATCTCATTGATCTCCTGCGTATCATTTCGTCCAATAGCTTGTTTCATCGTGGATACGAAACTGCGAATTTTGGACAGGCAATGGAGTTGATGGAAGAGACTGATGTCGTATAGTTCGCCTCTGGAGGATTCTTGGCCTGGAGGGAGATTGAATGATCTTGGGTTATCGATTACTATGAAGCCGTCGCCTGTGGGCATCATGGAACTCCAGGCTTCGTCTGATTCTTGTGATATGAGGGGTGCGAAGCGTTCATCTTGTTCGAATTTGATTGGGAGGGAGGGAACTGGGAGATGTTAATGTTTTTCAAGATATTGAGGGACGGAGGGAGTGCTTACAGTTGGGTACTGGTGAAGTTCTTGTTGATGTTGGCTTGATCAGAAGGAAGAGTAGAGTAGCAAGAGCTGCAGCCAAAAGGAATGCCAGGCCGATGATCCATCGTTTGAGCACTTGATGGCTTCGTTGCAATTGATAGTATTCGAGGTCATGATGAGCGTTGGCTTCTTGGGGTACAAGTCCTTCTTTCTCGATGTTGTCGCCATCGGGAATGGCGAACTTGGCTTTTTTCACACGACTAAAAGACTGCATCTTTGCGGTGTTCTGAGGAGATCACGAATGCAATGTTCAAAGATGGACAGGCCACCTCTTCTGGTGTGCAAGMGATGTCGACAATCAATATGAAACTGAGGCGGTGTCAAGTAGACTCTGTGCAACATTGTGGAGTTGATTGATGTTCAGTGTGCGTGCAGCATGGATCTCATTACAGGTCTGCTCTGTGGCATGTTGTGCTGCGTCCATTGCCGTCCAGCCTTGCAGTGTACAGAATGAAGTGGTGTTGGAATGAATAGGACTTTTGACCAGCAGAAGCGAAGGATTCATCATCTGCTTCTCTCATCATCGCTTGATCGACCTCAATCACTCGACGACAGCTGCTACAATTAGTCGTCACGCAGGAACACATGGTAAAAGCGCCCTTTCCTCTCTCTTTGGTGTAGGTTTTTCTTGGGAGAGGAGAGAAACTGCTCTTTTACCATTCTTTGATTAGCGGCGGGCTTGACCGAGCCAATCATACCGCACCTTGTAAATTCACGCAAGGTGATGTTCGAAAAGAAAGTGTTCTCCGCCCTTTTCGCTCTCGCTGAAGTTCACCTTTTCTAGCACAGCAGAGGATCCCATCTTTTTCAACACTAAGCTTAGCTAGCGGCGGGTAGAGCCGAGCCAATGAGCATGCGACTTGTGTTTCTGTGAAGAGGGGGTGTGAGGACCTCGTTCTTTACAGCATTTCTGGATACGATCCGATGGCAGGCTCGTAAATTGCAATTGCATCAAACTTCGCGCGGCGCAAAAGACGATGTTCAGCTCAAGTTTAGTGGACAAGGACCGCGTTCCCCGCGACCGTCTGACAACCCCTGTCTGGCCTCTGGTGCAACCCTCACGAGTCTACAACGGAGTACAGTCCCGACTGTGGTAACATCCATCATGATGCCATTGAAGTCTAATACCCACGTGATGCTGAACACGACCGATGTTCCATCAATTCCTACTGGATCATAGGAAAGACTGCCGAAGTCCACATGGCCTCGCCTTCATCCCTCACCGCTTCACGACACGGTCACACGGATAAGCATTGATCGGCCATCCACCTCAGTCCCATCCTTTCTTAAAAGAAAGACCCTGTTAAACATTACAACATCCCCCATGTTCTTCGCCATATCATCAATCTCCTAGTACCATGCGTCCAACAGCATGGTGGGCAGCAGCCAGCTGGCTGGCCCTCGGTCGTGCAAAAACTGCGTCCACGACCTCCTACTCTGCAGACGCCGTCGAATCGATCATTCGAGAACTCGGCCTTTTGCCTGATGACTTGGCTGAGACCGGWGCCAGCGTTATTGCTTCTTTTGCCACTACTGCTCAGAAAGCCATTGTCGACACGCTGAAGAATCAGACGCTGAGCGATGAGCGTAAACTCACAGATCCGGAGGCTTACTATTCATATGGAGGGAGTCCTCCAGTGTATCCTTGTCGTGGGTAATGATTCCATTCTAAACTAATGCAACCACATGGAGTTGACTGACTTGTCGTCCCAGCACAAGGGAGTGGCTCCGGTAATTGGTCCACAGCTTACAATATTGCTTTGTCTCTGGTCTCGCAGATGACTGTCGCCGAAAAGGTCAATCTCACAATTCCCGCCGATGATACTGTTGGCTGCTCTGGCTTCTCTGGCTCCGTCCCACGTCTTGGCTTCTCCGGTCTTTGTCTGAATGACGGACCAGCCGGAGTGCGAGGCGCTGACCTTGGTAACATCAGCGGATTTCCTCCACAGATTGCGATCGGAGCTAGTTTCAATCGCTCGATGGCGTACTTGACAGCCAAGCAGATGGGCAAGGAGTTTCGTGCAAAGGGAGTGAATGTTGCGCTGGGGCCTGTAGTCGGACCGCTTGGGAGAATTGCAAAGGGAGGCAGGAATTGGGAGGGGTATTCCAACGATCCCTATCTGGCRGGACAATTGGTAGATCCAGCAGTGAGAGGTTTGCAGGAAAATGTCATTGCCAATGTCAAGCATTTCATCGGGAATGAACAGGTGAGGAGTTGACAAGCAGTGAAGTAGGATGGCAATATGCTCATCGAAGATAGGAAACGCTGAGGAAGCCATTCTTCTCCGGACTCCTGCAGCCGGCGAATATCACATTGTATTCCTCGGTCTCTTCCAACATTGATGATCAGACGATGCACGAGTTGTACTTGTGGCCCTTTTACGATGCCGTTAGGGCGGGTGTGGGATCTGTGTAAGTCGGCAGGCTCCATGTACCTTTCCTCCCATCACTGACGTGTTGATGAATAGGATGTCATCGTACAATCGAGTCAACAACTCGTGGGCTTCTCAGAATAGCAAGCTGTTGAATGGATTGCTAAAGACAGAGCTCGGCTTTCAAGGTTTCGTCCTCACTGGTGGGTGATGAACTGTCCTGCTTTTGTTGTTGCTCAACCTAACGCGTTCATCCAGATTGGAGTGGCCAACACACTGGCGTCGCCTCTGCCAACGCAGGACAAGACATGGTGATGCCTCGCGGCACATATTGGGGATTTGGCCAACTCGAAGCAGCTGTCAACAACGGCTCTGTTGACATTTCCCGCATAGACGATATGGCGACTCGCATCGTCGCAAGCATGTCCCGCTTCGCCAACATTACCATACCCGGTGTCGCGCTCAACAACGACACCGATCCTCTCAGCGACCTTACTACTCAAGTTCTCCTCGAAGCCGCCATTCAAGGCCATGTCCTTGTGAAAAACACCAACAACACATTACCCCTTCGCGCCCCTGAAACCATATCACTCTTTGGCTACGACGCCCTTGGTGGGATTAACACCTCCGCCGAGTCGCCGAACCTCTACGAGCTTAGCCTTGCTAATAGCCAACACTATCCCGACGGGCGTGAGCTCAGCTATTTTGAAGTTCTCCTCTCCCTTGCAGGCGCCGCCTCTCCAACCTTCTCCTTCCCTTCCCTTGCCCTAAACGGTACCCTCATATCCGGCGGCGGTTCGGGAGGCGTTACTCCGTCTTTCATGACATCTCCACACGAAGCCATTATCCGCCAAGCTCTTTCCGACGGTACCACCATCTTCGGCGACTACAGCTCCCAGAACCCAAAAGTTTACAACCCATCCGGCCCCTGTCTAGTCTTCATCAACTCGCAGGCAGTGGAGTCCGCCGACCGCACCGAGCTCGCTGATGAATACTCCGACACTCTCATCACGAACGTTGCGGCCCAATGCGCCAACACAATCGTCATTATCCACAACGCCGGCATCCGACTAGTCGACGAATGGATCGAGCACGACAACGTCACCGCTGTAATCTACGCTCATCTTCCCGGCCAAGCCACCGGCGATGCCCTAGTATCCATCCTCTACGGGAAAACCAGTCCTTCCGGCCGTCTACCTTATACCGTAGCGAAGCAAGAATCAGATTACGGTACACTCCTTAACCCAACATTTCCCACCAGGGAAAACCCACAATACGCACAATCCAACTTCTCCGAAGGTCTACTGATCGACTATCGCGACTTTTCAGCCCGGAATATCACGCCTCGCTATCCCTTTGGTTTCGGATTAACGTACTCGGAATTCACATACTCAAATTTGACCATTATACAACATACTAATGTCAACCGCTCTCCTCTTCCACCTGATGCGTACAAATATATTGCTTCTCCGCACCCGGAAGGCGGACTGGACTCTCTCTATGATATTCTCACCACAATATCTATCAGTGTGCAGAATGTTGGGAACGTTACGGCAGCGGAGGTCGCACAGCTCTATCTTTCCATTCCTGGAAGTGCAGCAGGGAGGGTGCTGAGGGGTTTCGAAAAAAAGGAGTTACGGGAAGGAGAGAAGCGGGAATTCCACTTTGATTTGAGGAGGAGGGATCTTAGTACTTGGGATGTGGTGAGTCAGAATTGGATGTTACAGGAAGGCGAGTATGGAGTTATGGTGGGGAGGWATGTGCTTGATGAGGAGGGTTGTGAATGTACTTTTGAGGTTTTGAACAGTTCGTGTGTGATGATGTAAGTCAGGGGAATGTAAATGGATATACTACTGTTCTGGCAGAGAGATTTTTGGAGGGATTTGAAGTGGGCTGTTCTTAATCAGTGGTGTGCCCATAGAGGATGAGGAGTTGCTTTGTTTCTCCTTTGGAAACTCGGCTTCTTTACCTCCAGAGCCGTCCCTCTTGATGCATTTCAGTAGAAAGTAGTATCCGTTGATATCTCTAATTATCACACATAAGGTGAAGTAGGCCGGCGGTGTGATCGATGATGCATAGCATGCCTGGTAGAGATTCCAGTCGAAAAGACCGAAAGTTCGCTTTACCCCTACCTAATTCGAATATCTTTTTGATTGAAAAGCTAGAAGAAATCAATCGTTACATGAAATCTCAAAGGAGGCGTTCGATGGTTGAGCACCATTTCATTCTTTCTTTTTAACGATGCAATGCGAGATCAGACCAATGAGTGACCACCAGGCGAAGCTAAAATCTGTTGCAGAGCATAAAAGCTACAAGATTCTCGTATATGGCTCCAAGGACGGGTGAAAGGTCCTGTATTCCATCTGTATGTGTTATTACCTTATGGTGTGAGTTTGACGGCCTGTCGACGCCTTGGCACCGAAATTTCACTTGCAATTTTTGTCCCACTCGTCTTTTCTTCGGCCCCAGACTTTAGTACTACATAACCGATGATTCTTGCTCGTCACACATCACAACTCCTTCCGATGTGGTCTAGTGGTTAGTTGCCTGCTACCTCTACCGTCGTCGTTCTTCATGCTAATAATATCTCCAGGTTAGGATTTCTCGCTCTCATCATGTACCGAGGAGGCCGGGGTTCAATTCCCCGCATCGGAATATCTTTTTGCCGTTACGAGGGCGGTGAGGTTGCTCTTCATGTATGTTCTGATAGCAGCGTGGGTTGCGGCATTGATTTTTTGGGGGTGAGGTCCAACAGCCCCTTTTGAAGTGAATTTGGGTACTTTCGACTCTCCAGCACTCCGAGCAGTTCGTTACCGACGGTTATAATGCTWTTGAAAGCTTCCAAGACCTTTGGGCAAGTTACTTGATGCGTGCTGATAGATAATAATGTGGCAATTCAATTTTGTTGGTTTTCGTGTTGAGAACAAGGTGTACAATTACAACGACCACCGTAGTAAAGAATCTTTTGCTTTCAGACCTTGTGAGAAGAGCTTTGCAGTCCTCGACTTCATTGTAAACCGTTGGAGATCTCTCAACATCACAACAAAATGAATCGAGTGTACATATATTGCAGGCAGAGTGCAAATACATCGAACGAAGAAAATCTCTAAATTTGTTCTGTAACCACAGTGTGTATAGCAGATGGTGTACCAATTGATGTACACAAGTAGAGGAGCTTTCCGCAACATGCTGTCATCAGAGCCGTACAAATCAAGACTAGGTGATGTTGTGCGGCCTTGGCGCGCTAAAAAATAAGGTTTGGCGAGCCGGATGAATCTCAAGCAGCACGCGTCGAACGCGTCTTCGTTCTCGACAATATACGCTTAATCATTCCATCATGAACCATTTCATCGACGACGAGACATGCTGCCAAAAGGCCAATCTGAGTGGCACTCCCATTCAGTGACCTCACAGTGCAAGGCCGCACACTCGCAAGATTCTTCAACACTGTTCTCGCTTCCGTCCGGAATTGAGAGGACACATCATGAGCTGGTGTTCGGCACCGGAAACATTCACATTGGGCCACGTGAATACAGAGCCTCCGAGGGCTGGCTTGAGAGAAGAGCGTGTATGAGAAGCTCTACCGCAGATCAATCTACGCGATTTGCAAAGATCATAACTGGCATCGTACATACGCACTCAGCACACGTGCGTTACGGTCACTTTGCCCGCCGACAACTACCAGAACTTGCAACATCTGCCTAGATGAGACGGTCGAGATGACACGAATAATGTCGATATCCCATATCTGCTTCGCTGGTTCAGCGTTCCATTGACCGAGCTAAGCAATTCAAGGATGCCATGAGCGATCTCGACATGTGTGACTATGCTCACTACTGTTAAGACGGTTCTTTCCACGAAAAGGCCAACGATCAATGTCAAAGGTGTCGAGCACATAACCGAAAAACTTGGAGTTCCTGCCCAAAGGCAGTTTTCTGCAACTGCACGCAAACTCAGCGTTGGATCTGAGCATACTCCTCGTCTGCCGCCAGGTATACAAAAAAAAGCTGCACTTTTACCTTGTGCTCTCTACACCTAACCCTCGACATCGTAAAGGGCGACCAGGAAGACTKGGCTCAATTCTTTGAGCTCAGCCGGCTGCAATCTGTCGAAATTGTGTGGAGTTTTGACGCAAGCAGTCATCATGTTGAAAACAGATTACGACGTCGACAGGTATCCGACTTGATGGAGCGTTTCCTCCTGAGAGATTCGTTTGAGGCCGATTATGAGCTCCTCACTGCTTGCCATGAAGCTATTGATCGTCCGAAACTCCAGCTCTACAAGGACGAACAATTTATCGACTTGTAATTTTGCGAATGTCTAAATGATGGATGAAGTCGATACAATCCCAAGCAAAGTCTGTCTKCGCGCGAGATGGCCTCCTCCAGTCTATTACCAGGTACATCTAGCGTGTTGCTTTAAAMCTGCTAATGCAGTCGAAGCCGAGAGCATCCATCAGGACGCACCGCGTGGCATTGTTACGTGCCAGTTACGGACAAGTAAGTGTGCCGACGAGGGCCCTCGATCACATCTCTCGGAGAGCTTGACTTTTCTTAAACTAAACTTCACTTCACCTGTTGGCTTATCTTTGACAGGTGATCTCTATCGGGTTGAGTCTCTAACAGAAGCTGGCGGTCACGACCTTCTCTAGTTATGGAAATCCCAGTTCCAGCTTCTTCCAACGACGAGACTGATACAGGGAAGATCATGATGGCTCTACCACCTTCGTCCCTGAGCAATCCTCTCGCCCAGATTGAGGGAACACCGGGAAGCATATCGATATTAACCCATTTCCGGTCCTTGTGATGGGATTTGGGTATGCGGTAGCAGCCATGCTTCGAACACACCGAACAAAGAGCAAAGATTGGAGACAATCAGAGGAGTTTGCGGTTTACGGGGAACTGTGCGTCGGTATCTTGCTATTCATTATCAACTTTGTTATCCAAAACCAGGCCGGTCGGGAAAGCAAGACATCCCACTACTCGCCATTCCTTAGAATTGCCCTTGGAGGCTTTGTCGACTCCGCATAGCCGTGCTTCTATGCTTGAGCATTAACAAGCGCACTAGGGTAGAACGAATCGAGACGAATTACTAGGAACTATTATCCCAGCTTCCCTAACCTACTAGACATCGACTACGTGGCGGATTGTATAATGGATCATAAGATCTCCGGCTGTTGATAAACTCGACTCCGCCATGGTCTAAGCGCACCGCGAGTACATACCGCATCGAAGTCATCTTCATGCAATAGCATCGTTACTAGAACGGCGAGGGTGTTGGATCTTATAACCGATACTACGTAGGTCGTTAAGTACCTTGATCTCACACAACAAGATCGTGAGACTTGCGGGACTGACTCCATCAAAATATAACGATCGGGTGTTGGGCGAAAGGGGACGAGAAGTAAGTACATTTCGGGCCTAACTATGTAGCCCCGAGTCTCTGCAATTTGAAACATCGTAACCAGCAGTCATCATCAGAGGTGAGTTGTGCTGCCAATTAACATCTCCACGATACTTACATCACCTAGACTCTCACAGCTTTCTCGACCGGCGTAGGAGAAACATCTCGCCCTGTTTGTAGCATTTTTACGATACGGATCAGCGCCGTGCTGAAGCAACGCTTCCACGACTAGAAGATTGGAATTCTCGATCGCGACATGCAGCGGTGTCGGAAGTTTGAAGAGCGCCCTTTGTCGATGAGCAATTGGATTGTTGTTGTATCGATGCGCATTGATGTCAACAACACCCATCGCCACCAGCCGATGCACGAGTGCAGCTCCCTCGACTTGATTTTTTGCGCTGCGCAGCGCAGTGTAGCAAGTCCCCTTGAGTAACGGACGCGTTGTGCGACAGTAGCCATTCAATCACATCAATACTGCCCCATGCTATATCGCTAACGAGAGAACTGATTCGCCGAGCGATGAGGTTGCGTTCATATCCGCGCCTTGTTGGTCTACAAGCCATTGCATCATTGTCTCGTCGTTGATGGCTGTGCTATACAATTCCTCAGCTTGAACATCTCTCTGCTTTTGTAGGCACTATATATAGTACTCACCTCAACAGAGACGGGGAAGAATGGAGAGGATGATTGTTAGGCCAGCCGAATTCAAGCAATGTGAGACTATTATAGCATCGTAGTCCTTGTACTCACATGCAGTCGCTACGATACTTTCATCGATGAAGTTATCCCTCTCCAAAAGTATGCGAAGTACCGCTAAGTTTCCTGTCATGATGCTTTCTACCTTCGACGCGAAAGACATCCATACCGCATCTTGGAGCCATATCTTAGTGAGTATTTCGACATGCTAGACGCCACGAAGACATGGTGGATCCAAACAGCGACAAAACATCAGTTGGAAAAAAATGTCCAAAAACCCCACAACTCGGACAAACATGACCAATTTGTTCGCAAAAATCATACCAAATATCCAGCGGCCATATAGCAAGAGCAAGGCCAATCTACTTATCACAATCCCGACATATCACGAAACATCACACTACCCCAACCCTAACCCTTTGAGCTGGAAAAGTTCCATCGACAGACACATCACAACATTTCCAATCGTGAACCTTTCTTCTTCGCTGCATTCAATTCAATCATCTGTAGAGACATATTTCATGCACTAATGTAGCTACGTTACATCATTATTAACACGATTCATCCAATATATGGGGAATGTTGAAAACTGTCACGAATCCCACCACTTTGGCCAAGCAAACAAAGCTCTCCCGCCCCCCACCTCTCATCAGACTCTTCGTCCCCTCATACGTCAGTCCAGTCCAGTCCAGTCATCCACAATTCCACATTTCAATGGTAAGTGGAAGGAAGAAGAACACGAAGAAGATATTTCACCTCCATTCTCATCATTACATCCCTCACAATCCTGGCTCTAAGCTTCCTTCCCCGATTACGTCTCCTACGTTCCCCACCTCCCCTTCAACAAACCCTCCCACCTCACAACCACCACCACCCTCAACCCACCACACCACCACAACCACACCATGGCTTCCACCGACTACACCCACGAACTACAAATCSCCCTCCTAGCCGTCCAACGCGCCACCCTCCTCACCAAATCCGTCTTCAACTCCCACGCCAAAGGCACCCTCTCCAAATCCGACGCCTCCCCCGTAACAATTGGAGATTTCGGCGCCCAAGCCCTAATCATCGCCGCTCTGCAACATAATTTCCCCCAAGATGCCATCATCGCGGAGGAAGAAGCCAAAGACCTACGGGAGAATTCGCAATTGCGGGATACAGTTTGGGAATTGGTTAGGAAGGTGAAATTGGAGGATGAGAGTTCTGAGAGGGATTTGGGGGGCCCGGTGGAGTCTACGGAGAGGATGTTGGAGGTTATTGATAAGGGGGATAGTTTGGGGGGGAAGTTGGGCAGGGTTTGGGCTATTGATCCTATCGATGGGACGAAAGGTTTCTTGCGGGGTGGGCAGTATGCGGTGTGTTTGGGGTTGATGGTGGATGGGGATGTCAAGGTTGGGGTGTTGGGATGTCCGAATTTACCGGTTTCTGATGAGGAACCTTTGGTGGAGGGGACTGGGACGAATGCTAGTAGTGATGAGGAAGGAAAGGGTGTCTTGTTCTCTGCTGTTCTGGGACAGGGAGCGCAGAGTCGTGCTTTGACTAAAGGTGCCTTGGCGGACTCTACTCCCATTCATATGAAGCCTTTGAAGAGCATCTCCGAGGCGACTTTCTGTGAGAGTGTCGAGGCCGGACATTCCAATCAGGGGGATTCCTTTGAGATTGCGAAGAAATTGGGCATTACGAAGCCTTCGGTAAGGATGGACAGTCAGGCCAAGTATGGCAGTATTGCACGTGGAGCGGGAGATCTCTACTTGAGACTTCCAGTTAAGAAGGATTATGTGGAGAAGATTTGGGATCATGCGGCTGGGGATTTGATTGTTAGGGAGGCGGGAGGAGAGGTGACGGATGTGGAGGGTAAGAGGTTGGATTTCAGTTTTGGGAGGACTTTGAAGGAGAATAAGGGCGTTGTTGCTGCGCCTAGGGACGTTCATGGGGAGGTTATTCAGGCTGTGCAGAGTGTTTTGAGCAAGAAGGAGTAAATTGARTGGTGGGAAGAGGGAGGAGTAGTTATTCTGTAGATTGAGTGGTATGATGATATTTGTGATGTGAGATGTTTGTTCATGGACTTCAATTGAATGCTATCGTGTAGAAGTGTAGTATGTAATCTTCATCAATATTTTCATAGCCATTGCCATGTCATTCATATTCAACAAGCATTGCATGTGAATGATGTCCTTCTAGCGGGGCGGGGCTGCTTTGTCACCTCACCTCCGATGCCGCGAAACATCTCAAGCTCAGGTAGGAGGTCATCATCAAAATCTCGACCTCACAACTTCCTCAAAAATAACCACGAACCCATTGAAAGCACATTCCCTCTTTCCCCTCCCTTCTAACAAAAAGCAAAGAAAGCATGCCAACATCATAAACCTTTCTCTTAGATACCCCCCCAATCCCCACCAATCCCCACCACAATGGGCGCCGCCAAAGCCCACGCAGTCTTCATCCGCCTCGTCCTCCCCCCCTACACCGCCCACTTCAAATCCCCCTCCTACATCCGCGACTCAACCCTCACACTCCTCGATCAAAAAGTCAGCAAACCAACCCTCACAACGACCGCCTCCCGCGCCGACGTCCGCCACGCAATCGGAACCTCGGAATCCTTCTGGCTAGACCTCGCCACACTCCTCAAAGCCGCAATCCCCAGTCTCGAGCGGCGAAGTTTCAGTATCTGGGACCCATCATCTGTGGATTACGAGAGTACGAGTGGGGCATTGATTGCGGGACATTATCCCGGTTTGTGGAAGGATTTGGAGCGATTGAATGATTTGGTGTCGATTTGTAGAAATGTTTTGACTGCTGGGGAGGTTGTGCAGGATTTGGCTGCGGGGTTTGGGATTGATGGGGAGGTTTTTCGGTTGATTAATTGTTGTGTGAGAGTCACTGCTAGGGGTTATGATGGGGAGGCGGGCACTGGGGAGGAGGAGAAGTGGCAGTGGATTGTGAATGGGTATAAGAAGTTGTTGATTACGGGACTGCAGTTTTTGAACAATTTCGTGGCGAGGAATGAGAGGAGGAAGTTGATGCTTTGGGTTGCGTTGTTTGATGGGGATGCTAGTGCTGTGGGAGGAGGTGGAGGTGGAGGTGGTGGTGGTGGGATTGGGGGAGGAGGGGGAGGAGTGATGGCGCCTGAGGATGTCCCTGAGACGAGTGCGGCGAGTTTGACGGATGTTCCGAGTAATCCCACTTCCAGACCCACGAGTCCGTTGAATAAGAGGGATTTGTTGTTGGCTTTTGGGAGGAATGGGAGTGAGGAGTTGGATTTGACGGGCGAGGCGAAACCTTTATATGAGGAGGTGTCTTCCTTTGAGGAACATCCCCTCCCCCCGGAAGCCATTGAAGGGAGGGAGAAGTTGGTGGGGAATGGTTATGCGTTCTTCTTCAAGAGGATATCCGAATTCTGTAAGCAGGATTACCAAAAGATTCATGGAAGGATGCCTACGCCGTTGGAATTACACCTGGAAATGCCGAGACGTTGGGCGGAATGTGATCAGGAAGACAAGGATTATTGGCAGTCTTTGTTTGATGATGCCGTGGCCAAGTGGAGGCAGGATTTGGCCGTGTATGAGGCCAAGATGTTGGTTCTCACCGAACAACAGCCAGTATTGAGGAACGATGCGTCGACGATCAGGAGTGATGCGTCGTCGGTGAGGCAAGTGGAGAGGAAGATTGCCATGTTGGAGGAACAACTTGCCGCAAAGTATCAATCCGAGGGGATTGACATGCCGTCGATGGATTCCAACAGCTCCAAGTTGTATGGCAGGGAAGGACATCTCACTTTTGATAGTGACATGTTGCAGTCGAAGCCCGTGGTGGCGGATGATATGAGGATGTTGTTTACTGCCGAAGCCGGGACCAAAATCTTGGAATCCGGAAAGATGGAATTGATGAAAAGGCTGGAAGGGTATGAAGCTACGCATGATGCTCATCTCCCTCCGAGTCGTCATCCGGATGGGGTCACGACGCGACCTTGTATGGTTGACAAGTATGGGGATGCGGCGGAGAGGACTGCCAGTATGGAGAGGGAGGAGCAGGGAAGGAATGTTGAGGCTCCAAGGAGGGTGCAGAGGAGGTATCCCGTGGAGGTAGAACCGCCCTCTCATGAAGCAACTCAAGAGGAGGGTAGTGTGAGGGATACGAGAGAGCAAGGTGTTGAAGAAGAGGATGTTGATGATGAAGATGARGAGGATGATGAAGAGGAAGATGATGATGAAGAAGAAGAAGAAGATGACGAAGAAGAAGAAGAGGAGGAGGAGGAGGAAGAAGAAGAGGAAGAAGAAGAAGAAGAGGAAGAGGAAGAAGAAGACTACCCCGGCTCCACAGAAGACGGACGTGGCCTCCTAACAGACGTCCCTCTAATCCTCGGTCCCTCCGAGATAGAAGTCCTTCCCATGCTCATCATGAGCGGCATCGTCCCACCCCTCAACATCTCCCCCACCCTCACCCCAGCCGAACGCAACGCATTAATCAACATGCACACCGTCCGAACCCACCTCCTCCTCTCCCAATCCAACGGCCGTAACCTCCTCCGCGAACTCCTCATCTTCGTCGCCGCCTGGGATCTCCGCGAAGAGGAACTCTACTTCAAATTCATGGTCAAAATCATGGAGGCGATTTTAAAAACGGGCCTCATGCCATATGCATACCACGCCTTTCGCGATCGTTCCCGCTCCAAGGATATCATCAGTCCCGCTCAAGCCGTCATGATGAAACTCCTCACTTGCATCTTTCGAGCTCGCGGGGAAGCCGCCAAGGCCGCCGCCACCGGACATCCTTCGAAGAATAATCTCCCCATCCCCGCGACAGGCATCCCCGTGAGGAGTGGCACGGGAATTCCCATCAAGACGGAATTTGTCAAAGTAGATGGCAAAGGTCCTCCAATCCTCCTCGCCAAGGAGCCTTCGAGGGTGGATTTGCATATTTTGAATTTCATCTTTACGGAATTCCGACAGCATATCATCCCGCAGACGTGTGCGTTGATTTTCCTCCAGGGACAGATTCATGCCGAGAGGGCGAGTCCCGAGGATTTTCCGCTGAATTTGTGGGATATGGAGAGGATGTATGAGGGGGTGTATCAGTATTTGGAATTCTTCGCCGTGTTGACTGAGGAAGGGGTTTGGAAGGGGATATTGGGGGAGTGGGAGATGGCTAGTGAGTTGGTTACTTTGTTGAGGGAGTTGGAGGGGGGGATTCCCAAGGCGGGGATGCAGGGAGGTGGTAATGGGGGTGGTGGTGGTGGTGGGGGGAAGAGGGTTGGAAGGACCATGTCTGCTGATGCGGCGATTCCTTTGACGACGAATCATCCTCCTCCAGCCTTGTCGAAAGGTGCAGAGGGGGATCATCAGACTTTACCTCCTCTTCCACTTCCACAACCTCTTGCGGGGGGAGCAGAAATGGAACAACCTCCCCCAGCAGCAGTACCAGCATCAACATCAACAACAGCAACAACAGCCCTCCCATCAACCCACCCACCCCTCCCACACGACCAAGACGAACCCTCAGATTTCGAATGGAGAAATCTCAAAAAACTCACCGTCTTGGTCCTCTCCTCTCTCATCTGGAAGAATCGCATCGTGCAGGATCAAGTGAGGGAATACGGAGGTTTACAAGCTCTGGTGAGCTGTTGTCGTAATGACGAACATAATCCTTATATTCGTGAACATGCTATTATGTGTTTACGGTTTGCTGTTGAGGGGTGTGAGAGGAATGCTGCTGTTATAAGGGGTATGGCGGGGAGGAGAGGTGGTGGGGGTGGGGTACAGCAGCAGAGTCAACAACAGCAGGGATCCCAGCAAAAAGACGCGCGGGGGGAGGAGGAGGAAGAAGAGGGGGAAGAGGAAGAAGGAAGAGTAGACGCAAAAGAAGACCTTCGAGTCCGAGAACGAGGAGGAGGAGGAGGAGGAGGAGGGGGGGAGTTATCGTTGGTTGCTAGAGGCGTCACGAGTGTTCCTAGAGAAGTGCTGGATACGCAGGGCTATGAGACTTTTATGGATGGGAAGGGACAGGTTGGTTTGAGGAGGAAGGAGGGGGGGAATCTTCATTCTCTTCCTCTGAATCATAAAGGGGGAAGTGGGAGGAATGTTACTACCCCTTCTACGGGAATGGGGGGGAGTGCTGCTACGACTACGACTACGAGCACGGCGGCATTAAGTGCCGAACGAGCGGCGGAATTAATGTCTAGTGCTTTGAGCTCTTTGCCTTTGGGGGAGAGGAGTGTTGCGGGGAGTAGTGCTGGGAATGGGAGTGGGAGTGGTGGTGGAAGTGGAAGTGGAAGTGGAGGGGAGAGATTGTTGTTTAGTGAGGAGCAAAAAGCTGAGGCGCTGGCGAAACTTGATCGGGCTTTTGAGAGTACGGAGATTTTATTGGGGAGGAGCCCGAGGGATTAATCCATTCATTGATACCTTGATTGAGGGATTGATGAGGATGGGAGTGGGGATTGAGGGGGATGGGAGTGGGGATGGGGATTGATTGATTGATGGCATGGATGGATGGCATGGGGATGTATAGAAGTGGGGATGTATAGAAGCGTGTCTTTGTTTGTTGAATATGATATCCGTTCCTGTATTACTTGAGGTATGAAGAAGCAAGCAGCTTTGAAGTCTTCCTTTCCGAGCTCATCTCGTCTTTTTTGAAAAAAAGGTATTTCCGCTTGGATGTCCTTCCCATTCTCACACCTCGTCTCATCCCATGCATCCATGCATGATAACAACACAGCAATGCCCTTTGATGACCCGACCATAACGCCTCGCTAATAGCATCAAWCCAACCCATGTGAAGTGTGAGATGATTGAATCACCACCTAGGACGATCGCTGCCTCCACGACCACCACCACCGCCTCCACGTCGTGAGAATCCACCTCCACCACCTCCACCATATCCTCCTCGTCCACCTCCATAACCACCACCACCTCCACCACCTCCATATCCACCCCTCCCACCATATCCTCCCTCATCATATCCACCCCTCTCACCCTCGTCATCCCTTCTTGGAGGCTGCCTCCCCTTCAACTCCTCCCTCAACCTCTCCATCTCCTTCCTCATCAAAGCATAACCCAAATGCATCTTGCCATAGAAATGATCGGCCAATCGACGATCATTATCCAAGCGGGACAAATACGCACCACACACATCACACACCTGCAACTTCTGATGTCCACTCGGCCCACTCGTCTCGCCCAAACTCCTCAACTCCTTCTCTCGCTCCTCCTTCGTCGCCTTTTTCAGCCTCAAATGATAGAATTCCTGCACGGCAAGATTGACCGCACCAACCTCACTCAACGCCTCGATTTCCACCATGCCGGCCTCGATCGTCTTGCCCAACGCCGCGATATCCGCCACGAGGGCATTGTGTTTACGAATCTCATCGGGCGTCTTCTCCAACCTCCTCTGCGCGGCCTCAATCCGACGATCGCAATCCCCGACATATTTCCCCATGTCGCGCTGCCAGTCGAATTCAAAGCCCCATTCGCGACGTTGGGCGTCGGTGGCGGCGTGGTATTCTTCCTTGAGGTTGGGTTGGTGGGTTTTGGGACAGGGGCCTAGGTCTTGTTTGGTGTTGGTGAAGAGGTCGTGGGGACAGCCGCCGCAGAGGTAAGAGCGGCAGACTTTGGGGTCGGTGATGGTGAGGGTTGGGGCGCGGGCGGCGTTGGGGCCAGCGAGGAGCTGGTCTCCCATTAGTTGCTCGAGCAGTTTACGTTGTTCGGCCGCCATGATGAGGGAGGTGATGTTGGGGGTGTGATGTGAAGATGGGTAGGTGTTTGGATGGAGTGGAGGATTGCGGTATACTTTTAGAGCGGGATGTGCTCGCTTATTCGGATGAGCGCACCGAAGTCCGGCGAGGCATTGGAAGCGGGCCGATCCTCCATCAATCCACGGTATGGATCCATCAATCCATCCACCAATCCATCCATCAATCCTGAAGGCTTCAAGGTCATTCAAGACTTCAAGAGATTGCTAAATGAAGCCATCCTCCATCCTGGCCCTACCGGCCGGCCTGATTGGACTGATATATGCTCAACACGTCGACGATGCGCATACATATTCGGAACAACTCCACCTCCAACCCCTCCCCGGCGGAGCGCTCTACGCTGGCTTCAACTTCACGGCCACGACTCCCCTGACAGCATATGAACGACAACATTTCCGCTTCTTCCCGCGATCCCTCGGACAAATCCTTCAATTCACCCACACGGCCGAATTACACCTCCGATTTGCGGCGGGTAGATGGGATGCCGACAGTTGGGGCAGTCGACCGCGACAGGGAAGTCGCGAGGGAGGGACGGGAGTGGAATTGTGGGGATGGATTGAAGGGGAAGATGATTCGCAAGCGATGGAGAGATGGTCGGCGTTGGTCAACAGTCTGAGTGGCTTGTTCTGTGCTTCCCTCAACTTTATCGATTCCACCCGCACCATCAGCCCGTTGTTGGCCTTTGATCGGGAGGGATTTGTATCCCCCTCGACGACACCTCTCCACCTCATGCATGGAATGTTGCCGCATGAGGTGGTGTGTACGGAGAATCTCACGCCTTTCTTGAAATTGTTGCCATGTAAAGGCAAGGCGGGATTGTCGACGCTGTTGGATGGACACAAGGTGTTTGATGCCAATTGGCAAGCCATGGCCGTACATGTCAAGACCGTTTGTCCACCTGAGGGAGAGGTGGGAGAATGTGCACTCCAAATGGATCAAACGCTCGACATGGTCCTCGACATTGACCGCAGCATGCGTCCCAAACATGATCCCATCCCCCGTCCTCCTCCTGTGGAGGAAATGTCCTGCGATGATAGCAAATCCTACCATTCCCACGATACATGCCATCCTCGTCATCGAGAGGGAGAGATGGAATGGTCCATCAGCCGCGTCTTTGGTCGGCCCATCCACGGATCCTGCGATCTATCATCCTCTCAACAGGAATCCGCTCACATCTTCCTCGACGTGCCCGATGACCGAGTGATTCAAGTTTCCACCCAGGAATTCACCAACGGAACCGACCGAGAATACCACCTCACCGACGCCCGCCACTTCCGTCTCGGCCAATCTCTAGACATCCACCTCCCCCAACAACTCCTCCCTCCCACCCCACCATCCCCATCCCTCCTAGACATTTCCCGTCAAATCACCGGCTACGGCCAAGAACGCGGGGGAATGCACACCCTCATCACCAATCCCCACCCCCACCCTCTCCGAATCATCTACCTGGAATCCCTCCCCTGGTTCCTCCGTCCCTACATGCACACCCTTCGCGTCTCAGGCGCCACCATCGAAACCATGTTCTACACCCCAGCCATCGACCGAAAAAAAGGCACCCACCTCGAACTCCTCCTCTCCCTCCCCGCCCACACCACCATCTCTCTCACGTATGATTTCGAAAAGGCCGTCCTGAGATATACCGAGTACCCGCCCGATGCCAATCGCGGCTTCGATGTTCCACCCGCCATCATCCGCGTCTTGAAGGATGATACTCATGGGATGGAGGGAGGKTATATGCGGACCACGAGTCTTTTACTCCCCTTACCTACGCCCGATTTCAGTATGCCGTATAATGTCATTATTTTGACTAGTACGGTCATTGCGTTGGGGTTTGGGAGTATTTTTAATTTGTTGGTTAGGAGGTTTGTGCTTGGGGATGAGGTTCCGGGGAGTGTGCTTGGGGGGGTTGTGGGGAGGTTGAGGGGGTTGGTTTTGGGGATTACGAAGAGGGGTGGGAGTGGAGGGGAGGGTGGGAAGGGAGGTTAGGGAGGTTAATGGATAGATGGATGGATTGATGGATTGATGGATTGATAGATGGATTGATAGATAGATGAGGATGTTGTATTGGTGATTGATATTCTGTCGCTTATTCTTTTATGAATGGAAGATGGCGGTCTTGTTGTTCTGCTGTTTCTTATGAGGATATTGGGTCGCTTGTTCTTTTATGAATGAAAGATGGGCGGTCATGTTGTTCTACTATTTCTTATCAGGCTAGTAGGTCGCTTGTTCCTTGATTTTTCAAAAGAACGGCGTTGATGCTATCCTGCGATTTCTTTGTTTATTGATAGGAGATGGCGGTCATGTTGTTCTGCTGTTCCTTCTATTTGTAGAAGATAGCTTGAATGCTGTCCTACTGTTGATTTGTAAAAGATGGCGGTTATGTTATCCTGCCATTCACGTCTAGGAGATAGCGGTGATAATGTTCTACTGTTTCTCTATGTCGTGGAAGATGGCGGTGATGTTATTCTACTATTTCAATCATTTGTGGAAGATGGCGGTGATGATATCCTATCGTTTCCATTGTCCTTCTACTATACATTTCTTCATTTACTCCAGATGGATGTCGTTGATGAAAGAATAGAAAGATGTCGTTAATGCTATCCTACTATGTTATTCATTTGTGAAAGATATCCGATAATGTTGTCCTATCCTGTCTTGTCCTATCATTCATTCCTTTTTGCATTTATTCATTCATTCATTCATTCATTCAACTCATATCCATCTATTCGTCCATTCGTTGATTCATTTCTGCATAATCTAGCCTCTCTGTTTGTGACTTACCATCGACTTCCCCTTCCCTTCCATCTCCATAGCCCTTTCGTTTCCCTTCCGTTTGCCTTTCCTACTCTAGCTCCTACCCCATCTCCACGAGGAGAAAAGAAGGCAAGAGTCCTTTTCTTCCCCCTTCCTACTCCAGATATCTCCTCAAGGAAGAAAAAGGAAAATCATCCCTCTCCCTATACCCCTCCCCCTCCCTCTCCTCAAAAATCCCCCCATCTCCTCAAACCCCCTCCCCCTCTCCACAACAATCAAGTATCCCCCTCCAACCCCTCCAACAACCCAACCAAAACTTCCGCAACATCCCCAGCAAACCCCTCATCATTAACCCCCCTCTCATCCTCCACAACCTCCACCCCTCTACAACCTCTCAACCCCTCTCTTATAGTCTCAAATAACACCTCATCAGCTTTTGGATCATAAAAAGGCTGATCTGGAGTTGAGAGAAGGCTTAGACCACCTTTTGGGAATATTATTTGGACCATCGCTTTAGGGGAAGATGAAGAGGGGGAGGAAGGGGATGTAGGGGAGGGGGAAGTGAAGGAAAGGATTTTCTCCACGATATATTCTCCTATAAGTTTATTTTCGGCGGGAGATGTGCGCATTAGGGTGACGGTGGAGTTGTGTTGGTATATTAATCGATTGTGGAATTTTGGGGGGAGGGTTGATTTGGGTCCGAAATTCACCTATCCACATCACCTTCTTATTAGCATATCATGTTTCTCTTCCCCCTTCAATCCAAATAATGGATGGATGGTATAACAAGGAAGGAATAGAAACGAACCATATCCAACGCCCCCAAACTAATAACACAAGGAATCCCCATCTTCAACGCAGCTTCCAACCGATATGGTCCCGCCGACATATTCCCTCCAACGATATAATCTGCGATTTCTGTTGTTGTGAGGTCAATTATCGCGTCGATTTCCCCTGAGGAGATGAGGGATTCCATTGCTAGGCCGCCGTGGCCTGTGGCGTGGAAGATGAAGATTTCGAATTCGTGGGTGGAGGTGCTTTCGAGGTGCGAGCGGATTGTGGTTATTGCTGGTGTGGTTACGCCGAACATTGTTAGGGCGATTTTTATCTTTTTCTTCTTATTCCCTGAGGATGAGGATGAGGGAGAGGGGGAGAGGGAGGTAAGGTAGGATTTCGCCATCCCAACCATAGCCCCCGCAGCATTAGAGAGAATTCTACAGAGTAATGAATTCGTCCCTGCGATGTCTACGATGGAAGGCATTAAGATGATGTCTGATTCGCCGATTATGGGGCTTGTGTCTCCGCTTGCGGCTGTGGAGACTATGAGTTTTGGGAAACCTAAAGGGAGGGAGGAGCTTCTTAGGGCGGTGGAGACTAGGGAGGTATTTCCTGTTCCGCCTGCGGAGATTATTCCGTGGATTTGTTGGGAGGGGTTGGAGGAGGAGTGGGTTTGGGAAATCCAATTCGATGCGCAGAGGGACATGTGGGTTATGAATTCGCTGCGGGGGAGGGTGGTGGGGTCTTGATTTTCTTCTTCTTGTTGTTTTTGGTCTTGTTCTTCATCTTGTTGTTGGTGGTTTTGTTGTTGCTGTTGTTTTCGAGGGGAATAGTTGGTTAAGAGGGTGGGTTGGGAAATTGTAATGTCTGGGTGCGTGGTGGGCGTGCGGCCTACGTCGATGAGGGTTATTTTCGAGGCGCCTTGGGTGAGGAGTTGAGTGCGGAGGTAGAGGAGTTCGTGGAGTTTGGTCTGTGTGGAAGAATAGAATGTTATTATATACGAGTTGGCTTCTTTTTTTTTTTTTTTTGGATTTCTTGTTGTTTGTTGGTTTATTCGGGGGACTAGGAGATCTTACATCGCATGTTCCTATGATAACTATATGAGCCATGTTGTGGTAAATGTGGGTAGTTGTGATGATGTCTGATGAGGAGTTCGGTGTGATGTTGTTGTTGTATTGATCGAGAGCTTCCAGATCATGAAGAGTTTGACCCGCACGAGCTCATGTAACCTCCAAAAGTGGAGAGCTACATGTAACTTACAAGGAGCTGTGAAGAAATGCCGTCAGCATTGGATCGAGGGATGGACTTTCCTCCCGCAATCCTGCAGGGCGAAAGCTTCCTGGACCTGAGCTCTTCTTCATCTTTTGCAGCGCAGCATTCATCTGCGTCACGCCCCACATTTCTCTCGGGGAGCTCAGATCCAGTAGCTATCCTACCCTGCCTACCTCTAGAAGGAGCATTGGGAAATCACAATTCTCACGTATTTGGCTCCCTCTTCCTCCCAACCATCGATATTCAATTCTCTCCATTGAAGTTCAATTTCTTCAAGAAGAAAATGAGCCCTCCAACAAATCGACAAGAAATCCTCTCGAAATTCCGCCAACAGATTCAAGATGGAAAAACTCTCGTCGGCGCAGGAGCAGGTGTGTCCAAGAAATAATCATCCCAATTATTTTCATCTTTTAACACTTCCTCCTCCCAAGGAATCGGCCTCTCCGCGAAATTCATCGAAGCGGGCGGCGGAGACCTCATCATAATCTACAACTCCGGCCGCTTCCGCATGGCGGGTCACGGATCTCTCGCAGGTCTCATGCCTTATTCCAACGCCAATGATGTCGTCGTGTCCATGGCTTCGGAGGTCCTACCCGTGGTGAAACATACGCCTGTGATTGCGGGAGTATGTGGGACGGATCCCTTTCGGGATATGGGGAGATTTTTGGGGGAGTTGAAGGGGATGGGGTTTGCGGGGGTGCAGAATTTCCCTACTGTTGGGTTGGTGGATGGGGAGTTTCGGAGGGGGTTGGAGGAGACTGGGATGGGGTTTGGGGGGGAGGTGGAGATGATTCGGTGGGTTTTGTCTTGTCTTGTCTTGTCTTGAATGATTGAGGGAAGGAAGGATGTGATGGAAGACTGACTTTCGTACAGGACTGCTCATGAGATGGGAATGTTGACTACCCCATATGTGTTTGATGTGCATCAAGCGAGGGATATGGTCTCAGCTGGAGCAGATGTGATTGTAGCACACATGGGACTCACAACTTCGGGGTCGATTGGAGCGCGATCGGGGAAGAGTTTGGATGATTGTGTCGAGTTGATCCAGGCAATTCGAGATGCTGGGGTGGGTGTGAGGGAGGATGTGATTGTGCTTTGTCATGGAGGACCGATTGCAGCACCGGATGATGCGAGGTATGTGTTGGAGAGGTGTCGAGGGGTTCATGGATTTTTCGGGGCCAGTAGTATGGAGAGATTGCCAGTGGAGCAGGCGATTACTGGTATTACGAGGGAATTTAAAGGGATTGTCATGAAATGAGATGAGATGAGATGATGGAATCATGGAWGGATTGATGGATTATTGATGCCATCTTGTTAGCTGCATATGATTGTGGTGGACATGCTTRGTAAGGTCGATTCCAAGCCTTGGGGGTTCTTTTACCCGAGCGGTGCTCTTCATGAGGTACCATGGAATGATGAGATGAATGCGATGAGTGAGATGCACCAATGAAATGGTAATTGCACACCCCAAGTAGTTTAGGTGATGGGAGGGAGCGGTGAAAGGCAATGGTGAGCAAGCGTCGCTATCCGAATCACTACTGTAATTGATACGGCAATACAAATAGCAAACATTCATTTTGCCGCACGAGCAGGGGTACCCTGGGARTGCATGCCCGCCGTCCCGCACGCACGCACGCACGCACGCCCGCACATGCTCAGCCGTGATGAAGTTCCGGAGAGTGGACCGCCGACTTTCTGCTGCGCTCTTTCCACTTGCATGCATGGAGATGTAATAGATGGAGGAGAATGATGGCTTTGTCTGTCTGTATGGAGGGAGTGATGGTGGTGGTGGTGGGAGTCACAGACGCGTCTCGCCATGAAGAACCATGTTTCATACCGCCATCAAGGTTCATCTAGCGCCGGCCGTAGATCTGATCAGCAGGCGAGAGGTTGAGGCGATGTAATGTCATCCATGCCATGTATTGTGTCTTGAGAATACTGCCACAATGCTGTGAACAATCCAAAGACTGTCATGTTATCACAATCTGCAGAGTTGATTTCCCACCCACCAAACAATACGAAACAATAGCATGCATGCAAAAGATGTGGTGTGGAGATGATCTGGTGGAGGGAACGGGTTGGGTGGGTTGGGTTGGAAGCGTGACGCTAGTCTACCTAGCTTAGCCCGGTTGGCTTTCCCTGGACGGGAGACGGAAAGGCACGCTTGGACTCGCATCTGGCGCTTTGGAGGCAGCGTGGCATGGATGGCATGAGATTGAGGACCATCTCTTCTCTTCATCATTACTGTTGGATCCATTACACCGTGCTGCACCTTTACATCATCTCAACCGTCGAGTTTCTTTGTCGATTCCAATCCCCGCCGCATCTGCAAGACATTTCCAGGAGTCGAGTGTGATCGGATCGACGAGTTCGAGTTCGAGAAGCGCCGGAAGGAACGGACGGGGGACTTGCCTTGCCTGCGCCTTTACCTGACGATCGACATCCAGCTACCTCTACCTTACCACTATCTTACCTACAACGTCCACCAGCACTTCCAACACACCTCGATCCACTCTCTTGCCGCATCACTTGGACGACATTCCCTCACCTCGAATCCCGGACTTTTCCGCACTGGTCCATTTCCATTCCCATCTCCATCAAACCCACAGTTCCCTTCTCATCGCCCTGTACCACCACCTGAAGCCCGTGTGACGGTTGCCTTTTTGCTTGCTTGCTGCTACTGCTGCTGCTGCTCCCTCTACCGGCCATCACCGCCTCTGCCTCAGCTCCGCACCTCACCTCACCTCACCATCCGCGCGTGCCCGAACATCCTCCGCCCTTCGGATGCCCGCACTCGCGCCTCATCGCCAACCGCCTCGTCGGCGTGACTAACGACGATCCACCATCCCACCTCACATTTCCACTCACAACATGGATCAAGCCAACATGATGCCTCATGGCATGTCGGCTCAACCGCAGGGCATGCAGCGTGCTCAGACGAATGGTATCTTACAAAATCTCTACGGAAAATTGGTCGAGGACATGCGCGCTCAGCTGGGTCAATATGTCAACACCTGGCAGGGCACCTTTGATTCGCGCGAGCGTGCCACTAAGATTGTTCAACTGTGAGTGTTTGCACATTTACACAAAGCCCCATTCTAACCATCCACCCGTTCAGCATCACACAACTGCGTCTCATCAATCCAGACTTGCACAAGTGCCTGCAGATTGCAACATCCTTTGAATCGCGCTCCTTTGGCGAGGCACAGAGCAAGGAGCAATATGTGGAGAGAATGGCCATGAAGTTTGAGGAAATCACCGAGAAGCGGAGGCAGAATGGTCAGATGGCGATGATGAATGGTGCTCCCATGATGCAGAACCAGAACAATCAGAACAATCAAAACAACCAGAACAACCAGAACAATGGTGGAGGAATGCAGAATCCTGGTATGATGAACATGGGTGGGAATGGGATGCAAAATGGTGGCATGGGTAATATGGGCAACATGAATAACATGAACGGCATGAACGGCATGACCAACATGTCCAACATGTCCAACATGAACATGACCAACATGGCCAACATGACCAACATGGGATTCTCTGGCCAGACCGGACAGATGAACGGCGCGACCGGGCAGAACTCGAACCCCATGTTTCCCCAACTACAACGACCGATGCAGCCTTCCTCTCTTCCCATGCAGCAACAGGCGCAACAGCAGCAACCCACCACCATGAACCCAGCCGCCCTCCAAATGAGCCAGCAACAACAACAAGCGCAGCAGGTTCAACAGCAACAACAACAATTGCAGCAACATCAAGCTCAACAGATGCGAGCACAAAACTTGAATCCGGCTGGCCAGTCACAGGCTCCAAACATGCGGAATGGGCAGGCTTCACAAGCTACACCTCCACATATTTTGGAGGCGGCAAAGTCCATGTACCAACAAATGCCCGAGGAGCAACGGAATGGAATCCGTCAAAAGATGTTGTCCAACATGACCGAGCAGCAAAGGATTGCACTTGCTCAGAGTGGTAGAGGAGATCCACTCATTTCATTCCTCGTCCGAAAGGCCATGGAGCAGGCACGGAAGCAAGCCCCAGGTGCCGCTACAGGCTTGCCCCCAAGCAATCCCGTCAACAACACCATGGGTGTGCCGATGGGTAATGCGCAGCGACCTCCTTCACAAGCAGACTCCCAGAATATCGACTTTTCCAGCATTCTGGGTCAGCAAGCCAATGCGCTCAAATTGCAAGAATCCGGAGAGCAGGTGGTGCCGGCGAGTAATAACAGCAACACTCAAAACGGCTTGAATCAGATGAACATGGGTCAGGGTGTCAACCCACAGATGTTGGGAAATCAAAACCCAGGAGGACAAATGAATCCCACCCAGATGCAGTTTTTCCTCTCGCAACAAAAAGATGCGCAGCAACGTGAGGCCATGCAGAAGCACTTGATGGCAAATCGTCAGGGTATGCCACGACAGCAAAATGGTCAGCTTCATGGCCAACCGGGCGGCTTGCACACTCCGAATGTGCTTGGCGGCGCTCCAGGTCAGGCCAACAGTCCGGCCATGTCCATGTTGAACCGTCCAATGGCACCGCCGGGACAGGCTACACCAGGTACACCTCAACCAGGTCGACAGCAGCCAGTGTCTGGAACTCCAATGAGCGGCGCCAGTCAACTTGCTCAACATCACCAAAACATGCTGCAGAATAACCAGCAACAACAGCAGATGAATCAAATGCCTCCACAGCAGATGAATCCTCAGCTCGCCTTTTTGCTCAGCAAGGTACCGCCACCAATGCGTGAGAGGTTGATGAACATGCCCACCGAACAAGCGCAAGAGTTTTTGATGAAATACAAACACCAACTGAGCGGTAGACAACAAGGCCAGCCGAACATGTACAACATGCCCAACATGCCCAACATGCCAAACATGCCCAACATGTCGAATATGCCCAACATGCCCAATATGCCCAACATGGGAGGCCCTCAACAAGGACAGCAACCTGGCTTCAACGCGCAGCCGGGTCAGAACCAGCAAGGAATGCAGATGGATCCCGCTCAGCAAGCGCAGACTCGTATCGCGCAACAGCAAGAACTCAAAATCAGACAGCAAGCAATGGACTTGATGCCATTCCCCAAAGCCGTGCTCATGCAGCTTAGCATTGCCGTGCCTCCACAAGTACAACGATGGGGAGACTTGAAGATGCATCTTCAGCAGAACGTGGCGAATGTGCCGCCTGGATCGCAGGAAAAATTGGCGGCACTACAGCAGCAGTGGTTCCAGCGTCCGGGCTTGTTTCAAGAAGCAATGCAACATTTGCAGCATCAACGGAACAACATGCAAGCGCGGCAGATGCAGGCGCAGATGCAGGCGGGTCAAATGTCGAATGAAGCTTCCCAGCAAGCAGGAATGATTCCTGACCGGCCGGCTCCTCCAGCACAAATGGTCCCTCCAGCGCCGATGATGCAGGCTCCAAACCAAGCCCTTCCATCCGGCGCGAATACACAGCCTCCATCCATGGCACCCGTCACTCCGCAAGATATTCAAATGTACCGTTCCAAACAGCCGCAAGCCGCAGGTTGGGATGATCAGACGGTTCGTAATATGATCTACCGAGGCCGACAGCACGCGCAGCAGCAGAGACAGGCGCAAATCCACGCCCAAGCACAATCCCAGGCTCAACAAGTGCAGCAGAAGCAGACTCCGGCACAATCTACCCCAATGTCGAGGCCGCCCACGCAGACTGGCGGACAGAATCCTGCCCAGCGTACTCAACAGCAAAAACACGCGGCCAGTGATGATGTGATTGAGATTTCAAGCCAAGCGGCGAAGCAGTCTACTCTACAGGCACCCGCGATGCAAGCCAGCGCCTCGCAATCACAGTCACAGTCGCAGTCGCAGTCACAGTCACAGTCGCAGTCCCAAGTGCCACGCCCAACTGCGGAACAACTGGCCAAGATGTCTCCCGTCGAGCGTGACGCATATGTTCAGAGATTTCAGAGAGCACAGCAACAGCAAGTACAGATGCACGCTCTGCGCAATGCCCAGGGACAACTGCCTGCTTCGGCTGGTACATCAGGAGCAAACAATCCCACCGGTCAGGGCGCTCCGCAAGCTGGAAATCCACCCAAGCTCACGATTGAGCACCAAAAACGCCTGCAACAGATGTTTACTGAAGTAGTACAGGCCAATCCAAAAGGACAAGTGATTCAATGCGATGAGGCTGGACTGGAAAGGGCGAGGAAGATTCTCAAGAAGCTGTGGTACCCGTCTCAGCGAATCACGGCGACTCTGTCGACGGCAATGTCCTTTCGCTTCACCGACGAGCGTCTGAAGGAGGTGATTCGAGCGCAGCTCATCGTTCAACRAAACGCCAAGGATGGTGAAGGTAACATCAAGGACTTTCTTGCCGTCACTCCTGAGCAGTTGTTGCGTCTCGAGCAGAGTTTGGCCTCGTACATGACGGAATTGAGGGAGAGACAAAGGCAGCTTGCCGCAATGAAACAGCCACAGCAACAACAGCAACAACAGCAACAGCCGCAGCAACAAATTCCAGCTGCCACATCCGGTACATCTCAGCCAGGCCACGTCCGCAAGGCATCGGCCAATCTCAAAGCGCCGCCAGCCCCGACCGACAACAAGCCCTTTGACTGGGCAGCACCCAGTCCGCATGGCATTCCAAAGTATGACACTGGGCGTAATGAGCTCACACCGGATAAGTTGAAGTTCCCGCCGAATAAGAAGCGCAAGACTGGACAGCCAGATAGCCAGGCCTCGACCCCTGCGAGCCCACCTGTTGGACAAGGCAAAGCTCAGACTTCCGACTTGACTCGCAAGCCTCAACAGCAGAAATTTGAGAGAGACTTGCAAAAGTTCCGCTGTAATGATGCCACTTGTGATGCTTCCATGCATGGATTTGAAACGGAAGATCAGCTGCAGCAGCACCTTCAAACTCAGCACCAGCAGATTGCAGATCCACTGGCATTCCTATTGGACAACGCAAGCAATGCGCTGGGTGTTGATGCCACTACTGGTGCGACTGATACAAAGCAGCCACCAACAAAGCAAGAACATCAAGAACGGCAAGAACGGCAAGAACGGCAAGAACAGCAAGCTACTGGCAAGAGTGGCATCATCGAGAGTGAAAAGGTGGCCGCGAGCGAGCAGACATTGTGGGAGTCGCTGGCTGAAAAGATCGCCATGCCAGACCCACAACTCCCCAGTGCGGCCATGATGGACACCGGCATGGACAACTACTGGGATGGAACCATGATGCAATACAACAACAACGGCTGGCCTTTCGATGATGATATGGATGCCAGCACCAAGGAGGTCATCGACACGATGAATTGGCAGTACAAATACTGCGACCTCGTCGACCCGACGACGGATCGGTGGGAACTACGTCCGGGGGCCTTGGATGCGGATTCCTCCCCGGAACTCACCCCCGCTTCCAGTTCGAGCAGTTTAAGCAGTGACGTCTCGCAGTCGGATGCGTTGAACTTCCTCCTGACCGTGGAGAATTTCGATGATGCGGGTGGGGTGCCGCAGAGTATGATTCCCATGTATCATCAAATCAAGGGCATGCTGAATGATGATGCTCCTCCTTCTTGTGCTGCTGGTAATGAGGGAGGTGAGAAAGGGGAAAAGGATGGTGTAGTGGTGGAGGGGGTGGAGAATTGGAAGAAGAGGCGGGCGCAAGAAGCCAATGTCATGGCGCAGGATTTCTGGGCGACTTATTATGATTGAGTTGAGGGATGTGAAATGTCGAGGGGTGATGTCGGTGGGAGAGAGAGAGTGTGTGTGTGTGGATATATTTGAGCGGGGATTTAGCGATGGCGTTTTTTGAGAGCGGTTTGGGGGGAAATGGGGGTCTCATTGAGAGGTTCAACTCTGTCTGTCTGTTGATATATAGACTGGGGAGGGAGTTATCTGGGGTGGTGGTTCTTTTGGAGAAGGATATACCCATCGTCTTTCTTTTTTTGATAATATCAACCAACCAATAGCACGTACTCTCGTTTTAGAGAGAAAAGCGCTTCTTGAGCAAGTCTTTGATTTACTGGATCTTCTCTACAGGTATAATGAACATGAACGTGATGTGTATAAAAGCGTCTCTAATCTAGGTTTGTACTTTATTCGATGTCGCCTGGAGTATTAATAATTCTGCTATCTTATCGTATGAAAATGTTTAGAGAAGTATAAGATCTATCATCTATCATAAATCCCATTGCCTGCGAACTGGATGGCTCCATTCTCAGGATCATGTTGATGTGATCACCTCCCAGGTATTCCTTGGCGAATTCGAAGCCTTCTGTTCTAGCGCCAAAGCTTCTTCCCTCCCGTCCCATCCATCATCTCATCATCACCATCTCCTCCAACCTCCACCTTTCATGGCCACTCCCACTTCCCCCATCCCCTTCATCCCCGCCAAATGCCGCGTCTCTCAGGTCTCCAAAGAGACGTCCTATCTCTCTACCGCCGATGTCTCCGCTCCGCACGCACGAAACCCTCGACCACGCGTCCCAATTTCGAAGTCTTTGCAAGGCAAGAATTCGAGAAGAATTTACATCTCAGCAAGAAAGATTTCGGGACCATTGAATTTTTGGTGAGGAAGGGACAACGACAATGTGAGGTTTATGAGGCGAGGAATATTACCAATATCGCTGGCTTTACTTGAGAGTCGGGTGGAGATGGTATGCATGCATGGGTGAGTGTTCTTGACATCCCCTTCTCCTTACCTACCCACATGATGATTTATTCAGAATTCTGCAAATCCTATTTGGCTTTTCTCGGAAAGCTTATGACGATTATTCTTATCACATACACTTTTGAACTGATTGCGAAATAACTTCGATTGCACACTATTGTCGGTACTATCTCGACGTCCATGGCTGACATTCCCTTCTTACAGRCTGGAATACCTCCCACTACTCCTTCAATGGCGGGCTGTTACCAAAGCTCAGAGCAGCAACATGCTCTGGGTATCGGTCTCCGACAATCTTGTGACTGGCGAGAAGACTGTCAATCTCCTTGAGGTCATTCTCGCTCAGCTCCACTTCCACCAGATTCTCACGAACTCGCTCGGCTGTCGTCGCTCCAGGGATGGGAATGAAAATTGGGAGACCGTTGCGACCGCTTTGACTTCTCACCCAAGCAAGTCCAATCTGACCAGGCGTGCAACCCTTCCTGTTGGCAATGGCTTCGAGCTCGTGTACCATTTTGATGTTGTGCTCGAAATTCTCGGGCTGGAATTGGGGGTAGTGTCGACGCATGTCGTCTTCGGGGATGTCTATGATGGAGGGTCAGTCAAAGATATTTGAAAGGGTAGGATAGCCTGCCTGTCTTACCAGAGATGCTCTTGATCTGACCCGTCAAGAAACCGCGTCCGAGTGGGCTGAAAAGAAACGAGTCAGTAAAAACTGGCAGGGAGAAGATTTGGTGGATAACTCGCCTGTACGCAACGATGGGGATGTCAAGCTCAGCGCAGGCTTGAGCAACACCATTCTCAAGAATAGTCCTCTCCCACAATCTGATTGACAAACTCGTCAGCGATAGCTTTTTGCGAAGTAAGGATGACATGGCCAAACATACGAAAACTCAACCTCAACAGCCGAAATCTCGACTTCCTTCGCAGCTCGACGGATCGTGTCCGCACTACACTCCGAAAGACTAATCCCACCCAATTTCCCGGATTTGATATACTCATTAGCAGTACGCATGGTAATCTCAATAGGTGTATTGGGATCCACTCTCGCGGCTTCGAAAATATCCAATGACTTCTTCCCGTCTAGAACTCGAAGACATTCTTCAATTGAACGACGGATATTGTCGGGGCTACCGTCGGGTTTCATGCCGCCTTTTATTAGGCCGCCTTTGATTGAGATTACGACTTTGGATGCTGGGAGGGAGGGATGTAGTGTTAGAAAAGATGTTGTATGTAGTGGGAAATTTATTGTTGTTCACTTACCATCTTGGGGATATTTTGTGAAGTATTCGTTTAGGAGATGGAGACTGTTGCGCTGTTCATTTCCATATCTGTTCAATAAATGAAGCAGTCAGTGACCGACCGACTATTTGTTTTTTGAAAGTTGAAGGGAGTGTCGTTTGAGTGGAAAACTTACAATTCGCCACCATTCCAGAAATTCGCTCCGTTGTCCAAGGCAGTTTCTAGAAACTCTATGTATTAGTACATGTCCAGTATTTTGAAAAGGCGAAGAAGCCGAAGCCGAAGAAGACGAAGAACGAGGGACGAAGGATGAATGAGGGGGAGGGGGAAAAGAAAAAGAAAACATACTCATCGCCTCAAAAGCCTGCTCCTGTGTCGGAGGATTGGCCCTCCAAGTYAATCCCATCAATCCATAACCCGTATGATGAATCTTTTGGCCTGCGATGCTGATTTCCTTGTTTTTGTTGGTGGGGAGGTGGAGGGCGTCTTTTGCTTTGTTGAGGAGGGAGGCCATTTTTTGGTTTGCTGACTTGGTTTTGGGAGGGAGGGAGGGAGGGGATGGGATGGGATGGGATGGGGTTGTAGTAGGTATGGTAGGTGAACAGTGTGTTGAGTCTCTGGAGGTTGCTGTTGTTAGTTGTCCCTCTATCTATCTTAGTGGGGGAAAGGAAGTTAGGATTGAATTGGATTGTTTGCTTACGATCTTATCCTGTGTAGGATGGAGATGTGTAAGAAGAAGAAGTAGTAGTAAATGTTTGCTGTGTGTGTGTGTGTGCGTGGGCAAAAGAGTAAGTACTTAAACTACGTTTAACTACGACGTAGTTAGGTAAAGTACTCCGGAGTAAGCTTCGGAGTTTGTAGTTTTGCGTTATCTCCATCTCCATCCAGCTAACTAGGTATCATATATGACGATGATGCACGAGGAATTCTTCTTACGCGATGATGTAATCTACATGTACATGTTACACACTCATTCATACAAGTCGGGGGAGTTTTTGTTTCCAATTTCTCGTGGATGCAACGTGAAAGAGTGATTTAATATAAAAGACGTAAACTTGGAAAATGTTGTGAATGTCGCAAAGCAGTTTCAGAGGACATTTCTGGTTGGCTCATTTCTTGCTTCGATATCGATAGCTCAGTAATGGTACTGCTCGCAGCGATATATGTGCACGGTTAGAATTCTCGTAGCTCTCCGCCATGAGTACCGTATAACCATACTCGATCGTTATTCTCATGCCTTGATCCGATCTCACAGGCGTGAGAAATCCTCTACACCCATGTTCCATGTAGCACTTTCGCGTGCGCATTCTACTCCATCCATATTCATCCGTTGCCCCAGTGTTACTTCCCACCAATTCGTGACTTCGTTATCGCTTGAGAGCACTTGACGGATTGATCGTCTCGTCGCCTACGTTGATGTCCACCATCAAGCAGCGACATGCTGCTCATACCACGCCGGTTCTTCCCTCTGAATCAGCGTCGTGACTTTCTCTACTTCCTCGGCAAGGTTCTGCACATTCGTATCCCATGCACGAAGATCCATCTTGGCAAGACCACTCTCCTTGGTGTTGAAGTGAATCACGCCTGCGATTTGATCGATCGATCCGGACAGACGATTGCTCTCGATCATKGTAGAAGCATACACTTCTGCCTTGTCAGCATCCACACCAAGCAGTCCACCAAGGTTCTGGAAGGAGATGTTTGCGTAGATTCTTGAAACCGCCAGGAGATTGTGCTCCAGAACTGCCTTGTCGAGAACAGTGCTGCCATCAGACGTCTTGGCGAGTTGGTGGTCTTTGAGGTTGGCTGCAAATGCAGCAACTTCGGATGGTGCAAGGATACGATCGAGGAAGATCTTCTCCAGTATACTGTACTCTGGCGTGTCGGATGTACGCTCATCCTTGTACAGCTTGGCGAGTTGACGACCACGAAGCGGGCCAGCAGGCGCTAGTACGGCGCAAGTAATGGCGGCTGAAAGTGCCTGCAAGCGCTCTTCCTCATCAATGACAGCTTCGTTGGATAGAGTGAGATATGCTGCAGAGGCGTCGAGGAAGTTGCGCTGCGAATCGCTGATCCGAGCCTGACAAAGTTGGAATTGTAAACGGGTGGGCTGATCGGTCACGCTGAAAATGATTTGCTTGATCTTGTTCAGGTAGGTGAGAGCGTTGGTGGGATCGTCCTCCTCCAGGTAGCATCGGCAGATTCGCATCCACACTTTGGCCTTTTCGTCATCGCTGACAGTTCGCTGGGAAGATTCGAGTGCAATGGTTTGGAGTGTCTTGGCCGAGTTGATGAAGTCGTTGTCCGCTTCGTAAGTATCCGCAAGAATGAGCTTGAGTTCCGTGTCCTGCTGTTCGTACGACACCACCTTTGGAGCGAGGATCTGGATGATTTGTGTTCTGTTGTATGACGTTAGCATCTCATTCGCTGACTTTGCAATGAGAGTCTGGCTCAYCCTGCTTCGGTCTTGATATCGTTGTTGCTGAGAGCGCGAAATTGTTCGATGAATGCAGATAGGAGCGGCCGCGAGTAGATCACCCCGATATTGTCGGATGTTATGCTTTGCACATATTGTACTATGTTACTCTCAAGATCGTCCTTCGTCGCCATGATTCGCTGAAGGATGCTGTTGTATTGAGCTGCGCGGTCATTGGCGCCACCGCCAGCCTCAAGCGAAGCGAGCTCGGATGCGAAAGAAGCCATCTTTAATGGGTCAGTATTTGGATGACGATGGTATCAAATTGAAAAGCTGTCAATACCTTGAGATGACGGGATGTATCGCGGGCACAAAGTGAGGTTGGTGTTTGTAGTTTACAAGATCGACGAGGTACGGTAGCTGTTGCTAGCGCAAGCTCGGACCAGGCGGACTGGGATTCACTATGAGGATTGGCATTATTTGCATGTACGTATATCACCAAGCTCTATTATTTGATAGAGCATGCTGAATAGTCCGCTATGCATTGTATGGGAGCAGCGACTTGTTACTCGTTTCTCGCATTGGCAGTGCTGCAAGGCTATTGCATTAAAGCACGTCCTTGTAAGGCCATCGTCCTGGCCCAGAAACTGACCGTCAAGTCGCGCGACAGTAGCAACAAATCTCCGACGCCCTTTTCAGTCGCCAAGTAGGCAACTCGCCATAAAAGCTCCGTCGAACCATGTATGCACATTTGACATTCGCCTCTGCGGTCGTTATTCTTACAACATAGCCGCACCTTGCCCAACACCCATCACTCCCGCGTCTCGCCCTCATTCATCCCATATATGCATCCGCATCCCACTCCACCTCCGCTTACTCAGTCTTCGGAATGTAGTTCTGTTGCTCAAACAAATAGCCCTTGATTTTGCTGTGCTTCAATTGCTGGAGGTATCGCTCTGCAAAAACCAATCAGCCTAAAATTCTCCCCACATCTCATGCACTTCCAGCGAGTAGTGAGTGCTGCCTTACCTCTCAAGTGTCCGCACTTCTCCAAATGATTCACGCCCTCACGGTAGTAGCATTTGCCCATTTCCTCGCGGATCAGCCGYGCCATCATGCTCTGCACCCATTGCTCTCGGATGATGGAGTCCTGTGCAGCCTTTAGGGCCTTGTTATCATCGTAGTCTACGCCATCAAAGGTTGGAGGRACCGTGGGCTTCGAGGCCTTGAAGGATTCCGATTCGGGGGTAGGCATTGCGGCGGTAGGAGCGGATGTGGGTGACTTCGGCTGAGCAATGTTATTCTCTCCTTCACATGAGCTGCGAGTCTGGATGGGAGAAAGTGTTCTTTCGCGAGTCGTGGAGTCGTAGATGTAGATGTAGATGTAGATGTATGGACCGTCACCTTCAATTTGGCGCTAGTACGGCTGGTCCCGCTTACTCTTCGGTGATGGTTGGCGTTGAATCTCCTGGCGTTGTCTTCCTTTTACTTCGCCTCCAACTGAACCTCTTCATACTCTTCCTTCGCGATGGCGATTCGCTTAGCTTTCGCTCTTGCAGTTCCCTTTCTTCCGCCTTTTTGGTCCAGTAATCGGTCCCACCAGTCGAGGCGTATGAAACTTTCCACTTCGCTTCATCAAACTGGATAACTTGGCTATTGTTTATATCACTCAGCAAAGCCTCTCGTCGAGCATGGCATGGTGGACACAGTCTGTCAACTCTGAGCGTCTTGTAGGGATGCGCGGTAATGGTACATGTCGTGGACCATTGCACTTGCGGACCAATGCAGGCGTGGCGACATTCTATGAGTGGACGTGGGCTGAATGTACTATGCCCGCACGTCGCATATATCATTCGACTGTGGCAGCACATGCTGAGAATGGGTTATAAGAATATGCAGTGTGTACATTGCTATATCCGAGATCTTGAGGATGTACGTTTTGGGCTGTTCTTTGTCACAAAGTACAATCCAAGCCAACTATTCTTTTCCTTGTTCGACATGCACCATCTAGATATCAGGAGCTTTGTGCCTTTGCCTCTTCATACCTCTCGCTCTGCGGTTCTTCTTGCCACTTTCCTTCTCCCATAGCACTTGTGTCGAAGCCGTGAAGTTCAAGGTACTCTCTAAATTTGATGTCTTCTTCTGCGATGGTGTTTTGAGTGATCTCAGGCAACAACCACACAAGGAATGCGCTCAGAAAGCAGAGGCTCGAAGCGACGTAGAAAGGATATTGGCCTTGCTTGATCACGTCGTTGCCACCGGCCCCCTGAATATATGGCTGTAGGTCGCACTCAGTAAGCGTGTGAACATTCCAGACAGACGTTTGAGTGAACCTACGAAGATGTAGTTCCCGATGAAGGCACCTATCTTCCCCATAGCAGCTGCAATCGCATAGTATCTGAAGAGATGAAACGGGTCAGCGAGGTCGAAGCGCAGATGAGGAGCTAGAAAAATAGTGGCGGTAACTTCACGCCATTTTCATTGCTCTCCAACATTTCACTCACTGCGCTCTGATACCGGTGGCGCACGTCTTCGAGGCGACGAGACCGATGTTGTCACCAGGGCCCATCTCACCGAGCTATCAAAAGGGTAGGAGTGTCAGCGATATCTAAGACGTTGTCGATGTGGACAGAGACAGGAGACCCTCTATGCCTTCTGCCCTTCATTATCTTACCATGAGGAAGACTCCATATACCACGACGAAGGCAGCAATATTGTCGGGACGTCTGAGATCTGAAAGGTTATTGTTAGCGGCTTTCAACCAAAAACGCGGCGGAAAATCCATACACTCGTAGCATCCACTCATAATGAATCCCAGGACACCCTGTGCAATCACAAAAGTACCCAGGGCCTTGCGCGGGCCCATCCAGTCTGAGGTGAAGGAGCCGAATATGGCACCGGGCAAGTAGAAAGAGTTCACGAGGACCGACCAGCCCAAGGTCTGCCAAAGGACACGATCTGGCTGAATCACATCAATCCAGGCCGAAGAATAGATTGAGAATGGGCTTCAAATGGTCAGCCTTTCATTGACCACACTTTACTGCTGGATGAACTCACTAAGTCAAGAAGTCGTAGATGAACCATATTCCTGAGACTAGGATTAATCTGTGTTTTGGATCAGCCTGAGCGACATCCTTGAAGCCATGGAACCAGTGCACTCAAAAGCGGTGTACCCTCAATATCTTACCTCGGACCATAGAACTWGAGGGCGAGCCAATATGGCATCTTTGTCTTTTTGAAAGACTGCTTCGAGAAGGATTCGGGCTCCTTCAGCTTGATCCGAAGATAGAGCAGCGACAAGGGAGGGACTACTCCCAAAGCCAGAGACAGGCGCCAGACAAGAGTGAGATTGTTTGGGGCGATCCTGGTGATTATCATAGGAACTAAAGTACCCAAAACGAACCCGAAGTCAATCTGAACATTGGTGAAAAGGCAGAACCAGCGATTGCGGGAGCCTTCTTTCAGCTCGCCACTGGACTCTGCACAGGTCACGCTTCCGGCAGGATATTCACCGCTGCGTGAGATATTAGTTGGCATTCAAACAGCATCAATATGATGAACATACCCTATACCTATTCCAAGGAGGAATCTGTACGCTGTTAGAGCTGCGAATAGGCCTCCGATGGAACCTCCTGCGCCATAAGATCCAGCTCCGAGCGCAGCAAAGACGAAGAGAATCACAGTGGAGACAACCAGTGACCACTTTCTGCTGAAATGGTCGGATGTGTATCCGAAGAATAATTGACCGACAACTGTTCCAGCGAACGCGAGGGAAGTGACATTTTGCTGGGCGCTACTTTTGCTGTATTCGTCTCCGTAGATGGTCTTAAGACAGGTGTTCACTGGACCGATTACACTACAAGCGGTTATCGAGGTCAGCATGAGCCTTGAGCATCAAAGACCTAGGAGAATGCCTCCATCTGTGCCCTAACCTTTGTAAATATCCATCCGACTGGTTCAAGCATAGATATGTTAGCTGGGAAGTAGGCTGAAACGGGGCGTTTGCTCAAATCTGAACATTCGATAGCCGCTCTGATCATTTCACTCTCCTCGTCGAGCGGCCACTAAGTCCGGCATGTCACAACACGCCATCGAATCTGTCTCGATAAGGCTGGTATCACTTACAAAAAGCCCGGCGCCAGCTAGATGACAATATCAGCAATTGTGTCTTGCCACAAACGTTCAGAACAGCTCACCAGCTAGACTTGGCCTCAACTGTTGCCAGCGTGTGAGTGTCGGTGCATTCTCGAGACTTGAGTGACTCTCGAGAGCGACTGCATCGGCATGCTCCTCACTGGCGTGGAACGTATTCCTCTTGGTTGACATGGTCCTCCGACGCGACTCAAAATGGGATTATGACGCTTGTCGATGAGAAAGATCAAGATGGGGGAGGCCTCGCTGTRATGCAAGTGGAATCTTCCGTTGACGCTAGGTACCTTGCAATCCTTCGAATCCATCTCATCAAGGGTCTCTCTCGGTTTAGCGTGGTCGTCCCACGCGCCAAACGATCAACTTGCCACACGACTCGTAAAAGGTTACCCTGTCCGGCAAGGACCCGCCGGCTCTTAGATTGTGCCTCTGGTGGCAGCCGCAATCTCTTGCATCTTCAAGACGAACAAGGCTGCATCCAGACTCTCAATCCGATTCATCTGATTATGATTCAGTGCGTCATTGCAAAGATCCATCATGAGCCAACCATCTGGAACATGAGATCTGCAGTCACGATAAAGTAAGAGCACGCAGCCTTGAGGCAGCGTGGAGTAATTTCTCCGCTTTCTACAGAGAACCCTGCAGCCAAGACGACAAACAAGCCTCTGCATTTTGCTTGTCTTGCAGGCCAACACCGACGTCAGGAGTCGGCTTTCAATCCTGCATTTCTGGAGACCATCCSAACAACCATCTATCTCTTTCGGCACGGCGTTTTGTGAGAGATCGGTAAAGTCTGATCAGTCACCTCGCAAGCTCTGGACGAGGCGTGTCGTCCAAAGGCAGCAACGGGCACTCTTGTGAGCATTGATTTGCCGATCGGTTGCCACAGCGGACGGTCCTCTGCAACATGCGCCTTGAAACGCAAACGATTTTGTGCTGTTAAGATCTTTTCCGCAACACTGTCATGTCTGGCGCCCGGCAATGGCTTGTTGAAAGACCTGGGGCAGCATCCGTCATATTCGGGCTGCCGGGCGTCGAAGCTCGCTCGTCTGGTGAGGGAAGAGGCCTTGGACTGTTCGCGACCCGTGCAATTCCAGCATTCAGCAAGATATTGAGTGACCCACCTCTGATCTTAATGAAGCCCACGGATGACCTTCCTCAGCTGTACGAACAATTTCAACATCTATCGAAAGATTCACGAGATACATATCTCTCGCTTAGCTACAACAAAGATGATCCCAAGCGCGATGCCATGCTCAGGGATAAGCTCCTCAAGCGAGGCTTCCGCGAAGGTCTAACAGAGATGGCCAATGTAGCAAGTATAATGCAGACCAACGCTTTCAATGTAAGTCCTGCCCAAAGTCTCACAATCTCATAACTTCATAATCCCCATCGTTCTCTGTCCAACTTCGCCCATGTTCTCCTGGAACCTTGCTGTCCATCCACAAACCGAACCACCTACATCGCCTTGTGCTTACTCTCGCCACAGGTGGATCTCAACGATGGCAAAGGCTCGACTCATCGTGCCCTATTTGCAAAAATTGCCAGAATCAATCACTCCTGCGCACCAAATGCGCACGTCTGCTTCTACAGACCATCAAATCCCGATTCTAGAGGCCACATGGTCGTACACACCCTCGCACCTCTGCAAGCCGGCGAAGAAATCCTCATCTCATACTTCAACATCTTGCTGCCCCGACAGGAAAGACAAACCAAAGCTTCCAAATGGGGATTCTCTTGTCAATGTCCAATATGCGACGAATCATCAGACTCTCACGCGAATAACGAGACGGCCCGAAAGGAAATCAGAGAATTTACCGCCCAACAGGCTCGCATGATGCAAAACGCTCGCACCCCAATCAAAACTCTCCACGCCGCATGCGAACGCGGAGAAACCATCATCTCACAGACGCTGGAGACCAGCGCTCTATATCCCGCATTACCAGAMCTTTTCGATGCTCTGGGTATGCTGCAAGCAAAACTCCTCATCGAGCAAAAACGAGAGACGGAGCGAGAACATGTCGTTGCACATTTGAAGAGTGCTGCACTATGGGAAGCACGTATTACCGGGCCTGATAGTCCAGCGACGATTGATCGACTGGCAAAACTTGGGAAATTCGCCAGTCGAAAGGGTCATGTTCATGACTTTCGTATTGAAAGGAGTGCGGGCGGCGAATTGGACGTGGTTTGATTGGCAGCTACAGTAGAATTGCGAGCGACCAGAGTCTCGCGGATGCGGACCGTTCAGCAGAAGTTTGCGAACAGGTAGCTACAAGCACAAAAAGAAGCAAGCTTGCGGAGAGTCAGATGTTATGTCGAATAACTAATGCATCTTTGATCGTGATGTTCTTGTTGCAGAAAGCACAACCATCTTTGACTGCTGCTGCAGATTTACCGGCCCTTGGAAGTAGGCATCGGCGGCTCTCAAATAGGGTAGACACTTTGGTAGACACTTTGGCCATCGTCGACGACGGTCATGGCTTTCGCCTCACAAATGTAAAAAAGACGTGCCTTGGTGGTGAATCTGTCAATTCGCTCCCAAGGGCTAGCTTGCCAATGCTAGCTAACATTTCTCTGCTCAATCGGTATTTCGCGGTACGCAGCAACAATTTCAAATAAGCTGTCTGCATTCGTCGTGATATGAAGACGTCACGGCCGTATGCCTAGTGCTTTGTCCGAACATGTATCCTTTCAATCCTCCTAGTCGTCGGCCACGCATCATCGCTTGTTGGGGAACGCTTACTCCTCATCCTCGATCGGAGCCTCCTCATCGTACTCCTCAGCATCCGAAACAGATGCCTCCTGGTACTGCTGGTACTCGGACACAAGATCGTTCATGTTGGACTCAGCCTCGGTGAACTCCATCTCGTCCATGCCCTCACCAGTGTACCAATGCAAGAAAGCCTTGCGCCTGAACATGGCAGTGAACTGGTCACCGACACGCTTGAAGAGCTCCTGGATGGATGTGCTGTTACCGACAAAGGTAGACGACATCTTGAGGCCACGTGGGGGGATGGAGCACAGAGCGGTCTGGACGTTGTTGGGGATCCACTCAACGAAGTAGGCGGTGTTCTTGTTCTGGACGTTGCGGATCTGGTCCTCGACTTCCTTCATCGAGACCTTGCCACGGTAGATGGCAGAGCAGGTGAGGTAGCGACCGTTGCGGAAGTCGCTGGCAGCCATCATGTTCTTTGGGTCGAAGATCTGCTGGGTGAGCTCAGGGACGGTGACGGCACGGAAAGAGTGGGCGCCACGGCTGGTGAGAGGAGCAAATCCGACCATGAAGAAGTGGAGACGTGGGAACGGCACCATGTTGACGGCGAGCTTGCGAAGATCGCTGTTGAGCTGACCTGGGAAACGCAGGCAAGTGGTCACACCAGACATGACAGCGGAGACCAGGTGGTTGAGGTCGCCGTATGATGGGTTGTTGAGCTTCAAAGTTCGCATGCAGATATCGTACAGAGCCTCGTTGTCAATGCAGAAGGTCGCGTCGGAGTTCTCGACCAGCTGGTGGACGGAGAGAGTGGCGTTGTAAGGCTCAACAACGGTGTCTGAGACCTTGGGAGATGGCATGACGGAGAAGGTAGCCATCATGCGGTCGGGGAATTCCTCGCGAATCTTGCTGATGAGGAGAGTGCCCATACCGGCACCAGTACCACCACCGAGAGAGTGGGTGATCTGGAAACCTTGAAGGCAGTCACAGCCCTCGGCCTCACGACGAACAACATCGAGCACCTGGTCGACGAGCTCAGCGCCCTCGGTGTAGTGACCCTTGGCCCAGTTGTTTCCGGCTCCTGACTGGCCGAAGACGAAGTTGTCTGGGCGGAAAAGCTGGCCGAATGGACCTGCGCGGACAGCGTCCATGGTACCAGGCTCGAGATCGACGAGGACGGCACGTGGGACGTACTTGTTKCCAGAGGCCTATTGGACGCGTTAGAACATGTCTTGGCGGTTCGTGTGGGGTAAACATGAGGCACATACCTCGTTGAAGTAGACGTTCATACGCTCGAGTTGAAGGTCGGACGTGCCATTGTACCTGTGCCGCGTCAGCGTTGTCCCTGTTCGATTGCATCTCTTTTTGTTGTACATACACGCCGGAGCCGTCGAGGCCATGCTCGCCGGAGATAGTTTGCCTGCGATTGTCAATACAGTTCAAGCGGCAGAGGATTGAAGTGTAATTCCAGCGTACCAAAAGGCCGCACCGATTTGGTTGCCGCACTGGCCAGTCTGGAGGTGGACCTGAGATCACATCACTGTCAGCGACTTGTTGTTGTCGGGCTGGGGTCGATTGAGACGCGGGATGCGCGCGCAGAGCGTCAGGGGAGCGGTGTGTGCGTGTTTCGCCGTGGGCGGTGGGTTTTCGGCCGTCTCTAGGGAGGAAATACTAACAATTTCGCGCATACCGGGCATGTGGTGTAATGTTAGCAAATGCGAGGAGCAGGGACGTTGTAGAAGACTTATTCAAGGTGGGGATTTCGGACGGGTGGTGTTGTTGTTGAAGTTGAAGTCGAAGAGGGGACCAGAATTGGCAGGGACCTAAAGAACTAAAGCTCGCCAAACCCACACTAGCGTGACAGCAGGAACCGCAGCACAACAAGAAGAAGCTTCTCACTCGATCAAGCTGGCGGCAAGGACTCGTCACAATGGCTTCACTGCGTCTTGCGATTCCCGTGCCACGCGCAGGTCTCTCGCTTCACTCCAAACAACTTCAACAACGATGGCTGCTTCCATCAATCACCCGTAGCATAATTCGCCATGCTTCGACCGAGAGACCTCCTCCACCCAAACCTCGCGTGTTGGAAAAGCCAGACAAGTTCCGTCCGCCTTCGCATCCATCGCGGTTACGGAGCAAGCCCCGCTACAACTATGGACCGGATCTCACACAGGAGCAAAAGACGGTTCGCCAGTATCCGCATATGATGCCTCCGGAGGGTACATTCATGCATTGGTTCTTGACGAACAGGACTATCCACTTGTACATAAGCTTGGTGAATACACATGAGTACTTGTTCATTCCGTACACTAGCTAACACTATCAAGGGGATTCTCGTGTTTCTAGTCTTCGGTGTGTGGATCGCTGACTTCCTACACAACACTCCGTATCAAGATCTACTCCCCCCCAACAGTATGGTCTTTTCCCATCCTTTCCGATGGGCCGCCCGTTACATCGAGGTCTATGACATGCATGTTGCGTATGTCTCGGCGGAAACGAAAGAAAGGCGGAAGCAAAAAGTCGATGACGTGCAGAAACGCAGCGAGTATCGCAAAGCACACGGCATCGCGCAGGGTGAGGGTATATTCGGAGGCTGGACTGCCAAAACAGACGAGGAGAGTGTTGGACCTGCGTTACAGAATGAGGGCGCCAGCCCGAGCTTCTCAAGGGGAGTTGATTTCACAAAGGCCACGGAAGATGTTGAGCAAACTGCAGCGCAGAATTCAAAGGACACCTTTGTCGACTTTGAGGGCAATACTCAGTCAGCAGAACAGAAGAAGTGGTTCGRGATCTGGTAGACACATACAAATGCTAGCGAAGATGTCACACGCTCGGCTCTATTTTGCTGCAATCTTTACATACTGTTCAGACATTCGGGTATAGTCGAAGCAATCCTCACGATTTATCTCCTCCTCAGACACTCTCACTCAGTAATCAAAGTCATCATCGACCGCGGCCTTCTTATCCTTACCTACGGTCTCCTGCTTGCGATACATCTCCGCAACCTGCCGACTGCTCGTAGCCGAGTCGGGCTTTTTGTCGTCTCTTACACGAATGAATCGAGGGAAACGCAGACTGACGCCCTTGTGGACACCATCGCCCCCAAACTCTGAGCTGGCAGCACGGTAACGAGGACTGAGGGTCAGGTCGGCAGTCTTGACCTCCCAGACGAACTTCGGCTCGAACCAGACGTCCGGCTGGTCGTTTTTGCCGGTGGAATGATCGTAGAAGGGCTTGGGACGATCGATGGTCAGTGGAGATAGGATTTCATGAAGCTCAGCAAGAAGGGCCTCCGAGAATCCAGTGCCGATATTGCAGACGGTCTCGTACTTCTCCGTACTCGTATTGTAGCACGCAAGTGTAAACGCACCGTACCAGTTCGTGCGCTTGCCTTTGCCGTAGTATGCTCCAAGCACAACAAGGTCCAGCGAGTCACCGGCGCCCGCGAGATAGTCTTTCTTGACCTTCAGCCAGTTCTGAGAACGGCGAGATGGCTCATAATGTGACTCCACGCCGTCAAGCATCTTCACCATCAGTCCCTCGCATGAAGCCTCGATCGACYCATCCAGCAGAGTCTGAATCTCTTCAATCTCTTTGGTGTTGCCAAACTTGGCGAATGCAAACTCGCCCTCAACTTCATCAAACGCGCTGTACATCAACTCGCGGCGCTCGCGGAATGGCTTGTTCACCAGTGCCTCGCCATCCAGGTACAGGATGTCAAAAGCGAAGACGCAGACCTTGACTTTGACATCCTCTGCTTTGACATCCTTCTTCTTGCGGGTCATGAGCTGTTGAAAGGGAAGGACGTGCTTCTTTTCGATGTCCCATGCGACAGTCTCACAGTCGAGGACAAAGCTGGTGGTGCCCTTCTTAATCCAGGTTGGTAGCTTGCTGAGGATGTCGGGATACTTCTTGCTCAGGTCTTCGCTGTTACGGGAGAAGATGTTGGATACACCACGCTCAGACTTTCCCGCAGTGGGCGCGACGGTCGTGGCAAAGTCTAGGTCCGAGTCGTGTGAGACAAAATGAATTTGCGCTCGCTCGCCATCGTACTTGTACTCGCAGGTGAAGTCCTTGCCTTCGAATCGGTTGAGCACCTCTCCCAGCGACTTGGTTGGCTTAGCAAGCATGGGTTTGAGAGGCACGCCGGGACGTAGCTTCAGAGAACCCCGTAGCTTCCATATGCCATTCTCCAGCAGTGCTGGAACAATTACCTCATACGAAGGCAGTTCATTGTAGACGGCCTTGAATGTTTCTTCGCCTTTCTTGAGCTCCTCGTCCGATGGTACCTTTCGACCGTCCTCAGATGCTGCGTGTGAAACCATGGCATGAGCAAGAGCAACTTGCATGCTCTTCTCAGCTAGACCAAGTCTCATCTTGCCTTCAAGAGCTCGAATGATAAACTTGGACTCGCTTGGACCGCCCTTGTCCTCATTTATGTCAATGGTCTTACCTTTCGGTAGGCTGACATCTGCTGATGCGAGAAGCTTCTTGATGGCATCCACCTTGCGGCCTTGAGAGCCAGAGCCTTCCACTACAGCAATTTTCATCAGACCCTCATGCACGCTGCGGACAGTGAGCGGCTTGGGCTTAAACATTGTTGGTTGGTTGCCTCGACTCTTGGCAGCAACGAGGCCGAGATCTCCAATCTTCTGTTGGTCCTCCTTGATGATCTTCAAGCTGCGACCAGTTGTCTCTCCAATGGCCTTCATGATGAGAGACTCCCCTATTCCGAGCTCGACACCGGCGTAATCAGCAGCGAGTTTACCAATCATGAGGAGTACCGTAGGCAGAAGATCACCAGGAGTGAGGCGCAGAACTTGCTGTAGGAAGAGCGAACAATGTGCGACAATCTCCAGGCGCTTGGTCGTACACTCAATCTTCGAGAAGGTGGTGCACAGCGCCAAATAAGGTACTGGATCTCCGGCTTTCCAATCTGGATAGGGATCTTTCTTGGACTTGAGCGTGCTCTGCACTTTGGCACGAATTTTCGCTGCGACCTCGGGTTTGATTTCCTCCTCTTMTTCAGATATCTCTTCGTCTTCAGATCCTTCTTCCGCCGAATTGGAATCGTCGTCTTCCGCCTTGATGGGTGTCTTGGTTGTAACCGGTTTACTAATGGAGCCTTTGGTGACCGACTTGCTGTCTTCTTCTTCTTCGTCGCCATCGTCGGCCACGGTCTTCTTCGCACTGCTCGCTTGAGCCTTGGTGTTTGACTTTGCCGGTTTCTTCGCTGTGGATTTCTCGACATGAAGTTCATCCTCCTCCTCTATCTCCTGCTTGACTTTGCTCTTGGCTGTCGACTTCTTCGCAACACCCTTCTTGTTGCTGCCATTGGCTACAGGCTTTTGACGCTGCTTCTTGGTAGGTGGCTCATCATTGTCTTCATCAGCAATGCTCTCATCGTCGGTGGAAGCACGTCGCTTCTTGGAATCGAGTGAAGGGGCTGTTTCCGTCTTGATGCCGTTTTCGTCCTCGTCGTGCTTAACTGATTCGTCGTCGGGCGTAGCAGCATCTTCCATTCTGACATCGTCATTCTTGGATCCGCCTGTGGATATATCGGCGTCGTCTCCATCGTTCTTCTTCTCAGATTTGGACGAGAAAGACAATTTGGCTTGTTGGGGCGTGGCCTTGGGACCACCTGGGTTGCCGAAGAACTTGCTGCAAAGTCTTTAGCTCGTACTATTGAGGATTTTCGATGCTCACAAACACACCCGAGAGTATGCTGTGTCTTGACATACCCGAGTTTTGCTTGCTGCTTTGGCGCCATATTTGGCAATGGTATGGTGTGGAAGTGCCAACGTGAGGTTGAGGTCGACGCGTGCGACGCGAGGGTAAACGGCGGCTTGCAAGGGTGAAAGAAGAGTCTCTGGGCTGCTGGAGCTTTGCGAAGGGCAGTAGATGTAGTGAGCAGTCTCATTCCTCGTCGAATGGAATTGTGACTGTCTGCCTGATATCTGCCTGCTTGCTTGCCTGTCACTCAAGGCAGCAACGCGTAAAGTTATCAGACGCGACGGCGACGCATGGCGGGAGAATTGATGACGTGCGCTAGACCTGGATTTGGCTCCACTTCACTCATGATACCGCTCAAAGATCCATACATTAAACATTCGGAAACAAGACAGGACAAATTCTTCCAACCTGGCGGCTTACTTCTGGAAAAGCTCCTCTGACCGCCCCGCCCCATCCCCGAATCCCATCATGTCGCGAGATTCCGAGACACCCGAATTGACGCCTCAACTCTGCTTCGATACCACAGCACTACGTGGTAAGTCTCAACACCCTCACAAATTTACATCAAAGCTCACGCTCATCTAAGCCCTCCCATAGACTTCCTCCGTATCTCTCGATCTGCAGTAGACGACACAATCAACCAAAACCTCAACGCCCTCGCCACCCCTGGTGCAGCTCCATTTGATCCCCAATCTACCGCCGAGCAACAGCTACGTCCCATAGGCAGGCGTACCTTACCAGCAACAAAATGCCAGGACTTCAAGAACAACGTACTCTTTCCTAGCTGGCAAGGACGAAGTGATGTGCTAAACTATTGCGCCGGTGTTGCGACTTCCCCGGATCCAGATGATCCAGACCATGTCCTTCGCGAGACTGAGGATGCACGTGCACGAGAGAGGTTAATCGACGRACGACTGGATCCGTACAGTGCCAGGTACTTCCCGAGGGAGGCTAGAACAGAGGCGTTGGCAAGTCTGATTAGGAATGAGAGGATGGTAGAAGGCATAATACGCTCAAGAACGTGGAAGATTGTGGGTGAAAGATGCCACAATGACGGGATTCAGGATGCAGAAAAGGCTGTAGATGAATGGAGGAGACGAAGATCTGAGGGATGAACGAACTTGCAATTCCAATTAAATGATCCCACCTCCAAGACATGATTTCCTCCATTCTTGTTTTCTGGACGCAATGCTCAACACCACGAAGAAGGTCATTTCTATTCATAGCGGTGTGGCTGGATATCGACTTGAGAGGCTTTCCGTGTTCCTGCATCGCAAACGACGCTCCGCCGCTGTAGGGGACCTTGGCAGGACTTTCCACGCCTTCTACAATGGAGGCGACCTTCTCAGCATTCGCCGGCCTGGATTTATCTGCAGTGATCAATTGTCGGGCCTTTACCAGTCATGTGCCGAAAGATCAAGCCGCCTTTGAAACAAGACGTGCTCTTTATATCCAGGTCCGAGGTCCGAGCAACAGCTGGTCGCATTCAAGTTATAAGCCATTGCCAGCAAAGAAGCATGTAATTTGGTACTTGTGATGCCATTATTGATGTAACAATATCCTCCTGCAAACACTGCATCCCTACAATACAAGTTCAAGATAGATTCGCCCTCCCTGTGAAGAGCCGCCGACTACCCAGGCAAGCCTCCTTCGTACACCCAGAGCATCTTTGCTCAAGCTGTCTCGATGCCATCGAGCCGCCTCGCAAATGCTCTTCCACGATCCCAGCCATCGCTTCAATGAAAATTCGACTTCCATTCAAGCTCTCGGCCCTCTTGATCGTATCCGCATGGCCGGATTCTCCAATGAGCTCCTCGTCCAGCTCGTATAGCGTTTCAATGTGGTCCGATGTGAATGCAATCGGGACGATTATCGCATCGGTCTTGCAATTTTGAATCATGCCTTCGACTGTCTTCGCCGTCTGAGGGCCTAGCCAGGGCTGAAACCCGACCTTGGATTGCCATACGATACGGTAAGGATTCGAGAAGTTCAGCCGCGACATGATCGCTTGCACAGAAGCGGCGACTTGTKTGGAATAAGTATCTCCTGGTCCGATTCGTCAGATTGTGAACACAAGCGTGTTAATGGGAGATTACCTTTGTTGACAAAGCTCATCGGCTGACTGTGCGCAGAGAATAGAAGCGTCACATCCCTCCTTCTCTCAGGCTTGTACTCTTCAAGTCGATTCTTGATATTCTTTGCGAATGCTTCCACAAAGCCAGCATTGGTTGGCCAGCGATCAATGATACTCCATTGAACTCCCTCACATGGCTCCTTACTCCTTTCCAAGTCCTGTCGAAGCCTGTATAATTCATTCATCGAACTTCCCGTCGTACAGCACGAGAATTGAGGATACTGTGAGAACGCAACAACTCTCCCCTCTTCACCAAACCCATCTTCGAGGAGCTGAGCATAGGTCTCTCCAGTGAGTGGTCTAGCATAGCGAAACGCAACATAAGGCTTATGCGGCGCCGTCTCTGGAGAGGTCCTGTCCAGAATCTTGCAAAGCTCTTGAGCTTGATACTMAGACCATTTCCGAATTGGCGAGCCACCACCAATTACTTCGTATTGCTTCTGGATCTTGGCCGTTCTCGTACGTGCAATGAACGAGGCTATGTAGCGTTGAAACCGTCCCAGGGGTATCAGATCGCCGTCTGACTGTTGAGAGTAGGACTAGCGATCAGCAGGGATGAGCAGAATGTAAGATGGGAGAATGCATACGAAAAGTCTATACAGAAAATCTCCAACATCATTCTTGGTTGCCGGGCCGCCCATATTCAGTAGGACAACAGCAGTGGGTCCTTTTGTCGAGTTTGTCACATTTCTTGCTTGCCGACGAAGGAGAATGGGTGGACGACGAAGCACTAACATTGCCGCACCAAGCCTGGACAAGGACGGAGATTGGAAAGTCACCGCGTCTCGATTTTGTGAGTTTCTTTCCGGTCGCTGAGCTTAAGAAGAAGAGACAAGCCATGTGGAAGTCGCCAAGTGGCAGAATCGACGCAAGCGAGTCGATCATGCATGAATGATGGAGCGATGAGGCACAGAGGCTGCTAAGAAGTCCAACGAAAGCATTTTCGCGAGGAGTTCTGGGAAGGACCGCAAAGTGAAGTGATACTTACTTGGGATTTAAATTCTCCGTAGCATATTCGAGTGGTCGCGACCATGGGAGACAGATGATTAGTCTTCCTCGGCGTTGGAAGAATTTGTACGAGCACGAGCACTCATGTCAATCCACTGGCTCGGAACGCTCGCTTGCATGAGCAAAGCTGTGACGTCTCGCGCACCTCTCACACCCAACTGTCCGATGATGAAAGTTGCTGCTCTGCTTATTTCAACTGATTTCATTCAATACCCAGACGCTCCCATAAAGCAACACATATACAATGCCTCCCCTTTTTGATAAATTGCCAGGCCCCCCTAATTCTACAAAAATGACAACCGGGCCGCAAAGAGCCAGGAATGAATCATTCAACGCCGTTCGCTATGCATTTGGAGTCGTGTGTCGTGGTGAGATGAAAAGTCCGTGGTAACGCCACACTGGGTATTCCCTCCCAAGTCGAACGCCAGCCAAGAATTTCGTGAGATGAATGTGAAATTCCCCACCCGCGGCCTCCGATTTAGCCAGTCTACCATTCATACGCCCATGTCTCGGTGACTCATGACATCGCTGGAAGCAAGCTCTGTTGATGGTGGCCATAGGAAGCACCGGACATGGTGGGTTCGGCCTGGTCGGATAGAGCCAAAAGGAGCTGTGCCAAACACCTTTTAGTCGCGGCGTCATCTCGCAGGACTGGAGAGAACGTGGCGTCGCGAAGTGGCTCGGGGAGACACTGTCGCAGAGCTTCGCGCGCGCGAGCATTATCCGAGAGGCTGTCATTGAAAGTCAGTAAATTCTAACCACTGAGGATCGCCCAACATACCGCAAGAAGCACCGAACAACGTGCTTCAGCAGGCGTACAGTCTGCTGGTCCACGAGCTGCGTAACCATGTTCGACAGCACCGTACCGACGGCATAGAAGCGCTCATAAGTTTGACAGATGTACTGCAAGCCCATGTCGTCCAACAAAATCTTTTGGACGATGAAAATGGCCACAGTCTTGCTCAACTCCGACCCGGTTTCCATGATACGGAGGCAGAGCGGGATGATTTCCGTGGTGAGAAGGAAGTTGATAACGTCGGAGCTATCATTCTTCACCAGGGCACCAATGACACCGAGAGATGTTAAGCGGAGGTACTCGAAAGGTCGAGACTTAGATGTGGTGTTGAGGAAAGGGTATAGGAAAAGAGGAATGTGGGCTGTGGGCAGAAGTGATTAGTCGGGTTGCATGTCAGAAGTGGTAGGGGTACAATGTACCATTCAAGAATAGGCCTCGTGTTTCGCTGTGACTGGCAACACACTGAAGCAGAGCGAGCGCATTGCAGACCCTGTTGGATGCTGCGGCGGTGAGCTGCGATGGGTTCAACAGAGGGTAGACAGATATGATCTCCTGAAGTAAGGACGTCATAACGCCTGTCTCCGTGTTAGCTCGTGCACTTGCTGCTGATATTGTCCATCCTATACGCACCAAAGGAATGCCAAAGTACGAGAGCGAGCTCAGGTACCTGCTCTCTTTTCTTGCTAAGCTCCAACAGCGCCGCCTCTCGTGTACTGCTGTTCAGCGTCTGGGATATCCACTCAAGCACACGCCGATTGTCCTCGGTCATGCTGTCGCCGCCTCCCATAATTCCTCCACCCCCGCCATGATCTCCAAGAGGTCCATTGCTGCCTGCACCGTTGCCGCCGCCGTTCTGTCCGTTGCGGCCATAGTGCTGCTGCTGTTGCTGCTGGGCTACAGCATTGGCGGCAGCAGCTGCCTGTGTTTGCGCGGCGTACTGATGCTGGTGCTGATGTTGCTGAGCGGTGTGGTGGTGCCAGTCCGGCTGATGATAAGCGCTCGGTTGCTGGTGGGCGAAAACGTGCTGCATGATGGATGTTGTCGGCGCTGAGGCATGCAGACCTCCTTGACGCGCCTTGTTCTGAAGAGCGAGCGCCGAATGAACGCGCGCGGTCTGATTGGATGTGCAAGTGCTGGTTGTCGAGTGTTCAATTACGGTCGAGGTAATGTGTAATAGCTTCCGTGTTGTACGTGTGGTAGAGCAGTTTAGAAGTGAGAGCTCCGCAATCGAGTCCACGCCATCGGGATCGGGAAACAAGCCGCTTCACTTCACTCCACCATTGGCACATGATCGACAACAGTGTGTCAAGGTCTCGACACTTACATGCATTGAATCACTCCAACTGTGTTGCAAAAGACTATCATGTGCTCAATATGGAATGGAATGTGTAATTCTGAGTCGACACTAATTCGCTTCGTTTAAAATGCAAGTCACAGGCGCTCGCAAACTAATGGCCTATGCTACCGTCCATTTCCATGATGCTGATACGCGCCGACAAATGAGATATAAAGTGCGTTCATCCTTTCTCCCCCCCTACAGGGCCGCGAAGAGCCAGCTCCGCTCAGTGTGGCTCTCTGTCCTCGTCTTACAGCCTCAGCTCCCCTAGCACTTTCTGTGCCATGTTCTTGTATTGCCAGGTCCCTCCATCCACTTTCTTGAATTGGATACCGTGGAGCGACAAGAGCGGGACCTTTACAACAAATATCTCGAATCGCAGCGTCATCTGTGCGCCTAGATCCGACTGCACGTGCGTGCTGGTCTCGCCGGCGGGTCGAATCCTTTCACCTCTGCCGGTCCCGTCTGCTCTTGACTCCTCTTCTGAGTCATCCTCGGACTGCGTATAGCTTGCTTTCGGTCTCGGACCTGTATGCGATGACTCGTCCGCGCCAGGAGCTCGGCTACCACCATAGCTGATCCTGCGGCGCTGACTATTATCCAGCTGTGCTCCAGACGGTGCTGTCTCATCCGCTGGTGGCACGATACTAGGTGSATGTCGACATGCGAAGCCGCCTTTGATCTCCCTGAAGTCAACGCCTAGCTCTCTGAGCACTCGAATGATGTCCTGGCGGATGATGACGAGTGGCTTGCTACTCGTTGTGCTGACACTGAAGAGGCCCTTTAGGAACACAGGTTTCATCCCAGAAGACATGCTACCGGATCCATCACGCTGCTCTTTACTGTCAACCTCATCCAGCATGTCCTGGTCCGTCTCCTCAGGAACATCCGCGGTGCGAGCCTGCTCCCGCCGGGCTCGCCGGACTAGCATGCTTTCTTTACRCGAATGACCCATGGACTTGGCTCTGTTGGCCATCGTAGCCGGCGGTCGACTCGGTTCCGCATCAGATTGCGCATCCCGAAGGCTGTTACTTTGCCGATCAAACGAAACTTTCCTTTCGGGCGCAGGCTTTTGTTGCGCAGGTCGATTTGACGAGCCCTCGGAAACTCCACGCCTAGTCAAGCGTCTCCTTATGTCGCTCGAATTGACACTAACAGACCTGCCGAGCCCATGTGAGCGCTTTGAGCTTCTCTCGTTGGTAGCGTCAGTAAGCGGGGGCGTCAGGAGCTCGCTCTGTTTGCTAGCCGCAGTTTCCGGTCTGGTGGCGTCCCGCGTTTGACTCGAATCCCGCGCACGACGCATGCTGAAGCTCTTCCTCGGTGTATCGTTTGCAGCATTGTACTTGTCAAGTGCAGGTGGGGGATGGCTAGGTCTTTCGCTCTTTTCACGCTTGCTGAATCGTCGCAACAGTCCAGCTGCAGTACTCTCCTTCCGGCTATGACCCGATGACCTCTGCTCAGGTTCCACAATCGTGGGTGTCGCATTTATGCTAACACCCTGCATATCTTGCGATAGATCATCTTCGCCGTGGGTTCGAGCGCGAGGTCTGGATCGGCCCCCAGTCGGTTTCTCGCCGGCCATCTCGTATGTGGAATGATTTGTGTATGCCGCTTCGGGAGCAGCCAATTCAGGCACGTTCAGGGGATTTTCTCCAGGGACCCTCGGCATGGTCAAGCCGCCTGGATTCTTTTCTCGGGCTTCTCTCTCCATCTTTTCTTGTGCCAAGTAGTATATAGACACCAGGGGGTGGAAAGCGTTTACAGGATCGGATCCGTACTGTATAGCTTCGCTCGATGGCGGGCTCAGAGTGTCTCGACTGGTAGCCGAGCTTCTACGCTTGTAAAACGCAAAAACGCCACGCTTCTGGTCTACCTCCGCTAGGGGGTGTACATTTCGTTTCTCTTGCAGCCGAACAGCACGCTGGTAATCTTCCGATTCAAGGACTTTTGTCAGTTGTGATGTGATGAGCTCAGCGTCTCCGAAATCGAAGCCAGTCATTTTCGCAACAACGGCAGGGTCCAATGGAAGCTGTAATGGTTTGCGGATTGGAAAATAAGTCTCGGGTGGGCCGCTGGATCCTTTGGTAATCCAGGGGTGGTTCAAGACCTCGTGCATTGTTGCACGTTCGACAGGGTTCGTGGTCAGCATACGAGAGATTAGCCCACGGCATTCTGGTTCATGTTAGCGGTGACCAATGCTTGTCAAAAGGRCGGAACCTACCTGGACTCAGCCATGGCGGATACTCCACCACGCCCTTCTTGATCTTTGCGTGGAGCTGCGGCATACTCTGGTCGTCGAACGGGACCTTACCGCAAACGAGTACATAGAGCACAATCCCAAAGCTCCAAACATCGACTTCGGGACCCGTGTACTGCTTCGCCTGCAATAGCTCCGGCGCAGCAAAATACAGACTTCCACAGAAAGTCTTTAGTGTACTCCGGGGGCTGAACAAGTTAGAGAGGCCAAAGTCAATGATCTTGATGTCGCCAGTCTTGCTGATGAGGATGTTTTCGATTTTCAGATCGCGATGCACAATACTGTTGCGGTGACAATAATCCAGCGCACTGGCAATCTGGCGACCGAATTTGCGTGCCTGCTTCTCCTTTAGGCGGCCATGGCTTATTATGTAGTCCAGCATCTGCCCTCCGTTGACATACTCAAAAAGCATATACCAGTGGTAATTGGTACGCAGTACATCGCGCATGCCACAGATATACGGATGGTCCACGAGCGTGACAATAGCTGCTTCGCGGGCAGTGCGAACCTCCTTGCTATGCTCTGCACGCTCGCGCTCCTGTTGGGTGCGGTGTTCTGTCTCGGTGCTCTGCCGGGGAACGATTTTCACGGCGACCTGTTCCCCCGTCTCTTTGTTCCGAGCCAATTTCACCTTGCCCATACTGCCTGCTCCCACTGTCTTGCCCAACTCCCAATGACCCGTCTGCGCATCGATTGTCGTCCGTCGCCGCAGGTTCGTGGTCGTGCCCGTGCTCGCCGACTTGCTCTCCGCAACAACTGGCGCTGGGGTGGGCTGATCGGCATAGCGCGACTGGGTGCGCGACTGCGAGGATGGTGCTCGTTGGGAATCTCTCCTCACGGGATGGGTTGCGCTGTTTCCATTTCCATTCGCGTGGCGGTCCTGGGACGCGCTCCTGTGCCCGCTGACGGGTTGCGCATTGGTCTGCTCAAAGTCATGTCGAGCGACCTGCTCGTAGTTGGCCGAGGGAGTGCGCGAGTGTGAGGATGGCGTTCCCGGAGCCTGTGACGTGGACATTGACCTTCGCTCCCCTGCCGGGCCGCTGGATCGTGGGGCGGTCGCACTGGCGGTGCGGTGCGGGCGATCGGTGGACTGCTGAGGCCGGCGCGTGGAGGATGTGCGAGGTAGAGTCGTCTGCGGCGGCGTCGGCGGAGCTGCAGCGCTGGCCGACATGGCACAACCGCGCAGTGCCGTGCAGGTGCAGAAAGTTGAAACACCGGGGGCTATAGCAGTGCAGGCAGCTCCTGTCTTGATTCAAGATTACTCTTCGCGRGTGCCGTCAGCCCAGTCCAGTTCCTCGCCACTGAGATGCTGCTCGAACAAGGCGATAGTGTCACGGCATGTGAAGCCAGAGCACGCTTGTCCTTGAGCGCTCCGCCACGTCGTCCGTGTACTCGTCCTTGTTTCCGTCCCGTAGAGTGTTATTAATCTGGCCCAAGTCGCGATCCTTGGGTTGAGATAGCGTGGAAGTCCCCCGCAGATCGCGATCCAATTATGGCTCGCTCAGGGCCCTTCGGTCGTAGCCGTGGCATAAGGAGACTCGGCACGGTACCTATTGAAGATGCTGTCAAAGCCGGCTCCTGGGATGGATGGGTTTGATATCTTGGTGGAGATTAGAACTAACTCTAAGGTACTTGTGTATTGGTAAATTTAGAGCCGATGCATTCGAAGAATAGATTAATCACGCATTGCCCAYAATAGCAAAATGGCAAGTCGTCGTGAAACAAAGGCATTGAGACCTCATTCCATCTCTATGAAGCTACCCATCGTCCTCGTCGTCGCTACCAAAGATTGCCTTGAACACATCTTCGCCAGCTTTTTGACCTTCCAAGGCTTCATTCTTCTCAACATCGACCGCCGCAGGCTGCTGCAGAGCAGCCTCGGTCTCTGCTAGTTCTCCATCGTGCGCTGGGGCACGTGGTCGGACTGCATTGTAGTTTGCGTCCAACATTATGCGATCCAAGCTGGCCTGACTGACAATGTCCAATCGTTTTCCTGCATCCACCAATCCACCTCCACCTTTGCCTCCTTCGGACTCATTCTCTCCACTAACAGTCGCTGGAGGTCTGACATTGAAACGTTTGCACAGCAGCCTGGTGGGGAAGAAGGGCACTTTACTCCGAGTCAACGGCCCATACATTCCCATTCTTGCAGCCTTCTCAGCAGCGTCCTCTTCCTTCCCTGCACCACCAGCAGGTTCAGATGAGTCGGGCGCATCTGATGCCAGCTTCGGCGCGCTGGTGGACGACGTGAACCTGCTGGCCATCATCCCAGTCACAGGCTTGAATATCTCCGCCGCCTCCACAAACTCCCTCATCTCCTGTGCCCACGCTTCCGCTTCCATAGTCTTCGGTCTCTCCGGCAAATTACTTTGCAAACCGCTACTGAGCTCCAGAAAATACTTATATCTTGCGCGTTTGTCCTCATCCTCGGCATATGGCATCCATCCGGTCCGTCCTCGCTGCAGGGCCATTGCGGCGGTTTCTTTGCTCAGCTTGGGAACAAAGTCCCACAAAGTGCGACGCTTGTCATTCTCGCTAGTTTTATATCCCTCGGGTGCTTTCTCCCCAAGGGCCGGGGGAAGATTTGATCTCCCGCTGGCGTTAGCTAGGCGCTCTCGGGCAGCAGGCGTGAGATAGTCGAAAACAGACTTCCCAGGGAGGGCTTCCTCCCCGAGCAAAGTAGCGCGAGCTTTGGAATCCATAACAGAGGCTTTCGCGGCGTCTGCAGTAGACACGTGTTGTGAATCGGCAGTATTTGCCTGTGTGTTGGTGCGGGAAGATACCCAACCTGCGGGTACTGTTGGGGGTGGGTACTTGCTGCCGGCATCTGCGAGGTCAAGACTAGACATTGCGAGAACAAAACCATCGATAGGTAAACGGCCGTCGTGACATTTCCTGGTGCCATTTCCAGGGGTCATGGTTCGTGAATTAGCCGTCTTCCTTGCGCCGAGGGTGCTAGGCTTCACAACAGAGGACGACGTAGCATTGCTCGAGAAAATGCCTGCTTTCTTTTTCTTGCCGCCAATGACACGATTATAGCTGATGCTTGGGCCAACTGTGTATGGGTCTTCGTCGTCGGAGCCGTCATTCAACACACCAGTGCCGAACCCACTCTTCTTTGTCGTCTTCGCATTGATGACATGCTTGGAGCGATTGATGCGCAAGATCCTCGCATCTTCGCCACTATCATCGTCCTCGTTCTCGACGGCCCCTGTGGTGCTTTCCAGTCTAGCTTCTCCGCCGAAACCAACACCCTTGCGATCGTTTTTCCGCACGAAGCTGATCATTCGGGAGTTTTCTGGTGCGAAGAGATGCGTCTCACCTTTGGCATCTCCCTTGGCCTGTCGGCGAACTTTTGGCCCTATTCCCTGCCCTTGCCGCCAACCCATCCGTTGCAGTAGCTTCGCACCTTTGGTTTCACCGGTAGGCCTGAACATGTCCGAAAACATCCCTTTCGCAGAAGCACCTCCATGAGCATCTCCCAGTCCGGCAAAGGCGCCCTGCGTTTCCAGCTTCTGAGTCTCGGCTTGCTCGGCCAAGTCCTCGTCGTCCATGTAGTCCTCCGCTCGCTGCTGCTTTCCATCTTTGGCATCCTTCGCACGGTTCGTTCTCGAGGAGACAAACGTACTGGGTGCCCATCCCTCCTTGCTTCCTACGGTATTGAAATAGCCCGCGCTGAACCCTCCGGTGAAGGCACCATGTAAACGCTTGCGACCTCGTTCATCTGTCACTTCTTGCTTCCAGACCGGCACGTAGCTCCCATCGTCGCGCGCCTCCGGGTCGTATGCCGGCAATGGAGTGCCGTAAATGGCGAAGGGCGCATGTTGAGGTTGSCCATCAGATTCGAATGCGGCTCTGGGACGCTTATAGGCCATCTTAGTCTGTGTTCATTGCCAGCTTTGAGATATTCTGGTGTATTTTGTCAGAGCATGACTAGACCTACCTGTGTCGTCCGTTGTTGGGGTATCACATGTCCATTGCATTCATGTCAAGCGGGATGAAAGCTTGCGAGACGTGAAGTGAACTTGGAAATCATCAGAGGTACCTGCTCTTAGGGTTAGTGTTTTCATCAACGCGTTAGGTTGGGAGACTCCGACTGTGCTCAGGCTGACAGCTTTTCGCTACATCTGAACGGATGATGCCTTTCTGATCCAACATCTAGTCACAAATGACATGTTAATTCGAGACTGTTCTCTTTTTCCCTCTCCAAGTAAACTGTTCAACGCCGAATTGYCGAAGCCGCCGAGATTGTTATAAGGGTTAGGGTTGATGTAGTCGAACTACTATGTCCATCCCATATCTATCGCATCTCTCGTTGTTTATATATACCTAAGCAACGAATACTCGAAGCTTTARCGTACGAAAGAGCTATGCGCTGTAAGTTCTACGTGTTTGTTTAAAACAACGCATAGTCGGCATCAGATGTGTAACAATTCACTTGGCAAAGCGTATACAAGGAGTGATCTCCATCTATTGAATGGCTCACCTCCCTCTACTACCTCTATGTTTGACATACACGAAGAGCAACGTGATAGACGACGTGATGTGTGTATGCCTCAATATGCCCCACAACCCAACCAAACACCAAGGCTATACTTGCCGTTCCTTCCCCGTTTTGCGTCTCGTCGAGCTGGAAGCTGTAATGACCCACCTCCAAGCGACCTTTAACCCCCTCCCAACACCCTCGAGGACTTCGAAAGTCTGCAAGTTACCACTAAAGGCACCGAATAGAAAAAGTGCCAGCCAACTCAGAGCAAATACCACGGAAAAGCTGACCCAGTACGTCTTCACAGTATAGCCCTCAGAGTTGGAGGTCAGGGGTATGCTAAAGTATCCAGACCTGAGCAGAGTCGAGTAGAGTTAGCGGAAGTTCCTAGGGGTCGKAAAGCAAGAAGTGAAACATTCGACTCACATAAAGCTGACGGGAAGGAACAAGATCGTTGCTTTTGTGAGAAGCAACGTCACTCTGGTAAGTCGATCAACTGACTGGGACTGGCGTATCGATATGAGGGCGAAATTCATGTTGACCAGAGAGTCCTTCTGCTTGATGAATTCTTCCACCTCTTCCAACGCATACAAATTCAGGAGGTCCTTTAGCCGGCGAAATCGGACTTTTGCAGCGGAACTCAGGCTGATGCCTAGTATGCTTGCCTTTTCCAAAACAACAGGTCGTATGGTGTCGAGGCTGACCCTGCTGTCAGAGCTAACGACCTGACTGTTTTGAAGACTAGCAGGTGAAGCGCTCTGCGGTTCTAGCAGCCGATCAACGATCGAAATGTAGCTCTCATAGTGCCGGCGAAGCACGCCAAGTTCTCGGCCGATGGAATCCAGACGGTCAATGTGGTGCAATCGAGGACAGTCATACATCTGCTTGCGTAACTCACTGAGCTCGAAGCCATATCGGGACTCCCTGCGAGTGACGAGCGTGTAACTGTTGTACCAATTCTCGAAAAGGTRGTAGAATAGGAGGCCAGGCACGTCCGAAGATCGATGAGCCGTCTCGTAGGCTGTACGGCCAAGGCGCATCCTTATCGGCAATAACGTTAGAGGATTGTGTTGCAGCAGCGGGAGATCGTGGCTCATGGACAAGGATTGTAAGACATTGACAAGATTCCGTTTAGTTTCGCGCAAGATGCGTTGCTGCAGCGTGGTGAGATTGCTACCCGCGAACGGGAATGGATCCTCATTGATTGATATGACCGTGTTGTCAGAGCATATGACGAGCCAAGTCCATACTCTTGTGCAATTCGGTAGGAGCCCATGTATACCCTCTTCGCCAGGAGTCTTGGTTCCATAGAGCGAATTAAAGCCTATACAGACGTAGGCCCGCCCCATATCCACCGAAGAATAGTGATAAATTTCGTCCACGATCTTGTACAAATTTCCATGGGCAGTGGAAGTTTTGCTGGATACCGAAGAGTGCTCCGATAGTTCATCCTGCAGATCGCGCTCAGCTTCCAGGTTTGCAGATGGGTTGACACCCCAAGTCCGTCTTCGAACGGGTTTGTCCAGTGTCGATCTTGACTGATCCTCCCTGGGCTGCTTGGGATCTGATGCCATCAAAGCAAACAAACGAGGAGAGAAGTCATATCTTGTTGCAAGGCTTGCCAGTAGCGTTCTATGTTGGTAAGGATAGTATATGTTAATCCAGCGAGTGCTCAAAACGTCCGGCCGATCTGCATCAAGCAGACTCGTAATCGCAGGTGTAGTCAAGTCAACTGCGCAGAATGCGGCGCGATCACTAAAGTCGACGACGAAATTGTCTATCAAATTGTGTTGTGCAACGTCCAGAATATGCTGCAAGTTCGAGGAATTATCCAGATTGAGGAAAGCATCGCCTTGTACGTGTTCGTTAGGTATCGAATTGTAGTATTGTTTGGCCTCTGAGGCTGCAGACTCGTCGGTACTCTCCATAGTGATAGTGGTATCGTGAATACATGGCGACCTGGGGCTGGGAAATGCATAGCTTTGTATGTGTTAGAGATTTCCTTGTGACCTTCTCGACTTCTGATCTGAATTGGATCAGCAAAGTTTACATAAAGTACAAAGACCACTGAGACACAAGTATCACATGAACTGCTCAAGGAAATGGTACTGGTACTGAGGTACCTTGAATCCTCCTTGGCGTACCTAATGTTAGCTTGCTGCGATTTCCAGTCATATCGTGAGTCGGAATAACTTATATTCATCAATATATGCAATGCGATGAGGTGACCATTCCGTSTTGTCCTACAGCCAAGGATGTCATTCTCCTCACATAAATCACTTACCTACTCAAGCTACGCGCCGAGAAGTTCAACGTGAGAAGATCAGGAATGCTTTGCTTCTTCGTAGGAAATGTGAGTCGAAGAGCATTTCCGAGGCGCACTGGATCCAATGATGCCTTGTCAAAACTTCACACCGCAAGATGGGTAGGAATGATGGTACAGTAGCAGCCAAAATTGCGGCGCAGAGCAACCCGATGTGAAAGGCATCATCTGGCATAGCATCCGGTGATACCCTCCAGAAAACAGGCGCGCAGGTGTGGGACGAGCGTTAATTGAGGCTGCTCTGAACAAAGCGCAGATTGCATCGCTGAGCCACGGAGCGTGTTTCCACCGCAGCATCATGGTCGATTCTGAGAAGGCAGCAGTGGAGGCGCTTTACAGGRGCTTCGGGTTTCGCGTGACGGGAAACAGAGACATGTGTCCAGCAGGCCATTTCGTAATCATCTCACGCGACGAAGAGGGTGGCGATTGCCGTGGAGTTCCAGAATTTATGCACCGGTGGTGAGATTGTGAAGGATGAATTGTAGTAGAATCCATGTGGGTTGAAGAGAACGCGGGATGAGTATATGTAAGTAAGGTACGGTACCTTCAGAGTCAGAGTGCAGCCAGAGAGAGTCAGAGTGCAGTCGGCGGAGAGTGAGGGGAGTGCCAAGACTTGTCATCACTTCATTCCAAATTTCCTCTCCGCCACTTTCCTTCTTCTCCCYCCCATCCAACGACCACGAACTACGCCAAGCCGTACCAATAGCCACCCACAAAGAACTATTGGAAGACCATCGCGATCATGTCGAAGATCACGGTCGCTGGTGTGCGTACCAACGTGCAGCAATTGCTCCAGTACTCCAACGAGGAGAAGAAGCGCAACTTTCTCGAGACCGTCGAGCTCCAGATCGGCTTGAAGAACTATGACCCTCAGCGTGACAAGCGTTTCTCCGGCACCRTCAAGCTCCCCAAGGTCCCCCGCCCCAACATGTCCATCTGGTAAGAAGCCCGACGACCGCGCGAGATGCGCGACACCAGCTGACCGCTGCACTTCTACAGCATTCTCGGTGACCAGCACGATATCGATCGTGCCAAGCACGGCGGTGTCGACGCCATGTCTTCCGACGATCTCAAGAAGTTGAACAAGAACAAGAAGTTGATCAAGAAGCTCGCGCGCAAGTACGATGCCTTCATCGCTTCCGACTCCCTCATCAAGCAGATTCCTCGTCTCTTGGGACCAGGTCTTTCCAAGGGTAAGCGCTCGCCCGCATTCTCACCCACCTACAGCGAACTCTACTGACAGATACCACAGCCGGCAAGTTCCCTACCCCCGTCTCCCACGCCGACGATCTCTCCGGCAAGATCACCGAAGTCAAGTCGACGATCAAGTTCCAGCTGAAGAAGGTGCTCTGCATGGGTGTTGCCGTCGGCAACGTGGACATGACTGAGGATGAGCTGATTGGAAACATTATGCTTTCCATCAACTACCTCGTCTCCCTCTTGAAGAAGGGCTGGCAGAACGTGGGCAGCTTGACCATCAAGGCAAGCATGTCCCCACCAAAGCGTCTATACTAGATGCGCCTGCTGGGATGGGTGGGCTTCTACGAGTGTTCTAGCTTGCACAAAAGCTTGTTAGCCGTGCTCGCCTTTACTGGCTGAGTGACAATGGAAACTCGAGTCAACCACAATTGTGCTCTTTATTGAAAATGTGTCGCATGTTGAGCAATTCATGGTCACATCTTCCACTCACGATGGCATGGTGTAAACCCGCGTCTCGACTTCGTTGCTGCTATCGTTGTGTTCTACTTCGTGTATCTCCAGTTCTGCAAATGTTCCTTGTGGCGATAGTATTGACACCTTCGCACCGAGTAGGTATCTCGCAGGTACGCATCGATCCTACACGTCCATGTAAGTATCGCTGAGGGCGGACGCGGGCCAAACTTTGAACCTCACAAAACTACCTATTATCGGCCTTGGTTCAGCAGACAAGACCACTGGTTATGTGAGTCGCATATTTCGTCATTCTACATWCAATCAAAGCTTCGAACCCTGAGACTTCTCCAGCTCCTTTGTCTTCTTCTGGAAGTTCTTCGCTAGCTGGCGCACCATGAGGTCGAGCATGACATCCTCTGAACCTCCYCTGTTTACGGTCAGTGAGTGTCTGGTCAGGAATCGTCAAAGAGGGAATCACTTACGGAACTCTGTTGCCATTGACCTCCCTCCACATTCTCTCAGCAATCTCGCCCTGTCCTGTACGTGTGTATCCATTACCACCGAACAAAATGGCTGCGCAGTCCGCACACTCCTTCAATACCATTCCGGCGTGAGCCTTGGCCGCTGCTGTGAGGCCTCCCAACTCAACGTCCGCATCTTCCTTCTTCATGATCGTGAGCTGGTACACGAATTGCTCAATCCATGCACTCAAGCTCTCGAGCAGTACGCCGGCCTTTGCAAGTCGATGTCTAACCACTGGCTGTTCGAAAAGTGTCTTTCCGAATGCTTCGCGCTTCAGGACGTATTCGAAAGCGGCAGACAACACAACGCGGCACTGTCGGGTAACACCAATGGCAATGCTCAATCTTTCGTGATTGAAGTTCGTGTTGGAGGTTGTCAGTATAACGACCAGAAACTCGTCGGCGGGTGGTACTTATCATAATGTATCTCATGCCTTGTCCCTCCTGCCCGATCAAGTTCTCTACAGGCACCTCTACGTCGTCCAGCTCGATGAATGTGGTTCCGGCAGAGACCTGACCAGAGACTTTCAGGCGTCTCATGTCCACACCCTTATGTCCTTTGAGACTGCGAATTATGGAGGTCAGTGCATGCCTCAGACACGACGGGGCCAAGGGAAGATCTCGCGATACCCTAAGCCTCCCAAATTTCAGTCTACTTACGGGACGACAAGCAGCGAGAGTCCTGCTGGTCCTGGGCCACCCGTTCGCACGGCCATGGTAGCACAGTCGGACCAGATGCCATTGGTGATCCACTTCTTCGTTCCATTGACAATGTATTTCTTTCCGTCCGCGGACTTTACGGCAGTAGTCTTGATGTTGGCGACATCTGATCCAGCATCCGGCTCGGTAATGGCAATACAAGTCCGCTTCTTGCCCTGAAGGAGATCAGGCAAAAACCGGGCTTTGAGCTGCTCATCTCCAAACTTGATGATAGGTGGAACACCAAAAGCCATGCCTGTTGWGAGACTGCCTCCAGGTCCAGTCAATCCAGAGCGGATCATTTCATCGCCATATATCATGTTGTGGAATCCGGTAAAGTCCTCGACTTTAGTCCCTAGGATGTCGTGGATGCCGTTGGCCTTCAGCTCTTTGACCGGCAGTGGCGCTGGCTAGATAGTTGTCAGTACAGGCCCCTCAGCGTGGCAACTGAATTGGGGAGGGCCTACCAAGGCTGGTACAAGCATGTTGTGCTTTGCAAAGGTTTCGAAAACGTGCGCTGGCACAGTCTCTTCTCTCTCCCAATCCCACGCATGCTGGGTAAGATGCTCTGTCATGAATGCTCTGCATGCTTTTTGGAATTGTGCAAGCTCTGGGGTAAACCAGTACGATGGAAGACCGTTCGCCCACGGTGGCTCGGCGAATGGAACAGACATAGTCAAGATCAGGGGAAGTGTAGATGAGAGAGGGGTAGGGGTATGAGAGTGTTGATATGATCTCTCTCAATAGAAGCCCTCGTCGTATGTATAAACTGTAAGCTCCATCCACCGAGGGTACACCCGTTTTGCTTCCCTGCGTTGCCGTTGCCGAGGCGGGGAATGCACAAAACTGGGGATAATAGTCCACGTGGGGTATCTCCACTCATACCTTATTTCCGGCAGACCCCTGCTCGAGCGCCTTCCGCAAACGAGCATTCATGCTATTGGTTTCCATCAAGTCAACTCGCTTCCAAGGCAACAACATCAGGCAGCTCTCGGACGTCGACGCTCTGCCTTGTATCTAAGTCGATAATCCTCAGTGTTCCAAAGTCCAGCAGACCAGAAGTCATTGCCCGGAAACTCAGGTGCGTTTCGAAGCAAGCTCCAGCAGGCAGAGGTCCTATGCGAAGATCAGGATTCAGATCCAGTACATCAGGTGTTTTGATTCGCGCCAGCGGTGGCGCATTAAATATCTTCGCGATGAGATCGGACTCCGTGTCATTGTCAGGCTGTAGGCCTGTCAACGGCTTCCGCGGTTGCAGTGTAACCACAGCAAAGCGACGCTGTCGGTCTGATTGATTCAAGCATTTGACTGACATCTTGAATTCCTCATTCTTCTGCGTTGTTGCTGGACATGCGAAAGTGAAGATAACACCTGCTGCTCCAGAGTCGGCCTTTCTTGAGCCGCCATCAGTAGACGTTGGTCTGCCCATCGACTGCACGGATAAACTCTTATGGTGTGACGACGTTTTGAGAGGCCGTGACCAGGCATATGAAGGGTGTGAATTATGCGTCGGAATCTCTGCGTCTGTTTGCAAGTCGACATTCAGATCGATGTGAGACCCCTGATCGAGAGCTGCGTCTGCTTTGATCGAGACTTTGACCTGTGGGTTTGTAGTTGGACTCGCGGCATTGCCTTTGCTGGTGATTTTGTAGAGAAATATGGTTTCGTCCCCGCCTCGGGTTTGCAAAGGCAGTGTGAGACTAGTTATCTCTTCCACAAGAAGGTCCTGAACACTGAGGTCCACCTCCGTAATTTGGACAGTGCCTGCAATGAGATGGGAAGTTTCCACGTGCAAGCTGGCAATGGTAGCATCAGGAAGCGTAGAGTATCTGAGTTTCGTAAACAGAGCCGGTACAGCAGGATACGCCCGTTTCGAAGCTCCTCGGATGGGCTTCACATCTGATTCAACATTCAGAGGCTTTGGTGCGATTTTGGTAATCCTCGTCTCGGACAGATAGACGTCGGAGTTGCCAAGGACTCGGTCATGCTGGAATGGCTCCAGTATGTTCTCGGGCAACGGCTCATAACTTGTGAGGTACTCTTTGTCGATTCTCCGAGAGCCATCACTTTTGCTGGAGTCCATCTTGAGAGTAGCTGTGAAGTATATCGCCGGTCGCTGAAGCCTGGCACGAGGGCGTGGGAGAGGTAAGGATGGCTTCCATATCACATACGCATTGTCGCCTATTGATACGACATCTGAAAAGCTGGTCGCGGAGAACGATTTCGACACGAGATCATGCTTTCCAGAAGCCGATGCAGCATTGCCGGCTCCTTGCGGGACGGCATCTGTGGCATGTGCAGACAAGATGAGCTCCAGGCTGGAGAGGTTTTGACGAACATCTGTCTCATTATGCCCCGTCTTGAGGACGACCAGAATGTTCGCTTCCTCGTCTACATTGCCAGGTCTCAGTAAGGTGGACCTTAAACCGACATATCGAGGTGATACCGAAGAATAGGTTCCGTCGCCCTGGCGCTCGCGCCAGCTCCTCAAAACCGCCCACTCGGAGTAGTGTACCAACGTCAAGGTCCTGAGCTTTTGGGAGATGTACTTCCAGATGTGCCGGCGATAGCGCTTCAAAACGAGATCTGGAGTCCGTCATGCTCTGTCATGCAATTGATGGTGGGCACATGTCGGTGTAGTAAGTTATGCCCCTGTAGAACTTTCAGCCACACAGCGGGGTCTTTGTGTTTCCACTCTGTACGACCGAGTTCATCTTCAATTGAAACAACATCCACACACACGTCCGCTTTCGCCCATAACGACTTCGAGATCATCGGACCACCTACGATCAAGCAACACCACCATCCAGTAACAATCATGGGCGCGAAAGTCCCCCGCAACTTTCGCCTGCTCGAGGAGCTTGAAAAAGGCGAGAAAGGCTTGGGAGCAGGTGAGGCACTTTGCACACCTATCTCCTTGGACACCGACTGAATTAAAATTAGAGGCCTGCTCGTATGGTTTGGATGAAGGCGACGACCTGCTCATGACAAATTGGAACGGCACCATTCTGGGCCCACCCCACGTGTGTTCACTCACGATTCCTTGTCGTATGGCTGAGGCTAACGAGAAGCCTGCAGAGCGTGCATGAAAACCGGATCTACTCCCTCAAGATTGTCTGCGGTAACAGCTACCCCGACTCACCTCCAGAGGTGACCTTCATCAGCAAAGTCAACTTGCCCTGCGTGAACCCGCAAAATGGGAAGGTGGGACAGATATTCCAGAAATGTGATAGAGTTGAGCTGACCATGTTAAAGGTCGACCTCTCGAAGCTCCCAAGCATCAGTGTGTGGAAGCGCGACTTTACCATGGAGACTATTCTCATCGAGATTCGACGGTACATGGCAGCTCCTGCGAACAAGAAGCTTCCGCAGCCTCCAGAAGGCACCAACTTTTGAGTCAAGAGAAACATTTATGAGGGCATGGATATTCTCAGCATAGCACGGGCGCGAAGGGCGGCCGCAGGCTAGGCGTTTTAGGAGCGTTTGTCGTCTCAGTTCACTATGAATGAAGCAATGAATGATGAACGAGATCGCATGGTGGGTACAAGTGCTCCAACGCGGACTGTACATCATGACTACATCTAGTGTCCCTACATCTAGTGTCTGGCGCTCCGCTTCTCGGCAAGATCTCGAATTCCTCTTTCTATGCTGACCCCGGTTACTGGTTCTGTCTATACTGCGAGGGCGATTCGCCGACTAAGCATTCCCTCCGTATAGCTTGGCCATTTGCGCAGCATGCCTGGGCTCGATGAAGAGTGCCTCAGCTTCCACCACCTTCACGCCGGTTCCTTCTTCGTCATCCCCAAGAACTTCTATCCAGCCCTTCACCCATGCTTTGCGACCTTCCACTTTTGTTGTCTCTGCCTTCAAARCCACATAGCTGTTTCCAGGACATGGGTGCTTGTAGTCAATCTTGAGACTTGCTGTGACGCCGATTTTGTTCGGTAATGCCGGGAAGCAAGCACGTGCCAATCCCTCATCCAACAGAGTAGCAAGAAGACCGCCKTGTATTATTCCAGGGTGACCACATAGCGCCTTCCCTAGGTAGAAGAACTGTGTGGAAGAGGGAAGCTCGGCATCTTGGTCTGCGAACATGAGCGGAGGTACCTCGATCTTGTTCTCGCCCATGAGTGGACCGCTAGTAAGATTATGGGGTCGCATGGACTCTGGGATTTTCATGTGCGGTCTGCTCTCGGTGATGTGGGTCTGTGACCGCAGCTTCTTCGCCAGTGGGTGGTTTAGTATGTGGTGGTTGATCTCCGTGGCGCTTGGAGWAGAGGGCTCAAACAGCTCAAGTGTTTCTGCATCGGAAGGAAAGTGCAGATAGCCGTTGACAGCTTCGGCAGCGGGTGCAGATGCCATAGCGAAACCGGCAACGAAGAAGACTGTGACAAGTCCGGTGGTTGCGAAGAAGCGAAGGATTCGGGACCGTCGCGGGGGTTGAGGAGTCGTCGCGGTGGCAGCAGTGATGGCAGCTGGGGCAGGAGGAAAAGTAGTAGTGGTCTGGTGCCGGCGGTGGCTTGTTATATGGTTCTTCGGGATCCGTGCTGCGAGAGGACTCCGGGAACTTGTKCTCTCGACGGTTGTTGTGATGGCCTTCCGAAAAATCGCCGACCTCACTGATGGCGGCGAAGCTAATATAATGCTGAGACCGCGCTGTGGAAATGCCATTGCGAGTTGCGGCCGTATGATCTTTCGAAGAGTGGATGTTTGGCCGTCAACTGGTTGGCCGGACGTGAAGTTCTCGAGTCCGTTCCTGGAAACCTCCCGAGACCGCGGGAGTGGATTTGGCACGTGAAACAAGGATCTGATGCGATAACGAGAAGCGAAAGAAAAGGACATATGGAGCTGGACTACGACTTCACTCAAAACGCAGAATCTCCTTTGTCCTTGATGTCGCGCGTGRACGCATCTATGTTGGTCGAGAACTACGGACGCAAGCAGTAATCATAATCAGTAATCAATGCTCCCCTTGTGCTCTTTCTTGAGTTCTTCACCCGCCTTCGCGCTGACAGCAGCCGCTGGCAATAGCCCGTAACGCCGTAATCATGCTTTCATMGGCGTCATATTACTCTTCCTTATCGCTCAGGCAGATGTGCGCTGACCAGCCGTCGAGCCAGGAGTTGTCGCGGCTGGGGGCGCAGTCGCGCCCGCAGCACGCTCTTCGGAGGCAGCGGTAGCAGCCTCCCAGCTTGGAAGGTCGCCACGCTGGGCCCAGATCTCAATCAGTGGCAACATAGGCTCGATGTCACGGGCATTCAGTAGACCGAATATCAAGCCGACGTTGACAAAGTGCAAAAAGTGGGTGTTGAGCTCGCGGTAGATGTTGTTGTCCCAGAACACAATCCAGTGTGAGTGATAGATGTGTGCGTAACAGCGGAACATTTGTTTKTACATGTTCTTGATCTCATTCTCGTATCGCTGCGGAAAGCCTGACGTCTTGCCGATCCAGCTGTTGGCGTCTTTGCTGACCTGCTCACCGGTAGGAAATTGATATCCAGGAGGGAGGTTGCTCGTAGGAAAAATTGTTTCATCCTGGCATTTGCCAGCAACCCAAGTCTGGATATGCTTCATATATGTGGGAGCTGGTAGGTTGATCGGGTTGCGGTTTGTGTCGATCCAGTTGTAGAGAACACTTTTCATCAATCAGCACCTACAGCCAACACGAGTTAGATGAAATACCTACTTTCCCGCGGTCATGCTCGGACAGGCCTGCTCGTTGCAAAGGGCGCGGCCGTGACTGCTGCTCTCAGCTTGGATAATCTTGAGCATGCCGCCAAGCTGGCGGTTCTGTTCGACAACTGCGCAGTGGGTTCAGCAACAGTGGAGCCTTTAGTCGACGAGAATGCGCAACTCACTCTGATGAGCTAGCCACTCGCCTTCTTCGACGAGTTGTGGCTTCGCAGCGAGGGTCATGAAATTGCCCTTGACGACGAACCCCGCGCATTGCTCTCGGAAGAAGTACGGCACATTCTTCTTCGAGCCCTGGCTCGTCTGAGAAGCTTGGTTGCTCTGATGAGCCTGGTCGTTCTGAGCCATGGTGGATGATGATTGTGATGGCGAAGGAAGTGGTCCCTGCGATGACGGACTGTATGCAGACGGTGAGGATGTGTTGCCGCGGCTTGGTGGTGCGTTAGGGCGAGTCGGATTTGCTTGGCGTCCCAAGTTGCGTCTGTGGAAAAGAACAATACTGTTAGCGGAGATTCTTAGATTTCTGTGACACGACGTCTGCAGCGGCCTGGTGGTGGTTTCCGGAGATTTCGTGGGCCAGATGTGAGCGTGCAATACACCGAGAGTAGGGAAGCTTCAATGTCTCCGCGTCGTCGTTTCCACGCCGATCGTAGCAATGAGAACCGCGGAGTGTATCAATAAAATTGTTTGTAAGACTTGATGGTGCCGTGGTGCAACGTCGTTCCTGAGGTCCCTTGGTCCATGGGAGTGAATGCATTCCGTCGACGGCATCCATGATTGAGATTACTGACCACGCCTGCGTTGGCCTGATTCAAAACCTGACGGTGCCAGTGCCCTTCGTTGGTTTCGCAGCGAGTGTCGCCGCAACACCGATGCCAGTGGCCACAGCTGAGAGGTATCCCGTAGTGAACCCAATACGTGTTGTAATGCCAGGAGTCAGAGGTAGTTCGACCTTGCGCAGCAAGAAGGCTCCCGTTTCAAAGCATAAAGTCTCGTCATCTCCTCGTAGACCAGCCTCCATGAAGGCCATTCAATTGGAGTTCCATCTGGTCTTGCGCCGAGCAGCGAGAGCCTTCCGGAGTGGCTTTTCGTGGGATCTTTTGTTGCCTTTTGAAATTTTGCAACAGTGCAAAAGATTCCGCCAGTCTGTCTTGAGCTCCGAACCTCTGCATGAGTAAAAGAAAGGCGGATCATGATATGGAGTCCAGCAGCGATATTCTACCACCATCGAAAGGCAGGCGGTCCTTGGGCTCCGGGATCCTGTTGCGCGCTTGCTTCACAAGAACGACCTGAGATCTTACCTCCAGTAAATTTCCTCTGTCGGTAATCCAGTCCAGCGAGGTGTTCAATGGTCCAAGAGATTGTAACGGAGAGCGGCAAAGATGTCCTTGCTCCGCTCCACACGCTTTGCCCAACTCTCACCAAGTAGTGTAGGAGAAAAGCTTAAATTACTCACAGATTGTTCATCCAGGACGACATCATGTGTTGGTGGTCGTGAAGTGCGGTCAGACTCGGAGTCGAAAGAGTGAAGACTCGGATTGAACAAGAAGGGGTGTGCTCAATCAAAGGAGGTCGAGACGAGAGGTGAAACAAGTCCAACACGCCTTCCCCAAAGGTTTAATTCTAGCTTCGCCGAACGTCGCTTGTGAAGCTCACATGGATCTTTCACTCGAAGATTCACCGGGATACATCTTTTTAGAATACATCACTCTCGGATGCGACGATTCGAACAAACACAACCAATCTCGACCTCGAGGTCGCAGCCACTTCTACTCCCACATCCACGRGAGTTCATCATTGACATCGACACGGCTTCGCGCGTAGCTACCACCACTTCGCAACGCGCCGCGTCCAGCACTGCCCACAATGGCTGCAGAGAATGCCAGCTCGCCGCTCGACAACGCGTTTCCCGACGAAGACCGTGCAGCGGAAAATGCYCSAAATGCCATCAATGGCGACGTGGACGAGGATGAAGAAGACGTGCAGGCGGGCAGCAGACGGTCAAAAGCAGGCGATGTTGCGGTAGCTCAGGATGCAGAAGAGGATGCCGACGACCTTTTCGGCGACGATGACAGCGATTTAGGAGATCTAGATAAGTCTGGGTAGGTCGGAGACTCGCACGCGCGCAACGAGACTTGTACCAACTGACTGCATATAGCATGCGCCAGCTGGAAGATGCAGAGCTCGATTCTGGTGATGACATGGAGAGGAATGATCGAGCTCCTGGACAGGAAGATGCGCCAGTGCAGCAATTTGAAGAGCATACTATTAATACCATGGACATGGAGATAGCGCGACAGCCGCTGCCAGAGCCTAGCGACGGCGAGGTATGGATCATGCCTCTACGTGAGCTCGCATAGCAAGCTAACATCCACCAGCTCTACCTCTTAAAAGTCCCAGCATTCTTGACCATCGAGCCAGAGGCATGGCAGACGACGACGTTCCAGCCCCCAACCACCGATCATCACTCGAAAGCGGCGCCAACTGCGACTTTCTCCGCTTACAATACCGCCTTGTCTACGATCAGATGGCGTCATTCGCCTTCAAATCCGTCAGAGCTCCAGTCGAATGCGCGGATAAACAGGTGGTCAGACGGTTCCGTCACTCTTCAGCTCGCATCCGATCCAGGAACCCAATACGAGATTGACGGTAATCCGCTGGCGCCTCCTCAGCGGAACCCAGCCAAACCGACCCCGACAAGCATACTGCCTGGACAGAAGGTTKGCCAGAAATACGATGAGACCAAGGACGCCTATACGTATTTGGTGGTCCCGGTGGAATCCGCAGAGTCCCTGCGGGTCACGCACAAGATCACTGCTGGAATGACTGTCAGACAGACCGAGTCTGTAACTGACGATGCCATTGAACGCCTGCAGGCCGCGCTGTCTCAAGCCGCGAATGCGACCAAGGTGGGAGGAGCCTCGGGCCAGCTCGAGGCAACTGAGACCGACCCAGAGTTGCAGAGGAAGCAGGCGGAAATCGCCGAGAAGCTGCAGATGCGCGACAGGAAGAAGAGGGAGCACGCACAAGAACGGGAGCGACTCAGGACGGATCGTACACTTGGCCGTGCTGGGCTCTCCTCGAGTCGATATGGTGGACTCAACGTCGGCATGCTCGAGGACGAAGAGGTGGAGGGTCGTGGGCGGTCCCAAGGAAACAAACCTCGCGCAAAGCCACGTCGTCGGCGTAACAGCGAGTACAGTGACGACGAAGACTTTGGCRACAAACGCTTCTCCAAGGAGGACAGCTACGACCAAGAAGACGATTTTGTTGCACCCAGTGATGAGGAGGAGGTTGTCGATGATGACGAGGACGAAGACGAGGGCATTGTGAATTCGCAGCGAGCGGCGACTCCCAAGCGCGATCGACCGCGGCCTGCTGAGACAACGGGCTCAGGGAACGATGAGGATGCCGAGGGCGAGGAAGATGATGATGTACCACAGGCGAGGACCAAGAGACGTCGCATTGTGGACGACGAGGATGAGGACGAGTAGCGCTAAATTTGCTGCCATCTTAACAAATGTTTCCCAACAGCGAGGCGTCCCGGGCATTCGGGCATTGCATTGGATAGGGAGTGGAATCCTGTTTGAATGCTGCTGTAGTGAAATGACACACTTGCGCGCTTCTCCCATTTGCCATTCATAGTGAACATTTTCACATGCGTTCGTCGTTACAGATGGCCCAGTAGTCGATCAATAGCTTTTGTCACATGCGGTCAAGACCGATTGAATGGACGTTTGAATCATTCGTTTTAATCGCACATGAAACTCCACTTCGGTCATGACCTGGTGCGAGCCCGCATTTTTATTCAGACCTCCTTGGACCCTATCTCGGTTTCTTGGCGACTTTCAAGGTTGCCTCAACATCAGCCAACTCTCCACACTCTTAGTTACCACTACCTCACCATCCCACAGATCCAGTGCTACCATCAGGTGAGTACAATTGAATGACAGCTGTGGCGCGCCGCGACATGACAGGTGGCACGCCGTGACGGGCGGTCCAGGCAGCCAGGGCGACAATCACAATGACACCTGTGCCCTCCGCACCATGCAGTGACTGACCACTCCTTCTCCCAGCAGCGCTGTTTCTTCCAACTACAACCAAACAACCCACCCACTCTACCACCACCCCTCGACCGCAAATATGGGTCTCACTTTCTCGAAGCTGTTTGACCGCCTTTGGGGCAAGAAGGAGATGCGCATTCTCATGGTGGGATTGGACGCAGCCGGAAAGACCACAATTCTCTACAAGCTGAAGCTTGGTGAGATCGTGACCACTATCCCCACTATTGGTGCGTAGTGTGATCGCAGATGATGACGGCGAAGGCGGCGCTGACAAAAGTGGTGCAGGATTCAACGTCGAGACGGTCGAGTACAAGAACATTCAATTCACCGTATGGGATGTTGGTGGCCAGGACAAGATCCGGCCTCTTTGGAGACATTACTTCCAGAACACCCAGGGTATCATCTTCGTCGTCGACTCCAACGATCGCGACCGTGTTGTCGAGGCACGCGAGGAGCTGCAGCGCATGCTCAACGAGGACGAGCTCCGCGATGCGCTCCTGTTGGTCTTTGCCAACAAGCAGGATTTGCCCAACGCCATGAACGCCGCCGAGATCACCGACAAGTKGGGTCTGCACAGCTTGAGGCAACGCGCTTGGGTATGTAGCATGCGCCTTTGAAACTCCACGGCTTACGCCCACTGACACCGCTTCCAGTACATCCAATCGACTTGCGCCACCTCTGGTGACGGTCTCTACGAGGGTCTCGAATGGCTCAGCAACTCGCTGCGCAAGGCTGGCCACAACTAGATACATGCGACCCGTACGACAATGCACGAATCATGCCAACGAACACCCACTTAACTGGTTCCCGTGCGCGCGCTTCTTTCTGCTCCACCTCTCTCATCGACTCTCAAGTTTGCGGCAGCAGGACAAGCGGAGAGCGAGATTTACATGCAATTACGGCTGGGAAGGTTCCGCGAGCGACGGCAAATGGAAAATGAAAGGTCTCCACACTATCGTGTCTTAGCTGTCTTGTACTCTGTTTTTACCACACCCCACACCAAACCCCCGATCAAGACATGCTGCGTTGACTGGATGAATGAATGCATTATGGTGGCGGTGATGTTTTGCTTTTATTTGTAGAGGGTTTACCTCTAAGGAGTATGAAAGTTTGCAAACATGTCTCACTATCATTTCTCATTGGTGTGGAATCGCCTGACTGACAGTGTCAATTCTCAGAAGTGCTCGCTCTTGAACTCTGCAGGACATCGTCTTCAGTTGCTGCCTTGACTGCTGCTTTCTCGTCGGCAGTCAGATCACTGTTCGCTCGACCAATGCTCACAAAGGAGAACAGCACCAATGCCATGGCGCCGCACGCCATATTGAACCAAAAAACGTTCCGATAACTTTGCTGCTGGCCCTGGTAGGCTGTCTGCGATGCAATCACCTCTGCAAATCCAAGCAAAAGTGCGATTCCGAGCTGAACCAGCGCATTGCCAAGCGAGCCGGCCAGACCTTGTTGATGTGCTGGCAAAGATGTTGAGAAGAAGATGTTCGCCACGCTAAATATCACATCAAAGGCCACTGTCGAGCATAGCATTGGGATGAACACCCATTTCCAGTAGTTGACTTCTGCAGGCGCCAATGCGAGAAGGACGCTCTCGAGGATGATTGCAAGGCCGGTCACCTGGAGAGGTCAGCAAAGTTCTCCCATATCACATGTTGGAGAGCAATTGGTATGTTTCGAGACACGCTCTATGACTTCTACACTCCAGTTTGACTCACTGCCATTAGAACTTTCGCGGGGATAAGATGGAGGGTCATGCCCCCGCCAATAGCAAGAATTAGTCCCACGATGACCACGGGAGTATACCAGGCGACCAGTTGCATGGGAGATATGCCCCAAACATTCAAACTCCTGTCAGTTTCGTTAGTCGAATGAAGGAACAGTGAGAGATTCGACTTGCAGCAATGTGGTATACAGCAGGAATATGCCCAATGGCCCGTAACAGAAAAGCAGGCCTAAGATGAACGGCCGCATCCCCTTGATCTTGAATACCTCGAACGGAAGGAGTGGCTGTTCAGCTATCCAGCCCTCGACATAAAAAGCTACTGCTAACATGCCAATGCCCAAGATGAATGTAACCAGGATCCGTGGAGTGGCCCAGCCTTGAGTAGCATGGCTGGAATCCGTAATGGCATAGATGACAAGGATCAAGCCGGATATGGTTGTGCAACTTCCAAGCCAGTCCATCTTCACGCCGTTGTTCTTGTGCTCTTCCACGTCGGATGGAATGGCGATGTAGGATGCCACGGCGACAATCGCAACCAGTATAGATCCAATCCAGAAGTACCACCTCCAAGTAAGAAACTCTCCTGCAATGCCGGCGAACAGAAACCCCACGAAGAAGCCCATCACACCCATACCTCCGTAGATGAAGAATACGAGCGACTTCCTCGGACCAGGTCGATATGTGTTTCCGAGAATCTGCAATGCAGCCGGGAGGTACGCTGCGGGACCCAGACCTTGAAGTGCACGCAGGACGTCCAGCGTGATCTCATTCTGGGCAAAACCAAGAGCCTGCAATCAAATCAGCCTGCCGATCTAAAGTACTTCGAATGATTGTCTGTAACCATACCAGAGACAGGACAGCGAACCATGTGATACCCGCCATGTATACTGGATATCCTCCATATATGTCTGCAACTCTCCCGAATGGCAGTAAAAAGGCCGATACGACCAGGGAGAAAGCGCTCGCGGGCCATGTGGTAGCAGATGGAGGGATATCGAGGGCTTTGGTCACGGTTGGGACCAAGATTGTAAATCCCGAGACGAAGTACTCTGCCAGAGCCTGGCCGACCTGCAAAGCGAAGATGGATGCGTTAGCAATGTTTGAGATCATCTCGATGTGGAATGAGGCCTCATGTAGCTCGAGAACACTTTCGCCTTCAAGGCCTTACCGTTATGGAGAAGACAAAGGCGATTTCTATCCACAGAGACTTGAGCTTTTCCGGTCGCTGGCGTCCCAACTACAAGCAAAGGGCAAGGTCAGCAAGTGAATGTCTCAAACGATGGGTAGGCGAAATGTCTTTCGCCCTACGATATACCCACGCGTTCGATACGGGCATCTTCCGATTCTCCTTCAAGTTGCGATATTGGTGTGTCTCTTCCCTCATCTGCTCCGGAGAGATCATGTTCTTTTGAGTTTCTGGTAGACATCTTCGAGGCTGGACGACATGTATGAAGTGCAAAGACGAGTAATCGAAACCAAGCAAGCAGAACAGTGAAAGATATAATACAAAAGATCACAACCGGTGCTCACCTATGGTTGGCCATTTCGTTCACGAGCTCCTCTTCGCATTACCAAGCCAGGTCGTAATTGTGCTGCAGAATGACGGCCAAGTTTTTTTGAATGACGACCCGGCCGTCGTATCCACATTGATTTTGTGAGATATGTCCCGTTTCATTGCCACTTTAGAGGGTATGTAGCAAATGTCGGGGCCGAACCCGCGTGTCTTGACATCTTTGGCGTGCGAAGTGGTGTCTGTTGGTCATAGTGAGAGAATACGTCGTATACGATGCCCAAGATCGGAAGTGCCAACCAAATAGGGCAATCCTTCGGAAATCGCCACCTAGCCATCGGCATGATGAATGGAGGAAGTAAGTTACTGGAAAGTTTTTATTCGCCATCAGCCCCTACATAGAGGAACTTAGTGGAAACCAAGCTCTCTCTTTCTATGCGTACAAGCAGGATAGGGCAAAGGAGGATTGTGTCTCAGGTCTGACTAGGTAGGTGAGCAATTGAGAGATACGCCTGCTCTCGTGCAGACGTGTAAGATGCCAGCAGATCAGGTAACGTAGTCGCAAATGGGTTCTGCTCGATGTTTTTGGTTTGTCCTCCTCCTCCTCGACGAGCCGCTGGGATCAGATGCGGCATGGCCTGAGAGTTGTCGATACCTTACTCCGACGCGCAGGGATGAAGAAGTAACTACCTTCAAACATGTCGATGGAAGGTGCGGTCCATCGCTCCTTCCCACCAAGCAAAATGCAATCACTTCACTTGAAATATTGGGCAGACCAGCAACATCCCGGTCTGCTCTTCTATCTATCGACACTTCTCGGTCTGGCATCTTCTTTCCATCGCGCTGTCATTTCCACTCTCAATAAACACAACATCAACATCGGAAATGTCGCTGCGCGAAGTGGAGTCTAGAAGAGAAGTCGAAATCGAAGAAGCACGTCAGATCGCCCTCCCAATCTCTCCACAGAAAGCAGCGACAGACTCGACGGCGGAAACGGCGGTCGATCCGCCACAGTCGGAGCCAAGKCCCATTCCAAGAAAGGGCCCAATATCCTGGGAGCGCATTTACAACAGAGACTTCAAAGAAGTCGAGGTTCTCTACAAAAAAGGCGATTGGGGCGGGGCGATCGAGGCTGCAAAATGCAACCTCTCGGACCCTACCCTCCCAAGATGGCACATCATTAGGAACCATTTGATGTGGGCGCACGCGGCCGAGTGGTATTCCGAGGCAGAGGAGTATGTCATACCAATGTCCATCTCTTCATCCACTGACTTTTACTAGACACCGCCTCATTGCAGAGGGGGTTTACGCCGAAGCCCGTATGCTGACGCCAAGAAGCGCATCCATAGACAACGAATGCCTTCGTAGAGTTCGCATGGACTTGGACGTGCTCAAGGAGGCTCAAGAGGAAGACTTGCGCGATATGGAKCAGAGTGTGCCCCCGTCCGACGATCTTCCGTACCGGGGAAAGCAGGTCGATAAAGGCGAAGGTAACAGTGGAAGCGGCGGTAAAGGCAAGGATGAGGGCGGGAGTGGAATGCATGAGGATGCTGGAGGTTAAGACGAATAATGCGGTGCGGTCCGGAACAGCTTAGATATGGAGGTCTTCTCGACATGGCAACATGGAGAGAGGTGCAGCTGGAGATGTGCCTGAGGCATCACAGCTGACATAACCACGCTAGTCCAGACAGGCTTCTTATAAGAATTTCTTCGTGCGTTCAACTTCTTCCTTTCTCTCTTTATCAGTAGAGTTAACTTAATCGTTAGCCATCCAGGCTTCGCTATGCGACATGCTGGAGGTCACTCTTGTCTTTATGGCTCGTGGTTTTCCTCCCGTTCCCGGCCCGGTAGAAGAAATTGCGTCCGACTTTCCTACCACCTGCGCGATGTCCATTTTCTGTGGAGCGTGGGTGTGGGTTGGCCGCTACATATCTTCAGCCTCCATCAGACTGACTGAAGATGAATCAGTTTGTTCCGGTGATCGCATCAACTACCTGTCCCAAGAGTCATGGAACACGGAGAAATGCTACAGTTCGTGATGAAATTTTCTGCAATCCAGCGGCAGCAAATCCCACGTTGCCCGCATCTGCCAGCATCGAAAATCACGCGAACGCGGCGAGCCTACATGATTGCGAGATGCGATCTCAAGGTACAGGCTCGAAACGTTCGCGTAGGAGGTTCATGTACAGCAAAAGACATAGATAGCAGCAACGGCGGCKGCACGCGAATGCGAATCATTTCTTCATGACAGGAGGATCATACGTGACTATAGAATCGCACTTTGCCGCCCTACATGTGCAGCCCGAGACGTCCCTCCTCCAATAACAGCCCAATCGCATTCAAAATGCTCCCATTTCGAGGTACCGATGACACCCGACAGGACGTGTCATTCTTGTGGTCATATCAAGCTGGATGGGAGCATAGTCATCGCCTTTCATAGAGAGAAACTGTGGACATCGTCCCCCCTCTGAAGTCCCCGGCAGATCTTGAGATCGCCATCTCCAAGGATGCTGAAGGATGTGCGTAGTGTGGACTTCTGGGCATAGTTTCACATCCTGTGTCGCTTCGGATTCTTCAATCGTCCCAGATAGCCTTCTTCGCTTGTTCGGCCTCCAGTTTCTTCCTGGCCTCTGCCTCTCTCGCCTGATCCCGCTTCTTCTTCTCCTGAATCTTCATAGCCTGATCATACTTTCTCTCTTCTTCTGTTCGCCTCGGTACCTTCTGCCCTATTGCAGCAGCGATAAGCCTCGATGCGACAGCTGTTRTCTTCTCTGGTCTCTTATCATCTCCTCTTCTACTGGATGCTGGTGCAGCGTCTGTGGAAGTGGTGTCGAAGGTGCCGTTGACGAAATCGAAATCTGGTAAAGATCCTTGGGACGCGATCTGCTCGCGTTGGCGCGCGGGAGAGAATGGTGTTGAGGGAGGCACAGGAGGCAGATGGGATGTGGAGGGTCTGTCTGGTGTCGATATTCCCTCTGTTTCTGTTTCGGTATCTGAGCTCTCGTCTTCCCAGGACTCGACAGGCTTGGACTCGAGCTTTTTGACCTTTGAATCTTCACTCGATACTCGGAGCCGGTTAATAGACTTGGTCACATCTTCAAGACTGCCGCCGGTGGCGCGCTCGCTCGTGTCTTGCGCCATGCCTTCTGGGAATCAGCCAGTCAAGCTGTCGAGATGGAAATGCTTTGCCATGTGTCAGGTGGACCCTGCCTTCTTCAGATCTGGACCGCTCGGCCCGATGCCGACTGCAGATCTGGGGAAGCTCCAATTCACATCCGATGTCGGTGTCGTGCGTCACGGTCGAAATCCATTATTACCGGCGGACATAAGCGGTTGCGGTTCGGTAAATCGCGTTGAGATGAACATGTTAAGAAGCATTGCTTCCTCGTTAGCTGAAAACAGGTCTCCATCTCGTTCACATTCTTCCTCCCTCATACGATCAATATCTCCAGCCCTTCTCCACCCCTTTTCATGCTCGGAAAAGCTTAGGCATGGCGTTCGTTCGCATTTCTCTCACAAAATCCATCCTAGCTCGCGTCACAAGAGCTTCTGCCCAACCAGGAAGCTCGAGACATTCCTTCTCCTCTTCAGCGCTGAGATCTGGTTACGATGATACAGTTCACAACTTACGCATCGGTAAACATACTCGGGTCATCTACCAGGGATTTACAGGACGTGTGGCTACTAGCAATGCAAAGGACAGTATAGCGTATGGAACCAATATCGTTGGAGGTGTCACTCCTGGAAAGGAGGGAGAGCACATTGGCCTGCCTTTGCTACCCGACTTGAGAAAGGCAAAAGAGCAGCTCAAGCCAGATGCTACTGCAGTTTTCGTGGCTGCACCCCAGTGTGCAAAAGCCATTGAAGATGCTATAGAAGCAGAGATCCCTTTGATCGTTGCTGTGGCTGAGCACATTCCCCTTCATGATATCATGAGAGTGCGTACGATCAAGCATCCAAACTATTCCTGAACAACGAAGCTCACGTCTCACAGGTGGCCAGCATTCTAAAGACCCAGTCCAAGTCGCGATTAGTAGGAGCAAATGCTCCAGGAATCATTGCTCCWATTGGCTTCTGCCRCATTGGCTTCCAGCCTCTGCCAACCTTTGCCCCTGGCCATGTTGGAATCGCCGCAAAATCAGGAACCCTCTCTTACGAAGCCGTAGCATCAATCACCCGTGCAGGATTGGGTCAAAGCTTGTGCATTGGAATGGGAGGAGACATCATCGCCGGTACCAACCTTGTAGACGCGCTCAAAGTCTTTGAAGCAGACCCAGAGACTGAAGCCATCTGCCTCATTGGTGAGGTTGGCGGCAGAGCAGAGGAAGATGCAGCAGACTGGATCAAGGAGTACCTCAAGCGGACAAAGAATCCCAAGCCTATCACTGCCCTTGTGGGCGGTAAGTGCGCGGTGCCTGGTAAGATCATGGGCCATGCGGGTGCTYGGGCCGCTCGCGGGGAGAACAACTCGCATCAGAAGTACAGTGTGCTACAAGAGGCTGGTGCCACCATGGTTGATCACCCTGAGAAGTTCGGCGGCGTCATCAAGACTCTTCTGCAGCAGTCTGGGAGGGACGTCAGCAAGATACAAGCCAACGCGGCCAGCCAGCAAAAACGCGGATACCACACCTTTCGCCGAAGCCCAGCATCCTTGAGAGCGTCAGGTCGACCAGCTCCTCTCCAGCAACGTCGAAGTCTATTCATTGACGAAAGTCTACGACCTGTCCCACTCAATCCATACCTTCGCAGCATCGATGGCCTATCAATCAGCAAAGACGAGAGCCCAAAGGACGGACACTATATCGGGGTCATTGTTGATCGTACCGAGCGCTCGCCTTGTATTGTGACTGCACCTACCGCAGAAGTCTCTGCCATTGAGAAAAGGGTCAAGCGTTTCCCATATGACTGGCAAGAAGGCCCATCAGAGGCCCTTATCAACCAAGCAATCGATCACCTACAGTTACGTTCAGCACCGATCGCTGCTAGAAGACAGGCGCAAAGCTTGCTCTCTAACCTGGCAAAAATGTACAAAGAGAAGGAGGCTACCATCCTATCTGGCTGCGTCAGCGTCGACGATTCCGGTAACCTGAAGCTACACCAGCCTAGCATCACACTCATGTTTGATGGCTCCGCGTATAAGAGCGGGAAGCGGCACGAGGATGTGCACCGTCTACGGCAGAAAGATCAGGAAGATCCCGCGGAGGTGGAGGCGGAAAAGGATGGAATCGTATATGTCCGGCTGAATGAACCAGATGCCTCGATCGGAACACTGGTGAACGGTGCAGGTCTTGCGATGAACACTGTTGATGCTCTGCTTTTGCATGGCGGGAAAGCGACCAACTTCTTGGACACTGGAGGAAAGGCGACGTCAGAGACGGTGAAGAAGAGCTTCGAACTGATCCTGCAAGACCCTCGCGTCAAGGTTATATTTGTTAACATCTTTGGTGGACTGACGGACGGAGGCATGATTGCCAACGGTATTTTGCTCGCATTCAAAGAGGTGGACATGAAGAATGTGCCGGTCGTGGTTCGCATTCGAGGAACAAATGAAGAGGCTGGACAGAAGATTATTGCAGAGAGCGGACTAGGTTTAGAATCTTTTGATGAGTTCGAGTCCGCTGCGAAGAGGGTGATAGAGATCGCGAATCAGAAATGAGACGGTATCGATAAGAAGTGAGACGGCATTGATAAAGGTCTTTTTTGAAACCATCTCAATTCGCACTCTCGATGAAGCAAGACAACAGAAAGAGGCATGAACCTACTTCACTTTTGGATCGTTTTAAGCCGATGGGGAAAGTTTGAAAAAGGACTTGCAAGCAGTTCAATATCTCCATCGCCTCCTCCTGAGAATGTCTGGGCTGAATCCATGTCGGAAGCCCAGCCAATCAAGATAGCGTGGAAACAAACCGCAATACTCCGTGACGCCTATGCATTCACCATATGCAAATGACGCCTATGTGACGCCTCGCCACCCTGCGCTCAGCTGTGCCTCCGCGATCGTTGTAAGATGTGTGCCGTAATCTGGGTTGGAGGCCACATAAATGTGAACACTTGTCGTTGAGAGAGCCGCTTGTTGCCTGATCTGGCCTCAGCGGGAAGTGGTAGTAATCACCAGGCGCCACCAATCTGCTCCTGATGAACCTCGAGCGTGTCACCGTCGGCCATGTCGAGCTGCATCGCGGATTAGTGTGGATACAGAGATAGCTGATGTAGAAAGATGCCTACCGTATCTGGAGTGTCTGAGGAGTTGACGCGCTGGCCGTCGAAGAGGAATCGCACGCTCGTTGGAGCCTTGCCCTGGCGCTCGCAGAAGGCGTCCATGAGCTTCTTGAGCTGGGTGGACCGCTTGATCTTGAAGAAGACCTCGTTGTTGTTGTCTGTGACCTTGATGTTCAAATGCTCGGTCTGCTGCGGGTGCTGGTCTTCCGGCTTCTCCGCGCCTGGGGATCCATTGTTCTCAGACATCTTGCTTGCTTGGTTGATGTGGTGGTTGGTTGGTTGTGGTGCTGTTGTCGAGTGGAGGTGGACAAGAGGTGTAGGTGCAAGACTGAAGATTGCTCGCGGTTTTGATGTCGCCGATGACTAATGGCGCGTGGGAAGTGTCGAGTAAAGTTGAGAAGTGAGGTGAATGGTTTCGCGACGGGTACCTGGTACTGCGGCGCACAATGTGTATGGTCAGTCAAAGAATCGCGTGGAGTAGATACAGCAAGAAGAGGATTGCGATGAATTCGCTGAAGAGTTACATACCAGGTGAAATGCGCAAGTAGTCGAGGTTTGGTGCCGGAAGTCGCGTCAATGTGGTGATGTTGGAGATGAGATCAGTTTGTCTCCAGTGGAGTGCCTTTCCCTTTCCCTTCCAATGGTGGGGTAGAACAATAAGTCCACCAACGGAGTTCTAGAAGACTTTCTCCGTGGGTACCCTACGTCAACAACGCTACAGGGAGGAGCTATCGATTGCAGCACGCATTTTTACATTCAACCTCTTATTAATACAAAATGGTGAKTGTCTTCAACGCGGCATGTGTACGCCTCGCTTGTGTTGACCCACACGCCAGACAAAGGAAGAAGAGGGCTTGAATGCATCGCCCCCGTGCCATCCACAAGCATGTGCGATTCAAGGTAAGGATACCACGAAAGTGAAGATTGGTCAATCTGATGACCCCTTAACAGCATGCATCCAGAAGAACAACTTCGATGAGGCGAAGTGTAAGCAGCAGATTGATGCTCTCTACTCGTGCTGCAACCTCTTCTACAAGCGGGACGGGGATGATGCATCTACAGTATCTTGCCCCAAGGCTAGCCTGTTGCGTATCAAGATGAAGCAGCGACAACAGGCAGGTCAGTCTTGATCTTATCACGTCCAAAACACGCGAATGGAAGACGGCGCGATGAGGCAGTCAGTAGCGTGTGACTTACAGTACAGCCCCTGTCGAAGAACCGGCGACAGAGCGGACATTTTCTGCGCGGCATCTTCAACTGTTGGAGTCCATCTACGTGCATATAGAATGAAGCGCAGGGACGTCAGATCGAGATCGAAATGAAGAGCGCATCATGAGGTGGCAGTGCTATCGGGGGAGTGATTCTTAATACATAGTATACAGGCAACACAACAGCACCCACCTCAAAGGCGGTTTCCAACCCGATGCTGGAGGCACCTCTTGGAGACTCCGAGACAGCAACAAACGCTGTTTTACCACTTGTGTATGGTCGGCGACTCGAAGCAGCAGCATCTCCATCTCGAGAAGGATGACCCGCATCTATCCTGCACAATCGTATGTTGCACTCACTACAACAGCTTAGATCCCCTCAAATCGGGACAAAGGTTGCGTAGCGAGCGCAAATTTCTCTAAGACCACCGGAGCGCATGCGAAAACACTGAAGGCGTTGCGATGAGACTCTATTAAAGGCGATCTATAAAACATTGTGAGGAGAAAAAGAAGGGAAGTCGAAGGGTGAGAATTTCTTCCAGTAGGAGCCGGCAGCCGGCAGCTGACATGATCATGTACGCTAGCCCTATATGGAGGCGGCGAGGTCCGACTAAATATATCAATATCGGATCCTACGTGCGCCCTACAAACCCGCAACTCTACACCAGTGCCTGTGTGTGGTTGCCTAATGCTCACGACGCATGCTGTCCATATTAGACTCCAACTTCCCCTTTAAACCTGCCTTACGAAGCCCAAAATCAATCAAAATACAGGTGCTTGAACATCCCGGTCGACATGGCTCCTCGCAAGATCATCATCGATACCGATCCAGTGAGTTTAAGGTATTCATCCTTAGCTTGAGGAATCTACTAACAGTGTCTCAAGGGTGTTGATGATATCCTGGCAATGCTCCTCGCCTTCTCATCTCTTCCCGAAGAGCTGGAAGTTCTTCTCGTGTCTCTCACATATGGCAATATCGATGTTAAGAACTGCCTCCGAAACACAGTATCCCTGTTTTACCACATCGAGAAGGAAATCGCTTTCAGGAAAGCTCAAGGACTGCCTCTTGGATTCGAAACCCTCCGCCAACGGAAACCACTTGTTGCTGTCGGCGCCGAGGAGCCTCTAGCAGATCAGATGTTGATGGYAGACTACTTCCATGGAACGGATGGGTTGGGAGGAATCCATGAATCGGTGAGATCGGCGGTATCCTGTCTTCATTAACTTTCTTACTGACTGCCATAGCATGCTCATCTATCTCCGGCAGAAACCTGGAAGCAGCTCTTCCAAAAACCCGCTGGTTCCGTCGAAAAAGAAGTTGCAAACGAGCTCTCCAATGGTCATGCGCTGTTTGAAGCGTCCAACAGACCAGCAAGCGAGGAAATCCTCCGTCTACTCCGCGAGAACGACCCCGACACCATTACGATTGTAGCAGTCGGACCATTGACCAATCTAGCTCTAGCAGCTGCTCAAGACCCAGAGACCTTTCTTCGAGCCAAAGAAGTCGTTGTCATGGGAGGGACTGTGGAAGAATGCGGCAATGTGAGTTCCCTCGAAGCGAGAGGAAACACAACGACTGATTCACCATGTACAGATCACTCCCAGCGCCGAATTCAACACCTTTGCAGACAGCATCGCAGCGGCTCGAGTATACGCTCTAACATCTMCGTCTCCAAAATCCACCATGCCAGCCGTACCTCCTCCACCTCCAGGCGTGAATCCTGGAGCAAAAGGGCCCCCTCCACACCTATCAGCATATCCAGAAAACCTCTCCAAGCAGCTCAAAGTCACCCTCTTCCCTCTAGATTTGACAAACTATCATTCCCTGTCCAGAGGCCAATTCAAGGCTTTCACGAAACCTTTGCTAGACGCAAAGTCCCCACTTGCAGAGTGGATCTCAGCTTTCATGAATTCTACTTTCAACAAGGTAGAGACTCTCGTCAATACTAGCGGTGATGCTGTGGGCTTGGAGCTGCACGACCCTCTGTGCGTGTGGTATTGCATGACGGAGAGCGACCAGTGGAAGCTCATTGTGGATGAGGATCTTCGCGTCGAGACATCTGGGCAGTGGACAAGAGGTACGTCGATGATAAGATTCACTTCCAATTACCGGACAAACTGACTCGGTCACAGGCATGTGCATCGTTGACAAGAGGCCCCGAAAGAAACGGGTAGACGTAGATGAAGGCGAAAGGCCAGACGACCTGGGTAACTGGCTCAGTGCACGTGCAGGCAACAGACTTCGCCGATGTGTGGCCTCTCCAGGACAAGATCTCTTCGGGCCGTTCCTCATGAAGAGAATATTTGGACAAAAGTGAGACGGATGAAATGGGACTGCGTAGGGAGGTGGTAGCAATATTGAGACTATCGAATTTTGTGATAGGAAAGGTAGTTTCTCCGTCTATATCCCTCATTTCAGACCATCCTGAGTGGGTCCTTTGCGTTCCGCAGGTGAGAATCCACCCTGCCTCGGTTCCACAGGTGAAAGCCCGCCCTCTCTGCGCTCTCCCCCAGGTGACCATCCGCCGGCGATCGAACCGGCGACAATGCCAGCCATTGCCGCACCCGTAGAGCTCGCCCGACTGCGACTAGGACTCCGGCTGGACGAGAACAAAGCCTCCTTCGGATGTGCAATGGTGAATTTGAGGCTGTTGATACGTCCGCCCCTGTACTTCTTCAACCAAGCAAGTTCGTCTTGAATCTCCAACAGGGCCATGCCAAAAGCGTCCTGATTCTCCTCATCGGTGATAACGATTGCATTCCTCTTATCACGCTTCTTCTGCGCCCACCTCTTGATGAATGGGGGGCACATCTTGGTGGCGATGCGATCAGGGAACATTCGGATGAGCACCCCGACGGGTAGAGAGAGGAAACCCAGGACAAGTGCACAACCCCACATTGCTCCATTCTGTGGTTCTGCTTGAAAGACCTCCCAGCTGCCGACGAAGATGATGAGGACCTGCCCCGCGATCATGGTAAAGAAAATTCCAACGAAGAAAAGGTTCTTGGTGAGACCCTCAAAGATATTGAGGTTGTTGTCGAGGCGACGGTTGTTCAGTGCGTTGAAGATTTGCATCCAGGTAAATGTGTTGAAAACGAGTGTTGCGTGCTGATGCTCTGCTTTCTCTGGGTTATCCTGGGCGAAAATGGGGGAAAGAATGCTTCTTCCGGCAAAGTACAGTATCAGAGTGATGATGAGCTGGTAGATGGCCTGTCCGATGATCATCTTCCACATGGTGACCGAGAACAATGACGCAGTCTTCAAGTCAGGCTTTCGATTGAGAATCTTGCGGTTTGGGGGATCCGTGGCCAGGGCGAGAGCAGCCATCGTGTCCATGATGAGGTTGATCCAGAGCAGTTGCACAGCTGTGAGCACAGATTGCTCTTCATCGCTCGACACAGCTGAGATGAATGCAAGGAGAACCGCAGTAATATTGACCGTGATCTGGAATTGAAGGAACTTCCTGACGGCGTCGTTGACAGCACGTCCCCACATCAATGCCTTAATAATCGACGCGAAGTTGTCGTCCATTAGGATGATGTCAGAAGCTTCTTTTGCCACTTCTGTGCCGGAAATATTCATCGCGAATCCGACATCTGCGGCTTTGAGAGCAGGTGCATCGTTGGTGCCGTCTCCAGTGACTGCAACGATTTGACCCATCTCCTTAAGACGCTTCACCAGAATCCTCTTGTCTTCAGGCGAGGATCTCGCGAGGACCTGTAAGTTCGGTATGATGGCTTGCTGCTTAGACCTGGACATTTTCCGGAACTCCTGACCTTCAAGAGCCAGGCCGCCTGCGGTATAGATACCACACTCGGTAGCTATTGCCTTTGCTGTGATGATGTTGTCGCCCGTGACCATTCGGGGAACGACACCAGCCATGATGCAATCTTTCACGGCCTCGGTCACTCCAGGACGGAGGGGATCTTGAATACCGACAATCCCCAAGAGCACCATTCCATCAGGATACTTTTCAAAAGCGGCYTGTGTCTTGTCATCCTCCGACCTAGCCATGCYCCGTGGTGGCCATGATTCTGACTCGAAGTCCTGGTAGATGAATCCGATTGTACGTAGAGAGCGGGAAGCGTATTCATCGATCAGGGCCTCCAGTGTCTCCTTTTCGGTACCACTCATTTCCTTCGACTCGATGCCACGAGTCGGGTCGGAGACGATACGGGTACAATGACCGAGCATGATCTCGCTAGCACCTTTCACAATGAGTCTATAGCCTTTGCCATCCCTCAGCTTGATCACCATTGCCATGGACTTCCGTCCAGAGTCGAAAGGAAGGATTTGGACAACCTCGGCGTTGCTTCGTTCGATGCTGACGCGGTCCATTCCTAGATAGTCCCGGGCGAAATCCAGGAGAGCTGTTTCGGTCTTTGAGCCCACATACACCTGCTTTCCTTCCTGTTCGGCCTCGAAAGCGGTTGAGTTGATTGCAATACTGTCTTTCCACAGAAGCTTTACAGAATCTCCGAGCTGCGGGATCATCTCTGCGGTAGGGATGTCCTCCACGCCGTCATGCATCTKTTTCGACTCGACATTGACATCGAGTACATTACCCTCGGTGCGGCCGCTGAATCTATGGGTGGTACCTAGAGCACCGGCGACGACAGTCATGACGTTCTGTGTGAGTGTACCAGTCTTGTCTGAACAGACGGTGGTTGCGTTGCCCATGATTTCGCATGATCGTAGAACTCGTACCAGGTTGTTGTCTTTCAGCATACGTTTCGTTGCATACGCCAGAGCGAGTGTTACAGCAAGCGGGAGACCCTCGGGAACTGCCACCACGATGATCGTCACAGCGACAATGAAAATTTTGATAAATTCCTGTCCTTTCTCGGCGGAGGTGGAGTTATCATTCTTCAGGCCAACACAGAACTTGATCAGCAGAACGAAGAACAGAAGCAGGGCAGCAGAACCTCCGATTTTGGCAATGTACTCCGCCAAGTTGTTCAACTTGGCTTGAAGAGGTGTCATGTCGTTGCTTTCTCGGAGTGCCATCATTGTTTTGCCGTGGGATGAATGAACGCCAACGGCAGTGACAAGCATTCGACCAATGCCCTCGGTGACCTTGCCGCCGGACAGCATGAAGGGATCAATCTTTTTCAGCGACTCGCGGGCCTCGATAGCATGAAGGGCTTCGTCGCCCGGGGTCTTCTTCAGCAGATCAGATTCACCAGTGGCAGATGATTCGTCGCATTTGACACCGTGACCACTGATGAAGATGCCGTCGGCTGGGATGACATCGCCTGGCTCAACGAGCAAGATGTCCCCAACCATCAGATCATAAATGTTGATCTCCTGAGTGTTGCCCGAGCGGCATACTTTGACTTGGCGGTCATCCTTCTTCTTGTTCAGCTTCGCAAACTGCTTTTCCTTTTGAAAATCGTTGACAGCGCCGACCATAACGACAATGACAATTGCAACAATGATGGCAACACCCTCAATCCATTCGGGACTACCTTCGCTGACGGCCTGGTAAGTGCCTAGTGAGAGGGCAATAACCGCAGCAACAGTCAGCAAGATGAGGATCTTGTCGTTGTATGCCATCCACATGAGCTCGAATATGCTCTTGGATTTGCGCTCCGGCAGCCGGTTGTCTGCGAAGATGCGCGTCCTCGCCTCCACATCCTCCGCATTSTCGACACTTATTYCCGTATGTCGACTAGCCTTGAGGCCCTCTTCCAGCCCCACCAGTCCTCCCAACGCGTGGAAGGCGCCCAAGCTCTTGGGATTAATTAACTTTCCCAGCTGACCCGGGGTGTATTCGAAAGGATTGTTTTCTCGTTGAAAGTCGGCCTCAGTGCCGGGATCTGGTTGGAGGGCTTCATTGTCCGGGGTGATCGAGGGCGCGTTCTCGTCCGGCACAGAGAGKAAGCCTTGAGCGGTGGTGGACGTCATTTCGTGTACGGCGCATCTCCTGCCGCCTCAGCAAGTGAGCTGGTAGGGTGGAACTGCAAATGAGGCCTGCTGTAGTAGAGCTGTCTGAGGATGATCCCGGGGGGGATATGTTGATCAAAAGTTCGCGGTCAAGTAAAGTACTCGGAGCACGAGATCATCAGCAGACGCCAAACTGCAGGTGCTGCCACGCCACACCGTGCTTGCTAGTGAGGGTGACGATGATGGCTAGCGACGTGGTCGAAAAAATGGCCATGATTCTTTCCACAGCGGCGAGGCGCGAACGGCGGTAGTCCACCCAGCACCCAGTTGTGATTGCCCCAAGCACAGCCTCCCTTGGCGGCATCAGTTGAAAGTGACGCTAGCGCCTTCGCCGGTCGGTTAAGCAGCGGACCGTCCCAAAAGCCAATCAATGCCTTGCCAAAACGAGCCAAACAATTTGAATGCAATCAACTTCCTGGTCGCGATCAAACGTCGGTTGATTTTGTTCAGAAACCTCCCTTCTCGAAGAAATTCAACCACATCCGCTTCAATCGACGCGGTCGCTTACACCGATTTCTTCATTTACACATCTGCAGCGTCTCGGGGAATACGCCAGGGCCGTGCATCCTGCGACGCATCGGCACATGCCTGATGGTCTTGGCTGATCTCCCCTAACAACGCATGCCAATGTTTGTCCAAGAGCTCTTCGACGCCTTGATTCATTTGGGCGAACCGGATCGAAGCAGGGTTTCACGGCCTTCGAATCGATCGCAGCCACAGTCGCCACAGTCCTGCTGATATTCTACGAATACTTAAGGAAAGTTCAATTCTAGATCTCTCCAAGTGTTGCCACGAATGGATAACGAGATCTGTAGGCCGCTAGACGTTTTCAACACAATAAGATTCCGGGGGACTGGTAACATGCTTGGACTACCGTACATTCACCGGCAGAACTGCAACTACCTCCGTACCTATGGGAGCTGTAAAGCCTCTTGCATCATTCCCACCGCTGCCAACAGCTCATTTTCCATGTGGCGTTTGGCGACGACGTTAAAGCTTATAGGCGCGCCTGCGTAGTTATACCCGGACCATAACTCTCTCACCACACGATCCGCCTCGCTCAGCACAGCCACATCCTTGTCGTATTCGACTTTATCTTCAACCTTGAATGGAGATGGGACTATCAACCCAGGGTAGTCCAGCACGTTCCAGAAGTGCGGATTACTAGTGTTGTGTATCAAATTTCTAGACAAGACGATCAGTAAGACAAATAGCAGACGAGGCACTCTTGGCACACCTACCCAGTATCATGAACACTTGCCGGGGACATTGGACATATGACAACATCAGGATCGCCTTGAGAGATCCAGTCTTCGAGGAATTGTGCTCGGAAAATGTCTCGCTCGAAGCGTCTCGCGGCTATGGGTATGGCGGTCTCTTCTCGTCCTCTTGCAGCATCAGGATCGAGGCTGAACGCGTGTGATATCAGACCCTCGAACACGGGAAAGGTGGGTTCATTGCCAGCTTGGAGCGCCCCCAAGGCACCCTTCATCCCATCGTGGACGACAAGATTGTTGAACAACTTGTGTGCCTGTTCGGGCTTGTAGAAAGTGTAAGGCAAGACATCAAATCCGTGCTGTTGAAGCTGTGAACCAGCCCATTCAAGTGCCTGAGCTACCGGCGGCTGAGGCTGAACAATCCCATACGTCTTGAGAATTCCCACCTTCAACGTACTGGCCCTTTTTGCGGTACCGAGACCTGTGTATGGTATGGGTAGGGTGTCTGGGTCCTTCAGATACAGCTTTCGCGAAAGCACATGATTCAAAAAGTAGTCGAGATCTCGAAGGCTATGACCCATGGGTCCAATGATGCTATCCAACGACAAATCTGGAGGTGAAGGTCCGAATTGCATTCCTCTCATTGGCAAGAAACCGCTCGAGGCTTTGAATCCGTAGACGCCGCAGAACGAGGCCGGGATCCTAATGCTACCGCCGAGATCACTTCCTATTCCAAAGGGCGAACCCCGTAAAGCGAGAAGAGCTCCCTCGCCTCCAGATGAGCCACCAGACGAGAGGTCTATGTTGTGGGGATTCAATGTCCTTCCCAGAAAAGATGTGCTCTCCAAGCTGAAGACCAAGGCAGGCTGGTGTGTCTTCACATAGAACACGGCACCCAATTCTCGAGCAGTTTCGATAAGCAGGCAATCTTTTGGCGATATCATGCGGCTGGCTGCCAGGCCTGCGGACCACAGCTGGCCTGCTACTGGAACCGTCTCTTTGACACTGATCGGAACGCCATGGAGTGGACCAACAACCTTCCCCGTTCGTGCGAGGTGCTCATCCAGTTCTTTTGCTCGTGAAAGCGCCTCTTCCATGTAGATGTCCGAGAGGCAGAAGGTGAGCTGATGAGCAATCATGGCCCGTTTGCAGAAGGCTGTGGTGACTTCAACGGATGTCAATCTCCCAACACGAATGGCTTCGGCCAAGTCAACGAGGCCATAATTGCTCGTGATATCGAGCTCCGCAGGTGTAAGAAGGCCACAGTCTGCCGGAACGCCAGTAACATTGAGTGGCGGGTTCTCTATCAAGCTCTTGGGAATATGTAATTCTTTGGGGATCCTCGCTGCCACTTTGTTGAGAATGTCCTGGCGGTTGGCTTCGAATTGAGCGTCGCCGCGCGGTATCGCTTTTCTCTGGATGATGTTCAACATGGCAAATTTTGTCAACTTGAGGAAGTTGTTGTAGCTCAATCCTCTTTTATCTATTGAAAATGTGGGTTCTGTAAGAATGTCAGACTCACTGCAGCGTATGCATGCACTTCTCATGCGAGATAAGCCACTTGTCTATGTTGCTTTGCAATTCACGCTGATCTCATATGCATCGGAACACACATTGCATGCTGACGTGGACTGTCCACCGCACGAAGCGGTGAACGCTGAACATCAGCATTCTGTATCTTCACACAATACACACATGTTGTGCCTGCTGAGATCAGTTCTCCTCCATGTGACTCYGAATCAATCTACTAGAGGGTAATTGGAAGAAGAGGTAGTGCCCATTGCATCTCAAACCAACTACAGACGAGATTTTCCACCTCCACCTCCCTGACCAAGATCCAACCCAGTGAGCTTCTCCAGCTCCTTAACAGCCAGATCTGCTCTTCCCAGCTGTACCTTGATCGTTCCCATTCCCAACTTCTTCGCAGTCCTCAAATTCCCACCAATATCATCCAAAAACGTGATATCCTGCGGTCTCACACCCATCCCATACTCATTCAACTTGACATACTCATGCAGCCTCGTAATAGCATACTGGTAGATATCCGGTGCAGGCTTCCGCATCCCGACATGTGCGCTCGAAATAAAGACATCAAAGACCCCCTTCAGCTCCTTGTTCTGCTTCCCCTCAGGCGTCGAAGCATCATTGAAAGGGTGATCAGGCGGGAAGATTGAGGTATTACTCAATGCACCGAGTATAAGCTGGCCCTTGCTCTTATCCGCCGCCTTTCGCAGTCGCTGCAACGCAGGCCACATGTGTGGATCTGGTTCCCGAGCTATCCGCATCATCTCCCAGTATAGCCATTCAGCATCAATGTCTGGGACAGGAGGTGCTTGAAAAGCAGCTTCCTCCGCTGCATCGCTGAGCTTCTCGTTGCGTTTCTTGGCCAGGTCTCGGGCGTAGTATTCTCGCCAGCGTTTCTCGTTGGAGAGATCGCTTTTGAATTCGCGGAAGAAGCCTGCATCTAACAGGATATCGCCGCGCTCGAGCTTCTGCCATGCTCCCGAGGGATTCGTGGCTGAAATGCAATAGTTTACATATCCTTGTGGTATTCCCTTCTTCTTCTCATAGTCCAAGATTGCTTGGAATGGCGAGACGACGCATACGCCTCCGATATCGAAGAGGAGCACTCGAGGATAGCCGTTCATCCTGGCTGATTGATGGCCTTTCCTTCAAAAGGGATCGATGAGAGACGTGGTGCACAGAACGTGTACATCATAGACATTTTGATTGCCGCGTTGTTGGACAGTGAGATGGGACATTAACCGGGGCCGAGGTCTTTCAGCTTCAGCTCTGTTCTACGCCAAGCAGCTTGGGTTGGCATTGGATTTTATACCTCACATGCTATTTACTTTTGTACCCTGGCTTTCCCTGCACAAAAGCGAGGACCTCTGCTCCTATCTCGTCATTTTCAGCGCGTTGGGGGGGTGGAAAATCAGACTGATCGTTACCCTCAGCGTCAAACTCCCTCATCAGCATTTCCTGAGCTAGCAAAAGTTGCTCATTCAATGCCCGGTCCTCATAATTAGCCCCCCGTACAGATCTGTCAACTTTGAAATTCACTGGGCGAGGCGGACTCATGCGAACCGCAGGCGCTGCTTCAGCACTCGCGGCAGGCCTGCAGCTCGCGTCAGCCCCAGGGCTTTCGGAGCATGATCGATATCTAGAAACTTTGCGGAGAGGGACTCGAACACGAGGTGCTACCTCGAATGTTCGTATTAATGCTTTTCCAACGCGTGGCTTCACGTGCGGTGTATGGTAGCGAACATGAACTGTATCCTTGTGCACAGGACCGCTCTTGGCTGAGACCATGTGTTTTCTGATCGGCAGAGGTTTTCGATGTTCTTCGACGGGCTTGCGAGCAGCTTCGGCGGAGAGTCACCGTTCCGTTTCCGATATATCATCGCCAGATGCCGTCACTGGTACAGTCTTATTTCTGGCGTTGGGTAGGGAATTCCCCGTCAGCCCTCGAAGATATTGGCCTAAACCAGTGCCTTTGACATTGCCTCCTCGGATCGTGAGATTGCCGAAGGGCACATCGATTTTGGTTTGTGATGCGCCATTCTGCTCGCTCGTCAGATTGACAGCCATGCCACCTTCTGAAAGCATGCCAAAGGTATCATGGTGGTGGAGGTCAGTATGAGGAGCGTCGTCTCGAGGTTCAATGCCAGGCGTTGCGCTTTCGGGAAGATCGTCGATACTCGAGGGGATGACACCAAATGTCATAGCCCGATCGGAATCAGCCGCGTAACGGGTGTCTTCAATTAAYGGGGTGTTCGGTTCCTTGGGTGCCAGGAAGAACATGACATTTTCACCAGGTTTAACAATCTCGCCAAGAGCCTGTCGTTGCTGGTCGGCGACAGTGTCGTCGGTGTATTCGTCTTCAAAGGTGAATTGCCACCCTTGATCGCTACGCAAGTCTCGCGTGCTATATCCTGTGTCTGGGTCAAGACTGAGAAGACCGGCTTTCTTTCCCCAGCCTCCGCCTCCAGACAGAACCCTAGCCAGGCGACAGCCTTTCTGGAGTACATGAAGACCTCGCATATTCCAGCGGCCCTGCCAGATTGAATCGGCCCATAGAGCTTCCAGCACTCGTCTGTCGAGATCAAGCAGTGAAGCGGGGAGATCCACTGCAGTCTCTCTTGCTCTGTCAGGTAGGATAAGAGCCCAAACCTGGACGGCGGCTGGAGCAATGCCAAGAAGCTTGAAATAATCGGAGACTGCAGTTTCGAGTTCTTGCGAGGCCGAAAGAAAGGAAGACGGCTCCGGGACGTAGTTCGGATCCAATCTCAGATGTTGATCTTGGGTAAAGGAGTGCGGTGACAGCTTTCGAATGATGTTACCCATCGAGCTCATGATTCTGCGGACTGGCGTGAGTGGAATAAAAGGCATGTCATAGACCGTGTAGGCCGTTGCGTTGTCGAATGGAATTGAGAGCATTTGCGACTCCAGCCGCTTCGAGGCGGACCGGTGAAGCGATCCGCTGGTAGCATCGAAATCGTAGTGAGTGTGTATCAGAGTCGAAGGTAGGCCATTGGAGAAGGTAGTCTGCGCAAGGGGTAGGTGGACCGTGGCTGAATCTGATGATTTCGATGAGCGTGGTAGACCAAAGCTGATTGAGCCGGGCTTCTGCGCGGACATTTGTAATGGTACTTGGGACGAGATCGACAGTGACTCGAGAGGATTTGACACAAAGGCATATGCTAGACCCTCGGAACCAGCGGTGGCGCCATTGGGAGCTGGCAAGCGGTCGACCACAGCAACGACAGCATCGAGAGACTTTGATACCACGCGTCGTTCGTTGAATCGCTGCATGACATGGAGAGGAAGGTTGGGATCCAGCGCATGTTGGGCAAAAGCAGGAGTCACGAAGACTGTCAACAACGAATTGGTGTCGTTCCGCTGCGTTGCTCGTCCCACTGGCCGTGGCTGAATCCTAGTCAATAGCTCCTCCATGGTGGTATTTTGCGGTTTACGCGACTCGACCAGGCCCATGAAGACACCATTCCTGGAAGATTCGCCGGAATCATCTTGCTGGCCACGGGCTCCATCCTGGACCGCCGACCTGAACAAGCCAGCATCATCGGTAGATGGATGAGCAAAACATCTGCGCGGAGTATTGTGCCACGTCGAACGGATACGAAGCGTGAACGCGCTCCGTGTTCCAACCCTGGCCGTATGTCTAATTCCGCAGAGCATTGATTGGCCGTCGTGCGAATTCGAATCAGTTCAATGTCCCGATGATCGAAGTCCTGGAATGAAGTTTGACGAATGAATTGACGATGTTGACGTCGTCTCCATCAAAAGCGGACCTGGCTCCTGTCGGCTCCACTCCTCGCTCCTTTTGGAACTAAAAGATGTCCGTCCCTGATTTTCGGCCCTGCATCTTCTGGGACAACGGGAGGATTATCCACCTCTCCTCGAAGCGCGATCGATCCATCTTTGGGAGCGAAGCATCACTACTTCCATCCACCCAATGCCCTCAACACTTGGYCGCCCCTCCCAACTCATGACCGATGGCCGTCACGCGCTCGCTTCGGCGTAATACCGCCATCACGTACGTGCTCGCGGGCGTGCTGTGCGTCTTCTTCCTGTACTTCTTCTTTGGCGACAGCGCGCGGATCCCCTCCATCAGCACCGCTCCCAAGCAGCTGCTGAAGAGCAAAGATGCCGCCTCCAACGCCCTCTCCCCGCCCTCGCTGCCTTTCCGCAAGCCCGCCATGCTCGGTCCGAACGAGGTCGCTCCCCCACCGCCCGTTGTACACTATCACATGAACAATGTCACCACCACCAGCGATCCCGTCGGCAATCGCGAGGCCGTCCTGATCCTCACACCCCTCGCACGCTTTTACCAGGAATACTGGGACAACCTCTGCAAGCTGTCATATCCACACGACCTAATCTCCCTAGGCTTCATCATCCCCAAGGGCAGAGAGGGTAATTTGGCCACGCAGCAGCTGCAGGAGCGCATCGCCAAGACGCAAGCTCCCTCGAACAAGAACCGCTTCGCTTCCATCACAATCTTGCGCCAGGACGAAGAGCCACCGAATGGCCAGAGCGAGTCCGAGCGACACGCCATGGCTGCGCAGAAAGAACGACGTGCCTCGATGAGCAAGGCCCGGAATAGTTTACTATTCACCACTCTGGGTCCCACCACGTCTTGGGTCTTGTGGCTAGACAGCGACGTTGTGGAAACACCGCCGAGTCTTATACAGGACCTCGCGGCTCATGATAAGCCCATTATCGTTCCCAACTGCTTTCAGCGCTACTTTAACAAGGACAAGGAGGCCATGGATATCAGACCATACGATTTCAACAGCTGGCAGGATTCCCCAACTGCGCAATCACTGGCGGAGAAGTTGGGGCCAGATGAGATCCTACTTGAGGGATACGCAGAAATGGCGACGTACAGGAATCTCATGGCTTACATGCATGGTATGTTGAACTTTTCGAACGTTTCATCATCTTCATCTGACTCTGACTCTGTCCAGACGATCCCAGCAACCCAGGAAAGGTGGTAGATCTTGATGGTGTGGGCGGAACCGCATTGCTGGTCAAAGCGGAGGTTCACCGAGACGGTGCCATGTTCCCACCATTCCCCTTCTATCACTTGATTGAGACGGAAGGCTTCGCCAAAATGGCGCAGCGATTGAATTGGAAGTCTTATGGCTTGCCAAACTACCTTGTGAGTCTGATCATGCCTCTCATGGTACTCCCGCGTTACTGACTTTGGCACAGGTGTATCATTACAACGAGTAGTCTGTTTATTTGCACGGCGCTAGAGGCGCAACGGGGTGGCATATAGAGCATAGCCCACGTCGTGGATACTGTATATCATCGTGCATTTATGGAGGTTGGGACAGCATCGGAGGGAGTTTCTGTAGTTTGAACAAATGCAGCCATGTCGTGCATTTCTTATTTTGAACTCTCCCCTGTAACGTCTGCCAAATGCTCGATGAATCTCCTGCCTATACAAAATTACAGCATCCATAGTACACTCTACACCCATGAGTTGGGATCTATTGCCAGCTAATGAACAACGCCTGGCATACTGTACAAAAATTGATCAAGCCATCAACAATGCGCTCAATGGAGCGCTCTCATAACACCTTCAAAGGCTACAAGCGCCACCGCATTGGCGGGGAATGCTCTTAGGAAACAAGGCACGAACCCCCGCCAGTACCCCTGTAGTCCCGTCTCTCGATAAACAGCAACAGCAGCATTCTTCCAATGTGGAAATTTGCGATCGGGTCCAAGGGAATCTGTCATGATTCTCTGCTTAATCTTTCAAGTCGTTAGCATTGAACGTCCGTTAAAAATGTTGGGCCGGCTTTAACTTACAACGTCCGAAGGATACGATGTCAACCAGAAGATCTGAGCCGATAGTCCACCCGCCCAGAAGTTGACCGCTGGGGCGCTGAGGTTTGTGTTTCTTTGGAAATACCGAGTAAAAACATCATATGATCCCCACCAGAAGCAGAAGAACGTCCTAAAGATGAGGGTGGCGGAAAGGCCGTGGTACAATCCTCGAATACCATGCTGGTTCGACAGTTTCCTTGCGCAGTCCACAGGTCCGGAGTATAGACGTTCAGCTTTGTTGGTCTGATATTGAACCTGCAATCGAGCCTTGACATGCTCGACAGGAGCTGCGATGAAAGAGACTGTCCAGCCGGCGAAGATACCAGCAAGACCATGTCCGACGACTGGTAATCGATTTCGCTCCTCAATACTGAGTTTCTGGGTGGGATGATCTGGGCGAGCTCGCAGTGGTTGGAAAACGTTTTCGTTCAGAAGACGTCGATAGAGGGTGAGGGAACCGAGCATGACAGAGTCCATGCACATCCATCCGACCAGAGGAGGTGTGGCACCCTTGTATAATCCATTGACACCTTCTTTACGAAGTGTCTGCATCAAGCAGTCGACTGCGCCTTTGAATTGTTCCTTGGTCGATGTTTGGAGCCTGACCTTGATAGTGTCGAATGGATGACTTGTTCAAGTGTTAAGTTGTAGTCAGAACAATGGCATGATGATTTACATACCCAACACTCAGCTTCGCGATTCCTGAGAACACTCCGCCGACGAATCCTTTGTAGTTGCCATTGTTTTTCGAGGTAGTGTTGTTCACAGGCTGAGCACTCGCAATAGTCGTCGTGGAGTCGTTCAATTGAGCATGTGAAACTTCAGGCAAGGATGCGACATTGTTCACCGTGCTTGCAGACATTGAGAGATGAAATACTGAATACTTCTCCTCTCTGCAAGCATACTGTCGGGATGGCAAACTAAAAGAAAAGATTGGTAGATGGATGCGATTGATGTCTCGATGTAGGAAGGACTGATCTGATCGATCCCTGCTGGCGTATGGTGATGATTCATTTCATTCCCCATAGGGCCGCCCCACCCTAACTTTCACAAGGCCCGGCCGCTTGTGAATATTCGTTTGCTATCTACCAGCATGTAGTCTTTACATTGGTCGTGACCATCAAGGTCGCGTCATCTAACATATACATTACTACACATATCTTACCAGCATCATGTCCTCCGCCCAAGGCAATGCCGCGAACCCTACGCCGGAGCGCGTGGTGGATTCCAGCAAAGTATGGACGACGCTTATCACAAACACAATCTACCTCTCGGGCCTCCTCACGCTCGATGCATCGCTCAAGTTCGCGGGCTCAAAGTACCCACTCGTCGCCCTATATACCGATACTTTCCCTCCCGAGGGCCATGCCGCGCTGGACGCAAGAAATATACCGAAAAAGCGCGTGAGCTATCTACTCCCAAGCGTAGAGAAGGATTACAGCAACGACCCGCGGTTCTATGACTGCTGGTCGAAGCTGACGCCTTTCAGCTTGGTAGAGTATGACCGGGTGGTTCAGCTGGACAGTGACATGCTGGTCAGGCAGAACATGGACGAGTTAATGGACCTCCCACTAGACGGCGCCGAAGAAGCTGGCAAAGGACAGAGGGTGTTCGCCGCCAGCCATGCTTGTGTCTGTAATCCCCTGAGGAAGACGCACTATCCCAAGGACTGGGTTCCAGACAACTGTGCCTTCACCTCGCAGCACTCCACCCCGGAGGAAGCTCAGGAGACCGGCGCGGGTCCATTGGCAGGTCTCGGACAGCCCAACGGCGGACTTGTGGTTGTAGTTCCAAGCTCGCAGGTATACGACATCATTTTGAAGAAGCTGCRAGACCCTACTCTTGATTACGACTTTGCGGATCAGCAGTTGCTTGGCGATCTCTTCAGAGGGCGGTGGGTGGGCCTTCCATACATCTACAATGCGTTGAAAACGCTTCGATGGAAGGGTGTCCACGATGCCATCTGGAAGGATGACAAGGTGAAGAATGTCCACTACATCTTGTCACCGAAGCCATGGGATGAGGGCAAGGCGGACAAAGCGGCGAAAGGCCGTGATGGTAGCCATTCGTGGTGGTGGGAGGTCACCGAGAGACGGCGGGCCGAGGAGAAAGCGAAAGGCATAGACGATGGCTTTTAACAATGTGCATTTACAGATGTTGTAACATTTCGGGTGAAGAAGCAAAGGACGGGCTATCCTGCGAATAAGTCGACTACGACCGCTTGCTGTAGCACGAGAATGAAGTAGATACAAAAGTATTGGGCACGCGCCGTTGCATATGCAAGCTTTCTCGAGGCTACTTGCTCTCCTGCAGATATTGCCCGATGTCTTGTCGTGCTCCCTCTCAGCTATCTGTTGTGGTCCAGGAAGAACCTTGAAGCGCCGGGGGGGAGACGCTCGATGCTTTTACGCTGCTCAGTACTTTATGTACTCTTCTTTGCTCTCCTCTGCTCTGCTTGTAGGGCAATCGCGGCGCCGATAAGGTCACACAGATTGCCAGCATTGAAACAGAAGTGCAGGCGGGAATTGAAAAGGTCCAATGGTATTGCTCCGGTACCTGTCGTGGTTCCACTGTTCATAACGAAACCTTGTGCTGATCGCTCGCTCCACCCTGGAACTAGTTCGATAGGCGGGTCGTCGCAGAGTCCCCCGCCGAAGGTAAACCTCCTGAATAAGGCAGAACTAGCATAGGAAAAACGGAACCTCGCCGTCGCGTCTTCTGACATCCCCATTCAACAACATCGACACCCACTCCGCCGAAACACTCCTCCGACAACCCACCTCCACATTCCGCCGCCGCCGCCACCATGGGTCAGAAGATCTCCAAGATGATGAATCAGATCTTCGGATCGAAAGAGATGCGCCTGTTGATGTTGGGACTGGACGCAGCCGGCAAGACGAGTACGTGACCGACCTCTCCCTCCTCGCACAAGTTGCCGAAGCACCCAATGCCGTGAATGCTGGGGCGACATGCGCCGGCCGCTGCATGCAAACGACCGCTAACCGACACGCGCCGAGCAGCCATTCTCTACAAACTCAAGCTCGACACGGACGTCACAACCATTCCCACAGTCGGATTCAACGTTGAGACGGTCACCTACAAGAACACAAAATTCAATGTCTGGGACGTTGGCGGTCAGGACAAGATTCGCCCGCTCTGGAGACATTACTTCTCCGGCACACAGGGCCTCATCTTCGTCATTGATAGCAACGACCGTGACAGACTCGAGGAGGCAAGAAGTGAATTGGCGCGAATCATACAAGATCGCGAAATGAAGGATGCATTGCTGTTGGTGTTTGCGAACAAGCAGGACATTCCCGGTGGTATGCTTTTCCTGGGCTGACGGCGATGGGAAGGGAGACGTTGCTAACTGTGGATGTGTACAGCGATGCGACCAAAAGAGGTTTCGGATGCGCTCGACCTGCAGCGGATAGCTAAGGACCACACCTGGAAAGTCGAGCCCAGCTGTGCGACAACCGGGGAGGGCATCTTCGAAGGCCTGGCATGGTTGAGCAGCAACGTCAAGCTGCCGGCGAAATGAGTGAAGCGAGCGAGAACACATCTCGGCGGTCCTCCTCCCTGGACCTTTGAGAACCGACCGCCGCTCAACGAGCACATCCATCACATATGTGAGCCGCGAGTGGCACTCTCACATGACCCCTCCCACAACACACCACATGGCCCTCTCCCCGGCACCAGGATACCCCCGCACGTCTGCGACGAGCATAATATTTGTGTAATACTACCTTCTGTAATATCAGCGTGGCTGGCCACGTCTTTTGGGCGTGGTCATCTTCCATTCCCTTCATATGAGCGTTCGAGCATAGTTTGGCTGGGAGAGCGATTGGTCCTGGGACAGGCAGGCTTTGTTGACACGGTCAACAACAGCAGACTTTGGGATCGAGCAACGGGTCCTTTTTTTGAGACTGTAGTTGTATGGATGTGCACAATGACAAAACAAATTGACTTTTCATAAAAGACGTACAAGTAAGTCCACGCGGCGGTGCAAGTCTGTGGTCGAGCTGTACTTGCTCTTCGCCTCTCTCCTCTCACCCACTCACATCTTGCTAGCGGCCTCCTCGCTCAGCTCGCAGAACGCCCTGAATGTCACCAGAGGTTCTCCACCCGTGCTCTCTAGCACCAACGCCGCCGTAGCGCCCACAAAATAGACATACCCCTCCTTGATCTCCTCAGTCTTTGGTCCGACGCTGATCTTGCCTTCACCCTTGGTGCAAATGATGATTGAAGGTCCCTCGATGGCTTCGAAGCTGGCCTTACCTCCTGCAGCATTGATATCCGTCTTGACGACGCTGAACTCCTCGATTGGAGGGTCGTAGAGAATCACTGATGAGTTGGAGCTGTATGCCGTTGTGTTGAGTTTGACGTACGCATAGTCGACTGGCGCCATCTTCTGCTCGCTGATTGGTGCGTAGGAATATGTTAGTGTTGACGTGAGGGTATCTACGTCTTTGAACTTGGGGGTGAATCCTGCACGGATCACGTTGTCGCTCGATGCCATGCATTCGATGATGTCTAGTACTTGTTAGTCATGCTACGGACAGTGATGTTGGAGGTTATGCTCACCGCCGGAAAGGTAGGCGTGAATGTCATCTGCTTTCAAGAACATGGCCTCGCCGACCTCAAGCTTGACGTAGTTGAGGAAGAAAGTGACGAACAGGCCAATGTCGTTGGGGAATTGATCATTCAGTCGTACCATGAGATCAGCCAGTTCTTGCCCATCGTTTGACGGTCCACCTTCTCCTGCAAATTGAGACCCTTCCTCTTTGGCTTGCTTGATGAGCTCCGGGGCTGCCTTCTCAATATCTTCTGGCTTTGACTGCATGAGAGATGCAAATGCAGCTTGGAGCGCTTTCTTGTTCTCCTGAGTCTTGTCGCTATCTTCTGTTGTCTCCTGGCCAGAGATTACTTTCTCAAAGTTACTGGCAGCGTCGTCGCCGACGAGTTTTCTCAGACTAGGAACTGTGCTGAAGAAATGGGCAATCTCATTCAACGGTCTGAATCCGCAGAGTCCATCAAAGTCCGTGACGGCAATGGTCATCTCGGGCTTGTGGTTGTCATCTGGATAGTGCTCTGGGTCCTTGGAGTGGAGTTGTTCTGCGAGTTTCTTATTCGGATGTGCCTGGATTGAGAGAGCCTTGTTGATGCTGAGAACCTTGAACAGAAATGGCAGTTTCTTTTCATATCGCTTGTAAATGGCGGGAGACATCAATGCTTGATTGTCCTGTACGAGATCTAGAAGCGTGCGGCCGGTAGTCACATCCTTCGAGGGGTTTGACGGGTGTGTTCCCATCCATAGCTATCATCTATCAGTATGCTATCGTTGAGTGGGGTTTTCGGAGCTTACTTCAGCATATGGCTTGTCCTGCTGAATCGAAAAGTCGCTAGAAGGTGTTGCGGACGCAAAACGGGCGGCGGCTGAGTCGTTGCCAACCTTGCCTGCGATCTTGTCAACCAGAGCTCAAATCTCATACCATGCGAATACACTGACCCCATTCGTAACTGTTGCAACCTAAAAATCATCATGTCAGTTCTTCATCTTGTTTGCTTCATTGCTTTCACTCACCGCACTGCAATCGCACAAGTGGAACCTGCATTTTTTTGACGTAAAATGAGGGGAAATCCGACAGCTTCTATCAGGCAAGCAATTGCGAAAAAGTCTCAAAACTGTATTGGCTTGTCGAGAAATCGATTTTCCGACGGAGACACAATGACGGACGACGCAGCGCTTGGAATCCAATCTTGAAGGTCAAGTTTAGGTTTGAGTTGAGGGCAGGAACGCCGGATTAATCGGTCGTACAGGCCACCGTAGGACAATCAATCCACGCATTGCCCAACCTTCTTGTTCCATCCATCCCTAGATGGCAATCCCTGACAACATAAATTTACCATTATCATGTCGGGTCGGAGCAGAGGGAGACAAAATCCCAATCAAGATGCAGACGAGGAACGGCGACTATGGAAGGAAGTGAAAGACAAGGCCAAGGACGTCGACACTATGGTTGTAAGTGCACCGTCACGCGTTGATTGCTAGGCAGACAATTCAATCCTTGAAAAATAATAATAGTCCATCATTGACATGTCTCAAGGCAAGATCGAATGAGATTGGTCGAGAGATCATCGAGGTTGAAGAACAGCAAGACGCAATCATCAAGTCGGGCAAACTCAGCGATGCAACGCTGGATGAGCGACTGGATCAACTCTACCGCGAAAATGTAAAACTGTCCGAGGATGTGACCGGGCTGATTGAAGGCAAATCCAACGAGATGAACCTGCTCGATAGTATCAGCGTTTTGGCTGGTCTGAGAGAGGCCTCGGAGGATTCTGCGGCACAATTGCAAGCTAGCCAAGGGCATCGAGCAGCGAGCGGCAAACTGTCGCGAGGTCCCAAAAAGACTGGAAGCAAGAACAATTCCGCAGTGGCAGCCACGACAGAAGACGTTGAGAAGACCCCTGCAGCACCCTCTCCCAGAATCATCCTAGGCGGACCTGGCAGTCGACTGAATGCCAAGGAGAAATCTTCACGTTCTGGGAGTATCGCAACTACCCGCGAAACCTCTGTTAAGATCGAGGATGGAGCCGAGTCAGTTGCCAGTAGCGCGGACGGTGTGTCAACGACCGGCGCCAATAAGGGATCTGCCTCCAACAACCGTCCTTCCAATCGTTTGGTGCTTCAAGAAGGAGAGATTGTGTTCTGTCGACACGATCCCAAGACGATTGATACCATGGAGGGCGAGGGCATACTCTGTAGAGTCACGGCTGTAATTGGCGAAGGGAAACAACGACGCTACGAGGTTCAGGATGCTGATACCCAAGGAGATCCTCCGCCTCCTCAGCGCGCGTCCGTTGCACAACTCATGCAGATCCCGCACACCAACAAAGGTCTGAGCGATCTTTCCAAAGGCAAGCAGGTACTTGCGCAATATCCTGATACCACTACATTCTACAAAGCAGAGGTCAATGAGCCGTGGAGGTCGAAAGTCCTTGCTGCTGGCGAGAAGGGAGAGCTTGTTCGCCTGAATTTTCAGGAAGACGAGGAACCGCGAGAAGTCGAGCGGAGATTTGTCTTGACAGAGAAGTGAACGAATGCCATTACGATGATAAGGTAGACTGATACATGTAATGATCAAAGCGCAGGCGTTGATGGCGCATTCTGTTGGTAGGCACGAAGGCTATGATGGCAGGTCCGTTGGAAGGTAGTCACCAATTGTAATTGTATGTACCTTCGCTCACCTTACTGCTCTGTATTTTCTCCTCGACACCCTCTACTACAGCTTAAAGTCATTCTGCACTATCACACACACCATCGGCTCCCCGTCAGTTGGTACCATTTATCGATATAATATCTGGCAACCTCTGGCAGGTACATCGGCGTCGTCTCACTTCCAGCAGTCACACAATCATGGTAGCTGACAAGGCCGACGAGAGCTCTCGGCCAGAAAAGGAGAGGCCAACCTCGCAGGGATCTGCTTCATCGGGCGACAATTATGAAAAGTCAGACTCTGATGATGACGATATCCCTCCAGATGACGCTGGCGAGGACTCTTCAAGCAGCGCGGGACCGGCTGGTGAAGGTGCGGCCTTGTCTGAGAGGCAGAGGTCGAAGATGCCTATTGAATCCGACGAAGAAACAGAGACGAACACGCAGTGCAACACAGGCGTTCGTGTACCACTCAAKAAAATCAACAAGGAGCACAAAGCAGACTTGAGACGGAGTAAAAGCGCCGGGAATCAAGTAGAGACCACCGGATCTGGCAGCACTTCTCGGCGATTAAGCATTGGGGAGCAAATCAAGGCGATTGCGCAGAAATGCCACATCAGGCGCAATTCGCAGCTCGAATCATCCGGACAAGCCAATACCCAACGGTCTTCTCGACCGACTTCTCGAAGAGGCACCGAGTCTGCGGTGGACTTTCAAGGAAAAGTTTCCGTCAAGCAGGTAGATCGGAATCTTGACCCACCAGCAGCTGTGCACGAGTCTCCCACGGACGTAAAAGAGCTACAGGCGGGTGGAGTTATTCTTGATAAAGCAGGCAGAAAGGCTTCCCTGAAGGTCACCCTGGCTAAGAAGGAGCAGGAGAAGAAAGAACAGAAGCAGCGGGAGTATGCTGCTTCTCTTGCCCTCAGAGAAGCAAGGTCTATTGCTAGCAGAGCATCTTCGTCTTCGCAAGTTGAAGCAAGCTCATCGAGGGCCCCCCATGGGCTAGGCCAAGGTCTTCTGGACCAATTAGTAGAATATGACCTGGAGGATCGGGTGGAGCGGGAGTCGTCAAGAAACCAGGAGAATATCACTCCAACCATTGCGGATGAGCCGCCTGTTGAGAACTCCGACAATACGGACATCGATGACCATTCTGACACACTGGGTACGATATTCAACTCCCCTCCATTACGTCTTGTAGTCATTAATCACCACATACAGAAGACGATTCAGACGCTCCTGACGACAACACACCTCCTGACTACAGTAAGCCTCCCGACGACAGTAAGCCTCCTGACGACAAGCCACCCCCGACCACCTTGTGCGCCCAATTTGGAATCACGTACGACCAGGATCCATCAGTTGCAATCCAGTCACTCAGCCGCACTGCGGGCCTTCCGAGCTACCTCATTTCGCCACGAGGATCTCACTTTCACACATCTTCCGCGGACACACAAGCAACTGGAAAGCCAGTCTGCTGGACCCCAGAGGTGGCCATTCTCGACAAAACGCCACCGGAGCCGTCTCCACAGCATGAGCAATTTGCCGCAGCGAGCAGTGACCTTTTAAAGCGTCATGGGTTCTTCAGTTCCAACTTTGTCTTGTATCTTCTAGATCAGCTTGGGAACGAGTTTTGTCCAGATCCAAGCGACACGGCTCCAATCCCTGGAATGCATTGTTCCGAAGAATCGACAGCAGATCAGACCAAGGACTCTTTATCAGCCGTACAGATCGTGATAGACGAGCATGACTGGCTGGAGTATTCTCATTCCGCACAAGAGGAAATTTCGAGATCGCCTGCGTCAATGATTCCATGTTCAACCGAGAACTTGGCAGGTGCGCAAAGACAGTATGATAGGCTCGATCTGTGCCGTCCTTCCAGCATACCAAGTGCCCGGTCTTCACCAGAGACTGAGGAATCGTATGTCTGTGACATACAGAGCCCTTCTCCCTACTCCCTCGACGACGCGACATCTGTCATCAGCGAACGCTGTGCGCCAACTTGGCTTCAACCGACTATGTTAAACTTGGGTATACAATCTCCTGTGTCTCCCGAGCTTCATAACAGCAACGACTTCGGAGCGATGCTCGAGAAATCATACAACGCTTCGTGTTCGACTCGCACGCCGCCAGCAGATTTGGGCACTCTGTACAGGTCTAACCTCTCGGGGAAGTCCGTTACTCGCGCTGAGAACGATCCAGTTGACAATTCAGCTGCCACCGCTGCAGTCTGTGCGCTGACTGTGGAGGATGACAAAGATACTGTAACGAAGCTGTTGCTACTGGAGTCCTGGCTTGACCCCTTGATCGTCACATCTTGCCAGATGGCTCCTCAAGGAGAGACTCAGAATTCTCGGGACGCTCAAAGCATTTGCAGCTCGAAGGACTGGGTCGCAAATGCGCAAGATGTACAATCTTCTCATCGGGGCCCATTGGCTCGACTGGACATTCCTGCCCCAAGCACCCAGGGAGACTTCAATGCTGCCGACTATCACACACACGAAGACCCTCGCCTTGATATGCTTGGACTCTATAGAGGTCCAGACATGTTGAAAGTTCTCACGCCACAACCTGACGTATCGCAGCGAGCAAGCTCAAGTTCGAGTACCATCTCACAGAGTTCCATTGTTACCGCGTTCAATGACTCTGATCTGGCCACGTCTAAGAGCTTTGATCATATTGCCACCAGTCTCAACGGCTCTGGAACTCGTTGCCTGGACATTGACAGTCATTGTGTTGGAGCAAACGCAGAACCTTCTTTGGCATGCTCTGACACTCTGCTGCCAAAGCGGTCGGGCTCGAGTTCAACTAGTTCATCGCGGACATCAATTATTGCCGCTGTCACTTCGCCCTCGAACGCTTCGACTATTTCCCATACATCCTCTCACTCGGGAAGCAGTTCTGGAAGCTCCGGTAGTGTTCCGGTCGCGTTCGGACTGGACGGCATGTCACAAAAATGGACACCTCGAATGTCGAAGTCCCAGGCCAGCATACGCATGGACAAAGACTCCAATGTCTCCTATAAAGATTCTTCGAGTGACACTACCGATGAGCCCTCAAAGACATGTCCAGTACCTAATACTGAAGCTTTGAGGAAGTTTGTCATGAAGCATCCTAGCCTCCAGCCCGCACATGATGCTGGCAAATCCGCGAAGAGACTGGATGTTCGTATGACGGTCCAAAAGAGAAGACGGCTCGAGAACTTGTRGGGTCCATGCTCTGAAGGCGAGGTACCAGAAAGTGGGATCCCTGGTTGCAAGACCTTTCATACAGTCGAGGAGGCGCCAGAGCTGGCGTCGGGTCACGAACTCGATGCAACTCCATCCCTCATAGACGGACGATGATGACGATACAAAGTCTAACAACATCAAATGGAGACATTCATTCCTCCGACATGCTACATTTACCCCTATTTCGTTCACGGACAAGCACGACAAGGGAAACCGGTCAAGGGATGAGTGGTGGTCTTGGGCGTGAATGGACTGATATTGAGGCAAGAACTCGCCCGAAAGAGCAATCGCTGCAATCTGTTCATTCACTGTGCACTGTGACGCACGTAGCTAGTTTTTTTTTTCGCTCATTGTAGCAAACGCATTCGAGTTCTGTCCATTTCCACCTTGAACTTCTTCTTTGCAACCATCACAACCCCTTCATACCACACCATTTACCATCACCAACAAGATCCTCATCCACAACCATGACCTCCCCGCCGCTTCAGCCCGCGGGCGGCGAGTCTAGCAACACAGAAGCCCTCGCCTTAGCGGCTGAGGCACCCCCCACCACCGCTCCCGCCCAGCGCTCTCTGCCTCGCCGCAACTTGCCCGCCTCGGGCGCAGCACTGCCACTGCTGTCGCCAATGCCATCGCCGCCACGTCGGGTTGCCACCCCGACGTTGCCATCTCTCCGCGGGGCTGCCACCCACGCCACCACCACCGCCTCGCTGCGGACTCCTCTCGCCGGGCCTCGCCCACAACCACCGGCGAGAATGTCCCGCCCATCTTCGCTCTCTGCTTCGAGTGACGAGGACGATGTGTTTGGGGAGTTCCGTGAGCTGACAAGAACGTTCTCTCCCAGCGCACTAGTAGACGTAGCAGCAGCAGCAGCAGCAAGCACGTCGCGTGAGACGACCCCGCGCCCTTCTCCTCGTCCTTCTCCTCGCCGCTCGCCCGCAACACCAAGACCCGCACAGGGCAACAGCAGCCACCGCCTCAGCCAGGGCGAAAGCCAGAGCGAGGTCCCTCGCATCAGGGTCAGTAGATTCCGCAAATCATATTCTCAATAACCAGAGCAGCCCTTCGACCTCTAGTAGTCCACTGCTGAGGAGAGTCGGGCTCTGGTCCAGAGAGATGTCTTTTTTGATGAACCTTGCTGACGCCCCTTTCAGGACTACGCCAACAACACGCGAGGTGCCTTCTCGGCACCCGAAGACAGTTTGAACGCGCGGGCGTTCAAAGCGTTCCCGCAGGCGACGCTGGACAGCGCCAAGACGGCGCAGTACCTGCGTGAATGGAGCCCGAGCGGTGGGGACGCCTTGGTTCCTCTGCCGGGTGAGTACTTTTACTTGCTTCTTCAATTCATCAGAGACGCCCGCTAACGGAGACAGATGGCTCCGGCGCACACCTCCTCCGCTCCGCTCCGCTGGCGGCCTCTCGGCCGACCACGACGGCGACGACACAGGAGAGACAAGGTCAGTCCCCAACTTTCACATGACAAAACCCAGCGCGCTTACTAACCATTATCTAGCTCGGAGCTTCCCGCCCGGTCCCTTCGCCCCACATCAGCAACCTCCTGCCACCGACGACAACCCAAACAACGCCCGCTAAGCGACATTCACAACACCATGGCCAACGGCAACGGTCTCGGCGCACAGAATGCGGCCATTTATGGCGGCATGAATGGCGCGGTTATGCCCTCGGCAGGACACTACAGCGACATGCAGGCACTGATGCAGAACATGGAATCTCTCAGCGGCTGGCTTGAGCAAAACCGACAGGAATGGTCGGCAGTCCAAGATGGGCTTGCACGCGTGGAGAGATTACAGGTGCGTTGATGGGCAAAATTACGAAGAATCATCAGGCGTAAAAAGATGAGATGCGACATGATACGATACGATACGACACGACATGAGAGATCAGAGACGGAGAGGGAAAAGGTCAAAGACACCGACTTATTTCTCGTGCAGGGTAGACTAGCTTCCAATGGCCAGCTGCCGCTACAGAATGGTACTCCTCCAGCTCCGCGTTGATTTGTTCCTCCAATGTGACATGGTGAGACTGACCAAAGTCTACTCAATCTCAGGCGTCGAGCCCCCAGCTCAATCACAACAACCGACGGTGACGCAGCYCCAATCTGCCCTCGCCACCGCAAATACCCGCATCGCAGCACTCGAGCGAACATTCCACGAGCAAACAGCCCTACAACAACACTTCGAAGATGCACACACCGAAACCACGGAGCGCATCCGACATTACTGCTTCGAGCAGCAAAAGCATGTCATCGCGCTCCATCAGCACTACACACAACTGCTTGCCCAGAGCCGCAGTGAGACGGTCGAGGCACAGTTGACACATCAGGCCTGGCAGGCGGCGCTCCAGCGTCTGAGCGAGGGCGTGCGTACGGCACTCAAGTCAAGCGAAGAGGCAAGGCTACCGGAGAAGAGACGCATCGCGGCTCTGAGAGAGGAGAATCGTGTCCTGAGGGCTATGGTGGGCTGGCAACCTGCGCCGCCAGACAGTGACGATGAAGACAGCAGAGAGGTCGAGGAGCGGAGAGGCAGGACGGGTGTGGACGGAGGTTCGCATCAAGTTTCATGATCCACTACGGAATTGGCAGCGTGAAGTTGAGATCGAGTGGCGATGCAGAAAAGGCTCAATCATGACCAAGAGTTTCTACTGCCTCGTGCATCTCAAGATGACCTGTGTAGGTTCGTATTCAACCCGTGAGCCTGATTAAGACTGGACTGACCAAATAGCAGAATAGCATGAATCAATGACAAATGACTATACAGAAACATCCGATCAAACATCGCTAGTAACTAACATTTTCCATGCCATTCTCACAAACAAAGCCGAACAACGAGATGCAACAAACCGACCATTATCTAGTCGTGAATGTGGCAAACATCTGAGCGAACCGCCGACGGTCTTCAACGGGGCATTTAAGAGACTACTTCCAACTCCGTCTGCATAGTCATTCCGATCTTCAACCCAGCGAAAAACATTCGAGAACATGTCCTTCATTGAGGACACTTTGGAAAATGATCCGCCTCTGGTTCACAGCGGTAGCCGTGGTGGCCGTGGTGGTCGCGGCCGTGGTCAAGGTCGCGGAGGGAACTTTGCCCATTACAATCAAAGTCATCTTCTTCCAGCGCATCTTCCCCCATCTCGCGGTGGTCATTCCCATGCCCATGGTCAAGAAATTGGCCATGATCGAGGCGATACTACCAACAGCGACCCAGAAGCAACCTTTCCACAGTTTTCGACTGATATCAACACCAACAATAGCCAWGTGCCGATCCCTCCGCGTGCGCACGATTCTCGCAACCAAGGCCTCCACCCTCCGACCTCCGCCGGCCAAAGCATCGTCACCGGCCAGACTTCTGCAAGGAAAGGTATCAATCCACAAGCCGAACCTTTTGTAAGCAACATCAACTTGGAGAGACAGCCGCAGCAGCTTTCCTACCACTCAGGTCTCTTGGTCCCTCCAGCCTCACGAACATACGGAGATCAACTCCCGAAACCACGACAGTCTCGTAATCCATTCCGCAATCGCAGACGCAACGGCAACTCGCGTAATCGGGGTTCGTTCACTTCGTACAATGGCTCTCCTCGCAATGAAGGGCCGCTTCACTCGTCCCACGCACCTCTTCAGTCTGACTACACTGGATTTGGTTATGCCGGAGAAACAGCACATCTGCCTCATCCGATGAGTGGGTACGGTCCCAAYCAGTTTTCTGCGAACCATGTCGCCTCCCCTGGAGAGAGATATGGAGTTCAGCCCTCCAATGTCACTTTCCATGGACAGCCAGTTCAACCTCGAGCAAGATTCAATGCGGATGCCCCGGAGTTCGTACCTGCAGCCTTCGCCTCATCTTCTGGTCCAACCCATTCACCCAACCTAAATTTTTCCAGACGTCCAACTGAGAATGAGAACGATGATCCAGATTTATCGGGACGTTCACCCAATCCTGTGAAGGAAGCGAGCCTTGGCTATCCGGATGCTCCATCCTCTGTGCACGGGTCCGAGGTCGTCGACTCTGATCCATTCGTTGGTGACTCCACGCCCTCTATCCAGAACCAGGAGGAGCATGACACTCTTTCGGATGCCGGTATGCGTGAGTAGGGAGGGCATGGTACACGAAGCGCGAGTTGAAGCCTTGCAGCTCGGGCGGGATTGGGAAGGGCTTGATACTCGTCTCGTCGAGGCGCTGGGATGACTTGCAATGTACGGGGCTAACCGTTGGATGTCTTGGTGTGCGGATATCTCTTTGATTTGGTTTACATGGCGAGAAGCTTTGCGAGGGGAAAAGTTAGGGTGTGATGATCGTGGTAGTGCACGTCGCCCTTACTTTATCGATGATCTCAATTGCATGTTGCTACTTACACGAACAATGGAGAACTTGCTGTATTTATTCTGAGCCCAGACTGCTGAAAGACCATCCCTTTACTAACAGGATATAGCCAGTACGAGTTCGAGCAGAGGTGAATGAGCAAATAGGGTTAGGGTTGGGGTAGTGTCTAGGACGAGAGCAACGATCAGGACACTTATTTGCGATGGAACTGTGGTCAGTAGTCATGATTGATATCGACTAAGACGAGGTCTTTTCCCGCTGCTACATTCGCTTTTATGGTCTAAGCAATTGACAATGGATACCTTATACCACATACTCCGGCACGACGAACCACACGCTCATTCAACTCACTCCATTGCACTCCACTGCGCTCCATTGTACTCCATCACACGTACGATATAACGATAGTTCGATGTAACACAATGGTAATGTCCGTAAGAAATGGCCAGCGTCCGGAGACGCAAGCATGAAGCTAGGACGAACAATGCTGTAATGAGTGATCATGAGACCATCTCAAGTTGAGGGACTATGCAAGGGTGGAGCTGGGCTTTAGACGAGGAACAGAAAAACGCTCATTCGAGAAGCCTCGTAGTCAGACCACCAATATCGTGTAAACTGCGGCGCTAGCATCGCATCGAAGAAAAGCCCCGATCGCGTCGATAAAATCTCACGCTGACCGGTTCCGAGACGTGTCCAGCAGACACGGGACACCTTCGGCATGCAGGCACCTCCAATGAGTACCCTGGTAAGGACTGTATCGCCGCCAGCGCAACGCAGAAGCTAGGAAGATACGATCCCATAATCCTTCCCCTGCATTTGTTTTCGATCCAGCTTCTTCCGAGATGAGATTGATCGATTTGACCCCACAGCATCCAGGGCACATGTAACTTGAGCATATGATCTTCGCGGCAAGTCCATTGCTCGTGGCACGACAAGTTTCAAACAATAGGAGATTCGGCCTAGCCTTTGTCAGAGACGGCCAGCTACACGCGTCGAATTGAGACTGTCGAAGGAGCCAGGGATTGGAGAGCAAATTCCCGCACGCAATGCAAAGCAGTCATGAGCGAACCACCCCTGTCTCGAGTGACATCCCGGTCTCAACCCACAATCTGTCAGATTTCCTGGCGGCCTGCACGAYGCACCAGGTGAGAGGCATTCGGCATTCACGTTGCCATGGACCAGAAGATGATCCTGAACGACCGCAAGATCCTGGTGAGGTGATGTTTCGCGAGACATTCATACCATTTCCATTGGGGCGGTGAAGGATACTAGGTCGACAGCCGCGATGTTACATACCAGGGATTCCGACAAGCCGAGATGCACTCCGACAAGCACAGTCCTCCGAGATCTAGCAGGGGGATAGTAAGAGTAAGCCAGATACTAGCCTGCTAATAGGACGTTCAAATGGCTCAATCATGATAACAAGTGATCATACAACAACGCTTTGATGATCCTACCCGCAAGTGTTAAGTAGTTCGGACTTGACGCCAAACGGAGCTGTACGAGGAGATTTTGTCCAAGCAAGGTAAGCTCGACGGCAAGCTATTTTTGTGCTCGTGGCACATTATAGTGTGGCCCGATCTTCACAAACCACGAAAAGTTATCGAGATCGCGCAAGCCCAGATCCGAGATCGCTTCTGCTGCAGGCGTTCGTGGTCAGGCCGTTATTCCTGCAGGGGAGTCTCATCAAACAGACACCTCTGCATGGCTTTTAATTGAATGCCGGTTGCACACGGTTGAGCATCGCTCGGAGTTCTGGACCTCTAGTCCGCATTCTATCTGCCGAGCGTCACTCCTGCTCACTGTGTGTGACCCTGTCGACTCGCATCGGTCAAGACCCATACCTTGCAGTGTGAGACCTGCGGGCGCGTCGTAGGCCTGGGAGATGCAACGGCTCCGCGTTCAAGCAGCGGCCAGCAAACATCCCGAAGAACGCTAGGTACAGTCGAGACGTGACAGCGGTATGCTGCAGGTCACGCCCGGCTAGCAGACAAACCCTGTACCGCTATACAGCCCCGAAGTAGGGTACCAGCTGTGTCGCACCGGAAAACGAGTTACGTTGCCTTGAGGCGTCGTATACCCAGCGACTATCAGGTGCAGGTTCACATCCACAGGGCACACGGTCTTCTCGAATGACGGCTCTGCCCGCCATGACGGCCGTTGGGCTAGCTTGGGCACGGACTGTTCGGCATGGAGCAGCCGATCTTGATTAGGATCGGGGCGATCGGGGTGAGATTGAACTGGCAACCATAAAAGAGTGATCGACGAGTGCGAACACGAGAGGATTGCATGAGCGTGTGAATGCGGTAACGTGAAGCTCCTTGGTACAAGATTGGCATGGACAGTGTGCTGAAGATGCGGAGAATTGTGTGATTGCTGCTGAGCTATTGGTGGATCGCAATCACGATTGGGAGCAAAGCTTCGGGAGGACGACGTGGGCTGGGTGGGTCAGATTTGCGGTAGCGCAGCGATGACCGGTTCGAGGTTGTGCTAGCGAGACACGCATGGCTCCCATCGCCAGCCTACACTTGCCTCTGGGCGGAATCCGGATGCAACCCCCCCTCGAATCGCTCTTCAAAACCACTTATCAAAGCCCATCCGGTTAGTAGCGTCCCCGTCGAGCCGACGACCCACACACGGTCCCTTGTCCGCTAATGATGACATGGATGATCCTGCACCCTGTTTTCCATCGCTGACCGCTGCAGCCGGGCGAACAGGCGAGACAGGCTTGAAGATGTTCTCGACAAGGATTCATAGCATCGTGTCGCGACGGATGCACTACGGCGATGCTAGCTACCAATCGCTGACGGTTGGGATGCGTTCTTTGGGATGCCCACCATGCAGTGCCACCGCTGCCACCGCGATCGTCGCCGGCYAGGGACAGATTCTCGCGCTTCTTGGCCGTGACACAGACTGCTGCATGCCTGTCCATTTATTAACGAGCTTTGGCGGCGCTAGACGGTTTCAGCGCTCCAACAGACTGACGGGCTCAGACGGGGACTTCTTTGCGCCTACAATGTGGATGCTCTATGACATCGTTCCCCACTCAGTGTTTAATCATTATCATGTCAGTCGCCACCGGAGCTGGGGCTGGCAGGTCAGAGTGCTATGGTCGTTGTTAGGAATTGCTCGAGTCAGCGCATCGCGATCCATCGGCGGTTCGTATCTCGCCGCGGCAGGGACCCGTGCCRTGGGCTTTCGCTTGTTGGGTAGCGTGGAGTCGGGCTGGTTTTAGTGTTTCTTTACTCAGCACTCCCCGATGGGCATCCGTGCACTCTTCATCATCTCGCACGCAACGGTGAGAGGAAGTCTTCGCATGCCGTCTCCGCCGCTGCAACGGCCAAGTCGATCTAGTCTGAGGCCAGGGTCAATGGTCTGCACTGCACGTCTTGAACACTGCTCTTCGATTACACTATCCACAATCCCGGACTGCATTACACGGGACTCGATCTTGCAGGCCCCAGCAGAATACAACAACGCTCTTTTCATCGGCTTTTTGGATACCATCAACACCATCATTGTCGCGCTTGCGTCCCTTCCGCGTTTTGCCTTCGACCCGCCGTACATAGTCGCCCCGCCGACAAAACCCCCTTCGATATGGACTCGTCTCGAAGGTATGTCTTCCTGCTCGCGCGCCCCTTCTCGTCCCTCTGGACTCAGGCATCGGGCTGCCGTATCTCTCGCCACACACCTCCTCGAGTCGACTGGCCGACAGGTCGATCCCACCGAGTGGCAGAGAGATTGCAGCACGACTTGAGTCTTCACGGCCGTGGGAAGGATATATCGAGTAGCGAGCTAGTACTGACTAAATTGCTTACAGACCCCAGCTGCCAGCACTGAGCTATTTGGACATTGACAAGGTGAAGCGTGAGGAGGAATACTACCAGCATCGACATACAGCCAGCGGAGCTTCGAAAAGTTTGTCGTCCAGCGCTGGTGCAAGCCCGACCTATCAATACCCTTCTGGTCCTCCTCCGCCCTACAGCCATACCCACGGGGCGAATCCACAGCCCACGATGCATGCAAACAATTGGTCAGGCAACCAACAGGCTGTTCACACGCCACCGGCTCGAGAACATGAACGGGAAGGAGCCAAACAGAACGCACGACAATCACTGCCCTCCATCTCCGAGGCTTTAGGCGTGGATCGCCAGACGCCCTTCGCGACTTCACAACCACAACCACCGGCACCGCAGCCTTCAGCGCAGCACTCTCACCCACACATCGCGAGGCCCCCCTCTACTGCTCCGGCGTCGCCACCTGCAGCTACCCGACGCTCATATCCTATGGATCCTCCGGCGCCTACGTCCTATCCAAGTGGCGGCAACGCCTACTCTTCTCACTTCCCACATCAACGCCCGGAGGCAACACAGCAGCCATACTATGCACCGGCGCAGGGACCAGCACCTGAACAGCAGACTCCGTCTCGCATGAACGCGCATCAGACAGGGCCGTCACAACCTGCGAGCTATTCTCGCCCGTCGGAGTCGTACGAGCCATCACTGCCACCTCCACCACCACCGTCGCAATCCCATTCTGCCGGCAGCATGGCCCCTCCTGCAGTGCCGTATGGTTATACCCCTTATCCTCCGCGATATGCCAGCTCTACACCAGCTCCTCCGCCACCTGCACCTGCAGCACCGGCTCAGAGCRTCTCGTCAGGACCAATTTACCAGCCGTCAACCTTGTACGCACCGCCGCAATCCGCATCTTCTGGGTGGAAGGCGGAAACAAACGCCCGTTTCGAGGATCGTCAATCTGGTCCTGCCGCCTACGGCGACAACGTGAAAAGACACTTGGACTTCTATGACTTGGAATCAGCATTGAATGAGGTGAGTACTTGAGGCGGTTCGAGAATACCGACGACCCACAATAAAGCTGGCAATCTCGATTGAAAGAGCGCTTTGCATACTCCTTTGTGGAAAGTCTCGGGTACTGAAGTCTAATGTCGAAATCCGCATGTCCTACGACTACAGAGGAAGTTTTGTGCTAACATCATCTAGATTGCCTCAACAAGCGGGATCCTCAGCGACTTTTCCCGACGATATGGCGACCGTATGCATCATACGCAGCGCTCCGGGCCTGCGCTGTCGACACTTCCTGGTATCGTCGAAGTGGACGACATGGTGTCCAAATCGCGCGTGCAGCTAGACTCACTTTTAAAAATTCGTGATGTCATTCTCGCACAGCAGGCCGTCTACGAGCAGCAAGCAGCAGATCAACGCCACCATAAGGCGTTCAATGAGCCTTCTCATCAGGCTCAAGCAGACTCCGGTCAACAGGAAAGCGATGACGGAAAGGGTGGAGGATTCGCAGGCGTCGACACCAAGAAACGACGAGGACGGGCAGCACCTCCCGGACGCTGCCACAGTTGCAACCGTGCAGAAACACCTGAGTGGCGGCGAGGACCCGACGGAGCTAGAACCTTGTGCAATGCTTGTGGACTGCATTACGCCAAACTCACCAGGAAGAACCAGGGGACCAACAAAAACACCGCCGTCAGTGGRGGTGGCGGCTCCAATCTTCGCCCCAAGGAGGATATTGGCCAGTGAGCCACGAGCGTCACATTGCAAAAGCATCGGCTCCAACAATGCCAACGACATATCAATTTGAAATTCTGCTCTGTTGCTACTTTGCGTGCCCTTCAGCGATACCCACGGCGTCCCCCAGCGGCATTTTTAGATGCAGCATAGAGAGCTTGCATTGCTTCTCAACATGGCGGGAAAAGTTTTCTTTTGCGTTTTTAGGCGCCACGAATTGTACACGGACCACTGAGTCACCACATAAAGCCAACGGATCTCCGGTTGGCCTTTTACGACGGCATTACGAACATGGGAAGCGCGAGCTAGGCGTTTCTGGGATCATCAGCCTACCCAGCTGATGTTTGTTTCGAGTCAGGCGAGGCTCACTGCATTGATGGAGTTTGCTATATGCATGCGGTGGAGGGGTGGGCGAGCAATCGGCCCATACTCACGGGTGGAGAAAGGTGTACCCACCGCTTTGTAACTATCTGGCTGAGTAGCGACGTATCGCTTACATGCTTCAAGCGAATTGAGCTGATTTTGACAGCCAAAGTGATCGTGCAACGCTGTTGGGTGATGAGACATCTCACATCTACTCATGGGCTTTCCCGTTCCGACAAATGCGGGCATGCAGATTGCTGCAATTGTCCTTTGCTATACTCGTCACACCCGTCTGTCAGGCAGAATCGTGTCGTGTGCTTGGGTCGATCTCCGGGACAGTCTCCACAGCAAATAGATTGGGATCCTGAGCAAGGTACGGCCTGTCACGATCGCGGAGGCTGTGGGATGGTACTGAGGATCGAGTGGTCCATCTTGTTCTGTGTGACGCCTTGTGTCGCGGAGGTGAGGCTTACTTGATGCTTGTGATCTGCCCATATTGTGACCGCGTGGCTGAAAGCCAGATATGTGGTTCTCGGGGTGATGTTGAAAGTTGAAACTTGACTAGGTACTGCCCTATGGTTTCGGCAAGTTTAGTCTACCTAGGCGTCTAAAGGTCCATGCGGCAGGCAACGTGCCATCACCTTGATATCTGTACTCATATCAGCGGAAGGCACATGCAAAAGGCGTTCGGTCAGTCCGATATCCGCCGTGGTGATGTTGGTTGCAACACATTAATAATCGGCGTGAAGTGATCAATCAGCATTCGGAATTCGCAGCTTTCTGACCCCACCCTCGRTCTCCGTCACGATTAGATGGAATAATATCACGTCAACGTTGTGGGTGAAACTTTGCACAAAGCACCTCGACGTCGAATGCATCACATTTCAGCTTCACCTCCACGCCGAAGATTCTTTCCTGCTCCAGCCTGGCAACACTCTCACCCTCCCCGGAGTGAAGTGGGCAAGTCACACGGCATTCGGCCGCTGGCTGCTTTCGACCGTCGATACACCCCACTCATATCGCTTGCCAGCCACAAGTGCGTCACAGACGAGTGAAATCTCCTTCGGTTCGAGCAAAGCTACGGAAAGGGTGAGGATCTGCAACACAACAAAAGGCAACACCACGATCGGTAGTTGCACGAACGCTGTGCTACTAGCCAGGGAGGCAGGCATAGGCGAATATGGGGCTACTGTAGGATATTCTGTCTTATAGGCATGCGCTGAAACACCGTTGACAAGGGAATAGCGCAGTTGGGACACCGCTGGACTGGCCCGAAGCGAAGAAAGCCGCAAGCCATGTGCGCGAGTGGGGGATCGAGGTATGGYCAAGATCAGCGAGCTTCGTGTCGTTGGATGCTAATGTGTAGGGAAGCAATTGCTGGAGATATGGAATCGCAGCAAAGGCAAAGAACGTGATGCGCTGCTGTGGGGAGATGAGGTATGGTAAGCATGTTCAGCTCAGTACGGAGACGTCGCTGACGCAGCGAAGATCGAGTATCTTGTGGTGGCCTTCAACGACGACAAGAGGGAGGTCAAGCTCTCACTGCGGCAAGCGGATATCCTTGAGGCCTTGGCAAGTGACCCGGAGCTGATCCAGCAGGGTGGAGGRGTTCCCGACCTGGTCAGAGGCGAGGAGAAGTCAGTATAGCGATTCGGCGAGATCATGAGACCATTACTAACGAGGACGGGGCAGGCCTGGTAGAAGAACAGCACCGACTTTCCATCCTGAATTTGGTCGCTTCATGCTCGAAGCCACGCCGGGAAAGCCATGGGGAATAGGCTTCAAAGACCTGCTCGACGTAGAGCAAGACATGAAGTGGAGGTGAGCTTGCGAAACCGTGGTAGCCTCTCACATTCAGAAGATATGCTTACTGACACTACAAAGKCGGAAAATTGCAAAAGAACACATCTACGACAATGAATTTCCGATCACTTTGACCACCTTTCCCATGCTGGGCGACAGAAAGTCCATCACACCATACTTTCCCCCCTCCGGCCCAAAGCTAAGATCGCAATTCGTGCCCGACGAGATTGCCAACCCACATATTCGATTCCCAACCCTGGCAGCTAACATCCGCCTGCGGCGCGGTCGCAAAGTAGAGCTGAATGTTCCAGTGTTCCACGACGAGAAGACTCAGAAACCATGGAAAGACCCTACCGTGGACTATGAGATGAAAAACTGGCCCGAGGACGACGATGTTCGGAACGGTGCTGCAAAGGATGATTGCATCTACATGGACGCCATGGCATTCGGCATGGGATCATGTTGTCTGCAAATCACCTTCCAAGCGAAGAACATTGCTGAGGGGAGGACCATGTATGATCAACTTTCACCACTTGGACCTGTGCTGCTCGCACTCACTGCTGCCACTCCAATCTACAAAGGTTTCTTGGCAGACACAGACGTGCGATGGAATCAGATCGGTGGAGCTGTAGACGACCGCACTCGCGAGGAGCTCGGCGAGGTTCCTCTCAAGAACGATCGGTGGCGCCTGCCAAAGTCTCGTTATGCCAGCAACAGCACCTATATCTCTCAAGACTCACGCCTGCGACCGGCATACCTCGATCCGGATCTTGTCGTTGACGAGAAGCTCAAAGCGAGACTTGTCGAAGGTGGTATGGATGACATACTAGCAACTCACTTTGCGCATCTGTTCATCCGCGATCCGATTGTCGTGTTTGCAGAGGACCTGCAGGAGCTTGACCTGAACAAGACAGACCATTTCGAGAATCTGCAGAGCACGAATTGGCAGCATATGCGGTTCAAACCGCCTCCGCCTGGTAACGATATTGGCTGGCGCGTTGAAGTTCGTCCAATGGAGATTCAAATCACCGACTTTGAAAATGCTGCATTCTCAGTATTTGTGGTGCTCATCACTCGGGCGATATTGAGCTTTGATCTCAACTTCTACCTGCCGATCCCTCGCACGACAGAGAATATGGAGACAGCCCACCGGAGAGATGCAGTGCTGAACGAGAAATTCTACTTCCGAAAGAATCCTTTTCCCCGGCGGCAACCTCGTACCAACGGAGCATCCGCAGCGGGATCAATCAGCAACACACCTCAGTCAAGCCGACCGCCAAGCCCAGGCCCAGTAGAAGACGAGTATGAACTCATGAGCGTGAATGAGATTATCAACGGCAAGACAAATGGCTTCCCGGGATTGATCCCGCTGGTCGAATCATATCTGGACAGCCTTAATGTCGATGTCGAGACGAGGTGCGAACTGGCACAGTACCTAGCACTCATTCGCGGCCGAGCCAACGGTACATTGTGGACAGCGGCCAAGTGGATCCGCCACTACGTTCGCGAGCACGACGAGTACAAAATGGACAGTGTGGTCACGGATGGTATGGCCTATGACCTGGTCAGGGCCACCGAGCGAATCACAATGAATGAAGGGCGCGACGGATTTGCAAAGGAGATGTTAGGGAGCCGTGAGCAATAGTGTGATCAACACTTTCTGGCTGGTGGATGTGTCTTGAATATCATTATTATATCAGGCAATACTGGATCCATTATCTAGCGAGCTCGTATTGGATTCGACGCTGGGTCGCCTCTTCTTCTGTAACTTATTGTGTGTCTGGTCTGTGCTGTTCGATCTCGTTCGAGAGCTGTTGTTGTGGAGGCTGATGGGAGGATTAAGCTTTCGATCTGGAAATGTGCCAGGCTGGAGAATCTCAAAACCTGTTCCGTGTCCTCGCAGTATGCTCGGATCGTGCCTCTCAAAGGATGAGCGAGGTGTTGGCTTGGTAGACGGCGATGTCGTGTGCAGAGGGCTTCGACTGGTCTGCTGTCTGGTACCGGGTCGCGAGCTGGAGCTGTTGCTCCTCATACTCCTCATGCTACCTACAGGACTGCATGGTCTCGACTGCGGGTCCGCGGGTGCAGTCAAACAGAACTGCGTGAATGGCGTCACATCCGGAAGACTTGACTTGGGTACTGCCGGAGGGATTTTGCTGATCTGATACGACCAAGCCGGTGAAGGTGATTCTTTCCTTGATGGTGGGGGTGATTGATAAATGGGTGAGTCCCCGGTCTCATACGTGCTACATCCATCTCCTCGTCTTATGCGGGGAGTGAGCTGCCCACACTCCGCAGCCTGGGACATTCGGCGTAGTTCCAGATCGGCGGACTGCTGTCTTGTTCTCTGGGTGTTTAGCAGGCGTGGTGCGGATGCTGATATGGGTTCACAGTCGGTGATAGACTTGTTAGAAGATCCACTGCTTCCCAATCTCTCCTCAGCCATACTCGAATCGAAAGGTCCGACTGATTTCATTGGGCCAGAGGCTCTATATATTGCCTCGAGTCCATCGAGCGTGCCCGTCACTGACCCTTGCTGTAGAGATGGGTTGCCAGTATACTTGGAGTATGCTAGCGGGGGATGTTTGCTCCTGGCTGCTTTGCTCATTGTGGTATTTGGCGATGAATCTTGACTCGAGCGATCGTTCGAGGGTCGTTTCGCAGATGCCGGACGAGCCAAAGTAGACCTCGAGCCGGCGTAGTCAGTGGTTGGACTGGAGTTCTGACTCTCAATCTCGACGATGAAGTCTTTTCCAGGTCCGTAATCCCACTTGGAAGACACAAGAGAGGTGTCTCGCGCGCCGTCTGGTGAGTTGGGACGCGAAATCCACACGCCTTCAWCTTCAATCCCAGATTCGATTGCTCTTATGCCAAAGGGTACAGAGCCAGCCCTCCGACGTTGGCTCATCTGCCGCTGCGCTACCTCTTCAATCCTCTCCTTTTCCGACGTTGTGGTCGATTTCCAATGGGTGTAGATCAGTTTGGAGCAGCCCATAATAACTGTGATAACAATAGCACAGCCAAGTATCTGAAGGAAGGTCAGTGKTTCCGCATTCCTCGCCTGCGGTTGCCCAAAGATTTACTCACGAATACTAGCTTTTGCCAGATTGGCCAGCCATTGAAGAACCCCATGCTTGCTGGCAGGCAGGATGCCGCAATGGATGAAGACAGTGCCGCGTCGAGGTACAAAGGTGGAGGCAATAAAGTCTCATGTCGCCAACAAATTATCCAAAGTCGGTCATAAAAAGCGATTCGCCCGAGTCCCTTAGACCTGCCTCGTTAAACAACTGAGCGACGAGAAGGAAGCAACTCAGCGACCCGTCAGCATGGCCAGCCAACTCGAACTGTCAGAGGTAGGCAGACGCTCGCTCGAGCTCTCGAAGACAATCGTTCAAGACCCGGGAAAGAGGATGTCGGGTGCAACTTGGCGGGCTCCTGTCAATGAGGCGGTAAGAGCAAACTCGTCGAAATGATGATTGCGGCGATGGAAAGAATGTGAATAATGTCGCATGTGCAGCATCCATGTTTCGGTTGTGAAATGCAATGTCAGATCTCAGAACGTGGCAGAGCCCGTGGCAAGGGTCGCGATTGTGACATGGAAGCGTGGCGTGGCAGATTTTGCCATCATTCTTGTGCGAGGATCCGCTCGTCTTGTGCGACATGACCACCGCACGCTCTGCTGGTGACGGTGGGGAAACTACCTTACCTTACCACATGGGCACCGCATTTCCTGTGCTTTTCTCGTTGCATCAGGGCAGCATGCTATCATCCAGGCATGTGGACTGGATTCCAGACGGTCCGGCCAGCCTACGAGCAACATGCGTGTAGCCGGTGAAACATGATGAGACATGAGGTCGTGCCGGTGCACATGTGCCTTGCGTCTTTGCGCGTGTCCGCGCGTGAGTTGCTCATGTACTACTCATGGACGGAGGGTGGATATTCATCACTGATCCATGTAATCAAGGAAGAGGTGCGGTCTCGAGCGAGAGATGGCATAGAATGCAGAATACTTGCCGATCCGACCTCTGACGGACGTTGAAGGCTGTTTGCGCACAGCACTGTGCAGAAAAGAAAGTAGCTCCCGGGGCCAAAACGTGTGAAAGGAGAGAAATTGACGCGTGTTTCATCAATTTCACCCTCCATTGATTCTCGATCGTCTCTGCTCTGCATGAAACTAACGCTTGCTGAATCATCGCCCCCTCAAGATCTCCAACTCCATCTCCTCCCATTAACAACTTATCACACGCCAGCAACCTCGAATTCGACCTACACGCCCTACCACCGCTCACTGATGATGTGGCCCACCATGCGAACAAGCTCACAATGTTGCGTCAGTTCCAGCATGTCTTTAAGTCCATTGCTAGATGCGGCCTGAATTTCTGCAAACGTTCTGAACGGCTCGTTGAAGGACAACGCTTTGCGCCAAGTCGTTGGATTCTTCCATCAGGTCGGTCACGTTTCTTGCAGATCTTCGTTTCATACTCCATCATTCTGCAACCCCGCGCTCTATACCTAGCAGATGGCGTTGTCATCATCTCTACGCGCGTTCAACGTCAACAGCTTTCACTGTCTTTTAATGTGAGAGGGGCCATTTGAACGCCGTTGCTACAACATTAACGATGCTACCAGCGAGATCACAGAAATTATAACATTAGGGTCCTGATGTTGACGACGTGCCAACACTGCATATTAGAAGTCCCTGTCGTCCGCTTCGCAGTCGTACTTTAATTCATTCTTTTACATACATTCCCCACGCTCTTTGCCCTTCGCTGTGATAGCGTCTCGTTCATTCTATTATCCATTCATTTATTGCTCCTTTACACTCTTTCCTGATCCTACTCCTTGCCTTGCTTTCACTCAGGTCGACACAATCATGCACACCTCCATATTCCTCTCGATAGTGGTATTGGCCCTGTCCATATCCTCCGCGGCGATACCCTTACCACTTGCCACAGCATCCGGCGACATGTCAATCCACAGAAGAAGTCCCATTGCAGTCGCTCAGAACCTCTTCGACAAGCTCGCCGGCACCTTAGGTAGCACTGCCATGTCAAAAGGTAATAGCTCACAACCCAGCAATGTTGATGTACCGTTGCTAATGTCATTGTCAACAGCGAAAGCTCCGTACGCACCCGGAGCACCCGGAGCAGTAGCGAACGTGGTGCCCGCAAGCACGGCGGCAACAGCGCCGCCACCGCCAGCTGCGCCTGTAGCAGCCCCTCCGCCACCACCAGTAGTGGCACCAGCATCGGCACCAGCAGCCGCTCAACAACCAGTAGCGCCAGCAGCAGCGCCCATGGCAGCTCCGGTCGCACCCACATTATCCGCGCCTTTGACTGCAGTGCTTCCCGGCAGCGGATCCGCCACTGGAGGCAGTGGTGGCGGTCTCTCCGGTGGTGGTGGTTTGCTAGGCATCCCAAACACGGGCAATGGTAAGCACATCAAACTTCATGAACGTCGTCGGAATGAGGGCTAACTTTTTCACCAGGAAATGGTAACAACCATTGTGAGTCAAACAAATCGACGTCTTGTTTGATACTTTATACTAATCCTATCCTACAGTCAGCGGAAACGATCTCGGTAGGCAACGTTCAGTCCGTGTGTGGTAACTCGTGTGATGACTGACTTTACAGCAGGCGGAAGCGCTTCTGGCAATTTGCCAATCGATTTCAGCAACTTGGGTGGCATATTGAACAGCAACAATAGTATGTGAAACCTGCTCGGTCATTTTGAATAAAGCACAAAAGCTGACAATCTCTCGCAGTCGTTCCCAGCGTGAGTGATCTCAATTTTCTTGAGGTCAACTTCCTTCAGTGAGCGCTAAAGTCTCTCGCAGCTTCGACCCAACTGATAGCTAGCAGGCCTAATAACAAGGAGGGAAACCAATAAATGATGAACGTGACCTGATGGAGCAATGACTTTTGGCCTGCTGCGCTGGAGAAGAGCTTGTAAGGGTGTACGATGTGGAGTAATGATGAGCTCTTGGGACGTCGCCTGCTTCTCGCTGGTCATGTGTCCAGAAATGAGCGGATTGAAGGTAGATCCTCAGAGCAGCTCGGTTTGGCGAGGTTTCAGCATGCTACTGAGCGATTTTTTTTTCGAATTGACACTACCTTATTGCTGTATATTTAGCGCCAAACAAAACCAAATAGACGACTTTTCAGCAAAAGTGACTTTAAGTCTGGCCCGTTCACTGAACACAAACAACCACATTGCCTTGGTGTGTGAGCATCAATGGTGGGGTTGTGAAGATGATCACGCTTCACCCCGTGAGGTTGCAAGTGTTTCGAAGCGTGCGCGCGAACCCGCCTCTTATTGGACCGTATGGTTGATAGAAGCATCCTTCCTCTGAGATGGTGTGAACTGGTGTCGCGTGTCATCAACAGTGCTTTCGGGGTGCCATCTCAGCGTATATGTATATATATGTATATGGCCCAGGCATTGTACTCTTCCACACCGGCGACAAGAGATAAGAGCAGAGTGGAGCTGCAGGACGATAAGCGACCCAGCTGTCTGGTGGGAGAGTTTCGACCGAGTGACGTAGTGCCAAACTTCATCGAAATTCGGATTTCGAAGACGCGAGATTTGCTCTTGTGTGGCAGGCCGAGAAGGGCTGGAGGGGCAGACTCACCGCCACAGAGGTAGAGGTGGTAGGCTTGAGGGAATGCCGTGTGGGAAAACCAAACCGAACAGAGACGCGTAACAGATACGCTTGGAGAGATTGAGAATAACACGATGCGCGTCTGGACGACCTTGTTGACCTCGACGCTCCTGGCGCGAGCGTTCGGAGCTCCGCCGGTGCAGCTTCCACTTCGACCATTCGCAGAGCAAGTCGCGAACGGCCAGCAGGCCGTCATAATTGAGAAGAAACAGAAACTGCACGGGCGATTCCTCCAAGTCACAGACTTCCATCCTGACCGCTTCTATCAAGTCTACTCGGGAACTGATGAGGACTCGGCATGTCATCGCGGTCAAGGACCTGCGGGTATCTACGGTGCCGAGACCAGCGAGTGTGACAGCCCAATCGCGCTGATCAACAAAACGATGGAATGGATCGCAAAGGAGCTCAAGGATAAGGTGGATTTTGTCATCTGGACAGGCGATTCGGCACGCCATGACAACGATGAGGAGTTTCCTCGAACGGAAGAGCAGGTGCTGGGTCTGAATGAGTTCATGGTGCACAAAATGACTGAAGTCTTTGGGAAGCACGGTGGAGACCAGGGCGATGGTGATCCCAACAACGATTTCCAGATCCCAATCGTGCCGAATCTGGGAAACAATGATATTCTGCCTCACAACATTCTAGCAAAGGGACCGAACAAGTGGACGCGGTCGTACTCTCGAATCTGGAGGCAGTTCATCCCTGAAGCACAGCAACACTCTTTCCAACAAGGAGGTTGGTTCTATGTGGAGGTCATTCCTCACCAGCTGGCGGTCTTCAGCTTGAACACGCTCTACTTCTTCGGAAGCAATGCAGCAGCGGATGGGTGTGCGGCCCGGTCTGAGCCAGGATATCAACAGATGGAATGGCTTCGGATCCAGCTACAATTCATGCGTGATCGCGGGATGAAGGCCATGCTGGTCGGTCATGTTCCCCCGGTCCGCCAGGAAGCAAAGACTTCCTGGGATGAGACGTGCTGGCAGAAATACACTCTGTTCTTGAAGCAATATCGCGATGTCATTGTCTCCAGCCACTACGGACATTTCAACTACGATCACTTTATGTTCCAGGATTTCAAGGATCTGAAGAAGAGTACCAAGAAGGGCCGTWTGAGATCCTCCCTTGAGAGTGTCATGCAAGATGGCGACGTGTCAACGTCAGTCAAGTCAGACTACTTTGTGCAGCTTCGTGAGGAATGGTCAGACCTGCCAGTACCCCCAAAAGCCAAATCCAGCAGTTGGTTAGACGCCATGCTAGGCAGGAAGAAAGACAAAAAGGAACGGAAAGAAAGGGAAAAGAAGTACCTCAAGGAGATTGGAGGCGAGTACACGGAACGATTTGCTGCGACATTTGTCGGCGCAAGTGTTGTGCCAAACCTGTTCCCGACCATGCGTGTTTTCGAGTACAACACAACCGGCGTCGAACATCACTCAAAGGATGCGGAGCCGATTCCACTACCCGCGTTGGTCGAATACGATGACGGAGATTTTGAAGAGTCCGGTAAGAAGAGGCATAAAAAGAAGCACAAGAAGATCAAGTTCACGGTTCCTGATGGGCCTTCAAAGACTGCTCCTCCCGGTCCAGCATACTCCCCACAGAGTCTGTCGTTGTTGAAGTATACGCAATACTTTGCGAACTTGACACATATAAACAACGACTTCTCATCTCATGGGGACGAAGAGGGTGATGCAGACGGGACGAAGTGGAACGAGGGCAAGCACAAGRGCAAAACCCCACACGACCATAAAGGTCACAAACCCAACCCGAAGAAGTTCCAATATGAGAAGTTGTACGACACAAAGGAGGACAAAGTGTATCGTCTGGACGATCTAACAGTGTCAAGTCTAATTGATCTTGCAAGGCGCATTGGGAACTTCGTACCCGAAGATGAGAGCTTGGATTCCGCATCCGAGTACGATCTAGAAGCGGAGACGAAGGGTAAGAAGCATAAGAAGCATAAAGGGAAGAAGAAGCAAGGCCATCGCAAGGAGAATGAGGCATGGTACACCTTTATTCGCAGAGCGTATATTGAAACGCTCAGCCAAGATGAGATCGATGAGATGTTTGGGGAATGATTGTGCATAGGATGAGAATCACGAATTGCATTGCGATGATGATGACGACCTTTGAAGAGAATTTTGCAATTTTGCTGCAGTACTTGTTATTATGTGAAGCGTTTCAGAACATTGCTGCCCCATCCTGTGGCTAAACGAGAGCGACGATCCGGCGAAAGACTTCGCCGACCTCCGTAGTGCAACATCCAAATCATCCTCTAGGTACAAACTCAGATCCTGCTTCCTCTGCATAATCATATTGTCTAGTCCTTGGCGTACGCCTCGTAGGCTTGTGGGTCGTGTTCGCGCTCGCACGCGGCCTTTGTTGATGTCGGAAGTCCGAACAGCCAAAGAGATGCTATACAAGCTCAGCTCTACGGCCGTGGAGGTGGACGCAGCCAATCATGGCCACCTCTTGGCCACCTTAACGCACGTGAAAGAGTACTGTCAGCAGGACCGTGCGTCGAGAGCCTTGTCTCAAGCAGTGCCTTGGGCATATATCATAGGCGTCCCAGCCTGATGGAATTGGACCCATACACCGCTTCAATTCGTGTTTCCTGCATTCATTTTTCTTCCTCTCTCTCTCTCCAGACGTCACCTCAACTCCAACAAAGAATAGTGATAGCGGGACCACGGAACGACGATGGCGCTGGACAAAAGAGATACAATTCCGATTCCAGGTCCGAGAGCGTTGCCAATTATTGGTAATGCGTTGGACGTCCAAGGTGAAGTGCCGATTGAGCGAATCGCAGCGCTTGGAGGGCAATACGGTGAGCAGTCCAGTCCTCATCTGTGGGAGAAGCAGAGTTGACAGATTTCAGGTSAAATATTCAGTTTATGGCTAGGCGGAAAACGAATACACTTCGTATCAAGCCATGCTTTGTTAAATGAGCTTTGCGATGAGAATCGCTTCGTCAAGAAGACTGGGGGACCACTCGCACAAGTGAGAAATGGAGTGCATGATGGTTTGTTCGTGAGTAGTCCATGCCGTTCAATCACATCACGGATCGTAGCTAATGTATGCAGACAGCAAATCATGGAGAAGAGAATTGGGGTATTGCACATCGAGTTCTTGTACCGGCTTTTGGACCACTACCGATACACGGCATGTTCCACGATATGAAATCCATCGCCGCTCAGCTCGTAATGAAGTGGTGTAGATTTGGGGAGTCCTACAAGATACCGGTCACAGACGACTTCACACGATTGACTCTCGACACACTTGCATTATGCGCCATGGACTTTCGCTTCAATAGCTTCTACGCAGAGGAAATGCATCCTTTTGTGTCGGCAATGGTCAATTTCTTGAGCTATTGTGCTGTACGAGCAAGACGACCACCATTCCTTCATTCCTGGTACTCAGCCGATGAGGCAAAGTTTTCGGAAAACATCAAATACATGCGAGACTTGAGCAATGATCTCGTGCAAACTCGGAGAAATCACCCCAAGGACACCAAAGACCTCCTTAACGCCATGGTCAACGGCAAGGATCCGAAGACGGGCAAAGCCATAACCGACGATTCCATCATCGACAACTTGATTACTTTCCTCGTCGCTGGACACGAAACGACATCCGGGTGGTTGTCATATGTGTTCTACTGCCTGCTCAAAAACCCTGATGCTTACCGCAAAGCGCAGCAGGAAGTTGACGAGGTGGTGGGTACAGAGAGTGTCACTGAGGACCACTTACGCAAGCTCCCATATATTACCGCTGTCCTTCGAGAGACGGGACGACTGCATTCGACAGCGCCGGCATTCTCGGTTTCTCCGAGGAGCGAAACTGGCGAGATCCTGGCCGGGAAGTATCACATTCCATTCGGTGAAGTCGTGGGCGTCATTCTCAACAACGTTCATCGTGACCCGGCGGTGTATGGTGACGACGCAGAGATGTTCAAACCTGAAAGAATGCTTGATGAGAACTTTAACAAGCTCCCGCCGAATTCTTGGAAGCCTTTTGGAAACGGAGAGAGGGGTTGCATTGGTCGTGGATTCGCCTGGCAGGAGATGATGCTGGTGAGTTCCTCACCACTCCGTGCAAAAAGAGTGCTCTAATCATTTGCAGGTTATGGCAATGCTTTTGCAGTATTTCAACTTTTCGATGGATGATCCAGCATACAAACTACAGACTGCATTCTCACTAACCATCAAGCCGAAAGACTTTTACATGAAGACTACCCTTCGAGAGGCAAGTGTCACTTTATCCTCTCATGAGTTGGAAGCTGACTAACATCTTTGCGCCTGTTCAGGGATGGACCGCTCGTACAATCGAGCAACATTTGAGTGGCTCTTTGAAAGTCGCAAAGCCAACGTCGGCCACTGCAGCAGACAACGGAGTGAAATCGAACACAGCGGAGTCCAAAACGCCAGGAAAGCCCTTCACAATCTTGTATGGCTCGAACTCTGGCACATGTGAGGTTTTCGCACAGACCCTTGCTGCGGATGCCAGAGCACACGGGTTCACTGCTACCAAAGTCGATACCCTGGATTCCGCCAAGGGAAACCTGCCAACCGGGGAGCCAGTGGTAATAGTCACTGCATCGTACGAGGGAGAACCTTGCGACAACGCAGCACACTTTTTCGACTGGCTCAAGAACAACAGCGAGAAGATCACGACTCAGTATGCTGTTTTTGGTTGCGGGCACTCTGATTGGAAGCAGACATTCCATCAAGTCCCAAAGGCCATCGACAGGCTCTTGGAAAAGGCTGGTGGCCAGCGGCTCTGTGAGATGGGATCGGCAAACGCCGCGAATGGCGATATGTTGAGTGAGTTTCAGGCTTGGGAGGATGACAGCTTCTGGCCAGCTCTCCAGAAGCAGTTCGGTGAGGAGAGTGACGAGAAGCAACCCGATGGCGTTCCCTTTGGCCAGAATCTTACGATTGAGATTTTCAACAAGAGAGCGTCGCATCTACGATCTGATGTTTCTGAGGCCAAGGTCATATCCGCAAAGACTTTGACCTCACCTGGGGTTGGTGAAAAGAGGCATATTGAGATCCAGCTTCCCTCGGAGATGACTTTTCGCGCGGGAGACTACCTCGCAGTTCTGCCTCTCAATCCACAAGAAACAGTCCACCGCGTCCTCAAACGCTTCTCCCTCCCCTGGGACGCCATGCTCAAGATTTCATCCCGCACAGGATCTACACTCCCAACCGACCATCCGATATCAGCTCAGAACCTCTTCTCCGCCTATCTTGAACTCTCTCAGCCAGCCACGAAACGCAACATGACTATGCTCCTCTCGGCTGCAGCGCAAGRCCCCGAAACAACTGCATCGCTATCCGCACTCGATGCAGATTTCGCGAACTCCGTCACAGAGAAACGCCTCTCCCTATTGGATCTCCTGGAACAGCACCCAACCCTGGCCCTCCCATTGAACGCCTTCGTGTCCTCCCTCATCTCGATGCGTGTGCGACAGTATAGCATATCATCTTCCCCATTGTCTGACCCGTCCCAATTGACCCTGACCTACGCTGTCCTCAACGCCCCTTCCCCATCCGGAACCCGCCACATCGGTGTGGCTTCAAATTACATGTCCTCCCTGCAACCCGGCGACATCATGCACGTCGCGACCCGTCCCTCGCACTCTTCCTTCCGCTTGCCCACCGATCCGGCAAACATCCCCGTCATCATGATCGCTGCAGGAGCAGGTCTCGCACCTTTCAGGGGCTTCATCCAGGAACGCGCAGCTCAAATCGGAAGTGGACGAAAGCTGGCTCCTGCTAGACTCTACTTTGGATGCAAAGATCCCGAGAAGGACGACTTGTACCGCGAAGAGATGGACTTTTGGGAGAGGATGGGAGCTGTGCAAATCCATCGATCCTACTCGCAGAAGAAGGAGCTTAGTGGAGGGTACAAGCATATCCATGAGTTATTCCTGGCACAAAAGGACGAGTTGCTGGAGCTTTGGGAGCAGGGAGCTAGGGTGTATGTGTGTGGGTCGAGAGGTCTTGGGGAGAGCACGAAGAAGGCTTGTATGGAAATCGCGAGGGATAAGGCGAAGAGCTCTGGGAGGGATCCTAGTGATGAGGATTTGGAGGCTTGGTTTGACAAGATCAGGAATGAGAGATATAGTACTGATGTTTTTGCTTGATGAAGATAATGTGGACCAAGAAATTGAACCATCAATGAACTTACCGTCTGATCCAGCGTCTCCGCACGTAATATGTACATCCTGTTCTTGTACTCTTCGGAAGCCTCGCTGAGATCGGTCACAGGATGTGATTGCTGGGTCCATTCATGTGGAACTGCTGGGCATGATGTCGATGCCACTGTTGTCGAGCCTGTGAGGCTCAGACTTCACCCACATGTTCGCATTGAAGCCTTGAAGATGCGGGGATCTTGAGATGCATTCGAGGAAGGAAGGAGAGGTGCATGCATGCGAGAAAACAGTCTTTCCATTGTTGTGAAGAAGAGCTCGGCAGTTTCCCGGACGGCATCTCACAAAGCCCGCCTTCCCTCCTCTACTCTCACCACCACCAACCAACATACATCAACATTTGCTAGATTACCATGGGCGTGATATCAATCCAGCAACAAGATCTATCGAATCTCGATCCGTTCGAAACTCGACTCCGGAAACGCGCATGGAACAAAGGTCCCATTCAAGATTTATTTCCGAGGATMCCTGACGCATCCCTGGTTGGTGATTACAATAATAAATGCCCATAACATTTTACTTTTTTGTTTTTGTTAAAGACCATGTGCTAATCTTTTTACTTAGGAGCGAGTATTGGATATTGTTATCGATAAAGGCTTTACTTATAATCTCTCCGACTCTAGACTTGCGAATGCTAAAAGATGTGAGTTTATCCATATTAAACGCTACTCATGGCTCGACTTCCGTTCAATGGAATACATGCGTCTTCTATCTCAGTCTGTCACAGCGAAAACATGTTTCTGGGGCAGACTGGACGTACTTCATGACAACAGACCTCAAGGATTTCAATGCCTCTCATGCCGCTCGTCCTTCCTTGCGCATTGGAAAACATGTCTGTCTCATGCATTCTGCTAATCCAGCACGCAAGATACTAGCATTATTGTGGCACATGTTCGCCACTTCCACACCGACTACGACTCGCTCCTGCGCTCCGGCGTCGAACGCTTCGAAGCACGGCAGCAAACTTCGCAGAAAGTCCGCGCTGTTCTACGGGAATGGTGTCCCTGGGATGAGTCCAACGAAGTGCTGGAACGTTGTTGGAAAGCTACGCTCGTGAGACCAGAGGTATGTGTCGTAGATCCATTGCTTGGACGTTTTGACTAACGTCGAAAAGGAGCGCGACCCTAGTTGGGATCCGATGGATATCGATGATGAGTCGGATGACGAGGAGCATGGCGTTGTGGATGACCCGTGAGTGTTACCCTACTGTGCCATCCTGAAGAGTTGCTGATTGTTCCCAGCATGGATCTGGATTGAAGACTACTGTGCCGAAGAAAACTCACTCGTCAGAGGTATGTCCAGACTTTGCCCACCCCTCCTGTGCATCGCCCAAGTCCTGCTCGCTCTCCGAAGAACTAAGAAGAGACTCCTTCTTGCCTCCTTTCCGTTCAAGCCATTCCCTCAACCGCTCCTCACTAGGCTTCCAGTGCAACCAAACCTCGTCTCCCGTCTCCTCCGCTCTTCCCCTCTTTTGATTTTCCCATCTCTTCACTTTCCTTGCCGCCTTTGGTGAAACCCGGTAGATCCACTCATGTCTAATCCTCAACCTCGCAGCCACATATTTCTCCTTGGGCCGATGCATCAATGCAGAGTCGATCCTCTCCAGCGGACTTGTTGCACTATCCAACAATCCCTCATTGCTATACGCGCGGTTCACTTCCGCCAAGTCTTTGGGGAGAACTTTGCTGAGGAACTCCAAAGAGGCGTTGATGTTCAAATCAAGAGCACGCTTCGGGTTTGCGAGCTGTTTGAGGAATATTGAACATAGATTCGGGTAAAGGAGGGAGAAATCACTTTGAGAGACGTGGACGGTTCCCCGGAGTGTTAGGAGCCATCCAGGGCAGGGGTGTGGTGCACTCTCGGCCTCTTTGATGAGCGACTCAACGAGTTGGAAGTTGCTGGGCCAGTAGGTGAATGCCTCGGAGTTGATGGCAATGATCGGCGCCTGTATTCGATGTTGCGGGGCCTCTTCATCCGCAGGATTGGTTCCTGCGCCCCAGATATCGTAGATGATTCCTTGAGAGAGATAGTTGAAGCGGTCGCCGTGTCGAAGCATTTCAATACATGTCGCTGCGCCGAAGGAATGGCCACAAGCTGTTACGTGGTCGAGATGGAAGCGATTTCGCCAGCGGGTYCAATCTATTCCTTCCAGACCATGTCGACTGGCGCCTTTGTAGCCCTTCTTTCGAAGATTTTTATCAGCGATAGATTGACCTCTACCAGCGTGGATGTCACACATGATGGAATACGCCTCTTCAAGTTCGGCCATGCGAAGATCGATCTGTGCGCCACGGAGCTCTCTGTCGACCCCCTTGGTATTGTTGGGAGAGGTGTCGAAATGGTTTCCTTTGGGAAAGAGATAATCCACCTCATGAAAACCTTGCCGTCTCWCTTCCTCACTATGATCGACGTTCACAGCATCCCCTTCCCCTTCTTCTTTGGKACGATGATTCACAAACGTCCTCGGACCACTCCCATCCCGATGCTCCACAGCAACAACCACGAATCCATGACTTGCGAATTCCCCACAAACACTGCTATACATCGTCCTCGTACCCCCCAAACCATGACTGAACAAAATCATCGGAAACACAGGCTCCTCATCCACACCAGCGGGACATTCACCTTGTTCCTCCTCTTCAGCAGCAGGCATTCCTTCAACCTTCGCATCCACTTCCGGCGCCCAAAATTTCGCCACCGAAGCATTTCTCCACGCAGGTAATTTGGTCCACATAGTCGGTAAAAAAACCGGCAAAGCGAAACTTCCCACCCCGGCGAATTTCCCATATCCGTCCGCGATTCCCAAACGAGGTCTTCCAAGCCAGAGTTCTCTAGACGGACGTCCACTTTTCTTGGATTTTGGAAGTTGGTCGGAGGAGGAGGAGGAGGAATCTAGAGAGACCGGGTAGTAGATTGTCATTAGGACTGTTTCGAGTTGGAGGACGTGTTTCTTTTGACGCGTGATGTGGGAAAAGGGACGGGGATTTGTGGCGGGGATTTCGAGTTCCATTGTTCCTACGGCATAAGGGCCTGTGTAGGAGKGTAGGGAGCGGCCTGGGATGAGGAGTGTGTCGCGCCATCCTCGGGGTGGTCGACTTTTGGGCTTTTTTGCGTTTGGGATGGGAGTTGGATTGTCGTTGGAGGAGCCGAGTTGGGAGTGGCGTTTGTTGAGATTCATTTTTGGTGGGGTCTGTTTAGAAATTTGCTTCTTGTATGATCTTGTATGGACATGGAGGGGAAGTGGTGAATGATGGAACGATGATTTAGTGTATCCTGTTCTTCTCAAGAAAGTGGATCGTCTAGAATTTCCAACGGACTCACTCGGCAGTCTTGCGAGACAATCATGTCTTGGAACGGGCAGTAAGAAACGAAGTTGAGAGAGTGTAAGCGGGAAAGAGGACGGAAGATCCAAAACGATGATTACATGTAGTATTTGTTTCTGTGACGTGGAGCGGTTCATCAAAGGAAGCACGCAGTTTAAACTTTTATGAGCGGCACGTTGTCGGCTCGCGGCGGAATGACATAGCTTTGTCGATCGATCACTCTTGGAACGTGCGCTGTCATCACCAGAGGTAAAACTATTCTGGTGAATGGTCGGGTTGAAACGTGTGTCCTTCTCCACACAAGGATTTATGAAGCTTGCTAGAACCATGGGCTCTATCGAAAACTCCAGGTCTCGAGTGACTTGTCGTCGTGCCTCAATCATGATATACCTTACGTAACCATACGAAGGCACCATCCATAGCCATAAAGAAGCCATGGTCCAAATGCTGGCTCCATCTAAGCTTCGACTTTCATTCATACTGATTGAGATGGTAAGTAAGCATACCTGCCGCATCTCCCAGAACGATGCCGGTGACTTACTAGTGTCATCTGTAATAATGCATCTTGCATGCCGCCTTCAGCATTCCTCTTCACCCTGCTGGTGAGTGAGTATCTGCAACCGAAATCGACGCTGGCTGTTTGGGCTCAGGCAGCAACGGAGCAGTTCATCGTCAAGTTTTCAAACATCATTCCTCCCCCCTCAACCATCCTTCTTAGCCTTCTTGCTGGCCGGCAAAGTAGGCACCTTGAAACCGCCATCCACCTTACCTGGCGGACCCATGCTTCCTGCACCACCCAATTGGGTGAATGTCCCACTCTTGAACCATCGATCCTCGTCCGCCTTTCTCTTCCTTTGCATTTCCTCTCTCACTCTCGGGTCCACCAGCTCCAATCCCTGCACGGGAGTGAAAGCAATTGTACTCGCGGTTCCGCCAGCCCCGCCAACATTTGTCTTCATTCCACTTCCGCCTACACCGGAAGCTCGTAGGCCCATGGCTTTCAATTGTCCGGGTGTGCTCAAGCCCCCACCACCGAAGCCTGTCGCAGTACCACCTACATTTGCATTGGCACTCGTTGCACCACCCCAGCCAGGATTCTTCTTGGATAATTTCGCCTTGGTCCGCTGATCGATTTGCTGTGCTCGGATCCTTCCATCGTTTTGGGCGCCGATCATTCCCAAACCTTTCGTACCGTCTCCAGTACCGTAGCCTACTTCAGCTTCCTCCTTGCCAAATACCATTCGATTCTGCGCTTTCCGCAAGTCAGTCATCGCAGTGGCTTCCTTCATCTTCCGAACTCGGCGTCCACCTCTTTTTCTTGAAGGCTTCTCGTCTGGAGCTGGAAGAGCTTTGACGCCTTTGTTGGGAGCGGCCTCGGATAATTTGCCAATCCTCTTCTCGACTTGATCACCTAGTAGTAACCCTTGTTCACCAGACGGCGACTCGTGAGCGGCATCAATGCGGGCCGCGAGCACTACTTTCGCGGATAGGATGCGCATTGCCTGGACTTTGAGGTCCGAGGGAACAGCGCGAATGATGTCGTTGTGATAGATGACTCCTTGATTGCGGACTCCGGCATTGGTGGCCATACCGATACCACGGGCAGACTTCTTGTTACCCAATGGCGGAATGTTGCAGGAGGGAGTCTTTGCCAGTCCGGCGACACCACCCGAATAGTTGATCAATTGTGCGGCTGTCAGAGAGCCAATGAGAGCGGTGAGATTGGGCGCAAACATTGACATTCGTGATTGAACGTATTCGGTCAGCACCTTCTTTGCGTGGTCGAGCTTGAGGATCATTTTGCAAGCGCTTTGAATGGTAGCAAGCTCGGACTCTGGAAGTTCTTCACCCTTGGTGGTTGTTGCTTCGACGGTAACGACCATCAATGAGGGACCGTCCAAGACTTGCTTGAGTGATTGTCCGACAATATTGTCTGTTCTCTCGCTGAGCTCGCGGATGTTCTCCATCGGCCCATTTCCAATGATGGCCACGGCGCGGGCATAGTCGAGCGGGTTCTGGATAAGGATTTCGAGTTCCGGGAATCGAGTGGAGTAGTGATCGCGAATAAATTTGTGCACGAGAATGATTTCGTTGTCAATTCCCGTAGAGAGGGTGTTGGATTGGGTGAGGAGTTGATATTCCGGATTGTCCTCGATGTTACCAATATTTCGTGTTGCCTGGCCAGGTGCCAACGATTGGTAATGTGCGATTTTCTGTGATGAACCATCGATCAGACAAGATCTTTTCAAGGGACGAAAGCAGAGTTCTATGTATGTTATCCCAACTGCATCCTCGGAGTCATGAAAATGAAGGTGCAAAGAGGGAGCTGTAGGGAATGTGGGTGGGCATGGATATGGGGTCAACTCACCTCCAGCAATGGTTCCAACTGCCTCATCAGACCCGCGACGGTGCGCACATCGGCCACCTTGTGCAGCGCCATCTTCTCCACCCGCGCCTTGGCCTCTTCCGCATCCTCGGCGGCGTCTGTCTTGAGATGGGCCGGCGCATTATCATTATCATCCTCATCCTCTGCCGGTTCTTCGTCATCGTCCAGCTCCATGTCCGTCTTGCCCTCGCCATGTCCATCAACTCCTCCTCCCGTCTCCGGCAGTCCGTCGTCATTTCCCTCTCCACCGTTCAATGCAAACYCGTGACCATTTTCGTTTTCATTCTCCTCGTCCGAATCGCCAAAGTCGTTCAGCAGTTCGTCGGCGATGGTCGCCATGTTGGGCCAGTTCCGTGATGTTGATGTTCAGAGGAAAGGTGAAGCTCCAAACTTCGGAAGCGCATGTGCTTGAAGAATGATGCGCGACGGCGATCCTCCGGCCTCAGCTCCGCACTTTTTGGCGACTTTCACTTCACTACTCAAACTTCCAAAACATCCATCTCGTACCACACAGCAAAGCAAAGCATCCCCCCTTGCTCTTTCACCATGGACGCCGCCTCACGAGGACCCCCGCGGGTCAAGAATAAGGCGGCCGCCGCGCAGCAGATTTCCGCCGAACAGCTGCTGCGCGAGGCCGTCGACCGCCAGGAACCTGGTCTGGCCGCACCGACCCAACGATTCGCCGACCTCGAGGAGCTACACGAGTACCAAGGGCGGAAACGCAAGGAATTCGAGGATTATGTACGCCGCAATCGCCTCAACATGGGCAATTGGTTCCGCTATGCTGCCTGGGAGTTGGAGCAAAAGGAATACCGTCGCGCCCGATCCGTCTTTGAGCGCGCGTTGGACGTCGAACCCACGAACATTCAGCTCTGGCTGAGATATATTGATGCTGAGATGAAAGAGCGTAATGTCAATCATGCTCGAAACTTGCTCGACCGCGCTGTGACCATTCAACCGCGTATCGACAAGCTGTGGTTTAAATATATATACATGGAGGAAATGCTTGGTAATATTCCTGCCACCAGACAAGTCTTTGAGAGATGGGTCAGCTGGGAGCCCGAAGAGGCGGCCTGGACAGCTTATATCAAGCTGGAGAAGCGATATGGCGAGTTTGATCGCGCACGCAACATTTTCGAACGATTCACCATTGTCCACCCCGAGCCCCGCAATTGGATCAAATGGGCCCGTTTTGAAGAGGAGAATGGTACCTCKGATCTCGTTCGCGATGTCTTTGGCACTGCCATTGAAACGCTCGGTGAGGAATTCACCGATGAGAAACTCTTCATCGCCTACGCTCGCTTCGAATCCAAGCTGAAGGAGTATGAGCGCGCGAGGGCAATCTACAAATATGCTCTCGATCGTCTTCCTCGCTCTCGTTCCGCGATTCTTCACAAATCGTACACCACCTTTGAGAAGCAATTCGGTGATCGTGAAGGTGTGGAAGACGTTGTTCTGTCCAAACGCCGTGTGTTGTACGAAGAACAAGTTACAGCCAACCCGAAGAACTATGACGCATGGTTCGATTACGCTCGTTTGGAGGAATCTGGCAATTCTCCCGACCGCGTGCGAGAAGTCTACGAACGAGCAATCGCCAATCTCCCTCCGAGTSAAGAAAAGCGTCACTGGAGACGCTACATTTACCTGTGGATCTTCTATGCCATGTACGAAGAACTCACTACCAAAGATCTTTCGCGTGCCAATCAAATCTACGGAGAAGCACTCAAACTCATCCCTCACAAGAAGTTCACCTTTGCCAAGATCTGGATCCTCAAGGCGCAACTACATATCCGACAAGATGATCTAGTCGGTGCAAGGAAGACTTTAGGCATGGCAATTGGAATGTGTCCCAAGACAAAACTCTTCCGCACATATATTGAAATGGAGATGAAGYTGTTCGAGTTCGCAAGGTGCAGAACCTTGTATGAGAAGTGGATCGAGTTCGATGCTTCCAACTCACAAGCTTGGATCAAATTTGCGGAACTGGAGAGGGGTTTGGAGGACCTCGACCGCGTGCGAGGGATCTACGAGTTGGGTACTCAGCAGGAAGTCTTGGATATGCCGGAGTTGGTGTGGAAGTCTTACATCGACTTCGAGGAAGAGGAAGGAGAATATGACAAGACTCGCGGACTATACGAACGTCTGCTGGAAAGAACACAACACGTCAAAGTCTGGATCAGCTACGCCCATTTCGAGATCAACGTCCCCGACGGAGAGTTCGAAGAAGACGAGGAAGAAGAAGCGCCCATCTCCGAGGCGGCGAAGACAAGGGCAAGGAAGGTCTTCGAGCGTGCCCATGAGGRATTCAAGAAGGAAGGTATGGTGGAGGAGAGGGTGCAGTTGTTGACTGCGTGGGATGGATTTGAGCAGACCCATGGAAGTGAGCAGGATAAGGAGAAGGTCAAGAAGATGTTGCCGAGGAGGGTGAAGAAGAGGAGGAAGTTGGATGATGATAGTTTCGAKGAGTATCTGGACTATGTCTTCCCGGCTGATGACGAAGGCAGCGCGAAGATGAGCAAACTTTTGTTGGCGGCGCAGAAGTGGAAGGAGGCGAACGCTGGTGCGGCGTAGCGGGATTGAGAGGGTGGAATGTGATGCAAAGGGGTTTGCAGGCAGTTGTGAATGCAACACCGCTTTTGTAGGTTGTACAAATTTTGCCATCAAGACTCAAGACTCCTGATCAAAATACACCCTTTTCGTCACATCCCAGCATATTATATCGCCTGTTGGAGCCTAGCATCCGTTGGTCGTTCGTGTGAGCGTGTGTGTACATGCGCTGGAAGCCATGTTGTCGAACTTTTGCCCAATGATATTAAAGTGTCGTTGATCGACACATGATAGGCTCGTTTTGGATGGATGCCTGCAGCGGGAAGATCCGCACTCCCGTTACCAATTGGAGCCTGTCTCCATCAACGCCAGCCAGTGCATCCATCAACTCACAAACATCAACGTTGCGAAAACATCATGGCTTCGGCACCATTTCCCAAAGAAGAAGAGGCGTTCGCGGATGACGACCGCATCTCATTCTCGAAAGAGACCAAGACCTACATTCTCGAAGACGCGGAGGGCAACGAGTGGGAGTGGCTCCAAGGTCCCCAAAAATGGTCGAAGACGGTACGCCTTTCCAGACCCTCTGTCCATACTTATGACAGGCTCTGGCCTGCGCCAATTTCCAAACCTTGCCATGTGATTCCTCCGGCCACAGACCTCTAACATTCATGCCACGGCGAAATAGATGGATGAGGAAGCCGTGAAGCGGCAGGCGGAAATTTACAAAGTCGCTGGCGTTGATGAGGACGAGCCGGCGCTCAATCCAGCGAAGAAACGCAAGGAGGCGCAGCTGGAGGATGTGAGTATCTCCAAAGTTTCCTATAGCGGCGGCGGCGGCGACACTGACGGATCACAGCCCGAATCCAACCCAAAGAACGCCAAGGCCAATACCGGAGTCGGAACTGGACCTGGACCTGGACCTGGAGCCACTGGAGCGGGATCTGGAGCCGCGACGACTGCAGCACACACCAAGCAGAACTCGGCCGTTTACGTGACTGGACTACCTGATGACATTGACGCTGACGAACTTAGGTTATTCTTCAAGAAATTTGGCATGATCGCGGAGAGTCTAGATGGCAACAACAAGCGTATCAAGCTCTACAACGATAGTGATGGAAAGTTCAAAGGAGAGGCCTTGATCAGTGAGTTGCAAAACCCTCAAGACTCTTGGCATGTTCCTGATTCAAGTCCAGTCTACCACCGCCCAGAGTCTGTGCTGTTGGCGATTGAGATGGCAGATGGCGCTTGGCTTCCTCGTGAAGATGGATTGAAGAGCACACAGATTCACGTCACCGAAGCAGACAGCTCCTTCAAGGCGCACAAAGGCGATACCGTCGCGGAAGACCGGCCAAACCCCAAGGCGAAGGCGAAGAGCAACTCCCGCGCTTTGGCCAAAAAGAAGGCCGAAGAGATGAACAGGTACGCCGTGATCATATTCATTAATGGAGTAAGACTGCTAATCTTCGACAGCCGCCTGGCCGATTGGGACGACGATGAGCCTTCCCAAATCCAACAAACATCATCCCGCGCCGACAAGGTGGTCGTCATCAAAGGTCTCTTCACTCTCGAGGGTCTCAAATCCGACCCAGACCTCCTGCTCGACATTCAAGAGGATCTGCAGGAAGACGCGGCGAAGCTTGGTGCCGTCAAGAATGTCACCGTCTTCGACATGGAGGACAGCGGTGTCGCCACGATTCGTTTCGCGGATGCGACTGCTGCAAAGGCATGTGCACGTTCCTGGAATGGCAAAGGTTACAATGGAAACTCCATCTCTGCTAGCATCTCCACCGGCGAGGAGAAGTTCAAGAAGACGCGGAAGAACGTCGATGCCGAGGCGGAGGAGAAGAAGAGACTCGAAGAGTACAGCAAGTTCATTGAGGGAAAGTGAAGATGAACATGAATGCTGTCTGTTCGAAAAGTACAGCAAGTTCATCGAGGGAAAGTGAAGATGAACATGAAAGCTGTATGAGCGAGAAGTTTCAGGGGAAATGCAGAGTGATCTCACGACTGGACACAGGCTTGTCCCGGTAGCAGAGCTCGACAATGCAAACTTCTCTTCACGCACACTCATACTCCCTCAAACGCTGAACGCTAATTGATACTCTTGCTAAATTTCCAAGCAACCAGCTCTGAGCTCTGCTTTGCAGGAGCGATACAGGTACATAAAAGCACTCCAATATGCTGGAACGTGGCGAATCGCGAAATGGGCGTTTGATTGCAACTACAGGTTGCACGAAGTATCGCTGAGAGAAATGAGAGTACATCAATCCTGCGTCGATMTCAGTCATGAGGAGGCATTCGGCGGCTCCAAAGGCAGTTGCCATTTTGAGTGAGAGTATGTCTATCATGTCCTGATACGAGCATCTCACCTTCACTACTGCTGCCAATTCATGCATCATGGCGTCAATTCGTGGTCAAGTCGTGGCCTAAAGACATATACTCTAGATCTAGCGTAAACAGCCTCTTAACCAGCCAGCCCGATGATGACGCTCCTGTTTCATTACATTCTCAAATGGTCGCCTTTCCTGTTTGCGCCTCCTCCCAACCCCCAAGACTCCGTCGTGTTAAAACAAGCCCAAATCGACCGAAGCCCATCCATCACGCGTAATTCGAGGAGTCCACACTCGAGCGTTTGATACTTCTCATCGGGTAATCTTCCATCTTCCTAGTCTGATACGACAACGGCGGCGGCGGGGATGAACTCGCTTCCCTTTCATACTCACCACTATGACCAAAAGCCACGCGTGAGTCCCGCCTGCTAGACGCAACATCATCATCGTCATCATCATCATCATCACTAGTTTTCTGACCATGCAAGACTCCAGGAGTTTGCACTTCACGCGTCAACTCGACGTAATCGTAAGCGAACTCGCCCAGTTCCGTGTCGTCGATGCCGCGCTCCTCTTCCTCTTGGGATACTCGAAGACGCATGGCGGGGAATTTCAAGCCGATGAAGTGCATTGTTAAGAGGATGACGGAGGTTACTATGAAGCTGTACGTCATTCCTGCGATGGAGTCCGCGAGTTGGATGGCGAGTTGAATCCAGTGGCGGTTCAGCCAGCCGCCTTGGATGACTGTGAAGCCATCGAGTGCTGCGATGTAGTCTGCGGCGAAAAGGCCGGTGAGGAGGTTTCCAAGGATACCACCGATGCAGTGGACGGCAAAGATGTCCAGAGCGTCGTCTACTCCGAAAAGGAACTTCAGTTGGGTGGCGTAGTTACATCCTAGCCCGGCACAGATGCCGTAGATGACTGCTGCCCAAGCTGGAACGAAACCTGAACCGGGTGTGATGGCCTAGATAATGTTGCGTTAAGTCATGTTTAGAGATTACAGCTATGGGATACTTACAACTAGGCCAGAGATGACACCGGAGCAGAATCCTACGGCTGACCACTTTCCTTCGAGTCGGTAGTCGAGGATACACCATGTTATGCCACCAACACAGGCAGCTAGGTTCGTTACTACTGCTGCCATGATGGCCTGTAGTGCAAATGTGAGCTTTTATCGTTTAGTTGGATTGAGGAGGCGACTTACGCGCATGTTTGCACCAAGAGCGGAACCAGCATTGAAACCGAACTAGATCAGGAAATTAGTCAAGTTTCGCAGGGTTCAATGGCCACCTGTTCGAAGGTGTGCTCTTCGAGAAGACGGCGATATGATGAGACATACCCATCCGACCCAGAGGAAGACGGTACCAATAACGATCTGGGTGACATCATGAGGGCGATACGACAGCGCTTGGGTGTTGTGGCCAGTTCTTTTCCCGAGCACATAGCTGAAAGCAAGCGCTGCAGCACCAGAGGAGATGTGGACAGGTGTGCCGCCTGCAAAGTCAAGCCCTCCAAGCTTGTACGACCAGCCGTTCGGATTCCATGTCCAAAAAGCGATTGGATCATAAACCAATGTGGTCCAGAGGAACATGAAGATGATGCAAGGAAGGAGTCTACCACGCTCGCTGATGGCACCCACGAGTAGCGCCACAGTAATGCATGCGAACATGCCTTGGTATACCGCAAACATGAGATCGGGAATGAGCTTGGAGCCTGGGCTGGGTGCTGCGAGTACGCCTTTCAAGCCAAATGCGTGGAGGTCACCGATGTATCCGTTTGTTGCTGTGGGCGAGAATGCTAGTGAGTAACCCCAGAAGAACCATTGGAAGCTGACGACTGCGATCGACATGATCGAGAGGAAGATGAGGGAAAGAGCAGATTTTCGGCGTGCGAGACCTGAATAGAAGAGTCTGTTGGATGAAATGGTCAGGATCGATCATGATGTTGAGAATACTAAGGTAGGATTCTAGACACACCCGACTCCAGGAATCATCAACAAGACGAGCGCGGTGGATGTGAGAATCCAGGCAATGTCTCCGGCATTGTACTGACGATTTGTTAGCGGCAGGATATGTACGCTCAAGGCAATGCGAGCGCTCACAAAAACATTCAGATCTTGCGTGAGTGAATCTCCGCCGGTTGTGGATGTGCCATTGTATTCGACGAGCGGCACATAGGGCAGACTGTCCGCACTGCCACCATCAGACATGGCGGAGTCGTTCGGAAGGGCTAATTCTCAGCCCGACGTCGAGTGGTGGAGATGTACGAAGGAGTCTCTCTCGAAGGCAGAAAGGATTGGCAGCATGCCCTTCGAACGCAAACCGACAAATGCTTTGGCCACTGAAGCCGACGCTCAAAACACGAATATCGCAGTTCACTTCCGAAGCTCAGCCCAGATCAAAAGGAGGAAAAGGGTCGCGAAGGATGGCAAACAGCCAGAGTAGAAGCCGGTCCGTTTATGCTTGGGCTTATCGAGGGAGCCGTTGGGAGGGTAGGGAGATCTACAATGCGTCGTTCCGTCCCCGTCCCTGCAGCAAAAAGGCACGGCACCTGGAGATGAAGCGATGAAAAGGATGGAGTGTGATGATGGGGTAGGTGGATTTGGAGTCGCCAGCTCCATGGACCTGGCGGGTCGCATCTTAATGACCTTCTCCAACCACCACCTCTGGGGAGGCCGGATTGCGCAACTAGCGTTGAATGCGCCTCACTCGAGGGAGGTGCGCCGTACCGCTCCATCCAGAGGCCTGCAGGAGTAAAGTGGAGGTTGATGGTCGCTTGTCGATAATTTCCATTGTTGCGTTCCCCACAGGAGATCTTAGATAAGGATTCCCGCTGCACCGCTCCAAAAGCACATTTTCTTGGCATCCGCCAGAGATCCTCGAACCTTTCCTTGCGCGACGGCACAACGACTTGGGAAAATTCTGAAACGTGCAAACTGTTCGCCGTGCTCGAAAGCCTCGACGAGAATTGTTGCCTACTTTGGTGGGCTACGTTGTGGACGAGAACCGTCGACAAACACAAATTCGACAAAAGTCGTGGTTTCTGGGATTGTCAAGCGCCAAGGCTGCGGGTAGATAGTAATAAGAAGGAAGGTAGACGTGAAGTCCGGGCGCTGGGAGAAGGAAGGTGCGGTGCTGCTTGTCAAGAGAACCTAAACATCACCTCTTCGTCACCTCTTCCCTAGAGCATTTCATTCCGCATCCACACCTTGCTTTGCATCCCGCCCCCGGACTTACCTCGGCTACATTGTCCCTGAAATGGACAATTGACGGAGAAAAATGTCGAGGGCCAGATGTGAAAGGATCAGTTTCCCGATCCGTGCAGGACGCGGAAACAGGCGAGCAGCTCCACGCGTGGAACGCCACAGATTCCCACTTCCGCCGCAGGTACATCTGGATCCGTGATGCGGCGGCGTCAGCAGTCCCCTGATGGAACGAGGATCCGGTAGCCGCGACAGTCTACAGCTGTGCGAATACAGATCCGGCACATGTTCGTGTGACGGCGAGCTGTGGAGGGCCTCTTTGAGATTGACATTGCTTCATAACGGCAGTAGGTATGGTTTGCTAACCGTTCTAACTGCTCCAACCATAAGGCCTACTTTCTTCTGATCAAGAAATGCGCCAAGGTGTCTGGACAAGGTCAGATGCAGCTCGCAGGATTCGTCAACGACAGGATGGAAACTTACAAACAAACACACCCAATCCACACATTCCGCTAATCACTCCGAAACCGAGCAAGTACTTGGGCATATCCTTGGATGGGAAGAGGTATGCGCCGTAAATCTGCGCAAGATTGCCCATAGCGTTCACAAACGCGAGTGCCACGGCGCGCGTCTCCCGCGGCATGGAGCCAAAGGTCGACGAAGCGTAGCTCAAAGCGAGACCGTTTGTTGACCAAAGACCCGCTGCCATGATCACAAGCAGAGCGTACCGAGCAGTGAAGCCGTACACTACACAGACAACAATGGAGGCAATCATGGAGACTGAGAGCCAGACTGCAATGATGGCACCCCGTCGGTTGAGATGCTGGTCACTGAAGTATCCGGTTATAGCCACGCATACGAAGGCTACAGCGTATATGGGGCAGACCCTGCGATGGCAAATGTCAGCTTCGACGGATATACAATTCAGCAATGGACGACGGGATGCTTACATGTACTGGGCCATTTTACTGGACTGTGGGACTAGATGTTAGCTATCGCTCAAGACTTTTCTTCATGGGCTCGCCTCGTATACTCACATAGCCGAGTCCTTGGACCTTGGAACAGTAAAGTCAGCGCTTGTTACATCTTGCCCCGGTTTCAGGAGATACTCACCAGTGTCGGGTAGAAGTATGAGAGCGTGGAGCTTCCAACAATCACCATGTACCCGGCAGTCATAATCCACACTCGCCAAGAAGAGAGGGCTTGCTTCAGGGCTTGCATCGAAGTCAGCTGGCCGTCTTCAGAACGGTCGTGGGCGTGGTCCGCCTCCAATCGACTGATGGCCAACTCCTTTTCTCTGGGCGTGAACTTCTTCGTGTTTGAAGGGAAGTCGGGGAGAATGAAACCGGCACATATCGCCCAGGCGACAGTCGCAGCTCCCTCGATGATCTACGGCTCTCAGTCAGTTGTTGATCCCAGCCTAACATAGGGCGAGGAGTCACATACAAACAGCCATCGCCATCCTCTGAGTCCATAACTGTTATGCGCCGTTAGCATTCAAATTTCCGCAACTGGCCTGAATGCTGGCCATTTGGTGACTATCAACCACTTACACCCCATCCATCGAATCGGTTATCCCGCCTGCAAGTATACCGCCAAAGGCTCCTGATAGCACGGCTGCACTGATGTATACGGCAAATCTCTTGGACTGTTCGTCTTTCTTGTACCACGAGCTGATGATCAAAAGAATTCCTGGGGCGAAACCGGCCTCGAAGATTCCGACGATGATTCTCAGGGCGAGGAGCTGATGAAATGTCTTTATCAGGGCCATGCAGCAAGTGCAGACGCCCCAGATGGTCATGATAACTGGCAGGAATATCGATGGCTTCGTTTTGGACAGCACCATGTTGCTGGGTATCTCAAACGCTACGTATGTTACCTGCCGTCGGATTAGCACTAATCCGTAGCTGGGATACGAGAGAACTCATACAAAGAACACGACAAGCGCAATCGAGTATTGGTTGGAGTCCATTCCGAGGTCGTCCGTCATTCCAGCAACCTTCGCATTGCCGATGTTTGTACGATCAAGGTAGCTCAGGAGGTACCTCAAGAGATGTTAGCCAGCGATTCACAGAGAACATTCCTCAGACGAAGCATACATCAGCCAGATCGTGGGCAAAAGGAAGAGGTCAATCTTCCGCACCAAGGCCTTCTCCTCTCGGGTTCTGTCCTCGTTTGTGATTGAGATATTCTCAGCATGCTCAACATCCACGTGCTTGCAGTCATGCTTCGCGATTTCTATGCTGCCAGGCATAGTGATGATGATATGGGGGAGTGAGAGTAAATTAATGAGTGTCTTTCTAGACACCAACAAGAAAGTCAAGAGCAACTAAACAATATCAACAGCCGTAGCGAAGCCATCATATAGGCATGTTTCAGCCGACAGCCTTCCGCACGAACATCATCGCGCAGTCAATGCGGAGAAGTGAAACCACCTTCAACTTCGCTACCCCGTGGAGTCAGTCTCCATTTGCGGAGACTGGCGGTACCTGGAGAAGCTTTTCCCCGTCCCGACAATGCCCCGTCTCGGGAGCCCTCCCCTGGCCCTTGCCGGTGAGATTCCGGCGTGAGGTCGGCTGTGTCAGGCTTAAAAGCAGACTTCAATATAACGTCAACCTCGACACGAGCATAATTTGCGAATTGTCCAATGGAAGAACCGCAGCCCCGGACGTCTCTCGTGAGCGGAGGTCGCGAAGAGATCCGTTCTACACGCAAGTCCAGGAAGTCGCGTGGGCGAGGACTGAGAGCGAATACTGGCTGGTGAGTTGACAGACCACGACATAACCATCAAGACCTCTTTACGGATCCAGCTACGACAAGCACCGTGTCGGCAGATACCTTCTCCTACGTTAAATGTCATTCGTGACACGATGAACTGATCGATGTTCGTTGCAGTATAGTCTGCCGCAAGCGCCATATAAAATGCGACGAAGCCAAACCTGCTTGTGGACCGTGTACGAAGGCCAGGCGAGAGTGCACGTACGACAAGCTTGACGCTGCCACCAGCAGCCATGATAAGAGTAGCGTGGCACAGGATGAAAGTTCTCTRCCAGAGCTCCCAAGGACGCAGGCCGCTGCTTCTTCGCCGCGACAAAGTACAGATCAGCACATTGCGCCAGCAAGATCGGGGACGAGGTCGCCATTGATCGAGCAATGGCCATCCGTAGCCATTGCTTGCGAGGCGCACAGTCCTTACAGTGCCTACAGCAATTCTACTGCATATGGTGTAGAATTTGCCCCTTTACGATGGTATTCTTTGCTTGCAGATGATGCGGCCACTGAGACTCTCAACTCTCATAACCTTGAGGTCTTGATTGATGCAGAAGCTGCGTTCCGCCAGTTCGACAGCGTGTCAGCTTCGCTAGGACGAGCCGACGATGGTGGACCTGTATACCAAGCTGTGAATGCTGCCACGCCTAGAATTCCGGAGATCGCCAATGTCAATCCAGTTTCCTTCGCTCAAGCTGATCTGAGTATCGGTGGAAGTGAAAGACGATTCTGGCAATCCGCTCATCCGATACAGCTTGAGGATCATGAGGTCGACATCTTCGAACGGTTTGTCAAGGGTGTCAGTCTGTGGCTGGATCTCTTCGATCCAAAGCAGCACTTTTCCACTTACGTTCCCCATCTGGCGATGCATAATGGTTCGTGTCTCTTCCATGACCATGAAGTGGATACTCCTGACTTGATTCCAGAAGGTCTGATAAGAGCGGTTTTGGCTCTTGGTGCACGGCATCTGAGCATCAAGCCGATGGATGGTGGCGAGGTATGTATAAACGACCTACATGTCGAATCATTAATGGGGGCCTGCCAGATGTGACGCTGTCTGATCAGCCACCCTTGAGTGATCATAATGTGACCCACTAACATCTCAATAGGCCAGCATGTATCGCACAGCATCCGTACAGTACTATTACGACACTCTGAAGTACCTACAGTCCGCTATGCAATATCTGACATACAAAAGCTCGCTCGAGTTCCTTGCTACTGTGATGGTCGTCAGCACATACGAGATGATTGACGGCGCCGGCAAAGGGTGGGAGCGTCATCTAAAAGGCGTCTTCTGGATTCAGCGCTCGCTGAATACCAACGGAGAATGCGGTGGTCTCGAACAGGCCATCTGGTGGTCATGGATCAGACAAGATGTATGGGCAGCCTTCAGAGAGCGACGGCGATGCTTCAGCTTCTTCAAACCTACAAGAACCCTCGATTCGATGGACGTCATGGAAATGGCCTCTAGAGTAATCTACCTTTTGGCGCAGTCAGTCAATTACAGCTCCGAAGAAGAAACACAAGCCGGGCAGCAGAATCTGAGTGGCCGCATAGCGCAAGCCGACACGCTCCTGGAAGTTCTGCAAGATTGGAAGTCTCACACGAGCGTGCATTTTGAGCCACTCCCTGTGGAAAGCCGTGCGAGTTTGCCGTTCCGGCCTTTGTGGATTCATCCGCCAGCAGTCGGAGCGGCAATTCAAAGTAAGCATGTCTTGCAAGCGGTCGACGTCTTCATCCTCCGCTGACATTGAAAGTGTACTCCATGTCTCGAATCCTCTTGCTCGTATTCCAGCCCTCCGCTGGTGGTTACACGGAACTCGCGGGTCGTCAGAGGTTGATTGYAGATGAGATTGACACCATCGCTGGCATTGCTTTGAAATGCAACGAAGATGGTGCCCGTGTGATGTCAACGCAATGTCTGTTCGCTGCCGGTCTATACTGCACGGACTCGGCGAAACGAACATGCATCACCGACCTGATTGAAGACCATTGCAGGCAGACTGGCTGGCCACCATCTCACACATACCTTTCACAGGAGCTTCGGCAGGAATGGGCGAAGCCAACCGAGATCCGCTGATCAAGCATGACTTGGCTAAGATGCTGATGCTTGGTCTCTCACTAGGCCGACAGTATTCGAGTTTGTGAATAACGCTTTTATTTCAACGATCCTATCAACGAATCTTACWCGACAATATGCACCAATCCTTGGATAATGAAGACTAAAGACGCTACCATCTCGTGGTTCTCTAGACCTACCACGCTCCAACGATACCTGTGTGTGTCAGTCAATATGTGTATCATCTGGGTTTTTTGATGAACTGACCTGCTATAGGTATATCGATCCCAGTGGTATAACTTGCATTGTCGGAAAGCAGATACACATAGGCACCTCCGAGTTCTTGCGGTATGGCCAGTCGCGGCATACCACCATAATACTGCATTTTCAAGTCCCAGCTAGAAATGTGGTCAGTGTCGCTCTGGGAATATACCTAAAGCGGGGATATACATACTCTGGCGAAGTCTCAATGTAGTAGGTCCTAAGAAAATTGAGTCAGCCATTATGTCAGACGAGATTGCATAAGAGCACTCACATCGCGGTCTTGACAAAGCCAGGAGAGATACTGTTCACTCGAATGCCATGCTTCGCCCATTCCATGGCGAGCGTGTGGGTCATGTTGCGAAGGGCAGCTTTGGTTCCACCATATGGTGCCGAAGGAGCAGCACGATTTGGTCGATACGAAGTCATGGATGCGGTGAAGACAATTGAGCCTGTATACCACCATCACGGTTAGGAAAGGATAATGTTTCGTACGCTCGAATCAAGCGTACCTTTTACCCCGAGGGAAATGAATTTCCTCGCGGCCGCAGTCGCACAGCTCCAGGCACCAAAGACATTCAACTCGAAAAGCTGCTTCACCTGTTCCATTGTGAAGTCCAGCGCCTACGAGATTGTCAGTTCTACAAACATGGGGGTTTCTTCATCATATCACTTACTGGTTGATGTTTAGTCATTCCAGCATTAACAACCATACCATGGATACTTCCTTCCTCCTCGACAATATCATCAATAGCCTTCTTGACGCTCTCCTCATCCGTCACGTCCATTTGCTTGTACTTGAGATGAGAAGAATGTTGCTTCATCAGCTGGAGGAAATCTTCGCCAGGCTCCATTCGATCCAGAGAGTATACGGTCTTGGCACCGTTTGCAAGACATACTTCCGCGATACCAAGTCCGATTCCTCGGTTGGCGCCTGTGATTGCTATGACTTTGTCTTTGAGAGATATCTGCCAGTTGTGATCTGTGGTGGGTAGAGTTGAGAGTAATGGCATGGAAATTTCTGGCGACTCTTCCTCTTCTACGCCGTTGGGGGCACTGTGGGAAACAATAGGTTGGGCCATTTTTGCTGATGTTCCTACTGCAGAAATGGATGATTGGGACAAGGTGAAGATTAGGTGATCGAGATAGTAGTGGAATGGAAGCACGAGGACTAAGCTTCACGACAATTATACATAAGGTACTACTACTACTACTACTACGAAGATGCCGTTCGTTACTGAAGCGGAGCTGCCTTGCTCAGAAATGACGGGTGACTTTCTGAGCTTTGCATTGGGGCCAATCAAGTCTGATGGCTCATATTCGTCTCGTGGTTTTTTCGCTCGTCTCGGGGCTGTGGAGGTAAGGTATGTATAGTATGGGGCTGTGGGGTGCCCATGGTGACTCCACATGTCCCCACAGTGGTGGATCTTGCGAACATCACCATAGTAAAGAGGCAGTACAGTAGTATTGCTTTGTGTTACGTCGGAGTGGAGCCGACTATAGAACGGACCGATATCGTTCGCATCATCTCTCATCTCGATGGGCTTGGAAGGTTGCTGGACTGACTCCTGTCAAACATGTCGAGACACTCACTGTACAAGTTGACTGAATGATGAATAGACCATTATGTTGGAATTTTGCTGTATCGACAAATGCTAACGAGGCATCCTATGCGGAGTCTAAAAGTAAGATCTTTCGATACGACAGCGACGAACCCCTGGCTGAGAAAGCGGGACTACTATATTGAGCGCAGAAGTTGCTCTAATACGAGAGCCAAACGAGTTCTGTTGGCCTAGATATAATGTAAATGATATCCAGCAAGTCCTTAGACACACTGATAACAGTCAGCATACTCGTTTCTTCATGTGTGATAACGCTATACTTACCCTTCCACCATCCACAGGAATATCAATTCCAGTCAGGAAGTCCGCCTCATCGCTACACAAGAACGCACAAGTATTTGCAACGTCTCTTGGGGTGGATCCGCGACCTAGGGGGATGGATGCCATRAAGACCTGTTTTAATGTTAGCGGCACCTACAATATTGGTATTTTGGGGTGTAATCGCATACCGCCTCGTTCTCAGGCTTCCCCAGGAAGAAGTCTGTGAGACCGGTGCCTAAGCCAACAACAGGGCAGGCCTGAGGGGGTAAAGTTAGCCCCTTGTTCAGATAACCATGATTCCAATGCAATGCAATCATTCACTTACCGTGTTGAATCGAATGTTGTCTTTGGCGTACTCTACTGCCAGGGATTTCGACGCATTGATCACTGCAGCTTTACTTGCATTGTACCAGACGAGTCCAGGGCGAGGTCTGATACCAGCAGTTGAAGCAATCGTTACAAATGAGCCGCCGTTCTTCTTCTCCTGCATGTATGGAACTAGTACGCTGGTGCTGAAGTAGATGGCCTTGATGCAACAAACTGTTAATAAGTTGCTTGTGATATTGGGGTGGTAGGACATACCTTGACATTCACGGCGAAACACTTGTCGTAGTCTTCCTCCGTGACTTCACTCGTTGGCTGATGGGAATATAATATCAGCACGTACTAGAATATTTGCCGGATGGATGAGTGAGATTACCTTATTACGGTAGGTCGTTCCTGCGTTATTGATCTGTAAAGGTCAGAAGCGTCTCCCTCCCTGCAAGTTCCAATTTGGATACATACCACACAGTCGAGCTTGCCGTACTTCTCATCGACAAACTTCTTTAGAGACTCCCAGTCCTCTTTCTTGGAGACATCTGTTCGGTGAAACTCGCACTTCAGCTCCGCCGCGGTTGCTTTTCCAACATCTTCAACAAAGTCCGCGATGATAACCTTTGTCGGATCGATTAGCTTCACGAGCATGGAGTAGAGGAGCTGCAGATTGATCATACCTTTGCACCCTCTGCGAGGAACTTCTCCTGAGAACGACAGATGCACACGTTAGCAATTTTTTCTTGACTCAGAGCCACGTCGATATCTCATGTTTCATTCATTAGGTTCTAGGCCTGGAAACACTCACAGCTATGCCCTTTCCAAACCCTCCACCTCCACCAGTGACAATGGCGACTTTATCTTGTAGTCTTCCAGACATCTTATTAAAGGAAATATCTTGGCGTGGTAAAGTGAGGTTCGATGAGTATTCAGGAACGGGAAAGAGGTTTGCACTTGAAGGAAATAGTGGCCACACAATAATGCGTGATCCATCACTGTTCTCCGGCCAGCTACATGACAACCCCGCTTCTCCTCTTGTGAACTGATGTGGGGTTGGTATGACATATCATGGAGCTGAAGCTTGGGAATAAACAACCACATCACGTATTTCCGTAGGTAGGRCTACTATAGTGGGTATTGGCTCAATAGCCGCTTTGGCTCACCAGCAGATGGGGATATGAGCTGAAACGCCATGTGCTCAGCTTCAAAAGTTGACATACAGCAATATTCAACAAGGCATCTAGTGGCATCGTCTAGACTGCACATCCTACATACCTTCCAACAGACCACGTAAGAATATGGCCGCTGCCATTGCCCCTGGATCTGGTGGAGCGCCCTGAATCTTTGCACTCTCTCCAACATATGTCGCCCGACCAAACTTGGCTTTCATCCCCGATGTGCTCTGGGCACCTTGCTCAGCAGCTTCGACAGCCTTCACAACGTCGCTCGTACTCTCCAGTGTCTCACAGAAAGGAATGAGAGTATCCATAACGGTGCGACCACCTTTCTGCGCAGGTGTATATGTCATCAAATTTCTCAAGGCTGCCCCTGAAGCTTGCCCTGCACTTTTCGTAGTAAGAGCGAAATTGTCCGGGTCTTGAGCGAAAGCCTTCCGTAAGTGTGTTGTGAATGATGCCAGGATGATACTTATGATTGCACCGAGTGTGCCGCCAATCGCCTCTATTGCTTCACCTACTTCGTCCAGGATGGGGAACAAGAAACCTTGATTCAGTAGGTTCTTGTCGTCAAGCTTCTTGAGAACACMCTGTTGATACCATCGTTAGTTAGATTCCCCGCTGCAAATACTGCTGCAAACTCACCTGGCACATTCCAACGACAGCTTCACCACAATCACCATCTCCCATGACGATGTCCCATTTGGTGATGTCTGGCTCACGTTTGATTGCTGCGTTACATGCATTACGTAAAGCAGACTCCAGAAGCATTGCGTCCACCTTTGGTCCCTGGCGTGTAGAGTCCGAAGAGCTATCTGTGGTTTTCTTGGTCTTTTGCTCCGATTGTTCGGTTGACAATGGCTTGTATCCGTTCTTTGGCCAGCCAGGTGCATCGTTTTCGGAGTCTWGCAATCGCAATACCGTCGAAACAGACGTCTTGGTATCTCGCTCGATTCCGGAGACGTTGAGAAGCGAAATCGACCAGCCCGGTGCGTTGAGTGATGTTTCGAAGCAGTGTGCGTAGATTCTTTGTGGTTTGATGCTCCATTCTTGCTCCAACTTTTTGCGTGTTACGTTGGTCAGAGCTTCTAGCTCGAGATTGCTCATGCCTACATGAATATACAAGTCAGCATCGATCGTAAACTCGTTGCTAGGAGTCAAAGCCGTTCATGATGCTTACCTCCAAAGTTGTTGATGAGAAGTAGAACAACATCGTCCGGTTTAAACTCCACGAACGCTCTATCCTTATCATGAGGATCCAAGCAGTACTTCAGCATGTCGCTAACCAGTTCATCAACAGACGGCATGGGACTGATCTCATGCAATCCAGGTTCATTGTGAATTCCCATGCCGAGAACATATGCATCCTGCGGTATCGAACGATGGTGCTCCCGGCCCGGAATATGGCAATGATCGAGCGAAGACCCAACCGTAACAGCATTCGCGTTAACAGAAGTTCCCAACTCCAAGCACTTTTCAAAATCGTAGTCCGCCTCTGCAGCCGCTCCACATAACTTCAGCACAAACACATTGGCAGCAAGTCCTCGCCTCCCAAGATTCTCCGTCTGTTTCCTTCCCAAAGCTACATCGTCCGTCATCCGCAGTATGGCAATCTTCCTTCCCTGACCAGCTGCCTTCTCTCTAGCCAGTCCAAAGTGCAAATTGTCTCCAGTGTAGTTCGTGATACAGAGAATGGTTCCCGCGTCCGAAGGTGCATGTTCAATGGCAGCCATGATCTGCTGAGCAGACGGAGAAGCAAAAACCTCCCCAGCAACCGCAGCGGTCAGCAGTCCATTGCCAACATAGCCAGCCCAGGCTGGTTCATGCCCGCTACCTCCTCCACTTATCACCGAGACCTTGGACGGACTATGCGTCTTGGAGTAAACGACCTTATTTGGCGCGTCGAGTCCGAGATGAGTGTTCCTCGCTACCAAGGACTCCAATGCTAGCAGTACAACGCCTTCGGTATGAGGGAAGAAGTGCTTGGTACTCATTTTGGTTTGAAGATGTGTGATGAGGAAGGATATGGGAGATGGAATAGAAGAGAATACAAACTGTGTAGTCAGTCGTCTTACACTCCGCCAGGACAGCCCACCGAACGCGATGACAAGAGCTCGCAATTGACAAACCAACCCCACTTCTGAAGCTATTACAAGCTTGCTACGTGGTGGGGAGGGTTTCCGGGTGAATGTGAAAATGAGGAGACCACGCGACGTGGAGCAGATTTTCGGTTCGGATGCCTTGCCGACGGGTTCTCCTGTTACGGTTATCCGCTCGAATGGGCCAGCAAGCTGCTACCGTAGCAACTTGCAAGGTCCACAGCACCTCGTCGCGGGACTTCAAGGTGGACATTATTGCAAGTTGCAACCTGCACACTTGGAGCCGGGCCGATGGGGACTACTAAGCGTCCCTCAATGCTGCGCCCTATGAGCAAAGTTCGATCCATGCATTCATTCATTCACGTACTCATATCTGCTGCTAGCATCAAACCAGTGCTGTCGTACGCTGCGCATCATCTACAAGAAGGGTATCACAAAATCTTCCAAACGCCCTGGAACACCATCATTGCCGCGTCATGTCGCATCGAGTCCTGCGCGATCACAAGCCGGCGATCTTTTTAAACCAACTCCCCCTCTTACTCTCCCCACGCGGAACCATAGCAGGTCTCCCATCGAATGTTCGTCCACCCATGTCGTTATATCCAATGCTGTTGACGGCCGCACGCTGGCCTGAGCTGCCATCGCTACTGCGCACGTTCTCTCCCTCGCGACGCGGCCGACGCTTACGGTCCTCATCGGCAGCGGGCCCGTAGCCTTCTTGCTCTCGGCGTCGACGATGGCGAAACTCTCGTGCGGTGGTGTCATCGCCCTCGAGTGGGTGGTGATCCGGCACTTCATCCTCCGCATAGTGAACTGGTGCATCAATGATGGTGCGCTCAATAGGCGGAGGATCGGGCGCCGARTCGTTCAGCGAGTGTACCCACGACGCTGTCTTATCGCCKCCGGTCTTGATCGCGTGTGTAAGCGGCGTCGTGGGGTTCGCACGAGGATTTCGCTCACCATTGCGCGAACCAAAATAGTCGTCAGCTGCGACAGGGGCTGGGTGATCAGAGCGACGGCGAGAAATACGAGGAGTATCCTTGTCACCACGGCTCTGTTCAGCACCGCGTCGCACTCTGCGCTCCTCCCGTCTGATGCGACGTGCTTCATCGTCGCCTGAGGCATCTACATAGGTAGAACGCCGGCGGCTGTCCTTGGGTCGTGAGGCGGCTGCCTCTTCTTCCGCCCGTTGCTGCTTCTCACGCTCGCGACGTCGCTCACGGCGTTCTTCGCGCGCTTGTTCATCCTCACGAGCGAGACGTTCTTCTTCAGCACGGCGAGTCTCCCGCTCTGCACGACGAACACGCTTTTCCTCTCGACGACGCTCTTCGTCGTCATCTCGTGTTCGAGTACGGCGCGACCCGTCTTTCTCCCGATGTCGGGCAGCTCGGGCCTGTTCGTCAGCAGCCTCACGTTCGCGGCGCTCGCGACGTTCCCTCCTGCGCGCTTCACGTGCTTCTGGATCTTCCGCGTCGGTGACAGGAGCTGCATCGGTCAGACCATCCCCGTCAGAAGGTTTACGTGAACGGCCAATCTTGCGGTCATCGCGTCGCAAACGCTTTGAGGTCTCTTCATCGTAGGTGGAACCTCTCTTGCGACGAGCGCCGTCTTCGCTTTCGTAGGCTTTACTCGTACGGCGATCTGCCGCAGGCTTCGATGAGAAGGCTCCAAGAATACCGCCCATGATCCCAGTCTTCTTTGCGCTCGAAGTGGTTCGGCGGACAGGTGAAGGCCGCTCAATGAAGTCATGATCGTCAGCTGGGCCGCGCGGTGCGTCGACCATAATCTCGTCTTCGGGACCAAGAGCACCTGACATGTACGTAGACTGACGTTTGGACCGGCTGGACTTTTTCCTCTCTCTAGGCTCCTCAACATCTTTGGCTGAATCCTCGGGCGCATCAACAACGATCATGTCGTCAGAATCGATAGCATAGGGATCTGGAATCCGGCGAGTGCCTTTCTCGCGGGTCGATTTGGACCGGCTCATACCCATCAACTTGGCAGCCTTCGAGGACATTTCACGGTTGCTCTCTTCTGGTGGAGGAGACATCAATCCAGAGTCATCCACGGCAGCGGACTGACGACGAGAGCTGGACTTTGCCGCGGAAGAGGAGTGGCGGGTGGATTTTGAGCGCGATGGGGCAGGCTGTCCCATTCCGAACACTGAGAAGCCTCGAGATGTGCTTGGGCGCGACTTGGCCTTGTCCGAGCCCGAGGATTTGGAAGCCTTCTCGAGCGGATCCCGGTCAGATGCTTTGCGCGCCGATTTGGATCGCACAACTCCAGCGGGTCGCTCTTTGGAAGTGGGAGAAGCCGCGCCGTCTTTGGAAGTTGATTCCTTCTTGGACGACTTCTTGCTAGGCGTGGCACCCCAAAATCCCCAGGATGATGAGCCTTGGTCGCGTACAACTTTTGGTCTCTCCTTCTTGGTTGACCTAGACTTTTCAGGGGGTGGGGTCGGTAACTCTGGTGGCGCGTCGTCGAAATCAAGCAAATCTTCAGGAGGCGCTGCAACCACAACGGGCTCGGGTCTTGACCTGGACTCTTTCTTGCTGGAACTCTTTTTATCTTTAGATGATGATTTCTTCGGAGGTGGTGAAACCATGTCAGACGGAGGCGGAGGCGGAGGCTCGGCTATATCGTCAAGCAAATCAACACCCGGAAAGCCACCTGGAACAGGGGATTGCGGAGGCGCAATCGGCTCGATGAGTTCCTTTTTCTTTGATTTGCTGGTCGAGGACTTTTTCGACTTCTTCTCCGGGATGACCTCCACCATGGGTTCCGGCTCTGGCTCCGGCTCTGGTTCCGGTTCAGGATCCCACTCAGGTTCAGGTTCGGGTTCAGGCAGTGGCGCTTTCTTCTTCGACTTTGACGACTTGGTTTCAATAGGTTCCGCGTGAAGCGCCTTGATCCGGTCCTGGATGCTCGTTGTTTTTACACCGGCTTTGAGCTTGGACGACGCGTTCGCAGATGACTTGGGCGCAGCCGTTGCTGACTTGAGCTTATCGTCGTCGAAAGTGAATTCTGGCATCTTCGAAGCTTCCTCATTGGACCAGGGGTCCGTGCCAATCTTATTCTTAGCGTCCGTTGCGGCTGAGGCTTTCTTACCAGATTTCGTGGACGAACCCCAGAAACCCCAGCCGTCAGACTTCTTCGGTTCTTCTTCTTCTTCTTCCACGATAGGTTCGGGTTCTGGCTCGGGTTCGGGCTCGGGAACTGGTTCCTCCTTCGGCTCCGATTTCTTGCTGGACTTGCTGTCAACTTTGGAAAGTTTGCTGCTCTTCTTGCTGTCCTTTTCTTTGTCTTTCGATGTCAGTTTCTTGCTCACTGGGGGAGGGGGCGGTGGTGCCTCTTCGACAAAATCCAGAAGTTCGTCGGGATCTTCGGCGAGCGCGGCTGCGAACATCTCCTCGTCAGCTTTGCGTTGTGCTTCCGCAGCCTCTTCCTTCTCGCGTTCTTCCTTCTCTCGCTTCTCGCGCTCACGTCTCTCCTTTGTGGTTTCTTTCTTGGCTGGTGTCTTKGTAGTGGTCTTGCTTCCCCAGATGCCCCAGCCTTTCGCCTCTTCCTTGACTTCAGRTTCAGGTTCGGGTTCGGGTTCGACGACCTCGACGATGTCAATTATGTCCTCGACAGGCGCAGACGACTTTGAATCCTTTGACTTGGTTTTGGAAAGCTTGGTGTCCACTTCGACCACCTTTGAGGACTTCTTGTCCGCCTTGCCTTTCTTCTTGGTGATAGTGGGTGTTGCCCAAGGGTCATCCGCGACAGGGTCGGCTAAGTCCAGAAGATCAGCACTAGCATCAGGCACAGCATCCTCGATCGCTGGCAGCGCTGGTACAGCCGGAGGCTCGGGTTCGCCTTTCTTTCCCTTCTTCTTCTCTTTTTTGCCTGTAGCTGCATTAGCACGACACACAAATTAAATCTTCGTCGAAACATACCAGTCGTCCACGTGCTGCCCCAGGGATCCTCTTCAGCAGACTTCTCTTGAACAGATTCAGGCAGAAGCACGGATGCGCCTGGACTAGGGTCGACCACCTCAACGATTCCTTTCGTTTTGCTGCCCTTCTTGTCCTTCTTTTTCGTACCGGTAGACCATGTGTTGCCCCAATCATCGTCAGCCTTTGGCTCTACAATCGCCTCTGGCAAAAGATCCGCTGGTGGATCTGGCTCCACAACCTCCACAACCTCGATTGCCTTCTTGCTCTTCTTGTCCTTCTTGCCAAACCCACCAAACCAATCGTCATCTGCAACCGGCTCCGGCACTTCGGGTGGGGGTGGAGGAGGAGGGATCTCCTCGACGATGGCCCCTTTTTTACCCTTCTTCTTCTTGGATGTCGTCGTTTCCCCCCAACCTCCCCCTAGCCAGTCGTTTGCTGGTGGTTCTGGCTCGGGTGGAGGCGGCGGAGGTGCTTCGACCACGGGCTCGGGCATAGGCTCCTCTGCCCAGTCAAAGGCACTCTTCTTTTTGTCCTTCTTCTTTTTGGTTGTCGACGCACCCCACCCGTCAAAGGCATCTACGACTGCAGGTGGCTCAGGCTCGGGCTCTGGGATGGGCTCTGGCTCGGGTTCGACGATCTTCTCTTCCACCACTCCCAATTTCGCATTCTTTTTGGCCTTCTTCTTGTCCTTCGCGGACATACCAAATGTGCCCCAGGTATCTTCCTCCTCCTTCTTCTCCTCCACAGGCTCGGGTTCCGGTACGACGACAATAGGCTCTGGTTCTGGTTCTGGATCCGCCCATGCCGATGCCTTCTTCTTGCCTTTCTTGTCCTTCTTGCTGGTTGCTGGCGCCCATGGATCGTCCACTGGCTTGACTTCTTCCACTGGCGGCGGAGGAGGTACTTCCACAACGGGTTCCGGTTCCGGTTCAACAGCACCCTTCTTCTTCTTCTTGTCCTTCTTGCTTGTCGTTGTCGAGAATCCGCCCCATGGATCTTCCTCTGCCTTTGCAGCTGGAGCACCGAGGTCCAAATTGTCAGCGCCGCCCGCAACATCACCGCCGTCCTGATCAAAGCTGAAGTCAAAGGCGCCTCCAGAAGTCTTCTTCTTCTTGTCCTTCTTGTCATCCTTCATCACAGCAGAAAAGCCCCAGCCGGCATCCTCTTGCTTGGTCTCTACTGGCGCTTCAGTGGAACTGCCAAAGCCCCAAGATGACTTCGCCCCAGAGCCCCATCCTCCTCCCCAACCCCCAAAGCTGAAACCACTTGCTTTCTCCGCCTTTTCGGTGTCCTGGCCAAAGCCTAGATCAATATCGAGTTTGGGTACAGCCTTGTCGTCTTCGAGGTTGATGTCGTCAAATCGCATGTCGGATTCCTTGGTTGTAGGTTCGGGAGTGGGCTCGTTCTGCACGATTCATCAGTTGAGCTGATTTGGACACATTGCCGTAGCGTCGCGCAAGTCAGCAAGTCAAGTTGAGCACCTGTGCGTCAGGAGAGACGCGACGTTCGCTCGCCTATCGATAGATGACGCCTGGCGGTCTGTGAGATTGCGGAGGTCTAAGCTCGCGGGGGCGCCGTCTCCCCGGATTTGCATTCGACTTGCCAGAATAGGGGTCCAAGTCACGCTATACGCGCCGTGTGGAATTCATTCGTAGCAAAGAAATGAAAACATACCTTGCCCTTCTTCTTCTTCTTGTCCTTTTTGCTCCCCGACATCCAATCATCCACTTCCACAACAGGTTCCGGCTCTGGTGGAGGAACTGGAATTTCCGGCTCGGGAGGCGGATCCTGGCCTTTCTTGCCTTTCTTCTTTTTGCCTATGCATCGGATATGGTCAGCGGAAATGACAGTATCGCAGTGAGAGCGATTTGCAACATACCGACAGTTGCGAACGAGCCCCATTCATCTACAGGCTCGGGTTCGACCTTTTCTGGCTCTGGCTCTGGTTCTGGCTCCGGTTCTGGAACAACTTCCTCGACCTTGCCCTTCTTGCCCTTCTTCTTCTTGGTGGTTGAGAAACCTCCCCACTCGTCGTCGGCAGTCGCCTCTACAGCAACGGGCTCTGGAACTTCAACAATCGGTTCAGGCTCTTCGGCGGGCGGATCTGGTTCCTTTCCTTTCTTCCCTTTCTTGCCCTTTTTCCCCACAGGAGCAAAAGAACCCCAATCTGTAGTGACATGTCAGCTCAAAGTTTTGGCTTGAAGGGATAGCTCGGATTCTGACCATCGACAGGATCAGGTTCAGGCACGGCCTCGACCGTCTCGACCGCAGCTTCCTCCTCCTTCTTCTTTTCCTCGTCTTCATCATCGTCCCAAGCATTTTTCTTCTTCTTCTTGTCCTTCTTCTTCTTACCGCCACCACCGCCGAACCAATCGTCCCCATCATCACCGCCGCCACCATCACCAGGAGGATCTCCACCGCCATCGCCTGCACCTGCATCCTCTCCACCACCACCTGCATCACCACCATCGGCAGCACCCTCTTCTTTCTTCTCCTCTTCGTCGCCACCTTCGCCCCACTTGTTTGCTTGAGCCTGCTTTGCCGCCTGTACAAGTTAGAGTCGGGCAACACAAGAGCCAGATATTGTGGAAGCCTCACCTGCTTGGCCTTCTTCTTTGCTCTCGTTCGAATATGCTCGGTGCTTAAGAAATCGACTTTGACATCACCGAAATCGGAAGGGCCCTGTCGCTTCTTCTGTGGTTCTCGGCCATCATGACCAACATGTATTGCGCCGTCGGTTTCGCGAAAGTTTTGAATGCTCGCAAGTGCATCTGTAGCCTTTCCAATTTCATCAACATTAGCCAAAGCCCTGTTCTCTCATATGGGAGGTCAACCGCAGTCTGTGAAAAGGACTTGCACGCAGCGCCTTTCGTCTCACACCAGCCCTTGATTCTCAGCACTCACCGTATAATCTGGGGGCGCGTCCTGTGCGCATTCGTCATAGCTTGGTGGTCCCGTCTCCGTATCCCTCAATCCCGTAATTCTGTACGGACGGAACAGCTCCCTYGGCACCACTTTTGTGTCCGCATCATGCTTGGACAAACCATCGCAGCTCCCATTTCCAGCAACAGCCCTACGCCACCTTCTACCAGTCGTATTGAGCCCATGCGAACTTGTCAAATCCTCCCAAAATCCCACCAAAGTACGAATACCATTCTGCATGCCACGCGTCTCAGTCAATTGAATCTTCCGAGGCCGGGTGTCTCGTTTGAGCAATTCGCGGGCACGTAAATCGGCGTCGAGGCTTTCGACAGCTACTGCCGCCATTAGAACGTCGCGACCTGGTTTGCCTGCCGTGTGAAGCTGATATCATGGGAGGCGAATTCCCGGGTTTGCTAAAGCACGAGGTGGGAAGGGCGCGTGGCGGAGCTGTCCAGGATGCGAATGGGTCGGTGTAGTTAGGTGGAATGCCTCGTTCCAATCGGCGAGGTGGGAACAACGCAATAAAGGTAGTCTAACAAATCTGCCGGATATAACTAGCTATTCTAGCTGGAGAGGGCAAGAAACGGGGTGCAAGTGCGGCCAGGCCTGGATAGATGCACAGTGCAGCAGTGCAGGACAGGACAGGGCAGGGAGAGCAAAAGGCAAGGCAGGGCAAGCTTGGTGGACTGTCCCGCGGTATGCTCACCAGCAGAAGCAGGGGTACCCAGGACTCAGATCGATGGGGATTTCGCCGTCGTGTATCGTCTGTGTGTGGTGTAACGGTCGCACATTAGTGGCAATCGGATGGCGATGCCGTCACTTGCGGCTGGTTCGCACCCGAGAATAATCATGCATTGGGTAAATTAAAGACGATGGAAACGCTTCCACAATGCATCCGTCGCGGAAGGATGATTGTGAGAGGGAAAAAGTGCAAGAACTCGCAGACGCTTAGTTGGAGGTGGTGGAGGTGTGTGTTGCTAAGGTATTGTGGCGCGTGGACCGGCAAGATTTTCTCACGCCAAATCACGACTCGCCGAGGGGCCCATCCCCAGCGTGAGAGGGTGTGATGGATTTGATAATTTGTCGCAAGCTCACCCTCGCTGGCTCGCATCTCTCTGTTTCACCGCTTGATGTGGAGCGAGGGACAGAGGGACGAAGGCGGCCCGTTCGGGCGCTTCTCAAGGCGAACCCATGCAGCGAGTGGTGGGCGTGAGTGGGACGGTGCATAAGCTGGCCTTCAAAAGTCACCAATCAAGAGCACATATGGCGTATACCGCTATTGTGACGACACCTTCTCTCATGTGGTTGGGATTTATAGCGCTCTAAACTCTGCCTTTGCTGGCCAGGTCGGTGGAGATCTGCGCTGTCATCTAGGTATACCTTTACCTCTTCGTTGAAACGCTGAAAGCAGTGTGCACTGTGCATGAGGCATGGTTGCCACGCGAGGAAACATCTGCAGCGAAAACACACCACCGCCCTTGGGCTGATTCACTCCGCAAGGCATATCTGTATCGGCCCCTCACTTCATTAAAGTGGATCATCATTCACACGTTCTCGCGTCGTTTCAAGAGAGCTGCCTCTGATGCATCCGGAGGCCCAGCCATGATTTATGCATAAAACCGGAGCACCATGTGTGCTGGCTCTTCAACCCTCTGGGTCGGGTCAATGCGAACCGGCACGAGCGGAGCAAGACGGAGCCATGGGAGCTTCGTGAAGATGTTTGGTTCAAACACTAATCTTATCTCGGAGAATATTGTGAAACAGGAACAGGAAGGTAGACGCAATGAAACAGATGAATGGGAGGGGAATGAATTGAGTTGAAAACGGCATGACCTAAGTAAAGTCTGCTTTCAACAATGGCATACTCAGCTGTGTGCAGCGAAGCTAGGCATCAATGCATCACAAGTGCTGCTGCTCCATCGTTTACGCTGCTAGCATCAGCCAAGCTTGATACCATCTCCTACCTCTCACATTCACCGTGATAGGATGCACTTGACAGTGCCCTCCAGCTCAACGTTACCCTCCACCAAAAGACCGTGAATGCCATTCTGCGGCGTGCAACCTTCTTGCTCCCACCTCGCGAGCAGGTCATTCGATTCCTTGGGCTTGATATCGGGCGAAGCTGTGCCAACAGTGATGTGTGGCAGCTTGTTGGTGCTGGTAAAGTGCTGGTCACTACCCTCAGCCGGACCGAGGCGAACAAGGAATGCCATGACACGCTTGTCCCATATGAGGCGCTCCAGCCGGACGCTGCAAATGCCCAGCTTTGGACTGGGCAGTACAAAAGGACGGTCCGCAGTAGGCTCCGAGTGCTTCGCGTAAAGGTCCGAGAGGTGCGCCCAAGTGTCGTGATGCTGGGCGGAATTGGCGCGATGAATGAGGGTGACATGAAACTCGTTCTGTATGCGGCGTTGAGAGCTCAGGGAGGCGTACATTCGAGAGACCTCAGCCGAGGACTGTTGAAATGTCGACCTCAAAGTTGCGCTGACTTTGTTTGCAGGCACCTGAACTGCAAAGTATTCCAATTTGGGCTCCTTTTGTTTGCGGCCGGCATCTGACTGGGTTTGAGGTTCGCCTCTGCTGTTGTTTTGCTTGCTCTTGCGATCATCGCGGCCGTTGATCTCATGCTTGATGTCGACGGTGTACTCTGACAGAGCAGCCTGAATTGCCGCATCCATGTCTTCTGCAGTGGGCATATCTTGACCATCGAAGAGCTTAGGATACTCACTGTAGAGTCTGGATACCACTGTCTCGAGGTTCTCTCTCGACGAAGAAATAGGGTCGAGGTCGATGACCAGATCAAACCCATCGTCTGGCGGCACGTCCGACTTGACCCGCTCGAAGCGATGCATGAAACCCTCCATGATGCCAATAATCTCCTCGGCACCTTTGCTTGTGTGAATGGTCTGATGGTTATCTCCTCTCATCAATACGCGCTGCCGAAGCGCAGTCCGAATCTCGTCGTATTGATCTCTCTCATGGACGAAGTGCAGAGCCACAAAACGAGCGTAGGGAACCACCTTGGATATATCCTCAATGAGCTGCGCTCTCTCGCGACGCTGGTGATTGTTTCGATCAGCGATCATGGCGGGAGATTCCAGTAGACGCTTCGTGCATTCGGCTGCAAACGCTTGGGGTTTGCCTCGCTTCGCTGTGATATTGTCGTTTTGTACGTGACCCCAGTTGAATAGCTTGCACAGCGCAAGTGCAACTGTCGTCTTGCCACAGCCAATGGTTGCGACAGGGACGAGAACGACGTCTCCCGTGACTTCGTCGTTGGTCACCTCGCCATCCTCTGCCTCCTGTCGAATTATTTCTGCGCCGTTCAACCCGCGGTAGGCCAAAAAGTCATCACGCATCTTGATAATACCATGATTGTTGTTGTATGCTTTGCCCAGCGCGGGATTCGCGTGGAGCTGGCGGCGCGCGAAGACCAGGTACTCCTCTGTGATTTTCTTGTGCTTCTTGAACTTTGGCTGCTTCCCAGCAACGACTGCTTTTGTGCACTCCCGCCACTGTCGGTACATCAAGTAAGGCTCCTCGAACTTGTATTTGAAGAACCAATCATGCCACTCGCCAGTGTGAGCCTTCGARCGACATCGAATGACGAAGCCTTCGGTGTCACGTCCATCGTAGCTACCGCTCTCTGCAGTTTGGTCCAGAAAGTTCTTCACGTCTGCGATGTCGTCTTTGATGATGTATGTGGTCTTTTTGAACCCCCATTGATCTGCAAACTGATCCACCAGATGATGTGGATAGGTTGCGAATTCGGGCAGGTTGAGATTTATCCCATGAAGATAGAGACCAGCAGTCTCCGGCGTGTATGCCAGCACGTGCTCCTCAAACTCATCATCGCAAAGTTCCGCAACAGCTGTCGCGTTCATCTGGCGCAACCGCAACGCCAGGTCTCGCTTCGTCTTGCCAACGCTGGCCAGATGACGCTCAACCCATTTCTCACCCACACTGGAATGACTCGCCCCTGCATCTGCACGCGAACCGGTCGAGTGTTTGCTGCACACGATGAGAGTTCCATCCTCCAGTCCGGCCAGGAAGATGATGCAACCATTTTCCTTCACACTCAGCTCATACGGTCCCCGAGTGTTCCGCTCAACGTTCCCCCACTCAGTATCAGGTACTTCGCCGTGGTTGAAGAACTTGTCGTATCCTCGTACTGCAATTTCTGGGCCATGGCTGGTTTGTGTTGTGAAAAGTCCACGAGCATATGTTGGCAGGTTTTCCTTTTTGTAGTCCCAATCTTGCATTTTCCACGAATCAACTTTGATTTGGGAGCCATCAACTGAGAAAGTGTTCTTGCGGCATGAAAAGTCGTCCTTGTTCTTGGCCTTGCCTTTGTGTGCCTCGAGGCCGCGGAGCATATCCCCAACTTCGCGCGCATCCTGTGGCCGGAACGGAGCCTCCGTCCGATACGCCATAGTGCGAGTTCTCTTGGTTGATGGAGTGAATTTGCACTTGCCTTCCAGATTATTCGATCCTTAGTTTGATTTTAAAAGGTGTTGTTGATGTTTGTTGTTTGTTGAGGGAGCTGAAGTGGTGATCCAAACTTTTAGTAAAGGCGCGCTCGCTTACCTTATTTATGAATTTGCACACAGCAGTCACGAAGTGGGGCTTAGACATTGCCATAAATTCGAGTCATTCTTCAAGAGTTAGATGTCACAATCGACACCGCGTTCCAATTTGGAAGCGGTGATTAAACTACTGGAGAAAGTGGCGAGTGAAGAGTCTTTTCCCGATTGCGTCCGGCTTGAGAATTATGATACGGCGAATACCTCGGAATGGAGCAAACATTCTGCTTAGCGGAAGCAATACTGAAGAGTATATTCATTGACTCCTACCGCAAAGAATCCTCTCATTGGTATTTCGGCCTTTGATCGATCCAGCGGCTTGGATGTCCCACTCAGCATACTGGGCCAAGGATTCACTATGCTGGAAGCCTCTAGACCTCGACAAGCAGTCTGATAGATGGAGAGTCTGTAGCGTGGTGATCCTCCCCCAATATCACGAAGACTGTATGCCGCCAGGGCATGAACGCCACAGATGCTCGGATGGCCTTGATCCGTACCAGGCTCTCACGGCTCCTGCATTTAGGCAGACACATGAAGGAGGATCGTCTCCTCGATAACCCGGGTGATCTGCGCCTCAAGGAACGGAAATGTGCTCGAACAGTGATAAACAGATCTTCCACAAATGCAATGGCCCACCATTCCGTGTGATGTATGATGCGAGGAAGCCGTTGAAAAGTGATTTACGTTCCTGACGGCAGGGTATGGTATCCGTCCGCATAGCCCAGATGTCACCCTCAACGACGATCGTCTGCATGCTTGGATTCACCCAGTTCTTCCCAAGGCGGCCTTCTCTGTGATCTCAATCCTCCATCTCTTGAAAATACCAACACACACTGCATCCTAGCATCAAGGAGCGTCCGCAGACACCTCATCGCCATCGGATCTTGATCCTCGTTAAGTCATTCCATCGTCAAATAATACATTCCAGCCTTTCCTTTCAATACCAAGCCTGTCTTGTCCGTCCACCCTGTTGATTCAACAGCCTCGCAACTCGCTCCTGATCCTTCCAGCGCTGGTACTCGCCCGTCCACATGCCATACCAATACTGCATGTCTGCAGCCGCGCCCTCCGGTCCACGCGAGTACATCCAAGCCGCAAGTGCTGCCAACCCACCCCAGAACACCAGGCTCCACGCCAAGCGCAGCCACCAGATGACCGTCTGGTAAAGCATGTTGACGAGTTTGAGCGAGATGAATAAGATGACGAGGAGGAGCGCGACGGTCGCGAGATCGGGCTTTTGGACGACTTGCTCGATGAATGGTGTGATATATCCTCTGGCCGTGTTGATGATGACGAAGAATTGGYGCGCGTAGCCGTAGGAAGAGATCATGGGGCTGTTTCCCAAGAAATAGCTTGCCCAGTCTAAATAATGATTAGCTGATGAAGTGATGAAAGCAAACGACGATGAGGACCTTGAATTGTGTCGATCTCCATTGCGGCGGGTGTGAGCGGGGTATGGGATTCGTCGCGTGCGTTCGTGGTGATTCAAATGTCAGTCTCGATGTGATTCAAAAGATCTGACGAAAGTGGAAAGGAGATGGTCGAGCTTTGGGGTCGGGAACAACAAAGCAACCAGCAGGTGACATGTGAAAGCAACCTAAAGGGCAAACTTCGGGAAGATCAATGGAAGTCGCCCTTGTCTTCCACTTCCCCCACAAACAAACACCACGAAAGTTCGACCGCCATCTAATACAGCAAGCTCGTTTGACGTGTCGACAGCCAGTCACTAAAGTAGCATGTGCTCGAACATTTGACAAAGAAGTCGTCACTCACCAAGGAGTCTAAGATGGATTATCACATTGGCCAACGACTGAGCCTGAAAGACCACCTCTGTACAGTCCGCTACCTTGGCTCTGTTGCTGGCAAAGCAGGGGACTGGTTGGGCGTAGAATGGGACGACACCAGCCGTGRCAAGCATGATGGARCGCACGACGGGACGAAGTATTTTGAATGTAAGAACATTTGACATTCCTCATGTACAGGTCAAGCTTACAGTGTAGGCAGAAGTTCCGMAGCGACCGCCGCGTCCTTTCTTCGACCTCAGCAGGCATGGGATAAACCAAGAAGCTTCCTGCAAGCGCTCAAGGAGAAATACATGCCCGAGGATGCTGGTACGGGAGGCGAGATTGTCTATTTCTCCAGCAAAAAGGCCGAGGAAGTAGGCTTTGCCAAATTCGCCAAGYGGCAGGCTCAGTTACAAGGCATTCATGTTATCGTGCTGGACCATATGCGGATTTACTTGGATGGACTCAAAGACGAAGCTGAAGCGGTGACCGCAACTTGTGCCAACATCACTGATCTGGACCTTGGAAGCAACCTACTCGAATCGTTCGACAACGTAATTGAGCTTGTTGACCTCTTGCCAAAGTTACGCAGTATTGTGCTTGATGGCAATCGATTCCACAGTATACCAGTAGGGAGCAATCAAGGACTCGAGGGCATCAAGTCCGTCGGGCTGTCGAACACGCTGCTCAGCTGGGCTGAGATCGCTCTTTTGATGCAAAGAGTACCCAATCTTTCGAACCTAGCTCTAGCCAACAACGACCTGAAGCACATTGGCTCCGAAAAACTCCTAGAGAGTATTCAAACCATGGAATTAGCTGGAAATCACTTCACTGCATTGTCCGATCTGGAGAACCTTGTCGCGTATCCCAACTTGAAAAGTCTGGTACTAAAAAACTGTCAAATCAGTGCAGTCAGCGCACAATCCAAAGCCACATCATTATGCAGCCAATCGACAGAATCCATCGATCTGGCGTACAACGATGTGAAATCATGGTCCTTCTTCAATTCACTCGACTCCGCCTTCCCAAATCTCAGGCATCTAAGAGTGGCTGGTAATCCTCTATATTCAGAGCTCACTTCTGCTCAAGGCAAAGCACTCACGGCAGAGGACGGCTACATGCTCACCATCGCCCGGCTTCCCCAATTGGAGACTCTCAACTACAGTAAAATCAGTGATAAAGAGAGACTCAATTCAGAGACATACTACCTGGGACAAATTACCGCGGAACTCTCTCGGGCTTCAATTGAGCAGGCAGCGGAGATACTCGCGAGAAATCCGAGATGGCAGAGTCTTTGCGAAGAGTATGGCGAGCCCGCTATCCACCGAGAGCTAAAGCAAGACGAATTAGATCCGAATAGTCTAGCTGCGAAACTGGTCAAAGTTACGTTCACTCTGGCTGCGAATGTCTTACCTGAAGCATCAACAAGACATTGGAACGAAGAAATACCGAAGCTGTTCAAGATATATACTGTATTGGGTATGGTTGGGAAAAGGTTGGATGTTCTCCCACTCAAGCTGCGTCTGGTCTGGGAGACTGGCGAGCAGGACCCGGTCGGCCGGGATGGAGGATATACTGGACCAGAAGAATGGGACAGTAGTGATGAAGAAGGGGCGGGTTCAGCAAAAGAAGGTGGGCTGGTAGCCAGAGAGGTTGAGCTGGTCGCTGGCACTAGAGCAGTCGGAACGTATATTGAGCGGCGAGAAGCCAGAGTCCGGGTCGAGCTGAAGTGATAAGAGGAGAGCACGCCAGAATTACGATGGCGGCGCTTCGCCTCCTCTTTGTCTCGACAACAGCCGACCGTTTAGGCCAATGATCGTCTTCACAATGTCCCAGTCTCCATCTTTGCCTACCCAGTCGCAAACGACTATTCCCGTACCCCCGTCACCGTTCACCTTCTCCCCAGGGCCCTCAATACCTTTGTCGCCCACATCGTGGTGCTGGCACAGGAAGCCCAGCACGGCTGGATTGAGCTTTGCAGCAATCTTGTCCGGCCAACAGCCTACCTTCCAGAAGTTGCTCGCCGATAGAAAATTCAAATAGATGGGGCCTGCGGGCACGGGATTCGTGCTATCTGTAGTAACACCGGGGACCGGTGCAACAACAGCTCCCGCACGCTCGAAATGCTCACAGCAGAGGTTGATCTTGTGATCGATATTCTCCGTCTCGAGGACTTCGCAAAAATCTTGCACTTGAACATCACCGTGTGAATCATTGGGAGTATTGTAGGCCCAATTCTCCGCGTTGAGCGCCCAACCACGGCCGTCGTGCTGGGTCTTTAGGGGGTCTGCGAGAGCGAAGCGGCGCATCAAGACGATTTTACCGCGCACTTCGCCCAGATTTGGAATCCGAGGCTCGGTATACCATGTTGCGTTGTCTGTGTAGTGATCGTGGAGTATTGACGATAGCTGTGYATCAGTGGCAGAGCCCGGCCCTTCTCGTTTTAACGAGAGAATGACGGTCTCGGAGGGATTGTCTCGGAGAAAGGCAAGGATCATTCCTTCGAGAAGCGGACGAAACTTTTTGGGGCCTGTGAGAGAGATGGGAAAGACGCCGTGGACCAGATTCAAAGCGCTTTCCTTTGGCTCTTCAGGCTTGGTGGGCTGAACGCGAATGTCGAAGAAGCGAATTCCATTCCGCAGCTGCTCGATAGGGGACACGGCCTGGCAGCGGACAGAGGGAAGGGCTTTGTGKCAGGTGGGCGAGTTGTGTGTGCCGGGAATACTTATAGCGGAGAGTGGTGTGGTATCATGCAGTGCCTGCATCCATTTCTGGCCATCCAAGCTCTCCAAAACGGTCAACAGAGACGTCGAAGGTAGATATACCGCTGTGAACTTGCCCGTGGGATCTTCATCCAGTGGAGTCAACGGCTGTGCGACAGAGGAAGACGAAGCAGGCGTGGGTGTCTCGACCCGCCAGCGACCACCGCCGCCCTCATGCTGCAACGTCAATCGTACTGTCTCGCTGGTCCCGTTCGCGGGTTTGATGTCGCTGGTGTGTGTGGTGAATGGCTCCACGCGCAAATCTACATTCTCTTCCCTAAAGGTCTCGGAGCGCTCAGCCAGCTCGCTGCTCTTGGGTGCGGCACTCGTGGTGGTGTTGAAGAAGGATGTRATGTTGTTGACCGAGAAGCCGGTATCGCTGGCAGTTTTGGGAGCTTCCCATCGCTCGACGAGGGTCACCTTGAGCACATTGGCCGTGAGATTGCGTATCGTAAGGGTTTCTGACATACTGCACGTTAGCTGTGGGCTGAATCTGCTCCGCTCAAAAGTTTCCACGTACCTTCACACGGGAAGCAGGTCGATTCATAGTGGAGCTCGAGCTCGACAGCCGCAGTGCTGATCGCTTGAGCATGAAACCCTGTCGACGCAATCCAATGTGAGCCGCGTCACCCAATTTAGATCAACAGGTCGCCAACTGCAACAACAATGGACAGGGACTGACCATTCAAGATCCTCGATCGGGGTAGTCTTTCGACAGTTCAAATCTTCGGATGATGACGATGGATTGTAGAACTACAGACCATTCAGAGTTCAATGCACCAAGAAGGTAGGAAGGATGAATCCTCGTCACACAAAACACACAAAACATTACCATTACAATAGGGTATCAAGTAGTTATATCACAGCGCCAGCCAACATATCACCGTCACTTCCTACAACGCCTTGGCGAACTTCTTTCCCTCCGTCCAGTCCGCCATTCCCATGCCTACCATATAGTCCTTTCCCTTAACAAACGATACCTAAACAGAGAATACATTAGCGGTGTCTCACACATTCAGCGCAGCCGGAAAATTGTCTTGGGGCACCCTCTCCGTGATCTCAGCTGCAGAAAGATGCGTGGAGATCCCGTCGGGGGCAACCTATTTCAATCCCCAACGAGCATGCTTCTGGCCCTTCACTTACCACAAATCCGGGAACGGACCAGCCATTGAACGCCGCAACGCCTGTCTTGGGACCAACCTGTACGCGATAATGTCAGCGACCGCCTCCACGAGCGCCATTCTGATAAATCACTTACCGGTACGAACTGCGTTTCTGCGGGTGTGAAAGTGTATTTCTTGTCGGTACTGTTGCTACCACCTGTTGCTTCGGAGAGCAAATCGTTGGCGAGATTCTTTTGCAGTACTGGTAGCGAATTATACCTAGCTTTCATTAGTACGACTCAACATACGAATCCATGAAAGCGACTTACATGTTCACTATACCACCAGTATCCACACCAGCAATGTCTCCCGCAGCGTAGACACGCGGCCCTGCAGCGTCTACTCGCATAGTCTCCTTGTTGGTGTTGATGTATCCATTGCTAGACTTGAGCGAGGCCGGGACAAATTCAGAATTAGGCTTGACTCCGTGGGCAGGTATGTAGATGTCGGCTGTCATCGTCTTGCCGTCGTCGAGCGAGAGTTGCGTCTTACCATCAGCTCCCTGCTCAGCACTATTGACTTTTGTGCCATAGACGACTGTGACGCCGAGTTTTTCGAGCTTGTCCTGCGCCTTGGCCGCCCGGGACTTGTTGAAGACGGGAAGCAATTTGTCACCACYAGTGATCAAGGTAATTTTCGCCTTGCCTTTCAGATGATACCCGATTTCTCCGGCCGTCTCAACCCCAATAGGTCCACCGCCACTAATCACAACCTCCTTTGCACTACCGATTTTGGCATTCATGTCCAGAAGGGCCTTCTCGGTTATAGTGTAGTCCCCGTGCAAAGTGGTCAGCGGCGTCGGGCTCTTGACYCCAGTCGCAATCACGAGAGCGTAATAGTCAATGACCTTGGTCTCACCTCCTTGAGGGGACAGCGTCACCGTTCGCGCCTCATGATCGAGAGATGTGGCGCTTGCGTGGTGGAAGAAGATCGAGTCCTTGAGGTTGGGATATTGATCAATAATTTTCGTGATTGGGACGAAAGTCTTCTCGACAGTCAGGTCCGCCATTGTCACGATCTGTCGGGGAGCTGCAACATTCCACCAGAACGAACTGGACTCTGACACCAGGTGAATCTCGTATTTTGCGCCTTTGAGTTGAGGAACAACATGCTTCGCGAGATAGTGGAAAGTACCCAGTCCACCGAATGCAGCACCTAATATCACGATCTTGCGTACTTCGGCCATGTTGGAAACGTGCTGTTGTCCTGTCTTCGATTTTGTTTCTCGAGCTGAGCAAAGGGGTGGTTGGAACCAGCAAGATCCCACCGCTTCCTCTGCAGCATATATAGACTTTCCCAACCTCCGGGATCGAAGGTACGAGACCGAAGTTCAATGCTGGAGGTTTACCAGCACAGGTAAACTCTGGAGCGATTGTTGCCATGCCGGACATGTAGGGCATTCGGAAGCACTTCTGTGCCGATGCCGAGTGGCACTAGAATATTTGGTCAGCCAGCCAATCTCGGGGCTCGCTCACTCGCAACATGCCGAACAACAACAAAGACAACCATCTGATTATTATCCTTGCTTACAAACAGAAAGCTTTTATAGATACCTGATGATGATACCCTGAGCTGTTGAGATGAGACTTGAGCGCAGTGATTCTGCGGCTACTCACCACACTGCAGGGCTTGGAGGACTTCTCCTGAGTTCTGCAGGAGACCTAGAAATAGATCACTCACATGCAGGCCGATATTAATAAGTACTCCTCACTGTTTGCTGTTACCCATTGAGTTACGTGCTCGTGATCAAAGCCAAGCGACGRTAGTTCTATACCCTGAAGGCTATTCCGTAAATCCGCTACTGTTGGAAAACGGCTGAGACGCGCGCTCCTAACGATCTGACATCAATCATCTGGTATGAGTTTGTAGCGTCTAGGTGCCTCTCCCCAAAGTCATCCGTTGGAAGCTCAGTCACGTCAGACATCAGCAGCATAGCTTTCAAGWTGCTTCCGAATGATGCTGTATGAAGTTGCTGGACAAGGTTCAGAGTCAATACAGGTATCAGGGTAGGGTTGTTCTTGTAGTCAATGCTGTCCACATTGGCGGCCCAGACGGGAGATCACTATTCAGATACATCGCTGCTCCATGATCAAGAGTGAGGTGTTTTTACATTGCTAGCCTAGACCTTCGTATGAGCTCTTCGTACACGGTCCAAGTCAGCGCGCTGCTGATGGCCTTCCGGCCAATGCGCAGACTGAGCCCATTCAGCATGCTCCGGAATCCTTCTTCCTTCATCATGGTCTTCGCGGCCTGCACCATGTTACGATACTTCCCAGGCGCAATCTGCAAGCGGGTCTTGATGGCATCGAAGGGGTTCGTCAATGTCGTAGCAGTCGTCGCGGCCACGACTCCAGACATGAAGTTGATTGACGCCGAGCTACCCATAGAGCGAGCCGCAGTCTCTCCATCCGGCATTGCAACCACCGCGGACAATGTTGCAAGTCGAAGTTTCGCCTGTTCATATATGAGGACATATAAGCCAGCGTATGGCGCATCGCGAATCGCAGTCGCTCCGAAACCAGCAAAAAATCCTCGGAGTCCCTCTGTACGAACAATGCCTTGGGCTGCGCCCGCAAGAGACGTGTATGAGTAGTGGGTTGATTCAAATCGGACTTTGAGCACAGTGACTGGATTCATCATGAAGCCAGCGGCGACCCGCGCAAGTGCTCCCGTGGTGAGGTTTGCGACGTTTCCAAGTTTCGGTAAGGCGGAAGAACTTGAAGCTGTGCGGTCCGGGGGAGTAGCAATTATGGCTGGTATTTTCGCCACATGCTCCCTCATCTGATTGAGCAATCCAAAGTAGAGAGCTGATCCAGCACCAGTACGAATGACGGATGGTGCGGTCCCGCGCCACAGCTGGCGAACGGGGTTCGGGCCATTGAGAACATCTCTGAGAGCCTTGCGGAGGGAGCCTCCGTTTGATTGTTGGACACGAGTCTTGAGCAGGTCGGCTGGCTGCAATAGAAAAGCGCTTGCTACGCCGGAGCCTAGTCCGGCAGCGAGATGAAAGCCTTGTGAGGTTGTTAGTGTTGGTGAAAAGGTCAAGCTGGGGGGCGATATGCACCTAGACTCGTCTTCTTCTGAGGTCCATCAGTCATTGCGGAAGTCCCGCTAAGTTGTCAACATTGTAGAATGGTCCATGGCACAATCGAATACAATGAAATGTGGCGTTTGATGAGTCGTTGACGTCGTACTGGATTTGCTTCGACGTGCAGGTTTTAGCGCTAGGTTCACGGCAGGAACCGTCCGGACGTGCCGCATGGAAAAAACTTGAAGGTCAGGAGACAGAGGCATCCATTTCATAGCACCATCGTATATGAAGAGGCGATTTGTAAGAGCTATAATGTACATGTGTGTTTTAAAAGATGCAAAGTGTATCAATTTCAGTCTGGTTCTCGCCATCGCGCTCTCGTACTCGCAGAAGGGGTATCTTGTATCCAAAACGATCGATCCCCGCTCACTTTTCTATTAACACCACAAAAGAAATCATGTTTTCTTGTTCGGCCCTGATTGGGCCTGCAAAAGGCCATCATCAGTCGGCGGTCTCAATTGTCGCTATAGGCTCCTCAAGCTCGGATTCCAGACTTCGAAAGGCAGGAGGCCCATCAGAGTCTGCGACGCCGTCAAGATCATCGTCTTCAAAATTCTGCATGGTAATTGCGCTGTCTTCGGCATCCTGGTCGTATGAATGCTCACGGAATAGCGGAGTGGTTGGAGGATCAGATGTTGCGGAGGATTTCCTGCTGACAGGTTTCGAGGCTTCCATTGCACTCTTGGAGGAGCTCTGTACGGAGGCATTCGACCCGGCCCGGGGATGAAGCCTTGGTGGTGGCAGCGAATTCATGTCCTCTGGGATTGGCGAGCTGCGGACGTTACTCGCAGGCGGCGTCATGAGGCCATCATGATAGCCCGCAGGAGGCGCGCTTGAAGTCATTTTCGACGGGGTTAAGGACCTGCGTGGAGGACCGGCTCGCTGCTGCGTCTTTAGAGAAGAACTTTCCATTGTCGCGCGCCATTTGTTGAACGCAGAGCTGAACTGGGCCGCTTTGGGAGTTGCAAGGCTCGTCAGACTTGCCAGTGCGGAGCCCACCTGATTCTTGGGCGATCGACCAAAGCGTTCCTTCTCCTGTTGCTCCATTTGTAGATTTGCACGAATACGAATGGCGGTATCCCTTACTGCTGCTCTGTCGAAGTTTGGCCGAGAAATGGTGTTGACAAGATCGGTTAGCTCTTCGTTGCGCACTGCCAGGAGCTCTCGTAGCCAAGCAATCTCGGCATCACGCTCCTTCAGCTTGGCCACATCCTCTTCTTCCACTTGGATTTGCAGGCGCTCGATGCGTAGTTCACGCTCCTGCAGCTGCTCTTGTAGAACAAGGATGGACTCCCGAAGTGCTTGGGGCGATACCTTCTCCGGCACTGCAGCTAAGAAAGGTGATGGAGCACCGTGCTTTGAGCCTTTGGCGTTCTGCGCAGCAGCCTGGGCAGCAGATTTTGTCACCTCAAGCCTCTCCTCGAGGTGAGCAACCCTCTCCTGGAAATGCTGTAGTTTGGCGTCGGATAACGCTAGTCTTTCACCGAGGAAGGTCTCGGCACGCGTCTTATCCTCGATAGCATGCTGTAAGGCTCGCGTGTGCTGGGCGGTGAGATCCTGGATGGAAGACTCATACTTGTGCCGAGCTTCGTCGAGAGCTACGCTGCTCGAATGGTTGACTTTGCGCAACGCTTCCCGTCTCACAGTCTCTTCTTGTTCGAGGAGGTGCTCGTGGCGAGCCTTGGCAGTTTCTGCCTCCATCTTCACATTGTCGAAATCTGTGCGGACTTTGGCCAACTCTGCTTCAAGCTCAGCACGCACAACGTTCACCTGGTGGTTTGCAGCCTCGACCTCTGTTTCGAGCGACATGCGCGTGCGGTGCACCTCGGCTCTTCCTGACTCTTGAGCATCATGGAATTGACGTTCAAAACGAGAAGCCAAAGCCTGCTGCTCCGTCAAGTCATTCTGAAGCTTGCGCATCATCTCATCCAAAGACATATTGGATGCACGTACGTGCTCAAGGGTGTGACGAGCCTCGGATGCTTCAAGAGCAGAGATCCGAACCGTACGTAGCTCATCCTCGACCTGCGTGCGCTCCCTGTCAGCCATAGCTCGCTGTGTTTCCAGAGATTCGAYGCGAGCGCGGTAGTCCTCCTCCTTGGACTTCCACATGGCCTTCTCACTAGCAAGCTGGCCAGAAGCTGTCGCCATGTCGGCATGAAGCTTCTCAAGACGCCGTCTCATGCTGCTGGTCGAGTCTTGGTTGTCTTCGGCTTGACGAGTTACCATGGAAAGAGTGTTTTCGAGCTCTTCACGCACGCGCTTGCCATCCTCAATGTCTTCCCGCCATTTCTTGCTAGACATGCGGTACTCTTCCAGAGTGGCCTGGAGTGCACCATTCTGCGCCTCAGAGTCCTCTGACTTGTCCTCAGCATTACGACGCAGCTCCTCGCTGCGATTCAAGCGGTTGAGCAGGTCCTTTCGCTCCGACTCCATAGCCCGCGATTTGGAATCATCGTCACGGGCAGAGTCACGTAGCAGCTGTAGCTCTTCTTGCGCAAGACGTAGTTGACGCCTCGCGTCAGCTTCACGCTCCTCTACGGCACGTCTCTGGTTTGCCTCCTCCAGAGCGCCTGCAAGCGTCTCATCCAGGCGTTTCTGCAACTCGGACATCTCACGCTTGTGCACCTGCTCTCCTTCTTGGTCTGTTGCAGTGATGAGAGCTTGACTTTGAGATTGACTCTGCCTCGTAACGGTTTCCTCTACAATGGCGCGAATGTCATCGAGTTCGAGGTTTGCTGATGCAGCCCGAGCAAACGAGACCTTCATATCCGCCAGAGCAGAATGAAGCTCTGCAATGTCAACCGCGGTCTGGGATCTTGCGGGACTCTGTTCCTTCAATGCCTCCAGAACTGCGGTCTTGATCTGGTCTACACGCTTATCGCGACCGCGGGAGATGGGCCGTTGCCTGAGCTCATCAGACAAGTCATCTTCATCGTCAGCGTCGCTCTCCGCGTTGGATGACCGCCGCTTGAGTTGAAGTTCAGTTGATGTGTCACGTTTGCTGACCGTACTGTGTATGTTACGGAGGTTCTCTTCCAGTGGAAGGAGGCGCTGTTCCAGAGCGCGGCCAATCAATTCAGCGATGTGATCATCGAAGAAGTGGCTTCGCTGGTGCAGCTTTTCTTCATCTGGAGGTGACAACATGCCAGACCAATCGCTAGTGGGGACCTCTTCAGCTCTGTTAAGCTGGCGCACTTGCCAGCCGTCGAGATCCCCATTAGTCTGCATGAGACGACGTCGAGGGCTGGGGCTAGGCCCATCACTGCGAGCCCACTCTGCGAGATAGGTAACACCTTTCATGGGATGAGATCCGGGGCTTGGCAATCGCAAAGGCGACTGCTGTTCCTTATCTTCCGACTCCTGAGCGTTGAGCTGTTGCATGACAGCATCAATCTCGTCGAATGAYGGTTCCGTCTGAGGCGCAGAAATGTCAAGTCCATTGTTCATGGTTGTGAACGGGCCTTGAGTTGGCGCGAAGCCACGTCCGGCCGCTGATGAACGGTCATCGTGTGCGCCCAGTGACGGCTCATCCTCTCTGATCTCGCCCTCTTCAAGATCGCTTATGGAACTGTAAGCATCGACGTCGGACTTGTGCAAAGAGTCAGCCGCGGTAGACGCCGATAGTGGAGGCTGGAACGGTGCTGCAAGTGCAGATAGAGATGTCGAGTGCTTGTGAGAATGGGTCTGCTTTTCAGGAGGAGCACCCGCTTGTACCTGTGCTTGTCCTGGAGGTTTGGAAGCCTCCACAACTTCCGTTTCCGCGACTGATGTACTGATCATCGATGCCTTCTCATCAGCATCGTTGATCTCGTCCTCTGCTTCACGCAAGACTGGCAAGGTGGCGCCATCATTTGAGCCCAGCACTTTCTCGGGGGGCGGTGGCCTGATTTGAACAGCGATTGGAGTCGGCTCGGCAAACATAGGTACATCATCCCCATCGTCAACAGCCTTGCGCTGCTGCTTCCGCTTAGCCTCGCCTTGGGCAACCCGGCCCTCATCATCCTCATACTCTGTTGCGGAACCACTGGCAGATTGTTGGCTCCGTTCATCTGGACGCAGGATTGGAATTGCTTTCGATCTCCTGGCAGGCTTTATAATGTCAGGAATGTTGATTTTGCTGAAGATGCCGGGGAGCTTGTCCACAATCGTGTCTCCTTTGGTCGGCGTGCGTTTTGCCACGGGCTGGTCTGCTGTAAATGCCGGGCCCAAAGCTGAAAAGCTGAACTCGGAAGTGGTCGGCAGGAAGGCAGGCGCATTAGCGTTGAAAGAGCCAGACGATCGATGACGATTGTGGTTTGATGATACAGGCGCAGGAGGGTTGGGAGCTGAAGCTCCAAAAGTGAACTCGGATTGCCCAGGCTTGAAAGTTGCACCAGGGTTGAACGTGAAAGCAGGCGCAGCAACGTTAAACCGAGAGGCGCTCTTCTTCCGTCCATGCGCATTYTCTTGAATTGGGTAGTTCGAGCCAATCGGGTTCGTCTCAATGGACCTGGGGAGAGGAGGCAGGGAAGTGGGATTGCCAGCACCGTTCTTTGAAGGAATCGATACGGATGGACGATCTTCTTCTGCTTTAACCTCGAAATAGTTCCGGCTGGCAGTCTGTTGGCGCTGCTCAGCCTCGAGAAGCTCACGCTCGAGACCCTCACTAATGTTGTGGCGATGGCCTCGTGGTGTGGGGACAGCAATCTCGGTGTCAGCCTGGACACGCTTTGCTGGAGGAATGTACGCTTGCTGTTCCTGCTCATCAGGCTCTCGCAGTTCTTCCTCGTCGTCGTCTTCTGGCAATTCAGGAAGAGCAGCTGGGGTGAGTCGCATGTGCGAGTTCTGCATAAAAGATGGCGGCAGTGACGGCTGATACATGGACTGTGAGTACGCGTGCTGTCTTTGCCGTTGGTCTTCAGCTAGTCTTCGGCTGTAGTCTTGTGGCGTCTGTTGCAAAACTTGTTGGCTCAGCGGAGAACCCGGTCCTCGCATTGCACCAAGATCATTTCTGAGAGCGGTGAGTTGGGCAGGGGAACCACCACGCGTCACGCCAGGGAAACCGAATTGCTGCTGCTGTGCAAAGTTTGGCATCCCAGGGATCCCTGGTGACATCATGGGCTGGTGCGACAGCTGTTGCATATTAAGGGGAGCTCCCGTAAACGTGGAATGTCTGTGCATGTGTCCAAAGGCACCGCCCATAGGTGAAGAGGGAGAAGCAACGGACATGGCATGTGAGTGGCCACGTCCCATCGGCCGGCCCATGCTGCTGCCAGAACCTGTTGGGAGGGGTGGCGAGAACGGCAACGGAGGGTACTGGCCTGAGGGTTGTCTTGACATTGATGCATCTTGCGCTGGCTCGTCAAACCCAAGTGTGACACCCAAAGCTGCCAATTTCTGCTCGGTGAGCCAGTCCATATATCTCTTCCATTTCTCAAGGTCTGGAAGCATGACTTTGACATCTTCTTTGCTCGGTAGCTTACGTGCATCGCCCTCGTCGGGAAAAATGGCCCTCACCTGCGCGCGTCCTCCAGTCAGAGGCTCATCGTCGGCCAGATCGTATCCTGCGGTGCTGTATCCTCCCTTTTCAAACTGCTGCAGCCGCGCATCAACATCAGCTTTACTCATCGGCTTCGCGATCCCGGCGGCTTCATAGTCGAATCGTGGTATCGCAATGACAATGTTCCTGCCACGCCAACTCACTCGCTTCTTAAGGCGTGGCGGCTCCAGACGTTTGGTGTTTGCCGCCAGATCGACGCTCGTCTCGTTCACCTGGACAGGCGGAGACTGGTCCAATGCTGGGCTGGTGATCTCCGCAGACAAGCTCTGTTTCGGCATGGTAGGCCCATCRACTTCTCGCTCCTCCGGCATGCTCATATCTGCCTCTAGTCTCGAGCCATTGTCCCCCTGACGTTGCCTGGCGGACTCCTTCTCACCACCCAACACATTTTCTTCCGTTGCTTTCTCTGTCCCTTTTTCCAATTTTGACGCCTGTTCACCAACTTTTTTCTCCGCTTCCATTTTCATCTCAAGCTCATCCTCTGGTTCGGGCGTATCCGCCCACCGCGAAGACATCATACTCTTCGGTTCTACCACTGTGGTCTCTTTTGCCGGAGTGCTATGCTCCAGCGGATTTACATTAGATGGTTCTGGCGTCGCCGCCCACCGGGACTCCATTAAACTCGCCATGTTTTCCGAATCGCCGCCCCGCAGCGTGTCCCAAAAAGACTGCTGATCGAGAGTTCTATTCTGCTCCCTCGTGTTATGTCCAGGCCTCTCGCTCCTGCGCCGCTGCGAACGCTCTCGCGTTGGGGACTCAGGCCGTGCTCTGCGAGACTCGCTGTTCGAACGGCTGTGCAACGAATCGTCGCTCCACCAATGGATTTGCTCGGACTGGCCCACTCGCTGCGGTAGCTGCACCCAGCGTTGCGTGCGGGAACGCGGCGTGTGGTAATCGTCAGGAGAATTGGAGGGAACAGGTGGGAGGCTCAGATCGCTGAGACGACTGGGCACCAGATGCTCCAAGCCAAAGTTTGGACTACTCGAGAGATCTACCACGTCGCTGGGGGCTTGCTCAGAGACAGCAGTGCGTACAGATCTCGAGAGCTGCGATGGCGAGAGATCGTAAGGAGAGCCCCAAACGGCAGTATAATAGTCCGAGGCAGCGTCCCGACTTCGAAAGCTTGCGGGTGTCCGGGGCGGGAACAGAGGACCTTGCGCTGTCTCGGGACTGAGGGTGTGCTGCTGTGGGACGCTCGGGTGTGCTGGCTGTGTTGGCTGAAAGTCAGCGACTACGATGCCATTGGGCGGCGACGACGGTAAGGGCGGAAGGGAGGACGTGGCGTCGAGCGCTCCGGTGCTCGTGCTGGTGCCTGACCATTCCCACCYCGTTAGAACAGCCTTTGACCACGATGGATAATGTTGTGTGATATTCTACCTTCCACCTTTCCGATGGCCGTGCTAAATGACCTCACGCCCGCAATTTCACCCGTGCTGGATGAGGGAAATGCTCGGACGCGTATGTATGCAGGGAAGACCTGTTCTTGTCCCTCCCACGCGTCGTATGGGATGTTTCTGTTTTTCTATTTCCGTATTGGGTTCGTTTCGATTGCTGTACAAAAGGGAGATGGGTAGGAATACCAGGTAAAAGAGTGACGGAGGGGTTAACAGAATTTACAAGAGCGCATCGTACACATTTGCAAGGCCGATGGACAAGACAAGACAAGACAAGGCGAATACCTAGCACCGGGGCTGGTGGTGGAGCAGAAGGGAGAGCAAGTGTCGAGCCCAGAAACATAAGTTAGCCTCACCACGTCGCGCCAATCCGGAGCTTGCTTCTGCGTTCCCCCTGACGTGTTCCCGGATGAGCACGTGATCGAAACAAGCTCTGCACTGGACGGCCGAGTTTTGGGGATCCATCTGCACGCTGCGGTCCCCGATCCAATTGCAACAAAGGCGATGCAGGGCATGATGAACAACACAAAAGCATAATATTGTAGCACGATCTAAAGTACTGCCGTGATTCATCATAACATCGTGAATCGGACAAGTCGCTACGCGACCGCCGAGAGGCCATCCGCGGCCTTCATCACTTTCAGCCAGTCCATGTCCATGACACTCTCCCCAGACATGGCGGCATAAGCGTCGCCGCCTTCCATCGACCACACGTCTCCGGCGGCATCAAGATCAATCAACGAATCAAAATCTGGCTCAAACTCTGGCTGCTGCACACTCAGACCAAGATCCATTGCCTCGCCCATGCTGTGCTGCTCCGAACCTGCGGAATCTGGCGGCGTCGAGGCGAGGTAAACACTCAACTTGCGTGCGATATCATTGTCGCTCATCTGATCGTTCTCAGACTGCATTTTGGAATCATCTGGCGGTGGAGTCAAGGCGCCAGACTCGGGCGCAGACGCAACAAGCTGCATCCTACGTCCTGCGTCTACCAAACCTTGAGCACTAGTGATGATGCTGCGAGGCTCCTTCATTGCATCCGACTTTTGCGGGAGAGTAATCTCTGCTTTGCGGATCGCTGCCTCCAAAAAGGCGGTAGAGTAATCGGCTGCGGCGTAGATATCGCGCAGCTTGCCCATGATTTGCATACATTGACAAAAGCCTTGCAGACTGGTTCTTCGTGTTGCCTCATCGGGAGCTTTGATGTCGAGGAGATGGATGATGATGGCCGGCAGCAACACTGTGATTCCCGTGGTGGGGAGAAACCTCACCATATCGAGATTGAAAAGTGCAAAGGCAATGCTGGTAATCTCCGTGGCCGCTGTCCTGACCGTCTTGCGAGAGTGCTCGAGCAACTCGGTGTGAGTCTGTCGTGGCGTGATCGAGGCCGCAGGCAGTACCTGGGGCCTGTGGAGAGCTGACAATGTCGCAAAGTAAATCATATGGAGCAGAGAGCGGTTGAGCACTATGCTCTCGCCACCAGAGTCCATGTCACGCCACGTCGGCGTGACGTATCTGGCCTCCTCGGGGAGATTCTCTTCCCACTCCTGAATCTCCTTGTCGCAGGTCTGGACTTCGCTCACTTCGGGATCAATCACTCTGGCAACCAAATGTGCCGTTGTCTTTGTGCTGCCCTCCTCGCTCGTCACGCCATGGTTGCTGTTCAGGACCGAATACTGCACGGAAAGCACGTGGCTCATGCAAATGCAGAGCTTCGTCTTTTCAATGCACATGACTGCCAGCTTCCTTTGCATTTCGTGATCGCGGAGCACACGACAATCCGCGGGAATGCAAGACGGCCCTTCAGGCAAGACTGCGGATTCAAAGTCGCTGACCTGGAGCATTGGGACATCGAAATCTGTATTCTTAATGCGTGTGGGGCGACGCATTCCCAAAGCCACAAGTCGATCACGCATGTAAGTTGACCACCAGATTCGTTTCCACAGCTTCTTCCTGGCTGGATCCATGGCTGCCGATTTTTCTGGATTTCGATGCAGTCCGATGGTGTGAGAGAGGGAGACTGCGATGCCCATCCAATGATGACTGTCTTTTTGGTCGTCTGGGGTCTCGTACCAGTAAGTCATTAGCAAAAGGGATTGTATCAGAGAAATGCGATCGACTTCGACATCAAAGTCATAGAGGAGCCTAGTCTTCTGGAAGAAATCGCGGCGAGCGTCTCTCCGAGACGCGTATCCCGCAGATTTGAGGTAGCGAACGTCGACCGTCGCGATTGCCGAGAACATGATGGCCTGGAAGAGAAGAAGACTGACTGGTTGCGTCCCGTCATTCCGATCAATGGAGGCAACTAGGTCATGCATATTGAGCAGTGGCATGTAAGGATGCACAAACTCCGCATAGTTTCTAAGCAGCTCGTCTCGCAATTGCGGTGATGGGATTGTCAGGGCTCCCTTCCTCTCCAAATGTGCGATGTCTTCGGGGTCGAGCTTCGAGGGCAACGGTTTGATGTAGAGTGGCATAGCGTGGGAATGGGATATCGGGGAGAGCATATTTGGAAAGATTGACGCCGAGTCGGAAATCGACATTGAGGATTGCTTGTGGCCCATTCGTTGATAGTTCATTAGCATGTCAGGCGCATACATGGATTGTCGATGATTGCCATCGCCCAAAGTCATGTCTTTTGGAATATCTTGATCTTTACCCATTTGTCAGCTTTTGTGCATGTGAGATTGGTGGACTTGCGAGACACTACGCACAAACTGTATGGGGAACATGCTCGGACGAACGTCTGATCAAGGGCTCGTACGGAGGCTGTGCGGACATTGGGAACGATGTAGGCTTGAAAGAAGAGCCTTTGCCCTGCTGTGCAGAGCTTTCGATTCCGTTGGTCGTCCATTTCCTGTATACACATTAGATGGGGAGTTTCGCCAAAAGGCGTGTTGGGCGAACTCACTTCTTACGCTTGCTTTCCGACACGATACATTCCACTTCGTCCAATCGACAGTTGGTACAAGGCGGACCGTGTTCGACCACATTGCAGCGCACTTTGCGAGAGCGACAGCACTGGCAAGCTTTCGATGCTCTCCTCTTGACACTTTTGGCCGGACGAACACCATTGGGCTTGAGGCCCGCGTCTGTAGCTGTTCGTTTAGCCGTCTGTGCAGGCATTTCTATCGTCTGTGGAGGAGACATGGAGCCCTCGGAGGACAGCTGCGGGTCCAAAGCCATGGAACCCATTGTGACAGCAGCAATAAATGCTTGGTCTTGAAGATGGGCGCAAAGGAATGGTACAATGAGGTAGGACGGGAAAAGAGACCAGTTCGAAGGAACGGAAAGGTAAGAAATGAAAGTCCAAACCTTAGGCCCGCGATCCACTACCAGAGGGGCACGACTACGGAGACGGTGGATTGTGAGCGCGAGTTATCTCCGTTCAATCGATTGGACAACCATGGCAGTGGACGTGGACTGGACAGACATCCTGGACGATCCACTACGATTGCACTTGCCCCGTCTAGGTAGACACGCTGTCGCAGGGGTGCAAGACGCCATTTTTCCCCGCCGTACCAAAGTACCCCGAGCGCCACCCTACTGAAGACAAATCGCAGTATGGCGCGCGCTCGGAGTTCCCCACAAATTCAGTCGAAAAGTGGAGGTGGGTCGGTTGGCAGAAACACGTCTAGCCCATCCCCACTTCCACACAGTGCTCGCTCCCGCTCCACTCTCGCATTTGCCGTTCTGCCGTCCTCACTTCTTGGCCAAGGTGGTACCGCAGCTATGGGGGAACTTGTGCATATACTGGCGCACATGCGAACTCGTCTGCACTGTACTGTACACACAAGCGCCCCGGCAGAGACTCGGGGTACGAATGCCCCGATCGTTCTCACGAATTCGTGTCAACGCATTCCGCGGACTGGAACTACCGTACTTTACGGCCGCTTCCACTTTCGCACTGTGCCGAGCCGCATTAAGCGACGGGCGCAGGGAACTTGAGCGTCAGCTGTCTGAAATCAAGTCTGGAGCACCGACCTCGCACCAAGGTCTTTTTAACGTTCATGTGACATCCACGGGAGCGGTAGGCGTTGAGAAAAAACCTACCGTGCCCGACTTCTGGACCTGGAGAAACAATTCGATTCGATGACGACGTTCTGCGCTCCGCAATCTCAAGGCCACATCTGCAGCTCCCTGTTTGAAGCTTGGGAGGAAGTGCGGAGCATCGCCTATGATACTGGAAAGAACACGGCGTAATCTGCATACTTCGCCCCGGCAGTAAAACGCGCATGCGGAGCATGCACGGTGATAGTGCCATTTTGCGTTGGCGCTTATCCCTAACAAGCGGCTTTCATGCGATTTTCATGCAGTAGATCGGAGTTCATCCGCACATGAAGTCCGCGCCAGCGTCATGCAAAGCAAATGCTGATGATCGTGCCGATCAACATCATGATCACAGGCACTCTATTGCTGCTTTGCATCGCCAGTGTTTACCACTTTGTGGAGCGGTGTACCTCGAAAGAAGCACCGCCCAGGCTGGATAGCGCCGTCGCGCCATTAGTCTGTTCGTTTGGCGTGCGAAACCTGCGTACGAACGATGCGTGGTACGGTCCAGAAGATGCTCGGCCAATGCAACTCATACTCGTCAGCTTTCCCATTGAGACAATGTCGCAGCCAGATTCCCCAGCTACCGGAAGATTAGTGGCAGCGTATGTGGATACGATGAGTTCAACTCACACAATATAGCTAGAAAACTGTTAGCAACTGACAATTGGGGTGGGGATCGATCGATACAGACCAATAGGCTCCTACGCCTGTAAATAAATGCCAAATTCTGTCCGACAAGAAAGCGTCAGTTAGGACTTCGTTGTATGGTTCGCAATCTCTCCTGTCACCACAGGACCATTGATTGCAGTTGAATGGGGGGGTCGAAGTCCAGGAGGCAAACATACCCGTGTCCTTCCAAAAGGACGCCCCAAGGCAGTCCGAGTTCCTTACGCCATCCGCGGATCTTGTTGCAATGGTTGTTGTCCAGTGACCAGATGGCGAACCCCGTCAAGAAGATCCCAAGGCCCATTGCTACGAGCGTCCACATCCGCCTGAGGATTGATCGATCTCTTTCATCACGTCTGCGCTCTTCCTTCTGTGCCTCTTGTGGCGATAATTTGCTCTTGTCGATCGATCCGCTTTCTGAAGCCTTGCCTCTGAAATATGGTCGAATGTGGAGCTCTTGGAGTACCATTGAGCGGATTAAGACAATCGCCGTGAGGATCGCGTACGCGTTCTGGTGGAAGGTCGGGTCTTGAAGATAATGGTAATAGAGAGTGATGAATAGGGCAAGTCCTGCGATCGAGATTGCGAGGACAACTTTAAAAAGCATCGGTCTTTTATGTTCAAATGTTGCCCACACCATCACTGGGAGAAGTCAGCATACTTGAGAGATGGGTGCAATCGGAAGATTCCTACAGCAGGTAGTGTAAATCATTCTATAGGCAGTCAGAGGATGAAACAGATCGTATAGGCGCTCCACTCACGACAATTCATCGACCAGTTGCATTGGATCTGAGCGTGTCAGCTATAGTCAACGCAATGTGAAAAACATTTCGATGCCGTACACTTGAGCGTGGCGTGGAATGCAAAAGATCCAAAGCCAACGATGGCGTACCCAAAGAACGTGATAAGAAAGATCCTGTCATGCTGATGTTTATAGCAATTGTGCATGCCCACGATAGCGAGGTAGACGAATATGAGGTTCGTAAAGGAGTTCACCACTTCCGCGATGTAACGTGTAAGCCAGTAATTTTCCTCGCACCTACGGGGGAAACTGTCAGCGTCTTTCCCGGGTCCCCGGAATGTGACCAGGACGAAGCTGGAGAATCATGTCTCTCTTTCCTCGCCCATACGTGCACGGCACCTCGAAGCATGCGAGTAGGATGACAGTAGAATAGGCTGCAGCTCAGCAGGGTTCTCAGCCAGTCTGGTCGAGAGTAACATGCCAAGCGCGTCAATCCACTTTGAGTCGATCCTAATCCCATACATGAGAGTGCTGTAAATCGCAATCGTCTCGGACGTTGTATGTTTGTGAGAGAGAAATACTGGGCTCCGACTTTTCTCCAGAGTTTCGAGCCTGTCGGCGTTTGATAATACTCACCAGTCAATCGTGCTTGTGTGCGGATGCCAGTAGCCATCCGGACTGGCCGGTGGGTATGGTATGGACAGCATGTCGAACTGTTCCTGACAATTCCTGGTGCCGAAAGGAGTTTGAGTGTGGTCGTCAGCCTCCCGTCTCGTCTCCGGAAGAGGTGCAGGTGGTTTCGCTTGATCGCCGCGGCTGCTCCCGCCAAACGAGGCAGCGCCAGCGTCAGTCAACCTCCGATCCTCAATCCCAAATCCTCTCTTCGCAACAACGGCAGCATGTCCATCCCAAACGAGAAGCTGCAGCAGGTGTGACGTGCCATGTCCATGCTCTTTCTGTCGCGCACGCTGACGGGGTGTGTAGCTGCTGCAGGAAATCGAACAAAAGTCTGCCTTTGCGCAGCAGCAGCTAGGAATCGTCAAGTCGCAAATTGCCTCGAAGAATCGCGAGAGCCGAATGCTGCAATTGTCGGCGGTTGAACTGGACACACTTCCCAAGGAGACACCGATATACGATGGGGTTGGCAAAATGTGGGATATGCGTGGTGACATTGCCGGCGACCTCGGCTAATCATGGCTATAGGTTTGTTCTCACCTCGACCGCAGACGTCAAAACTCGCCAGGAAAAGGAATCCGCAGATGTGAAAGCCGAGCTTGCGAACCTCGATAAGAAATTGCACTACTTGCAAACAACATACGACAATAGCCAGCAACATATCAAGGCTTTGTTCGAGCGCGGAGCTTGAGCAGAAAACAACCCAGACCCTCTGAATGATAGGCTGCGAAGGTGGATCGCATAAGCCATGTGCTATCCCGAGTAGAGGCTCTGAAGGGATACAGATACCTGCCATGTYGAAGTCTCGCGCAGAAGGCCACCAACATGGTCTCCAAAGCAGGCGTGACAACTATGTGCATCGGCTTAGCCGTCCGTGGCTTCCACTTTGAGACATTGAGGAGGTTACAGTACGACGCCAGCTGTGAAGCAAGGTCTCGGTCTGCCTGTCCACTCGTGAGATGGCATTCGAGAGACATGCTGTCAGAATACAGGCGTTGATTTACCTCTCCGTCAGGGATAGCGTGAGAGACGACCGTCATCGCAAAGCCTATGACTTTGATTTCTCGTGCTGTYAACGAAATACTCTAGCTTGCTGTTAGCGATCCGTCTTTTGGTAGGAGTACGCAGCCAAGTCCCCTTGATTGTCGATCTCGAGCAATTTGGGGACTTTTGCAATCAATCCTGTCATCCATGTGTTTGAGTGCCCCTTTCACGTTCGCCAGCAGGCCCCCATATCATTCTTGCCACATAGCGAATCACATGCTTGATAGCGTGAGGTTCAAGAGTAAATGCCAYTCATATTCAAACAATTTGCGAGTGGTCGCCTGAATGTTTTTCCGAAGACTGCCGGATGTGCTTCCGTGAGATGGACATGGAATTTCCAAACAGATAACAAGCGTTGTTCTATCTCCACTGACTTCGCACAGAACCGCTACAATACACACAAGAATCAAGATGAACGGACCAGGATATCTAGCGGTGGCGATTCAGCCAGGGTGGAATACCGATGACAAAATCTTCCATGAATGGTACAATACTGAGCACGGCCCTTTGCGTCTCAGGCTGCCTTTCATCGACACAGGAGACCGCTACAAAGCAGCAGACGAGCAAACTCCACAGTGGTCAGCAGTGTACGATGTTTCTGATCTCTCGTGGTTGGACAAGCGGATCTACACTCGCCTTCGGGAGGAGCGGTCGCTTCGGGAGAAAGCGGTAATGGCAACCTTTGAGTCTCTGGATCGAAAAATCTACAGCGTCTTTTCTGTTCGTGGGAAATCTCGAGGCCCAGCACCAGTAACTGTATCAGTTTCTATGAGGGTGAATGAAGCTGATCTGGATGACTTCGACAAATGGTACGAAGAGGAACACACCGAAATGGTTTCCAAGGCTCCAGGATGGCTGCGAACAAGGCGCTTCAGGATGGTGGTCRGCGGAATTCAAGGCATGCCACCTACCGGTCAGGTCGAATGTCTAGCGGTGCACGATTTCAGCTCCAAGGATGGCCTAGCTAGTCCTGAGATGAAGGCCGCTGCGGACACTCCTTGGACGGCCAAGATTAAGAGCAAAGTGCAGTCCAGAGACCTTCGAATCTGGTCGCATCATCTTACATTCGATGCCTTCGAGGAGCCGCCCTCCTCTGTCGTCACGACTGATGGCGCCGAAATACGTTTCCAGCTAGAGGGGAACCCTTCAGATCCCGTAGTCGTGTTCGTCAATTCCATCATGACGAACTTCCACATCTGGGACGACGTTGCGAAAGCTCTGGTCAATGGCATTCACGGCAAGACTTATCGAGTACTGCGATACAACTCTCGTGGACACTCACAGCAAGCGGACAGGAGTAATCACACCAACTTTGACCTCCTCGCAGATGATCTGGAGTACCTGCTCCAGCGCCTCAATCTGGAGAAAGTGCGAGCTGTGGTGGGGGTGAGTATGGGTGGAGTGACTTCAATCAACTTTGCCATTCGTCACCCGCACATGCTTGAAAAGTTTGTCGCCTGTGATTGCAATGTAGCTTCGAGCCCAGCCAACAGCCAGGCTTGGTCAGAACGTGTGGAGCTTGCGAAGACGAAGGGGATGGGAGAACTTGCAGATGTTACCGTTAAGCGGTGGTTCACGCCGGAAAACCACGATTCCGCCAACTTTAAGAAAGTGCTGCCCATGGCTGCGGAAGCAAACATTGCTGGCTTCGAGCAGAATACACATGCACTTAGCGACTATGATCTCAAGCCTCATGTTGCCAACATCACCACACCCGGTCTGCTGATTGCTGGAGATGGTGACGGTAAGCTTCCAGAGGCTATGCAGAAGTTCGGGATCCCGAATACGAAGTTTGAGTTGATCCCCAAGGCCGGTCATTTACCCATGTTGGAGAATCACGATGCTTTCATGCAGGCGCTCGCGGGATTCCTGTAGACTCAATTTGAATGATTTTAAGCATCCTTCGTATCGGGCAGTTCTGTTCTTCCCTTGAGATAACGTTGCTTGAACAGTACTCAACAAGATTGAAAGCAGCGCAGCTTGAGTGTGAGGACAGCATGCATCTGGCGGAACGGCATCTCTTGTRGTAGTCGTCTCGCGTCATGGTGTGTGTCTAATCAGCACGGGTCACATCCCGGTCTATACAGCGACAGTGACATTTTGAATTTTTGCCAGGATGTTCCTCGCTCTGCTCTCGCCAGAAGAACGAGTCGTGGCAGAGGAACAACCAGGAAATCCCGTTTACGATTGATGGATGACAGCGAAGTCTATCCCCACGTGGGTAGAAGACTACACTTCCAGCGGAGTACAGCCCGGCGCAGATTATTCGTCCATGTGAAGTTCGGGGAGGTTTGAGAGCGCGTTGGTAGCGCAAGGGGAAGTGCGTTTCACAAATACGGTCTTCCGGAGTGATGAACATCCACCTCTTCTGCTCTCCTCTGCCGTCATAAGCGCCTCGACAAAGCTTCTTCTTGCCTATTACAGCTTCGGAGACGGTTCAGAGACGGTGACAATCATGTCTAGAAATCAGGGTCTTTCGGTCACATCGGGCTCCTACCCTGAATGACCGATTCTTTGGGGGCAGACAATGTGTGCGTACCACCAAAGTATTTTCCGCTTCCTCACACGAAACATCGCAAAAGCCCTCCGAGCCTCGAGGCGCGATCTCCTGCAGATTGAACGCGTAGCGATGGCTTGGCGTGGCCTTATCGACGTCCCCGAGACTCAACCGATCTGTGTGATTCGCTCAGGTCCGATTTTGGTCCATCCACAGCTTCCATTGGAGAAAGAAGCACCCCAACAATCCTTGTGCGCCCCGACGCCGCGTTCATGGAAAATGGGGCATGATTTCCACCATTCGCTAACGATTAATTATCATTAATCCGACGACTCTCTGATTCACTTCTTGCACATTACATTATCCATCACTAGGACACCATCTCTACACTTCGTCCACGGCGCTAGTAGAACTATTGGGTCTCAAAATAAAAAAGGTACCAGACCCACGCCGACGTCACACAGCCTTACGTGGTTTTGGTCTCCCCCACGCGACACAAGCCATTGTTCTTTGGTCTTCATACTGCTGGCCTTTATATACATGACTGCTGGCTATCATCACATTCGTTATCATTCATCAGGCCGGGCCTGATTGACAGCCATGACGACTCCTGCAGACGAGCGGCCAGAGCCGACCTACGTACAGCCATCGTACAACATGAGCAATCCCACAGCAGAGCAGCAAACTCGCTCCAGCATCGATCGACCCTCTTTACCCACATACAACGTCAACAACACCCAGCGGGGTAACAGCAACGATGGTTCCACCAAATCCGCAACAGCGGTCGATGAGGCCGAAGAGGACCAACGTCGATACTCGAACGAGCGCGAGAAGTTTCYAGCATTCGGAGTAGGACGGGCTGAGAGTCAACACACCATTCAAACGGAATACGATCATGCAGATCCGCTTCGATCAATCGTCTCGCCCGGGACACAGACTCGAGAGCAAGCCAGTAGGCTGAATGACGACCTACAGCTTCTCAAGATTGAGCGACAAATCTCTATGGACGATGAACTATCCCGGACAAAGAGTGCGGGCGGCGATACATCGCGATCAAAGTCCCGAAAGAGAGCGGACCATGTTGACGAGTTTGACGAGGCGACCAATCCTGTGCACGAGAAAACGCAGGTCTACAAGCCCGTGGAAAATCCTTCGAGCAGTTTTGCCAAATTCGTCAAACGCATACACAGATCGAATTGGCTTATACGGTACGGATAAGAAAGAAGCACACAGCATGTTTCCTGTCTTCTTCCCACTCCCGCTCTGTTGAACAGCTTTGCTGACTTGCCCATTTTTCGTCCAGGTACTTTACGTACATTGTCCCCGTAACTCTCATTCTGTTAATTCCACTGCTGCTCGGGGCCTTGGTCTTTACTGATGCAACCGTCGGTGGTGTTGAACTTCAGTGGTTCATGACTTGGTTGCAGATAGTGTGGTTGACTCTATGGTGTGGTCGGATCATCTCCAAATGCCTTCCAGCCCCGATCGGAGTCATGTCGACACTATTTACCAACAACTCGAAGAAGTGGCGAGATATGGGCAAGCAGCTCGAGGTCCCGTGCACGATTTTCATCTGGTGGCTAGCGATCGAGGTTTCTTTCTTGCCTACCATGACCAACCATCAGCGTGGCCGAGACAAGGGTGACGCTGCCCCTTGGATGGGCACGATGAACAAAGTTTTGGTCTCCTTCTTCGTCGGAGCATGCCTGAACTTCTTCGAGAAGATCCTCATCCAGCTCATTGCCATCAGCTTCCATCTGCGTACATATGCCGACAGGATCGAAATCAACAAGTTCCAGATCGGCTCTCTTACCAAGCTGTATGCATATTCCAAGGCCAAGATCGAAATGGAGGATTCCGAATTTGAGATGCGAGAAGGGCAGTTGCCAGGATCAGGCGCGAGAACGCCCGGGCAAGCTTTTGCAGAGGCTGCAAAGACCGGGAAGAAGGCGTTGGGCAAGTTCGGAGATGTGGCCGGTAAAGTTGCAGGCGATTTTACTGGAAGGCAGGCCGTCAAGTCTACACACCCAACTCAGGTGGTACTTACACTTCTCCACACCACAGGCGGTGCTCAAGTCCTCGCCCGCCGCCTCTATCGTACTTTTGCGAGAGAAGAGACGGCGACTGTGGTCTCCGACGATCTACGGTCCGCATTCGAGAACGACGAGGAGGCGGACGCCGCATTCAGCATGTTCGACAAGGACATGAACGGCGACATTTCCATGGAGGAACTGGAGGCTGTTTGTGTTGAGATTGGACGGGAGCGAAAGTCGATCACTGCTTCGCTGAAAGATCTGGACTCCGTCGTCAGCAAGCTGGACTCTGTCTTCATGTTCATTGTTGCTGTCATTGTCATTCTGGTCTTGATCTCTCTCATTTCGACATCCGCTGCTGGTGTTTTGACCTCTGCTGGCTCTGCTGTACTGGCTCTTTCCTGGCTTTTCAGCGCTACCGCGCAGGAGTTCTTACAGTCGGTAATCTTTGTCTTCGTCAAGCATCCCTTTGATGTTGGCGATCGTGTCGGTATCTACGGTAACACTGGCGCGCTCATGAGAGGAGATGACTACTTCGTAAAGGAGATTGCTCTTCTCTACACGGAGTTCAAGAAGATGGAGGGTCACATTGTTCAGGCCCCAAACAGCTATCTCAACACTCTTTTCATCCTCAACCAGCGTCGCAGCGGTGGACTCGCTGAAGCTGTCACCATCAACATCAAATTCGGAACCACTCTCGAGCAACTGGAAGGACTGAGGAACAGACTCCTCGAATTCGTCAGGTCTGAAAAGCGCGAATATCAGAACAACATCCTGACGGAGCTGCGTGAGATTGTCGAAGTCCACTCGCTGAACCTGAACGTGGTCTTCTTCTACAAAAGCAACTGGCAGAATGAAGGTCTTCGTCTGGCAAGGCGCAACAAGTTCTTCTGTGCCATGATGGTTATCATCCAGGAAATCGGCATCGAAGGACCATACATGCGTCTGCCCGGTATGAGGGAGTCATTCCCCATGTATCTGGCCAACGTTCCGCATGTCGGAAACCCGGGCGCTGGTCACACGGGCGATCCCAACAACCCCCTTGGCACGCAACCCGAGGGAGATGTCTCGCGCGATGCACCATTCGTCGCCCCGATACCCGGGCAGGAAGACTCGAATGGTTCGCAGGGCCCGGCACACCATGGCTCAATTCTAAGAGGCAGTCGATCAAGGCAGGAATCCATGGCACAAATGACAAAGCGGGTCGACTTCTCCTTGGGCATGCAAGACATCGCTTCAGGCGACATGTCCGGCGACGTCTACGAAGACAGAAACACCACACGCTTCCAAATGGACATTATCGAGGCCTCTYGCGAGAGGTCCCGCAATTCCTCGGAGCGAGCACGTCTCAGCGCAGACACCGCACGCTCTTCCGGACGCGACGACACTTCCTCTTTCGGCCCGGGAAACCTCGCCCGTCGGTCAACCTCAACCACAACTCACCACAATCGCTTCTTCAGCCGCCATCGCCCGCAGACCGGGAATTCAGATGGCATGATGGAGAACGGCATGGCTGAGATTCCCGAGGAGCCTTCACATAATAGAATCGTCGACGCGAGAAATGGCTTTGTTCGTCCGGCTGCTTGGAGAGCAGCGCAGGGCGAGCAGAATCCTTCTCATAATGCTCCGGAGGGATATCGAGCCCTTTCGCGAAGTCAGACTGATAATCTTGAGATGAGGAGGCTGTGAGAAAATGTGTGTGTTCATGACTACCTTACCTTACACGGGTATATATGAAAAGTTCGTAATAGATCTAGATATAGATGCGATCATCATTGTAGTAGTATGATCCACTTCTTCCAGGGCCGTGCTGTTCTCAGTTGAACATTTCTGTGTCTCTCCTTGCGAGGATTGCTGTGATGATTATGAAGGCTTGGGGGGATATGTTGCGTGCATGTGGTTTYTAGGGTTAGGGTTGGGGTAGTGCCCAGGTGACGGTCATGTCGCGCACGATCTATCTGCGTGCACTGCAATGTGTCGGCTAGGAGGGTGGGTTGGAAACATTTTGTTTAAAGAGGTCTGCAAGCTCTTACTTGGTTATGAACAGCATCGTTCCGCTACTGTAATGTGGGTCTTATCAAAGACAGTAGAAATATTTCGAGCATGTCCATCCGAGTCCACACGAACCGATACTCATAGTCATAGGCGACCTCGCGACAAGAACACGCCATTCGTGCCTAGTGAACGGGATGCAGCTCTGAACATCGAGGAGCGCCGGATGCATTACAAATACATACTGCAATGCTTCACGTACATGTAGCGACCACTGCTACTTCATCACCGTCACCGCCACCGTCTCCTGCCTGCTCATCGCCGTTCGCATCATCATCACTCTCCCACTCATCATCCGTACCCTCAATATGCTCAGGTACCTCTGGACAAGCTGTCCCTCCCTCAAGAATATACTTTGCGATTTTCCGTTCATAATTATTACCCCTTTGGCTCTCCAAATGCCCAAACCAATAAAACAGTGAATCATCCGGGTTTTCAAATCGACCACGCAGCTCGACCACTCCAAGATCCAGAAGTTTTCCGGCGAACATCGAGAAGCACGATCTCCAGTCTCCTGACATCAATCTCACCTGTGCTAGTTGGAGAAGCTGAAGTTTATCGTGGCGAAGAAGAAAGTCGCTGAGATCGTCCGGGTTGGCTTCGATCTTGCTGATTATGAAGCTGGTCAGGTTTGGCCAGAGGTTGGCGCCTACTATGGTGGGTAAGCGAGGACAGGACCAACCGCTCTCATTGCAGGGCATTTCCAATTCGAGGAAGCGGAGATGGGGCGCATCGGCGAGGAAAGTTGCGAGGTTGCCGCCTTCGAGATCCTCAATGATCGCTTCGTATTCGTCCGGATCAACGTCGAGATCATCGTTCAAGAAAGGGGTCGCCAGCTGCCAGGATAGGACCTCGACGTTTCGAAGAAAAGCTGCCGCTTCCTCTACTAAGTCTTCTTCCGTCGTCAAATAGTGGGTCACGGAAGCCAGTCGTAGCTCCATCGGGCTGAAATCAGCGTCGTACGCAGCTTGGATTAGCCCGGTCACGGCGTCCAGTCCTTGAGCATCGCTAGATGGATCTCCATGCGGTATGACGAGTCCCTTTTGAAATATGGCATTCTTGCGTGTCGTTGTTAGACGCAGGCAGTGAGCCATGGTAACCTCCACAGTCACCAGGTTGGGACAGCCTCGGAAGAACGCRGCGTAGCACTCACGCATCGTCGATGGCTCCCCTTCAGCAAGAATGTCCTGGTCCTCCACCAACCGACAATAATATTCATAGCACTCTCGTAGCTCGGCGGCTGGTATTGCTGGCCTTTCCGCATCAGCACGGGCATTTGCCCTTTCCGACTCTGCCAATAGACGTGATATTTCATTGTTTCTCGCCTCCCGTATCGTCTCATCTGCCCACTGCTCACTTGACAGCGGGACTAGATTTTCGAGACCCTCAAGCACAAAGTCGCGCCGGTAGCGTTCCAAGTCCCCCTGCCGCTCACGCCGTTCGTTCCATTCCTCATAGGTGGGATAGTCCTCTAAGCGGTCTGCCTGTAAACACAATGCACGCACCGCTCGAGCGATTTGTGGATGTCCAGCAATTGCCCGTACATTTTCGCAGCTTTGACGATGAAAGTAGGCTACGACCTCCGGGCGGAGCAGGTGATCATTGGCGACATTGCGTAAGGTGCGGCTCGTCAGGCGTAGAGATTTGATCGAAGGAAGTCTGGTGGAGAGGAAAGAAATGTTAGCTCTTCACGATGGGAATAAGTAGATGCAATTCGCGGGTAGTCTCGATGGGTTTCCTTACGAACAGAAAGTACAAATCAGGTCAAGCAGCTCTACYGGGAGCGCTTCCAGCGACATGTTTTGATGTTGGTCAGTGAATGTTTGCAACTTTTTCGTCCCAAACCCTTGTTCAGTTTATTGAGTGAAGCGGGAGCTCCGGACAGGATCCGCCCATTGTCGCAATCTCGCCCACGCCACTACAAACGGAGCCATTCGCTACACGTTGATTGGCGATGTACTCGGTCTCGCAGGGCATCTCACTAACATCCATCACTGAATCATGGAATGGTAGTATCCATGCGCGTGCTCGCATGAGACGATCTTGACAATGCCGCCTTCGGAGAAATTAGACTTTCCACGTGAGATTCACACCTGCCCTACCTTACTCTGCTCCACTCTTCGTTATTCACTTCACACTCCACCTTCTTTCACACCTACCTTATGTTACGACGACGACGACCACATCCGGCGCATCGTTTAGAGTGGCAGGCCGTGACAACATAACTTTGCTCGACTGTCTGAAAGATCCAGCCATGTACGCAGACATGCCGGAGAGAGATGGAGAACAATGCACGACTGCTGGTCCACGCCGGCGCGTCAAGCACGCGCCAAGATGACGACCAACGCGTCGCGCAAGCTGCGGCATACTTGAATCTCGAAAATACGACGGTATTGCGCACTCATGTTGTCTGGCCGCCCCGCCGTTCTGGTTCTGGCAGCGAAATATTGCAAGACTGCCAGCAAAGCAACGCCGATGCACCCGTGGACGACACGTCTGACGGGCTTGACTCGCTGACTTTCATCGATGATACTCAATTAGCCTATACGTTATTGGAAAGCCAGTTGTTGCCGTCCTCAGCCAGGACTCTACATCCTACATCGACCAAGAGGCGATCTCGTGACTTCTTCCCTATCAGTTCCACGGCACCGACGCCGAACAAAGCAACCCGAGTATCAGAAAGTCCCAATTCTCGACCTCGATCTCTTGAGGAAGGAACTCGCATTGAAGGGTTTGAATTCGAGGCAGATCGTGCAGTGCGCAGCACTGAACAGGATGTGTCTGATCAACGACAGWCCTACCAGCCAACATCCAAGGAGAAGTCCCAGACGACTGAAGATGCAACTACTAGCAACGACACGACTTCGGAGCTACCAAACTCCTACTCGCTCGATAACATCAGCGATGGAATCCAGGGACCACGCTTATCAGAGCGGTCTGTTAGCGATCCAGGACCTACTCCCACCAAACAAGGTGAGAGTGGAGCGGATTCTTCGCTGGTTTCAAGTCCKGGGACTCTCATACGCAGACGGCAGCAAATGGTCGAGCAGGAATCTAGCCATGTGGTTATCCAGCCGCCTGCTGATCCTCACGCCGCATCCACGAGCGATCCGGCCGAGAAAGACTTACTTGCCAAATTCGAGTCTTCCCCACGAAAATTGTCCACGTCGATCGACCCCCCTGGACCGGTGACCTCAATCGAGCCATTCACTACGCATGTCACACCCACTCTTCACAAGCTGGCACAAAATCCCGAGCTATCTGCGACGTTCCAGCCGACTGTGGTTGAACGAAGTCTAGATGTCCATGAACGTGGGCATTGGGAAGTGCAGTGCTCCAGTTGGACTCCAGAATTGCAAAGCTCCTTCTGGAAAACGTTAGAAACGGTAGTGGGGACGGGGAAAGCTGGACGGGGCGTTTGGTGKTCACGAGGGTCGGAAGACCCGCTGCCTTCTCAGTCGAGCCAGCGATGTGATCAACCTGCAGGAGAGCCCATCAAGCCTTCCTTCAGCCCAGTCCGTGTGTACTGTTGGGGGGAGATTGCCAAACACATCTATCTTTTGCTATTTATTGCGAGCAATAGCAAGATCCGCAAGCTTGGGCTAAGATGGGTTGATGCACAAGGCTTGGTAGTGCTTCAAATGAGGGCAGGCTGATTGTTGAGATTGAATGACAGAGCGACTGCAGACATCACAGCCGATGGAGCAACATTGGTTGACGTTGGAAGAAATATCAATGCACAATCTCTGACCAATTGCTCGAAGGCTGTTGGTGGAGACCGAGCTTCTGCGATTCCCAGCAGACAGGCGACAGCTGTTACTAAATTCGCTATACGTTGCACAGCATCCTTCATTTTGAGCTTATCGGCACGCTGCGATTTCAAGGCCCAGAACAGGGGTTTCGACAAGAGTCTAGCCAACGTACAGTACACCACTTTGCCGTCTTGTCTGGCCATGCTCGGAGACGTGACTGGAAAACGGTGGAAGCTGCATATGCGAATGATGGCCTGCATATGCAGGTCGGAAACGCCGATCACACGTCAACTTACGGACCCTGGCTGGTCTAGCACCCGCGGGCAGACGTACGAGGGCGCACACGCAGAGCTGCAGCCCGGCTCCGAAATCTGCAAGATATACAAGCATGTCGGCAGATCTTCTGGCAGGCCGTCGTCATGGAGCGACCACTGTCTTCTCGTAAACGGCTTCGGGTCTGTCCTGCTTGTTAKCGCATAATGACTGCAGTCATGGCCTTCATTGATTCTGCGGCAGTCATGCGTCAAGAKCGTGGGCATCATATCATTCATACCAGCCATGAGTAGGGCTATCTTCGTTAAACGACAAGCTACATTTTATCCGCAAGAACCCATCTTCTACCACTGGGCACAATGATTGATTCCTTGATCAACCACTCGTGGGTACCACTGTCCGGGTGCCAACTCTGTGGACTGATGGATACCTCGCCACCCTTCTTTGCAGCCTCGAGATGCCGACCCATATGCTCCATTCTCTCATCCCAACTACTCGGCCCCTGGAATTGCAGGCCACATRGCAGGCAAAGGCTGTCATTGGGAGGTGTGCGAACGACGCGATAGCATCTGTCCGAAACCGCGTTGGATGCCTGCTCTTCCTTGGTGTCCTTTCCCGGCCTCCTCGACTCTCCATCCCCCGGGGTAAGCTCCTGAGAATGCATTCGGCGGATATGCTGTATGAAGAGATCTTTGCGATTGAAGTCGTTGGGCTTGCGCTCAGCACACCACTCGCATCTCCAAAAGCCTAATCGCATGTGTTGGCTCGTCACATGCCGCTTCCATTCATTCTTTGAACCAAAGGTGGATGTGCAGCCGTAAGGTTGTAGAGGGCAGGGGAAGGCTCCGTTGCTTGCACGAGTGGACTGTGGATCGCTCGTATTTTCTGCTCTGCCGTTGTTTGTCTGATTCAAGGATCGTCTTCTTGGCTGGACGCGCTTGGTCACTTTACTCGTTCGATGATTTGGAGAAGTGGCTGCGCGAGAGGGCTGCGGGCGTCGACGTCGAACCACAGGCGTGTCTGCGGATCGAGGGGATGTTTCTTTATAAACCTGCTCATACTCCGACTGTTCCGCGCTCGGAATGTTGTGATCCGTCTCAATCATCTGCTCGGTCGAGAGTCGCAGCATTGGTTGATATCCCTCTTGCGCTGAAGAGCCGTAGGGACTATACCCCGTAACATGGTCATCCTCGAAGAGCGCCAGCGCATCGGTATGGTGATATTGAACGTCGTTCATTGCGACACAGGAATGTCCGTAAAGCGATTCTTCTTGATCGGTATACCGATGATCCCCAAAGACAGCGACATCAAAACCCGCAGGCCTCCAGATATGGTGGTGGTGGTGCATGGATTCCACTTCTGGAGACGACGACCATGGAGTTTCCTGTCGGTCGTCAAGACTACTGCTCACACCCGATGAGGACTCGAGACCGCTACTCGTTGGTGAGGGCAGGCGACGAGGGATGTGATGGTAGCTATCCTGCATGTCGCTGGGAGTGTATCCTCCTCCACCGGCGGCATCGTAGAGATCTCCAAGAAAGACATGTGTAGTGGCGGCATCAACAATGTCGTCGTGTGCCATGGTAAAGAATGGCCGATCTTGTTCCCGCAGGTAGCGCTGCATGATTGACGACGCCGTTGTTGTATTTACAAGACGCTCATCATGGTCATCCTCCCGCGGATGATGGTGATGGAAATGGAAGCTTTTGGACGATTGGACGCGGTTCATCATCTTCTCGAGCGTTTTCCACAAAGGGCCAGCTAGCCAGCAGGTAGGTAGGTAGGACAGAGATTGGGTTCTTCAGCAGTTCAAAAGGGGATTTTGATATGGGATGGATGGGTGCCAGCGTGACCTGTGCAACTACCAGCGTACAAATCGGGCAAGACAGGATTCTTATAGATCTGACTAGTCGGTCATGAGTCCGTAAGGTAACTTAGCAGCAGGCAGGCAATCGTTCGAAAAGACGCCCCAGACGAGGAAGGCCGCAGCGGAAGGATCGTGCATTACAGGGGGCCCCACAGAAAACCAACCTTCTCATCAAGAAAGAGAGGGCGGCGAGGTAGGTAGGTAGGTATTGCTTGTATGTAAGAAATTCAGAGAAGAAGAAAAACCACAAAAGTTAGATCTTTCGCTGCCGTGTAGCGATCCGTTACATGTTATTAGCTCTGTTTTTTAATGGTGGGCCTCCCACATGCTGCCTCCCTCACGAACGAACGAGCCGTTGGCGCAGTTGCATGGATGGCCTGTACTGCACGAGCGCCACATGTCCAAAACCGGTGAACCAGCGTGCAGCAAATGAGCATCATGCTGCCATTTTTTTTCGCTCGGCGTTGGCGGCCGACAAGAGTTGCCGCCCTTAAGTTAGTTCTAAGGTACCTTGTTCTGGACATTTTAGGGCACATGGTAAGTGATGCACACACCATCATGCAGGACGATTGATGAGATTGCTTGCCTTCGCTTGCTCAATATATGTGAAAAGAGGTCAAGAGGTGTCTTTTGTTCCATCAAATGCATGAAGCGTTCATGTCGGGCCGACAAGTGGGAATGAGATGGAGCTTCCACCTTTCCGAGTGGTGTGTCCCCCCCAACGAGGGGTCTGAGTCTGGGAGGGGGACCAGAGATTATTATCGCAGCTGCAAGCCACTTTCCACACTCGCTGCACGCCTGGGCCCTCGATTATTCTATTCCGTTCCAAGTATGTGTGCTCTCTCTCTCTCGCCTGAGCGTGATTGCCATATCAACAAAAATGTTGGAGAAGATGATGGATGATGGATGCTGGTCTTGCTGTTGGTGGTGGCAGAGCTCTGCCGCAGCATGTTGTTGCCTTTCATTTCTGCATTGTGACGCGCTACTTCCTGCTATTTTCGTTGGGTCTTGGAGGCGAGGGCGCAGGCGGCCTCATGGAGGCTGAGTTGTTTTGCTGTGTTGGTGGGAAGATAAAGATGGGGGTTTGAGGTGTGGAAAGTTTGAAATGGAGGCGAGCAGCACCATTTGCACTGCCACACTCGCAGCAACCTGATCGCTTGATGAACAATAACATAGACAAGCCTTTACTGAACTCGAAGCAATGGACATCGAWCTCTCTTGTCACCTATACTAAAGCTTAAGTTTGAACTTGTGCTCAGTTGGTAAAAACCAGTCAGCAATCTTGTTCGCCTCTTTCCAGGTCACAGATGTCGCAGTATCCCTCAAGGGCTTGCCTCCGTTTATCCAAGTGGCAATCTCGTCATCTGCATGAGCTTCTGCATCATATCCGTAACATTCAATGACCGTTCCTGARTGCAATATAAGTAAGATACACTCAAAGAGATACCCGTGATTGCTTACCTGGGTCGCCGTAGAGGTTCGCGCTCTTGATCGGGACCTCACCCTGCAGCTCGCGACGCATCGTTTTATCCCTTGCATCTGCAGCTGGTCCATCTGGCAGATGCCAAAGCCATCCATTAAGATAGGAGACTTGCTGTTTATAGCTGGCCTTTGGCATCCGCCCTTTCTCATACACGCCAACAGCGTCTGCAATGTTCAAACGACCATCGATGACAGCTCCAATACAGCGTGCGAGGAAAGCGCCATCTTCCATACTTGTTGCTGCACCTTGAGCCATGTGATTTGTCCTAAACCACGAATGAGTATCAATGATGCATGCGAGGAGTCCTCGGGAAGTCCGCTCGTTGATACTAACATGGAGTGTGCGGCATCACCCATAAGAACAATGTTCTTCTCCGGATTAGACCAAGATTCCAGCGGCCCCGTCAAAAGTAGCGGCCAGCGGGATATGGGAGGCTTGATCTTGTCGATAATTCTGCGGATTCGTGGGTCGAAATCCTTGTATTCATTGCGGACCTCTTCCACGCTGACTTCTTTCACAGTGTCGGCCAGYGATTCACGAAAATGGCTAAGTACGAGGTTGAAGTCTTTGGCGTTGGATATGGGGTATGTGATTATGTATCTGTAATGGCTCAGCGATTGGAGACGAGACGAGACGCCCGAGAGTACTTACCCAGCGGGCGACATCCAGACTTCCATTGTCTTTAGTAAGTTGCCATTTCCATCTTCAACCAGCTCTCTAGTCAAGGGATCTTTCCTGATCTCATCGTATGGTACTATGGCCCTATAGGCTGCGTTCCCGGACGGGGCCTTTGGCTTGACCTTGGGAAGCATTTGTTTTCGGGTGATGGATTGTACTCCATCAGCGCCGACAACCAGATCAAACACGTACGACTTTCCCGAATGCGTCGTGACAAGCACCTTACCGTTGGCTTGCTGTTTGAAGTCCGATACCTAGACAGCGAAGGGTGAAAGGTAAGCATAGAGCTCAAATGTCCCAATGTGTATGGAGGCCTCAAAGATAAGCTCTATGCCTCTCATACTTGATCTTGACTCACTCTGCTATCAATCAACAGGTTCACCTACAAAGCGAATTGCGGAATCGTTAGCAATTTCCGAGAGCATTCGATGCGGACAGAGGTACAGAGCAGTTCGAAAGACAAATTCGCACGACGATATATGCCTTTGGTCTTTTAATATCTTACCCCGTTGCTGCGAGCGATCTTGACAAGACCTTCATGCAAGTGATGGCGATGGACCAGCCACCAAGGGAATCCTAATGCCTCTTCGACGCGGTTGATCAAAGTGTACCCCGTCTTCGTGCCGTCTTGCCGTCGTAAGTTGAGCTCCTTAAATTGGACGAGATCATCTCCAATGGCTTTGTCGATGCCATATCGTATGAGTAGACGAGATACATTCGGTGTCTTGGAAGTTTCTGATGTCAGCAAGTCATCTCATCTCATTTCATGACTGGGACTCACCATCTGTATGCCTGCTCCGATCTCCCCGAGTTGCGTCGCTGCTTCGAGTACAGTAACATTGCCCCCGGCTCTGGCAATGGCGATGGCGGCCATCACACCGCCAATGCCACCGCCAACGATTCCGATGTGGAGCTCCTGTTTTCCCATGATGAGGTCGTCTGATTCTCGAGTATCTTGTCTCAAGTACCACGAGCTTGCTTATGTATCCTGCTCAATAGCAAGGCTGCGTCATAAGCGGTAGATATAACTCTAGTCCGAAACTCGCTCGAAGTTCGCGGTGTGAAGCTCCAGCTGATCCTTTACGCGAAGTCGCAGCCTCTCGTCATAGTCACGATCGCCCGGGATCGTCTGCCATGAGGACTGCGGAGGATGAGGCTCCCCGCAAACTCTTCTACGCGGCAGCAACCTTCGAGGGTCGATCGGCTGCCGTCTCGGATTTCTGTCGGAGAAGAGAGGCGTCCACGTCAAGTACTCCGTGCGAATAGCTACATCGCAACCCTAGGTTGTCGCAAAGGAAGGAGTACTAATGCATATTGCAGCGAGCTTGAAATTGTCGGAACGTCAGCGAAAGCGTGATGGCTATACATCGAAGCATAGAACTGCGCTGATGACGAACGTCCTAAGCATAAATGCTGTAATCCTAGTAATGAGTTCAGAGCCAACAACCAGGTCGACCAAGCCAAGGATGGCTTCCCGATTCTAGATCGTTCCTCATTGGGGTCGGATGAGTGCTGGCTTGAAAGGGTGTAGTGCAAGCGTGGTGTAAGTGAGGGGGTTTGAGAAGATTTGATTAGGAATGGAGAACGAATCATTGGGAGAAATTTGTTTTCCAAAGCTGGAATGCGCGGTACCAAGAGTCTGCGTTGAAGCTTGAGAGATGTGTGGTCGAAGTACGGTCATCCCGAGAGCATAGCGACGCCCCGCGCGACCTCGAGCTGGAGAAGGAAGTGCTGTTCAGACAAGGCAAGAGCCCAGCGACTCGCATGGGTCCACATTGATATTTGCATTTCATTCTCATGATCGTTTCAAGTTGGTCAAGACGGCAAGTAGAGAAAGAGAGGGAGATCAGAGGTGAGGAAATTCTTCCATTGACTGTACTGATAGAAGAACTATACATTAGTCTGTCGTCACCACCGACAGTGTGAAATTGAATAAACAAACGCTCGCTTCTTTATTCCGTCCCAAGCAGTGGTATCATCGTTTCCCTTCGTTCCCAAAAAAGCATCCGCCATGTTGCGACGACTTTTTGTGTCCGTAAGCCGCAACGACGAGATATTCATCGTGAGTGCGACAAATTCAGTCCAGGGAAGACCGTCGCGTAGATTCAAGTCGAGTTTGCAAGTCGATTGCTTACAAAACGAGAGCAGCGAGGGCACCCATGGCGAGCATTGGTGCAGCGGTGATGTAAGAACCGGAACCAGATGATGTGTCGGTGGCAGAGCTGACAGCGCTGCTGGCGTCAGAAGAGGCGGAGTCAACAGCGGATGAGGCAGATTCCATGACAGACGAGGCAGCGTCAGAGGCGCTGGACATGACGCTCTCGACAGAAGAAGAGGCCATGGTAATCATGCTTCCAGCAGACTCGGTGGCGGAGGAGACCATGTTTCCAGCAGAGTCGGTGGCAGAAGAGATCATGCCGCCAATGCCGCCAGCACCGTAGATGGTGGTAGAGCCGGTGGTAGTGGTGATGGTGGAGCCATCAGTGGTGACGACGCCAGTGAGCGCAGAGGTGGTGATGGCAGAGGAGCTCTCGTTGTCGCCGGAGCTGCTGCCGGTGGAGGAAGCAGAGGCAGAGCCAGATGCAGAGCCGGAGCCAGAGGCGGCGTTGAGAGCAGCTGATGGGGTCCGTTAATGAAAGATTCTCGAACGCGTCACATCGGGGTAGTACTTACTTGCGCAGTATGCCACACCGTAGGAGATGGCCATCTCAGCGTCGGAGGAGTTCTCGCAAGCCTCGTTAGAGCAGTCACGGATGCCGTTGCCGAAGTCCGCGTTCTGGCAGAAGCAGGAAGCCTCACCAGCCTCGCAGCCAGGGAATCCACGTGCAATGCCGACCATGTTGCTAGAGAAGATGTTAGCATTGCGCGCGGGCAGAGACGCGACGGTACAACGACGCGACGGTGGAACGACGACACGTACTTGATGCAGARCTGTCCACATTGTGGGAGCGCGGCGAGGTCCTGTGCAGCGGCGAAAACGGCGGCCGYGGCCAGGAGAGTGAATGAGGCCTTCATGGTAGTGGATGGGAATGTGGATTGGTGATGATAGTTCGTGGGCTGGAGAACGTTTCCTGTTGACGGCGACGTTGATGTGCGGAGGATGGACGTTTGAAGGTGGGTGGGAGCGAAAGAGAAGTTTGCGAAGAGAGCGGGCAAGAGCGTGGTTTTGGATGTCGCCGCTACTGAGGGCAACAGGAATCTTGACAATTCATGGGAACGTGACGATCACAACTAACGGTTAGCGAACCAAGCAAAGCCTATCATACACCGTACCTGCATGACGCCCAAAACTCGTTTCCAAGGGGCCGATAGTGTGGCGGTGAAAACACGGGGGCGCGTCTAGCTCACATCGACGGCAGGCACACACGTTCTGGATTCTGCTTCAGGCTTCAGCTTGCTACATGGACATCTAGCATCCGACGATTGACGTTTACACCGCGCGAAGACGCTCGAGCCTGCCGACAGCCGTGCCCAGTGCGCAACAAGCACTGCCGGTACGCCCAATCTATCTAGAGCCGACGTCATCATTCCAATCGATATAACGCGGTCACTGCGAGGTGTTCGTGCACTCGCATCATCGGCAATAGACTTCCCAAGCGGATATCGGACTCGGGCAAATAATAACTTGGACAGCAAAGCAGGTTGCCACGGAGAGTACGCAACATGTCGTAGGCCATGCAGCTTGCGCACRCTGCTGCTTCCATGTGGTTGGGACAAGCATACGTCGTGCAGCATGCTGCAGATGGAGGGCAGCTGGTCTGGTTCGTCACCAGCCACACGTGAAGCAGCATTGATCGCTGATCAGTCTGAGCTTAAGATCACGCGTCGGCGTGGGAACGGATCTGGCTGTGGCGCAGTCGACCCCGTCTTACTCCTCTGCGGCCAATGGCCCGCGATTCAATCTCCGAGCCTCTGATTCGATTTGAGTGGTTCCCAATCTCCGCCACCCCACGTCGCAAAGTGCTCCAAGTATCTTGCGTGCACTGTGGAAGGTGTTGAGAGGGAGGCGGGAGGGTGGAGATGCTGTGTTTCGTGGAAATGGGCCGGGTTGGACACCGCTTGGAGCACAAACAGGATTGAATGATGTTGCTCGATCAACCCAGCCTCATCGCGCATTAGCGGCTGCACCATTGGCCTACAGCCAAGATTTACCAGGATGTCACTAGAAACTTGGCAGTTCCGAATCAGGTATCGCTGATCTATTTGATTTTCTTCGGCTCTTTGAGTCGGTCACCGCAATCGTTGAGTCGCCAACGTAACACGAGGGTGGTCGTCGACCGACGACGAGACTCACAGAGGTCGGAGAGTAGTTGCACAATGTTCCGTGACAGATACATCTAAGATTGGAGTGAAGCCACAAAGGGGTGGTGTTGATGAGGTTGTTTGTCCAGCGCGGCAAAGGTCTCACGCTGTCCGGACTTAGATTCTGTGCCAGCGTTCATCAGTGGCTGGCTTCATCCGTCAAAATCTCCCGACCAGACCAATGAGGTGGGATTACCCGACATCACCTCGCACGCACGTTCCAACTAGATTAACGCGAGAGCATGCTTTCATCGACCTCGATTGTAAAGTTCAATTTTCATTTCAAAGCCACGCTGTATGCTCAACACCATAACTGCCGAGCGCAAAGATACATGACATCAATGCAGTCGCAAGTGGACTGCTTCGACCACGTCCGGATCGGGTGTGTCTGTCGCTCTTCCGCAACCCTCAATTCAACACCGAAACCTGCACCGTTGTGCAGTCCGGGAAGTGTCTTGGAGTGCCCACAGAACCAGAGCCTCGCAGAACCGCATCAATCCTCCATCTTATCGAGAACGTCAGAGTCTTGAAGTGAGACCGYGTTGCTATCGTCGGAATCATCAGCGCTCTCGTTCCCGGCTTCGACGTCGTTCGGCCTGTTCGCTTCAACATCCGCCTCCTCCGCCGCATCAACCGCCTTTGGCGCGATGGCGACGTTGCTAGCCTTCTGTCGCTTGCTCTGGTCCGGCTCGTTGTTGTCCTTGGGTTCTTCGCCAGAGGTATGCGTGTCTCGCTTTCGCTTCTCGCCAGCCATCTGAATCTTGAGCATGTTTCGATGACTGGTCCGCATGCCGAAGTAGTCGATGTACTTGCTAAAGTCCTTGACGTTCTCATCATACCACTCCCACTCTCCTGGCTGGTATCCCTTCGATTTGGGCTGAGTCTGCTTCTGTCCCAGCGCAGCAGAGATGCGCTTCGTTATGGTAGCCTTGTCACAGTAGCAGCCGTTGTGGCAGAAACGATCTCGAACATCCTTGTTTCCACAACCAGCCTCACTCGTGATGCGAAGGAGCATCGATCGCCACAGCAAATCCGGGCAAAAGTCAACAATGCACTCCGCGGCGACCTTTGTGAGAATTGGAGTGTTCTCAAGTTGCTTGCGGGTGACGACGGTATCGCGCACTGAGAACTTGGCTTGCTCGAGATTCTCCGTCATGCCCTTCTTACCTGGGTCCCAGTAGATTTTGATACTCGCCTGCACCTCTGGGTCAACTTCTCCCTCCTCTGCTGCGTCAATGACTTCATCAGGAGACGTGAACCCAAGATGAGCGGCCTTCTCCTCGTCCGCAGGAGTGGAAAAGGCATAAACTCCAGAGTGGTAAGGATCACCACCAACATCACCTTTCGGACGGCCCTCCCTCTTCTGTCGTACCTTCTTACCGTCAACTTCAGAGGGATTGCCCGCCTTTTCCTTGAGCTTTTTAGCGGCGCGGGCGATGCCTGCAGCATGTGTTGTCAGCTTTGCGAGAGCGTTCTTTTCTTGTAAGCGCTTACGCTGTTGTTCTTGGATTTTGGCGTCGATGTCTTCGATGACTGCAATGTTTTTGGTGCGTGTCATTGCCATATCATTGAGTGTTTCCGGGTCGTAGACGCTGAGGTCCCAAGCGGCCTTGGCCTTCTCCGCCTTGAAGTCCAGGTTGCGCGTCCAAGGGAATTCTTCGGCTTCGGCGTGTTTGCGCATGCTCTTACGACCAGGCTTGTTGCCGGGCTTCTTTTCGATCGGACGCTTTCGTGCTGCGTACGGTGGGGTCTGCGGAGGGGGTGGAGGAGATTGTGGGGGAGGTGTTTCCTTTTTGGCTCGACTGCGCGCGTTGTTAGTAAGAACGAGGATGAAAGGAAAGGATGGCAAGAATTACCGCTTAGTCGGCTCGTTGTACTTGTATGGGGTTGGCGGCTGGTAGTGACTGTATGGCGCAGGCGGAGGCCCGGCCGGGTAGCCCATTCCAGGATGACCGTATGCACTTGGCGGATACTGATACGACGGTATCGGGTGACCTTGCTGTGGGTGAGGCTGAGCGTACTGATGATAAGGCCACGGCATACCTGGTGGTGGTGGGAAGTACATCGCCCCTGCTGGTGGCATACCGGGGTGTATCGAAGGATACTGCATGCCTGGTGGTGCCATACCTTGTTGGGCGTTTGGAGTGTGCGCCATCGGATGTCCTGACATAGGGTGCGGCATGTTCTGCTGCATGTTCTGSGGCGGGTACTGCGGCATGTTCTGCTGTGGGTGTGGCACATTCTGCTGAGGTAGATTCTGATGAGGCACGTTCTGCTGTGGAATGGGTTGCTGCTTGGTGTTCTCCTGCGCAGGGTCCTGCTGAGTAGCATTTTGCTGAGGAAGGACTTGTTGCGTCTGACCTTGTTGAGGATCTGCATGCTGGGGAGTGTTCTGCTGAGCGGGAGTTTGATGTGCAGTATCCTGCCGAGGTGCGTGCTGGGACTGCAAAACCTGTTGTTGAGGTACTGGCTCTGTTACATCTTGAGATCGACGTCTATCCTGAGATGCTCGCTGCGGTGGGAGAGGTCGAGATGGCTCTCGCGGCAGGCGATCTTGAGAATACGTATGCGCTTCCCGGCCGGTAGGGTGTTGTCCGTAGATGGGGATTCCAAGCTTTCGCCAGCGTTGGCGCTCGTGCAAGCGCTGGTATGCTAGCATCGCTTCGTCTTGGGGGATGAGCCATTGAGGAATTGGAAAGTCTTCAATGTAGCGGAGCATCTCGAGGTCCTTATCTTGCTGGTACAGCTCGGTCATCTCCCAGTTGTCGTGGATTCGGCGAATGCAGACCTGACTGTACATCAACTCCCACTGCTTGCGCGCTCTTGGAGAGAATTCAATCCATGGTCGATCGGACAGGGCGTATTCCTCGCTGTCATCTTCGGAAGACGACTCCACGGAGATGACGGACTGATTGTCGCTGAATACATCATCTTCGTCGGTTCCCATATCGTAGTCCGTGTCCTTGAGTTCATACTCCTCGACTTCATCGTCATTGTCGTTGTCGTGTTGCGCCTTGGAGGCGCTTGGCGTCTGTACAGGTGCCTCAAAGTGACGTCAGCGAAGTGAACGAATACGCAAGCACAAAGCATCACACACCTTTCCCTTGCGACCCCACGGTCTGTTCGATGTCGATATTGATTGATCTTGAGAATCGGCGTTGGTAGGAACGACTGGATCACTGCTGTCGGAGATGAGGATTGCAGACATCTTCTGCTTGACCGTGATGGTGTCTGCTGCCGATGATCGCTGGCGCCGAGGACGCGCGCTGCTGCGCGTTGACGGACTGGCGGTAGAGGTGGGTTTACCCATGACGGGCGGCATGTTCTACGGTTTCACTTGATCAGCGGTTGAACTCGAGGTGAAGTCAAAGTATCCAAGTGAGTTGATAAGTGACAGAAGTGTGGCAAGGGAACAAACGTACATTGAGTTGCAGAGGTCATGCGGCTGTCRTGGATGGATGATGGTGGATGTTTCGAGGCGTCGTTGACGTGGATAGAACGTGGTTTGTAGGTTCTTTCTAGCGCCGGCAAGTTTGGAAGGAGCGACGCCAAGAATTCGTTGACATTCACTCGCAGAGCTTGGACGATCAGGTGATCACCACAAAATCACGCTGCCGCTCAAATCCGGGAGCTTGTCTGACAGGTAGATCCAGTATTCACTGCACGCGATGGCTTCGTGTTGAAGTGATTCTGTACCACGGAACTGGAGGGTGAGACGTAATGTCAGAGACGACTCGAGCGAGAGCAWAGCTGATCGAAAACCGCCCTGGACTGACCAAGTGTTAGCGAGAGCTTTCAAGACTATGACGTTGTTGTCGAGTTGGCTTCGAAAGTGGACGATTGCATTCACTTTCGAATTCACTTCATCATTCACTTGCCTGATTTCCGAGCCTAGGGTGATCCCACGCGCGCCGAAATGGCAACCTCGTCGCTTTTAGTTATTGACCCGCACTTCTGATTGCCGCTATCGGATCATTAGTAGGTTAATTGATGGAGCTCGTTACCGTTGCGGATGATCACGCATGCTGTTGATGTTGAAAGAAGAAAGCATTCACGCGAAGTGCAACCCTTCCCGACGCTAAAGTTTGGCGCTAACGAAAAGGGCCCACCCCTCGCACGGACTTTGGACTTTGAGTGACAATCACAAAGTCAGAAACAATCTTGACGTGCACGGAAATGTTCGAAGTACGCATGAGATCCTTAAGTAGCTATGATAGCTTATAGAATCGGAGTTCGACTGAACTTCGCTGCTCACCAGCGGCAACGGCACGTAAATATAAGTTCCTGTGAGAATCACTCTCTCTCCTTGGAGCCTCTCCACCATGAACCCACTTTGCTCCGTCCGCAGATTCTGAACGTCTGCATGTTCAAGACGTTTCTTCGTTTCCTTTCAAGCAAAGGAAACAGTGACAGTCCACCAATTGAAAATCTTCAAAAGATAACTTCACCGGCGTGCTCGCCTTCGAATCCGAGCTCGGCCAGTTTCTTTTGCTTCGACTTGTCGCTCTTTTTCCGCTGCTTGTCTTGTTCTTTCTTCATCGCGAACACCTTCTCCACAGGAGCTGCCTCGAACGGAGGTGGGACATAGTCGTCCTTGTCCAAGTCCTGTGCCTGGGGTCAGCAGATGGACATTTGTTGGAAGCATAGATTGAGTGTACAATCTCTCCAAGAAGTAAGACATTTTCTCCTCGCACGAGGAATAGTCCACGCTTGATATCGGCGTACAGGTTGTCCACGAAGAAGCGCTCGATCGTGTCTTGGAGCACCAAATTCCCTATCATAGCCGGTCAACGTGCCATTCCATGTGTGTTTCCTTTGACCATCCCAATGCCCAACATACCGAACTGATCCCAACTGCGCAACACGCCAATCAACTTCCTTCCGTCTCGCAGCGACAGCAATAGCTTTTCTACAAATCGCTTATTGGTCATCGATGTTCCATGTACGGTCATGCGCCACAAGATGCGCACTCACTATCGGTCAGGTCGAGCAGTTGTGCGGCGGTGGTGAACATCTGCGGTGGCAGTTGCGGAACTGGCGGCGGACCGGACTGCATGGCCGGCGGGCCTGCATCCTGAATGTTCAAGTTCTCCATGTGCTCATTGGTCGTGAGGGTGGGGGTGTGAGGTGAGGACCGGTGTTGTTGTTCAAGCCATGAATGTTGGACGGGGTTTGTCGTTGGTGTTGGTGTGAAGCGTGATGCATCATCATCGCGGGGATCGGCAGCGCAGCGCAGCAGAGCTTCCCGTCTTGAGCGCATGTCAGAACATCACTTCTACGCTGCACGAGACCACGCATTCCGAGAGCATTTCAGGCCCGACCGAAACATGAAACGACGGCGATAAGGACACCCAACATGCTGTCAGCTTTCAAGGCACAGTCCATACACGAGCTCAAGGCAAGAGACAAGTCGCGCATCGAGTCGCTGCTCGCGTATGGCGATCGATTGCTTGTAGGACTAAGTAATGGCTATCTGCGAGTGCACCGCGTAAATAGCGAGGAGCCGGCGGGTTCGGCGCCGGCGGGTTCAGATGACAGTGCGGACAAGGACAAGGACACTGTCGGGAAACTCGATACCGTGAGCAGTGGAGATGGCACGACCGAGACGAAGACCAAGCCGGTAGAGCTTATGCGCGAGGTGGAAAACTTCAGCCGTCGCCCGGTTCAGCAGCTGGCAATCATTAAAGAGGCGAATCTGCTGGTCAGTCTGAGTGACACGTATGTCTCCCTCCACGACCTGAAGACCTTCCGTCTTGTCGAGCGATTGGAGAGCACCAAAGGAGCAGTGTGCTTCGCCGTGACGAGCAATGTGGTCAAGGACTCCGACACAAACGTTCCGAGCTTGGTCTCACGTCTGGCTGTTGGTGCGAAGAGGAAAGTGCTATGCTGGACATGGCAGGACATGGAAATGCTGCCCGAAGTTGCGGAGCTCAGCATGGAGGCAAGCGTTAAAAGTCTGAACTGGGCCGATGGCACTCGTCTCTTCGCGGGCATGGACCCAGGATTCAGCGTGGTTGACATCACAACAAGAGAGATTACCGCCATCACCAAGGCCTCGCCGAATCCAGCCGGGGACGTGAACTCTGGAGAGCTGGCAGGCGTTCGGTTCGCCGCCGTGAGCAGCAGTGGAATGGGATATATGGGCATGGGGAGCTGGGTGCCGAAACCCATGGCCACTGGACTGTTTGGGAATCAAGTCTTGCTTGCCAAGGATGTCAACACCCTCTTCACTGGTGTAGACGGAAAACCGCTCGAGAAGCGGCAAGTGCCATGGTCTCTTGCACCAGAGGCGATTGGCTACAGCTATCCATATCTGCTCGCTCTTCAGCCTCCAGAAAAGGGTAGCCTGCAGATTCGAAATCCCGACACATTGACCTTGCTGCAGTCAATCGGTGTCCCTGGTGCGACCATCCTTCACGTCCCGCAACCTAACATCAGCTTGGCGCACGCCGGCAAGGGTTTCTTGGTCGCCTCCGACCGCGTCATATGGCGCATGAATGCATTGCCCTACGATGTTCAGCTTGCAGAGCTAGCCGAGAAGCAGCGTTTTGATGAGGCGACAAGCCTGCTCGAACTCCTCGAAGACACGCTCATAGATGATAAGGCTGGGCGCATTCGCGAGATCATGAGTCAAAAGGCCATATCCCTGTTTCATCAACAAAAGTATCGACTTGCCCTGGACTTGTTTACTGACGCCGAAACCTCACCCGAACGAGTCATTGCATTGTACCCAAGAAGCGTGGCGGGCGAGCTGTCCACGATAGTCGATGAGCCCGAGGCTGAGCCTGCAGCCGCTGAGGCCAACGATGGCAAGGACGAAGATGTCAGCAAAGATACACATTCTACACCTTCAAAAGGCATGTTTGGGATTTTGAAAGGTGGTCATAAGAAAGCCGATTCCGACACTGCTTCGATGAAGTCTCCAGGTAGACTGGATACCGACAACATGAGCATCCGGGCAAAGACCACAAAGAGTGCCGACAAGCCTTTGGAAGGCGAGGATCTCAAAATGGCGTGCCGATGTTTGAGTTCCTTTCTCGCCCAGGCAAGGAAGGAACTGCAGAGGCATCTCAACCCAGATGGTACAATGAAGGAAGATCCACCTTCTATGGATAGCGAAACAGGGAAACCTGCATTCAGCAACCTTCTTCCGAATTCCGTTGTTGATGCAAAGGCAGGAGAGATTGATTGGCGCTCAGAGCTCATTAACACTGCACAGTTGGTTGATACGACGCTCTTCCGTGCATATATGTTAGCGACGCCATTCCTTGCAGGATCTCTGTTCCGCATTGACAATTTTTGCGACCCTGAGGTGGTCCAGTCGGCGCTGTACGAAGGCGAACGGTACAACGACCTGATCGACTTTCTTCATGGCAAGGGTCTACATCGCCAGGCTTTGGAAATGCTCGCAAAGTTCGGCAAAGGCGAAGCTGATGGACAGATTCCGGACGGTATGACAGGGCCGGAGCGCACGGTCGGGTACCTGAAGCAACTTCCCCCAGAGCTTGTCGATGTGGTCTTGGAGTATGTGCGCTGGCCTATTGATGAGAACCCCATAGTCGGGATGGATGTCTTCCTGGCAGACACAGACAACGCAGAGAGACTGCCTCGAGACCAGGTTCTTGAATTTCTTGCTAGTATTGACTCGAAGCTTGAGATACAATATCTCGAGCACATTATCAACGAGCTTGGCGAAGGCGATGCAACATTCCATCAACACCTGGTGGATCTCTATCTTTTAGAGCTCAAGAAGAAGGATCTTGAGGATTCGAGACGAACGGAGATCAAGGGCAAGCTTGAGGCCTTCATGTTGAAGAGCAAGGCTTATAACAGGGCCAAGACCTTGCCGCAGCTGCCTGCGAGTGATCCTACCTTTTATGAGGCTAGGGCTATTGTTTACAGCGCTCTGGGACAGCATAAGCAAGCACTGTCCATATACGTTTTCCAAATCCAGGACTACGAAAAGGCCGAGAACTACTGCAATAAGGGATACATCGAGCAGCAGGCTGAGCGCCAAGCTTGTCTGCTCGATGGAACCACCACACACGAAAAGCCGCATCGGGCGTTTGAACCAGAGGACTCCTCCACCAAACCAAACATTTTTGCCATTCTCCTCGGGTTGTACCTTCGACCCCCGCCCGGTGAAGAGAAGCGATGGCCACAAGCTCTTGAGTTGCTCAGCAAGCATGGCGCTCGACTTCCTGCGAGTAGCACACTCGATCTCATGCCTGACGATCTGGCGGTCAAAGAGCTTCAGGACTATTTTCGCGGTCGCATCAGGAACGCTACGTCAATCCTGCGAGAAGAGCAAATCGTTCGCAGCCTGGAAGGAGTGCGTCGTACCAATACAGAGAGGCTGCTCTCCCTTGGCCCAGATGGCGCTCCAGGTGGGAAGGCACTCGGGAAGAATCGGCGAGTGAGAATCGGTGAGGATGACCATTGCAAAGTCTGTCACAAGCGTTTCGGGGCCAGTGCTGTACGCGTTTACCCGGACAATCAGGTCATACATTATGGATGCATCGGGAGGAGTACTGCACCTGGGGCGACGCGGAGATCTGCTGCGTGGGGGTGATGATTGTTTTTATGATACCCTCGTAGCGTCGAATAATGGGGATTGCCCACATTTCGCCGTACTGGCTTGAGTCCTGCTTCCGGAGACTGCCACCACTACGACACGTCTAGAGACTGCTGCTGCCATACTCTCTGGCCGCCCACCCATGTCTCCAGCACGTTCGCCTGGGCGTCGAGCACCGCAAAATCCGCTCGTCTTCCAGCTGCTACTCTGCCTCTCGTTTCATCTCCCATCATGTCAGATATGTTCTGTGTGACGGTGCGAACAGCTTCGGCCATGCTACAGCCAGACCACTCGATTACATTCCTCACACACTCTGCTAGCGATGCACAGCCTCCGATCAATGTCTCCGTCCCTGCAATCACAACCTTTGAGYCTCTCTTCTCCTGTTTGTGGGGGATCTGAGCATGACCGGGATAACTTCCATCTTCCAATCCGGCGAGCTCAATCGAATCTGTTATGACAATGCACTTCTTGGGATTTGCTCTAAATAACATAGACACCACGCTGGGATGGAGGTGATTCCCGTCGGGAATGAGTGAGAAGAATGGACTTTCAGTCTTGTGGGAAGCTACCGTCACCAGGCCTGCCAGTCCAGGATCTCTGTGGTGCAACGGAGCCATTGCGTTCAGGGTGTGTGTAAGACAGTTGGCTCCACTCTCGACAGCTGAGAGTCCTTGGTCGTAAGTTGCATTCGAGTGTCCCAACGAGACTCGAATACCTTTACCGGTCAAGTTGCGTATAAGCTGTGATGATCCCTTTCCTTCAGGAGCCAAAGTCACAAGTTTCAACGTTTCGGAATCACCCACTATAGGCCCATATACCTCCACAGGCGAGGTTGTCGCATCGAAGAACAAGGACGAATTGTGGGCTCCTTTTTTGGCAGGATGTAAATATGGCCCCTCGGCATGTGCACCAAGCAGCGAAGCTCCGTGGGAGATGTCTCGTGGTTTCGTGTGGGGAAGGATCTTCTTGAAGGCGTCGGAAGAGACAGTTGGAATTGTGATGTAGAATCCAGTCACGCCTTGACTTGGCAGATAGCGTGCGACTTCATCGACTTTTCTCTCGTAGCTAGCTTCATCATCGAAGTGGGTAAAGTGGAAACCTCTCATTCCGTTGGTTTGGAGTTCCAGGAGCCCGGGAGCGACAATGGCTCCCTGCAAATCGATTACATTGTTTGCTGGCTCATTGCTGGTGCCAATGACCAGTCCGGTCTTGGGAGAAAAGTGCAGGTAGTCTTGATTCGCGCTGTACGGTACAAGCTTTCCATCATCACAAAGTGAGAAGTTGTACAAGGATACAGCCATGCTCGTGAGGATTTTAAAGTTAGGTCTCCGAGATCCTGGAGACTTCAAGGTTTTAGCTTAGAGAAGCTGCCGGACAGGGGGTGTGAACTTGAAAGTAACGAAAAGGACTTCCAGCCATCTCGTTCAAGCACAGCATTCGTGGCTGGTACGCTACCACCACCACGATGGAACCACGCGCAAGCTTGGTCCACACCCGGCAGGATGGTCGTCAAAGCGCTTTGTGAGTGAATTGCGAGCCACGCGAGCCAAGAGTTTATGACGACACCGCCCCGCCTGCATTCAGGTTCAAGCTTGACAAGGCTGTGATACCTTGGATCATGACGATTCACAAACGCCTCGCTACTTTGCTTTGAAACAGCCAATGTCGTCTGGGCTGTACTCTATCGCCGACCTCTTGCCGGTTCAGTCGTAAGCTGTGGTTTTTCGCGTTGCTGCCTGCCTGCCGGATTGACTGCAAACGACTTTGCAACGACGATACGAACCCTGCTTGGCAATACGACAGTGATATTGTGGAAATATGGCGGAACAGGCGCCACCTCCACAGCAGCATGCTCCGGGAGGCCACTACAGTGGAAGGAATAAGATTCCCACTGTTGGGGAGTTTATAGATCGCTTGGACAAAGGTAAGCAGGCTGGAAATCTAACCTAGGAGCCGTCCAACTGACAGTGCTGCAGACAAGAAGCAGCGTGACCAGCAAATCGATCAGAGTAAAGCAGCAAAGGGATCCGACGTCGTCGTCCCACATAAGAATGAGGAGAAGCGAGATCCATCAGCTGGAAAGAGAGTCACAGACCCGACGACAGGAAAACAGGTGGTAATAGAGGATGTCAATGATGCATATCTGGAAAGATCGAAGAACCCCGTACTCTCTGTGCCCAACGCCAACTTGGGCAAGGACACGCCAGTGAAGACGGACTCTTCACAGAGCGGTGCAGAGTACAAGGAGATGCAGGACATTACAGCGCCTCCAGATCCGGTGGCGGAAGGTTCTACAAGCGATGTTCCAATTCATGGCGAAAAGACAAACATCCTATTCCACCCAACGCCCTCTGTCAGTTACGAGGCGACTTTTCAGAAACTGGAAGAGCGAGGCTTGTGGCTAGTCATTGGCGTGTTCATTGCTATTGTTGTTCTTGGGCGATCATTCGGAGGCAAATTCATTGGCATCATTCCTCTGGCAGCATGTGTTTCCAGCGGAATCTGGCTGTGGGTCAAAGAAGTTGTGCGCTCTGGTAGAGAGGTCGAGTGGTCGGCAGAGAAGGAGCGTGGCCAGGTTGCCACGGCCAATCTGCTACCAGAATCAGTGGAATGGTACGATATAGTTCAACACGTGGCGGAAAGCATAACGCTAACAACCCATTTAGGATGRACACGCTCATGGGAATTGTATGGGGCCTGGTTAACCCAGACATGTTCCAGGCCGTGGCCGACACTTTGGAAGATGTCATGCAAGGCAAGTGATTGCGACAATTTCAGCTAATGATCTGGAGCTAACAACACAAAGCTTCTGTTCCTGGCATAATCGAGAACGTCCGGGTTGCAGAGATCGACCAAGGCTCGAATCCAATTCGTATACTCAGCTTGCGAGCGTTGCCGGACAGTCACATGAGGGATCTCAAGGAGGCTATCCATGAGGAGAACAAGAAGACGAAAGATCCACAAGAAGCGGCGGCTGACGAAGAAGGAGGCGACTATTACAATCTCGAGGTCTCGTTCGCATACCACGCTGAGCCAACTGGCAAACGCGCCTCCGACAAAGCTCGCAACATGCATATGCAACTGGTCTTCTATCTCGGCATTAAGGGCCTTTTTGGGGTTCCACTCCCGATTTGGGTGGAGCTGCAGAGTCTTGTTGGAACAGTCCGCCTGCGGATGGCCATGACCCCGGAGCCACCTTTCTTAAAGACCTTGACATTCACCCTGATGGGCGTCCCTCAGGTCACAGCGGGATGTACGCCGATGATGGAAAAGGCACCTAATCTTTTGAACTTGCCACTAATAAGCCAATTCGTAAACTACGCCATCGGAGCCGCAGCTAGTATGTACGTTGCTCCCAAGTCAATGTCTCTGGATATGCGCGCTATGCTACAAGGAGACGACATCACCAAGGACACACAGGCTCTTGGTATTCTCTGGATCCGAATCCACAAAGCAGTCGGACTGAGCAAGCAAGACAAGCGCGGCTCGCAATGGGGTGGTTCGGATCCTTACATCACCTTGACATTCAGCAAGTACGAGAAGCCCATGTACTGCACTCGTGTCATCACCGACGATCTCAACCCGGTTTGGGAGGAGACTACTGCTCTACTGGTCACTCCTGAGCTTATCAAGGCAGATGAGAACCTCAGTGTTGAGCTTTGGGATAGTGATCGCCACTCTGCGGACGACATTGTTGGCAAGGTGGAGCTTAGCATGCAGAAGATGATTCAACACCCCGGAAAGATGTATCCTCAGATCTCCAAGCTTGCCGGCATGGACGAAGGCTCCGAGATGCCTGGAGAGCTACACTGGGAGGTTGGCTACTTCGGCAAGCCTGCTTTCCGTTCCGCGCTACGAACGGATGGAAAGAACAAGGCACTACCTGATAGTCTGAAGGACAAGCCGGAGTTGCAGGACGAGAAGGGCGTGACGAACAATGAAACCGATGACGCGGTCAAAACCACTCCACCGGATCCTCTGTGGCCTAGCGGTGTCTGCTCGATCATCATTCATCAGATCGTCAACCTAGAGCTTGAAAACGTCAAGGGCACACAGGGAAGCCGCAATGGCCGCGAATATGAGCCTGCGAAGCAGTACGGCGAGTCCACCGAGGAGGAGGGCGGCAACCTCCCAACCTCATACTGCACCATCTTATTCAATGACGAGCTTGTCTACCGCACCAGAGCCAAGGCCGTCAGCAGCAAGCCAATCTTCAACGCCGGAACCGAGAGACATGTGCGAGACTGGAGGAGCGCCATCATCACCGTCACAGTGCGTGATTCTAGGAACCGCCAGCACGACCCTATTCTCGGAGTCGTTCCTCTCAAACTTTCCGACATTCTGGAAACCAGCAGTCAGGTCACAAGATGGTACCCACTCGACGGAGGTATTGGCTTCGGACGCATCCGTATCTCTTTGCTTTTCCGCTCAGTCGAGACCCGCTTGCCACCGCCGCAGCTCGGATGGGATGTAGGTACATTCATGTTCACGTCTCCCACCATCACTGCCAAGGGCTACAACCACCATGCGCGTATCAAGCTCCGAACAGGTGGATCTGTTGGAAAGATTTCGCGTTCTTCTTGCCATGCCTTGAAAGAGGGAGAGTCAGGATATTATTGGGACTTGAATGTTTCAGCACAGCACGGAAAGCAGGTCAAGCTGCCAGTCAAGTACCGTTACCGCTCACCCGTTGTGTTTGAGCTCCATATCGCCAACAAGCGCAAGGCGGATGCGTACGCTGTCGTGTGGCTGCACGAGTTTATCGATAATGAAGACGCCGAGCTTGACATTCCAATTTATAGGACCTCAGCACCGGCCCGTCTGACACAGAACTACATCACGGAGGAAATGGCCGCCAGCAAAGAACAACCTGGACTCGAAGATCTCGAGGTAGTCGGCAGATTGCGCTTTACAGGTCGCTTCAAGGCCGGCATGGACGAGAGCCACGAGCACTTCGTTGCTGACAACAACTCTCGAGAGACGTTTGAGACTTGGGAGGCTTGTCTAGCTGAGGGAGTCCGAACTCATGTTGTGGAGAAGGAGATTCCTGAACGCATTCAGACACTGCACGAAAAGAGTCTCACCGAGGGTCGCGATGTCTTGAAGGAAGCGTCTGAGGAAGAGAAGCAGAAATGGCTCAGTAAGACTGGGACTGATTGGAGTGGTGCTTTTGGTGATGATCCCGCCAAATTCATGGACAAGAACGGCAAGAAGAGGCGTGAGCCCGGCAGAGATCCCCCTTTCAAGAAGGGCGAGGATCCTGACAATGATGGTATCACTGTCGAAGGTGAGGACGAAGATGACGAGGATGATGATAGCGACAGCGATCTTGGAATCCAGGATGCAAACAATCGCATCGGCTCGCCCAGGTCTGGAGGACGCCAATCTATCGGCACGATGGAGTCTGGCTGGACCGGCGGAACTGGTGGAACTACCGACACGGACGGAGGTCAGTCCAGCAAGGATGTCAACAGACAGAACAAGAGGACCGAGGAGCGTAAGCAGCGAGGCCTCATGCAATGGAAGCCCGCCCGGAACCTCAAATTCGCCAAGGATGAGGGTGTTATTGGTTTGAGGAAGCTCAAGGGCAAGATTACGGGAGGCCTGGACGGTAGACAGCCTGGAGTGGTGAGTTTTGATGTGCCTCCAAGGATGTTGATCATCTGCTAACGAAATGTGTAGGAAACGGAGACGGGTTGATTGAACGTGGTATGAGCTTACGAATGGCGATGATTGGAACGAAGCTAGCTTTGCGTTGGTACTTGGCTTTTGTCGTGTTTCTGTCCCTGGGAGGAGCATGGTGTTTGACGAAAGTGTTTTTTATGCAGTTATCAGTAATGAAGAGCATTTAACAAAGACTCTTGTTCTCTTCATGTCAATCGTGTAATGATGTCGTCTCCAGCCTCTGGATGGAGCTTCCAAAGTCGTCCAAAATCCTGACGTTGACGTCGGCACGCGACCTTCAATTGGATTTTTGTTCCCGTCACGGAAGCTTCCATTGCTATTCATTCATCCACCCACCCATCACTCATCACTCATCGCCACACTTGTGTCTGTATCTCTCGCACATCACACACATCAATATGCTACAGCAAAGATTAGCTCGCTCTCTGCAAATTGCATCGCGACGCTCTCCGGCGCAAGCCCTGCGAACACTCAACTTTGCGACTCCCGCCTCCCGCCTCCGACTTGCGCCTGCGGCATCGCAAAGATGGTATTCTGAGAATACCGCTGCAAAGGAGGAGGCCTCAAAAGAGCAAGCAGAGACCAAAGAGGCACCCAAGCAGGATGCCGCTCCCGAGGATCCACTCAAGGCGGAGTTGGAGACCAAGAAGGAACAGAACAAGGACTTGACCGTACGATGCTTTCCTTGAAGGATTGTGTGGAGAAGACATGAATGCTGAGATATGAACAGGACCGACTAAAACGGCAGATTGCGGAATACAGAAACTTGCAAGAGCAGACGAAGCGCGAGGTGGCAGCGGCACGTGAATTCTCCCTGCAACGGTTTGCAAAGGATTTGCTTGACAGCATTGACAACCTCGATCGTGCTCTGGATGCCGTTCCTGTTGAGAAGCTCACTGCGGATAATCAGGATTTGGTGAACTTGCACAGTGGATTGAAGATGACGGAGGAAATTCTGTCAACGACCTTGAAGAAGCACGGCATGGAGAAGTTTGATCCAACGGGAGAGAAGTTTGACCCGAACAAGCACGAGGCCACATTCCAGGTCCCTATGCCAGACAAGGAGGATGGCTCGGTATTCCATGTGCAGTCAAAGGGATTCCTGTACAATGGACGGGTTTTGCGGGTGAGTAAAGCCTTGACAGTCTTCGTGGGAGCATGGCTGACTTTGATACGTTACAGGCCGCCAAGGTCGGTGTTGTCAAGAACTCCTGATTTACAAAAAGCGTGTTGGAACGAGWGTGTGAGTAGTAACGCCATGATGGCGATGTAAAGTTCTCCTCTTTGGGAAAAGCATGGCACGGACGGTGCTTGTATCATATGAGCTAAAAACAAAGCCTGTACAATATCGATCATCTTCTCGGCGGTTCACCGTCCATGTCTTCCTCGTGTAGCTTCATCTCTATGCCTTCTGCGTGAACAATTTTAGCGCCAGTGACTAAGCTGTCAAGAACATCAATTCCACTGCATGCCTACCTTATCAACTTCTAGTTTTGTTTGACTTCAATATTAATCATCTACAACATCAACCGGACTCGTAAGGATACATCAGCACAATCGGTTGTGTTCCCAACTCTATTCCAGTCGACAATCACCTCTCAACCAAGTCCCAGAAGAAAGCCATCCTCCATCTCTCTCTCTCCAACAATGCCGTCCATATCCCTCAACCGGCCCACCCAACAACCTACCCTCTCAATCCAAAACCCCCTCCCCCAAATTCTCCACACCCCCTCAGGACTGGCCCTAATCGAACTGCAAGGAAGTGTCCTAAGCGAGCAAACCTCCCACCAAGTCTCCACAGCCATAAACCTCGGCCGCCTAGTATTTCCCGCCGACGACTCATCTCAAACTTCCGAATGGGACGGCAAGCGCGTATTTCTTTTCGTGGGCAAACATCAGCGCATGGCTGGCGAGGTCAAGAAATTGGGTAAAGCTATCGCTGTTGTGAGGAAGTCGAGGAGGGAAGGGGCTGGGGAAGGGGAAGTGGAAGTCGAGGAGATTGTGAGGTTTAAGATGATTTTTGCGCATCGTCCGGAACCTATGGGTGCTGAGCAGAAACTTGTTGGGGAGGGGGAGTGAGAGGGTGTGGGTTTTGAATTCTGGTTGCTGGACCTGTTACCATTTTGGTGGCGAGAATCGTCAAGGTCTCTAACTCTATTGTATCGCGGATCGGGAAGAGGCCAGCAGGTCTAACATAGTCCGATTCTCTGCGAAGGCGTACCTCGACGGGAAATAGGCTCGAACGAACGAAGGACTTTGCTCCCAGAGGCAGAGCAAACTGAATGCTCCCGCGAGAGGGTGTGCACACATACTTCGACAGAGCTCTTTACCAGGACTGGATATCGATTGCCTTCACAGCCCGGCGGCTTGTCCATCTAAGGAGCATCCGGCATGGGAGTTGGGCAATGTGATATCAAAATTAGGGTCAGGGTTGGGGTAGTGGTTTATCGCCCTTCTTGCCCCGTCATGCTTTCAAGGAGCCTGCCGGCCATAGATTGTGTACCTGGATCAGCTATTCATGAACCCCATCGATCGATTGTTTGGTTGAGGTGACGCATGGTGTTTGAGTAGAGAAAAGAGTAGGATTTACAGTTCACAAGTTCATATCTAAAATTTGGCCAGTATAATATAATTAGTCCCTTTACTCAATATAAACTTGGCGACTTCAAAGCACGACTTGCACAATCCCTCCTCCGCGGAAGAAAGGAACGTACACACCAGACTGACCCTAACATCTCTGCTTTGATCTGAAAGACGCTCGCACTTTCATGTCCTACAAGTCTGTAGTGATAATGCATACCGCTCCCCACAAGCTTTCATTTCTCTGTAGCTGATTCCTAAAATGACCAGTCCTTATGCTTCATTTGTACATGTCATCGGCGACCATCCTGCCGTGCCTCTCAACTGGAAGCAGCCTGTATTCCAGCAAGCTTGCTTCCCGCCTTCGTGAAAACGCCCAAAAACCAATATCCAATATCCAATATCCATCATCCAATAACCTACATGCCCTCCTATGAAAAGTCAGCGTACAGTCCACATTTGATAATTATCAACGGTTAACTCACCTCCATGCCGACATTGCGCCACCAAGGAGTCGCGGCGCCTGTTGAGTGTGGGTTGACCACGCTCTCGGCATCTCCAACCTGCCTCCGAGCGCTGACTTCACGACTCGGCAAATTCAACATTGATCCGCTCTTCTTCCCTTTAACCTTCATCGCTCTCGATGCCATGGTRAGGCCCGCAATGCGATCGCTTGATCCGGACTCCATTTGTCCCCCGACGCGCGCCAATCCCTGGGATGATGGATACGAGTCGCGTTTGATCATATCTGTGCTCCTTTGAACACAAGTCAGCAGGCGAGGGGAGATATTGAGGATTGGCAGCATACCATTCATCCCTCATGACTGGTCGTTGTCACTGCAACGGCTCCGAGCTGGAACTGAGACGGTTCAGATGTAGATAGACATCCGTGCCGTATCCTTCCATTGAGATAAGCTTCAGATCACCTCCAAAGTACCTCGCGTATAATCTCGAAATCGGCAGTCCGTAACCAAATCCAGCCATGGGTGCCTTGAAGTCACTCTTATTGAAATCAGGGTCCAGGTTCGGTGTTTGGTCAACGGTGGTGTACATGTACGTCCACACCAGAGGGATACTGCTTCTGGGGATGCCACCACCTTCGTCACTAATCTTTATGGTGATGTCCTCTCGTCCCTCGGAGATGATGACCTGTGTGACGGGGAACTCCTCTTTTTCTGCGCCATGTCGTTCCACCACAGCTCGAAGACTGTTTTTCAAGGTCTCGAACAGCATGTGTGACAAGTGACCAGGAACGTACATGAAGTTGAGATCACTAGGGCATACCAGCYTTACTTTGGGTGCATCGAAAAGTCCATAGTGGTCCTCACACACGAAACGTGCATTCTCGATCGCCTCAGTTGCCAGATCCTTCACATTTGTCTTGGTGCAGATGATTCCAACATAATTGGGATCCTTTTGTGACCTCTGGTCGGTCAAAGCGATATGCTGACCGATCAGCATACGAATGCCTATCCGTGACATGTAGAATCGATCCAGGAAAGCCTGGATGTTATGGTCGATCTGCATCCGTTGTCGCTTGCGCTTGTACTCGAGAATTCCTTGAGCGATTGTCGTCACCACACTATCGTGCCGTCTCTTGATCTTCTCCAAAGTCTGTGCGAAACGAGTGTTGTAATCGTTCAATTCAGGAGGCCAGTCGCCGTCGTCTGCGGCTGTGAAATACCGCCGTGCCGCGATTGCCTTTCTCTGTGTGTTGCTTGCCCCGTTTTCTCCATTCTCGCCATTCGTAAGACCCTTGATGTCCGACTTGTACTGTCCAGGTCGTATACTAGGATTGTGGGTGGTTTCGCTGAGGATGCGGGATTTGCCGTTTTGTCTTGCGGGTTTCGAGAGACGCTCTTTGATCTCTGAGCTGAGATTGGGCTTCGAGAGGGTTGTGATTTCCTATGCACGAGTATCGTCAATGAACATGTCCACATGACCCAGTCGGCGCGATCAAAGCTACTGCGTACCTCAAACGACTGCGCATACCAGTCCTGCACGCGTTTTATGCTCTCCATATCGTTCAACCCATCCGGTAGATCGCTCAGCTCTTGTACGCGATGTGCCAGACGAATGGGAAGCTCTTCGGAGAGGAATTGGGAGGCGCGGAAGAGAGTTCCTATGATTCATGCTTCAGCATCTGTATTGTATTGTATACCTTGCAGAGTCGATATCCATACCAGTCGAGGGATTACTCCCAAACTGTACCATCTGCCGTAGACTCACGCYAGTCGCCGGGAAGTTGGAGTAATGCTTGATGGTATCCATCAATTGAGCTTTGCGTAATACCGTCAGCCATGTTTCATACAATAGCATCGTCCTTGCTTTCTCAAGACTCACCACTTTTCTTCCACGACATGCTGGGCGGTGAATGGCCGTCGGGCCCGTACCGAGAATTCGAGGAAACAATGTGGTAAGAATGGCGAAGCGACAAGAGCGATTTGGCAACAGGGCTCTTGTGACTCGACGTGGGAGTCGTGTGCCGTTCAGAGTAATAGCTCGGATGGACGGGTCAGTGCATTTTGCCCCGATGGGCCCCGCGGTGCCAGTCGTGCTTGTGAGAAGCTTGAAGCTAGAGGCATGTGTGCCGAGGTCACCAAGTCACTACCGTTGGCCTGGATGACTGCATGTGGCAGATCTAGAGCTGGTCTATCAGGGGCAGCAATGTCGGGTGACACACGAGAAGAGCGATTTAACGATGTTGGGCCTTTGTTATGGCTGGCCTGGTGGTAGATGTGTGTTCGTCGATGGGGAACATTGGATTGATGGGGATGCCAGCTCTTTGCGGGGAAGAAACATTTAAGTTACGGTAACAATGAGAGAGCATCGTCAGCTTCGTGCAGACCGTTGGCTATATATACAGAGTGTATACAAAATGTATTGTACAGATGAGTCGAGATCACATCATCGACTTTCAATCATTCACCTCAGCTCCACGCCAAATTTGCTGACAAGCTCGCTGCGAATCTGCTCATGTAGCGCATTGGCTTCCTCGTTGGTAAGGGTCTTTTCAAGACTGCGGTAGGTCACGCGGTAGCACAAACTCTGGCGCTTGGTCTTGGGATGCGTGAAGCTATCGATAAGAGCGACGTCTTCCACGCTGTCGCCTGCAGTATTGCGAACAACTTCCATGAGATCGTTCTCATGAAAGGTCGGGCTGGCCGACTGCAATGGCTCAGTCAGCTGTCCACCCGCCGCAGACGGCGTAGAGGAGGCGGAGGCGGGAGTGTCAACAACGACTGAGCTGTTGGTAGGGAGCCAGAAAGCTACATCCCGAGGGGCGGCTGGGTATTTGCTGAAAGGCTGATACCGCCGTATGGGCTTGCTCTCGTCGAATTGAGAGAGAAATCGTTGATCTTTGCTCCAGAAGAGTCTGATGTCCGGAATGCCAAACAGAAGCATGGCGATTCTCTCCAAACCTATACCAAAAGCCCATCCGATCCTGGATGAAACATCGGCTCTGTTGAGAAGCGGTTGCTCGATGACTCCACAACCAAGTACCTCAAGCCAATCACCACGCCACCACACTTCAAGCTCCCATGATGGGGAGGTATGTGGGAAGAAGGCTTCCACCCATCGAACCTTGAGAGGTTCTTGCTCAGCCTCAGCCCCCTGACCAGCAGCAGCCAGAGCTTTGTCGGCTTCGGTGAAGATTGCAATGACCATGTTTTCGAGGGAACGCTTGAGATGCGTGGCTATTGCTTCTGCTTCCTCCGGCGAGTGATATTCAGCTTGCAATGGATTTCTCTCGGCGTGGAAAGTGGGATTGGGATCGTCTACAACAAGATCGTGCTTTGGGATGTTGTCCAAGTCGGCGATGATGTGCTTAGTGAGAGCTTCCCGCGTGGGAAAGTCCTTACGATCCCAAGTCATAGCGCCCTCCATTTGATGAAACGCCGGGTAGTGACTCCGGTCGACAGCATCTCGTCGGTAGACGTCGGCGGATATCGTATAGCCATTGCTAGTGTTGGCTCGGAAGACATCGACTTCGTGCGCAGAGGTATGCGTTCGCAAGACGGTATCTTTGTTGATGTAGTAAGTATCCGTTCTGCTACGGCCGGGATGGTCTGCAGCGAAGCCCAGAGAGTCAAAGTTCTGAGCTACGGTGACCACAGGCGTCAAGGAGTTGTGGTTTTGGAAGCCCTCAAAACGTGATTCGATCAATTTCCTGGTGATGGAGATGGGATGGTTTGGTTGAACGTGCAGCTTTCGTCCATATTTGGCCAGAATCGAAGCCGGTACGTTGGTCCATTCGTCTGCGGGATACGTTTTGCCWTCAATGGTCAAGGATTGGTGCTTTCCGTCTAGCAATATCGATGTTAGAAAGGACTCCGCATGGCTTATTCCCGCGCAACGGCGCATACTTCGGCAAGCTGCGCTTTCGAGATGATCCCGACATCACATGTCCGATAGTCTCCCTCTGCGCCGAGACACCCGCTGCAGCCGCTCAGAGGAAGCGCGGCGAGCAAGCCGCATGTCGAGGCTGGAGTGGAGATATGGAGAGTCGAAATGAGTGGGTCTGGGGGCAGAGAACGAACCTGATGCATAGCAGCGGACAGGCACGATTCGAGACCGCAGCAGAGAGCGCAGACCTGCCGGCAAAGCCCATAGCAATGAGCCAGATCTGCTTGACACGACCATTGTGGTGACAGCGGGTGCAGCCAAGTCACTTTCCCCCTCGTCGAGCAACAATAGAGGCTTCCTGTCAAGGCGATTGTCGGTGTTTGCTCTGCAGCTTTGTCCGCGGAGGTCGGCTCCGCTCTGCTGCTGTGCAGGGAACCGGTGCGGATCATTGCCGCTCGCGTGGAGGTCTAAATCAAAAGATAGGCTTGCTACATCATTTGTTATTTCCGGCGACAATCACCTTCACTTCACGACTGCATACTTCACGCAGCCGGCAACCTGGTCGCATTGCACTGTTCTCGACGAGACAAGTCTGCCCTCATGGAGCAATGAGAATACAGCAATGGCGACACAAACAGTAGCCAAGAGCAAGGATGTCAACCGCAATGGACCGATTCGCTATCCGCTCTGGTTTGGCGGCAGCGCGAGCTGTATGGCGGCCGCTGTGACGCATCCACTGGACCTACGTGAGTTTGTGCAGGATCACAGAGCATCTAGGTCAATCTGCTGACCTCCATACAGTCAAGGTATTGCCTCACCATCGCAAAAAGTCCTCAAAGGCAACCATACTAATAAATTTTTCAAGGTTCGGTTGCAGACCCTGCCCGAAGGACAGGCCAAACAGGGCATGGTCGTTGTGACCAAGACAATCCTAAAGACCGAAGGAGTTCCTGRCCTGTACCGCGGCGTAAGACACAACCCCAACCACTTTATTGGATCTTGCAACTAATGTCGCGTCTGATTAGCTCTCAGCTTCACTGCTGCGCCAAATCACCTACAGCACGACTCGATTCGGCCTGTACGAAAAGTTCAAAGATGCCGTCAGTGATGGTAGCAATCAGCCATCGCTCCCAACCCTCGTAGCGATTGCTTCGGCTTCTGGATGGCTAGGTGGCATGGCTGGAACGCCAGGAGACATTCTCAATGTTCGCATGCAAAACGACGCRGCGCTTCCGGCAGAACAGCGACGGAACTACAAGAACGCGATTGACGGCCTCATTCGCATGGTGAGGGAAGAGGGGATTGGGAGCATCTTTCGCGGAATCTGGCCAAACAGCACCCGCGCAGTGCTCATGACAGCTTCACAGCTTGCAACATACGACGTGTTCAAAAAGGAGATATTACAACGGACGAGCTTGGGCGACAGCTTGACCACCCACTTCAGCGCATCGCTGATGGCCGGATTCGTGGCCACGACGGTGTGCAGTCCGGTGGACGTGATCAAGACGCGGATCATGAGCGCAAAGACGAAAGAGAGTGCTTTTGTCGTGATCAAGCGTGTTACCGCCGCCGAGGGTCTGAAGTGGGTCTTCAAAGGATGGGTACCGAGCTTCATTCGTTTGGGACCACAGACGATTGCTACCTTCATGTTCTTGGAGCAGCACAAGAAGATTTACCGGAAGCTCACCGGCCGAGAGGGCTGAGAGAGCACAGTGGCATTGCTGGCGTTATGGGTGATAGAGCTAGACGTATCGGGCCATGTTGCCTGAGAGATACCCAGAGTGAGATGCGGGTCGGCGAGGTGCAGAAGTTACACACTTTGCGATCAGCTAGATGGTTCAACAATCAAATTTGAAAAGCTATTGAGGCGTATGTTGTCGAGTGAAAGGTCATGCAAGCTGAAGTAATGAGCGAGTTTAGAGCACACATTGATGCGCCCGCAATCAGCCGACAATGGCTTTGTGGTGGTGAATGAGGAATAATAATGATGGAGATGATGTGATGTTCTGTTCTTCCAATGCCGATCTCCGCATTGCCCAATGCCAAGCGCTGCTTTTTAGGCGACTGCAAGGTGGCCTTCACCTTTGACAGCGTCCCTGGATCTGGAACTTTGACCTCGACTTCTTCATCACACGACACTCCTTCAATTCTCCCTTCATCCGTCTTGACCAATCCCCACCACTGTGTGCATTGAATCACCTGCCGCGGCTTTAGAACAATTACAGTGGGAGCTGAGCGCAGCTCCCGTATTCAGGAGACATGTCCGGCCGTACGTACACCCGCGCTTCAATCAACTGCACCAGATATCAAGACGCGCTTGGCCTAGATCATGCTACGCGCCACTCTGTTCCAAGCAACGCGATCGAGTGCGCATGCTGACGAGTTCCACGACAGTCCGATTCCTCGACCTGGTGAAGCCATTCACACCCCTCATCCCCGAAGTTGCAGTCCCCGAGACCAAGGTTCCATTCCAGCAACGTATAATATGGACGAGCGTGACACTGGTCATCTTCCTGGTCATGAGCCAGATGCCGTTGTACGGCATTGTGTCTTCAGGTAAGCCTCCCCGAGGCTGGCGCGGAGTGGATGAGGATGGAAAGATCAAGACGAGATGAGGACGGGAGGGACAGGACACAAGAGATTGACAGAAACGTGATTCAGATACCTCCGATCCGCTATACTGGCTTCGTATGATGATGGCCAGTAACCGTGGAACTTTGATGGAACTCGGAATCACACCAATCATCTCATCCGGCATGGTTTTCCAGCTTCTGGCTGGCACCCACCTCATCGATGTTAACCTCGACCTCAAGTCCGACCGCGAGCTCTATCAGACCGCGCAGAAGCTGCTGGCGATCATCCTGTCTTTTGGTCAAGCTTGCGTCTTCGTGCTCACTGGTCTTTACGGTCTCCCTGCGGATCTTGGTGCTGGCATCTGTGTCCTCCTCGTTGTTCAGCTTCTCACCGCAGCTCTGATTGTCATCCTCCTCGACGAGCTGCTGCAGAAGGGCTACGGTCTTGGAAGCGGTATCTCGCTTTTCATTGCCACCAACATCTGCGAGTCCATTGTCTGGAAGGCCTTCTCTCCCACTACCGTCAACACCGGTCGTGGTCCTGAATTCGAGGGAGCAATCATTGCTCTGGTCCACTTGCTGATCACCTGGCCCAACAAGCAGCTCGCTCTCCGTGAGGCCTTTTACCGTCAGAACCTGCCCAACATCTCGAACCTCCTGGCTACCATTGTTGTCTTCAGCGTGGTCATCTACCTCCAGGGTGTGTATCTCCTTGATCCTATCGTCCGAAGCTTCTAACGTTCACTAGGTTTCCGTGTCGAGATCCCCGTCAAGTCCTCGCGCCAGCGTGGTATGCGCGGCTCCTACCCCGTTCGTCTTTTCTACACCTCGAACATGCCCATCATGCTCCAGTCCGCGCTGTCCTCCAACGTCTTCCTCGTCTCGCAGATGCTTTACAACAAGCTTCCCGACAATCTCCTGGTGAAGATGCTCGGTGTGTGGGAGGCTCGCGAGGGTACTGCCCAGGTTCTCCCAGCCAGCGGGTTGGTATACTACATGAGCCCACCTCTCAACATCACCGATGCACTTTTGGACCCCATCCACACCGCTGTCTTCACCGTCTACATGCTTGTTGCATGTGCCGCTTTCAGCAAGACCTGGATCGAAGTCTCCGGCTCTAGCCCACGCGATGTCGCCAAGCAGCTGAAGGAGCAGGGCTTGGTTATGGCTGGTCACCGTGATGAGAGCATGTACCGCGAGTTGAAGCGTGTTATCCCGACTGCCGCCGCTTTCGGTGGTGCTTGCATCGGAGCCTTGTCTATCACCAGCGATCTCATGGGTGCATTGGGCAGCGGCACTGGTATCCTGATGGCTGTTACGTAAGTGTCGTCTATGAAATCGCGAACGAGCTAAGCTAATCAAGATTGCAGCATCATTTACGGATACTTCGAGATTGCCGCCAAGGAGGGCGACATGGCYGGTCTCAAGGGTATGGTTATGGGTTAGGTGAGATATGGAGAAACCTCGAGTTGGAGCAGGTGAAATCCATCTTGTGAAAAGTATGATTGTATCACTACTTAAGGTATCGAATGAAAGCCGAAAGCACATATCAAAATCACACCGGTCTCCACCAACTTGAACGTCTCACTCGCAATTGAAAAGCTCCTCGGCATTCTTCACCAGAACTTGATGCGGACTTACTCCCTCCTCGTCGATCCAATCTAGCACTTTTTCCAGGTACTGGCTCACATCGATGTTGTCAAAGCGTGTATGCGGCCAATCTGTGGCGAACACAATTCGGTCTGGTCTCGCGCGGAGGGTCTCTTTACATAGAGACTCAATGACCTGAACTTTTTAGGCTTGTTCTTCGAGAGATGGAAAGTAAGAGGGGGTACCTTGTTCGAGGGATCTGATGATAGTCTATAGGTCGCACTCATCTTTACCCAAGTATTGCCTTGCTTTAAGAGATTGAGTCTGAAGCGAGGCATTAGTATTAGCGATGGCTCAACCATGAATAGGAACCGGATATGGAGCAAACAGATCACTTACAATGAAGAGAACCCCGCAATATCATGAGCAGACTGCGCATCGGAGAGCGACTTGGCGGTTGGATGGCCCAGGTGATCCTGCAGACGAAGAAGGAGAAGAGTCAGTGAGATGACCTGTATGCCCTTCTTAGTATTATTATTATACTCACCACAATAATCTTCACTCCCAAACCATCGACAAAACTCTCCAGCATCGGTACATTCTCCAACGCAATGTACAATTCCAACGGCCAACCAAAGGATCGCACCGCATCAGCATACTCACGCAAAGTACTCTCCAATTCCGCAGCCGTGGGTTCCGCACCGACGCTTTTGAAGTTAATTCGTACGCCTCGAACGCCCATCTCATGCCATTCCTGAAGTTGCTGCTTGGAGGTCACTGCGGGATCGAATTGGATGACTGCTCGGCCGTGTTTGGGTCCGAGATTCTTTAATCCGTCCAGGGTACAGGAGTTATCGTTGCCGTAGATGGAGGGTTGGACAATGACCATGTTTTTGATTCCGAGTTGGTTTAGGAAGGTGCTTGCTTGGGCTAGAGTGTGGGCTTTTGGGGTGTATTTTGCTGCGGCGTCTAGGGGGAATTTATCCGGTTCTACTACGTGCATGTGCTGTGAGGGAGAGGGTGGATTGATTAGCTTGCTTTGGTGCTTTGGGTTTATTGAGATGGGAGGGCTTACTGTATCCCATGTTCCTGCTGGTATTCTTGCTGCGAGGCTGGTGATTTTTGGTGATGTGGAAAGTGGACGCCTTGTTGGGTTGATGAGGCATAGGGAGCGAGGACTTTGGGAGACATTGGCGGTACGGGAAATTGTGCGACACATGGTCGAAGGGAGTGAACGTAACTGGAGCATGTTGCTGCTAATAAAAATCGAAGAGATGGTGCTTGCGGATGATRGCGATATATGGAGTGCAAGGGTGTATGCTTGTCTGAAAGTTGGAGGTGCGATATCGGCGGAGGAGACATTCAGGCTGAGATGCGACCGGGCTGGGGTGGCATACGCGAACAATAATTTTGCTGCAACAACGAATTATGTGGGCATGCAATGCGTGTGAAGCATGGGTGTGCAACGGGAAGGCGATGCTGAAGTTGTCGAGAGGGCACTTTATCCATGAACTTGAGCAAAAAGTGACTTGCGATGGTGAGCGACAGCGGTGGACAAAATACAAGTACCGAACCAGTTTCCGTTACGACGAGGTGCGGATTGATCATATGACGAAACTCTTTTGTGAATGCGGTTCGTCGTGACTGTCTCTTAGGAAAGATTCACTTGAAATGGCGCTAGTGAGGCGCTTGCCTCGACGATCAAACTGAAAAGGATGTTAGACAAGAAGTTGAACGACGGTCAAAACTACAAAACGAAACTTGCTCTGGGTTCACTCATCGGCAGGAAGTAAGGCCGTAGATCGTAATCCCACCATAATCTTGCCAGGCACGGGCATTAGAGGGCCGCTAAGCTAGCCAAAGCGAGATTTGGTGTTGTGGTGTCACGCTGGCGTCGAAAACTGTACTTTACAGGGACCGGGGTTCGAATAAAGTCTTATAGCACGATACAGGTGTAACACTAGTCCACGCTGCAGTATTTTTTCATAATATCGCACGAATACCGAGTGGAACATTGCGAGGACCACAACGTTTATCAATCATCGCCCACACTGATTCACTTCTCACAGCGACCCGGAAACGCACTGACGGAGAAAGATCATCATACAGACTTTCGACACTATGATGTCTCTTTGCATCTCATTGTCTTCAGACCTACGGAGTCCTCTAGAGCATCCTGGCGCGCCTACGTTGACAGCGAATCAATCCTTGAAAGGTTACAGCGAGAGCGGACTTCTGATCATTCAAAACTTTTGATGTAAGAAGACGCCGTGCCGAGATCTTGAGCCAAGCAATCTTCTCGTAGGCGAGCCGCGACCTCCCATTCTGCTGCCACAAGGCAGGGCCGGTCAACTACGTCAACTTCTGTCTACATGTGTCGTAGGTGTTGTATAGACCTGCTCAGCGTCTGATATGCTGCTTCAAGAAATAGGCATGTGAGCAAAATCCGCTATTGCATATGTGTGACCAGCGCTGGACCGCGAAGAATGYAGCCAAGCTCGCCACGAACAACAGCTCAGTAGGAGTACAGGATCGCATTACCTTCCATGAGATCACTCCGCCCTGCCAAGCGAATACTCTTGGGACTGGGCATCTCTCACCGGTCAATTCCTCATGTAGCACAGCATCTCACCAGAAGCGGCCTCTCACACATAACTGCGTTCGTCTTGCCCAATTACGAGGCTAGAAGGTGCAAGAAATACCCACGATTCGCATGCGCCTTGGATCCTTCGACCAGTGAAAGATGGAATGAATGCTTGCGATGAACCCTGCTGCGCGTTCTCGTGGCGACTCTCGCATGCATGCTGCATCATCTCTCAGCCGCTTCTGAGATCCCTCAAGGAAGGCTGGCGGTGATTGCTCAAGAGACAAGTATCCAGCATCGCCATGCACTAGAACCATTTACATCTTTACTTCACAATGTCGCGATTTTTCACGTTGCACATGACTCTCATGTACCTCACACTCTACTATCCCTGGACTGCTGCCCAAGACACCTCACAATGCTACTGGCCGGATGGCACTGTTGCGGACCGTATGATACCATGCGACCCAACTGGAAACATCACAGTATCATGTTGCGCCAAGACCGATCTCTGCCTGCAGAACAACATGTGCTTTAGCGCCACTGGTGGTATTTGGAGGAAAGGCTGCACTGATCAGAGTTGGAAGGACGTGCGATGTACTGGTGCTACGGACTGTGCCCGTGTGCTTTCAGGGCAGTCGGATCTGACTTACCGCTGTGGAAGGGGCACTGAGTGGGCATGCGATCGTACCGGAAATGGCGCAGCGGTGGACTGTCAGGACAACTTCACGCTCTCGGGGCCTTGGGATATTTTGATCAGGCCAGATCAGATCCCTTCGCAGAGTGTCACGACGCCAGCTATCTTGGATCCTAGTTCCGGGCTGCAGGGTTTGCCTGCTCTAACGGTTACGGTCACGACGACGCCTCCTGTGAGGTTCTCTACGGTAAGACACACTGATTCTATAAGTGTGGAGGGTCAATGCTAACAGCTCTTTTGGTGACTTCGAATGGACAGACGACTGTTGTTGTTATAACCGGCAGCGCAGGTTCCACTTCGGATGAGAGAGACCAAGGTGGTAAGAGCAACGTCGGAGCGATAGCAGGTGGTACGGTCGGCGGGGTGGTCGCATTGATTTTCCTTGGAGTCGGCGCCTGGTTTGTCGTCTCGAGAAGGGGGAAAAGCAAGACTGAGAGCCAAAGGGTGACTGCGGATACGAGCGCTCACAATGTGCCAGAGCAGTATTCCCAATCAGACAGCGAACCACAGAAGCGGCAGCTGCAAGAAGCAGAGGGCAACGGACTTCATGAGGCTGATGGCAGGGTGTTGCCGGCCGAGGCGGACCACATGGCTATCCGAGTACCAGAGTTGGAAGGAGATCCATACATGTATCGCAGATAGCATGTCATTAGCTATTGAAGCAGGAGCGGGCTGCATCGACAACTGCGTTCTGTTAGAAGCTAAAAGGCCGCAGTAATCTTCATACAGACACGCCATCAAGCGTAACGCAAATGTCGCGAGAATTGTCGACCTGGCATATTGGTGCCAAAGACGGTTACGTAGACGTAGGTGCAGAGTGCTGCTATCTTTGTGCTACTTTTATCCTCATGTTACGCCTTCGTCATCCTAGGCATGCAGGCGCTCAAACGGAGGATAGACAGTCTAACAATGAGACGTTTGTTGTATTGTAAAGGGACTGTGCAGGAGCAGGATACTTTAATGCTTCGATTGCGGGAGCATGACGAGATGGGAAACTTCTCGCCCACGAAGCTGATGTTTTCTTTGGCGTGGTTCGAAGCTATATTGTACCTTCCACAAAGTGGTGGGACAGCGTCTCCACACGGCCGCCCCCCATCCTCTCTATCATTCACCTACCTCCAAAATCCAGTCATATGAGAAATAATCATGTCAATCCCACCCCTCATCAGCCATCTCCCAGAGGAACTACTACTTTCAATCTTTGCGCTTCTCGACAACAAGCCCCCTTCCATAACCAAGTCAAGACAGGAACCAAGCTTGGAGCTCACATGGTCAAACATCCATGTCTTGAAAGACATCTCCTCAGTCTCGCGAAGCTGGCGGAGGATTACACTCCCTCTGCTCTTCAGATTCACGCGGTCACTGGATGATCCAACAAAGGGAATTAAAGATGAGAAGAACTTTTTGAATTTTGTTCGGAAAAATGCTTTGAATGTTCAGAGCGTGGTTCTATCTATCAGGAAGCTCGAGGAGCAAGATCGGCCTCCACCCTCGCAAGATAATGTTAATCTAGATGTTGCTCGCTTTTGGCAGACTTTGCTGCGTGTTACCAACGCGAGTCGTATCGTCATTCTGGCGCCACCGGCAGAACTGGCCCGTCTGACGGAATGCACTATTGATCTATCCACTGAATGGGCTTTTGAGGAGATGGACTACCACCTTCTCGAATTGAGATGCGAGATTCCTTCGAGTGCGCGGAGTACAGAGCAGACTTTTGATGCAGCTGTCAGGTCGCAAAGTATGCCTCCCGATCGGAGCTTGAACAGAATTGCGGCAAACAGCATTCTGATGTTGAAACCTTGGTCGCATCTTGCATTGAACGTGAGTGTCCATCCAACGACGAGACTGTGCGCAGAATGCGATTTCCCTGACGAACGCTTAGGAAGGGTCTTTCTTGAGGGCGTACAGTACGTACGAGTACTTCGAACGTGGCCCTCCATCCTTGGTACTGTCAATTATGAACTGCTTCGCCGCGCGGGAACGACATGCGGTGTCATGGTCGTCTCTCCGCTCATTCTCGTATACAGCCATACTGCCTTTTGCTGACCACCTCGACTTCCGAGCGATTCTCCCACATCTCGATGAATTGGACATCCAACTGGCGCCGGATGCAACTTCAAACATTCTCAACGACAAGTCTAGAATCGGAAGAGCGCAGATGGAAGATTGCTGGCAGGAACTCAGAGCGGCGTATAGATTGAGTGAGTCCTTTCGCATCATGTAACCAACAATGATTGACGTGACGGTCTGCAGTGACGCGGTCCTTTCGCACGTTCTCAATCCCGGCAGATGGTTCTCCGAAATTGAAGCGATTCGTCTGTCGCGACTTCCAGATTTCCGCGTTGGCAGAGGATTTGGACGATGAGTTCATGCCGCTCTGCATGCCGTGCTGGTGCGAAGATCCTCGAGGCGTCTTTTCAAGACTGGCTGCTGCACCACACATATATTATGGGAATAGGTAATCCAGCGACCATTCTATATTTGACGGCACTTCACGTCACCATGCCTGGCTATGACTCCGAGATCGGTGGCGTTCGCGTATTGGCTTCGTCTGTTGCAGCTTAAGATGCTGAGCGTAGGCTGTCATGGCGCTATTCTGATTTGGTGTGGTTGCCTGGGAATCAAGCCCATCAACACTGCGGAGGTTTCTTCAGATTCTGAACCATACGCTCAACGCTGAGGACTGCTTTGACCATTCGTTTCGGGCTGCTGTACTTTGAAGCGCAAGATCGCGATCTATTAGGCAATTAGTATAGTACGTTACCACGAATGAGCTTCATAATAGACATACCTGCTTGTCGGCTGTGAACGCCAAGCTGTCATCCGAGCTCCAGCTCAGACTCGGCGCATATAGCACCTTGTTATCATCATGCTGCTCATTATCATGTTCGCTGACCTCTGATGCCGGTCTCCAAGTCACGTACGCATCCGGGCTGAGATTTGCTGCTCCATCCACGCGCTTCAATGAGTTGACGTGCCAGATCTGCACCACATCTGCATTGCCAATCGCAAGATAGTCTCCTCTGGTAGACCATGCAAGTGTTAATACTGGGCCTTCCGCCAATGACACCGATGGTCCTTCTGTACATGAGATACTTCCATCCGCCTGCYGGCTAGCGATGTAGATGTGGCACGGTCCTTCTTCGAGAGCAACAGCTAGCAGACTTGGAGACTGAGTATCGGCTTCCGCAGCGTCGTCATTGGCGGCGGTCGGCGCTGGTTGGAAGTCAAGTGCGGCCACATCTCCTGGCAAACTGATTGTGAAATCTGTTTCTGGCGACGTCTCCGGACTGTGAACTCTTGACGTGAGTACAATCTTCCTGGCATCCGAGGATGCGAAAGCCGCAACCTTTTGCCTRTGGTCAACAAGGATGTGGTGCCAGGAATGTTCGGAGGAAAGTATGCTAGAGTTGAGAGATATCAAACCGCGCATATCGAGGCTTCCTGTCATCTCCGCCTCACTCGCTTGTTGCTGACTGCTGTCGATCTGGTATAGGAGGGATGATCCCGCATCCCCACAGACGGCGAAGCTATCAAGTCCTGACCACGTGACATCGTGTATTGGACTCTCAAAGATTCGCCAAGCGATGGGCTCATGGACCGTCTGAACTTCTAAACCTTGTGTACGAGCAGTTTTCCACACTTGTAAAAGTCCTCGCTTCGTGTTGGTCTGTGTAGCAAGCAAATACTCCCCATTTGGATTGTAGCGGAGCGTTAGGATTCCAGGTGCAGGCTCGAGCATTGGTGGTGCCAGGAGGAAGATGGCACTGCTTCCATCGAGACTGCGCTCAACAAGAGAAGGAAAATTCCTCTGTGTTTGTTCACCGTCCTTGACGGACGTGTCGAGTGCGAAGCTTGCGGCCTCACCATTAGGGTGCCAGGCCACTGCTGTGATGTCAGAGTCGTCCGAAAGCATCGGATCGTCTAAAGCTTTAATCTAAACGTTGTTAGCGTTTTGCGCTCACGAAGAAAGGACATTGTTGAAGTTCTGGCAGCTCACCTGCAGCGGATCATCCGAAGAATCCGGAATTTCATAAGTTCGACATAGCGAATCTCCAACAACCAGGAGAGTGCATGCATGCCTGGGCTCCGGTCCCAAGTTCCACGTGCCTTCAAGAAGCTTGACGCCAGGCTTATCAATCGTCCAAGACAGCGTGCTCGTCTTTGGAAGTGCCTTGAATTCAGTCTGCGTCATGACACTATCGTACCTCTCCACTGGAACAGCCTCAGGCTCCCATGTCACCGCGGGAGATGCCATCTCTGTATCCTCCTCCCCTTCAGCGTCTACCTCGCCGTCTGCATCGGCCGCATCGACATCTGCAGCTTCACGCTCGCCGTTGACGTGAGAATCACTGCCCTCGCYCCTACGTTGACGCTTAGGCATCGGAGTGGGGAAGTCATCAGATGTACGAACGACCGGCGCTGGGCCCTTTCGACGTCCACTGGAGGAGGGTCGCGAGCCCGCTGCATTCTCCCCATATCCATCTACGCACTCTGCGCTGTTTGTCCATTGGAATTTGCGATTGGTCTTGCTGACGCGAGCGCGCAAATCATCGTAGTGAAGTCCAGCTTGAATGACGGACACGAGCTCGTTGCGGTGTAGGGTATGCGCGAATGGAAGGTTTTGTGGGTCACGATATTCAGAGGGTCGTTGCCAGTCGACGTGTAGAGCTTTGGCAGCGTTCTCGAAGCCAGCTTCCTGGAGATAGCGGTGAATCAGGAGATTGACATGATCGCTGCGGAGGGCCGCCTCGGGCGACATGGTGTTGGATGGTGCTAGCTGGCTAGGCGCGTCGTGGCATCAATCCCGGGGCCGTTTCGAAGAGGTCGAACGCGACTCGGACCAGAGCGGATTGAAGATGTAGCACTGCGGAATCCACCGTGGTGATGGCAAAGTGGGCAATGATGTGGAGTCGCAGACGATGGCGCAGCCCGAGAGTCTGGTAGTTCTCGAAACCTAATTCGGCACGGCAGGGTCGTGTTTTTTGGACGATGAGATGGCAACGGTGCGATACATTCACACTCGTGTTGTGGGTGTACAACGAATGCACAGCAGTATGTACAGTGAGTACGCGTGTTGATCATGTAACCCGCGATCCACGGGGGTAGCAAGTCGAAGGTCTTCAAAGGCAATAAGGTATGTATGGTTGGAAGTGCGTGGCTCGCGTACCTTGCTTCGAGCTAGGGGAGCAGGAGCCTGGAGGTAGATCGCGCATCACACGATCGATATGTACGATACACTGCGTCTTCTTTTAACAACACCACCCTCCCTTCAATCTCTGCCTACGATTACGGCGAGTCCCGATGCCACGCATCGCCTTGCCGCCGCCGCTCACTCGCGGGCTGCTGCTCGTGCTGGTGTCACTCTCCGCCCTCAACGCGGTGTTGCGGACGAATAACTGGCGCAACAGTACAGCCTCCACCGCACCGACTACCGCCGATTACCTGTCCAGCCCGAGGTGGGCTATTCCATACCTCGTTCTCATCCCAACGAAAAGCATACGATATCCGTGGACAGCGCTTACAGGAGCTGTGGTGGAGAATAACATTGTTTCCATTTGCATCAGTGCAGTGGTTGTATTCTATGGAGGACGATATCTGGAGCGTGCATTGGGGACCAAAGAGTTTGGCAAGTTTGTAATATTCGTCACGCTTCTGCCGTCTGTAATGACCTTCCTCATATACGCCTTATGGCATGCGCTCACGCCTCCTCCCGAGTTGTAAGTTTGCTTCAAGCAGTGTAGAGCAGGCCATGTCCTAACTGCCATCTTCAGCCCGACACCGATCAATGGTCTTGTAGCATTGGAGGCTGGCTTTCTTGTTTGCCTCAAGCAGTTGGTGGTGAGTGAAGCTATCCTTGATATGGTGGATAAACGGTGTATGCCTCGTACTCATTCTTCTCAGCCTGAACATACGGTCTCTCTCTTCAAAGGTCTGATTCGGATGAGAATCAAGCACTTTCCTGCGGCTTTCGTCATCGCAAACATGCTCTCCGGACCTCTTTTGGGAACAGACACAGCTCTGTGGTTGAGCTTGTTTGGCTTCACTACTTCCTGGGTATACCTGCGATTTTTCAGGATATCCGAGATATCAAGCGCTGCTACTGGAGGCGAGGCAACGATCATGAAGGGCGATGCGAGTGATACATTCGCATTTGTCGCTTTCTTTCCCGATGCAGTCCATCCGCTCCTCGCACCAATCTGCGATGCAATCTACAACACTCTCGTCGAGCTCCGTCTATGCACGCCCTTTTCAGAGGAAAACATCAACGCTGGGAATGAGAACGCAGCTTCTCGCTCGGAAGCTGGTCTGCCGAACATCATGAATGGTAGAGGCGGTGGAGGTGGACGGCGCGCCGATGCTGAGAGGAGAAGAGCGCTCGCGTTGAAAGCCTTGGATCAGAGGTTGAATGCTACAGCTCCCAGTCGGGGTGTCAATCCGCCAATTACGAACGTCCAGGCGACTCTGAATACAGATCCGCCGAGTGGCTCGAAAGTCAAGGAGGATGCTGCAGAGGAGACCGTATCAGCAACGTAATTTCAAGACATGTGATATTGAAAAGCCCAGTGGTCGTACAGGAGATTGACAACAGAAAAGAGTTTCCTCAAGATGCATGGTAGCGCCATGTTCACTGCCCGGCCATGATGATGATGCTCAGTTCAACGATCAGCCCAGCCCCACGGAGCTCAGATGCGCAAGACGTCCTGGCGCAACCATCACTCAAACCCTTCCAGGTGCCAATCAGACCCTTCTCCACCACGGCTCCCCTCATTACCCGACACGAGCTTGGTGTTTGAAATGTTCGGGGCATCGCCGGGACACCACTCCAAGGAACACTCGTTTTTGTGAACATATCCCGGAGGAGGTTGGACCTAAGGTAAGATTATGCCACGTGAGTCAAGTCCAGAACTAAGCAATCATCAAAAAACTTACCATCATCGATGCTACAAGCTCATGCTTGCGAGGGCACGGATCCCTGGCACAATTACCGTGACTGTGGAGATTGTCAGCACGTGTTTGCAAATCGAGGACAGAGGGATGGATAGTGAACTCACTACCAGAAGAAACATGTAGCACCAGCGCCATCTGTCTTGGGAGTCTCTTCTTCTGTACCCTCATCGTCGTAATCCATCATCTTGGCCTTTTTCTCAGGCGCAGGAGCATCTGGATGTCGGGGTTGGAATTTACGTTTCTGATTGCCCTGCTCGAATTTCGGAAGTGTCTGCGACGCTGTGCTGGGACCTACCTTCTTGCGACCATCCTTCATAGGACACAAGGCGAGTCCGCAACCTTCTTGAGGATGGGATGGGTGCCAGGCAAGAATCTGCTGGCGACTCGGGTCGAGTTCGTGGAGGAACTTACATTCACTGTTGCTCTTGACGCACGATCCCTTGTGATACCAGAACCAACAAACCTTCGTGGTCGTCTTCTTTGCAGATGGTTGAGAGACCCGGTCTGGTGCGATCGTGTTGCGTCCGTTGCTACCTTGGTATCGGTTGTTTTCGTCTTCTGACTCGTCATCTGTAAGTGGTCCCATCGCGATGCTAGAGTCCATGACCAGGAGTGCAGATGGGGTGTGAGATCTAGACAACTTCATCGTCAAGAGTACTTTTTTGATGTCGTGGTTCGTTGTGAAACTTGCAAACGGAAGAACTTGAGTGAGGTCTCTAGGCGAGTCGAGATGAAACTTGGAGATGCTTTTCTTTGCGAAACGAGAGATGACTTCAACCCACCACAAGTGACGAGATGTTCTGCGTGTGCGAATGTTCTGTTCTGCACATGAAAACAACATGTGAAGGTCTGAGGTCAGATAATGTCCTGTGACTGAGGAGGCAGAGTATCGGAGTCGACGTGCCGATTCACCCCAATCGCCCGAACTCCGAAGCGAAGTCATGAATGTATTTCGATCCTGCGATAGAGCTGGTCCAGTTGCCATGGTGGTGGGCGACCAATGGACCGCTACTATTCATAGCGCCTGTAACTTAACATTGCTAGACCTTTAGAAGTAGCGGCAGTCAAGGGCTGGAGTCGAAATATGCCTGGGATCCATGGCGATTCTCGACGCCAATCAGAAACCGAACAAGCCGGCCAACATGTGCACCCCATGAAATGCAGCCGAGATTTTTCGTCAGCTGATGATTGGTGCAGAGATAAGGCAAGTGTTGAGTAGCACGAAATCGGGAAGGATGCTTCAGTTGTATGGTTTTGCCATCGCAACGGGAGCATTGGCAAAGCCCGTATTGGTCGGAGGTCCTACCTCTGGCGTGGTGTTTCGCGGAGCAAACAGCCCAGCCGAGAAGATCGCGAGCAGGGGACGCGACACAGTCTCAAACGATGGTAGTGTCGCAAACACCGACAGGCCCCGCGGACCCACGAGTCGACCCGACCAGGTGGTCGATGGAGACCGGATCGTTCCATACGAAGCATCGTGGAGATGATAGACAATTGTTGATGTAGCTGGACGGCGTTGACGGAACGAAAGGGTAAGTTAGGTAGGGCTGTCTAATAACCTGCATGCCGTCAAAGGTAAATTCATTCTAGATCAAATGTGTTGGGGCCCAAAGAAAGTAGAGGTAAGGTACGCCCCAGGGGCCAGTACCTTAGCTGTACCATGCTGCCGAAGACCCTACTCCAGCACGATCGTCGTTCATGTCCGTCCGGAGGCGAGGCCCATTAGCAAGGGAGGCGTCTGCATTAGCTGATGGCAACCAGCGTTTAAGATATCGAGTCGCCCCTGTCTACCTGCAACACTGCCTCCACTGTCAAATGCCACGGATGAAACACCTTTTGTTCGCAATCTGGTGACATGTCGACCCCAGGCCGTCCGATCATATTAATACCAGAAGGTCCATTCATCATCGCGAGCTCGCCGGACAGGAAAACCGAACTGGAACTCTTTTGCCAGCGATCCGCATAGTAATAATCAAACCACCGCGACCCGGATCTGAGAGCTGAGGGCCAATAATCCTGCCGCCTTGCCCTTCCTTCATCACGCTTCCATAGTGCTTCCACGTTGTCGCACCAACATGGCTCGCGTGGGGGAACGGTCGGCGTCACCTTCCACCACCAATCGATCCAGCACCAACAGCTCCAGCAGCTGTAATTCCAAAGACCACGGCAAACCGCGGAGGTCATACTATCGCCTATTTCCCACCGTAGAGCCCACGCCGCCAGCATCGCCGGTGTCTCTCGTCAATCGGAGGGCGAGTCGGGCAAGTCTGCGAAATTCCTCTGCTTGCGGATCCTACCGCCGAAGATCATCATCCGAGGACAACGGCCGAGGCGCTAGTTCTCGGGACCCCCATTGCCCACCGCATGTCCTGACAAACTTTGCCACCTCCTCGCTCAACGATGGTCGGCAAGTCAGTCCACCTGAGCAACCAGCTCTGCGCACCGTGCAAGAAGATAAGCAACTTTCGGATGCTGCCGGGGTGCAATCAGGGCTGAACACCGCGCAAAGTGGTGTTGATCAGGCCCGAGCTTCTACGAACCACAATCACCGCAACGGTTTCGATAGCGTCCTCGTCCAGTCTAGCAAAGCTTGCGACACATCTACTGCCTTTGATATGGCCGCACATGGGAAATGCCACGATGGACCGGCGCGTCTGCCAGGGACTGTAACCACACCCGCCATTGGACTTGGACTCGACATACCGTCGACCCTGGATGCGGAGGATAACCAGCCAGGAACCATCTTCATGAGGACCAAACCCAGGCCGAATCTTCGCATTGCCATTCTAGAGGAGCAGAATAACGAGTCAGAGCCCTTGTCTCCACCAAAATCTTCGCGACACACGAGAGAAGACTCTACCGAGTCAATATCAAATGCGACCATGAATTCGTTGTCCCTGTCGCAGGACGGCTCGGCTGTCCGGGCTTCGGTGGCATTAAAACAGTCGATTGTCCCACTCAGTGCAGCGTTGAAAGTTCGCGAGCTCAATGTTGCGCCGCACGGAGGACGTTTACGAGCATCCAAGAGTTTTCCTGTAAAGCCAGTGGGGTCCAGCCAGGAATTTGATACTGCACACACAGCACGTCTTCAAGATCCACCAAACACCAGCATAGGAGTCCGGGCAGATCTCCCTTCTCTCACTTCCCGCATGAACAGGCGCGCTGCGGCTCCAGAGGCATACCCTTTAACAACAACCCCGGAACCCTACCCTCCTGCTCCAATGCGACCAGCGACCGCGCGAGCTGCCACAACAACCAGTGCAAAAAGCATCTCCCATGTAGACCAGCCACGACCGGTCTCCTCCGGGCAAAGCGCTCTTGCGACGGCCAGAGCAAATGTGGCGGCATTCAGCAATGTGGAAGTGCCGACCTGGAATGCCAGTTTCTTCGAGCAAACCCAGACTCCCCGACCCGAAGTGGCGTCACTCTTCTCCGCACCATTACATCGTGGGCATGATGGCATTTCGGATCCAGTGCGGACCCTAGCAGAGCTTTCGAAGCAGTGCGAGGCATTGTACGCCAGGCATACCTCTCTACGAGCACAGCGAGTGCAACTCAGCAGTGCCATTGTTGCGAACATGAACAGCCAAAAGTCTGGACCTGCCTCTGGTGATATGCTCCACGAGCAACTGTCACTTGCGGCTGTCAGCTCATCAATTGACATTTGCTTTGCAAAGTTGAAGTCGCTTGAGTGCCAGAGAGAAGATGCCATTGCGGTACTTGTTGCTCAGGCAAGTGGTCCCAGAAGAGACTCCGACAATTCCATCCCCATGTCTCGTAAAAGCTCGTTTGCGCCGTCCATGGATTCAGGCAGCCGACTAGCTTCAGGTCGCTCGACACCAGACATCCACTCATTGTACCGTTCAAATCGGCCACCGCCAATCAAGACCTACTCCTCCAGAAGCGAGACTGACCCTCWGCGGGTTAGATCACCGTTACCCCGGACATCCTCTCTTCCCTACGATAGCGGCACCGAAGCTGAACCCAAATATGATCGACTGGTTGCCCAACAGCCCAAACGATTGACGCAGATCAGTGAGCCTCCAGGCACCCCGGATCTATCTTTCGAGACTGCAGGCGCTTCATCGACCGCGGACGAAGCGGATGACGCTCCAAACTCCGACTTCTCCGACATGGACGACATGTTGGCAGAAGAGCTTTTCCGAAAGCCGCACCGGAAGAACGCCGATGGGAAGAGTATGAAAGCAGTAAAGGTTCTTGGACTCGAGCTTGAAGACTTACCACCGGGAACAACCCCTCCACCCGTATCTCCCATGAGCAGCCTCTTTTCCGGCGCCAAAAGGAAGAAAAGCAAACCCCCTCCACCGCTCAAATTGAAGAAAGATTCGGGTTCCAAAAGCTCGATCAAAGTCTCCCCCTTGACATCCAGCACCGTGCACCCCTCGGAGCAAGATCAGCGAGACCACGAACTCGAACTCCAACTCCAATCCTTCCCTCCCACCCCCGGCCGATCCGCCCCCGCTTCCTTGCCCCCTTCGGGCCCTCCTCGCGTGCCTTCTTCTGTCGGGACAATCACATCCAAACGCACGATCCGTCGCCACGACTCTCCCGTTACAAGAAGTAATACCGGGAAATCATCGACATCCGCGCATACCATCAATGTTTACTATGATTTCGATCCCGATGAGGCTTTACCCCCCATGTCTCACCAGGCTCTCCCGACTTTCCCTCACCGGCATCAGAGCCATCGGGCGATCTTCACACGTGCGGATACACCGCCTTCTCCTTGAATGTCTTTTCTGCTTGCTTGTCTGCTTGAGAACACTCGTTCATTATTTTATATATCCCCCTTTTTGTACAGTACTGTGTGTGTGTGAGCGAGCGAGCGAGCGAGCTACGAAAGTTTAACGATTTAATGCGTATAGATTACGCTATGATGTGACCATTATTAGAAGAGAAGGAAGGGAAGAGAAGGAAGCGAAAGAGGATAGATGGATGAGTCTTTGTAAAGAGGAGGGAAGGGCGAAGAAGCTGTTGTAGATAGAGAGAGATCAATCTGCCTAATGTTCCAAAACCATGTTGCTGAGGCGCATGATTGATTGAATGACTGACTGATACCATTTTTCATCTCATTTCCCTACAATCGTAGTAGTGTGCATGATGTTAGCCCTCTCCATCCTTCTTCCCCGAATCATCCAGCACGCCCGTAACGCGAAGCACCTTCTTCAGGCCCTTTTTCAAACCACCTTCACTGCCTTTTTTCCGCCCCCCTACACTCGGTTCCACGGGTCCTGCTTTTGGGGGCCACTCGCCGTCATCTTTCCACCCTTGCACAAGCGCTTTGACGAGGGTGGAGAGATTGATCGGGACCGAGGGAGTGCGGGATTGCAGGATGATTTTGCTGTAGATTTCGGGGTACATTGTGGTGGAGATGCGTSTTCGGATGGGATGGTTGGGGAGTAATGCTGGTGCGATGGGGATGAGAATTTCTTGTGGTGGTGGGGAGGAGTTGGTGGTGGTGGGTGCTGTTGTTATGATCCTGGTGTCGGGACTGGTTGCGGGCGTCGAGGAGATTTGGGATGTGGATGAGGTGGATGTTCGTGGACTGGAGGAGGATGTTATTGAAGATGTCTCCACCACCACTGAAGGGGTGGTTGTTGTTGTTGTAGTTGAGGTTCCCGAAGATTTCAACTCTGCGAATTGAACATCCGGTGCAGGACGCGCGCAACACCATTTATCTCGTCTGGTGATGAATAATTCCAAGCCTTTGTTCCACTGCATTTCCTCCCGCAACGCCTCGTGTCGTTTTCGTTTTCGCGCCAGACGGCGTTCTGTCAACTGCGCCGCCACGCTGTCCGGACCTTCGAATCGATATGCATTATTGCTCTCCTTGCTCTTGCGTTTGGATGATGTGCCGGTGGTGGTGGTACTCGTGGCGCTGCTCTCTCCATCCGTTTCCGAAGCCTCTTCTCGTTCCCGCCATTCCACAGGATCGAAATCGAGTCCCAGCACATGTCCCCCACCTGCTCCTGTACCGGCAGCACTCGGCGCATGGAACCTGAACCCCGCAATCTTCTCCTCCTCGTCGACAGCAGCAGCAGCAGTTTGAGGTCCTCTCCGCTCCGCCCCGCTTGACCGCCAAGCCGGAAGAGTTGGGTATTCCCAGTCATTACGAATCCTCTCCTTAAGAAGCCGGCGCGCTTCTCGTAGCTCCTCCTGCTGCTGATTACTTCGATGCGCGCCGGGTAAGCTCAAATGCAGCGTCATGACGACCTGCTTTTTCTCTAAACTCCCCCACCCGATTGAATCCTTGGGCCCGGTTCCGCGACGTCAAGGTAAAAACTCCAGCTTTTCCGGGTAGGCGTTCGCACTTGGATGCTGCTGCTGGTGATGAATATCCAAGATGGAAATGGGAAGAATAAGTACCAGCCACGGTTTTTCACCGTAGCGATCGCGGTCGCCTGCCAGGAAACCTCCTCTCCGTCCGCGGCGGGCGCACTCTGTATGTACTAGCTAGTGATGATGAGCACACGACTCGCGGGGTTGCAAAGGTCTGGGTCGCAGGATTTAGGTGATGAAGATCATCGGCAACGTCACTCCGTCTTGCCGAACCAAAGACGCTAAAAAATATACATGGTCCTTACTACATGAGCATTATCGATGAGAGTTGAAGGACCGTCTAATATGATTTGACATGAATACTGTAGATTTACTCGAAAAAGAGTTACATACTCACACAACTCGAATTATCCTTCGCAGGCGACCTATCACCAAGACCAGCCTCCAAATCCCGCTCCCTCGAAAAGTCCGTCATTTCTACGTCTTCTCCCGACTCATGCCCATACTGACTGCCCGCATTTCTCAAGAGAACAGGCGGTGGAGCAGCTACTTTGGGAGGGTCAGGCTTGCCATGCAAAAACTCATGAATAGCGTCATCACGTGCCTTTTCGTCAATGACAAAGTCAAACGAGTTCTTGCGCGGGAGCTCCTGTTCTGTGAATGCGAGGTCGACTTCTTCGAGATCATTGGGATTGTTTGTTGTTGAAGGGTGATGGGATTGAGAGGTTGTTCGCTCTGGTTGGCGAGGTTCTGGCTCGGATCGGCGGGCTTCTTGTAAGAGTTGAGAACTGTTGGTGTTGGTTAGCTCTTCTTCCGTGAATGCGAGGTCTACTTCCTCGAAGTCTTCATCTTCGTTTGTTGCTGGCCGTTGGGGCTGACGGGTTTCTCGCTCGGCTCTGGGGGTGGAGTTGGAGTTGGATGGAGTCATGGTGGAGGTTCACTGCCTGCAGTGATGATGAGGGATAGCTAGAATGAAATGTTGAGAAAGTTTGTCAAAGTGAGACCATGGGCTTGTTCTCATACATGTACCTTTGAGAGAACAAAGGTCCATGTGACTTGGCTTCCATTGAGACCGTGTCACGGCCTTTGTCTGCTTTGTTCCGCCTCCTTGTCTTCTTTGTTCCCCTCCTGAGACTACTCTCCTGGCTTTAGTTGTGTCGATGGTAGAGGAGAAGTGAGAGCAATGCCAAAGTTCAATAGCGCCACGCTGTAAGATTCTTATCGCTCATCCTCTATGTCAATCGCAGTGCATGTGAGCAACCCGTTTTTATAACCAACTCGCCGGCAGATAGTTACATTTCACACAGACAGACCTTCAAACGTACAGAAATCGACCTTTCCCAACCCACGACGCCTGTGATATGAATCCCTCTGTTACGAATCATCGTTTCCGATTGAGTGTGCTGAGCTTTGGCTGTCTCACAGCTTCAGGCTCATCGCTCTCCTCGGCGTCGGAATCCTCCTCGTCCTCGTCGGATGGCGCGTCGGAGTCGGCCTCGTCGTTGGAGCTCTCCTCTTCACCAGATTGCTCTTCTGCTTCAACATCGAGCATACCGGCCTCATCTTCCTCGTCGGTCGTGTCCTCTTCGCTGTCGTCGTCCAGACCGTTCACCGCACCATTCGTTGTGTGCCCATTCGCAAGGTCATCGTCATTGGCAGAGCTCTCGTCTTCAGTTTCCTTGATCCGCAAAGTCTTGCCTGACCGCCGTGTTGCTGCGTTCCCATTCTCCTCCTCCTCATCACTGTCGGACCAATCTTGCCCTTGACCTTCCACATAAAGCACATTCTCCTCATCATCCAGATCATCCGCGTTCGCAGCCTGTGATGCGGCTTGTAGGCCCTTTCTCAGCTCCAGTTGCGCACCCAAGAAATCGAGCTTTCCCTTGAGCTGAAGAAGAGGCTGCAGTCCATTCGCACGTTCGCGCACCACCGTGCCCAATGACTTGAGCTTCTTCATCAGCTCTGGCTGGTTTGCCAGGTATCCTCCGTGAGTGACCAGTGACCATTGCACCCAAGCCATCAGCTTGCCAGTCCGTCCGGGTCGTTTGTGTATGCGCTCTGCTATGCATTCCAGAAGAGTGGCCACTTGATGTGACTGTTGTCGTTGGATTGTTGCACGGATGCTCCCCAGGTCGTTTACGCGGAAGCAGTCTTCCAGGAGGTCCTTGTCTTTAGTTTTGAGCGCTTGTGCCAATACAACACCCAAACTGGAAGATGTTACGGCTGTGCGGTTGTGAGAATCAGATGTGGGGACTAGGCTGCGACCATTGGGGTCTGAGACCTGCAAAGCCTTTTGCACATCAATGGGATCGGGGTGTCGAGCTTGCAGAAGATCTCCAAAAGTTGCATCTGCAGCATCAGTCATTTCCATGTCCGGATTGTGGGAGGCGGCATGTCCATTCGCCAGCGGCTGCGCTGGTCCATCGTCCGCTTCCTCCTCCGCATCGCTCGAATCGCTGTTACTGGACAGCGAGATTATGTCTGCCTCGGCGGCATGTGCAGGTGCAGGTGCGTCTTCATCTGAGGTATCATAGTCGGAGTCGGCATTGGCGGGCTGCACGGCGGCGTGAGATTCGTCGACTCGCGTGGACTTGGATTGTACCGCGCCATTCGTGAGGCGAGCATTGAGCTTCTTGCCTTTGCGGGCGTCCTCATCGACCAGGAATGCGAGACCAGAAGCAGAAGCAGCGCCGGACCGTGCTTGAGGTGTTGACGCCTCTGGCACGTGAGATGATTTCAGGCGTTTCGAGGCAGGCGGCGGTGATGCAACATGGGCGTCTGCTGGCCGCTGTCGGGATCGTTTGGTCGAGCTCATTTTTGCAGCAGGTCCTAGCTGCGGATGCGGGTGTTTTCGGTGCGGCGATGATGTTCTGGGTGGAAATTTTTGAGAGGCTGCAGCACGGACACTTTTTTCAGGGTAGGTCAGGAAGTACCTTACGAATCATCCAATCCATGAGCTTACCGACGGAGGAGAACAGACCTGCACTCAACACCCTCTCTCATCTCAAAGATACAAAATTATGGCGAGCCAAGCATACTGGATGCTTTGGTCATGCAGCATCATCTTCTTGTACATACAATACAGCCAGGAATGATAGACCGGATCTTCGCTCCTATTCATCAACACATTTGATCGGACGTCGGATAYTGTTGGACTTGGACTTGGAGAAGCGTCGCAGTCAGATCTTTGACACTGACTGACGCGTGCACTTTCGACTCAAAGAGTTGGCACGACACTACGGCTTCACGTTGGGGACATGCACTTCCAAGGTATCTATTCCACGATGGTTTGCCCTGACCTCATTTCTTGCAGAGTCCAGGTGGCAGCAATGGCTACCTTAGCCGCCCCTCCCTAGCCATACACCCGGCCTCTTCCATCGTTCCCGCCGCCGCATCCCCATTGCCGCCGCCAGCTCCTTCCACCTCATGAAAGAGACAGCCATTCTTTGGTCTCATAATCCTACTGCCTGGTGGTGATTCCCGATAATTATCGAGGTGAGAGGAGGAGGGTGCCCAGGCCGGCGGGCTGCGCTAAAGCTAAAATAGGCTAGTCAAACTCTAAAATGTCGGTGGCTCCTGCTTTTCTATTATCTTTCTGATCTCAACTTCTTGCGTCCCTTCCCTCTCGCGAAATCCACTCGGCCACAATTCCGCGCATTTCGACCGCATTCGCAACCGGCCATCTCACCTGACCTTGACTCATCAAAAACACGTGCGCATTTATCCAACGCGTTACGATACTTTGTCTTGGAGTACAAATACTCGAGTGTTCATCAAATCGGTCGCGCATAATCATCGCAACTGGCGCAAACATTTGACGCGCGCGCGATATCACGTGCACTGGCCACCTAAATATACTTGCACCTCCGCCGCCATGGCTTCCGAAGTCGCGCAGACAGACCCGGCGCATACTTCACTGCAAAGTGAAGCTCCCGTCACCAATGGGTATGTTGTCCTGTCCCTTCACACGTCGCTTCCATCGTTGCCTGGTTACTTCTTCTTGTCGCTTGAATCACAACAAATGTCTTTTAATCTTCACATACTTTGCGCGTTCATCACTTCAACAACAACGACAACGACAACAACAACATCAATCGTTCCATCACTAACGCGGCCACCAGCGACCACGAACAAGCCATGGCAAGCGACGGTGTTCAAAATGTTGATGCGTTTGAGGAGAATGCGACTTTACCAAAAGTCGACATGCCACTCGACCCTGCCGTGGCGGGTGAGTCGCAGTCGCAGTCGCAGCACGTGTCAAAACCTGTTGAGGATGTTGCGCCAGGTATAGCTGCCGTCTCAGATTTCATTCCCAAAGAAGCGCCAACCTCACATCCCACTCCCCCTCCAGACGAGCCTCTTGGATCCTCCGAGGCCAATGTTGATGTCGAAATGACAGAGTCTGATGCCTTGCCAAAAGAGGATGCGCAGCTTGAAACGAAATTGTCGACAGCACCTTCACTAACAGCAGAGTCTGCGCCTGCGCCTGCGCCTGCAGCCTCATTATCGGAACCCAGCTTGGTGCGGCAGCGGGAGGACGACGGAGAGGAGGACGAGCCGGCTGCGAAGCGTAGCAAGGTTGGAGGTGACCTTGCGCAAGAGGAAATGTCTGCCGAGATGTCTGCAGTCGCCCTGACGAACGGGTCTCAGGCTGAATCAGCGCAGCAGCCAGCTGATGCGCCTGCCGCAGACGCGCCTGCCAAAGACGCTCAAGATCTTTCCGCGCCGGAGGTAAAGCCAGATGCGGTGGCGTCAGTCGAGCAACCAACAGAAGCGTCGAGTGGACTTCCAGACGCTGCTGAAACATTGACCACACAAACTGGCGAACCCACCACAGCTGCACCAACGATCGAATCCAAGGCGACTACAACTCCAGCCCAGCCTGCTCCAGCTGATTCAAAACCGCCCGCTGGAGGAGTAACAATGCCAGCACAACCCACAGCTGCCCCACCTATCAATCCGACTGCTGCTGCTCCATCAGCTGCTCCATCAGCTGCATCAAATGTATCCGCAGCCCCAACCTACAGCAAATCACCCATGACGCAACATCAGAAAAACTTCCTCCAAGACAAGATGAAGAATCTGAAGAAGACCAAGAACTCTGCTGCGTTTCTAAATCCCGTCGATCATGTAGCTCTCGGCATTCCTTCCTACCCGGACATCATCAAGAACCCCATGGACCTCAACACCATGGAGCAGAAGCTCAAGTCCGGCAAATATCACACAGTGCAGGAGTTTGCCGATGACTTCAATCTCATCATCTACAACACCCAAACCTTCAACGGCCCTCATCACGCAGTGACCCAAGCTGGTGCGGCAATGGAAGCATATTTTAGGAAAATGATGGAATCCGTGCCCAGTGCCAGCGTGGCGCCTCCGCAGAGAACGCAGGCTCCAAAGAAGGCATCTCCAAAGCCTGCAGCACCCCCGCGCAGAGAAGCACGAGCTCCGGCACCACCTGCTGCAGCCGCACCTTTTGCTCTGCAGTCAGATGGAGTACCACAGATCCGACGGGAATCCACCGCGAATCGTCCAGCTCGCGCGATCAAGCCTCCACCCGCCAAAGAACTCACCTACGCGAAGCCGAAGAGAAAGGAGCATCAGCTAGAATTGAAGTTTTGTGATTTCGCCCTCAAGGAGATTCGTAGCGGGCGATACTCCCATTGCAATACGGTATTCCTCACGCCCGTGGACCCAGTCGCCCTCAACATTCCGCACTATCGCCAAGTTGTGAAGCACCCAATGGACCTGGGCACCATGACCCAGAAGCTGAAGCAAGGCCAGTACGCGAAGGCGTCGGAAGTTAAGAGGGATTTCGACCTCATGATCCAAAACTGCCTTGCGTTCAACCCCACGGGTAATGTGGTGAGGGACATGGGCATCTCGCTTCAGCGTGAGTTTGAAGCCTTGTGGAGAGGAAAGGAGAAGTGGGAGAAGAGCATGAGGTCGACTCAGAATGGCAACTCATCTGTCGATGAAGATGAGAGTGGGGACGACGAAGACGAGGAGGATGAGGAGGAGGAAGCTCCTGCCCCCAACGCTCAAACGATTGCCGCTCTCCAAAAGCAACTCGTGGACATGCAGAATGCTCTTGCCGGCCTTCACAAGGCTCCCAAAGCCAAAAAGGCCAAGGCTGCGAAGACAGCGCACAAGAAGAGCGGAGGCACGGCAGCTCCCAAGCAAAAGGCAGCACCGCCCAAGCCCAAAGCGAAGAAGGTCAAGATCGTCTCATACGAGGAGAAGCAGGAGATTTCAGAGGCCGTCGGCAACATGTCTGTTGCCCAGGTCGAGGAGCTCACTCGTATCATCACCACCAACTGCAAGAAGTATGCTGAGCAGGAGGAGATGGAGCTTGAGATTGACGACCTCCCCAACGATGTGCAGTACATGCTTCTCCAGTATGTACGCAGCATTTTCGGCAACCCGAACAAGGCCGCTCGCGGCCCATCACCTGATGAGCTGGTCGATGAGGATGACGAGTTCGAGCCCGAGCGTGTCAACAAGCGCGCTGGTGGGAATGGAGCTGCCAAGCGCAAGAAGCACAAGCCCATGGGTAAGGAGGAACAGCAGATGGCGATTGACAACATTCAGAAGCAGCTTGCTCAATTCGAAGGCGGCGGTGGTACCATGCCCGCCTCGAACGGGTTCGGTGGAGCCGGCGAGACTTCTGGCGATGATGAGAGCGAGGAGAGCGAGGAAGAGTAATTCGATTGATGAAATCCATCTGCTGTCGTGGGGTCTGACGGATTTGATGATGATGAATGAGAGGATGATGGATTGTTGCTTGCTTTTTGTGACGAAAAGCAGCCTGCATCCCAAATGCCCGAGGGCTTTGTAGAGTAGTTTTGAGCCCGGATGTATTAACTCCATCAATTTGGAACACATTGCTCGACACAAATGCAGGAACTTTTCATCCTCATCATCATCGTCATCATCGCAGAGAAGGAGTGGTGGACTGTACCGGTGCATTACAGCCGTTCTTACTTCGTTCTGAACTCTGTACATTACATCCACCTATACACATTATCACACCCTTTACGACTGACGCTTTTCATCTAACTATCGCATTCCGATTCGAATGTTTTCTCATTGGTTGGTTGGTTCTTCCTGATGTGGTATGGAGTGGAATTAGCGGGAGGTATCTCATTCATACCTGGTAGGAGAGGTGTTATGGCTAGTTCTACTTCTTTTAGGGTGAGATTTAGAAATCTCATGAAGAATAATTCTACTACTGCAGCTGATTGGTGGGTACATTCCATGACTTTGGAGGGTTTCATTTTCATAGAATAGTAGGTTATTAATGAATCGTTCAGATTTCTTTTCCTGTTCGGTAGGGTCGGGCAGGGATTGATTTGGAAATGTAAGGTAGGTTTCTTGGTTTGATGCCGCCGAGCTTCTTGAGCTGGTCCGGACGACGACTTCTTCAGGAAGCTTCCTGGGATTTTGAGAGGGCTGCCTGTTGGTATCTAGGAGTGGGAAGACGGATGCATGCATGGTTTGAGGCTGAGTGTTTAGTATAGGAGAGCTGGATGATTATTGGTGGATCAATCAGTGTATATGGTACTTATGGTTGAGATGTGCTGAGCATTTAGTCTGCAATGGTGGATGGATTTACGACATGCGTCTATTGTTATCCTGTAGTGGCACCACTTCATTGTGGTGGACCGTGTACATTCCTTCAAGCTGTGGTACCACATCCTCTCCATACACATACACACACCACACACAAAATACCATGTCCAATATCTCCTCAAGATAAAATCCAACTCAAGTCTCGACCCTCCGGCTGAATCTCCGGCGCGAAATCCAGAAACCGTTCACGACTCAATAGAATATATTCCTCATCAAGGACTTCAGACGGCTCAGGCACTGCTTCCCCACCAGTAATCATGAACTTCTCCATACGCGTCGAGAAAGGATAGACGGCCAGCTCCCCCGTTCCTAGACTGAAAGTATGAGTGACGGTATCCCCATGGCGGAATTCTCCCCGTAAAGCCATGTGTTCTAGATAGGGAAATTTGCCGCCTAGATTTGAGAAGCAGGTCTGCCAACCTGTTTGTTCTTCCTCTTCAATTCGTAGGTCACAAAGACGGAGTCGGGTGAGGGTCGCCTTGTGGCGTAGGAGGAACGTCTCGAGAGCTTCTGGTGTTGTGGAAATTGATCCGAGGGTGAGGGAGCGGAGGAGGGGAAAGTGAAGTCCACCACCACTACCACCCATGGCTTTGCCCAAGTCGATGTGGTCGAGCATGTAATAGGGAATGTAGGGAAATTTGATAACCAAAGTCTGGAGATTAGTGGCTTTGGCCAGGAAATTTGAGAGGTGTCCGCGGTTGAAGATTGCGTGCATTTCAACTAGCTCGTCGTCGTCAAAGTTATCGATTTGTTGGGTTTCGTCAAAGATGCTTTGACCAATGTTCCATTGAAAGTGCTTTGCATGCTGAAGCATTTTTCCGAAATTCGACCTTAGGGTTGTATCTTGGACGAGGAAGTGGTAATTTACATCTCCTAGGACGATGGTCTCGAGGTGGGTTCCGGCATCTAAGGCTCCGAGTAGAAGTTGTGAGGAACAGTGGATGCTTTTGCTGTGGTCTGGTCCATTGCTACCATGGGGAAGTACCACTCCTGGTTTGTTTCCTAGTTAGCGATGTATGTTGTATATGTGTCATGGATCAACATACCTCTACGAAAGGCAGCGCTCCTTTCAGTTGTATTCCTGCGGACAGCGTCACCGGACGTAACCCATACACTCTTCAATTTGGGGCAGACTTTGAACAACGCCGCGGACTTTTGGCGTAAAGTATCACTGGAGTCCAGGGCGCACTGTTGCGTATACAATTCCGAATAATAAGCATACTCTCGGTCCAACTGCTCCTGATCAATCCGATCAGCCTGGCTGCTACTGCTTTCAACCTCCGACTCTCCAATAATCCTTGAACTTTCCCCGCCGCCCTCTAGCATCTTTGCGGGCGAATCAGTAGTCATCGACATGTCAGAAAGAGCAGCGTCTCCTTCCTCTCGTTCCATTTCTCGACGCTTAATATTCCATTCTTGATACGATAAAAGTCTGTGGAAGCGATTCGCCTGCAACCAAATCGCTCGGATACCTTTGGCGAATTCCTCCTCCTGGTGGGTTGAGGTTGTGGCAGCAAGAGTTTCGAGAAGTTGGAGACTTTCGTAATTGTAGTAGATGCTCAATTCTCGGATGAGATGTCTGTTGGCCACTTTGCAGAGTCTTTGGTTGGAGGCGAGGCGGAAGTTTTGGATGGATTTTGTGTCGCAGGAGTCGAAAATGCGAGTTAGTAGTTCGTTGGATAGGTCTTGGAGTGACATTGTTGATGAGTGATGAAGCACCGAGCGATGGATGATGGAGATTAGTAGAGAGATGGAGATCAATTGCCGCCAAGAATCATGTGGCTCCACGTTGAGACTGCAGGTAGGATCTGACACCCCTGCTGACATTTATTCGTCCCCATCTTTTTCATCGTCACCTCTTCATCATCTTCCTGCTCCTCTCCGCATCCAGAATCGTTACTTCGCAAAACGATGACTTGTTCATTGATATTTGGTGGCTCCGCGTTCGCTCATCATTATACAGAACTCCCAAAAAGTCAAAGACTTGGCGTGTTGAGTAACTTGCCTACCTATAAGTAACTAATAGGATTGCAAAAAATATCACGCTGTTCGCAGCACGAGATGAATAGGTAGCTCACCTCGAAGATATGATTGCTCGGCAAACATTTCCTACCGCTGCTAAATTAACCTACGTCGAAGATAATATCAAATTTCCCCGTCACCCTGTATAGCCTAAGTAATCGTCGGGCAGTAGGCAAGAGGTTGTCGAGTAAATTATAACCGCACGCTTTCTGCTTCAACGTAAAGAATAGGTACCGTAGTAGCATAGCCGCAAAATATGTCGTAGACATCGCCATAGGCCGGTTCATTATAGTTTCACGCCCTGAAGTTGTAAGACTGCGACTTGCAACATTACTTGAATCCCGAGTACTTGCTCCAAATCGTAAACGTCATCTTCTTCATGTTCCATCCATCCATACCTGCCCACATCTCAAAGACAATCCGATCATGCTCCAAACTCACGCCTCGCCCTCCGATCCAGGAACTCCCCTCGATCTCGCAACCAGACTCGCAATCACCGAATCCGGAAGCAAATTAAAAACCGAATGAAAAGCCTTATTATTCCAACCCACAATTTTCGCCGCCGCGTTCTCCTCCAGCGCATCGACAGCAACTTTGGCGACTTTCCCCGGCTGATCCACCCCCACCATTTCAATCATGCCTCTCTTCTCCCCATGCCCTTTCCCATCCAGATTCGTCTCCGTCACGCCCGGAATCACACACGCAACCCGAACACCTCTCGCCATATTTTCCTGTCGAATGGCTTGCGAGAAGGTGTGCACAAAGGCTTTGCTTGCAGCGTACGCGGCTGAGAAGGGCACGGGTTGGAAGCCACCCGTGGACCCGATGTTGAGAATTCCCCCGGACTTGCGGGCGAGCATGTCGGGGAGGAATTGTAGCATCATATCCACGACGGCGCGGACCATGACATCTATTGTTTGTAAAGATGTATCGCTCGAGGCATCTTCGGCGAAGACATATTTCCTGGCGAATCCGGCATTGTTTACGAGTAAATGGACATTCCACTTGAAGTCCTCGTGAATCTGCTGGTAGATCTTGGCGGGAGCATCTCTTTCTCCAAGATTGATGGTGATGGTTTTGATTTGTAAATCTTGCGCGTCGAGGCTTGGAGGGCTTCTGCGGCTGCTTGGAGCTTTTCTTCGGTTTGGGCGACGAGGATGAGGCGGCGGACTCCTCTTGTTACTAGCTCTTGGGCGATGGCATGGCCGATTCCAGAGGAGCCGCCTGTTACGAGTGCTGTTGAGGCTGCGAAGTCGATTTTAGACAATGGAGTGGTGGTGGTTGCCTCGGCGGATGGGTTGTCTGACATGGTTGGTGGCAGTGAATTGAGAACGGGTTGTGATAACAAAACGTCGAGGTATTGTGTTGRTGTGACGTTGTTTGTTATCCTGTGAGTGCAGCCGTTCTTCACTACTTTGGGCTCGTATTCTGCATCTTATGTATGCTGACGGGAAGCTTTCCTTCCTGTGATCGCTGTATGCGTCATTGATTCTTGCTTTGCTGCCGTGAGGAGTTCTTGACATTACTTTGTTGTACCACGTTTACCAGATCGCTCTATTTTCGTCATGGTTCTGTTGATCACTAAAACTTTACTTGTCGATGGCTGCGGTGGGTGCCGTATTTCTGATAAAGTTGCTGCGTGCTGATATTCTAAGCAAGAGGGCGTCATTGATGTTCACTAATCATAGTGCGGAAGGTTTTTCTTGTACCATATACTGGCGGAGGGTCTGTCGTAGCCTACWTCAGGCCGTATCCGGGGAAAGGTGTCTATCACCCAGTCAAGCAGGTTATCGTCTTGCAGCTGGGTGCTAAAGGGGTCGGCACACGATAGTGATTGAAACGCATTCTAAATTTGAAATCGAGGTACTGACTGCGCCAATAATCTGTGTCAGTGCAACATTACTCAATTGGACGAGGCTGACAGTCCGTATTCTCAAAGATACTTCTTGACAAAAATTCAACGCTTGCCGCTCCGAGTCCTCGAGCGTATTCTTCTCCACGTCGACCTGGATCATGAGTTTTATGGTCGATTTCAGGCACCTACTTTCCTTTCCTTCCAATTCGCTTCTTCGTGCACTTGTTCCACCTTGGCCTTGTTCTGATAGGTAGGGCACCCCTTCAAGCTTCAAACTCCAGGGCGTCAATGAGTTCAATCTTCTTGCCGCCCTTTCCGATCATGTTGGACTCGAGAACTGCGGCGAGTGTAAAGCGCCACCCCAGCAGAAACCGACCTTGCCAACTTTGGTGCTTTCGCGGGTGGTGAGTTGTAACTTGTTGAGAAAACCCATGCAGTCGGTCTCCTCCTCCTCCTCCAGAGGATCCTGTTTTAGCGGAGGAGTTTCATGGCGGGGTGGTGAAGCAGGTTGAGGCGCTGTGTGAGAAACTCGATGATTTGCTGGGTCAACTTCCGTAGAGGGATGCTGTGAGGGCAAAGGTTCAGATTGCTGGGTTTCTTGGTGGAAAAGGCGTTGGGCATCATTTGCACTCCATCATTCGACATGAGATGCTTTTAAAGAGATAGATATCGCTCCCATTTTGTGTCGACGGGCGGAACGTTCGTCAGTCAGTCACGGATGAATGTATACATGTTTCCGTGTCGTGATACGACGATAATGATGATGATGCTGAGGAGGAATAGGAAGTCAGAACTAGAGAGGAAAGTGGTTACCAGGATCGTAAATACGAGTTGATCGAGTGATCAACCCTTGACAAACGGTGAGCATGTTATGAATGAGCAGCCTTGAATCCCGACACCGATGAATCACTACTGGATGTCTCGAACCACATTGAGCTGGGATTGGAGTTGCCGGAGATCCTGTACAGGGCAGTCTTTCCCCGCCGTATCCTCTCACATGAGGTATAGGATGAGGTGAGGTGAGGCGAGGTGAGATGTGTCTCGGATGGAAGAGGACAGTCATCAGACCACCCGAACCCGAACGGAGGAAGCATTGTCCAGACCAAATCCGAGACATGCAAGGCTCGTCGGAGATGTGTCCGAGCGAGGGTTGAGGTGAGGTGCGGTGAGGTGCGGTGAGGTTTGTGATGGGGAAGGGAAGCGTTTTACTGTGTCAGGCCCGGGAGTAGGACGAGCTTTCATACGCGTTTTCTCGCGTCAAACTGACGAATGAGACGTGTGTGTAAGTGTTTGAGCGGCAGGATGGAAAATCGAGGGCATGGCATGGCATGRCATGGCATGATTCATGAGCGGCGGGGTGCGAAGAAGAAGTTGTTCAACGTGTTTTGGAGTCATGTCATCGCCGTTGGTTGTCGATATACTGCCGCTGATGGCGTCATGCTGATGATGGATGGACTGCTGGTGTTTGGAAGGATGTTTGGAGGAAGTTTGGGATGCGGTTCGGATGGAAGTTTGGGACGAATAGAATGGTGATGGTCCCCGCGTGATGCAAGCCAGCCCAGGGCAGCAAGCTTCCTTCCAATCCATCGGCGCCGGGGTCTGGTCTGGGTCTGGAAGGAAGGAAGCTTGACCGAAGCAACCGACATTCAATCATCAAATCATCACCTCTCTCACCACCCACGCCAGCTTGAATTGATCTGTTCTTCTGCACTTTACATGCAATCCAACCTTCTCACAACGCAGACATCTCCCCCATTACCGCCGATGCCCTCGACTGCTTGAAGCTCCCAGCAGCGGAGATTCCCACTGGACCTCCATCCATCTCACCTTCCCACCAAGCTGATATTAAGCACTCTCGATGAAGGCGGCACCACTTCTCGTGGCCTGGCACACGGACACGGATCCCATCTACTCGGCCCACTTCGAACCTCATGGCAAGGGAAGATTGGCCACGGCGGGCGGGGACTTTCTTGTGAGGGTATGGATATCTATCAATGCAGGAAGAGGGATACATGGCAGATATGGGCTGACACGGACATGTGWGCACAGATTTGGAACGTGGAGGCTAACGGCGAGGAGCGGACGGTGCAATATCTCTCCACCCTCAAAAAGCACACAGGCGCCGTCAATGTCGTACGATGGTGTCCCAAAGGTACATGACCTCCCCTTACAATCCAACTCTTTCCAAGCATCGAGTATACTAATGGAGGATGACGATTTCCAGGCGAACTGCTGGCCACCGCGGGCGATGACGGCAATGTCCTCCTCTGGACTCCCTCCGACAACGCCGCATATGCCTCCAACTTCGGCGACGAGGGGGTGGAAGATGTGGAGCACTGGCGCGTCAAGACCATGTGTCGCTCCACCAGTGGCTCCGAAATATACGACCTGGCCTGGTCGCCGGATGGAATGTTCTTCATCACCGGAAGCATGGACAATGTCGCCCGCATCTACAATGCCGCCACGGGTCAGACGGTCCGTCAAATCGCCGAGCACAACCACTACGTGCAAGGAGTCGCATGGGACCCACTGAATGAATATGTGGCCACCCAATCCTCCGATCGATCTGTCCACATCTACGCCCTMAAGTCCAAAGATGGCCAATTCTCCCTCACCCAGACCAACAAAATGGCCAAGATGGACCTGCCGGCGAGAAGAATCTCCTCCAACAGTCCCGCTCCCCCCGATTTCGGCGGCAACCATCGTGCCGCCTTTGTACACGATGCTGCTGCCGTCGCTGTCGCCTCCCCCAAAATGTCCGCTCCCGGCACCCCACAATCCTTGGMCTTACCCATGGACCCTCCTCCCACCTCCCACAGCCGCCGCTCATCCTTTGGCTCCCAGGCGGTGAGGAGATCCGTCTCCCCTACTCCTTCCATGCCACTTCCCGCCGTCATGCCTTCGGCATCTCCCAGTCTCTCCGGCATGGGAATGGGTGCACGCAACAGCAACCTCTACGCCAACGAAACTTTCACCTCCTTCTTCCGTCGTCTCACCTTTGCTCCCGATGGGAGCCTGCTCTTCACTCCAGCCGGGCAGTTCAAAACAACACATGCATCGGCTGATGGTGGCAAGTCGACGGATGAAATCATCAACACCGTCTACATCTACACCCGAGCGGGTCTGAACAAACCTCCCGTCGCCTATCTCCCCGGACATAGGAAGCCTTCAATAGCAGTCAAGTGCTCACCCATCTACTACAATCTCCGTCAGGCATCCACCGAAACGAAGGAAATTACCATCGCCTCCGGTGCGGAGGGCATACCAGGACTGGGCGAGCCGGCACTCCCCACCAAAGCTCCCACTTCCAAATCCGCCATGGATCCACCTCCTCTCACAAGTGCTCCGTCTCCTTCCCCAAGCAATGCCACCATGGCCTCGCCCGGTCCGAAAGGCGAGGCGGATCCCACGTCCGACCTTCCTGCAGGACCCGTGCCAGCGTTTGGTCTTCCCTATCGCATTGTCTATGCCGTCGCCACACAAGATGCTGTCCACTTGTATGATACCCAACAACAGAAACCACTGTGTGTGGTGAGCAACTTGCACTACGCCACTTTTACAGATCTCACTTGGTATGTCTTGCAAATCATGCTGTGGTGATGAATATTCCAACTAAACAACATGAATAGGTCCAGCGATGGTCTCACCCTGTTGATGACCTCCTCGGATGGTTATTGTTCCGCACTCACCTTCTCTCCCGGCGAGCTGGGGACAGTACATCACCCCACAGCAGCAAGTATCAGCGCGAGGAATACTCCCGCACCAATCTCCGTAGGACGAGCGAATTCCGCGACGAGTACACCCGTTCCCACACCAACGGCAGGTGTCACACCTGCTGTAACACGCCAACCTTCGGCAAATGTCGTCCCGACACCAACACCAGCAGCAAATGCCTCCCCAAGTCCATTCAACTCATTCGTCAGCACCTCTGCGGGTGGTATCGGCGGCTACAACGGATATGGAGAAAGAAGACCGGCATCACCAGCGAGAAGCATGTCCGCATCATCCATTGCCACCGAAGCCAGCTTTGCCCGGGTACCCGACCAGAATCCCGCATCTGTCATGAACAATCCCACACCATCCATGGGTTCGGTGCCGAGTCTAGCAGCAGCGGGAAGTGGCAGTGCCAGTGCGGGAGGAATGCCTTTATTCACCCCACCGCAGACGCCCGGCGCTGGATATGGCCATGTTGGTGGAGGAGGGACGACTCCTGGTGGTGGGCAGCAGCAGGCACAGGTTGGCGTGAAGAGGGAGGTTGAGCTTTCCGTGGAGGAGCCTGGGGCGGGCAAGAAGAGGAGAATCGCTCCTACTCCAGTGATGGACTCGGAAGGCATGGATGTTTCCAACCCGAAAAGGGAAGAGGGACGGGGTGGAGCTTAAAACATTGAGGAAAGAGAGAATGTTTCAAGAAGGGAAGTTTAAGAAGAGGGAGAGGATGATTGTTTGATACGATATGCGTGTATTATGGGTATGTCTTGGCTTTGGCGTTGGGGGAGTTATTTCAAAGACAGAACGGCAGTTAGATGCAAGGCGGCAGGGAGGTGGAACAAGTGGCAATGTGGAGAGAGTGGGAGGAGAGGAAAGAAAGGAAAAGAAAGGGAAAGGATCAAGGCATGATGGAGGTGAGGAAGATGTTTGTGGTTCTTGATGATGACGATGGTGATGTAACAGTAGCGTGTAGAGACGAAAGATACCACAGTAGTATAAGTGAGCAAAGCGAAGTGAAGTACAGTCAACATAGGACAGAATTTTGATTTGTGTATGGATGACTCCCGCTGTTCTACTTGATTAACCGCAAGGACTAGTTATAGTATAGGATGCTACTATACCTTTACCTTATAATACCTTATCTACGCCAAGCCTTTCCTCCCCTCTCCTTCCTCTCCTTCCTCTTCGGGCTTGAGTTGACCCCCACCCCACATGCTCGCCTCGCATCGCCCGCTAACCTCAGATGTTCAAACCTCGCCCGTCTCGTTTAGGGCAAATCCCTGTCAAAGACCCCGGGTCATGTCGTCAGCATGCCTAGGAGCTGACGATGACTTTCTGATGAGATGTTCGAAACATATGGGGGACTTTGTTCTAGGTAAGATCTTCATCTTGTTGTAGCTTCTGTGTTCCTAAAGATTCATTCTTCGACAATGATGCGGACAGTATGTACTCTGCTTATCTTCTCGGCAGTCCAGGGCTGGTGCTGCTTGAGTCGGGAGGGATTTCCTTCCTTACTTGATGCTGATTTGGAGGATTTGAAGGCTGGACTCGGTGGGTAATGATAAAGAAAAGAAATCATCTTTCAACATCCACAAAATACTAAGAGTCCCATGTCTAGAAAGCAACTTCTTCACGAGTGTGGACCTTGTCAATGCATACACGGCACGCGTCTCCGAAGTGGACGACACTCTCCACGCCGTGGCGGAAATCAACCCCGATGCCCTCTCCATTGCCTCCCATCTCGATTCTCTCCGCAAGAATGGAACAATCTTAGGTCCCCTCCACGGAATCCCAATCCTCATCAAGAATAACATCGCCACGGACGATGCAATGGACAATACCGCCGGCTCCTTTGCTCTCGTGGGATCCAAAGTCCCCCATGACTCCACCATGGCAGCCAAACTTCGCAAAGCAGGAGCCATTATCCTGGGAAAGACCAATCTCAGTCAATGGGCGAATTGGCGCTCTGATAACACCAGTAACGGTTGGAGCGCTACTTCGGGACAAACCTATGGCGCTTACACTCCCCAGCAAGATCCTTCAGGAAGTTCTTCCGGCAGCGGTGTAGCAACATCCCTAGGTCTAGCACYCGCATCGCTGGGGACAGAAACGAGTGGAAGCATTCTCAGTCCAGCAGATGTCAACAATATCGTAGGACTCAAACCCACCGTCGGCCTAACAAGTCGCCATCTCGTGATCCCCATCTCCGAACATCAAGACACCATCGGTCCCATGACAAGAAGTGTCAAAGACGCAGCATACCTCCTCCAAGCCATTGCCGGGAGAGATCCCCACGACAACTACACCCTCGCCATCCCCAACGCCGGAAAAATCCCAGACTACGTCTCCGCCTGTAAAAGTGACTCCCTCCAAGGCGCAAGAATCGGCATCCCCTACAACTATCTCCACCTCGCAAACCTCGACGCCCCCGTAATGGAAGCCTTCAACGCCGCAGTCGAACAAATCCGTCTCGCAGGAGCAACCATCATCTCAGCAAACTTCACAGACGCCGCAGGAACAACAAACCAATCCACAAACTTCAACCCCACAACAGTATGGAACGCAGATTTCCTCATCGGACTCGCCAACTATTTCTCCCAATTAACCCACAACCCACATTCCCTACACACCCTCTCCGACCTCCTCAATTTCACCCAAAATTTCCCCCAAGAAGCCTTTCCTGCCCGAGATACAGGGATCTGGGACACGGCTCTCTCACAAGGATGGAATAATACAGATCCCCGCTTCTGGCCCGCCTATCAACGTAATCTCCAATTCGCTGGCCCGGGGGGAGTCTTAGGCGCTTTATCCCGAACAAACACGACCGCCTTACTCCTCCCCACGCAAATCTCCTCGGGCATTCCTGCGTTGGTGGGAAGTCCTGTGTTGAGTGTTCCTTTGGGGAAGTATCCTGAAGGTTGGGAGGTGAGGAGGAATGGATATGGGGATTTGGTTGCGAAGGCGGGGAATGTTCCTTTTGGGATTAGTTTTTTGGGGGGGTTGTGGGGTGAGGAGGCGATTTTGGGGTTGGGGTACGCTTTTGAGGAGAGGTGGAGGGGGAGGGGGAGGGTGAGGGCTTGGATTGTGCCGGGGACGGAGGTTTGGGATGTTTAGGGGGTACCTAGGATTGGGGGGTTGCTGTGAATGTTCATTTTGAGAGTTGCTGTGCTGTGTAGATGAGGGAGGTTGATGTTGTGAAGATGAGCGATGTTGTCAAGATGAGGGAGATGTGTTGTGATGGGGTAAGTTTTTGGGGTTCGATGGAGAGAGAGAGAGAGAGTAGAGGAGAAGAATTGACGAGCTCTTTTCTTGTAGACGGGAAGCGTATAAAGTACCTGACTGATCCCAAAGAATCCCAAAAGTAAAAAGTATGTTTCTTTCACAAAGTGAGTGGGAACAGTCTACTTTTCGAGTAATCAACTTTCCCTCCTAATACCCGCACTGAAACTAGGTAGGTAGCCGCGTCTCCACACAAACCACCGACTCTGGAAAGTTTCTACAATGACGGTAAGGTAGCCATGCACATGATTCGACATGGATGTAGTATATCCACAAAGTAATTCCCTCAAAGAAAGAAACAATATCTTCTCCAGCAGATTCGTGCATTGGCATCGCCTTGATCTCCAAACGCACGTAATCGTTTCAATCCCTCCAACTCTACCTTACCGATGGAGTCGGGAGATATGCCTTCAGGAGGAGACATGTGGGCAAAGTTGACTGTGAAGAATTGCAACTATTAGCATGGAGGGACTGGGGAGGTTCAATCTGAATCGTACTGTGCACAGCTTTGCAAGCTTCATACTTGATCGCCATGTTGCGAGCTATACCGCTGCCGATATCTCCGCCTTGTGAGATGTAACCTCCACCGAAACCGAGACCTAGTATAAGCTGGTAGATGGATTGCGGATAGGATTAATTCGACGCCTAAGTCTGACTTTAGGGATGGTCTGCTAGAGAAGACATAGCCGGGGACTAATAGGATGATAAAAGTGGAGGGAAGTTCGGCGTTTTTGTATTTCGCAGAAGCAAGATGTAGTAGATCTAGAAATTCTAAGGGACTACCGGGCCAGCCGTGGAGAGGACGATAGGAATACCTAGCATCTACTTTTGTTAGAGTAGAGTGCGATGAAATGTAGCTCGATGGGTTCTCCGTCTTCTCTATGTATAGTAAGTAGCTTTATAGTTGTCAAAAGAGTTAATACGAGCCTCCGTTTTTCGCCTATGATTCTCAYAAGTCAGCAATGTATGTAGACTTGAGGAGAGTGAGATCTTACCAATCGTACTTGTTTAGCCAGTATTCTTTTGCGTTTTCAGTCCAGACTCTTGAGACTCCATAGTCGGGACTGGGCCTAGTGGTATTCTGGAATGTAGCTGGACCAATCTTGTTTTATTAGCTGCTTGAGCTCGATTAGAGCTTCCTCTGGAATGGACACTTTGAAGGGACGGGTTACGAGGGTGCCTGAAAAGGGTGACATAACTTGATAGAAGAAGATGAATTGCCACACCTGGCAGCGAACGCAGCTGTGAGTGGCATTGACTCCGCGGGGCCAAGCTCTGTTGAAGCCCAAGGAAGGTTTAATCAACTACCCGTTCAATTCACCTCAGAATTTGATTGAGAAATCGACGTTTCCCCTTTGAGATCCTTTCCCCAAGAGCCTAGACCGCAGGGCGAGCGGAGCGCGGGCGGGGTCTTCAAACTTTAATTGAGTGAACCAACTCCAAACATCGACGTCACGAAAAACAATAATCCTCTTTGAACAATCACCCACACACAGGACAATACAGCACTGAGAACAATATCAAGCCCAAACCATTCCCAAGCTTACCGACAATGTCTCTCGCCCTCTGGTTCCTCCCTCGGCAATCTTCCCCCTTCACCAAAACCGCCCAAGGTGAGCAAGTACCTTCCGCAAGTGCATGAAAAAAAGTACACAAAGATATACCGCATTTCGTGCCCGCGAAAAAAACATCATTTCCAAAACCTATACTCCTACTTCAAAAGCTAATACCAGCCAATGAAAAATAGAACTCATCTCCGAAACAATCCCCAACATCTTCCTCTCCCCAACCCAACAAATCCAAGAATTTCCTCCCCACGTAACAATCACCTCAGGAATCACCCTCCCAGACTCCCAACAAACCCCTCAAGACTGGCTCGACGCCCTCGACTGCTCCCCCTACGCAGCCGAAAAAAACGAAATAATCCTCGAACTCCAAACCCTCCAAACCGAAGACCCTTTTTTCCGAAAATGCAACATAGCCCTAACAGAAAACTCCAACCTGCACACCTTCGCCGAGAAATGTCGCGTCGCCGCAGGTTTGAAACCTCGTGAAAAGGGGGAATATCGTCCGCATTTCAGTCTTTTTTACGGAGATGTAGCGACTAAAGACGTGGAAGCCAAGTTACCGTTGATTGAAATGAAGGTTGGGTTTGCGATTGGGGATTTGTTTGCTTGTTGTGGAGGGGCGTTGTGTTTAGGGGGGGAAATGGTTTTGGTTGATACTAGTCGGCCGATTACCGCTTGGTGTGAGGCTGTTGTTGCTAAGAGGGAGGTTCCTTTTGTTATGTGGAGGGCTAGTAAGCATCTTGCTTGATTTTTTCTTTTTTTGAAGGGGTGGATGGAGGGATTGGGGTGGGATGGGATAGTAGTGTAGTGGGATGTTTAGGAATCATTTCGAGTGTCGAATTATGAACTCCGCGTCGTCGAGGTTTTCTTTGCTTGTTTGCTTTGCCTACCTCTGAGACCGCATACGAAAAGCTCCTCTCCTATTGAATCACGGCTCATTAACGAACCAAGCACCCAAGTCCATTTTTTTTTTTCTCAAGGTAGAAGTCACTCGTGGTTGAAGCCCGAAACGCGAGGAAAGTACCTCTAAACATGCCGCTCGAAGTTGTCTGTAAGTGTCTTCCGAGAAAAATTCCATCGATGTAGACACTATGTAGTTGTACATGGTCTATTCAAAGCTCTCGTGAGGTCATTTTTGGTCGCCTAGCGTGAAGTTTAGAGCTGTATTCAGCCTTTTAAGGACACCGCTTCGGCGGTAGTAATAGGGGTGGGACCCATTGGACTCTCTACACTACGCAAGTATCAAAATCACACAACATTCTAATCACCATCGCCGTAGACACGGGTTTAGCCCAATAGACCGCCGCATCGACCTTGGAAGCATTTAACTTGATTGATCGATTAGAATGTAACCTTGTCGAAGTAGGCATCGGGCTTTTTCCACATCGTCTCTTACACAGATAATGTTGCTAATATCTAAAGGATCGGTATCTCGGCATCTCGACACGGAGTAGAATGATAATACCCRTAAGCTACTAACTCGCGTTAGCCCCGTCTTAACAGAGTCACAGACGCTCTACTAGAGCTCCAAAATCTAGCAGATCATCTAGCTAGCCTTCTCGCTATCGTTAGAGTACTTGAGTGATCGTGCGAGCTTTGCTTTTTATATGTAATATAGATTTACGATAGGATATAGTAGATATGTTCGTCTAGCAGACCCGTCTTCTACTACGATATGCCTTAATATATATTAGACGAATTCAGCTGTAAAAGTATAGATAGTCCTATCATGGTGTTTGGCAACAGAAATCCTCCGTTATAGAACAGCGTAGATTGCGGCATTATAAGACGGTGAACGTAGCCGTTCCACTGCCTCTCCGAAATTGACAGGCTTCTCGGGAAGATCAAGTTCATCGATTCGTAGATTTGGCGTTTCGTTATACAGAACTAATTTGAATGCATCGAATGCGTATAAACACCTTAGGCGGTTAGGCATATTATCGGCTCAATTCTGTATTCGTTAATTGCTGAAATATCTGTATCACTGTTCGTTGATTTGCGGATATTCATGCTTCGCTGTAACGAACTTGTTGCTCACTCCTGCAATGCATTTCCGCTTACCCTTGTGTCGAAGCACGTGAGGTAGAAACTGCTCCATCTTTCTTTTTTCCAAGCTGCGTGGCCTTGGGATGATATGGTTACGTCTGCACTGCAGCGAGAGGCAGATGTTATAGGAAAACCCGTCGGTAGAAGATGATCATCTTTTTTCCGGACAAAAGGGACAACGATCACTTTCCCGAAGAAGATGTTAGCTTACAAATTGGAAGAAACTTGGTGCAGCTTGAAGCTCAAGTGCATGGTATTAGCAACATGTATTCTCAAAGGCTATCTCGTGGATGAGATAAGACGCCGATCAGATGTGCATGTGAAGACGGTGTATTATTATGCAGATCGTCGACGTGGAGCTCTCTCATGCAGAAGACAATCTCAAAACATACTTTCACGGGATGACGTGCTTACTGCCAGGCTCCTCCCTGCATGGCGTGATAAACTTCGCAATGTCGTATCGGCAAGGATGATGCTCCACCGGGAAGTTCTTCAAATAGTGTTAATGTTCCGATCGAGACAATCTGTCACAAAGACCTACTGAAGCAAGAAAAGATATCAGAGTATCGTTGTTTCTCATTCATTCATTCACTTACTTGTCCGCGGAAGGATTTTCTTGGCAAAAAAATTTAAAACGCTTGCTACTAGCGTCGCCGCTCTGGAAAATGTCGGAGACACGGTTGAATGCCAAGTCAGTAGCTGTTATTGGCGCTGGTGCTGGTGGAATTGCTGCTGCGATTCATTTGAGACGTGTAGGACTTGATGTCAAAGTATTTGAGCGGAGTGCGAAAGCTGGTGGGATATGGGTTTATGATGAGAGGATCTCGGTGGAGCCTCCATACCCTGTATGTTGTTGTTGTTATAGTGGGAAGAGATATCCCGAGGAGATGCTTACTGATGGCTGATGTGTATGCCATGTCTTAGGCGACGAAACCTTCAGTTGGGGATTCACCTGAATATGAAGCATTGCTTGATCGACGTAGCTCAAGGCAGGATAGTCCGCTGGAGCAAACCCAGACGCAGGCTAAGGAGAATGATCTTTCGAGAATCTTCGCACCTCCGGGGTATGTTATTACGCGAGTCAAGATCTTCAGTAGACATCATCACTGCTGACTTCACTGACATAGACCATGTTACAATTCATTGAAGAACAGTAAGTCTGAGTGTGTCTCCAGATGAATTAAACTAATGAATCCACTCTGCAGATGTATCGACCATAGAAATGGAGCTATCTTGTGAGAAATGGAAACCCTCGACAGAAGACTTTGTACCGCATCATGAACTCGCACAATATCTCCAAGACACAGCTAGAAACAATGGCGTTTTGGAGGCAACCAGCTTCAACACTAGGTAAACTCTCCACGAAATCGAACATCACAGAGTCTAGCTCACCCAAGCTCCACCCACAGAGTCGACAAGATCTCCAAGACATCCTCCCAGAAATGGCAAGTCGATACCTCAAAACTCACACCCGACGCCTCAGCAATCGAGTCTCAAGAAAAATCAGTACCGAAAAACCTCTCTCCCAACTCATGACCCGACTCTAACTTTCCCCATCTCAGCTCTTCGACGCAGTTGTCGTAGCGAATGGAAACTATCACGCCCCCAACATCCCTTCAATCCCAGGTCTAGAAATCTGGCGAAAAGCCTTCCCCACACGAATCTTCCACTCGAAAAACTACCGCGACGCTTCCGAATTCCATGATGAAAATATCCTATTAATCGGAGCCGGCGTCTCCAGCGCTGATATAGCTCGTGATTTGGGCCCGATTGCTCGTACAGTGTTCCAATCTAGTCGAGGGGGAATGTATGATTTGACTTCTTTGGTTTTGCCTGATAATGCTGCGAGGGTGGATGGGATTTATAATTTCAGCGAGTTGTTGAAAGGGGGAGGAGGAGGGGGGGAGTTGGCCGAGGATGGGAGTTTACCGGGGACTATTACGTTGAAATCTGGGAAGAAATTGTGTGGGATTCATCGCGTGATTCTTTGTACGGGATATCATATCTCGTTTCCATTTTTGAGGGAACTTCATGTTGATGGAGTTAGACCTGAGCTGGCGGATGAGTCGGTGAGTGTCTTCTCTTTCTCTTTTTCTCTCAAGCTTGGATATGTACGTTAAGATGATATAGCTGACGGATTCTTTCTTTGGGATAAAGGTTCTCGTAACCAATGGCCAACAAACTCACAACCTCCACAAAGATATCTGGTACATTAATGATCCGAGTCTAGCTTTCATCGGCGTACCCTACCATATCGCTACCTGGTCCCTCTTTGAATTCCAAGCCATAGCCGTGGCGGCAACTTTCTCCGGGAGAGTTCCATTGCCATCGAGGGCCGCAATGAGAGAAGAGTATACCCAAAAACTCCAACGGAAAGGGGCAGGCAGATCTTTCCATTCCCTGAAAGCTCAGGGAGAGGAAATTGTCTACGTGGAAGACCTAGTGCAAATGGTGAATAGTGGGAGGCAAGATGATGAGGAGTTGCTACAGGGACACTCACCTTCGTGGCGTAGAGCTTATGGGCGGAGGTGGAAGAGATTCGAGGTGTTTTTTGGACAGGTCAGGGATCGGGAGATTGATGAGAGGGTGTTGAGTACTATCGCTTCTTGTCGGTAGATTGATGGGAAGGGGGGAATAGAGAGAGGGTGCTTGATGGGTAATAAAGCAATATATGCATTCCTAGACGGTTTCTTTACAGTGTGAGGTTTGCATAGCTGTAGAGTCATGCCCAAAAATCCTAGCGCCGTGGAGAGACGCCGGTAGAAAGTAAATTTGCTGTCGAGATGAAGTGAAGAGTGCTGGAACGCAAACCATCCCTAGCAACGCCCCATGAAAAAATAGGGGCAGTCCAAGATTTCGTCTACGGACAGTTCGCAATGCCCGACGTAGCCGCGAGAAAAGAATACCATGCATCTTCATGTAGAGAAAGTGGGCAAATCATTGACGTAAAATTACACAATATAAGAACCTAGACTGCCCATAGACAGAACCATAGGCTACTCTTAATTCCACCGCACAACGTCGACCCTCCACTTGCATAATAAAGCAGTTCCTATCTCTTAGCTCTTGCTGTAACTTTTGCCTCTTTAGGGATCATCCCGTACTTTCAAACACCTCATTACATACATATCAAGGAAATCTGCTTCGACTTTCTAAAGTTATCAAAAGCTTCCGTAATAGACTTGTAACTGTCCTTGTAACCCGTATATCCCAACTCCCTCGCTTTCGTCATGCTCAATATTGAGCTCCACGCTCGCTGGAATACCCAATCTTGAAAGCCCCAGGTTCCTGCTGCCCAGGTCGCTTTGGCTTCCGGTTACACCAGATTGATCACATATGCGATCCCACACTGCTTGCTTATCTTGAGCCCACTCAGTAAAGTGGAATTTCCTGCTGCACGACGCCTTGTTCGGGTCGGGGTTTGTGGAAATTGGCTTTTTGGGGCACACTTTGCGCCGAGGTACGCTGCGAGACGAGGCCACATGTATTGCCATTGGATGTAGTCGCCATTGACGATGTTGAAGGCCTGGTTGGCTGCTTTCGGGGTGGTTGTCGCCCATATTGTCATGTCAGCAATCAGAGCTGCGTCTGAGCAGTCGTCGACGCCCTCGTAGTACACTTGGTTGGTTGGCATGGGTGCCTCCTCTCCCAGTTCCTTTTWARCCAAGAAGTAGAGCGCATAAGTCAAGGCCGAGTTCATTCCATTGGGCTTGCTGGTATGTCCTGGAGTGAAGTCAGTTTTTGGATATCGTTGTTGGCGTTGAACGACTCGTACCGATGATGGCTTCGGGACGAATCACTGTCCAGGTCCAATTGGACCCCTTTTGCTTCTCGGCGAGAAAGTCTTCWTGTGGGAAGGTAGAAGTTCTCCTCGAACTTGACGGCTCTTGGGGCATCTTCGTAAGCTGGAGATGGGACTGGCTGCGTGTGTACCTGTGCATAAAGTACAACAATCAGTATCGATCGTAGTCCATGCAATGTAGTCTGTACTATTCTTACATTGTAGTACTTTCCACCAGTCTGCAGACAAACACTCGCCAAATTCGGAGTGACCTTGACGAGTGCCGAGAGGAAGTTCTCAAACAAAGCCTGATTGGCCGTGTTCAATTCCGCAAAGTCATCTTTGTGCACGTATGACGAGAAATAAGCGTAGGTGACCGGTCCACACACTTGAACCATTTCTTTTGCCAAAGTTTCGGCATCCTTGGTGAAATCCAGGGCAATGAATTTTATCCTGGAATCTTGGACAGAAGTTGCGAAGGGGGAGCGAGATGTTACGATGATATCGCTGAATTCTTCTTTGCTTGTGTGTTTGACCAAGTACTCGATAATTGCTGTTCCAGTAATGCCATTACCCCCGGTGATGAAAGCGACCTTGGGCTTGATTGATGAAGACATTGTGATTGTTCGAGCTTGAGTAGGTGAGGTACAAGATGTTCAGAGAGGAGACTGTTACTTCCACTGGTAACATCTGTCTGTATAAAAATGGAGGGGCTCCGCTCGTACGCAACCTCTAGTCGTCGTTCCTTTGGTTAGGTAACTGTACCTTTGTAGCTTCCCCACATTTTCGGAGTGCATGATGAGGAGAAGAGAAGGCTAGATGAGCTGATAGGTGATAAAGTGGCAGTCTTCGACGCAGAATTGTAAACATGAATGCCACTTGACTGAGGGGGGTTGTTCATATTGCCAAGAAAGTTGGCTCCTTTCCGGATAAAGTGGCAGCCCGGAAGCAGCCCACAGTAGTACAACGACGTAAGCTCTAAGAATTGATCTTCAATCTTCAGTCAAGCAAGTGTGCCACCAGTAACCGCGGGTGGATCTAAGATCGACCTTCTCCACAACCCTCATCTCGTCAGAGCATCCGGGATCAACGGGTATGCATGATCAACTGTGCGTCAAGACGAGTGGATGTATTCCACCACTACCGATTACATGCTTAGTATTGTCTTTTGATTAACAACCCAGCGTGCTTCTCCACCGAGAAAAAATACCTCAGTGTATTCTTTCGCGACATTGGCAGCAACCATGTTCACCTCATCGCACCTACAAGCAGTGCAATTGCCACAGCTGTTCGTTCTAGCAGCGATCCTCTACATCGTCAACATCGTAAGCCTGATCAATGAACCTGACTTCCACAATAAAGGTTGATTCTGACACACAAAGTTTCAGTTTGTCTACGCCTTTTTCTTCTCCCCCGTCAGGAACATACCTGGTCCATGGTATGCTCGAGTATCGAAGCTTCCCCTACTCCACGCCACCTACAATCGGCACCGTAGCAAGTATGCCAGTAATCTCCTGAAAAGATATGGTCCGATAGTTGTCATCGCCCCAAATCAGGTTCATACAACCGACTCCGAGGCTATGAAAGTCATATATAACCGCAAGTCGCTCAAGACGCCCTTCTATACAAATATGGGGTAAGTCACTAAAGAGCACAAGACGCACAGTGCAACTTAAATATGTCTCTCGCAATACGTCAGCGTTTCAATCCTCTTTGGAGATCGCTTCAACACAGCGGCTAATTTTTTTGTGTCCTTTGCGTTTAGGAGCTGGAAAGGTGTTACTTCGACCCTGGGGTTTGTGGACTATCCTTCAGCATCAACAACTCGGAACAACCTCATCCAGATCTTCCAGAACCGGAATCTAGAGACTCTGGTGGAGAATATATCATCACATGTAAACGACATGTGCCACATTCTCCAGTCAAGATCCAAAGCGAACGAGGATATCGATGGAGTGGTGTTATTTCGGTTGCTGGCGCTTGATATAGTCTGCGACGTCTTGTGGAATGAACAGAAGCGATTGTTACCGGATGCATCGAAAGATACCCCGGTGTTCCTGCGGAGATTCCACGCATTTTCCACCTACAATGTGCGTGTTGGGCAATTATGATGGTCCCAGACAGACATCACTAACCGTTCCTAGGCAATGAAGTCTTTCATCCCAGGATTCGACACATATACCAAATATCTGGGTACAGCAAAGTGGAAGCAGCTCCGACAGGATTGCAGTGATATGGATGTCACCGCGAAAGATGCTCTACACCGCTGGGAGGATCGAGGRGAGTCTCGCGATCGGGATGTCTTGAGTATGTTCATCTCGCTGGATGCCACTGAGAACGAGAAGAAGCGGGTCCCTAAGGCACACATTCCAGCTTATATGGTAGAGATGTTGGCTGCGGGAAGCTCGACCACTTCGCATACAGCAACATTCACTTGTTATGAGTTGGCGAGACATCCAGAAGCGCAGCAAAAGCTGAGGATGGAATTGGAGCATGTTTTCCCAGATGGAGAAAACATTGACGAGAAGAAGCTGATGGATTTACCGTATCTTGATGCAGTGTTGAGGGAAACGATGAGATTGATGCCGATGATTCCAGGTGAGATCATCCGTCTTTTGTTGTGGCATTCACTTCTCTGACTCCTGCTCGCTCTTAGGTCCGCTGGAAAGATACATCTCCGAGCCGATCGAAGTCAATGGTCTAGAGGTATTGCTGGGAAAGGATTACTCCCATGAGATTTCATACTGACGACATGTTCAGGTCCCACCAGGCGTGATAGCATCCACAGCAGCCTACGACCAAGGTCGAATACCGTCCATTTTTCCCGAGCCGGAAGCTTGGAAGCCTGAGCGCTGGCTTGAGGCAACTGATGCCATGCACCTCAATTGGACTCCGTTTGGCTACGGATCCCGAGCTTGTCCGGGTTCAAATCTTGCCATCACAGAACTCAAGTACATGCTCGGAATCATCTTCCGTAAGTTCCGGGTGGAGCCTCCGAGGCAGCACGAGCAAAAAGAGCTGGATCTTGGAGATGTGTTTGTTTCGGCGGAAAAGTCGGGAAAGTGTTGGTTGAACTTTGTAGAGGAATGATTGGCAATCAAATGTGGGATCAGATGCTTGGCTATGCACTTTTGTAGATGAAGAAGTAAGCTGATCTTCTGCCAACATGTCTTCTTGAGTATTCGTGGAAATCTGAGATCCACTTATGTCCCGTCCAACTTTTCTCTGGATATCGTCGTGAATCCTTCTGAAAGCTTTGTGTCCATAGCCAAGTCAGTCAGACATCATCATCATGCCTCGCAGGAAAGCGAGCAGTTGACAATCGATCTGCCGCCAGTCCAAAGGATGTTCCGCCCATGGGACTCAGCATCCGGAACAGATTCGCGCAAAGTTTCAGTAAACCATACGTATCCTTCTGACATAGCATCTTGCCAAACCAGCCTACTTCTCTTTCCATTTCCATAGACTTGAATGTGTCTCGAGTTTCTGATAAGGTCCAGAGAACCACGGCCGCATGATGTAAACTACCAAAAGCCAAAAAGTTGAAGCGTGCTCGACTTTCCACCGGCCGCTCAAGCTCAAGATAGATCAGATTGAAAATCTTCACGGCTCTGCTCGCTGCTGTGTCTGCCTCGTCACTTCTCGCCCAGGCTTGCGTCCGCTCGAGTAGCTCGGAGTTGAGACTTTGTTGCTCGCCAGTATRGTAGGATATATCATGTAGTTGATGCAGTGGCGCATACAGTCGGAGGTAAGACATGTGCCAGAGGAGCATACAACTCATGAGAGTATCCCGAAGCTGGGTTGCTTGTGGTGACCTCACAGACTGGAAGCCATGGTACCAGCTTTCTAGGGCATCCTCCACACGATCCCTATCACTTTGCATGTCGTCCATCACCCGGACACTTCTGGCGAGAGCATTCGAAGGAGGATTGTGAGTTCCAGTGAGAGGATCGTATGTATTGGTGAACTGAGCAGAAACCCTCTCATTCTGAGCTTGCTTTCGGGCGGTACTTGGAGGACTGCCCGCTGAGCAAACGTCTGTATCTTGCGCGGAACGTGGCCGTCGAACATACTTGCTACCAGTCATTCTCTGAAACAAGTCGGGGTCGTGTGACACCTTCCAAATGGGTGCTTGTAAGCCGAAAAGACAAAGCTCGTGACCAATTGCTCGCATTGTAGGCACATTCTCTCCTCGATCCAGATACAACCTGATGAGATCAGAGAACATGGTCGGGGCGTAGTGTCGGTCCTCGAAACGAATTGCAAACAGTGTTTCGCTGATGGACATGCCCTCCATATCACGCCACAGGTCGTCAGAGCAGGGTGTCATGAGGTCAATCTCCTCAAAAGAGAGCAAGGGTCGCGAGTTCAGCAGAACGCTAGTGTAGACATCGGCTCGTAGGATACCAAATGCCAGCCGATTGCGTGTCTCAGACTGCAGCCATCTGTCCAGCTTTTCTCTTCCAGATGCCAACTCATCCACTTGATGGTGGCTAGACCTCAACCGAGCGGGTTGCTGGAAGAGCTCCAGACGGCGAGCCTGAGCAACCAGAATTGCGCCAAGATGCTGTCCAACGTCAGCATATATTGAAACTTCTCCCAACTCGTTCAGCATACCTGTGCATACGAAAACCCCTGTGATTGTCCAAAGTACAGACCTTGAACCTGAGTCAAGAGCCGGGCGTGTGCCATCCAAACCAGGTTGCCATCGGGATTCTCCAACTCAAACAAGCTACCTACCAGCAAGCGCCGCAGACTCTTGTGCAAAGCCATGCCAAACTGCTTCTGCGTGTTGGTTCCGTACATGGAGCCAATAGAAACCACGACCAAATAGAGGACCGGATGGAGGGAGYCCGGCTCAAATCCGGCTTCCACAAACATTGGCCATAGGCGATTGAATTTGGGGAGGTATTGCTCCAAGATCGCTTGATGAAGGATATGCCGCGATCGRCTGGAGGTGCCGAGTGTCGCGTCATATCGACCAAGAATGGGTTCGAGTCTCGACGCTGCATTCCTCCAATACTCTGACTGACTTACGCGACTCCCACTGTTTAGCGCAACATCTGTAGCGTGGGCTATCAGAGTCTCGATCTCGTTATTCAAGATCGATGGGATGTCCGGAGTGGTTGTTCCATGGGGTGAATTCATCTGATCGAGCTGAAAAGGGTTGTTGGGGTTGCTAGGTGATGCTGGCTCGCCCACTGCTGGCGCAGGGAGGGGAGGTGGATCATCATGGAGGAAGAGAGTTTCATGCACCCAAGGCCAAGACAGACCATCCAGATCAATGGCTGGCCAATCGGTCTCCGGGGCGTTCATGATTGGGAAGGGGTCTGGCAGAATGGTAGTATCATCGTGCGTAGTGGAATAAGCCCCATCAGGCAAGTGACTCGCATTTGACGTCTGAGAGGCGAGTTCTGCCAATTCTTGCACWGCATCCTGATCATCCGCGGGAACCCTTCTTCGACTTCCACTGGGTCTGCTTACTCGGCGTGACTCGTGTGCGTATTTGCAACGCTGGTTAGCGATGACACATGGGCGGCAAGGGTCACCACCATCGCAACGAGTGCGTGCTACCCTACAGCCCTCACAGGCGGTATGACACCGTTTCCGCTGTTGTGAGCTGTCTCCGTGCGCAACGTGATGATGGCGTGTTAGGATATCCCGCCTGGCAAAACTCGTGCCACATAGATCGCACTGATGGCATGCGGAGAGATCTTCTCGGTGATTTCGAGCGTGCCGGGTCAATGAGGTCTGTGTCTTGTACGTTCGTTGACAGACCGTACACTCGTACATGAATGATGTTGGAATAATGTAAGTCAGTGCTGGAGAAACGATTGACCGAGGCTACTGGGGTGAAGTCCAAGCTGTGAGGTGGCTCGTGGTTGCCTCAGGCACCACAGACCCATATGAACTACTCTTGCTCTCCTTTTCTTCTCTTCCTTTCTTTTCATCGCTGTCAAYGAAATTCATCACATACACAAAGCCATCCATCGAAGAGCAAAAAGGGGCATTTCTTTGCAACGGAGGTTCTCCACATTGACAGAGTCTTCTCGAGCCTCATGATGCCCGCCCGTCAGCAGCGAATTCATGCTAGCAAGACTTCAYCGAGCATGAGTACCTGTCCACAAAGAAGACTTCCGATGCAGAGAGACGCTGTACAAGTGGACAAGATACGTTTGCCCTTCAGCTCAAAAAGATCTGCCAAACAACCATCTACCCTACTCCATCTATCTCCACAAATCTATGCCCATCTTTCATTCACATAAACTTGATGCTGTGCTGCAGCCTCCCAATCCCACTTATCTCAACCTCGACAACATCACCATCTTTCAAAAACGTCTGCGGCTTCATGAAAAGACCCACACCACCTGGAGTTCCCGTCATGATCAAGGATCCCTTCTGGAGCGTCTGGCCTTGAGAACAGAATGCCACGAGAGCTCGAACTCCATGGCAAAGATCATCTGTACTGCCACGTTGACGCTCCTCGCCATTGACATACGTTCGAAGCTGCTGCTTGTCTGCGGCTCCCAAAACCTTGGGAGATACCAGCACTGGACCCAGCGGCGCGTACTTGTCGAAAGACTTGCCGAAACACCACTGTGGTACCGGTCCCGCTTTGTTGGGCTCACGCTGCCAGTCTCGAGCCGAGACATCGTCGCCAACGGTATAACCAGCAACATAGTCCAATGCATCCTCGGCCCGAACATCATAAGCATCACGTCCAATCAGGATCACCAGTTCTCCTTCGTAGTCTGCCTGCTCCTGGGCGACTTTGGGGATTGGGACTGCGCTACCATGATCGGTGACTGTCGGTGCCGGCTTGGTAAAGACGGTGGGGACCTCGGGGAAATTCCTCCCCGTCTCCTTGATGTGAGTCTTGTAGTTGAGACCGATGSATCGAATGATGGGCACTTCCTGAGGGCGGAGAGGGCCTAGCAATGTCTTGACTTTATCCTTGCTGCCTGTGGGCTTCGCTGATAGGGCGTCGTTGCCGTCGAAGACACTGACTTCAAGATTGCCTTCCCTTGCTAGGGCAGCTACATCGGCATCGCCGGACTCCAGGATTGGCTCTCCGTATTTGATCTCACCGTCAGTGGAGGAGATGTAGCGTACCAGGCGATCCCATGCTGTGAGGGAAGAAGACATGGTGGATAGAACAATCTGATGTATTGAAGTTGACAACGCCGCAGATGCTAATGATACTTCAGCGCTCTCTGGATTTCGGCTGCGGATGAGAGACTGACAACCAAACAAGGTTCCGATGGCGCGACTYTGGGGATGATTTCAGTCAGCACCCACAGATGGTAGAGAGTGCGGGACAAAGTAGCCACCATACCCGCGATCTGCATGCCCCACAGTCACACCATCCGGGCTTTCTCCCCACAACGATTACGACGCTCCAACGCATACCAGCTTCGAGAGTAGAGTCCAAAGGCGGAATTCTGGCGCTGATGACAAACGTCTACCCAAGCTGTGCATTGAGAAAGTTGTCATCTGAGGCATATCAATCAAATGAACATCCCCCACAAGTATCCTCACCATTCAGAACATCAAACATGGCTCAATCTCCCATTCAACTGCTCAAAACGGCCTTTGTGATCTATCACCATGTGGATCTCGCCAAAGCTAAACAATTCTACCTCGACTTTGGAATGAAAGTAGCGAAGGAAGAGGCCAACAAGTCAATATACTTCAAAGGCTACGGCGTGGAACCTTTTGTTCTGGTCGCCCACCAATCCGAGACTGGTGAAAGTTGGTTCGGCGGAGCAGCATATGTCGTCGACAACAGCTCGGAGCTCGAACGAGCAGCAAGACTCTCAAGCGCCACAGGCCCAATTCGCGATCTTGAAGGCCCAGCCGGAGGCAAGGTCGTGACAATAAAAGACCCCGCTGGCCATTCCATACATCTCATCCATGGCTGGCAGGAAAAGTCCAAGGAACCGATGGCTCTGGAAAAACTTGTTGTTAATTTCGAGGACGAGAAGCCTCGCAAGGGTCGTTTCCAACGCTTCAAACCCGGTCCTGCTCCGGTTTTCCGATGGGGACATTACGGCGTCACATATCCTGAAGAAGGGGGAAGTTATGAGAAGATGTATGATTGGTATACATCGAACATGTCCCTCACCCCCAGTGACATCGTCTATCGAGGGGAGAACCCGATAACCTGCTTCTTCCGCATCGACCGAGGAGAGGAGTACACGGATCATCATTCATTCTTCTTCAAAAAGGTCAAGCCGGGTCAGAAAGTAAATGTTGCGCATGCAGCATTTGAGACGCATGATTTTGACGTGCAACATCTGGGGCATGAGTTTCTTGCTAAGAAGGGATATGAGCTTTGTTGGGGTGTGGGAAGGGTATGTTTGATGCATACATACACTTGAGATGATGTCGATGATGCTAACTAACATGATTCTCAGCATGTTTTGGGAAGTCAAATTGTAAGTCGTCATGTGCCCTCATATGTTCACATCAACAATCAGAACCAATCTGTGCCATACGATATGGGTCTCTGATTCCAAGCACTGAATTTCTCCCGTGATCTAGTTTGACTATTGGTTCGACCCAAGCAAGTTTGTCGTCGAACACTACGCAGATGGAGATTTGGTTAATAAGGATACGCCCATTGCAAAAGTTCAAGCAGGACCAGAAGCTTTGGCTGTTTGGGGTCCACCTGTTCCTCCAGTCTTCTGAATGAGCTACTTGGCTGAATCCTGGATAATTCAATTGATGAATCAGCTTCCCCGTTTTGCGTGATGACAAGGTTCCACCGTGATATGGTTGGTACTGTGACTTGAGTATCCTCAATGCCCAACTCTTCACGTTACTTCTGTCTCATGACGCCCATGATGACCAACCAGCATATCAGCAATCCGACGAGCAGGTCTTACACTCCAGGCACCACATCCTCTGCATCATAAATCCGGAGCTTCAATATTCTCTCGCGACCAAGTTTGTTAGCAAAAGCCACTTCCAATCAACGTGAATGCAATTCGTCAAGGTGGAGAATACCACGAAGCATCTCTGCAAAAGGTGGCCCGGATAAAGTGGCTTACTCCAAATCCCAAATCCCGGCCTCGAGCGCCAACCGGCAGTCGACCATCAACTAGTGGGTGGGTGATGCAGGTCCACAGGACCGATTAACGAGAAATCGCTCCACTCTTGTCCATGGTCAAAGATGCGTTCCCGTGCTAATGGGAGAGGGTCCTCTGTTGCAGTGAAGCACAAGATTCGAAAGACGCTGACCCGACAAAGATCAATATATATCGATCGATTGTCTTCTTTGATTTGTCTCCCATTGCTACATAGCTCATATTCTTCTTTACCATCCCGAGGAATACTCAACATACTGCAATCGGCCTTTTGCACCTTGCAGCAACATGGCCTCCAAAACAGAGAACATACCGGTCCTGATCATCGGCGCCGGCCCCAGCGGAGCAACTCTAGCCCTCCATCTAGGAAAACTCAACATCAAATCCATCTTTCTCTCCCGCCATGCAGCAACAGCAAACACTCCCCGCGCCCACATCTTCAACCAACGCGCCATGGAAGTTCTCCGGGACGCTGGTCTTCAATCTCTCGTGGAAACTCTAGCTTCGCCCGCCCATCATATGCAACATACCAGTTGGAGCAATTCTTTGAGCGGCGAGGAGTATGGTCGCATGTACGCTTGGGGGAATAAACCCTGTGAGAAGGGAAGGTATGAAGATGCGAGTCCTTGTGCCATGTCTGATTTACCACAAAGTTATCTTGAGCCGGTTCTTGTTGAGCAGGCGACGAAAGGTGGAATGGCGGAGGTTAGATTTGGGCATGAGTTTCTTTCCGCCGAGGATTTGGGGGAAGGGAAAGGGGTGGTTGCGAGGATTCGGAAGAGGGATAATGGGGAGGAATATCAAATTCACTGCGAATATCTCATCGGGGCAGATGGAGCGAGGAGCAAAGTTCTCGATGGAGCAGGAATTGAAGTGGTTGGGAAGACGATTAACTCGGCGTTTAATGTGCATATCGAAGCGGATTTGTCGAGGTATATGGAAAATCGACCGGGGAGTTTGAATTGGGTGTWGAATACCGAGGCACCGGAGTGGTCTGCGATTGGGAACTTCAGGATGGTGAGGCCTTGGAGTGAGTTTTCTTCTTTCTTTTTCAACCTTTCTGATTTGATGCCGAGCTGATCGTTTCCACAGCTGAATGGGTCGTTTCAATGCATCCCGCACAAAAAGATGGAGCCATCGTTGATCCAACTGAGGAACAAATTCTCAGTCGTCTAGATCAGATGATTGGGGATCGAGAACTCCCCATTAGGATCTTGTCGACTTTCCGATGGTACATCAACGATCAAGTAGCGAGGACGTATCAAAAAGGACGGATTCTCTGTATAGGGGATGCAGTCCATCGCCATCCTCCAATTAATGGTCTCGGATCCAACACTTGCATCTCCGACGCTTTCAATCTAGCTTGGAAGCTCGCCTATGTTCTGAAAGGATACGCAAGCCCAGCTCTTCTGGAGACTCTCACTACGGAGAGGAAACCTGTTGGGGATGGAGTAGTCCATCGTGCGAATACAGGCATGAAAGCTCATCGAGCTCTCTGGGCCATTTTAGGATTGACACCACTCGACCGGGAGAAAGCTATTGAAGAGCTTACAAGACCAGACGAAAGTGGAGAGCAAGCGAGAAGACGTTTGGAAGCTGCGTTCGAGGCGACGGATGCTGAGCTTCAAGCTCTTGGAATACAGATGAACCAGATCTACACGAATTCAGCTGCCACAAAGGTCGAAGATGGAGATTTACCACCCAGCTTGGATGGTCTGAATCTGCTGAAAGAAGTCGCCATCTCAACATATCCCGGCTTCCATCTCCCACACGTCTGGCTCGCGAGGAGTGGCCAGTCACCGAGAGTATCATCTTTGGATCTGTGCGGCCATGGTCGTTTCACGGTTCTGACTGGAATTGGAGGACAGTGCTGGCTGGATGCTGCGGAAGCAGTGAGTGGTCAGCCAGGGTTTCCCGAAGTGGTGGGTCACAGTATTGGATTCCGTTTTGAGTACATGGATTGTTATCGAGACTGGCAGCGGGTAAGAGGCTGTAGAGAATCCGGGGTGGTCTTGGTCCGACCTGATCATTTTGTGGCATGGAGGTTTGACACTTGTTCGGGAAACGCTGCTCGACTACTAAGGGTTGCGTTGGAGAAAGTGCTGATGAAGTGAGACGAGGCAAATTTGATACAACAGCATAATACATATCCCAAAAAGATTATGTAAGACTTCTTTCTTGTCACTGGCTTGATGGGTCAGTATGTTGATTGTTGAGGTTTAATCAGATAGGTCGTGAGTATGCTCTTCCATTTGCCCATTTTTGCCCCTGGCCAATCAGATATTCGGTGACTACTCTCTCGCTGCCACTGGCTGTTTATGTAAGATCTTCCATCGCTTTTGAAGTACGAAGACTGTAGGCCAGTTATACAGAGGCGTATAAGACTGRTGACATCGGGGTCTTGGAAATTTTCGACCAGCGGCTCATGACTAGAGAGGAGGGCAGGATACTTGTGACCCTTTAGTCTTCCAAGCAAGCAAGGTTACATATTTCAATCCGAGTCTAATTACGCTTATAGCTTCTGGACCTTGGTCATCCAGAATGCGTCACAATCTTGGAACAGCGCAGAGGCGTCTGTGGACGTTTTAGCTTTGGCCTCGATGTCGTATGTGGTAATCTGTCTCATCATCTCCGACTGTAAGGCTAGCTAGAGCTTTCAGATATMTCCTCAAGGTTCGAAAATTTCGATTAGTATGATACCACTTCTGGCCGTCTTTGTAGAAATGATAAGTCATAATGCTTCGAGAAGAAACGACTACTCTCGGTAGAGAAGGTAAGTTTGCATCTATCATGCCATACGGGCTATTTTTGTGAGTCCAACGATCGACAAATGACGTTTTCCGTGGTGGTAGAAAGAGTGTGGATGTAGCGTTCGTGGATTTGGAAGAGAAATGAAGAAAGTTTTGAAAGAAGGACGCGAAGATTAACATGAACTGAGATCGGAACCTGAAGAGTAGAGAGCGAGCTTTTTCGCCAGTTCGACGGAGCAAACCAGAGGTTGTGAGAGAGCACATGCTTCTACTATCTCGGGAGATCTATGATGTTCCAATTTTGTTTGTTCAGTTAGTCCTACGCGTTGTCGACTCTGGCTTCGAGCTGAACGCCCTTCGATCAGGCAAACGAGCGGATAAATGGATACATGGCGGAATGAACCACACTTCGTTTACAACGATTGATGTTTCAGATGCATGCAGAGATACCTGAGACACTTTTGCTGGTGGTTGCCCCGTGGGCCGATTCATTCACTCGACATTTTCGCCCCTTCCAAAAAAGGGGGCGTCACTAAATCAACCATGTCTTGAGCTGTGTGCGTACTATACTGCAAAAGACAATATGAATGCTTGAAAGCTAAAAAGGATGCAGCCGAAGCTGAAGATGCTCTGGGAATCGAACCCACTGCGAATTTGTTAGGATTAATCTTTGGGCAATTACTGTAGATGCTAACTTAGTCACGGCCTCCTGCGCTTGTGAATCATTGCCGGGAAACAAAAAGTATCCTTTCCAAACGAAAAAAGATATCTCTCCGTCTGGAGTCGCTAAAAAAGAATCAACAAGGTCTCCCGCTCTTGTTAATCGACTAGGGCAATAATATCTCAGCCCCGCTCTTACATGCTATCCGTGAAGCGTACTTGACCTGTGCAAAAAGTCTCCATTCCAAAAGAATAGCTTCCCCGTCTGGGAATCGACAAAAAAGGATGAATGCATGACGCTCTCCATCTGGGAATCGAACCCAGGTCTCCCGCGCTTGTTAAACGCCTTGGCATTTTTTGACAAGCGGAAACGAGAAGGGGGTCAGTACGATGATGTAGAAGGTGAGGTGTGGTGTGGAACTCACTCATGACCACTAGACCAATGAAGAAGGTGCCTGGTTGTACAGACATTGGTACGATGTGCGATGAGTAAGCAAGAGTTGAACTCCTTTATGATCCCTTCCACCCGGCACCCAGCTACTTCATGCCTGCTACATCTATTAAGATGGGCCCGTAGTTTCCCGTAGTAGGCGTAGGAAGTTGTAAATTATATCTATCGCGCCCCTTTTCGCCTAAAACTACGACGACTAGACATATTAAAGATTAGAATATACTAATCGAAAGCGTAGCCTATTTGCCTGTTTCCTACTCCTCGATTATATAAGTTGAGGGGAAGCCTCGCATAGTAGGCCTCTAGACTCCCTACGCTTATGTCTATAACATACATACGCTTGGAGAATTTGATGCATCGCGAGTCCCCCATTCAAGGCGCTCCTCTCGTCCATTCGTTTATACACTTGCGTGCGGCCGGTTTGGCGGCGCCTCTGTCTTTGTAGATTTCGATTCATAAACGCCAGCAAGATCTTGCCGTTCATGTTCAACAAATCTCCCTTCCCTTTATCCCTAACCAAACATTCTTACAATCTCAATTCGTGCCGCTGGCATTCCAGCATCGGGTGTAGTTTTGATAGAATGGGCGTTGAAGGATGCACGTTGTTCAGTACGGTCCAAGCGTGGTGCGAAGAGGGCGCAGCGAGAGAAATGAGCAGCATCAAATCCCGGACATGCTACTACTGTTCCTCTTCCCAAGCCATGCGAGGAGGCTAATTGTTGGAGTTGTATCGAAAGTTGCACTTCGTGCAACGGTAAAAGATTGTTGTTCCTTCGTCTGCGCTGCGCAGCTGTGCCTCGGTAAAGACCATCTCCTCGTTGGAACACTTGGGGCAGGTTTCGCGTATCCTAGTCCCTACCTCCCTCCATTCCTTGTGGARCCTGTTGGGTGTGTGTTCGCAGTCTTCGTTGCAATGCGGACGGAAATTCCTCGGGTCGGGAGTGCGTTACCTGCCTTGCCGGCCATTTGTCTAAATTATGGTAAGCAGCTACGATGGGAGAGGGAGGAATTCCGGACTGTCGTTACGCGCTCCGCACAAGTCGCAAGCGATGTATCTTTTGCTGCAGAGTAGTAGGACGATCGAGGAGATTACCGCAGTCGGTGCAGAAGCACAACGAGCCAACCAAAGCCATCTTGGAGTGGATCAGTTGAGTTATGGGGGAAGAGAGGGGAGGAGAAGACTAAATAAAGCAAGCAAGCGTAACGAAAAGAAACGAAACGTAGGTAAGGTTATACGTGTTTTGGAGTAAATAGTCCTATCGGACCTCCGCTCTCCGGCTTTATCTCGAATCTAGCTAATTATACTATATACTCTATAATACTATAACTATATACTTAAATTACGCTACGAATAGCTTAAAATTACCGTAAGATACTATACAAGTTACCTACTTCCAAGTTAGAGAAGCTAGTCTACTATCTAAAGGAGACCAACTAAAGGCTAGTTCGTATTACGGACGACCTTAAAATTAGTCGAAGAACTATTATATAGATACGTACTAATTTAGACCTATTCGGAACGCCTTATACTAACTTTTAATTCCGACCTCCGTATCTAGCTTACTACCGTATAACTTAGCTATCAAGTAAATCCATTCAACCACAACCGTTTAACGAAAGAACACATGGGTAGTCGTCTTCTTGGATGTCATCCAATTTTACCTTGGCGTGGGTACTCCGCTCCTCACCAAGATTGACCATGTGACTTCCTCGTCATTCTCGAAAAGCTGCCGAGAACCAAAGTGGCGATAAGAGACCAACAACATGTATACATGACGCTCTGTCCTAGCTAAAAGCAGCAAGATCTTTTCCTGTCGAGAAGAATGCGGTTCCGCAAGCTGCCAGGTTTCGACAACGCGTTGCTACCTTGGCTTCAAAGCTTGGGGATTTGCTGATCCGAACTCAATTTTCAGCAAGAGTACTGCAAGAACGAAGCGAATAGTGAGAGCACAGTTGTTGATCAATATCCGGCGATGCGGTCCTGGGCTCTGGACCACGGATCCGATCTGACCCCTTCCATCATGGCATGACAGTCAAGTTCCGCCTCGAGAGCTCCCCAAGACATACGCACACACGTACACACAGCAACAATGGCACCCCAATCCGGAAATGAGATTTCGGCCAAGACCTCCGATGGTCGCATGGTCCCAGTGAACGATGGAATCGTGCCGCTGGAGCCAGGTATTCGGAAGAGCATCGCAGAGAACGCAATGCCCAAGTTTCCAGGGTACTTTATCCCCTCGTCCTCTCAACCCATACAGATTCTCACCAAACTCCTTGTAGACCTCCGACATTCGAGGACAAGTTCAAAGAGCGCGAGTATTTGAAAGGTAGACTTGCCGCAGCATGGCGTATCTTTGGCAAGTTCGGATTTGACGAGGGCGTCGCTGGTCATATCACCCTCCGAGACCCAGTCGATCCGGATTGCTTCTGGGTAAATCCCTTCGGGGTGGCGTTTTCTCTTATGAAGAAATCCGACCTGATCCTTGTTAACCACGCCGGCGAGGTTTTCGACGGCGGAGAGTGCCGGCTACTTAATACCGCCGCGTTTATGATCCACTCGGCAATCCACGCTGCTCGGCCAGATGTTATTTGTGCGGCGCACAGCCACTCCATCTACGGACGGACGTGGTGCTCGTTAGGACGGGAGATCGATACCCTTACCCAAGACTCGTGCGCGTTCTATAACGACCACGTAGTCTTTGACAGTTTCAACGGCGTAGTGCTTGCCGAGAAGGAGGGAAAGGACATTGCTCAGTGTCTGGGAAATAAAAAGGCCGGGCTACTACAAAATCATGGGCTACTTACCGTTGGTAAAAGCGTTGAAGAGGTGATCGAGACTCCGACGCAGGACAGTTTACGGACGCTGACAACTTTGGCAGACCATCTTCTGGTTCGTGTCGCTGGAAAAATGCTGCCAGTCGCAATTAATGGCCGAAGCAGCGGCATTACCAGGCGAGAGACCCATCAAGATTGGTGATGAGGAGGCTGCTTACACTTACCGTACGGTCGGCAGCACACTCGCGGGCTGGTTCAGCGGGAAACCGCTGTTCGATTTCATTCACCGGGAGACCAATGGCGATTATCTACAATAGACGGCATCTGAGAAGGGCCTTTAGCTCRAACCGACGAGCAGTATCATGAAAGCGGTTGCTGAGATTCGAATTACATGTTCGTCTGCATTCATTACACGCCTGGCATGTGCCTCGTTTCGATATGCCCACAAAAGCTGCTCCAAGACACCCTTGACGGCTGTGCAACAGTCTATCAGAAGTGGCTCCAAGTTGTGAGCTAGGGGCGAAATCGGCGTCGAGATGCACACGGCAGTCGCTTTCCTGCGGGATGGAAGGGAAGATGCCCCAGATGCTGATTGCTCTCATGGCAGCCAATTGAGAGGCGATGTCTTCCATGCGGAACCGCAACTCGCCAAGCTTCCATCAAGCAGCGGAACCGCAACCTTTCAAAGACAAATACGTGTCGATCATTACTACAACCACAGCATGATCGTCGACGCCATCCCCGCCAACTCATGGCGGGCCCCGCATCCAGGTCGTCGAGATCGTCGTCGTGAACCACAGAATACGCTCGTTCACGGCCAATATAGTGGCACTAGGCGAACCTCAGTCGTCTGCGGCGTCGACAAAGTAACGTTTATACAAGTAGACGACGACCCCGGTCCGAGATCTCCCTACACCATCAWCGGTTGTGGGAATGTGACTGCAACAAACTCTTACAACACCACATCCTCCACCCGCCCACAATGTTCGCCTTCACTGCGCTGTTGCCGTTCTCGGCTCTGATCGTACGCCATGTCCTGGCTGCTCCATTGTTAGAAGATCGCGCCATAAGTGACCGCTTCACGCTGTACGACCTGCCCACCCCATTGCAAGCTCCCTGCGATTTGGAAGTCGGCCCAGACAATGCTCTCTGGGGCCAGGTATGCTCTTTTACCTTGTGTTCCTCGATCCGGATCTTGACGCGTACATCTCACAGAGCATGCTGAAGAACATCATCTTCCGCATCGACCCTACTACCGGCCACATCGACGAATATCCCATACCTTTCACCACGCCCCTATCACCTACCATCATCCCACTTCCGGGAATTCTCAAAGACATTACGGATCGCACGGTCTTGAGCTGTGCAATCAGACATGGCGCAGATGGTAATCTCTACGCCGCGAACGGTCTACGGAACCAACTCGTCCGCATTAATCCCACCACAAAGAAAATGGACATCTTCCAAGATCCGAACGCCAACCTACTTGGAAACCTACAACCATTCAACGACTTGTATAGCGCCAAGGACGGCATGTACGTAACGGCAACAAGCGGGAATACCTTTGCAATCTTTTCCTACGAAACCGAGACTTTTACGACCTATAACATTCCCACACCGGCGTCCTTCCCACTCGGATTAATCGTCGCTTCCAACGAGAAAGTCTACCTCGCGGAATTCGTCGCGAATAAGATCCTCGTCTTTGACCCTAAGACCAAGTCCATAGACGAATTCCCTCTCCCGGAGCCCGCTCAATTTCCTACCGTCGTTCGCGCCGAATGTGACGGCTACGTCTACTTTGCCCTATTCACCGGCAATGGTATCGGTCGCATTAACATGGAAACCAATAAAATCGACCTCTACCATACCAATCAGACCGCTCTTATCGGAGCTGAGAATACCATTGATTCCAAAGGTGGTGTGTGGTATAGCGCATTCACAGGAAATGTCTTGTCGCGACTTAACACCCACACCCTCGAGTTCGACTACGTAACCCTTCCTGTCGGCTTGGGTAAGGAAGGTTTCACGGGCCTTCTCGGTGGGCTTCAACCGGCTGTTGACGTCGCTGTGAACTATGGCCCGGGAGATGCGGTTTGGTTTACCTCCTACACCACCAACCAAGTGGGACGGTATGATCTCAAGGGCCTCTACAACTGATCTACATTCACAAGTGATCCACGGCCACTGATCTTGTCGGAGATTGCCAACGATGTAAGACGCCATCAATACCGCAATTCAGGCATGAAAGATGATGCATCCATGGATAGATAGATACTCATGACAATGACTCCATACATCTAGAGTATATTAGTGCCAAAGAGGAACAGGTCGTCTTCCTTGAGCTGATCAAGCATCTGCTGGTAATCCCGAAACCAAGCCTCGTTGTACGCAGGATCGAGAAAGTCTCGAGTAGTAGTAGCAACACGAGCAGGATTTGAGACATCTTGATCGCCTGATGGTGGTAGGGCTTGGCCGGTGTTAGCTTCCAGAAGTATAGTATCCCCTGATCGAGTGGATTTTCCGGATTCGTCGCTCCTGCTTTGTGTTCGACGAAGTTCAATGATACGACTGGCGATTTCGTGAAGCGTCAAGAATCTATCGTGAAGCCTTTGGATTGTTGGAGAATTGCACCTCGTAGGTTCGAAGGAAGCTACAAAGCTCTGCAAGCGTTGGAGGTCATCCAAGTCGACCGTTTCAATGGCGTTGCAAAAGATGACGATTACAGGGATGAATGGTGTGTAGAGGATGGCCCTTGAAGTGAAGTCAGTCAAGAATGGAAGACGTCGAAAGTAATGGAGTGTACTTACCAATTCACATACTCCTCTAAAGCGGCAACGTCCAAGCTGGCCATGTACTGCACGTGACATTGCAGGGCTGATCTCGCTGTTTCGGTGCATCGCCTATCAAACGTGAAGCCGTCCAGGGGTGTCAAGCTGCGATAGACCAGCGTAGTCAGAGACAGTAATGCGACCTCGTCTCCTTGAAGAACGGCACTCTCGCGCACTTGCGACCCAACACTCTGCAGCAATTCGATCTGTCTCGCTGTTAGATTTTGACAGAACCTTGAACAAGCTGGGCATCCCCCCGAACAGCATACCCGACTTTTGGTGAGAAGGTCTTGAAGAACGGAAAGTTCTTCTACGAGTTCGAAAACTCGTGCCTCGCATTCATGCGGCGCTACTGCCAAAGATGCAGCACTGTACAATCGTTCGTACACTTTCCCCTGAATCCGTGCAACGGCTATCGACAATACAAAGTATTGTACGACACCTGCAAGATCCGACTGCGGATCCGAGGTGAATGTTGTAGCAACGTCGATGTCGCAATCATTCAGATTGGAAACCCTGCCCAGACGGAGGGAGAGTCCCTTGTCCATAATGTAAACCCACCAAAATATCGACATTTTCTGTTGAGCGACTCGCCCATCATCTGATTTCATGGTGGAGCACCGATGAAAACCGAGAGATTGACAAATCTCGGATGCCTTGCTGATCAGCGTCCATGCCTGTGAGCGTTAGCAAGCCAAACAACTTGTTCAATCTATACGAGGACAACTCACAAGAGCGGGCTTCATACTTGTTATTGCATGAAGTGCCTGTGAAGGTCAACAAATGAGGTTCTCAGTGGATGGAATGGATGTACACCCACACCGAGAAACATGGCATACGCGGTTTCCTTTGTAGCAGGCATGTGGAATGGGAGGCTGGCCAGGGTCGTCTCCAACGCCATTCGGCAGAGATGTCCATTGATATGATAAATCTCCCTCTGCGAGCTCTCACGCGGGGTACCACCATCTGCCAATAAAAGCCACATCAGGTGCGAAGTTGCAATGATAAGCTGTGAATGACTGTACGTTGGTGCAAAATAAACATCCACGCAGTGTTGGGTGAGCGCTTCTATGGTGATACTTTTGTTGAACCAAGAGCAGAGAGAGTAGCGAGGGGATTCTATGTGTTCGTTAGTGCTTATACCGCCATGCCCGTTAGTTTATTCGTACCTCTCTCGGCCTTGAGCAATGCAGCTACAATTGTAAAGGGCGGCAATTCAGTGCGTGGCGGTGGTGGAGGCGCAAGAGTAGCATCATCGAACCAAGCATCCTGCGGCTCATGCTTTGGTTTGAGAGACGAAATGAGCTGAGTCAAAGCAGCGCGCGTCTCGTTACAATCCACAGGGGGCTCCGCAGAGCGAGTCTGGTTGATTGTCTTCTCAACCAGTTCGTTGACGGAGCGAGAATGTGCCAACATAGATGACTCTCCCTCGAATGTGGGTTCTAGCTCTCGAGACCAGCTTGTGGGTGTGCCAACACTTGGAGACATGGCGACTGTACCTTGTGGAGAAGTTGCGGCATGATGTCGCGCCTTGCTCTGCTCCGCCAGTAAACTCACGAGCTGGTCAAGACGCTCTTCCATCTGGTCGATCTTCTTCTCACTACCCGATTTTATTAGCTATTGGTGATGATACTACAACACTGTCATGACTGACTATTGTGCGGATACTAGTAATTTCTGCCTCTTTTCACGAGGTTTCATCACCCGTTGGCGAGTGCAATCCTTCTTCTTCGCTGAAATGCAGGGCTGACATGGATCTTGCCCATCACACCTCACCTACACCATGACATCAACTTTGTTGATCTTGATCTTGATCTTGATCTTGATCTTGATCTTGATGAAAGTCGAAATGCACCCACCTTTCTCACGCGACAATGGTCGCACTGCGAAGGAGTCAACAAAGCCTGGAAGATGTAGGGATAACAAGGTACGACCGACTGCAAAGCTAGGTCTGAGCCCTTGGCCGGGTGAGGGTGCAGTCGCTTGTGCCTCCTCAATCTCCATTTCAAGGGGCGAGCTCATCATCAGGGGTTGTCAGTCAATGTGATGGTGAGAAGGACACTTCTCGAAGATGACGGGACCTGGGAACTGCAGGATTGGATGGAAGACTGAGCGAAGGAGCGACCATTTGGCGGCGCTTCGGGATCCCGAGAGTCCGAAGCCAAGCCCCTGACCCCAGACCGCTCGGAGCGCCGAGATAAACAAGTTCAAAGACACATCACTTCGCCTGTGTCCTGTGAATGTAGACATTGATGTTACCTCCTGCATTAAGACTAGAGATGGGTCCACTTGTCGGAGCCTCCGCAGGTCCSCAGTGCCCAGAGCACAGCCTTTTGCAGCATTGGCAAGACGCATATAACAACAATGTACCGATGGAATTCCCATGCACCTATCCAAGCAATTTCGTTACTTCAAGGCCCTCTTTACTGCGACTGTATGTGCTACTGACACGGCATTCGACTCGATATGGTACCCACTACAGAGCTGGATGTGACGAACGAGAGCCATGCTACTAGCTCTTCAACAAGCCTGAAGGCTGCCGAGGAGAAGGGTTCAAAGGCCTTGGAGGAGATTGAGCGTGAACAGGAGGTTATCAACTTGGCCCGCAAACTGACTTCGCAATCTGGTACCACCTATACACACGCACCATTCTGGTCACAGTCAGGTGGCCCTTTGGACCCCCATAGCGAATCCTTCCAAGCTCGAGAATGGGCCAAAGCATTCTATCATGCTCGGCATATCGCCAATGGTAGCTTACCTGCAAGAGCCGCTGGTGTCGCTTTTCGAAACCTTTCCGTTGGAGGCGTTGGAACTCCCAGTGATTTCCAGAGCAGTGTGGGAAATGCCGTGCTGAAGATTCCATCAGCATTTGGAAGAGGCCAGAGCGAAATCGCCATCCTCCATGACTTCGCTGGACTGGTTCTGCCAGGCGAACAGTTATGTGTACTTGGACCGCCCGGAAGTGGATGCACAACCTTGCTGCGAACCATCGCCGGCGAGACGCAAGGGGTCTCCATCGATTCCGCCTCGGAAATCAACTACCACGGCATCAGCGCCGCTCAGATGACAACGGCGTATAGAGGTGAAGCAATCTACACGGCCGAAGTCGACAACCATTTCCCGGAGCTCACTGTCGCAGACACACTCTACTTTGCGGCTAGGGCTCGAACTCCGCAGCAAATCCCTGGAGGCATATCGCCGGACTTGTATGCATCTCACCTTCGTGATGTCATGATGGCCATGCTCGGTATCAGTCATACTTGTCACACACGTGTCGGTAACGACTTTGTCCGAGGAGTGAGCGGCGGCGAACGAAAGCGGGTCACCATCGCAGAGGCAGCATTGTCATATGCGCCCCTTCAATGCTGGGATAACAGTACCCGCGGCCTGGACTCAGCCAACGCTATCGAGTTTTGCCGCACGCTTCGCACTCAGTGTGATGTTTTTGGAACCACTGCTTGTGTTGCGCTGTATCWATCTCCAGAGGCCGCGTTCCAGCTTTTCGATAAAGTCACGGTCCTGTATGAAGGGGAGCAGATCTACTTTGGGCGAATCGATACCGCCAAGCAATACTTTGAATCACTGGGCTTTGAGTGTGCAGACGGTCAGACGACTCCCGACTTCCTCACCAGCATGACGAGTGCAGCAGAACGTCGTGTACGTGCTGGGTGGGAGGATACAACTCCCAGAACAGCGCAGGAATTCGCTCAACATTGGCGGAATAGCCAAGAGAGGCGTCAGCTGCTGGAAGACATTGCCGATTACTGGAAGCAACATCCTTTCCAAGGTACCGACGCTCAAGCATTTGCAACTGCACGAAAGGCCGAAAAGTCCCCTCTTCAACGAAGAAGATCACCATTCACGCTGTCTTACTGGGGCCAGGTCAAACTCTGCATGTGGAGAGAACTGAAAAAGTTGCAAAACAATCCCTTCATCCTGATCACCATGTTCATCACCAACTTCTTCGAGTCGTTGATCTTGGCGAGCGTTTTCTACAATCTGTCTTCGACGACATCTTCCTTTTACTCTCGTGGAGCCGTCATCTTCATCACAGTCCTCGTAAACGGCTTTGGAAGTTTCACCGAGATCATGTCCCTTTACGCCAAACGAAAGATTGTCGAGAAACACAATCGATATGCGCTGTATCATCCAAGCGCAGAGTCTCTGGCCTCGATCATTGTCGACTTGCCCAATAAAATGATGAACTCTGTGGCTATCAACATGACCTTGTATTTCATGGCCAATCTAAGACGCGAGCCGGGACCCTTCTTTTTCTTTCTCCTGCTCTCGTTTACTATGACTTTGGCCGTGAGTTCCAGATGGCGAACCTATAATGCTTGCAGATTACTTACACTTCTCTAGATGAGTGCCTTCTTTCGTCTCTTCGCGTCGATGACCAAAACTATAGCCCAGGCTCTTGCTCCTGCGTCTGTGGTACTTCTTATGCTGGTGCTATACTCGGGATTTGTGCTACCAATCGACTATATGCGAGGCTGGATCTCTTGGATTCGCTGGTTAAATCCAATCGCCTACGGCTTCGAGTCCTGTATGATTAACGAGTTCGATGGGAGAGTGTTCCCCTGCGCGACGTTTGTTCCATCAGGACCCTCCTACATGAATGTCACGCCCAGCCAGCGAGTTTGCATCGAAAAGGGATCCATTCCTGGGAATTCCACGGTCAGCGGAGCCGCATACATTAAAACGGCCTTTACCTACGATCCAAGCCACAAGTGGCGAAACTTTGCCATCATTCTCGGCATGACGATAGCACTCTACGCTCTACAACTTTGGATGTCGGAGGTCGTTGCTTCTGAACGCTCCAAAGGAGAAGTGCTCGTCTTCCGGCGTGGGAAAATTCCAACAAGTCATCAGACGTCCACCGCCATCGATGAGGAGAAGGGCAAGCTCAGTCGACCTGTATCATCAAGTCAAGGCGACACTCCAAATCTCTCTCAGATGATCGAGAAACAATCTTCCATCTTCCACTGGGAGGATTTGTGCTATCGAGTATCTATCAAAGGCGAGGAGCGGTCTATCCTGGATCACGTAGACGGGTGGATCAAGCCCGGTACTTTGACAGCTTTGATGGTAAGCACCACATGGACTAGTCGTTACATATCACTAATCGTATATATCAGGGAGTCAGCGGTGCGGGAAAGACGTCTCTCCTGGATGTTCTTGCCAGCAGAACCACAATGGGGGTCATTAGTGGCAGCATGCTTGTTGACGGTCGCGAGCGTGATGGATCTTTTCAGAGAAAGACTGGGTATGTTCAACAACAAGACTTGCATCTCGCTACCAGCACCGTTCGTGAGGCATTACAATTCAGTGCGCTCTTGAGACAATCGGCGGAGTACTCCCATCAAGAAAAGCTACAATACGTCGAACACGTTATTGACCTGCTTGACATGACCCTATATGCAGAAGCCATTGTGGGAACTCCTGGAGAGGGCCTGAATGTCGAGCAGCGGAAACGCCTGACGATTGGAGTGGAGTTAGCTGCAAGACCAAAGCTCCTCCTGTTTCTAGACGAACCAACTTCTGGCCTTGATAGCCAGACATCCTGGACGATCTGCGACATTATGGAGAAACTCACGAAGAATGGACAAGCGGTTCTTTGCACAATCCATCAACCATCAGCTATGTTATTCCAAAGATTTGATCGACTCTTGCTTCTAGCTAAAGGGGGTAGAACCGTTTACTTTGGTGAGATTGGAAAGAATTCAAAGACATTACTTGATTATTTCCAGAGCCATGGAGGTCCGGCATGCCCAGCGGGAATGAACCCAGCCGAACATATGCTCGAGGTTATTGGAGCAGCACCAGGAGCACGAAGTGAGATCGACTGGCCTGCGACTTGGAGAGCCAGTTTCGAGCACCAGGCTGTGAAGGAACAAATCGCCAACTTTCGAGCTCTGGCAACTCAGACTTCGAGTGCGGTCGACTCTGACACCTCCAGCTATCAACCATATGCTGCTCCTATAACTACTCAGCTGATACAGGTCGGAATCCGCGTGTTCCAGCAGTATTGGCGAACCCCATCTTACATTTTCGCCAAAGCAGTCTTGTGCATCTTCAACGTCAGTACACACTACCATCAGCCTCACAATACAACRTCAGCTAACAAACAGTACTTGCCAGGCTCTTTTCATTGGATTCTCCTTTTTCAACGAATCAAACAGCATTCAAGGTCTACAAAATCAAATGCTTGGCGTCTTCGTCTTCCTCTTCGTCTTCATCATGCTGGTCACCCACACTCTACCTACATTCGTAGAACAGAGGACCATGTTTGAAGCTCGGGAACGGCAATCCAGAACATATGCATGGCAGGCATTTGTCATTTCAAACATTATCGTTGAATTGAGCTGGAATACGGTCCGTTTCATCCTCCTCCTATTCACAACAAACCACTCTTGTTACCGACCAGACAAAAAGCTGACTGAATGAATGAATGAATATCCAGATCATGGCAATATTCTCATTCTTCGTGTGGTACTATCCCATCGGCCTATACCGCAACGCAACCTTCACAAACACCGTCACCTCAAGAGGTCTCCTCACCTTTCTAATTCTCGAAACGGGATTTCTTTTCGCAAGCAGTTTCGGCCATATGCTCATCGCAGGAATCGAATCCGAGGAAATCGCATCCGCAATCGCTACTTTATTGGGTATCATGTGTAAGTTAATAAATTCCATACCCCCCCAAAAATTCCATCGTCGTCATCTTGTGACTTTTTTTCGCTGATTTGTAACTTCCTCCAGTGTACGCATTCTGCGGTATCCTCTCCGGACCAGACGCTCTACCTCGTTTCTGGATTTTCATGTACAGAATCAATCCATTCACCTATCTCGTCTCGAGTTTACTTTCCGCAACATTAGGCGCCGCACCGGTTCAATGTGTTGAAGATGAATTTCAACGATTCTTTGCTCCTGAGAATCAGACTTGTGGGGAGTACCTCCGGGAATATATTTCTACTGCTGGCGGGTACGTGAGAAATCCTGGAGGTTTTTCCGGGAAGGAGGAGGAGATGATGTGTGAGTATTGTCGGATGGATAATACGAGTGATTTTTTGGGGGGTTCTGGGATTGTTTATGAGGAGAGGTGGAGGGATTGGGGGATTTTTTGTGGGTTTGTTGGTTTTAATTGTTGTGTGGCTGTGGTTTTTTATTGGATTTTTAGAGTGCCTAAGGGGAAGAAGGTGGTGAAGAGATGATTTTGATTGGGGCGGGAAGATGTGGAGTGGACGTGATGGATTTGGATGGTGGTAAGGGCGATGGAATTTTGTGTTCTGCTGCTTGGAATACATGATTTTAAAACTAGAGCAATAGAGAATAAATCAGCATGACAGCGAGCTATGTACAAGAATAAGCATTTGTGGTGGCTTCACTTGATGAGGATCGAGAAAAGAAAGTAAAGACAGCACGGTGAACATCAATAAATCTCACATAAGACCCACAGCTTCACATCGTCTGGTCGGTAGAGCATTGTTGGCTACGTGCGTATTCGCAGAAGTGAGTGCTCCTATGGATCCGCCGTTAAAGGTTCAGCGGCAGCTTCGCAAGCCGCCGCAAGAGAAGACGTCTATTTGGACGTTACCATTGACGCGATGCAGCGATATCGACTTGAATGAGTTCGAGCAGGAAGCGAATAGTCTCAACGAGAGAATCATGGAACGGAGTTGGAACATTAAAGTCGATATTTTGAGGGCAAGTAACTATCATTACCTGGTTTCCACGTACATCTAGTATGGTTTTCATAGTTGCATGAGCCCCGAAGAACTTCCCGAGGATTGGTTCTACAGGAGCTATGAATGAATGAATGATTTATGCCGGGAATTGAATGTCGAAATAGACTTACAAGGTCATTGGCCTCATACCGAACGGGTAATATGAGCTTTCTTCTTCAACGATAGACGCCCCTAGATAGAGTTTCTCGGCAGTCTGGCGAGCACGTTTACTGATGGTGAGGTTTCTGTTACATTCAGAAGCAGAGGCTATATTAAGGGAATAGTCATAAAATCGGTGCAGGTCAGTGCAAATGATGTTTCCGGGGAGCCTCATCTGAACGGCTCGGGCGTCGTGTGACTAGCTACCTACCTACTACACATTGATCTCGTTCAGCTTGAACAAAACCTAATGAACATAGTCAGTAGATGCGCTTCAGCGGTCAAGTGAGTTAGAGGTCCACGTACCCTCTCAATAAACTTGACTCCTACAAAGACGCCATCGACATCTTCATCATCGCCAATCTCCTCAAAGTCCTCGCTATCGGCATCCAAGCAGGTAAGACAACTTAGGACCACTTCGGTATACACATTTCCAAGCGCGGCCGGTAATCTGCTCTTCGCAAGTTCAACAAGATGATGTTTCATCGAGATTGGAGTAGCTTGACACAGATCGCTTGAAGTCAACCCCAGGACGTCTCCGGGACCTAGGACAACATCGCCGTCGCCGTACTTGACAAAGGAGCTCCATAGTCCGATCTCCAGCAGGCATACTCCCAGACTGTAGATGTCATGTTGCATGCTGTACCTTTCCTCTAGATGTGCACCTTGTCTATTTGGATGTTTGTAGATGTTTTGCTCCCAATTCTCAGAACCGCGGAGGTACGTTCTGCCGTCTTCACTACGGACTTGCTCGAAGCCTATGAGGTGGAAACTACCAATGTTGGATGAGGTTGCACTCTCAAAGCTTATGAGGTTCTCCGGACGGATACTTTTGTGGACGAAATCGAGAGTGTGTACAAAGTTGACTGATGATGCTAGCCGTTTTRCGATATTGACGCGGTCTGTCAAAGAGTGGTGTTGCTGGGGTGATGAGATTTTTCCGTAGTGTACGTGGTTTGTGAGTGGAAGGTGTTTCGAAAATCATCTCGAATGATGTGATACGACCATTGCTCTTAGGAGGCCATTTGACCACTCCAAGGCACTTTAGCATCCCGAAAGTAGCTGGATCTACCGCGCGCAACTTGCTTGCTAAGCGGCGGATATCCTTTGTCATGATGCCTGCGTATGCGTAACTTGGGCATGGAATCGAGTCGACGAGGTATGGGGTACTCGAGTCCGAGCGGGAAGCCAGTGTAGCTTTTGAGTACGAGATCCTTGAAGTTTTCGTCCCTTCGAGGCCATCTGAAGGGAGGAAAACATGAGTATCTTCACCATCACCTTTACTAAGGACGCTCCGGACCTTTCTTGCTGATCGCAGCACAGCAGTTTGCCTCCCGAGAAGCACCCGGGTCCTTTCTTTGTAGCTCAGCATCGATGATGGGGCTCGCAATCTTCATCATCAGATAAAACGTTGGATCGTACAACGTTTGCCATTGGACAAGGTCGTCGATGACCGAGTCAAGACACGGCTTGACAAAGAGGTATTTCATGCGTTTGATCTTCAGCTTTTGGTCAGGAGTGGCTGTAGCTCGGGTTTGCTTGCCAATCAGTCCTTGGATGCGGTGTTCCGCCGACTCTACTTTGCTTTGTAGACGCTTCAGGGTGCTGAGTTGGATTGTTCGATGATCTTTGGAGAGCCCGATCCAAGCGCGCTTTGCGAAGTCAAGTTGGGCTTGCGTCCGTACCCAGTGCGATTGAATCTTTGCGACCCGGTCCTCAATCTCACTTCTTGCGTCTTTTAGCGTGATGACGAGGGCGACCAACCTGTCTCCCTCACTAGTTTTGCTATGTGGTTAGCGAGTATGTGAATGTGTATATCGGATCTATACCTGAGCACTGCCAGAACGACACCTGCAATGTCCATCTTGTGGTGGGGACTGGTGTCAGCTGGGGGTGAATGGAGGTATACTCAAATGGCCTTGCAGCAGTGAAGAGCGAAAAGAAAGGAGACTGGGGAAAAATAAAAAGGACAGATTCATGCCCTACGATGAGACACATGGCATGACCAGTGCCATGCCGATGTAGTCACCCTTCCGTGATAGCAACGTCTAGATTGTGTAGGATGGGAGAGAAGGAGAGATTGTTGAAGGCTGAGCATGCAACGGCTTCCATGTTTAGAACAAGCTAGAACCAAGACTAAGACTACCTCCTCGGTCTAGCGTTCCCACCTCATCTCGACCTCCCCAAGCCGCATGACATAGCGCAGCATGCATGGCCTCCGCTTTTCGTTTCTCGTAGAGGAAGGAGTGGTGGAGTAAGCGTGTATCACAGCTGCCCTGTTCTTACTTCATTAAGGGCTCTGTACATTACATCAACAACACGCTTTATCCACCATCCACAACCATCTATCTCATTTTCATCTCTCGTCTTCTCGTCTTCTCGTTCTGCGCGTTAGAACGGCCTGGCCATGTGCCACATGGCCGTGGAGTCTAGAGTCTAGACACTGGGCAAAACGTGGGTCGGAGGCCTGCATATGCACATGCATGCCGCTTCAATGCAAGCCACTCGCCTGCTGGAGCTAGCAGGCACAAGCCTCTATTCTTTGAGCAGTATTTTCCTGGCTTCCGATCTTTTCGTGTCAATATCCTGGGAGTTGCCATGTCACGCGCTGCAGATGTTGTCYAGCTCACTCGACTTGATGCCCAAGTCAAAGAAGAATCGAACGCCATCTGTACGAGGCATACTCTAAACGGCGCAGTATCGGTATGGAGGAGAGAGCGGAAACTTGGCCAGGGGGGCTTCGGCGAGGTTTATCGCGAGGTGTGCACCGAGGGGCGGGAGATTGGAGCATTGAGAGCCGTGAAGATCATTCAGAAGCAGAGGACTGGCGGATTCGACTACAGCAAAGAGTTGGAGGCCATGGCACGCTTCTCTCAGGTAAAGGTATCGAGTGCACTTMACGCAATACCAACCCTGGGCTGACCATGGATGCGATAGTATCAGCAGAGCTTCGTCAAGTCTCTGGGCTGGTTCGATACCACCCATAGCGTCTGCATCGCCATGGAATACGTCGACAGCGGGGACCTCCAGCAATACGTCGGACATTGTATGCCTGAGACCGAAATGCAGCTGATCGTCTCTCAAGTACTCGAGGGTTTGGCTTGTATGCATACCTTGAGCTATGCTCATAGAGATCTGAAGCCTGCGGTACGTGAACGAGTTGAGAATGTCGCATGGTGAAGCTAATCCGACAATCCCTCAATAGAACCTTCTGGTGTTCAACAACGGCCCACGTTGGCACATAAAGATATCCGATTTCGGCCTCAGCAAAAGAGTCGCGGAAGGTCTTACATCACTTCGCACGGCAGCAGGCACATATGGGTACATGGCGCCCGAGGTGAGCGGACTTTTGGAAGACGATGATTCCGACGACGAGTCTCGACCATCGTACAACAATGCCGTGGATATCTGGGCCCTGGGAGTGATTACTTACCAAATGTTAACTGCTCAGCTCCCCTTCGAAGCCGGGGACCTCCGGCCCTTGAAGAAGTATGTCCGAGGCAAGTCGATATTTCCACGGGAAGCTTTGGAGGCAAAGAAGATCAGCGGATCTGGAATTGCCTGGATCCACAGTTGCATGAATCCTTCACCTGATGCGCGACCAGGTGCCGGATTCAGTAGACGACACCAGTGGCCAATGGCAGCAGAAAGCTCCAGCAAGGCTGATGGCCCATCGCAGAGATCTCTCCCTGTAGACAGCCGTGCTTCTGCGAGCTGGGATCGAAAAGATGACGAAGATGCTTCATTCTTCGATAAGATCGATGAGCCGTCTCAGAGGCCCCTTCTTGCTGGAACTTCTGAATCTGCGAGCTTCAGCACACGAGGTCATGAGGGCGTTGCAACTTTGCGCAAGKCTGACGAGCCGGTTGGAGAATCAACTCCTCCCAAGACTTCTACATCTGCGGGCCGGAATGTACAAGACAGTGGGTACGAGACTGTATTCCGCTCGCCATCATCAGATCTGGTACAAGACTCATCGGAAACGATGACCTCGAATAAGACAGGCTTTGAATTGATACCAACGACACAGGATTCCTCGTTATACGACATTGACAGTGCTACACGCCCCTGGGTCGAGGTGCGTCAGCTTGAAGGCCATCGAAAAATCTGTACCGCGGCGTTCTCGCCGGACGGGCGGTGGCTGGCGTCTGGGGGGAAGTATTACGATACGATCAAGCTCTGGAACGTGGCGACTGGGGCAGAGTGGAAGCGGTTTCAGAGTCCTGGGGACACCCTCCATGGTGGATTGGTCTTCTCCCCAGACGGACGGCTACTGCTATCACAGGACCCGAAGCTGAGGTCTTGCAGCGGCGAAATGATCAGGCTCTGGAATGTAGACACTGGAGCATGTGTTGGTCAACTTGAAGACTTGGGGGATAGTTCCGGCTTCTCCGCTATGGCACTCTCGCCGGACGGGCAGCGGGTAGCATCGCGTGGAATAGGTGAGGTCATGGTCTGGGATCTGCCGAGCCGGGCGGTGGTCAAGCGCCTCTCCTACTCCGGGTATGTTTCTGTGCTATCTTTCTCGCCAGACGGGACGCGGCTGCTTTTAGGGACACTTAGCCGAGGCTTGAGCCTTTGGGATACGGAGACCGGAGTGTTCCATCCAAATCCTCACATTTTTGAGAAGTCCGCATCACCACGTAATCTAGTGTTGGCAATCTCGCCGAACGGGCAAAAGGTCGTGACCTGCAGTGACGAGACGGTGACGCTTTGGTCCACAGGAGCGGAATAGTGTTTGATTGTTACTGTCGTCTTGTGGGACCGCAGATCCCATAATCAGTATCGAAATCCAAGTCCCTTTTGCCCCCAATTGGTGGGAATTGAGATACTGCCTAAAGGTTGCGATGCAGCACTCCTTTCCCGCGTGTACAGCGAATTGCGAGTCACATCAGTCCGAAGATGTTGATGTGAGGATCATTCGGGGGGGGGGGGGGGACAAGATACCCTCAGTCCTCTTCACATTGCTTACATTCTTGCTCCCTACAGGGTCGACGATTCTGGAGCTGCTAGAACCTTTGCTACCAGCAGAGTGACTGGTCATTCGATGGAGAGAGCAGTCGGGGAAGCTGCTCTTGTTGATGATTTTCTCATATCGACAGCGCTGCATATCGGGTCGCCTTCCATCAACGACTTTTGCTGCTTTGATGTCTTCAATTGTTGTGGGTGTCAAAGAGAAGGTGGGACTTTACGGAAAGGATTCGGAATAAAGCTGTTCTTCGGACGGCTTTCAGGCGCAGGAGAAGGATGTTGCTGTCGCTTGAGGTCCGTCATATAAACATTACACTATGATTCTCAACTATCATCGAGGCACTAGCCATCGAGAGTATCTATGGAAAGAACAGGAGCCTGGATTACTAAATGAAGCACCGGACACCAAATAAACTCGACTGTACATTGCTCCCGACGACGCATATACCAAGTCGGTGGCCAGAATGAGGCGGGAAACCCATGTGCCAATGCCTGGAGAAGCTGACAGATTTTCATCGCGCGCGTTGCTTGTCCTTCAAGACCAGTCCACACCCACAGGGGCAAGATGACCATCAAGTGGGAGACCACGCCTGTGATTATCGAGACCCGCCAGCCGAGTGATTTTGTAGAGGCGCGGTAGATTGGCCAGGAGTATCGTACGGCGATACTGAGCTCGAGGAAGGTTTGAAGAGAGGGTGGGACGAAGCGGGAGATGTCTACACTCTGTTGAGATCCTGTCAGTCAATCAATCCGCTGACTTCCCCTTCCCCCTCACAACAGCGGTACTTGCCAGGAACATCTTTGGTAGAGCTACCAGGACGATTGAAATTATTGCCGAAACCCATAAAAGGCAAGCCAATAGAGGTCCGAGATATCTGTCGTCAACGACGCGATTGCAGATCGCCGCAACGAAGCAGAGGTTGGCTACCTGACCAAATACCTGGCCGACGGTGAGGACGATTCGCATGATATACAATTGGTGACCATTCTGCAAAGGAGAGATGACCAGTAGAAGGGCGGTTGATAGCTGTGTCTTGTCGGTTAGTACGGAAACTAGCAATGCATGACTGACTGCCTGGTGCKTGCGTTGCTGTTACTTGCCGAAGAAACTACTGTGGCTCCTTGCCAGATGATCCGTAGCCAAGCGGTGGAAGCGGATGGTTTCCATAATTTTGATTGCAAGACTTGACCATACAATTCAAAGAGGAAGAGCAGGCCAAAGACAATGGTATAGGGAACTATATGGCGATCCATTGTTTAACGGGAGAGACCCGAGAGAGGTGTTCTCGAGCGTTTGTTGGGAAGGCACCTCCTTTTTACATCATCGTCCCATTAATGCTACATATGAACTGAGACCTGCTCGTGCATGCATGTATCTGCGAAACCTAAAGACCCTCACATGTCGTCTTCGTCGTCGGGTGGAATGGAATGGATTGGGGTACATGTACATGTACATGTAACATGGGTTAGAGCAGCCCTAGACAAGAATGCATGGCAACGCTCCTCTCTGTCCCTGTTCGCGGCTGTGTCGATCCACTAAACAAGGTCTTGCGCGCCATGCTCCCAACTTTAAAACCCTGTACATTGTACATTATCGGATGAAGTGGTTCGATCATCGGAGGACAATGAATTCATAACTACCTTACTCGAGATCTTTCATCACACACACACTTCCTAGTTCCATGTCGGGATGTTTTTGGTCCACTGATGGAGCGCTGTCCGCTCTCAACTTTATTTAAGCGTCGCCACATGTACATACCTACAGTACAAGCCCCCCTTTTTTTTTTGGATGATAAAAAGTGTGGTCATCATAGATCTTTCACCATCTGTGATTTTCATTCTTGAATCTTTGTCGGGCAAAACGGCATCTTCATGCTCGTTTGAGGTGTTTCGACAATGATATCTTCCTACCTTGTCGTCTAGAGAGTAGGGTATCTGTCTCGGGTCCTCGATCATAACACGCAAGTCCAGTAGATCGACGTCGTTGCTAGACCAGCTGTCACAGGGATGGCATGWGAAGGATCTTACTCCGACGCACGAGGATGCGGTATTCTCCGTCGTTCTGAATCCCCTACTTATACTTTTACCAGGAGCTCACCCATCCTAGAGTCTCCCAAAATTAACACCCATAGTACTCACTGATGTAATAAGCCCACGGGGTCTAGAGCGTCCCATTTCATTCAACCTTCGGGGCCCGTCACTTGGCGATGCTGGTCGTTTTTCCCCTGGTCTATCCTTTGGTGAGATCGAGTCGACGGGGGTTTGGATCGAGAGAGGAGGATATTATCCATGGACGACGGCGACGTCTTGCCAAGTAAGCTATGATGAGCTCTGGATTCTGATATTTTATACTTCAAAATACCTCTCGTAGCTAGCTCTAGACTTGACTTCTATTCAGTGCTCCGAGGAGCAAATTAGGCCTTGAGAAGTAAAGCTGGCTGAGAAATCAAAGTTACACACTATACYGTATGTCCTCATCCGCTCGAAAGCTACAGGAAGAAAAGGTGAAGTAAATGCCAATTTCCTGCGAGTTCTGGCTTCTTTGTGTTATGACGCTGAGTAGATTGTTCAATTCGTATACATTTCGTTACCTTCTTCATCTAGTTCCTAACAGATATACAATAGGTAAGTCGGCATTTACATAGGCACCGGCAAGGACGCCAAGGATCCCATGTCCACGTCGGAGCGGAGAGTTTCTCCGGTCCATGGGCCAGTATCGAACAACAGCATTGTGAGTTGATGTCATGATAGCTCCCTGCCGTAAGATTGATGCTCATATGAACAGAAGAATGGTGATCGGCTGGTCCGAAGTCCGAAACAGTCCTCGGACATCTCGGAAAGCTAGCAAGTGTCTATGGTTAGGGTTGGGGTAGTGGTGTTTTGCTTCGATAGCCACGACGTGCAGAGCTGGTCCGTTACTATTGAAGCCTTGAGTGTGGAACATTAGTATCTTAAGGATTGTGGACATGTTGTCGTTGAAATGTTCGATGAAGCCGATCGCGGCTGATAATATCAAGTTGCCAATACAAACACCTCTTAAGAAAGGCTGGCAAGCTACCTTCCCGACAAGAGAGTGTACTGTTGGAGCTGTCACTATTATTTCCATGAACGATGCAGCGACGTATACCCATACTCTAATTAAGCGGCATTCACGGCTTCCATGTAGCGGCCTGTGAAGACCATTCTGTACTTGAACGACGGCTCTGTAGAGAGCGCAACTCCGTCATCTCTGCTCCATAGCACTTCAGGTAGTCAGTGGCACCTCAGATAGTCAGTAGCACTCCAGAAAGTTAGGGTCAACAGCGGGAGCAACCACAGCAGGAACATGTTCACCTATAAGGATGGGTTGATCAAGAAATTCGAGCGGGTGTAATCCCATCCGGAAGAATCCATAAAATATCAAGCACAAATCTGGTATCGAGCGGTTACAATCATCCCAACGCCTCCGGCTCCACGCTAAAAGAATCATTCCCTTGTCTCATCATCATACATTATGCATTCCCTTTGCACAAGCCTTTCCCTCTCCCAAAAACTTCACTCCAACCTGATACATCGGGCAAGCCAGCCTTCCCACCAATTCCTAATAATCAACACCGTCTCCCTTCCATCATCCCGCTTGTCGAGTCCAGCGGGATCTCCCACCACCATGGTCAGCAACCAGAAGATTGCCACGATCCACGCCGCGGCCATCATTCCCATACTCGCAAAGGGGGAGAGGAGTTGCACCATGACCAACATTCCCGTGTGATAGGAAAAATCCTCATTTGCGTGGGGTGGGAGAGGCGTGTAGATACTGCGGAGTTGCAGATTCAACGCGGGTCCGAGAAGTCCACCCAATTGCTGGCCGAACGTCGGGCGACGAGCGCAGAGGCGAACGGGCTGTGTCATGGTGGTGACGAAGAGCGAGATGATTGTCCATGTGCAATTTAAGAAAGATAGCAACACACACGGTCCTGATAGGAAGAGCAGGATCTTGACTGCTTTTCGCTCTTGTTGCGTTCGGGCATCCTCTTCATCATCTTCATCATCTTCTATCGCAATCACCCTCCGTCTATCATCCAAATAGGGATTCTCTGCCTTTTCGGGATCCCGATTGCTCACGCGCTTCTCTTTCCTCGCTCGATCAATGTGTCCTCCCTTCTCCAAATAGATCGAGGAGATTCGTGTGCCATTCGATGACAGCGAAGCAGATTTTGATGCGTACTCTGCATCGGGATTTCGTGCGTCGTAGCTGTTGTAGGAGTCATTCCTCCGTATGGCAGCTGGTTCGGGTGGAGTGGGCRAGTTTGCCGGGTGCAAAGTCGGCGTCGCAAACGGGTTGTTGTTAGGGCTGAGATCCTCTCCGTCCTTCCTTGCTGCCAAGGCTGCTGGTCTGCTCATGATGCCAGGGTATGTCCAGAGATGGGTGGGCAGACATTCACACCAGAGGAAAGAGGATGGAAGGGCACTTCTTTTCGCTTTGCACTACTACAACGTCCAAGGCGGAGACGACGGGGTGGAGGCGGCCTCATAAGTACCACGTCCGCCGCTCCTCGCCGCGCCATCACCCCTTGGAAGCAAGAAATCGCCAAGACTTGGCAGGATTATAATCGGTAGAGGCCAAGCACGACCAGGGATCGACGTGGGAAGCTATTCGTGCCGCCCAGACAATGTGTGACACCGCGCTGCTGGCGCCGCGCCGCAACAGTCGGCGGTGGTGGTCTTACTCTCGTATGGCGGCGGACATGTCAAGAGCGCGGCGTGCGATGGGGGAATGATTGATGGGTGCCAAGGGAGAATTGTATTGCATTCCAAGATCATCTAGATTGCGCCCTCTTTCGGCTGACTGTCGACCATGCATGCTCACTGCAAACGTGGTCCTTGGCTTGGCGGAATTGTTGGACGTATAACAAAAGTCTTGGATGTCTGGTCGGAAGCTGCTGTACTGCATTCCTGCAGATTGCCGGCTTGATGATACCACCTTTTGATTGCATGTATCCGGATTGGCTACCGCACACGGACTCCCATCACCCAATCCGGCAGTACCTTACTGTAGTACTATACTGTACTGCATTGTAGATGAATTGCATGCTGTGCTGTAGCGCACGACAACGCCAATGCTGGAACGCGCGGAAGCCGATGAACCATGTAGAACTATGAGCTTCGGAACCCGAATTGGAGTCTGGCAGGCTAAAGTGTCATCGCGCCCTAATCAATCCTTCGTATGAGACCAAAACCAAGACCTATCCAAGAGTTGCGCTGCACCTTTTCGCGTTGGCAGCCAAGTCGGCAACGCGGACAATTACTAGGTTTAATGCACGCCGATCCACGGGCTTGGCCACTTGTCGGGACCGCATCTGACGACAGGGCGGGAGATGATGCGAGGCAGGCTGATTTTGACAGCATTATTTTATATTGTTGGTGTCGTATATCGGACCTTTCTGTCTAGGTAGGAGGCGGATACTTTAACTACTGCGCTAAGGTAGGCTGTTCTTGATGGACGTCTACAAAGTAGAACTATCTCGGCGTCACGGCCATGACTTTTCTTGGTTCACACTGCACTTGGCAATCTGGACAAGTGTGTTTCATCAGTCGGCAATATTTGCTCATCCAGCGTTGCCAATACTACTACTTGCACGCGCTCGGGTCATGCGATTGGATATCTTTGCCCAGCGATGGAGGGATGGCCTTGCATGTCGCTGGCAATCCTCCAGATTCCTTGGCTGCGCATACTATATCCGGATGTATAGCATGCTGCCTGCAGACCGCATTGGGAAGTGCGATTGAGGGACGGCGCGTGCACGAAATGTATTGATGTGGTAAGTATGAGGTGAGTGAGGCCCATGAGGTGCGGTCGTGATTCTCTCAATGCTGTTTTGGCAGGAGCGGCCGGCAAAATTAGAAGCACACCTGCCACATACGGCGACAACATTGTGTCATCACCATTTCATTTCCATTTTCATGACCTGATGATCATCTCATCTCATCCTCATCCTCATCCCCTCATCCTCATCCCGATCCAGCGACATTCACATGACGTGGGATTGACCGCTTGGACGGTCGACCCCATCTCCAAGCCAGGCCAAGCGAGAAGAAAGCAAAGAAAAAAAAAATGCCGCCGCCGAGGAAAGACCACGCAGAAAGGCGGGTCCATGATGTTCTCGAATGCGCATCCAAGACTCTTGCCATTCTCCGGGACAAGACTCCGATACCAGAAGCTCTCATGCATGCCATCGAGACACATGTCCAACACACTCTTCCTCTGACTCACACGCCTTTGCTGGTGGAAAAGGCCTCTACATTCGACTCGCTGGGAACGGATTTGTGGAATCAATCCGCTCAGATTGTACACGATGACGACTTTCCGTGCGACCCAAAGACCATTGCAGGGAAGAAATTCCACGTAGGTGTGCTCGTGAGAGTCTTTGCATTGCTCCTGCTGGATACAGCACATCGTAGTTCAGCTCAGCGATCCAAGGATCCAGACCGAAAGGTGAGAATATTCAAAGTGGCGCTTCGCACCAGCCGATTGTGCTTGAACAGGAACGCACTCGAGCTGTCAATCAAGGCTTTGGAGATGTGTGCGCGGAATGTGGCCATCTCATCGGAGCCACAACCACTTCTGCGTATTGCAGAGCCTGTCAATGTGAATGAGACCGAGGAAGAAGTCAATCTGAAGATCCTCACTGCTGAGTATTATCTCCTACGTTTGATGCATGCCTGGAAATCAAATCGTCTTGACCTGGCAGATCATTTCCTCGCCAAATACGACACTCTCAAGATTACGAATGCCACGGAACTGACAATCAAGGAGGCCGACCTGTTTGATGAGATTGCAAAGTCGTTGGCGAAGGACAAGCAGCTACAAGACGCAACGAAATGGTCCGAGCGCGCATTCCTTGCTCTGGGGAAGTGTGATGATGAAGCGACCACGCAGGAGGCCGCAGAGCTGAAGCTCTATATCRGAGTGTCGCTTGGTGAGAACACTGGGGATGGTGTTGAATGTTCGGCATCGAGCTAATCCGTTACAGTGGAACAATTACTCGCCGATGGGCAACCGTCGTCTCGGAGTCGTGCATGGAAAGTGGTGAACGCACTCGAGAAAACGCATGGTCTTCAGAACCGTGTTACCCTTGAGATTATCAAGTTTCAGGTCATGGCAGCCGGCGATAATGTTGATGCAGATCAGATCCACCAGGCACTACTCAGGATGGTAAACATGACGGTCCTCACTGAGGAAAGTTTCAAGACGTAAGTACACGAGTTCGCATTTGGAGATCATGATCTCTTCCTAATCCTCGAACAGCATCATGAGAACTATGCGACAAGCTGTGGAAGTCTCCGCACCTCCTACTCTCGCCGCTCTCAAGATCTTCATCTGCAATCGTCTCTTACCTGAACTTCAGAGCAGCCCGACCGAGGATACTGCCGTGGAGACATGGCTTGAGAAAGCCACCATAACCTACATCCTGCTTGCAACATCCCCCTCAACAGATAAAGCGGTGAGAATTGACATTCCAGCAGTCTCGCAGCTGCTTGATGAGATCAGCAACATGAATGAGATACAATTCTCTGCAAAAGCGACACATGCAGCCCAGACTTTACTCTGGAAGGCTGCTGGAAATTTTGGAACTTGGTCGTCATGTAAACTCCTGCAACATCCCCTCTTCTTCAACGCTGGTCATCTCAACAAGGCTCGCATTGGAAGATGAGGCTTGAGTCTCTCACATATCTGAGTGTCTACTAACAGTCCCAGGAAACTGATGCGTCATGCCCTCGATAATGAGGACTTACCAGCTGCCCGTGAAGCATTCTTCCAAATGTCCAAAGATGTTCGAGAGGAAAGTCTCACTCAATTCCTCGCCTTTCGTCTCGCTTTGAAGTCTCAAGATGAGGATCTCGCGGCAGAGTGTCTTCGGAATGTAGCCAGACATGCCTTTAAAGATCCCACCCATCTCTACGCATGCGTGATTGAAGCGCAGAAATCACCAATGCGGCATGTGGCGGTCATGGCACTACAGGCTGTTCTTGGGCAAAGACCTCCTGGCATTTACCTAGCGTGTCTCCTTCGCTGTACCGTCCGCCTTCTCATTGCAGAGCTCGACACTGCAGCGAACGAGGAAGCGCGGAATCAAGTGGCACATGAAGTTCTACAAATCTTCGAGACCGCCTCCAAATCCGTGGAAGTCTTCCGAGAAGCCTCCATCGACAACTGGCGCACAGAAGTCCAATGGTGGAGTAAGAACGCATACAATCTGAGCATTCGACTCTGTGGAGCCATCGATCCGGAATATACTGTCCGCTTTCTATCCGCATGCAGTACTCTCCTGGACTACCACCAMCCCAAAGACGGCACGGTACAACAACAAACCGAGCTTGAAAATCGAAAACTACTCTGTGCATTCCTCAGCACCACAGCTCTGATTGTCCTCGGCCGTTCTTCTCCCAAGGAAGACGCTGCTCTGCAATACTACCTCTCCGCCCAGACCCAAATCCAGACTTTCCAAACCCTCTACGCATCCCTCCGTCCCAAACTCCACGACCCAGCAGCAGCGACCTCGGCATCGAACCGGCACTTTGCAATCCTGAAATTCCACCTCGAATGTCTGCTCAAACTCTCCCAATTCCAAGATCTCGCTCCCGTTCTTCAAGCTTGTCTGGATGCTTCCCCTTCGGGAGGAACAGAGGAAGATGCAGCAGGGAAATGGAATACCCTCGCCGACCTCCTCATCCTCCTCCATCAAAACCTCAAAGATCCCTCCTCTCCTTCCTCGGGATTGATCACGTCTCTGCTTCAGAAAGCTATCAATGCCACTTATCAATCTCGCTCGAAGAATTCTTCTTCTTCTTCTTTGCAACAAGTCGCGCGATGGATTCGATATACTTTCACCCTCTGTCGTTCTTCCCCGCAACGCAGTGATGGTGATGATAAGACTTCTTCCCAACCATCTTCATCGGACTTTTCGTTGAATCTCCTCCAGCAAGCCGCGCAGATTGCTCAAAAGGGCTATGATGATGTTTCGGGAGAAAAGTATCCCGAAGCGGAATTGCAGTGGTTGGCGATTATGGGGTTTAATCATGCCGTCGATCTTTTTGCTTTGATGAAAGGTTGTGGTGGTGGAGGAGGAGAGGAACAGGAAGAAGAAGCGGAGAAATGGATCCAAGCAGCATTGGAATTGGCGAGGTGGAGTTGTGATGAGGGGGGTTTACATTCTGTTTTGACTGGCAAGAGGCAAGTTTTGAGGGAGAGGCGGAAGGGGAGGATGGAGAGGAAGATGTAGAGGAGGGGGAGGATGGGAAGAGGGAGGGTTCAAGTAGGAGAGAGAAGAGGATATAGAGGGAGGGAGCAGAGACAAAAAAGGAATGGGAAATGGGGAGACACGATGGCCGATTAAGAATGAGGTGGATAGGGAGAAAATGATGTTTGCTACCTACCTATTGATGAAGTTATCATAAGCGAGGTTATAAAAATGATCCATCCCAATCAAGTAATATAAAATTCTGGAGATGGAGTGAGGGGAGAGGATGAGGACGAGGACGATAGGGCTAGTAAATCCCAGAGGGGGAAATGTCACTATTACTTTACTACTCTCTTTTTTTTACGTTCTACGGCGAGGATTGAAACGAATAGATGAATGAAACAATAAAGAGGTAGGAGAGAGCGTCTATTGACCTTTTTTGGCATCATCGTACCGTACCGTGTCTATACCGTACCCGTACGAAGTAGCAAGGGAATGATTTAGTTCCATCTCACTTTGATTCCATCTCACGTTGATTTGACCTTCCTTTGATTTAATTACATCTTGGTTTAATTCAATTTCATCTTGATCACATCTCATCATCTCATGGTTAATAAATGTATGAATGAATGAATGAATGTATCTATACATCTTGGCTTCTGACTTCTTATATCTTCTTGCTTCTTCTTACTTCTTGTATCTTCTTACTGCTCGCATCTTCTTACTTCTCCACCTCTATCTTTATGCATCTTCATGCAGCGGAGGGGGGTATCGTATCGTGAGAAAACAAAACAATCTACTCCATCCTCTCCCATCAAAACACAAACCAACACTCGTTCATTCACTACTTCTACCTCAAACCAAAACCCCCAATCCCCCACCTCCTTTAACCCCTCTCCAACAAGCAACCCACTCCTCCCTCCTCCCCTCAACTTGCACCCGACTACACTCCCTCACAGGCCTCCAAGCAAGTCGATTATTCCCCCCCTTGTGCTCCAACTTCGTAAAATCAACCACAGGTTTCCCCGTCGCGAAATCCAACAATCTCTCCATAATCTTACTACCATTCATCATTAATTCCGCGTGTCGGTGAGATTTTGTGCTGGATTCATGGTTGTTGTGCAGAGGTTCAAACAACCATTCCTGCTTCGCAAGGACACGGAGAGGTGCGTCCGGAGCAGGGAGCTGTAATCGGAGATTTGTGTCATGGACATGTCTCAAAGCGGAGCTCATTCCCTTCAATCGCTGTTGATCGCGTTCAATGCGAGATTGTGTGGCGGCTCCCATGGCATCGTGGTCGATTCCTCCCGCTCCTCCTACACTTCCACTTGCTTTGCGCTCGGCTCCCAATCGAGCCATTTCCTGCCGAGCACGTTCAATCTCTTGCTGCGCTTCATGGTGGAGATTGGCGAATTCCTTTTGAGTCTTGGCTTCGTTGTCACGGGCCTCTCGTAGACTGCGCTCGAGCTCGGCGATTTTGGCGGAGCGCTTGCTGGCGTCTTTCATGCGCGCCTCGAGCATTTCAATGCGGACGCTGTGCTCTTCGAGTTCCTTTTCCTTGCGCTTGACCAGACTGTCGCGTTCTTGGACGGCCTCGAGTGCGCGGGCAAGTTCGGCTTCCGTATCGACGGAAGTGATCTTGGTGCGCTTCAATTCATCAGCTCGGGCAACCCATGGTTGAGGTGCTCTTTCAAACTCGACTGTGTTGYCTAGATCGGTTGGCAGCATTGCAAGATCGGCCAGAAGATTGACGACGTCACGCAGTTTGGCTGCCAATGAGGAATATGGTCCAGCTTCTTGTGCAGATAACGAGAAGATGCTCGTAGCAGCTTGTGAAAGACTTGCTGCCACTTCGGAAGGTGAGACTGGGTTGGAACGTCCCTCTTCATTGAAGATGGCCTGTAGACTCGCTCCAGTCCTGCAAGCATATGCTACAATGGTGGAGGAAACTTGTTCCACGGCCTCAAATTGATCCATGAGTGTGCTGTTCAGTGTCAAGGAGCTGGCCTGCAGATCAGACAGAGCCCGAGATGTCTTGCCCGACACCACCTTGGCGTTTCTAACCTGCTCAATGATAATCTTGAGTCGGTTGATGATGAGGAGAGAATCAGACGCCGAGTCTTCCTCATCTTCCCCATCTTCTCCATCTTCAGAATCATCTGCCGATGTTGAAAGGTTGCTCTCCAGCAATGTCTTGGTGACAGTCAAAGCGGAAGTAGCGCTCTCCAGCTGACTCTGCAAGAGATTGGTCTTCATAATCAACTCATCAGCAAAGTCTGCCGGCCCATTATGCAGATGCAGGCTGGATAGATGTGTCATAACTTCGATGGATCGACCCAAGCGGACCGACATGTCACCTTCTTGCAACTCATCCCGTCGAAGTGCGTCGACGTAATCATTCAACGTCCGCTCCACCACCTCCAACTCATACAAAGCGCCTCCATATTGTGCAAACGCTTCGGCGCTGCAGCTACTGATGGAGTTGACCAGACGGTCCGACATTCCCGCGATCCACGTCAACTTATCCAGAGCATTACAAGCAGCGAAGACATCTTCTTCTTGACCTCGCGTGCCAAAGGAGGTGATGCGTTCTTTGACAAAGTTTTGCACCAGATTCGCCTTGAATGCGATGCGTCGGAAGCGTAGCAATGCCAGTACACTGTCCCGCTCGGTTTGGAATGTCTCTGGGAGGAAGAGCTGAACGATGGCGAGATGCTCCGACGCTTGCTCGGCATCCAGTTTTCGAAGTTCCAGATCAATAGCTTTGACTTGRGTCTTGGCAGCACTCGCGTGCAGTTTCATGTTAAGATCCATCATCGCTCGAGACTTGTTGGATAATTGGGAGGCCTCCGTCTCGGTGATTTGCTTGCTGGCTTGGAGGTCTTGCAGGTCGCTTTGTAAGGTGGTGACATATTCTCTAAAGCGACTGATGTTGTAGTCGGCCTCATCCAATGCCTTTTGTTGCTCTTTGGCAGTACGTTCGCGGTCTTGGAGTAGGCTGTCTTTAAAGTCCAGTTCTTCTTGTAGTTGCTTCTCCGCCTCGACATGGTTAATCTCGAGCTCGTCGTTGAGCTCGCGGAGTGCTTCCAGATCTTCAATGGCCGCGCGAAGTTCATTGAGCTTATTTCGCATGGAAGTGTTGTCCTCTTCCAGACTCTCAATAATACTCTCGGCATCCATGGCGGCTTCCAGCTGTTGACGAAGATCGTTGGTATCGGCTTCGCTTCGTAGGAGCTTCTCTTTGGTCTCTTCGAATTGCTTCTTCAATCCGTCAATCCCATCAACCTCCCTTTCAAGCCCACCAATCTGTTCCTTCAAAGCAGCCTCCTTGTCTTGTGAAATATCCCGTAGACTGATCAAGGCGTCCTTTAACCGCTCATTCATCCTCTCCAACTGCAGCCATCCAGTGCTTGCACGCTCCTCCGGACTCATCTCCCTGCCGAGTTCGGTCTTCTCATCCCGCGCCAGTTCCAACTCCAATTCCAACTCCTCATTCCTCGCTCGGACAGCTTCAAGATCGGCCTTGTATCCTTCAGCAGTCTCCTCGGCAACCTCACGATCCAGCACGGCCGACTCCATGGCAATCTCATGATCAGCCTGCATATTCTCAATGGATGCAAATCTCTCCTCATATTCCACGAGCTCTCGCCTCAACTTCTCCAATTCCTGTTGTTGCGGATGGTACTTGGCCTGCAGTTTGTCGATGATGCCCTWGAAGCGATCCCGCTCCGATGTGGCCTTTTCGAGCTGTTCTCTCAATTCCCGATCCTCCATTCGTTTCCTCTCCAACAGCCGCAGCTTGMCTTCCAGCTCTTCAATCTGTCGGTTGGATGCAGCGGTACTCCGAATGGTGCGTTGCGAGTGCATGGATGCAGCACCGGGGGAGGAAGGTCTTCGWGATCGCGTGAGACGTTCCGTGGGCTCGGGTGGAATTGGTGGAGGAGGGGCAAAGTTGGGATGAGGTGCTTCCTCTTCATGGTTCTCGGTTCCATCCTCGCTGGGCGCACTACTGCTCTCGCGGAGGGAATCCAGATCCGCCCCATCGCTTGCCTCATCCCCCGCAGAGCTCCCATGAGCGGCACTGRGACGTTGGCGAAGGTTGGATCGGACGGTTGGTGCAGTTCGGGTGGGAGGTGGAGCGGGGGGATTTCTTGCTGTCGGTGTCCTTGCTGCTATTGATGGTCGCGCACTTGATGGAGGAGGGAGAGCAGAAGTTCTTCGACCCGCAGCCGGAGCAAGACTCGGCCGTGGCTTGACCGCAGCTCCCGTTCGAGTTCGAGATGTTTTGCTTTGAGGAGCAGCAGGAGGGGTGGAAGTACGGGAAGTGGAGGCGGAAGTGTTGGAAATGCCCTTCAGACCCAAACCCAACTGCTTGGTGGGCGATTTGGTAGGCGATCGCATTCCGCCGCCCCCTCTCGTTGCTGGAGTCGGTGTGCCAGGAAGGGCACTGCCTCGTCGATCGGCCTGTGTTGTTGTCTGTCTTCTCCCCCCATTCACCCCATTCTGCACACTCCCATTCCCTCCTCTCCCCGTCCGAGGCTTGGCCTCCTCCAACACCAAACTAATCCCCGACGGCCGACAAAAGATCCCATGATTGGCCGCGCAATCAAAATATCGCTGTCCCTGCACCGACCCATCATTCTTCCCCGAAGCCTCTTCCAATTCCACGCCCACCCAATCGCCCGTCTGAAAGGCCGTGGCGCCCACGAATCGAACCCTCCCGATGCGCTTGTCGTTGAGTTCAATCTTCTGTCCCACTGACAGCGGCGGGAGACTCATCTCGTCGGGATGTCGTGGGGTTGAATTTCCGTTCGGAGGGTTGGTCGCGATATTATCATCTCATTTCATCCAAAGTCGGGAAATTGTGAATGTAAGTAAGGTAGGCTAGGTTTCCGGGACGTGGGAGACGCGAGGGTTTGGGGGGGACGTGTTGGATGTTTCCGACTGCGGCAAGGCAATCCGAGCCGAGGAGATGAACCTCACCTCTCTCGCATTCACTGCATTGCATGTCATTACGGCGCTAAATCGTGATGGTGATTACCTTAGGCTTTGATGGATAAGGTAGTACTGCTACTGGTGAGGTAGTACAATATATCATAAGACGTGCCACCTGCATCCTGCCCGGCACTTTTGATTGCCCTGACTTGGTCCACTGCATTCCCCGTGATGAATGCTCAATCTGTGGCTAGGATGCATGAAATAGCCTGGAAGGAACATATAGCATAGAAAGACAAGAATACAGACAATCCATTCAGTATTGTATTGTACACGCTACAGCCAAACACACAGCAGCACAAATCTCATGCTTCAAAAACATTAAACTAACTGCCCAAACTACCATGTCGAGTCWAGAAGTACAGTGTGTGTCATTCTCACCTCATCCGTTCAACCATACATACTGACCATGAAGTGAGTATAGGTAATGTCCATTCAAGTCCGAGACATGCATGTCATCAAAGAGGCGAACGGCTTGCTCGCAGTAGTGGCATCAAGACCAGACGGGAGGAGACGAACGAGACGTCCTATTGCTTCGCGCCAGAAATGAATATCTTTCAGCGGCAGCAAAGCGCATGCACATCAGGCGAGCGGTATGATGCATCACGTCCGTTCAAAGGTCCCATGTCATAGCACTGTTGAGCAACGCGCACGCGTAACGGAACGCAGACATGATCGAGAGGAAGAGTCTCACCATCCAGCCGGGGCGTAATAAGAGCACCAATGTGTGTCGTGAACAATCCAGTCACATCCAGTCACACCATCAACTCAAGCGTCATCGTCATCGTCATCGTCACGAGAGGTACGTCGAGCACGGCGGAGAGCTTACTGGCCTCCGGGCGGCTGCTGCTGCTGCTGTTGTTGCTGGGCCATGGCCACCCACTGAGCATACCACTGCTGGGCCGCGTACACGTCTGCTTCACTTTGCGCTCCCGGTTGTGGCGTCGCTTGTTGGGCTGCCTGCGGCCAAGCGGGCTGAGCCTGCGGAACGCCGTATTGTCCATATCCTGGCACGGCGGGCGCTTGCTGTGGCTGTGAGTATGCACCATACTGAGAGGCTCCTTGGTCACGTCCGCCGCCATAGCCACCGCCGCCACCACCACCTTGACCGCCTCCACCACCACGACCAGCGGCGGCATCACGTTCGCGAACAGTCTCAACCTTCTCCCAAATCACGCGCTCGGCTTCCTCCATCGCACTGGCGGAACCTGCAAGATCGATATCACGATGCACATCCGGCGGCTTAGGCTGGTTGACGTTGATCTTGCAGCCCGTCGAGCGCTGCATGTCCTTGATCGTCTCCCCGCCTTTGCCGATAATCATACCAACCGCTTCAGATGGCACACGAATCGTCTTCTCCACATGATCACGCCCGCCGCCACCTCCGCCAGCGCGGCCATTATTCTGATAGCCTTGATCACGTCCGGCGGGTGGCATGGATCCTGATGCTCCTCGGCTGTTTCCATCACGATTGTCGCTCTCGACAATCTCCAAAATCATCTCCTTGGCCACTGCAGTCGCACGTTCGCTTCCGATCAGGTTGACCGGACGAAGTCCACTCACACTTTTGTTCTCCCCCACAATGTTAACGTGGCATCCGCTACGCTCCTGCAAATCCTTGATCGTCTCTCCGCCACGTCCAATGATCAGCCCCACGGTCTTATCGGGAACCATGATTTGTGTGCTCGCCTCTCCATCGCGCAGGGCTGGGAGGTTAACCTTGGCCCTACCAGGCATGCCGGCGGTGTATGAGCCCTTTTCCGGCTGTGCGGGAGTGCCACCGTTGTCCTCAATGATACTGAAGATSGCAGCTTTGGCACTCTCACGTGCGCGCAGGGGTCCGGAGATGGTGCACTGTCGCTCTGGCACGTGCTTATCGGCGGCCTGAATGAACTGCACCCGCGCTCCAGATTCCGTCTCCACCTTGCGCAAGTTCTCGCCGTTGCGCCCGATGATCAATCCCACCAGCGCAGACTTGACACGGATCGTCTCCACCTCGCCACCATCGTTTCCACGTTGACCGGCCGGTGGATCGCGTGCGCCTCGGAAGTTACGGTCCGGAGAGGGGGAGCGTCGGTAGCTGCCTCGTCGAGGGTCCTCGCGTCGTTCGTCGCGGTAAGGGTTGGCGTTGTAATTGTCGCGTCTGGGTGGTGAGCGTGAACGAGAGCGCTGTCCGCCACGATTTGCAAGACGAGGGTCGTCGCGTGGTGCTGTATTGTTATCATCAGATTAGTCTCACTCAAAGGCTGTGACAAGGACCGATCGACTCACCCTGTTGCTGTCGCGAGTCGTACGAGGCGATGCCGCGATTCTCCGCAATATGGCGCGCCTTTGCAATGGCATCGGCGATGCTGACCGAGCCACTGTTGACCGGCTTGATGCCACTCAAGTCGATGTTGCCCGTGCTCGATGGTTGCGGAAGGTAGGAGGTGGGAGGTGGTGGCGCGTTGGGGAGCTGTCCGGGCATCATTCCCGGTGGGTATCCTGGTGGTGGCTGCGTTGGTGGAGCATGCTGTGGGGTGGGGGCCTGGGGGGTAGCGCTGGGCTGCGTCTGAGCTGGTAAAAAGAGTCAGAAATTGGCCGAGCAAGCAGGTACGCAGACGACTTACCGAGCGCGGCGAGGATCTGGGAGATGTCGGGTTGCGCCATGATGGCGGTCGTGTGGTGAGTGAGATCAGCAACGCGTGGTGTTGTGGCAGTGTGTCGTTGATATTGATGGGCAAATGCAAGTAAGTGTGAAGAATTAGGAGAGGTTGGTGGTGAGAAGTTGGAAATGAGCACAGGTACAGGGCAGTCAAAGAAGATTTCGGCAACAGCTTCCGCCCTGCCCTGCATTTTGACGCGCTTCAATACATTCGTGCTTCTGATTGGCCGCTGACAGCCGCCGCTTCACCTTCTTCAATAATCGTCCATCTTCACATGCGAGTGAGTCCAACTCCACCATCCAGTCTGCTGATAGAAACTCCATATCCCATCCCCCAACACCATCACCTTCCATGCCGACCGAAAACAAAAAAGCCCTCCTAATCGGCCTCTCCGGCATCTCCTCCTCGGGAAAAACGACCCTAGCCCGTCTCCTCCGCGACATCTTCCCCCGCACCTTCATCCTCCACCTCGACGACTTCTACAAAACCGACGCCGAAATCCCCATCACATCCACAGGAATTCAAGATTGGGATTGTCTGGAATCAATAGATCTCCTTTCTTTCAAACAAACTCTCGAATATATCCACCAACACGGCGAACCCCCACGATCATTAACTTCCAAAGAAGATAAGAATTCCGTGGGAGAAGTCGCCGTTGATAAAATCTTACTTGAAGATTTGAAATGGAAAGCTAGTAAATGGATGTTCGCAGACGCGCCTCCCATGGCAATCATCGATGGATTCCTATTATTCTCCGAGGAAATGGAAGAGATCCGGGACCTCTTCGACGTGAAATTATTTTTACGAGCGGAATATAATGTTATGAAAACTAGGAGGGAGGCGAGGAGTGGGTATGTTACTTTGGAAGGGTTTTGGGAGGATCCTCCTGGTTATGTGGATGCTGTTGTGTGGCCGAATTATGTCAAGGATCATGCGTTTTTGTTCAAGGATGGGGATGTTGAGGGAGAGATTGATGGGGAGGTGTTGGGGAGGTTGGGAATTGAGGCTATGCCGGATCATGCGCGGGGGGATATGACGGCTTGTTTGCAATGGGCGTATGATGTGCTTGATGACGCTTTGCACGCTTTTACTTCCCGGTCATGTTGATATGAACTTGACGAATGACGACGAAGTGAATTCGGGCTGTAAATCACGATGGAAGATTTGGGCTATGAGATCAGCTCAGCAGCATCCGCCACAGCCGCTCTAGCAATCTTCTTCAACTCCGTCTTATGATCACCCTCCCTAAACTTCTCCACATTATCCAACCCTTCCTTCGTCTCAATCGACAGCGTATCATATCCCTGTTTGATGATCTGAGACACCTCCGCGGGAGTGAGATGCGCGGCTTTGCTCTTCCGTTCCTGGATGAGCTCCTCGTAGTGTTTCGACACCCCAATCAAGGTGTTGATGGGACTTTTATCCTCGGGTTTGCTCAAGTGATAGACGTCGCGGAATTTGATGAGTGCCTCGCCCGACTCGACCAATTTGTAGAAAAGGTCGTCGTACGATGCGGCGTCCGGTAGGAATGCTTCACCGCTCGTCAGTGCGATGGTGAGAAGCTCGACTAGAGTTTCGGCGAGCTTGTTGATGCCGGACAGATATTTCAAATCATCCACATATGTGGTCAGGAAGCGGACAAAGGATAACAGCGACCGCCATAGCTCGGCCCAGTGGTATGTCAACTTGGTGTGTGACTTTGCCAGGTAGGAGAGCATGCGTGAAAGTACCATCAGACTCTGCAGGTAGAATTTCGTGTCGAGCTTCTTGCGAAGATTGTGGTTGATGCCATCGACAATCAGGTCAATCAAAGTGGCCATGTATGGTCGCTCGCCTTTTGTTAAAGGAAGCTGCGGAGATCTCTGCCGACAGAGTCGGACCTGCGCGTTGGTTTCGCAGAGAAGCTTGGAGAGTGTTGCATCCTCCACAATGTTGATGAGGATGAGCAGGGTCAGATAGGCGTACAGAGATGCTCGAGAACTTCTGTGGGCGTGTTGATAGAGGTAGGATGAAAAGGACAGAAAGCTTCCAAATGCTGGCGCTTGACCTTTTTCGCTGGCGGCGAGGCTCACAAAGTGGTGGGAGAATAGTTTGTTGGCCAGAACAAAGTCGAATAATGWCAAGAGAGAGGCAGCTTCATGTCCGGGTCTGCAAGAGTCAGCTTTGCTTGTATCTCGAGATCATCGGGGCATTGCTACTTACTGTTCGGCAAACAACTCCTTTTGCTGATCCTCGGTCCATACAAGAGCTGCAGGCTTCTTCACGCCTGCAAGAGATCCCAGTCCGACGTACGAAAGTGTGCCGCCGATGCTCCATCCTACTGGTGTATCGTCTTGAATGGCAATATACCGCTCACGTAGAACGGTGGTCGTCCATGCTATGCTCTCCACAACCTTAGTCATAGTCTCCTCGTTAACAAAGTCGGCGAGTCGCACGCGGTATTGGTTGTGGCTTTCAAACTTGTTGTAATTGGCGAGCAATCCGGTTAGTAGAAATGGMTCCGAGGCTTGAAGAGGGCTTTCCAGTTGATGTACAAGCTAGATTAATACGTCAACAGTTGTAGGGATGATAGTTTGATGGACAGTCTCACCTTCATCAACGCAGGGAAGAAGTCTCGATGGACAAAGTAAGACACRATGGCAGTCTGATAGCCTCCCGACACGACGGCAATGGCAGTCCGAACCGCTTTCTGGCGGTACTCGACTGGAATGCTGTTAGTATGGACTATGGATTTCCACCACAAAAACTCACTGGATCTTCCATCCTTTACAACCTGATCCAGACTATCGACCAGATCGAAGAAGACGGCGTCAACATTGTCTAGCCCCGCGAGCACTTCAATGACATCGGAACTCGGGTTGGTGAACTTTTTTGCCAATATTTTTTGGAAGAATACTGTCAAGGTCTATAAGTCATGAGTTGGCACGACGCTATCGGAACTGTGATTGGCAGTACTCACATCAAGAGCATGTTCGTCAGCCGGTGCAATACCAGCTTTCACCCGGACCAACGCTTGGATGAACAATTGCTGTGGGGTGTGTTGGAGGTGCAGCAAGTATTCGGCGTCGGTGTTGTCGAGAATGTCTTGCAGAGCGGTGACGTCGGGCTTGAGCAAGAACAGAGTACTCCAAAAGGATTCCTCGTGCTCCTCATCTCCGACTTCCTGATCGTCTGGTGTCAGCGACCGGGACCGAAGTATCGACAGAAGCTAGTTTCAACCCACGCGAAATAGCCTGCGATATAGCCCCACTACTTTCGGCTCAAATGTCTCCGGTCGGGCCTGCTGCGTAAGCGGAGAGTCCATGATACATCCAGGGGATGCATCCAGCAAGGAATGCGTGGAAGGTTAAGAAACTCGAATGCTCAAGACAGCTGTATTCTATTGTCTGATGCCAATGTCACCCAACGCTTGTCAGAATGTGGGAAGGGATGGCCCGCACCGAGGGCGGCTGCACGATGACGTAGGCAGGAAGAAACGACTATCCTCTATATCATTGTCGATAATGTGTTGAGAATGGACAGTAACATTGGTTTGAATTGATGTAGACAAGATGTTCTCCAAGGCGCCGTGGAACTCRGCCTTCTCCAAAGATTCCCATGAATCCGCCGGCGAGGAAGAGGGCGAATCGCTGACGACGGTGCTGCCGACGATGGAAGACCGCACCGCTCTCACCCTGCTGATTGGCGAGTGCACCGAGGCGATGCGGCAGGCGATTGTCCACATCTTCGACGCACATGAGACGGGAAAGTTGATCGACCTGATCGCGAATGACGAGGGGGAATTGCAGAAGACGGGCGCGGTGGAGGGGGAGATGCAAGTCGATGCTGCCAATCAAGAGAAGTTGGACAAGGAACTGCTGCAACGACAAAAAGAGCTGAGTGCGGAGAAGATGCAGGGGTTGAAGCGAGCGGCATTGGCTCATTTTGATGAATGGAATAGTCATGTCATCCAACGCGTGGGAGAAGTGGTCAATTCGCGACAAACCGATGGGGAGGAGCAGAAGAGGGCGGCAACATCGGAAACTCMCCATCCAACACAGAGATCAGTTCAAGATGGCCCGCAGTATGACCCCGGAGTGCAAAGAGCAATGGAAGAAATCTATACTCCCGTCGCAACTCCCCTTGCTAGACTTCCCCAAGAAAAGAGGGCCCTCATCTTACATTCCATCCTGCTGTTGCTGCTGAGTTTGGAGCATTATCGAGCAGAATCTCGCGTGTTGTTGCTACGCTTGACCACCAGTCTGGGTTTGAGCATTGCCTTTCTCGGCGAGAATGAGAGTAAAATCGCCCGGGGATTGCTGTCGGCGGCGGAAAGCATGAATGCAGACGAGGAAACCAAGAAGAAAGCCGAGGAGAACCAAGGATCCCGGAAATGGAAGGTGGGTCTGGCCACCGTCGCCGGTGCAGCATTGATCGGCGTGACGGGTGGTCTGGCGGCACCCTTGCTGGCAGCGGGAGTGGGTTCCGTCATGGGAGGCATCGGATTGGGCGGCACCGTCGCAGCGGGCTACTTGGGAACTCTTGCGGGGAGCGGTGTTCTCGTCGGCGGTCTATTTGGTGCCTATGGAGGGCGGATGACGGGCAAGATGATGGACCAGTATGCAAAGGAAGTCGAGGATTTTGCCTTCGAGCCCGTCAGGACCCATCACAAGCCAAGGAAGATTGAAAAGGAGTATCGTCGACTACGCGTCGCCATTGGAATCAGTGGCTGGCTCACCAACAAGGAGGAAGTCGTTCAGCCGTGGAAGGTGATAGGAGTCCAGCTCGAGTCGTTTGCTTTACGCTTCGAACTTGAGGCTTTACTAAATCTGGGCAACTCTCTCTCCACCATGATCACCTCAGCCGCATGGGGTATGGCCAGGAAGGAGATAATCAAACGCACCGTCTTTGGCGCCCTCTTGGCTGGTCTCTGGCCGCTTGCACTACTCAAGGTCTCGCGAGTGCTCGACAATCCTTTTAGTGTCGCGAACTCCCGAGCATACAAAGCCGGACAGGTGCTAGCCGATGCAATCATCAACAAAGCTCAAGGCGAGCGTCCCCTCACCCTGGTCGGCTACAGTCTCGGCGCCAAAGTCATCTTTGCATGTCTCAAAACTCTTGCCGAGCGCAAAGCATTCGGTCTGGTTGAATCCGCCATCTTAATAGGAACACCTGCACCCTCGACCACTGCGGAATGGAGAGAAATTCGAAGTGTCGTCGCGGGACGTGTCGTCAATGTCTTCAGCACGAATGACTATATCCTTGGATTCCTCTACCGAAGCCACAGTATCCAGTACGGCGTTGCGGGACTACAAGCCATTGAAAACGTCAAAGGAGYGGAAAATGTCGACGTCAGCGGTTTCATCAAGGGCCACACCAACTATCGCTTCCTCACCGGCAGAATCTTGAAGCAAATCGGCTTCGAGGACGTCGATTCGGAGTTCTTGGCCGAGGAGGAGAATGCGCTGATGGAGCAGCAGATGCGTGAGGAAATGGAGCGTGCCGAGAATGAAATGTCCGAGGGTGCGAAGACGTTGTCGATGGATGAGCGGAGTGAAATGAAGGGCGATAGGGATGATGAGTATGTTGATGCGTTGGAGAGGGAGGTCGAGAAGAGGAATCAGCAAAGTTATCTGGGTTGGGCCAAGGCTAAGATTGGTATGGGAGGAAGTGCTGGGGAGAAGGCCAAGGCTGCGTAGGGGGGTTATGGGGTGACGAAGTTATGAAATTTGGGGAGGGATGGATATATACACAAACAGGACTCTGGGATGCTATGAGGATGTCAGACAGTACACATAATGAAGTCATATATTCATGTAATGAAGAGAGCTGCTGAGGGCACAGCGTTCGATCATGTCTTTCTTAGACGAAATAGTACTGCGGTCTATTGTATACGAGCGGAAGGAGCAAGACGTTATTATCTACTCTATCTATATCCTCTCCGGCATGTCGTTAACTAGACTAACATGTTCAAGGTAATATAGTAAAAGATGTTATAACGAGTATAGTRGAATTCGAGGATTCGAGCCTATAGGCGAGAGAAACGCAATCAAGACATTTTTTCTTAAGGAGGAAGGTGAGGTTCTTAAGGCCATGCCCCTTTTAATCGGCACTCGGATTTATCCGGACCAAAATTCGGAGGTCTTCGGCACCTTGTTGGATAACGATTCGATATGAATTATTTCCAGAAGCCTTATTGCTCGATTCAGCGCAGAACGATGTTATGAGATTTGACTTGGTTGATTGCTGGGATGTCTAGTTAGTGAGGGAATGGTCCTACTTGTGTTCCCTATGTATCACATGCTAGGTAGAACCTTCCAATCATAGCTTTGATTGGAGATTCAAGTGAGTGAATTCATACGAGTGAATGTTCCCGAATATTCTCAATTGATGTCGAAGTTTCCCAAGCTGTGTAATACCTCTTATCCTATCTGGTGAGTTTATTCAGTACCACCCTCAACAAAAGCAGTATGCATCAAAAACCCTCCCTCCAGACTTTCCAATTCCAACTCCGTCCCATGTGCAACGAAAAACACGCTCCCCTCTCTAACATTATACACCTTTCCATTCGCCTTCAAAGCAGCATTTCCCTTCGTAGCAACAAAGACAGCAGGTCCTTCAAAACCTTTCAAGATTTCCTTCTCGCCGGCTTCGAGCGATGTTTGTAGCATATCAAACTCACTTAGTGGCGGGGCGTAGAGGATTGATTTTCCTTTTAAACTTCTTGGATAGGTTTTCGGACGAAGCATACTTTCTCCCGCGGAGTGTGGCGTGAAGGTTAGGCAGGAGATGAAGAGTTCTATGTTATTTCTGTCTGCTCGAGGACAGAAGCCGGTGTTGAGGCTGTGAAAAAAAAAATTGGCGTTAGTGAAGAGGAGGTGGAGGGTTTGTAGATAGCGTACACATTGTTACTACGAGCCATACACTCGATGATGTCGCCGGCGAGATATGCGTGGATTCCATCGGCGGGAATGTAGAGTGATTCTCCGGCTTCTAGGACTAGATAGTTCATTGTGATGAGAGCGACTAGAATTCCGGGGTCGGAATCATCGTACTGCTCTGCAAGGCGTGGGCAAAGTTCTTGGATGTGTTTGCCTTCTTCTCCGAATGCAGTCTCGGGTAAGGAAGTCAAAGCCGAGTAGATCTTTTTGACTTCTTGCACGGAGGAGAGGAGCATTTTTTCGTATCACTTCTTTTAACTCTTTGTCGGTGAAGGTGGTGAGTTTGGTTTGATCGATAAATTGCTGTAGTGGTTCCAACTTCAACAATTTTGCAATGGCTACCAATGGCTTAAATCCACAAAAGGCCTCGAACTTGCTCAAAGCGATTGCAATTTCGGGTTTGTGGTTTGGWTCTGTGAATTGATCGGGATCTTCTTGGTGGAGTTTCGTCGCCAAATCCTTGTTTGGGTGGAGTTGGAGAGAGGGAGAGCTTTGCTGATGCTGAGCACTTTTGGGAGGAATGGTAGTTTGGAATGACCGAATTTTTGGAGGGCTTTGTCGCCGATGAGTTGGGAGGGGAAGCGATCGAGTACTTCTTGGAGATCTTCTGATGTGGATGCTATGTATGATGCTGAGTCTGGGTATGTGCCAAACCACCTGGGAGAGGCATGTCAGAAGTTGTAGAACGATCGCTGATGTTGTGAGAACGGAGAGGTGGAAAGGTGGTATGTTTCAACGATACTTACATCTCAGCATATGGGTTCTTCTCATCAATCTTAARCTCTTGACTTGGTCCTTCGCCATCCCATCCTGGCTGTTTCGAACACAGACGTGCTGCAATGGAGTCGGAGCCCTGTTTGCCCCATGGATATTGATTGCAGGAGCACCGTAACTCATACACGGATTCCAAGGGAGTTGCCATTGTTCTGTATGGATTGTTTGAAAGGAGGGAGATTAATCGAAGATTTAATGCTGAAGAAGAGTAGAGCATTGAAGTCATGTTGATGCTACGGAATCGCCATTACGGATTTCTACGTCATGTCGACGACAACTTACTTTACGGTATCATTGAGTGGACCTTGCTGAAAATCAATCTTGAGTATTTGTTTATACTCTTGAGGGTTGGTCTCTCTACTTGAATGTTGAGAATGTATTGACGATCCGGGATACACATCATTCGAATGGGTCTTGATGGTATTCCAATAGCTGGTGAGATTGAAGTTTGCCGCATTTCTGGAGCAGTTGAACATGTGATGTTTTCTGCAACAAGGGCAACAAAATTGATAATCGATAAATCATTGCCTCTCTTCAAGACCGCTTCTTTCTCTGCTCGTGGTTACTTATGCATGAGTGTCGTCGTGAGTTCACTCTAAGGAGAGCCGGCAACTTCCAAATCCATCGGGTCTTGACCTGGCAGATGTGGTAAATCTGTCACACATTCCTCGACATTGCTCTTAACGAAGATCGCCTCAAGATACAGTTTCAAAGCCGGGACACTGTCTACAATCGCGAGAAGCCTGTCCATAAGTAGAGCCTTTATTGAGCAGCCGTGAGAGAGTTGAGGGACAGAAAACGAACGTTCTTCACATCATACTACTCATACCCCTACGAAGAATCATTATCCGAAGGCGCACCATCCGCCTCATCAGGAGAACAATTCCCCGCCTTAGTCGAGCAAACCACATTAACATCCTGACAATTATTGCACCCATTCACCGTAACCCGACAACCATTATCCAGATTACTCGACCCACACACCTTGACCTTGTCATTTTGGTAGAGATTGTCGAAAGCGTCCTTGATCTGCTTTCCTGTCATGCCTTTTTTATACGCATCGTCGCTGCTGCATTTGAAATAGGCCGTGCAGCCTTCTTGGCCTACGAGACCTTTTAGGCCTCGGAAGAAGACGTCTAGAGCGGTGTTGAATGCGTCGTCTGCTGTGTAGGTGTAGCTGGTGTATTCTGTGTAGAGATGGTCGTCCAGATGGCGGTTGTAGGCGACTTGGCACATGTTTTGGCCGTCGTAGTCTTTGGCAGAAGCGTCGCCGAGGGACTTGCAAAGACCGGAACCTTTATTGTTGGAAGACGTCTGCATGGGCGCGGGGGGCGTTGATGGAGGAGGTGGGGGTGGGGGTGGTGGAGTTGGCGAAGACGTAGGAGTGGTGGGTGTGCAGCCGTTTTCAAACGAGCACGTAACGGGGGTTCCAACCACCCCGATACAGACCTTGCAGTTACTACTAGTACTTTCAGTCGTACTCGCAGCGGGTCGGGTTGTGCTCGTCATTCGCGTGGTAGATGGAGCCGCCGTCGTGGTAGGGGTACCTGTATTGGACCCGTCGTCACCGTCGACATATTTGGGACCAATTCCACTGTCTAGATTTGAGAAGCTGCAGTCTGCACCCCACTCGCAGGGATCAATGTCGTCGTTCCCACAGCCCAGAAATGCATACACATTGGAATCCAGATATGAGCCACTCGCTGCTTGTCGTGCAGTGATGAGATGCTTTGGTGGACTGCGCAGCGACGACACGTTGGCAATAGCAGGACTATCAATGTCGTCTTGGAACACAGAGTCTCGCAGGGCCAGAGCAGGTGCACGGCGTGGACGACCAGCGCTGCGCGGGACTGCGTGAGTGGCCATCGCTGGATCTGCGTAGACTGCCATTGCTGGGTCCAAGCGAGCTAACGATGCAGTCTCTGTGTTGGAGACCTGCGCTCGTACTTTGAGCTTAGGTACAGCTTGAGGCCGGGGCTCGCAAACACCAAGATCAGCTGGATCGTCTGCATCCTGCCCCTCTCCGACTGGAACCTGCTTTCCACCGATATAAATGAACTGTTCAAACTTGTTCCCAACAAGGATCTTGCGGCCAGGAGATGGCTTGGTGCAGTATTGAGGCGGCACCACAGAGACGGCATCTCTTATGAATTGACCGTTCTTCTTGTTGAAGATGGACCTCGTATATGTCCGCAAGCGGCCGGGTTGGGTCGTAAAGTATGGATCCCACGATAGAGCTTGACCTGCGGGTCCACCTGCGAGTAAGAATTCAACCCCGTAAGGGTCAGCGCATATGTTTCCCAAAGCATTGTTTCGTAGGCCCCATTCCGTCCCACTGTCGGCCACGTTTCCGTCGAATTCAATGACGAACGTTCGACCATACATCCGGTTCCATTTCTGACCATTCTGTACAATCAAGTTCTCGGTATCTTGAGCATCTTTGCCTTTAATGTTCTTGTTGCCAGCGTCAAAGTCCCACTGGCGGTAGAATTTATTCAGGTCCGACCCATGGTCTCTGTTCTCGGTTTCTGGAACCAGGCGATTGACAGCAAAACCAGTCGGATTGCCGGAACTGAAGGGGTATTCTTCCACATTACAGCCTTTCAAGCCCCAGCCAGGGTATTCCTTGGACGCGTCAGTGCCATCCGGCTCGGGAGATGCGGAGTTTATCTTGTTGGTCCAGAATGCACCAATTTTGGGGCTTCCGCCTCTTTGCTGCCTTGTCATCGTTGCGGGATTAGCTCTGGCGTTTGGATTGTTCATTGGATTGCCCGGCCCAAATCTATTCTCAACTGCACTCCTCGCATTGGCGCAAATGTTGGGAAACATGGCACCGCTGCAAGTGTAGGTCGGTGTGGGAGGGGCCGGAGGAGCGTTTGCCTCGCAGGTGGGATCATTCGGGTCGGGTGCGCGAGAGATGAGTCCGCTCAATTTAGCCCACACACCACGCTTCCGACTGGGGACACTGCAAGAAGGTGAACAGTCCTTGGCACTTGCAATGATGTCTGGCATTTTGTCTGGATTGTTCATGGCATAGGCTTGACACGACGAGACGCGAGATGATGCGCCATCTGCGGAATCATCACAGTCAATCTTGCGAGTGAATGGGTTGTACAATGGGAAGCCACCGTTGGGGCATGAGCCTAAAGCGAAGTTAGTTTCCCGATATAAGAAATCTTCGCGTCGACAGCTCCAATGCAGGGATACTCACCTTGTTCATCACTGAGATCCGGATCACATTCATCTCCTTCGTCTTCGGGATCGTTGTTATTAGGATCGTCTCCTCCCCCTCCACCGGTGGTGCTTCCTGGCGGTGGTCCATCTGGGGGACAAATTGAGCTCGGACAACCAGGGTCGTTGGGGTCCTGAAAGCCTCCAGATACTCCGCAATTGATCAAGCATGGACCAGTGCAAAAGATGCGGCATTTATGGCCACATCCAATTTGGCCAGGTGTACAAGTGTGCTGTGGTGGCCCTCTTGTCCATGAGATCCTCGGAAATACGATGAGCGGTGGTACTGTAGTGCTGGACGTCGTCGTGGGTTTGTTGGAGCCACCTGCGGAATGATAGTCAGCAGACGAACGCACAAGCTTGTGTTTGGAGGAGTTGATATCTTATTAAGGTACTCACTTGTAGTTGTGGTATACGGATCACTGTATGGACTGGGAGGAACGGTGACAGTGCGTGTCTGGGCTGGATGTGTGACACCTGTAATATGGTCATGTCAATACTAGATCTTTTCATGGAAGAAGTCTTGTTGAGATGGAGAATCTCTTGAAAGATAGTATTGCTTACCTGACAATGACTGGGGATTAGGATCATCAGTGATGACGAAAGGCGACGGCAGAATGCTTGAAGTTGCCTGATAGGTGGTTTGCGTCATTATTGTGTCGTTGACAGGCCAGTTCCAAACGTCCAAGGAGCTTTGCGTGTTGGCTGGAATGGTAAGAACTGTCGTCTCTACGGTGCGTGCCATGGTTGCCTGATTGCAGGTGTCAGCTCATAGTACAAAATAATGTGAGTGGTCTCTTCGTTGGCAGGACTGTTTGAATCCCTTGAGTGCACTCACAATTGTCGTCTTACTACCATCGTTTCCAGTTGTGATGGTTGTGGTAGGCCATGCAACCTCGAGTGAAGTCGTATACAGAGGGWAAGATAGTGTGGACTGGCCACTTAGTGGGTAGGGCGGTAGGATGAATGTACAAGGCGGGTAGCAAGCAATCGTAGGATTCGGATCGTTCCWAATGTCTGGTGAGATGTAAACGTCACCCGATGCAGTGCCATTCGCACTGGAATTGCCGCTGCCATTTGAACTGTTGCTGGATCCAGCGGATGACTCCAATTGTCCACTGCCGGGACCTCCGAGATCGACCGCCCAGGCAAATTGTCCCGATAGACAGAGATCGCTGGCGAAATGTTCCTTTTGTGCAAGTGTATTGTTGTCGTCGAAAGATACCCACTGATTGGTATCCCATGTGATCCAGTTCACAGCGGCTTCCTCGTTGTAGGTGAATGTCGGATTTTGCGTGGCTATGATGTCCGCGATTTCGAAATCGGACAGAGTACCGCTGACCTGTGTACATTTCCCTGGGTTGGCACCTGCAAGTGGTTCACTGGTTAGTACTTTGGGGTTACACGCACGACTTGGGACATGAAAACTCGCCTCCAGATCCACCTCCATTCCCTGCAAAGGCACAGCCAGGTGTATTGCATGAGGGATCAGACAGAGTGAAACTGCGCCCATAAAAGCCAATACCAAGTGCGACCTTTGAAGGATCAATGTTGTTTCTCCACAACAAATCCAACCCGGTGCTAATCTCAGTGAGATTTGTATGAGGATTGATGACACGCTGGGTGTATGGACTATCGCCATCCCACTGCGCAAATTTGTTAGCGACTTTCCGAAGCAATCAAGACACAAAAGCGATGTCATTTTAGACATAGCCTGGAGAACAATGACTTACAACGCCGTGAATGTCTTCCAGGGAGTGGATGTTAGCGTGGGCTTCATAGGGTCGCATAGAAAGATATTCTTACCGTACGACATGAAGTTGAACCTGTATTCCAAGCGATCAGTCCATGCAATCTACCGAAACTTCCAAGCCAGTACGTACCAATCGATGTGCTTTTCAATGTTAACGATGTCGAACCCTCTCATGTACCAGTAGCTTGAGGGAATCGTAATGGTGACAGTGTAGGCCGATCCGCAGGCGGACTTGAGCTGCTCAAGTAGTGTGACGAAGTTCTCTTTGTCGCCAGGCGAGCCATCGCGATCCGGAGCGACTGGGTATCTGGATCGTCGTGAGACATGTTTATGGCATATAATGGTTCTACTCTTGCTTACTCCCAGTCGAGATCTATCCCGTCGAAACCGTACTGCTTCATGAAGCTCAGGGCAGAGCTGACGAATGTAGATATCTTGCCTGAGTCGGCAGAAAGATCTGAGAATACTTTACCGCCAGCATCCCAGCCACCGACTGAGATGATCGTTTTGAGGGAAGGGTTCTTGGACTTTAGACCGGTGAATTCTTTCCAGAACTGTGGGTCGTAATCGTTCATGGATGTTAGCTGTGAGACAGAAAGATCAGTAATTTTATCACCGTGGCAAAAGGCGATGTATCATACCTTGCCACCGGAGTCGATCAAGGCAAATGAATAGTAGAGATGTGTATATCTACTTGGGTCAAGATCTCCAGGGCTAAAGGCATCACACGGTCTTTGTGCGCTCCAGCTCTCATAGTAGCCCATATATCGCTGCGTAGCGGATGAGCCACCACAAGATGGCCTGTTCACAGGGTCACAGCCATTTTGACAACCTATGTTACTACATTAGTCTAGGAAAGAATTAACAAAGATCGAAAGCAACTACCATCACCGCAGAAAGCTTCGGTTGTTCCACAGAAGCCAAACTGCGAGCAGCAGACGTTCAAGGGACACAGTTCTTGGTCTTGAGGTGCATATGGCCCACACTCTGCTTGAGCATCGCATGTATCTGTGCAGTTTGCGGAACTACAATAGCTCGGTCCGAATCCACAATATCTGATCGTAGAGATGTCAGCCAAACAATGAGTTGTATGAGTTGCGCAAATTGCTGAACTCGCATAGAGCGACCTGAGCGGGAAAGACTGGTCGGAGAAATCTCACCCATTATGATTGCAGCAGCCCTGAGCGCAAGGGTTCGATACAGAACATGGTGCCATGGGATCCGAGCTGGAATCGGTAATCGTAGCGAGGAACTTCCGTGGTACTCGCACGCTTCCTGTAGAAGCGTCTGACTGATTGGCGGCAGCATCAGATTGATTCGTTGCCCGTGGGAAGAGCTCAAAGGCAAGAGTATGCTGCGACAGCGTTACCGCTGCTGCTAAAAGAGAGTATATCCGCATCTTTAGAAGAAAGGACGAAGTGAAATCGGATCTCCAGCACAAAGACGAGACGTGAGACCATGCGTAGATATCTGTTCCACGAGGAGAGACATCAAATGTGGAGCCCGCATATCAAGCACCATCTTGACTTCACGCAGTTGGTGGCAATGTAGCCACTGAAGGATTTGACTAGGAGATACTCTTCCATGATGGTCGAAGCCACCAGGGCGTTTTGCACTCCGCTCATGGCCCGCGTCGTACTCCGTATGTCGGAGGTCGAATGAATACAGGGTCTCTGCAAGATCATCTAGCTCAACCACAAACCAGGTCGCTGGAAGCCTGCCCTACRCAGGCTTGTCCTCGAGGGATCAATTGCCTTTCTTGGTTCACTGTCCGCCGTGGCCTAGCCCACGCAGGCGGCGACGCAGGGCATGCCAACGGGTCGATCGAGATGGTCTCGATGACGGGGATCATCGTGCTTTGAAGGGCGCTAGTCCTGGAAGCTCGATATGTTGAGGATGATCGACTTTTTAGATCATGGTTTGGGGACTGGCAAAGAGGAGTTGGATGGAAATCTTGGAGGAGAGGAATGCAAGAATTTGATGACTAAGAAGAGCTGGTGAGTGAATCCCATTGGCTGATCATTGATGCAGGGACTCGACGCTTCGCCATGAGGACGGAGACGACCGCGAACTCTTCCCGAAGCGGCTACAACCAACACACGAGGAGATTTTCACCGTTGCCGCCTCGATGATGCAGAGGCGGAGGCGCATGGGAACTGCGTGTCTCCACGTGTTGGCGCCCACTCCATCGGGCCGCGGCACGCTGATGTGGTGGTGGCAGCAAGAAATTGCCGCATYTGACCAGATCGCCATCCGCTAGCAGAGCAGGAGCAGCAGGATCAAGATCAAGACGAAAAACGGCAAAATGTAGGAGTCTGTGGCAATCCTCTCTTTTGATCACCCTCGCACTCGTTGATCTGCTGAAGCAAGGACGTCAACACAATGCTCTCCAAATGGTTGGCGGTATTGCCAGCAACCGCAGCCTTCGTTATCCAGAGTTCACCTGGTACTCATTTTGACACTTCTACGCCTGCAAATTGCACTGTCTGGGCTACCACACAGCCTGGCGATACATGCAACGGAATCGAATGGTACTTCAACATCACACAGACGGAATTTGCATCATGGGTAAGTCAGTCATGACATGCAGTTTAAACTACATTCGATAGGGCTCGGAGGTTGACGTATCGCAGAACCCATCTTTGAAAAACGATTGCTCTGGACTTTCATTGAATAACTACTCTTACTGTGCTCAAATCAAGCAACCACCGAGCTCAGACGACTACACCTACACTTTACCCAACCCGACTTCCACCGCGACAGATTCGGAGGATGCATATTCTCCCGTCCAGACAGGAATCTCTTCCAACTGCGACTCTTATTTCTATGTGGCGAAGAACGAGACCTGCCAGGGAATCGTTGACTATTACGATGGACTTTTCAGCCTGGAAGACTTTTACAGCTGGAACCCGTAAGTTTATTCGTGGGTAGGATCGAATATCTGTTGACGCAACGACTCTAGTGCTGTTCAAAAAGACTGCAGCCAGCTCTTCGCTGGTTATTTTGTTTGCGTTGGATTGACGAGCTCTCCGACGCAACTACCAGCGACAAATACTGCATCTCCCACGGCTACCGGACCATCCCCAGAGCAGACTGGCCTTACTTCAGACTGTGAGTTGTCTCTGAGATATGGAGATTATTGCATTGATAGAGAGCTAATCGATCTTTCCCCAGGCGACGACTTCTACCTGGTGCAGTCCGGCGATACCTGTCAAGCGATCTCCGACAAGAATGGAATCAAACTACAAGATTTCTACACCTGGAACCCCGCCGTGGAGTCCGATTGTTCCCATCTATACCTTGGGTACTACGTGTGCGTCGGGGTGCCTGGTTACGTCTATGCTACAACAACGACGTCCGCGGTCACTTCCAAGCCGACAACCACAGGAAATGCAGCTCCCTCTCCTACTCAAAGCGGCATAGCAGCCAATTGTAATCACTACTATCAAGCTGTCTCCGGAGACTCTTGCTACGCCATCGCTACCCAGAACGGAACATTCTCGGTGGCTCAATTTGAGCAGTGGAACCCGGCTGTGGGTTCTGACTGCTCCATGTTATGGGCGACTTACTACTACTGCACTGGTGTCTCTGGCAGCAGCAAGTGATGGAATTAGAGACAGTGCGAGTTTGTTTCATAACACATCTCACAGTACCATAGACTCTTCTGCCAATGAAATTATCGTGGGTCTCAAATTGGTAGGAATACAGACCGAATCAACAACGTCAGGGTTCAACAGATCCTCCAACGAAGAGAGACCATTTCCGATACCCTCCGAAACTTGAACAAGTAACCACTGCTACTCGATCTCAGATGATGGGTTGTATTTGTCACAAGAAGAATTTTCTAGTGTGTTGCTACACAGAGCTGTCCACTTCCGGACTTTCCAACAAGACTAGCGTTCYCAACAATTTGCCAGCTACTTGATGGACAACTTTGCTAGCTGCGAGATTCCGAGCAGGTACAAAGCTAGTGTGTTTACTTCGATCAGGTATCGGCTCGACTGGGAGAATTCCATCTTAGTGAATGGTTATCATTTCAACCGAGTCCCTGCTGTGTACCACTTGATTCTGTCACTCACTGGTATCAAGACCCTAACCTTTGCGCCTCATGTTGTCATGATGAAGTCTAACATCACCATAGCTCCATCGGAGGCTTGAAATCTGATGCAGGTGCGGTTGTGAGCGAAGGATTCACTAGCATCATTCACTAGGCCCCATTAGTACGCTTTCGGTGTTGGCGCCAAAATTAGCGTCTTCATGGCAGGCTTGACGGCGAGAAACATCGTCCCCACTTTGTTGAATCCCTCGCTTTGTAGGTTGGGTAGGGTGTCTACACATGCTTTTCGAGTTTTTTTGCGAATGGCTCATAGGATTCGCCACCTGAGGTACAGGTCGTGATTTTCTAAGCGGGGGGAAGACAACAGTGCTCTTTGACATTATTTGCTTCACTTTCAACGAAGGCATGCTGCTGTTCACAGGACGCTGGAAGTCGCTCTTGATCTCATTCGTACCCCTGACTTTCTTCCTCGCCCATGAGATTTTTATCCCCGACCACGATATCGACAGTCTGAAGCACATCGCTGATCAGCTCAATGGCTTTGCCGCACGCAATCAGCTTTCAATCGAGCTACTTCCTCCCTTGCTACCAAGACTGAATCGCGTGTTCGAGCGATTGGGATACGATATCGACTCGCTCAAGGTCTCGAGATTCCTTGGAACAGGACTGGAACTTTTTGTCGTGCAATGCTTGCTTAGAATTCTTGCCAACGGTCGATCTGGAGGACTGCTATTATTGGCCGACTTCTTCATCGCTACTTCTACTCTATTCCTTTGGAAGCTCAGTTCGTTTGTTGTTCAGTGGCTTGCGTGCACTCTAGTTCGCATTGTGCTGTTTTGGAGAGATGTTGGCAGGACCGACATTCCACTGGTGAGTCTCATGCGCCAATATTGGTCATCGATTCGCAAAAGAACTGAATGTATGTGAGATATATAGGTGTGGCTATCAACTCGAACCTTTTCTCGTATTGCCTGTACGTATTGTGATGATTACAAACGAGCGCTCTGTGCTGATGCCCCTATTCTACCAGTCTCTACCGCATGTCAACTTGCCTTTGTGTCAATCAGCCTCTCTCTATATCTGCCTGATTCAGAAGTGGCTTATGGAGGTAACTACAATTTGAAATATCTGTCCGCCGACTGGAGACGAGCCATGAGGCCCGGTTTTGACATACCAAATACACTCAATGCATCGGGTCCAGGACTCTGGAGCATGACGCCTTATAGCATTTACATACCTTCGGCTGGATTTCTTTGGACCGACGATTTGGTCTGGTCTCCTGAACTAGATTCATTCGTGGACGAAGCACATGCCAAGGCTCRGAGAAGCGATAGCGATGATCATGACTCAGGAGAAGACATGACACCTTTGGGCCATCGTGTGATCATGAAAAGATCCCATTGGCAGATTCAGTCCATGGCTTCTCCAGAAAGATCTCGGACATAGTGAGAATGGTTTGGAGCAAGACTTGGTGTTGCAAAGTGAGCCTGTGGTGCTCCGCAGCGCTCAATCGAAGCAGTTTCTCGCTGTCTCTCCAGGTCCATCGCCTCTCGAACCTCAAGCTGGTGTCGATGATGAGCCATTGAACAGCGGTCGCTTGGCCGTATTGTAAGCAGAGAATTTACACTCTTCAAGCCTTGGAGCAATACTAACGTGTGTATCAAGCATGTCACCAACGTACAACGCAGAAGATGCCGTTTTCCGCGTCATGCACACTGCGAAAGGCTTCCAGCTCTATCATCCCCAACAAAAATGTTACTTAGCGACTACATTCCGTTCGTTTCCGAACTATGTAGGTATTAATGACACCATGCTACATGAAGTTCATCTGGAACTCGAGGTTGCTTGTGTGCAACAAGCCAATTCCCGAGCCTCAACGCTGTACATTGTGGATGGTGAGAAGAGCGGGACTCTACAAACCGATGCCTGTTATTAACACGTCTGATAGGATACCAAGACCTCATTCTCGATCAGTCGGAATCTCTCTTGCAGCCGCTGGAATATCATTTGAAAAGGGGCGCTGCAGTCATAGAGTCTATGCGGCGGCTTGCAACCTTCCGAAAGCTTCATCACTATCTGCAGGACACACCAGACGAACTACTTCACAAGCCTTGCCGTGAAAGCGAAGTGTCAACACCTCTGCTCACTGTAGTGATCCCAGTGTTGCTCATTATTGCTCTGTGTTTGTTTAGGCAGCGGACAGGAAAGAGCCTCGAATTCTGGTCGTCTCGAAGGGGACAACAACTCTGTCTCCTGTTCGCGCTGTTCATGATGCACACAGTTGATGGTTCTTGTTCTTCGCAGTGTTCGAAATGCTTGACATTATGTGTGTTTGCTGCATTGTGCTAATTTTACTGTATAATACTTATTCCATATCCTGGAAAGATTAAACTTACCATAGAGGATATCTGTCGGACACCTCGACAACTAACTCTCTTCTTGCACCTCCCTCCATCTCCTCAATCACTTTCGTCTCGTGCTGTAACCAATCCGCCAAATTGTCAAAGTGCTCGACTTCTATATCGATACGATCCCAAATCTGCCACTCCGCATCGGAATGGATCTTTGAGCGACCCTTGAGCTGCATGAGTACATAATAGACACTCCGATGCTGCTCGCAACCTCCTAGTTTGAAAGCGGCTATGGGCACTTTGCGACCTGACCCATCATTGTATCCAGAGGCTCGAAGAAATGCACTTTCACCGCGGCTTCGGACTTCGTCGGGCATCTTGTTAGGAACGAAGTTCTCTCCAAATTCGTAGATGAGTTTTGTATAGGCCGTTTCTGCGGGCACACCGGCTCCATTGATACCCCTCGCCATCGAGAGAAGAATATCAAGATCTTGTGGCAATTCCAGCGCCGTGGGATCAATTTGAGAAGCTGAAACCTGTTGTTTCATCCCAGTCTTGATGTTTTCCAACAGCTTCTGTCTCTCAGTGATAGAAAGAGGCGGCAGTATCAAAGGCTTCTGAACATAGTTCATGATGATCTCGTCCAGACTTGGTTTGGTTTGCACTTGCTCATTCACTTCTGCGTCCGTTCCGTTGGGATCTATCACTGGTTGCGGGCGATCGTGGGAGTAGAAAGCCATATCGTAAACACATTTGGTGAAAACGCCTTCGCTCGTCCAGCCTTCGAATCGATCCTCTTCTTCGTGTGAAGGGGGGTCCCATCGCGATCGGATTTGTGCAATGAATCGATCCATTTCGCGGCGATTGACCATTTCAGCAACTTTCTCATAATTTCTGATGACCTCTGGGAGGTTTTGAGTGGATTGCAAGGCCATGGCGATGTAGTGTGTGGTTGCCGGGCTGTCTTTCCTCAGAGGATGGGTGCGTCATAGAATAGGCGAGAGGACTGTTGCCTGACTGGGGTCATGTAAAAACCGAAAGAGAGCGTAGAAGCGATGTTTTGCTGAATCTGAGGTATGTGGGAGAAATTTCAAGCTCTTGATTTATTTCAAGTATTGAGGATGACGCATCGTCGATACCTGATAATGGGATGAAAGAGGGAACAGAAAGCCAAGGACCTCGGGGAATCGCTCGAGTCTGGCAATAACCCTAACCCTAACCCTTCCAGACCACACGCCAGAGTGAACAGCACAGTAGGATAAGCAAAAAAAAAAAAAAAAAAAAAAACCAGTGTTAACAACCTGGATGTAGTTCGAAGATGCAGAGGTCAACGCATGGTATTTGATGTACACAACTGACGCATTGCACCTCACCTTGCCTCCTATGTATGCCAAGTCAGACAGTCTGTCAAGCACCGCTTATGGGATGCCATCGAGATTGTGCTTGAGATGTGGTCGAGGCCTTGCCGCCATCATTATCACCCAGAGCCGTGCCTCGCTCAGCCCGGTACAACAATATCGCTTGTTCGAGCCGTGGGTGTGGTGATCGAAGACTCCTTGGCTGTGTTCAGATTCAGGGAGTCAATGAATTCTTGTGGGATAAGAGTGTTGACTGGCGTCGAGATTGTCGACGACCCTGAAGAGAATGTGTTCGGGTTATGGATACTTCAACAGTCTTGATACTCCGTTGGCATCATCGATGGGTCATTTGTCGGAGATGGGGCTTCGTAATACACGACGGGGGATTGCACATTGTTGGGATATAGCGATTGAGTGAAAAGATCCTACATGGATGTGTTTTACGTGGAAGATTTCCACAAAGTCCCAAGCTGCGCATGATGCTTTCATATAAAGCTTCAATGCTTCTATTGATCCCAGTGGGTATGTACTCTGTCGACTTGGAATCGCACATGCCCTCTTCAAGATATATCCGCATATCAGCCACGAGGAAGGGATCATCAGGATCGTAACCCGGATGGGAGGTCTGGCAGGTGTTCAATCTCAATCCAGGGTCGCTCTTCTCAACCTGCTTCATATGACCATGTAGATTGATCAGCTCTGAGTCTGTATGATTGTACCCTGGGCGCCAAGATTCAGTCCCTGGTCTCGACCCCTGAGCGTGGTCGTTGGCTGTCGTAGTTACAAGGTCCCCTATCTCTGCGAAGTCATGGGGAATTCTGTTCAGTTGTTCCTAGAGGCACTTGGTGAGACTTCCGTTAGCGTCGCAAAGGTCGATTTCGAGATCAAAGCACCTTCTGAAGACCCTCATGCTGAACCACAGCCCACGGAAAGATTAAGGGGCGATTTTGCTCTCCTGAATGCCCTGGATCCATGATAAGTCGATTGAACGTTAAAAAGAACTGTGCCACCACCAGAACTGTGGAGAGAATACTTACGAGGACCAAAGGAAAAGAAATACGACTGCGGAAACAGTACTCCATACCCCTCACCTTCACGGAGTGTATTGTGTGCCAAGTCTGTCGCAGTAAGAGTGATATTCGGCCGCAGTTGATGTAGAGATGGAGAGGAAGCATGTAGATGCAACTTGCTGTTACTGTCATACATGCCGAGTAGACAAGAATGATGACACCCAGCCGATACCTCCGCTCTAATCTTGCAGATCGAGCCAAACGAGGTGTTCACCCCTGAAAAAGAGACACTGTTGTCCCAGTCATTCACAACACTGCGCCCATTTGCAACAGAATCATGAAACATATTATAGTCCACCGTGAAAGAATATTCTATACTAAGCATCGTCTCTTTCCATCTGYTCTTTGAGATAATCGATGTGATCAGTCATCGCCTCCCGCTCCGAAAGCTCCATTACTGTGGAAGCATCTGCCAGGACAACCCTCCAATAATCTGGCACTTGCCAACCGGGTCGCTCTGCACTCTCGCGGTACTGATTGACCAAGGTTCTCCACCCAATATCCCTCGTCTCTCCAGACGCTCTGAGCTGATCACGAAAGTAATTGTTGAAGATCGCTGTGGCTTGATGACGGTCAAGCTCGTTATCCCTGATCAAGGTGAGGAGAACAAATCGCATGTCGAAGGTCCAAGCAATTCCTGTACGAGGAGGACTATCCGCTGGTGGGAGGGACGCTGAAGGTGAACGATCCGCTGGTGGGAGAGACGCTGAAGGTGAGCGATCCGCTGGTGGGAGAGACGCTGAAGGTGAGCGACTCTCTGTTGGAAGGGATCCTGAAGCTGAGCGAGGACGAACTGGTGGCGGTGGMGGTGCACCGCCCGGTGGAATGATTGTCCTAGAATTGGGACGGGCTGGGCGTGTTGCTACTGCCGTATTGATCACCCAGTCTGGTAGGTTGTTGATATCGGGGAAGGGTGGATCTTGTTCATACCACTGGTAGTCAACACCCCACTGATGGATGTAATACCATTCTAGTTCTGGAGGTCCTCCTCTTTGCGGACGGGACATTTCGATTATAAAAGGCTCCACAGAGATGTTGTGTGTGAAGGCTAAATCAGGTGCGTCTTGTGTCTTGTGTCTTGTGTTCTGATTTGATAAGTGTTGCTCGTAGTTACAGAAAAGCCATGCTTATTCCTCGAGGATCGATGCGATATTTCTCTTCGCGGGCCTCACAAAGAGATAGGGGTTGAATCGGCACAAAGGCAGCCAGGAGGCCATGTCTTTTGTGAGCGCCGGATTGGGGAGTCAAGGAGGTCCTTGAGGAGACAAAGACTGTCCCGAGCACTCTCGAACATTGCATCTGGGGTTTGTATATTATTGTTCACCAGTGAGTCGTGGAGACTTATCTCCGGTAAACCGAGCGCTCATGAATCAAAGCTAAAACTTTGGGATATCTCGATAATGTTGAATTGGCTCATTCGACATTAATTGTAAGCGTCACTGGCGGAGAATTTGAGGCAAAGTCGCCTGCAATACCGAGGAATACATAAGAAGTGGAATCCTGTTTGAGGGTCTTTATATCGACCGCTGTCCTCCAGGGAGCTCCGCATTCGTCCTGTCTCTTTCAAAAATCATGAGTGAGCGATGACCACATGCCATCTAGGCATGTCATGATAAAGTAGGGTTGGCTGCAATCGAAAATGGTATAGGAAATTGGGAAGAGCATATCGCATGGAACTCATGCCAACTCAGGGAGCCCACATTGATAGAGAAGAATTCGTGAGGGCTGATTCTAAACGAAATCTTACAAAGGATTGATCTCTCACCCCGGAAACAACAAACTATGTTCTTTACAAGATATATTACAATGTAACAGAGAGGAAGTGGCATCTACGATAGAAGCAAGATCCAACGCTACACTGACTCAAACGATCCTGTTCTAGCAGATGGTGGACAGAAAAATAAAGAAGATGTCGGTTCGCAGGGTACGTTGCTCAGACAGGTGTGTGAGGTTCCTGATGAATTAGGTCTATCGATGTTCTGGTCGCTCTATACGTACGCTAATCAAACGGATCCGCAAGACGCTCTCGTCACAGCATCTGTTCTACACCTTTCCAACAGCAGGGTGGCTGGTCAAACAATGGAGACCACTTCTATTAGCCCAAGTTTCCGCCCCAAACAACTGATTGTATCTCGGTGCGGTGACGCCATCACAAGAATATCGTACAAAATATGGCGATACAGACTGAAAAGTAAACGAAACCACTCCAGAAGGATCGCTAATCGCCAGTTGGAAGGAGGATCCTCCTCCTGCTTGAGCAAACAATATGCGAATCGGATAGTAAGTCGCCTGCTCCAAAGACAAGGTGACCTGGGACGGGATTTGATAAAACGCTGCGGCATCAGCATTCGCGCGAGTCCAGCCGGTGTATGCCTTTTGTCCTATCCAGATAAACAAGACATCGTCTACATTGGAGAGTGAAAACGTCCAATTGCCCGTTGCGTAGGTGTAGAAGTATGCTCGGTGATTGATGGAGTACTGCGTGCAGGGAAAAAGACTAGGATTGCCGTAGATGGTCGAGTTACCATCCCCTTGGCAAACGACCCCTGAGCTCCCAAAAGATGGCGTTGTTGCGTTGTAGTTGATTGGGCGGGCAATTTTAGCGTATTGTGGATCGTATGAAGGCCAAGTTCCGGCTACTCCAGGTGCAGTAGCTGTATTGGTCACTACAGCGTACTCTAGCCCCTGGTTATTGCAGGCGGACGGTGCAGGAACTCTTCCAAGATTTGTAGTTGTGACAGTTGTGACTGCGGTGGTGGTGATTGCTCTTGTAGTGGTGCCTAAAATTGGAAGACAGAAGAGTTAGCAATCTATCAATCAATAGGGGCTGCCTAAGCGCTCTCCGAAACGTTCCAAGTTTGCAGACGTTGAGGAACCTCCCCAACGGTATGGGGTTTCCACTTACCAGTGACAGTTATCGTAGATGCACTGAAGACGATTGAGCTGGTCTGGGTGACTGTAGAAGCAGGCTGAGTGAATGTGACGGTAGAAGCACTCTGAGTTGCCACAATGGTTGTGAAAATTGTGCTCGCGGGAGGAGTTGAAGGAATGGTGGTCGCGGGACGAACTTCTGTACTTGCAGCTGCAGTAGTGATGAATGTGGTTGCTGGGAGGGTTGTTGTAATACTAGAAGCCGGAATAGTCGTTGTTGCTGTGACACTGATTGTCGAGGCGTCTTGCGTCACAAGATAGGTGGCTGTGACCACTCTAGCGCTTTGAGTCGTGATTACCTGTAGTTGAGCGGAAATCGTCAGCGTCGTTCAGAAATCTAGCTGGAGGGATGCAAGTCTTCGAAGAGCCAGTATGCTACAAACTAGTAGAGGCCTTCGCATTGATGGTGTCTTTCAATCGCCACGTGAGATCTCTCAATGTGACTTACCGTGGAAGCCGGCTGGACAACGATAACTGTCGATGCGGGTAGAGTTGTAACGACAGTAGATGCTGGGATTGTTGTCTGATACCTGAAAGGGGCAAAAGGGTCAGCAGTGTCTCAGAAATTCGAGGCGGGCAGAGTAAGATGCCAGATCTCTCAGCAGTCCAGATGTATCGCCATTGGGACTGTCCTTCAATCTATGGGTACGTCACCCTTTGACTTTCAATGTACTTACGTGCTAATCACTGTCGATGCCGGAAGTATGGATATTACGGTGCTAGCCGGAATCGTGCTGACAAAGGTGGCAGTCTCCGTACGCGGTGGAATTGTCGTCGCATAAGTCGAAATAATGACAGTTGAGGCTGTTGTTATAGCTGTCGAGATAATCGTAGTCGGTTGCGTTGAGATCAAGGTTGTTGGTGGTTGTGTCGTTGTAACATCGCGAGTGTATGTTACGTTCACCGTGGACGCAGGCTGGATACTGACGCTCGTGCTGATAACCATAGATGCGCCCTGCGTTGTCGTGATCAAGAGCGTCTGTGTACTCGCGGGAAGGATCGAGGTAGCCACGCTTATCGAGATTGTCGTGACGGCGCTTGCTGCTTGAGTCGAAATAATGGTCTCTGGCCGCGTAGTTGTGACATCGCGAGTAACCGTAGAAGCGGGCTGGATGCTGATGCTTGTGCTGACAATCGTGGAGGCACCCTGGGTGGTTGTGATGAGAAGAGTCTGCGTACTAGCTGGCAACACACTCAGAGACACGAGAGTCGATACAATCGTTGTTGGCGGCTGCGTGCTTGTGATGTCCCGAATGCTAATACTCGTGCTTACAACCGTTGAATCTGGCAAAATACTGATACTCGTACTAACAACAGTGGAGGCTCCTTGAGTAGTTGTGATTAATAGAGTCTGTGTACTGGCAGGAATCACGCTGGTTGACACTTGCGTGCTGGTCACATCCCTCGTAGCCGTTATGTCTCTTGTCGCTGTGACGTCTTTTGTGGTCGTCACATCCCTGGTGGAGGCCTGCTGGATGCTAATACTGGTACTAACCACCGTCGAAGCTGGTATAATACTAATGCTTGTACTGACAACGGTGGAGGCTCCTTGAGTAGTTGTGATCAACAGAGTCTGTGTGCTGGCAAGAATCACGCTAGTGGAGACCTGCGTGCTGGTCACATCCCTCGTAGTCGTTATATCTCTCGTGGCTGTGATGTCTCTCGTAGTCGTTATGTCTCTCGTAGTCGTTATGTCTCTCGTGGCTGTTACGTCCTTCGTAGCTGTTATATCCTTTGTGGCTGTCACATCCCTCGTAGCTGTCACATCCCTGGTGGAAGCCAACTGAATGCTGATACTCGTACTAATCACTGTTGAAGCTGGTTCAACACTGATACTTGTACTAACAACGGTAGAAGCCCCCTGTGTTGTAGTAAAAAGTAAGGTCTGTGTACTTGCAGGAAGAACTTGGGTGGATACAAGTGTCGCTGTAATGAACTGTGTACTCGCTTGCTGGGTCGAAATCAATGTTGCCGTCAAAGACTGAGTACTCGCTGGCTGAGTCGAAATCAATGTTGCCGTCAAAGACTGAGTACTCGCTGGCTGAGTCGATACAATTGTTTCAAACACAGAGCGTGTGCTCGCAGGCTCGGTCGAGATTATCGTGCGAGGCGGCGATGTAAAGGTATATGTGATCTCGTTGGTGACGGTCAGAGCGGAGGCCGTAGTCACTGTCGTAACAGTCGCAGTACTAGCAGTCTGAGTGACTATGAAAGTTGTGCCTGGAGCAGTCGTGGTAAAGGTCGACGCCGGATATGTCGTCTCGTAAGTAGTTGTATAAGTTGATGCTGCTAGTGCACTGAAGACTGTGCTGATCGAAAGCGATGTCGAGACCACAGTCGTCCGTTCGGTGGTGGAAATGATAGTACTTGCAGGCTCGGTGGTCCTCTCGGTGGAAATGACAGTACTTGCAGGCTCGGTGGTTCTCTCGGTGGAAACCACAGTCGTTGGGCGATCTTGAGTCGAGATGATTGTTGTCGGCCTCTCTTCAGTGGTGGGCACAAGGACAGTCGTTTCGTCTCTCGAAATGGAAACAGTACGCTCTGTGGAGACGACGGTCGTTTCAACGGTCGTTGGGCGGTCTTGTGTGGAAAGAATTGTCGTAGGACGCTCCTCCGTAGTAGGCACAAGCACTGTTCTCTCATTTTCTGAAATCGATACAGATCTTTCCGTGACAGTTCTCTCAAGATCCTGGGTTGAGACTATGGTTGTTGGACGGTCTTGAGTTGTCGGTACAAGCACAGTGGTTGGTTGGGCTGAAATGAGTGTTGCTGTGACCGATCGATCTTGTGTCGTGGTCTGGATGATCGTATAGGTCACAGTATAAGCAGAGGTCGAAGCTGRAATCGTAGTGGTACTGTAAAGAGTCAGCGATTTCCTCAATGTAATAAACATGGCCTGGCAGCGAAAGTTTTCAAGCCAGGGGAGTTTTGCAACTCACCTGATGATAGTAGTCGGTGAAGCTGAAATCACCGTGATCGTACTGCCTGGTCCAAAGCTAGTAGAGGCACTTTGCGTGCTCACAATCGTCGTTGTGATCGTCGTTCCCGGAGCAGTCGTTGTCACCACAGAGTAGCTGATAGAAACCGAAGCGAGGGGCGAAGATTCTCTGGTTGAAAATGCATCACTGGATGATGTTAAAGAGATCGACGAATTGTCCACGACAACTTCTTCTTGCAGCCTCAACGCCGAATAAGCCGGACTGGGCCAGTCTGCCTCACCGTCGATATAGTCATAACTTCTACATGTCTCGTCGGATGTGTATGAATATCCAACGCAATCCGAGTTTGATGCACACGCTGTCGAGCAATCTTGATCACCGTCTCGCTTCCTCGCTCTTGGAGCAATGAGAGTTCCACGCCAAACGATCCCACAAGACACAAGGTTGCTCGAGCTGTTCGTGTCGAAGATTCGCCCCTTAAAGTCGGGACAAGGCCCGATCACGGCCTCTGCGACCGAAGTTGGTTCCATTCGTCTCTCAACATATGTCTGCGTGATGCCACCGGTCGTGTATGTCGTCGTAATCCCACCATTCACGGTAGTGGAAGCAAGACCGTTTGTACTGAACACACTGGTAGTGCCTCCAATCACAGTAGCTGAGATGTTGCCCCCGGAAATGATATATCTCGTAATCAGCGGCGCAGTTGCGGTCGAAGCTGGTTGCAATGGCGCCTTAGAGCTGGACGTCTCTGAAGAAGAACTATCAAATCCGGAAGGGGAGGACAGCGCAGGATCTGCGGACGTAGTCTRCGATTCGTCCACAAGTGTAGTTGTTGAAAGTGCAGTTGACGAGGGACTGGAAGGACTCGCATTTGACGCGAGTGCCGTTGAGGGCGAGGGAGTCGTAGATGTCGAACCCAGGGCTGTGAATCCGACCGACGAAGTCTTACTCAGTGAGATGATAGTCTGAGCTAATCCTGGAGAGACTTTTACGCTCGTCAGAGAAGAGGTACGTGAAGTCGACTGCGCAGAGCTCTGCAAGGCACTGGACTGCGGCAGTTCTGAAGATAGCACCCCTGGCGACAGGCTCACCGGAAATGAGCTACGCGGTGTAGACTCTCTGACCGAGAGCTGTAGGCTGGTAGACCGGACTACGCTTGTAGAAGTCGCTACTAGTACTGGGCCAACGCTCGGTGTGCTGACTCCAGTGGGTGATCCTGAGACGATTGAGTTCTGAGAATCGCTKGCTTGTGAGGAACCGGGAGACCAGACAGCTGATGTCGGATTTGAAGCGGCCAAACTTCCTCCATAAAACGAATTCGAAGTCATACTTGAGGATGTGCTAGTGTACGAAGCGCTTGTCGAAGTCCAGCTGTTGCTAGCATTTGGAACCATGGATATTGATACGGGCAGTGTACTGATTTGTGCAAGACTGGAAGAACTGGGTTCTAGAAACACCGGTTCAATGGTGTTAGACGGCACGGCAGTGGTCCTGATGAAAGACTGTGTTTGTAGGGACTCTGCGAGTCGAGTGGTAGACACAGACGGCCCAACTTCCTCAAGGCCTGACCCTGCACTGACGAACATTGCAGTTGTCTCCAGCGACGCAGAATCCTGCGATGATATAGGACTTGCGGGGAAGTCTGATCGAGCCGTGTATGCATCTGCCGGGCTCGTGCTGATGGGACTTTCCGCATCAGCTCCGGGGGTCCTGGTGGAAAGCACGGGAAATGTGTAAGGCGCTGTTGTTCCATTGCTGTAGATCGATCCATGAGAAGGTAGAGACCGCGTGGTTGTTGTCGTCGTTGAACACACAGGATAGACATATTTTGTGACGAGGATACCATATACGGAGCCGAACACGCAAGACAGCAGCAGGGCTGCATACCCCCGTGGTGACATGCTGGTCATGTACACGATCGCCCAGCAAGAGACGTCGCCATGAACTCCATGTTGGATGATGCGGCAGATGGCGAACAAACGAGCATACACTTACCAAGCGCATTCCTGGCCCATTTACTGGGAGGCATTGCAAAGATGAACGCCCAAGCGACTACGAGTGCGCTTGCGGTTCTCATTCCTCGCTGCCGCGTTCTTGGCCACCGGTACATTTCACGCCATTCAAGATCGACTGCGGATCAAGAGCTTCATGGTATGACGATCCGCTGATGGTACTCCGGGTAAGACTCCGGCGGGTGGCCAATCCCCCTTGCGTGGTCGTGGGCGGGAGCGGCAGAGCTCAAGATTCCTCTTCCGGAATGCAAGAATCTATTTGTACTTGCACTCATTATAAGTGTATGTTCATGTACAGATGCCAATCCTGCCTCCGGTAAAGATCAAACTGTCATAACATTCTCCCATGATTCAAAGATTTGACCAGTTCGCGAACAGTCCGCGAGGCTTGGCATCCAACACTTTCGGTCTCACGTGAGTGAATTGTGGTATTCAATTCTCCCAGCGTGCCAACGGAGAAAAAGAGGTACCCTCAGATTTGTATCCGTCGACTCACCAGAAGCGTACAGCTTGCCGCTAAATCATGGCGTTATTAAAGGCACCAACAACGTATACAGAGTATCTGTTCCAGGTCGCTGGATGTAGGTCGCAGGGATGTCCGAAGGACAGTACACTTTGAAAAACAACATCTTGTCCCGTATCAACCACATGCGGTCCAAATTAATAAGAGGAATTGTAAAAGTGAACAGAAAGAGAGCGCGAGATCATGAGAGTAGAAGAGAAATCGCAAAAGAAATTGGAAGGGGAAGTTAAGAAATAGGCCTTAGTTATTGTGCCGCGTTAAGATCTTCAAGATAGGGGTAAAGAAGTGAACTTTCTCTCTACTATTTACACACAACGAACATCGTCGAGAGGCCTATAGAATCAGCTCCTTCAGATCTCCAAAGTTGGGGATACCGAGCCCTGTCGCAGGGTCCCAGCCGGCTCTATGCAGAATCAGCATGCATTCTCATCAGGGAACACGGTCGCACAATCTCGCAAGCCTGGTGTATTTATGGGGATAGCGAAGAAACAGGACGGGAACTTACGTCGCGTTCCACGAAGCGAATGGGATGATGCCCGCACCGTCAATTACGATACCATTCTGAAGATCGGTTCCATTGCATCCAAGCGCAGCGCCCTTGGTAATATCCGTGAGACCAGCTCCATTCAGTCCGTAGAGCAAGGGATTAATGAAACCAAGAGCGGGCTTTCCGGCTCGGAAACGGACATCATTCAACAATGCCTACACGCACACAAAGATCAGCGATGTCTCCAAAGATCGCGGTGCTCTTCTCTCGACTTACAATGACGGCAGCAACAGCTGGAGCTGCAGAAGATGTACCACCATTCGGCGACGCAGTGCCATTGATATAAGTTAGGACATAAGGATACAAACTGTGAGCTGTGACATCCGGGAAGCCACGCCCACCAAAGTCAACATAGCCGTTCGAGGAGTAGTACTCCTTCGTCTCGGGGCTGATGTGTTCTGTCAGGTAGGTGTTCACGGCAGACTTCTGGTAGAAAGCGGTTGGGAAGTAGAAGCTGAAACCACCCGAGCTGGCATTCCAGGCTTCCACCGGGCTCATGAACTGGCTGCCACCGACTGCTGTCACGTATGGGCATGTACCTGAAGGTGTATCAGCGGGCTGTTCTGTTTCATATCCATCCTCTCAGGTTCTTTAAATGAAGCTCCGCAGCYTAGGAAATCTAGACTTGCTAAGTCCGTGACGAACCGAGAGCGGAAGTCTCTTCTCGGCCAATTCTGCATGCCGCAATGGAAGAAAAGGTGCTGTCTTGCATACCTGGAAATTGGGGAGTGAACTGCGGCTGCTGGTCATCAGCGTTTGCACGACAGACAGCACCAACACCCTCGTCYCCAGAGGATTCGAGGATCGTACGTCCTCGTAGACCCATCATGCCAATCATGTTGCAGACACGTTTGGCGTAATTCTCCGGGACGGTGTTCTCGTGATCGCCATACGAGTTGGAGATGACATGCGGGAGATCCGCGTTCTTCTGGGAGAGCAGATATTGATAGTATTGTAGGTAGGGCTCGTTTGTTTGAACCGAGGCATTCGGGTAGAGAAGATCAGGCGTGAATTCGTCTGGGAGTCCGCCGGTGATGTATCTGGAAGCACGGTCAGAGTTTCGCATCGTGGCGCGGTATGGAGGACAGAGTGGATTTTGAGCGTTAGCACTGGCCGGGCAGAGCATTCTTCCAATCGACAATTTCGAGACATTGCCGACTGACCACCGGTTTTCCACTCTGCATCTTTACGTACTCAGAAACTGGCAGACCATCGGCGAGGCCGATGATGTTTTGCACATCCAGGTTGGCCTCTCCATCTTGTTCGGTCAAAGGGTTCTGGTCATTAACGTTGTAAGACACTCCATTCTGGATGACCGTCTTGGTAACATTCTGGCTGGGAATACTGAAAGCCTTCTCGAACAAGGCCAGGTCGGAGAAGCTAGCGGACTCGTTCAAGAAAGAGCTAAACGCGACCGTGCTGCCGGCAGCAACGTCRACCTTGTAGTCGCCAATGTTGAACTGCTGCTTGTAGCACTCGGGTGTGAAGAGTCCGTATCTACCACCTTCATATTCGACGGTCTCCAAGCAAGAGTTCGAAAAAGTCTGTCTCTTCTCTATCCTCTTGTTGGTATTGACAGTATGAGGTAGCACTCTCTGGAACTTGGTGCTTGCGAAGAAAGTGGTCGGGGTGACAAAGTCGATTGAGTCGGTCAGAGCATTCGGGATGGAATACTCCGTTGTACCAAGCTTTGTGGTTGCGCCGTTGGTGAAGTAGGCGAACGTAGTGTTCAGTATCGTGTTGGCCTTGTCGACAGTGGTGGTGAATGTCATCAAGGTTCCGTCATTTGACTGGATCTTGATGCCGTGCGACTCCAACCATGATTTGATTTGGCTTTGGGCGTAAGCCGATGGTGCAAATATGCTATTTCAGCTCGTCAAGGTCCAAGTACTGGCCGTACTGAGGGCTTCCAGGGGTAGAAACAGCTTCAAGCAACGGCTCCAGCTTGTCCAGGTTCCGATACTTTCTGCTACTTATCAGTCATCCAATCTCAATCGACAACAGCGAGCCTCGCATCGGGACACATAAGAAAGGATGGACCGCCCGTTGAAAGGTGCGGACTTACACTGCAATTTGCAAGGTCAATCTGTCCGACGCCGATATGCTGTGCGTTGACTGTGTCCAACCGAAAGGCAACGCGGCCAAAGACTCGTGGATTGCTCCATGGACCAGTGGCGTAGCCAATGCCAGCAACAACGAGCTATAAGGGAACATCTGTGAGATCTGCAGCTTGGCAGGTGGGAAATGGCGAAGGAATGAACAGGCAGAGAGCGAACCAGAGCAAGATCAAGCATTCAAATAAGCCTCATGCGTACATCTCGACGACGCTTGAGTGACACAAGCCCGGATCTACCAGCTCCTGGCGTCGAAGCTAAGCATTGAAATGCACTTGAAATTTCGCTTATATAGAGACGAGCCTGGGGTTGTGGGATGGCGACGCGTACTGTCATGGCTACCTGCACGACCTTAGGAGATTGACTTGCTGATGTTGGATGTACGCCGAAGAGCAATTCCTCTGATAAGCCCCTGGGTAGCCAACACGAGACTGGCTTTGAACACGGATGGATCTCGGGAGGACATCGTGTCGCGGTGATTGTGGCATTCGGTTACCCTCATTGAAATGGAGAGTTTATCCGGTGCTCGAAGATGTGGCATTCGCATAGGTAGTAAGGTACTCCTCGMAGTTCAACTAGATGAACCCTCTCCTTTGCTTATACTTGGAAGCAAATCTAGTCCCACTCGATCCCCTCATCCGGGCTGTTCGCATTGATAAAGACCGAAGTGGTCGTCCGAGGGCCTGTTCGGTTGTTCCATCATCGGATTGATGAGCTACGGCCAGTGCTAGAAGAGGCATCGCGTGGGCATCTCCAGGAGGGTTTCCGCACATCCGAAATGGATTTGAGCAGATCCTTGCTCATGCCTAGGTAGTGCTGAGAGCAAAGCCCGCTTTCGTTCGGACGAAGGACGTGTGCGTATCGACACCGAAGTGAGGTGGGGGACATGAATAGTCGGAAGGTCTCAATCAAATCCCCAAGCAGCCTGCTATCAATATTTGAAGGGTACCCCATCGCCATCTCCGTCACCCGTCTACCTTATCCCGCCAGTCCATACATCGATGCATCTTCCGACAGATCGAYCGCGACCATGGCTACCGACTCGCAATCCATCGAGGTCGTCGTCCGCTTTTCCGCCTCCCTTCCGGATGTCATCCTCCCCATCGTGTCGCCGAGCTTGACCTCGACGGCGACGCTCAAACTGTCCCTGCGACAACACCTGCCGCCTCCCGCCAACCATGCGCGTCTACGATTGATCCATGCGGGCAAAGTTCTCCCCGACACCGTTGCCTTGTCCACCAGTCTTGCCATCACCCCACCTCCGCAGAGTGCCAAAGCGAAGGGAAAGCAGCCGATCCGCGATACTCGACGCATTTACATCCATTGCTCCATAGGTGATGCCCTCCCCGCCTCCGACATCGATGCCGAAGCGGCAGCTGCCCAGGCCGCCGACGCTGCAATCAGTCAGCATACCATGGAGCATGCAAAAACGGCAACAGCACAGCAGGCACCGTCCAATACCACGACGCCTGCGCCCCAGGGCTTCGATCGTCTGCYGTCAGCAGGCTTTACCCAACCCGAGGTCACAGCTCTTCGCAGTCAGTTCCTTGCGATTCAATCGCACTCACATACTCCCGAGTCCATGCCGACTGGGGCTGAACTGCTGGCGCTGGAAGAACGCTGGCTGGATGGATCAAGCAATCCCTCTGCGGATACTCCGGCTTCGGATGAGACGGGTGCATTGGAAGATATCTTGTATGGCAACCTCGCGGGCTTCTTCTGGCCCGTGGGCGCTGCCTGGCTGCTGCGGGAGGAAGGTGTCTGGTCTCGAAGGAGACAGCTCGCGGTGCTCACGGGTTTCATGGTCAATCTGCTGTTCGGATTCTTGAGGGTCATACAGTGAGGGAAGTAGGGAAGGAGGAGGCTCGCTTAGATTGCTTGCCGTTAAACTCTGCCTCACTGGGGAGGGGTGGAAACAGCGCAAAAGATGGGCGTTGAATCGCAAGCTAGGYTCATTTGACATCTACACGCGCAAATGTGGACAGCGGACCACACCATACGGATTGGACCTTCCATGACGACACCACCTCGTGCCAGTCTGCACGACTGGCATCATCTCCGAGGCCTAGCTGGCCATTGTCATTCCCGCCAACGACGAAGAAACGATTGCCTTCAACTATTGCTGCGATGTGATCATCGCCGACTGCAACATCAAGAACGTCAAAGGGGTCCCCGGAAGTTCCGCCTGGAATCTCCACCAGCGCAACATCTCCTCCATGCTCAGCCTTGAGAGCATTGATCTTTGCCTCGCCGCCTGGACTAGTGGTTCCCCATACATACAACGCGCCATCCTCGGACAGTGCTGCACAGATCCAACCACCTGCTGCGATCTTTCCAATCTTGAGACCGCCCAATGCCTCCACARCCCCTGGTTTGTCCGCAGGCAAGGCAACCTCTCCCGATATGGATCTACCGAGCGACCCGTACCTTGCATCTCCCCAGGTGTATACCTCACCTCCTTCCATCAGCAATATGAAGGTGCCCGTATTGGCAAGCAGTTGCTTTGGTCTTCCTGGAAGCATATGATGTCCATCCGGGTAGTTTCCCTCCCCGCTGGGATTCCTCAGCCAGGAAAAGAATCGCTCATACGAGCTAAACTCCATGACATGGCATAGTTGAGCAGTTGGGGTTTGCTTGAAGGTAAGCGCAACTCGTCCGTTTTTGGCGAGTGCAATGTTACCCAGGGGAGGGGAGTCCTCATCTYTAGCCTCTTCATCGTGGATTGTATGCGTGATTCCTGAGGCGTCGACAGTAAGTAACACGCCATTGATATCGCCAATGGAAGATGTCCACGTGGTATTCTTTCGTTTGGTGAATTCCTCCTTGGCCTCGGATTGTTTGTTCCCGAGGCAGAGAAGACCTCCCTCAGCAACGATGAGAGTCTGACTCCAGCCTGCGAACAAGATTCGGAGGTCCTTTGCCGGAGTCTCGCAAATAGGTATGAAGCTCAAGATATCGGATGAGGTGTCGCTGGAAAGCTGACCGTGGGCATTGAAGCCCGTGGCGATGAGTCGGGCTGAGGGCTTGCAGTCGTCATTGTCTGGACAAGATGCTACTGACTTGGCGCCGTTGCGTAGCAGATTATTATCCATGTTGCACCGAAGCAAGTGTTTTGATGTATCCAGCAAGGGGCTAGCTGGTTTTGTGGTATCTGCCCGGAGAACACGACGATCTCGGATATCGGCCCGAGTTGACCCGAAACCCTCTCGTGGTTACATCTGCCGCACCAAGCGCAATCAAAGACGCAGTTCTTCGCAACTACGACAGCATTGCCAAGGAGGTTCCATTCGGTGGGAATTGGATCTCATGTCAGACTGTCGATTGAGTGAGCATAGCTCTCCGTGCGCCGGCGTGGCCATCGATTCCTCATGTGGAAGGCCGGCAAGCATCCATTTTCCTGTGCGTTGCTGCGCTTCTTCGACAAAACAGCGCCAAACCATGATGAGGAACCTTTTTCATTTTCTTCGCTCGAGTTTGCTCTGCAGTCGGTAGATCAAGTCCAGATGCATTCGGTATTTGCAGTGTGCTTGTTGATTTGCTTACCGGATGTAAAGAGATCAATACCAGCCAACAGGCTCTAAAAGGCAATATCAACTCTACCAATACTTGCCAGCTTCCTGAATAGGCGGTTGGTTGTGAAAAGTGACTCGCCTTCCCCTAATGCCGGTTCACTCCTTCGGAGCCATTACTGCATGTGTGGAGCCTTCACTACAAAGTACGAATGAGCCAACCGCCGAACGGCATTGAGATGTATTGATAATAATAAGACAGCTCATCACTCACTTGGCTTTTGTGTCGTGCAGGGGGTAACAGTGGCCAGTAGTGGCGGCGCTCTGCGGCGAGCTCCAATGGATCTCGTCGTTGGGTACCAGGACGTCCAGTCCGCATTATCGTATCCGCGTCATCTAGGCGGCAGTCTCACGAGGCCAAGTGACACTACCCCGGAAGAGGAATCTCACCTCCGTCCCTGCTCGCAACAGCAAGCGACAGGTAATCTTACCAGACGACAAGATCTATACCTTCCTGGGACTCGGGGACGCTGCAAAGCGGTACGAAGTCTTGCCGGATTACCATAGATCAGAGGAAGAGCTTCTGCCGCGCCTCACACTCCCGGCAACACCAAAGCCACCACGACGCAATCGCGAAAGACATCTTGGGCATCAGACAATATCGCTCCGCCAAGTATCAACTAAATCTCCTGGCTCGAACCTATTACCTCCTTCTAGGCACTCCTCGGAGTGACCGCCACAAGCGTTGAAAGTTCTCAGCAGGAAGAGAAGCGAGACCGATGTTTTATTTCACCAACAGCATCAATACGGTGCCTGCACTGTCCAGCTGTGGGAGAATAAATGCTACAAATGCAAGTTAGCAACTTAGTGGATGAAGCAGGCATGGGAGCGATCCCAACGTAAAAGATGTGAATTGGTGGGAACTTCTGGAAAATGCCAGAGGAGAGAGCAGAGCATGATGTCTGGAGGAGTTGGTCGGGCTTTGAATTTGAATGTAAAGTATTACAAGGAGTGATTCGCTTCTAAACGCTCTTGACCGGCGAGCTTGCAGGAAAAAGCCGTTCAATTATTGCCTGGCTCCAGAGGGATTTGGATCGGCTGGAATTAAAATTGACCGTCCGGACGGAACAACTTTCGGTGGGATGCATGATGAAGGCGTGCTCTGGAGACGTCCAACACCATGACACCGAGAAGCGCCAAGAGAGCCAGGAAACGGAGATTGCTTTAAATCTGATAGTCCGCACTCGGTCGGTGATAAGAACTGCTCATGTCAAATGATCATCTTCAAATATTTCGCTGTARGCAACTCCGACATGCAGGCTCCGATTGCCTGCTCAAAGTCGTGTTCAATTACTTGGTACAAAGTAAGTTATGAGACGAAAAGTTCGTCAACCCCACCAAAACCTCAACAGCGCCATATCACCTGAATTTGTTCACAATAACAGCGAGAATTAGGATGACCAGTACGGTGATGATGGCCACAGTGATGATTTTGTTCGTGGCCATTCTGGTTGTCGCAGGTCAGTGTCGTGTCTTTCGTTTCAGTCGATTGGTCGCGCTGTGCCACCTACCGCCTCGCCATTCCCTTCAGAGTCTTGTTACTCCTGTCGGTGTACCCCTCACTCTCCAACAATGTATTCCGCGTATGCTGGATCGTCTCCCTCTGCCGCGCAAGATCGCCAAGCGTTCCGCGTCCGATGTCCTCCGTCTCCATTGCAATCCTCTGGCTTTCCCGGATCCGATCGCTCGTTCGGCCCAGCCTGTCTGTTCCACTGAGAAGCTGCTGTCTCTGCTCCAGCTGGTCGTCCTGTGTCGGGTTGTCCGTATACCGCTTGCCAAACAACGCCTGCCTGTCATCTTGAAAGCTCTTCAGTTTCCGCTTTGCCGCGTCCACCGACGTCTCATGATTGCGAAGTCGCTGATTGACCTYGTTGCGCGATGTTTGTGGGATGTTCTGCTTCTCGAGGTTCATCGAATCGAGCAGCTCTTTTGCCTCTTCTAGTGCGCGCTCGGCTTGTGTGACTGCTGCTTTGCGCTGCTCACCAGAAAGTTCGGGGATCTGATCGAGTTTCTGGGAGATGTCTGCCTGCACCAGCTTGAGTTCCGCCTCGTAGTTGCTGAAGAGCTCAGAGCCCGCATCGGTGTCGAGAACGTTGGCCATGATGTTGTTGCTGTGATGTTTTGCTGAGATTCGTAGCGTTTCCTATGCTGGTTGGATGCTGTGCTCGGAATGTGGATGCTCTAAAGGTGATGTTGACGTGAAGGAGGTTGCTCGCTCGTTGCTGCCTCCATGGGCGATCCCGAGGATCGACGCACGTGGTTCCGAATTCCGGATTTAGCGTGGAATGGTTCGCACCTGCTGTTGTGACACTCGATGTTTGTTCACAATCAGTTTCACATTTCACGAGCATGAATATATGCACGTTGGATACGATATGACACATCCCTGCGCTCATACTGCCGCCAACTTCCAATACTGGCAAGTCTCAAGTGTACCAGCATAGCATATCATCCAATACTCCGAAGCTTTGCCCTATCCAGCCAACGGCGTCATCATTCCAGGATTCCTTTCGCTTGTGAGGCAAACACCTCTCAACCTTCATCCAAGCTTACCTTATCCTGATACCGGCTATCTGCTGTGCCATGGCTTCATCTCTTGCATCCTCCACCAACAGCGACAACGTCAAGCACAACACAAACTGAATGAACTTGTTCCGCCGCAAACAGCCTGTTGCGAATAGTTCGAGGAAAGTCATGCAGGGCAGGAAGAAGATCGCCATTGTCGGCACGGGGTGTGCTGGACTCGGCGCTGCGTGGGCGCTGAAGGACAGCGATTACGATGTGCACATTTTTGAGAAAGGTGAGACCCTTGGAGGCCATACCAGCACCAAGATCTGGCATCATGGGGACCAGGAAGTGCCCGTCGATACTGGATTCATCGTCATGAACGCCGCGACTTACCCAAACTTCCTTCGCTTCTTGAAGGAGGTAGGCGTCGATACTGTCGAGACTGAGATGACTTTTGGGGTTTCGCGAGATCATGGAGCGTTTGAATGGTCGGGCGAAGCGAGAGGTATCTTCGCGCAGAGGAGGAACCTATTCAGCTTGCGGCATTGGCGGATGATCTTCGACATTGTACGCTTCAACCAATTTGCGCTGGATGTCCTGGCCGATGAGACCGAAGGCGGAATCCAGCGACTTGGCAACCCTGCCAAAGAGCGGAAACGAATCGCCACGATGAGCATTGGGGACTATCTGGACGAGCAGGGTTACTCTCAAGGCTTCCGAGACGACTACCTCATTCCCATGACCGCTGCTGTTTGGAGTACTTCTCCCGACAAAGCAAGTCTGGAGTTTCCTGTACAGACTCTCATCCGATTCTTCTACAACCACCATCTACTCAGCACATTAGCGGAACGGCCTCCATGGCTGACGATCCCGGGGGGAGCGCAGCGATACATCGATGCTATTGTGGAACAATACCCAAAGGATCGCCTGCATGTACACACATCATGTGAAGTGGCCAATGTTCTGCGTCCATCCAAGACCGGCGAAGGTCCAGTGACCGTGTCCTGGATCAATGCCAATTCCGGCCGCATTGAAGGCGACACATATGACCACGTCATCCTAGCCTGTCACGGCGACGAAATTCTCCCTCTCATCTCCCAACATGGCGCCCACCAAACACCAGAACTCGCCTCTTCGGCATCTTCTATCAAAAGCAGCAAGTCCTCGAAATCGTCCTTTGTCAAAGCCTCTACCGAAGCCAAGTCGGTATCCCAAGAGGAATTGGAAATCTTCTCCGCCTTTCAGACGACGGAGAACATCTGCTACCTCCACTCCGATCTTGCACAGATGCCCAAACGTCGCGACGTCTGGACAAGCTGGAACTACCTGGTCAGCTCTACACCCTCGAAACTATCCCACCCCGCGGGAGTGAGTTTGACGTACTGCATGAATATCCTCCAACACATCTCCGAGAAGACCTTTGGACCAGTTCTCKTCACGATGAATCCTGATCGCGAACCAGATCCATCTCTCACTCAAGGTAAATACATCCGGCGTCATCCTCTCTACACTGTCGAAGCAGTTGAGGCGCAGAAGCGTCTAGAGAAGATTCAGAACACCCGAGGCGTGAGTTATTGTGGTGCATGGACCAAGTACGGGTTTCACGAAGATGGATTCAGCAGTGGAGTTCGGGTCGCATTGGAGCATGTTGGTGGGAARATCCCCTTCGACTTTGTTGACTCAACGTATAGCAGAGGACATCAGCCGGACTTGTGCTGGCAAGACTATCTGTTGCGGTTGGTGCTCCTGACAGTGTTGCTGGGGATCCGGATGTTGGAGCTTGCATTGCGGCTGCCTGTGGTGAGGGTTTTTGCGGGGTTTGTCGTAATATTTGTGACATTTTGGCTTAATTTGGCAGAGAGGATTGGACTGATTTGATGCAAATCCGTTGGTAGTAATAAAGTGCGGGAAATAATACCATAGATGGAAATACAAAGATATAGACGATCTTCGTGAAGCTTGGCTCTGAGATTGGCCGAAGTTACGACTTCACCTTCACCTCGACTTCTACCTAAACATCTCAGATCTTTGCTCTTGCACAACCCACGACAATCATGCTGCCACCCGTTGACCCTGAAGTTGCATCCGCAAACCCCAAGTTCGATGCTCTCTACCGCGACCTTTGCTCCAATAAATTGAATGGAGATGGAACCACCAAAGTCGACGCGAATACGCAGCAGGAGCGAGATGCCTTTGCAGAAGTATGCCAGCTCTATTTGGAAAACTCTGCAGCATCCACTGATACCGACGACGTAACAGGAGCTTCATTCCGCGCGGATCGCCGCCGCGAAATCGAATTTGATCAAGACGCATCTCCGAGGATTGGTATTTCGGGATGATGAGCTTTTGCCTGCAGATGTAGGTGGTATATGGACCACACCAAACTCGAAGCAAAGCTGATGAGTGGGTAGCTGCGAGAGTTGGTGGCAATCATCACAGCGTCCCTGGGCGCTCAGCTCTCTGCTGAAGACACAAATCTCCTTCGGCCGGATATCGAGCTGTTCAAGGTATGTGGTGACATCCGATCCCGCAATCTCGTAGCAATGAGAAATTACTGACAAGATGTGCTCAAGGAAAACATCCACACCATCACAAAAGCATTACGCAGATCTCTATCTCAAGACTTGACTAGCCTTTTACAAATCATCGCTCCGGAATCATCATCAACATCACATTCCCTCGATCAGGATCTTCTTCCTCTCATTCGCAAAACACAATCTTCAATCTCAAAGTCAAAATCAAATCTTGCCAGTACCCGAGTGGAAGTAGCGCAGGAAGCAGCTCATCTCCTCACTCTGTACCGCTCGGCAATGGAATTGAGTATCCGGATTCTGGAACAGACTATTCACGGAAAGGTCTCTCGCGCTACAAAAGGAAAAGCGGAATACCWATCCACTGTTGCTGAAGGAATGTCTCGAAAGTTACAATTGCAGCGGAATCAACTGATGTCGCAGACCAATTCGCCGGAATGGGAGGAGGGTTTGCGAAGGAAGGCGGAGGAAGCTGAGCAGGAGTTGGTCATGTTGAAGAGGAAAGTGAGGGCTATCAAGGAGAAACTGGAGGAGTTGAGAGGCGAGGGAGGTGTGGAAGGGATGGCGAGGGAGTATGCGAGGATCTTGGGCGAGTCGGAGAAAGTCCGAGGGGACATTGAACGACTGGAGGAGAGGAATTGAAGTGGCATGGGTCGAGGACCGTTTGGGTGGATGGTTCTGAGAGGAAGAAATAGATTCCAACCTGCGAAGGATTCGATGAGAAATGTGCGATGCTAGTAAAGGACTGAAGGGAAATGATGCCTTAGGGCGAGGGGTGTTCGATCTGAGTGTGCTCAAAGAGCGCAAAGCATCTCCGTGTGTTTGCTCAAAGCCATGATACGCTGTTGCTGCTGAATGAATTGGTATGGCTGCCGCCATAGCCGATTTACCAATGATTGGAGCCCTGCACTTCCATATATTACTCCAAGTCTCTCATCCCCTGCTCTGCCATTGCTCAGCAGTCCGCAGCCAGATCGTGCACGATATGATGCTTCCTCCAAGTCCATTCGCCCTCCTCCCTTCACTCGCCGATCATCTCCCCGATCAAAAGTCCGTGACCCTCCCATTATAACTCCAATCCCCACCAACACCCCACCTCAACGGCTCATTCTTCGGTCCACCAACCTCTCCCGTCTTAGGATTCGTATCACCCTGAAACTCCGGCTTCGCACCCCTCCTCACATTGGGATGCAATTCCTCTCCATCTCCCTGTGCCGCCACCCTGGCTTTCTCTCGTAATTGCTCGAGCATTTCATCCGAGGACATGTTCTTGGTAGCAGCGACCGCTTCGGCTGTTTCCGAAGAAGAGGTGTCGGATTTAGGGGTGGAGARGGCTCCGGTGGATTGTTGTTGCAATTTCTCAAAGATTTCTTGTTCTTCTTTGGGAAGACGAGGTGGTGCTGGGCCGGGAGTCCATGAGGAGGAGCGAGGGGAGGGGGTTGTGGAGAAAGCGCGAAGGTGGATTGATCGAGCGCTGATGAGGCGCATTGTTCGTGTCGTTGCTGGTAGCATTGTGGTGTTGAGGTCTGGTGGTCAAGAGCTGTGGCGGCTGATGTTCTGTCTACCAGTCGACTTGTTGGTTTCTATGATGATGATGCTTTGGACTTGCGAGGCGAAACATGCTCGGCTCAGCCTCCGATATCGGCTCTTGCTTCGATTATCTAAGCAGAGCTATTCATTCACTTGTGCTCGCTTTTTCTGGCGAACAAACTTCAACTCCCATCCGTGGTGAGGCAGTTACCTTTCAGAGCGATACAGTCAAGGAAGTTGTACCGGGCCAACGCCCTCGAAGTCATCGAACAGCGCTTTGATTCTTCGAGGTTCTCCCCTACTTTTTGCAAAAGAATCTACGAGACTATCGCAAAGCTTCGCGTGAAGGAAGGGTGGTTCCTCGATAGTTGTGAACAAGACATCTGCCGTGAATAAATCCAGCCACGCCTGCAGTCATGTTTGACTGCCTTGGGGCTGCATCAAGGCCGTAGGAAGAGAGTCATCGATCTTCTCTGTAAACCGAGCGCCTTTTGCTACTCTCTGTAGAAATGACAAAGACTTCGAGCGGAGGCTTTGTGGATCAAAGCGCATGTCGTGAAAGACGCTGTCTGCCGCCCGCAGAAAGGAAGTTGAAGCGATCGTCCGCGAGTGCACTACTCCGGAAGGTTACGATCTCTCTGTCATCACTTGCGCTCCGTGACATTCAAAGACCCGCGGCACTTCCACGGCACTAGCGACGCTTGGCCGAGAAGTGAYGATCAGTAAGATATCAGAGCGAGAGAGGGAATGTTGATGAGACAGACTGGAATGGCAGGTGAAATCCAGCTGAAGAAAATGTCTTTGATTCATTCCGTTCAGATTTGCGAGAAAATTCAATCATGAGACATCTATCTATGCATGCGTTCCGGTCGTTTGTCAAGCCTCAACCTCCATCAATCGAGGAACCTCCTCTTCTACCTCCTGTCCCCGTCCAGTCCACGGTCTACTGGCTCTTGGCCACACCCTCTTATACAGACTGACACCAATACTATCCAGCGGGTTGACCCTTCCATCAAACGTAGCTTTGAAGTACCCGTGCGTTCCAAGCGGCTCCTTGATATATCCAGATCGGCCTCTTTTCGTCCAAAGTTGCAGCGCGGAGAAGTATCGTACATCCGAATCGTTGAAGAACATGTAGCGCACCGTGACCAATTTCTTGTGGATCTTATAGGGGTGGCCTGTGAGGATAATTCTCTTGCTGATGATGCGGTTGGTGCTTGGCGGTAGTGTCGTACCCGTGGCGATCAATTCCAGCGGACTGCTCTTCTCGGCTTGCTTTTGCAGGGAGAGACTTTGCGCAAGATCCTCAATCGCATCGCCAGTCGGAGCAGCAGAATTGGTCGGCTTGAAGAACAAACAGGGAACACTTCCCCAACATACAGGACCCATGAATGTCGCGACAGCAGTTCGACCGGGATGGAGATAACGATCGAACTTGTGCACGTTGTTGGGTGTGTTGCCCGCAGCTGAGAAGAGCGGCTTGATGACCAACCTCCGTGGACCGAACTGCAGTATCAATTCTTCCTTGCTCCTCAGCGGGACCGGGTAATCTGACGACAATGTGATGGAGATGTTGATAGCTGATTGTTTGTGTTCATGTCTCAGCAATGCAAAGACTGCGGTGGGCTTCTCCAGCGCTTGAACTTCTTGAGCTTTGCCTTGAGGAATGCGAAGGTAGATGTGCACACGAGTGCCAGGAGTAACACCGCCGAGTCGAGCTTCTTTCAAGACCTTTGCTTTGGCGGCGCGGTAGTCTTGAATCTCAAGCAGGCGTGTCCAATCTTCGGGCTCATGCGGTCTATCTTCTTCCGTGTCCCAATGGCTGGTTCGCAAGGATTTGAGACCTCTGTATTTGGCAAGACGCTCTCTCGCGTCAACGTGCGGAGACAATTCAATTTCATCTGGGAACTCCAGATCTTCCTCCGCCTCCGTACGTCGCTGCTTGCGATACTCTTCCAATCGATCGGCTTCATCTTCGATCGCGGGGTCGAGGAACATTTCGCTTTGAGGATATTCAGAKGGGCCGCCGTATTCAGTGGGCTCGGGGCCGGCGAAATGGCCATCCTCGGGACCTGCTGCAACTGATGCGCCACCATCCATATCTTCATCTTCTTCGTCGTCGTCTACATCCTCGAGATCAGATCCAGAGTCGGAGACATCGTCGAGGTACCACGCAGCTTGGTACTTGCTGGTGCCTCGCGGAAGACGCTTCGGTTTGACGTATTGGTCGTCTCGGTCGTCGGGGAAGTAATGATGATCGTCCAGAAGGACGGCCTTGCGCTCTCCTCCCGCAACGGTTGTCGTTGGGACATCATCCATAACGGCCTCCTCGGGCGCCAATTCGGCGAGATCATCCTGCTCATCGGTGGGTGCATCCAAAACCTGCTCGCCCTCGGGAACGTCGACGGCCATCTCGTCCGTCTTTGCTCGTGCCGGTCTCGTCTCGAGTGATGCTGCTGTGATCTTGTCGATTTGAAAGTCTCCCCATGCACCCACTTGGAGCAAGCGGTCAGCTTTGAGGCCCTGTCCACGCACGACACCTGTAATGACCGCCTGCTCGCCCTCCCATCTGCACTCTTCGACCATCATCCAGCTGCGATCTTCCCTCCACCTGACGCCCTTCGGCATGGTTGTGCACAGACTCCGCATGACATTGCTGCATTCCTGTCGGTTGCTCAGGTCATGCACTTTCTCCTGCGCCGCGAAGAAGTGAGTGATGAAGGACTTGAGACTCTTCAACACATCGGGCCTCTTCTTGGCCGGCTCCACCTTCTCCAACCCGTGCACTCCAGTCAAGACCGTGGAGACGCCCTGTGATTCAATGCAGCGGAGGAGATGTTCTCCCACCTCGTCGACTTCCTCGTCAGCGCTGAGGACGAAGAGAACAAAGTCGGCGGCGCGGCACACATCCAGACACTCCACCAGATCGCGGGATGGGGTGAGATAGGTCAATTTCTGCTTGAAGCGTGGGATCCACAGTCCCTCTCGCGGTGTCTCCTCACTCTCCACCTCGACGCTGGCATTCAACGTCTGCACAACCTCCCGACAATCCACATCCTTGCACAACGGGACCACGGCGACGATCCGGGGTGCCGCATTCCGCCCCGCAAAGACGGATCCCTTCTCCTCGCGCTCCGCATGCTGGTTCTGCCTCCGCTGCTTGGCTTGATTCCGCCGGTCAATCTTGTTCATCACCTGTTGATGTGGCGTCTTCCGCGATCCCTTCTCCCACGCCTCCACCTTGCCCTTTTGCGCGTTTTTTAGCGACGATTTGGAGGCATGCTTGGTCTTGTAGGGCTTGTTCGTCGTCTTGGTCGTTGACCGATGCGAGTGGGACGATGGAGTCGGCGCCATGGAAGGAGCGCGAGGGCCGGAGCCACTGCCGGACTTGAAGCGAAAGGGAATTGATGCGTCCAGTGTGTTTGTGGGCGGGGACGTTGGATGGGAAAGGGAATGCCCCAACTTCTCACCACTGTCATACGAGGGAAAGATTTTTGTGATGAAATTCGGGGAAAATTGATTATCGATAAGAGGCGGCAGTACCCCACCTTCAATTTGAGCGTTCCGCCATCAATTTCAATCAATATATTGGAGCATATTGCACATGTACGTACCTCCTCACTTGAGAATGGTTTTGTCTCGTTTCGTTCTCCTCAACGGCGTCCATCCGACGACACCTCTGCCATTGCCCATCGGGCCCATCGGGGTATCTCGAGCCGCCTGGAACATCCATTCTTCCGGTGGGCTTCTCGTCCTCAAGGCCAGCAAACCTGTGCGTACATACCTGCACACAGGATGTCGTTGGGCCGCAGGTGGACCACCGTCCTTGTCGTCTTTGTCTTTGCCAAGAGAGGCTTACGAAGTGCTAAGACCCCTTGCGCCAACAACCACACCCAACAAGATGGTGTACGGTATGGCCATTGTACAGTGGCCAATTTCTTAGTGCTGATGAGCAAGCACTGCCATCGATCTGCCGCCCCCAGCACTCTTCATTTCGCCCCGTCGATCACTCTCCCGCACCACGCTACTCTGTCCCCATCATTGCCATCCTCCCAACCTCTCCCTTCGACCCTGGCATGCTGCGAAGTCCACGCGCACAGTTCTCCAGCCCGCCTTTTTTCTGACCATTGCTGGTATCGAACTACTACTGTCATCGAGTCCTCTCCCAGAGAGTAGAGGCATGTACCACACCGAGACCCTGAGCCGAAAGGTACAAGGGATTGCCTTGCACAAATCCGTATAGCGGAAGGTTTTGTCCAACCGCATTCCATCCTTGTCGTGTGATGATTCATCGATCTCGCTGAACTCTCGCTACACATGGAACCCTGACGAGGGCAGACTGCCAGTAGTGTACGGAGGACTCTGTAATGGAAATGGAGAAAGGTCCGTCCGGGGCATTTCAATTTTCAAGGACTACAACGCCACCTCTTGTGTCTCTATCCTCTTCCTCACTTTCACCCGTGCCATGTCCAAGACTCGACCAGCTCATTTCATGCACATACTAATGGCTGTGGAGAACAAGGTATCGTAGGAATGAACCCGGTCATATTTCCCTCATGCGTCGAGCTGCACAATTCTCGCATCATACGCAGCTCGGGGTGGCAAACATGCTTTGTGTGTCCGAAGCCAGCGCAGTCCTTCGTTCCCGTCTTCCCTCACTCTCTCAGGATCACGAAACCTTATTTCCACTGCGCGGTCGGGTGGGGTGGTCCCCGTTCTTGCGACAGTCCCTGTCCACGTTCATCGCTTGCAGATGGAGTGTGTCACAGCAATTCCGCACTCTTGAGGCACATCCCTGCCGTACAGCTGTGATGCTCGCCGCCGGCCACTCAAGCAAACACAAACAATTCATACGTTTACTTGTTCGGTCCTGGTCATGTGAATGCTCAACTCTCCGTTTCTTTCCTTCCTGGCATCTTTCTTCCGTTGCTCTCAAGCTTGCACTCATCGTCGTACCTCAACACTATCGACAGTCGTCCGACGAACAATAGCGGATCTCATCAACGACTGTCTTCAGCATAGCCATGGAACGCTCTCCCCTGATTCTCCTGTCTCCCGAGTTGCGCAATAAAGTGGGCCTCTTCGCATCATAATACTCACCTTTCCCATCTAACATCACTCCTCAGATCTACAGCCTCGCCTTYGAGGACCCACGTCAAGAAGTCGTCCTCAACCTCACACACTGGCAGGTCCCCAARCCACTACGACCACTTCAACCACATCAGAATGTCACGCAGCCCAAAAGCTATKCCCTTACACAAACATGCCGTCAACYCCGCGCCGAGACCCTCAAGCTCTTCTACAACACAAATACCATCATCCTCAACATGTCCGATTTCGAAGACCACGTCTCTCCGATCCTCCTCCCACCACGAACAGCAGCCCAGAAACTCCTCACCTGGCGCAGTCTCGTTGGTGCAGAAATCCTGCAATCCGCAAGATCCAGAGTCTTCATAAACCTCCAATATCACTATCTCGGCCCGGGCTCCAAGCTTCTTCTCGACCAAAAAGCAGCCGCAATTCTTCGCGAAACATTCTCACCCTCTACAACCATAGAGTTCTCCATCAAGATCCACCTTCCCATTCCAGAAGGTCTGAAGACCCAGCAAGGCCTCCCACTTACCGGGCTGGATGTTCTGGGGAACGTAAGCGAGTCTGCCAGCGAGTGGAGAGCGCGTGTCAATGAAGCAGCGGAAACGTTTTGGAGGGACTGGTGCTTGGTGAACACCATGCCGGATTCCGATGACCGTATGGAGGCTATCGTCGATGCGGCTGTGGAAGCTTTGTTGTGCGGYGTCGATTCGATTGGAGATTTCTGGAGGCCAACTTTCGGGCCCGTTTTGCCGCCCGTCATGGACTTTGAGAGGGAAGAAGTGGAGCGTAGGAAGAGGGAAAGGGACTGGCAAGAAGTGAGGGAGAGGAATCGAAGGATCGTTGTGGGTGATGATTGATCGCCTTCGTTGGAGTTATGTAGTCTTAGCGCGGGACACTTTCGTCGTTATGAGCCCGACAGTGTGGGAAGCGGGAGTCGGAGTGGCATTTCTATTTTTTCTCATACTCGAAGATAGAGCATCAACCGAGGAAATTGAATGAAGTTTAGTTGGAGTCACAATCCGTGCCCTGCTGGAAAAGCACCTGATCACGGTCGTATCTAAGGACCTGTCCTCAATCCTTGAAACATAGAGCATGTCTTTGTCACAGATCTATAGACCAAGTCACGGATCTCATGCTTCGYAAATACCACATGTATCCTCGATGGCGGTACTAGGCTGCCAACGAAGAGATGCCTACTCTCCTAACCGAGCCCTAGCCCTAGCCCTAGTGCACCACGAAAGGGGGGCAGACAAAGGGTTTGCATTATACATAGGAACAAGAAGCCAAGACCAGTCGTCGTCCATGCTTTTGCGCCTTTGACGCCATTACGATGCGCATTGCCATGGCCGCAGTCTCGCCTGCGGCTTGGCATGTCCCTTGGGGCGATCTTCATACAGGCGTGCTCAACTTGCCGGTTAGCTATCATCCGAATCCCGATCATAAAGTAAAAGCCTGCCGAAAAGGCGGCAGATGATGGACCCGCTTTCTTTAGACAAGCTGGGTATTTCAAACCTCGAGCAGTCTAAGTTGCCGGCGGAGAGTAGTGCTCAAATTTGAAAAGTCTTTCGACCTAAAAGAGTGAGCCAAGCTTTCAGGAGATACGGTCTTGGTGACAGATGATCATCAATTGCACTCATTAGTACGTCCATGATACCATACATCACCGGATCTCGACGCCCACTCTTAAGGCAATCTTTGTTCAAACGTCCCATCTATATTCCGAAGATAAATGGAACATACTTGTTGTCCCGACCTTTTGTAAACTTGGTTCGCGACGCCACAAATGAATCCGCATCCTGCACAGGACAAAGTGTCAGGAAGACTTGAATAGTCATTAATAAAACGCTCCGTGAAGAGAGGAACTTTAGGAACGTGGACCGAACGATACACGATCTTGCATCCTCGCCTAGTCAATCCATCTTCGGGAAGTCTGCTCTTCGATTGTTCGACCCTTCGCGTGACATGCAGCCATGGTATGCGAGACTCAAGATTGTAAGTCAGGCTAGCGATCAGATGAATATATCCCCTTCATATCTCAGCATCCCCACTTGATCGAGCTATGATCGTTGGCCTTTACAACCTCATCTATTATCCTCGCCTAACAGTTCGGATCCTCCCTACAACTTAGCTTGGGTACATCGATAACGTCAATTTTGCTTCTAGGCGGAGTCATACCACTGGTTGCTAGCCTTCGTTCCGACCGCTTCGAAAGCAAAGAATGTGACATTCCTCGACAAGCAGGAGTCACCGGATTGATGCCCAGCCGTGTGACAATTCCCATCCCGAGCCTCATGTAGTAGGTTCGGGGTGTCTATTATGGAGATGTTAAAATCGCATCTAGAATCGTCGTCCTATCCAAGGACCTTGATGTGAAAGGTCAAATGACTGCTGAGATGGACATCGAGAGGAGGGCAGAGACGGCGTTGAGTCTGAGCCGGATTCTTGTGCTTGGCGTTCAAATTTAGTGGCTGTAAGTGGTCCGTTGCAGACCGCTCTTTGGAGGTTGAACCAAGTGTCCTGTTTGACGAACTTCCTCGAACAGAGGGGTGAAAGAGATGGTCGAAGAGCTGGAATAAGACAACGAGATGTTAGAGATGGCATGGCGAGAAAAGTCAACCTCCGTTCTAGATGCAGCTGGATTTAAGGATAGGTTCCGCGGCCACGTTGCCTCGAGTCGGAGGTGAGCTTAATCAAGGCCATCAGCAGATGGCCCTAAGCTCTTGGATTTTCCACGAGACAGAAGCCTGGATGTACACTCCCCGCGCTTCAAGAACGACTTCCCAGCCTAGTCGTCGCTCAAAGACCCACCGGCTAGATCAAGACCAATGCMGCTCAAGCTTTTGTACTTTCTCTCCACAACCACTGCTCGAAAGCTTCTTCCTTCCCATCGCCCTGATACGGAACATCCTGCATCTTCGACCTCCACTTGGTAGTCACGCCAAAGTTCTCAAACCTCCCAGGATCCGCTTCAAGTTTTCGCAGGTTTGCGACCTCGGCACTGCGCTCTCCCTCACAAATCATACGGGTCTGCCATGCTCGACGAGCGAAGACCGATGCCCGAGCACGATCAGCATGCATAGCGCAAATTTGGAATGCATCATAGTAGAGTCGGGGTAGCCTGAGATCCGAGATCTTCTCTGCCTGATAAATGGTGCGCAAGGCTCGACAGTCGTCCAGAGCCCGCTCAGGATTGTTCCGCACCCTTTTGGGATCCCCAATCTTTTCATCCAGAGCCTGCGCTCGGCATAGTCTGTCATCACTTCTTGCAAGATCAGATGTGGAAAGGCAGCAAAGCTCGCAAGCACAATCAAACCGGAAGTTGTCTTTGAGAATTTGCTTCCGCTGCGCCGATGGTCCCCCGTTGAGGTACGAAAGTGTCAGCTCCTCGCCCGCTGAAATCTCTCGGACAGCATGGACCAACATGCTTTTGAGCTCCTCATTCCAGGCATGCTGCGCGTTGGGTCTACAGGAATGGTTGATCCTCGATACAAGTGGGAAGATACCTCCAATGTCGCTGCTTGGCCCTAGGGGATATCCGTTTGAACGCACGATATTGCTGAAGGGGTGTGGCTCGCCCTTGAAGTTGTTGTGTAGAAGAAGGAAAGCTCTTTGGTCATCTTTGGACAAGCCCTTCACGATTTGGGCGAGATCCTGCTCTATCGTGCTGACATCTTGAAGAGATTCGGTGGTGAAGAGCGGTGTCTCGCTAATTAGTAAAATCCCAGGATTTATGTCACAGCTGGCTACCAGGCCTTTGCCTTTGCCTGGAATGTCTTGCAAAACGAAAAGCGGATTTTGAACCATCGTGAATGAAAAGGGGGGAAAACTGAGTGATGGAAAAGGTCGGAATTCCTTTTTTTTCGAGCGATCTCAGGCAGCGCTGCCATTTTGACACCACGTGCGATGCGCGTCAGGATTTTCTCGACACGCCGCTGCCGTTGGTGATGTAACATTGAAGTCGTCCGAAATTCTAGCGTACCGACATTTTCCGATACCATTCGACCATTAAATACCATCGTGTGAATGTTCGGAGGGTAAATCGATGTTCCAATCTACGAAAAGATGGGAACAAACACAATCTCGATGGGCTTACGGCAATAAGCGATAGGTCTTACCGTAGGAGGCGATTAAAATTCGAAAGAAGACGTGACGTTGAAATTTCATACCTCCTCGGAGGGAATAAAAGTTCTCCGGGGTACGAAAGTCGGACCCGTGCTTTTTACTTAGAGTAGCTATTATAAAATTAGTAGTCTTCTTAATAAGTTAATAGATTAGATACTATTCTCTCTATAGAAGATTAAATTTAATAATTTATTTATAAAAATATTTCTAGTATTTCTATAAAGTAAAGCTATTATAAAGATTTGCCCTTATACTAAAGAAAAGCGTTATATATAATTAATACGGGCGACTAATAATAAGGCGAACGTTAGTAGTAAGAACTAGTATAATAGGCGAAGCCCTAAGGCTAAAGTATAAGCGTAGCCTATATAGAACGCTTAGTATTCGCGTACTTTACGTTAGAATCTATAGAGGATAGTTCTCTTCCCTATCGAACTTATTTAATTAAAACCTTACTTAAGCTCCTATATATACGCTACTCGCTCGTAATATTAAGTTCGATCGCCTTATAATAACTACCCCTTCGGATTAGAATACCGGAAGGAACTTCCCGAATAACGAGAGTTTAGAACGGGAAGTACCTATAGAACCTACTACGGAGCTACGTAGAGCTATAGAATAGATATACCTTAAGTAATAGGCTATAGAAGCCGAGATAAGCGCTACGCGCGCCGCGCTAGAACGCGCGGGATCCGAACGCTTAGCTAACGATAATATCCCTATAAGTATAATAATACGGAACCTTATAGAATCGGTATTAGCGCTAACTTAAGCGGGTTCCGTACGGGAACCGTCGGGACTAAAGGACTAGAGACCGCTAACCTAGGATAGTAGAGCCGACACTTTTAAGGATTACCTTCTTAGGCTAAAAAGCTCCTACCGAGTACGTTCTAGCCTTAAGCTAACGCTCTCCGCGGACTACTACTAGAACTCTATCTACGATACCCTCCCGGCGAGGGAGAGAGCGAGGATACGCTACTTCTAGGAAGCGGAGCTATATTAAGATATAAAATCTCGATAATCTTACTAAGCTAAGCTATAAGGCTAAGCTAGGCGGGATCGGGTTAGAGCTTATAGGAAGTCTATAAAGTAAAGTAAAGTAGGATGTATAATTCTAATTAGTAAGATAAAATAGTAAGTTATACGCGATGTTCTCTATAGGGGATTATATCGCTTCTATATATAATAATAATAATAAGTTCTATTATAGTCTAGTACGGGCGAGGCCTATACAGACTTTACTACGTAGTATCTCTATAGGAGAAAACCCTTTCTTCTTACGCGGGTTAAAAAACTCCCCTATCCCTTAGGTATTTGCCTCGTATATACTACGAGCTCTCCTCGGTTAAGTGCGCCGTTCTCTTATACTCCTTACTTCTACTCCTACCCTGCCTACCCGCTTCGCTCTATATCTCTACGGTCCTACGCTTCCTTCCGCTCTTAGACTAGTCGTTCTACCGCGGGGCTTAGCTTAAACTACTCGAGAAATCTTTCCCTAATAATCTATTTCGCGATCCTCTATACGTCTTTAGGGTCGTTTAGAATAACTTAGATGTCTTTGCTTCTCGTCCTTCGGAGCTAGTCTCCGCGTCCCTTCGCCTACTTTAAGCAGTATAGAAGTATATGCTTAACATTTTAGTAGGGGTATCCGCATTAGTATGCCTTGCTTTCTACCTCTAGGACTCTCCGCCTCCGGAGGTATTCCCGGAGGCCGATATATTCGGTCCTTAACTATATTATTATACTTAATTAGGCCCTTATTAGCCCTTCGTAGATAGTATACGGAGGTTTATAGCCTCCCCCGCTCCGGTCCGGCGTTATTATATTATCCTTTCTTATAGCTGCGTTCTAGTTCCTCGTTTAGGCCGCTATAAAGTACCGGCGGTCCCTCCCCTAGTAACGGTTCTAGCGGTCCTTCTATTGTTCTAGGGACCTCTCCCTAAGATCCCTAATTATCCTTCGCTTTTCTTAGATTTCCCCTTTCGTCGGGGCCCGTAGTACTACGTATATTCCTATGTCGATTAGTATAGGCATCTCTCTATTCTACGTCGCTATGTCCTCTTACCTCTATGTCTTAAGTCTGTTATTGCCGGGCTGGCGGTTGTATATAGCTCTTATAATGTCGCTTCTATATATACTAACTATAAGAATAATTATAATAATTATATTAAGCATGTTAATTAGAACTAATCGATTTGCTTAACGTGCTTAGTATGTTTATTCTAATTAGAAGTTCGGAGGTCCGTGCTTCTCTAATTAGGATAATTATATAATCGGGTCGCTCTCCGAGCGATCCTATTCTTTCCGCTTTACCCTATTATTACGTATAACTAAAACATATTAGCTATATAGGCTCTCCTATACTAGTCGTTACTTATAAACATTCCTATACGGGAATATTACTACGGGAGACCCCGCGGAGACATTCCGTAATACTATCCCCCTTCCGGCCTAGCTTCGTCCCGAAGCTAGTTATTAAGAAGTCGCGTATCCCGCTAATATTAGTCGTTATAGCTTCCTCTTTCTACGATGCCTAAATATCCTATAGAGTCCTCTACTTAACGCCGATATAAGCTCGCGGATTTCCTCGACTCCTAAGGTTCCGTAATAGTTAAAGCGTGCTCTACGTATAAGAAGTACTAGAGGGTATATAAGGTGTACGTTCGCTCCGGAAAATGTAATAAGTATGTTCGTCGCGGGTAAAGGTACGACATTTAGGTTACGAAGTCCGAATTCGATCGTCTTCGCGTAGAGAAGGAAAAGCTACGAGCGGGTATTAAGGAGTCTAAGCGCGCTTAATAAGATGTATACCTTGCTCTAGAGGCGGCGTAAGAGGCTTCTCGAGTTACCTATACTAAGGAGATACGGCTAAGGTAATAGATAGATCTTATCGATCGTCGTACGGACGACGCGATCGTAGTAGAGGTAGCGAATATCGAGGAGCTAGAATAGGAGGAAGCGATAGAGAGTGCTACATTAGCTCTTCCGGAATCGTCCGTTAGTTTCTCGCTATCTCCTATAATATAGGGCGCCCTCGAGGGCTTCTCCGATAAGTTCTAGGAGTAGCCGGGGTTCCTTAATCCTAGTAGAATTACTTAAGAAGCTAGTAGTAGCTCCTAAGGTCTTTCTTATAGTACTAGGTATTTTCTAAGTCGTCGAACCCTTTCTATTTAACTAAATATTCCTAACCCTATTACCGTAGGATCTTCTCGACTTCCTAGGTGTCTTATTCTTCTAGCTAGAAATAGAACGTAGTTTAGTATAGAGTATCGGCGTCTACGAGTTCTAATAATAAGATATAAAACGTTAGGTAGATCTTCGCATTAGGCGGCAGTTCGAGGCGGTAGTTAACTAGTCCTCGTAGTTCGTTAATTAAAAATAGCCCGACCTTAACTTAGTCTAGTTTCTTAGTCTTYCTTCTTRTCTTTAGATTTTTTRTAAGRAGGTAGACCTTATCCYCCTTCTTTAGCTAARGTGCYATTTTTCGTTTAGCATTTCGCGGTRTAGCTATAGTTTTTTATAAATCTAGGATCCTRTTTTCTAACTCGTTATAGAGATCCTTAAGGTCCTCGGATRTAACTATAGCCCGTTCGGCCTATAGGTATAACGAAGGTTCTCCGAAAAGGTTCGGGTTTCGACTAAAATTCGAAAAGAATAGCGTAGTCTTCGTCGTATCCGACTATTAGTTRTTAAGCGCTAGCTRTRCTATTAGYAATAGTGCGGCCTAGTTRTCTTRTRCGTAATTAACGTARTRTCGAAGGTACTATTCTAGTRTCTAATTTATTCGTTCTATTTRTCTATCCGTCTTAGGATAGTATRCTRTCGRTAGCTTRTRTTTAATCCTAAGGGTTCCGATAAGTGTCTTCTAGTAGCTAGATRTAAAGAGCTTRTCTCTATYRGTAATAAAGACCTTTAGAAATCCGTAGTATCGAATAAGCCTRTCTATAATAAGGTAGCCGAGTTGCTCTATAGTAAAGGTTTTACTAGYAGGAATRAAGTRTGCATATTTCGTAAGTCGGTCGACTATAACGAGTATTATRTCGTAGTTAACCTTAGTAGCTCGATCCTCGGAGATCGGTAGCTTAGTTATAAAGTCTATCGTAACTTTATCCTAGGGCTRCTTAGGTAGTGTTCTAAACTAGATRTRCCCGTATTTAGCGTGTCGTTTAGCCTTRTTCCGCTAATAGTGTTCGTAGCGCTTAATATACTTAAGAACGCGCTAGCGCATCTACGGAAAGCTAAAACTTCTCTAGATAAGTTCTACCGTTTTAGTTGTTCCTAGGTGTCCGTATTACGGATAGTTATAGTRCTATCGAATAYATTCTTCTTCTCGGTTCTTCGGGACCTAGTATTTTCCTTAGCTTATAGGGAATTRCTCTTCCGTGTCCTATAGYACTYGTATAATRTAGTTAAATTCTTTCGAGTCTAAACTAAGGCTTCCGTCGTTATTTGCCTTTAGTACTYGTTRTYRTACGGGTTCCTTCCCGTCTATATAGTCGCTCCGTCGGCTTAGTACGTCGGCTCGACCGTTGTCCTTTCCTAGAGTATATCGGATTTCGAACTTATACTAACCGAGTAGCTCCGACTAGCGGGCCTATCTTCGGGTTAGTAACTTTATCGTAGTAAA